TGTTGCATCTTGTTCTTCACATGGCCTTTGTGTTGGTTACGATCAGTGTGAATGCTTTGAAAATTATGTTGGTCAATTCTGTGAAGTTCCAATTTGTTATGGTTTGAGAGCTGACAATTCAAGTGTTTGCAGTAATATGAATGGAACATGTGTCTCTGCCAACAATTGTTCTTGTAATGATGGATATACTGGTGAAGAATGTGAGATCCCAATTTGTTTTGGAATTCTTTCAAACAATGCTTCTGTTTGTTCCTCTCATGGTAATTGTACTAGACGTAATACTTGTGAATGCAGTTCTGGCTACATCGGAGCAAATTGCGAGATTCCAATATGTTTCGGATATTATGGCAATGATACTTTGAATGTTTGCAATGATCGTGGTGATTGCGTCGCTCCGGACATTTGTGTCTGCAGAGAAGGATATATGGGAGAAAATTGTTCAATTTCAATTTGTCATGGAATTGCTGCGAATGAATCAAGTGTTTGCGACAGAATTGGTTATTGCATCGATAAGGATCTTTGTGTCAATTACACTTGCAATGGAACAGTCAGTAATGATGTTTCATCATGCTCTTCACATGGCCTTTGTGTTGGTTACGATCAGTGTGAATGCTTTGAAAACTACACGGGTCAATTCTGTGAAGTTCCAATTTGCTATGGTTTGAGAGCTGACAATTCAAGTGTTTGCAGTAATATGAATGGATCATGTATCTCTGCCAATAATTGTTCTTGTAATGATGGATATACTGGTGAAGAATGTGAAATACCAATTTGTTATGGAGTTCTTTCAAACAACCACTCTGTTTGTTCCTCTCATGGTAACTGTTTATTGCATGACCGTTGTGAGTGCTACGAAAACTATTCTGGATCTAATTGTGAAGTTCCAATTTGTTATGGCTTGAGAGCTGACAATTCAAGTGTTTGCAGTAATATGAATGGAACATGTGTCTCTGCCAACAATTGTTCTTGTAATGATGGATATACTGGTGAAGAGTGTGAAATACCAATTTGTTATGGAGTTCTTTCAAACAACCACTCTGTTTGTTCCTCTCATGGTAACTGTACACGACGAAACAATTGTGAATGTCATGATGGATATTCTGGCTCCACTTGTGAAATTCCAATTTGTTATGGATTTAGGGCAGATGATCCATTTGTTTGCAATCAAAAGAATGGAACCTGTGTCTCGTATGACAAATGTGATTGCCTCAGTGGTTATGGAGGTCTAAATTGCTCGATATTTACATGTGGTGGCATACTTGCAAACGACACTGAATCCGTTTGTGAAAGAAAAGGTGATTGCAAAGGTCCAAACTTGTGTGTTCCACACATTTGCTTTGGCATTGAAAGTACCAACTCGAGTGTTTGTTCAGGAAGAGGTTCGTGCTATGCCCCTGATAACTGCACCTGTAATGCTGGATGGGGTGGAAATGATTGCAATGTTGAACTCGCTTGGTATTGTCATGGAAGAAATAACTGCTCAGGCAATGGTATTTGTGTCAGCTCGGATGTCTGTGAATGCAATACTTTCTTCACTGGTGATAATTGTTCAGAGCCTGTATGCAATGGTAAACATGGAATGGAAGCATGCTCTTCTCGTGGTACTTGCACTCACAAAGAAGAAGAAGGTATTAACAAATGTCTATGCGTTCCAGGATTTACTGGAAGTGATTGCGAATATCTCGAGTTGTTTAACAGAAACTGTACATTTGATTTAGTGGAATCGGTTAATGTCGATAAGGATAGTATTACACATGTTATTACAGATCTTTCCTGCTCAAAACAAGTTGTCTACACTGAAGATATTTCTTATTTGAATCTTCCTACTCCTGTCTCTGTAGTTGGCCCAGTTCTTATGGATGGAGCTTACTTGTTTGTGTTCAACCTTCCAGCCGATCAGTCTCCACTCCTTGTGAAAATATCTCTATACCATTCTGCAAAGAAGAGATCCTCATCTAGATTTTCCATTACCATTACAACCATTACATGTGTAAACAGAATTGATCGGCTATTCGCAGATACACTAGGCCTATTTTCAATCTCATATTCGACTGAAAGAATGAGCTTGGTGTTCAATCTGATTGAGTACTCTTCGTCAGCAACAACCACCTGCCATGAATACGATACCTTGAACTTTGCACCACCATCTAGTCAGTTCATCTTTGATGCGACAGGCAGTGATATAAGTGATATTTCTGTGCTAAATATTGAAAACTCGACTCGCGTGCTTGTAAAGACATACTTTAGAAGCAATAGCTCCATGACTTTCATCAGTTACAGAATTGATACCAAGACTATCTCAATCATTCCTGTTCCAATCCAAACATCACAAACAAGATTCCTTGCTACCATTATTTCTACACATTACAACGATAAGCTTCAGGAAGTTCTTGTTGTTATTGCTATCCGCAACACTGAAACAGCCATTTATCTCTCTTCAACGGTTCATCTTGTTCGATCGTTCTCAGCTCATGAACAATATGTTCTTGTTCGGTCGTTCTCAGCTCAAACAGCTCTATTTGCTCAAACTAATGATGGTGTTCATCTAATTCATGTTGATACCAAATTATATGTTGTCAATTCCAACAGAAATCTCGCCCTTGTGACTTTTGGTGTTGAGCTCGTGTCAGACATTTATTCCTTGTCACAAATTTTACCATTAGATACAAGCGCCACCCACATTACACCAATAGTCTCGAGCGTCTCAAAGACTCTCTTACCATTCAGCGGAACAACCATTGGTATCAATACTGAACATATTCCACCTCGCTCTCTGATTACCACCTATCTGAACGAAAAATTATACTCATTTATAGTTTCAGAAGCCTGTATGGCGGGATACTCGAATTGTATCACATTCATTAACACTGAAATGGAAGTAGCACTAATGAATCACAATTCAAAGAGGCTTGATCTGACATTTAATGTGCAATTACAAAGTCTTACAAATTCCACAAACATTTTACATGTTCCTGCAACGTTTAACCTTACTTTCTATGACAATCGATTGAAATATGTCAAGCGTATTGCTAAGAATACTCTGGAAATTGCTGGTACATTCTTCAACACTTCAAAGATTGCTGTTCTTTACGAATTTTATGTGAACGGTGTCGCCAAGAGTAAGCTAGTATCAGGAACTTACATTTCAGAAGATAAAATTATTGCGCCATTCAAGATTTCAGAGATTACATCTTTCATTCCTGTCTATGTGAGAGTGTCCATTGATGGAGAAGATTATACCAAGAAGGAAATTCAATGCATTGCAATTTATCAAGATATTGGACCAGCTGTTGTGGTCACGACTCCTGTTGATCCTTCAACAAATACAAGCTCTGATCCATCAACCACAACACCAGGGGAAACTGTTGCATTGCGAGAAGAAGAAGTGAGTGCTCAAGGAGTCCTAGTGTTCTTGCCCTCAATATTGACATCCGGTAGCCTGGGAGGAACTAATGGCGGTGAAACAGCTCCAATAACATTTGTAGATCCAAAGACAGGAAAGGAAGAAGTTGCAGTTGTTAGCACAACATTTACTCCTGTTATTTCTGAATCGACTGGTGAAGTTAGTATAAAGATCTCTGTTGGATTTGTGAACAATGCAACCAAAGAGAAATGTGCTGGAAAAGGAACGGACACAATCCAAAGTTTAATTTCCTCCGACAGAAAATTCTCACTCCTCCACAAACACGTATTCATGCAATTCTCAGTTGCCAAACCAGAAGTATCCAATGCCAACATTATGGAGATGGTTGTTCTTGGCCCTAACGGTGTTTATTTCTCTAGCAGCCTTGGTGTACGAAATGGAACCAGAAAATTCATTACAGAAATGAGATTTAATGATGTTACTCAGAACCAGCTTATCGATTGTCCTTATCCATTCGACATTGCGCAAATGTTAGACATGAGTATTGACCATGATTTTTCATCAATAGACCCTTCATTATGGTCCAAACAAGACACATCCACTTGGAAATCTTGGGTTTCACTTAATGTTATTAATCCATCTCTAAAGAATTCTCAAATTTGCAAATCAAGATTCAATTTACCAATTACATATGCTGAATTTATTTCCAAGTTTTCACAAAACTTTACCCTGTCCTTTGGAAGTAGTGTCACTTGTGAAGATGTGACAACTAAGCCATCTGTAACCATTGAGTCCGATTTGTCAGACATGGGTGTGACATGTATGAATGGTAAATGCGTCTCTGCTTTCACATTAGTAACTAAGAAATCATTGGACTGGATCATGATTGCTGCAATCGCTGGTGGAGGTGGTGGATTTGTTCTTATTGTGCTGCCAATTATTTTATTCATCATAATTGCTGGTGTTTGTTATTACAGAAGAAAGAAAAAGCAACAAAACTCAAAGTTTGTCGTATATGATCATGGAATTGCTGGTGTTGATGATTTGCAATCTGCAATGAACGATTTGTTTGATAAGATGAACGAAAACTCGAAAGACGATACCACAAGTTCCGCTGGCTCTATTGCCCAAAAATCCTACTGGTAAAAAGGCTGAAGATATTGAAGAAGATCATGTTGTGGACGCTTATCAAGCAGCTTATAGCACTTGGATGTAATAAAGTACTGTTGTTTCTGAATTAATTAACAACAACAAGCAGATGAGAATAGAATGAACAGGTCTTAATCAATAAAATAATTTTCAAAAACCGTAATGGTGCTAATGGCAAACATGGCAAACTTTGCCTTCTCTTCTAATATTCCTTCTCAGAACATGCGAAAGCATTGGTTGCCTTCGTGAAATTATTTCAGTGATGATAACTATCCCACTCATCATAATGAGTGCATGCATAGAACGTTCTGTTCTATATGCACCCCTCCTTCTTTGATGAATTGTACCAAAATAGTCATAGTTACTCTGAGTTTGATTTTGAAACACCACAGAGTTTCTCCTTCTTTTATAATAAAAATTGGAAAGAATTATCGAATTTTCATTTACACAGGTTAAAGTACAAAAATTTGGTTTGTCCATGTGCATGTTAAAACCACTCCTTCTTAAAACTTGCAGTGACTGAAGGATCACCAAATGGACAACCATCACTGGCACAATTGTGAGGTTGATAGGTAGGATCATCTGGGTGACGGTAATGACGTAACCAAAACGCACGATCGAAACTCTTCAGTAAATTCCAGTCCAAATTATTGTCTTGTTCAAACATTGGATTCTTCTCGAGCAACTCTTTCACAAATTTGTCCAACTCAGCATGAGTATTGAAATGAACTTTAGATTCTCTGATTCCAAATTGTTCTTTCATATTATCATTGACAGGGAAAAATATTTCACACACTCCCTTCGTTCTCAAATTATTCAAATAGTCACCCAAAACACCTTCAAAGTGAATTGGAATTTCTAAAGCTTTACAAAGCTCATCCACAAATTGTTGGCAATTTGCTTTATGTTGATCATAATCTCTATTCACATTCCAGTCAATAATGACTTTACTGATTCTCTCAATTGTTTCGTCCAAATCAAATGTCGCCATTCCTTTAAATTCTAAATCAGCTGCAATCATGGCTGCATTACTGTAACATTTTCTAGGAATGCAAAGTGATGAGTTATTCCACTGTGATGAAAGTGTTGATTAAAAGTACAACAAATCAGTGTGAAATTAGAGAAAGAAACGTTGAAATTAAAAGTGAATTAGGACGGGAATCAGCAATCATTAAGAGTGGAATTGGATGTGTGGGTTTGTGTAAAAAATTGAATCAAAAATCATTATAAAAGTGAATTAGGACAGTTAAAAGTCTGAATATATCTCAAACCTACCTCCAAATACCATGGACCAACCACAAGAGCTGAATGAAACATTCCAAACTGTTGTTGATAATCTAATTTTGTCAAAATTGGACTCAACATTTTTCGAAGTGCTTTCTGAGTGTCACTCTTACAAATCTCTGCAATAATCAATTTAATTTTGATCTTTTTACCCACTTGCATGTAAGGTAAAGCAGCATCTTTTCTAATTTCATCCAAATCAAAATCAATGTCATCCAAATTGAAAGCATCACCACCATTTGGTTTATCATTCACTACTGATTCACTTGTACTTGCAAATAGATTTGATCCTTCATTCTTCTTTGAAAGTGCAGCTGCATTGACTTTCTCTAATTTTTCAAATTGTTCCACAGTGGTGGCAAATTCTGGATTCAAATACCATTCTTTCAATTCTTTATGATCACAGAGAGAACGAGCCCATTCTTTTAATTCTTCTTCTGGCATGTTTTGAGCTTGTTTGTTTCCTTTTTTGAGTTTGTTAATGACACATTCTTCATCGGTCATGCCATTATTATTTTGTGAGGATCGTGCTTTGGGTTTTGTTGGTTTTGAAGTTTCTGTACTTGTTTTTGGATCTGCTTTACTCACCATGCCACCCATTTTTGTTGTTCTTGTTGTTGATGTTGATGATGAAAGTGTTTCTGTTGTTGAAAGAGATGACAGGTAGTTCTTGGTCTCTTGTTGAAAGAGATGATGATTCTTCTTGTGAATATAGCCGAGTTGAAGAAGGACAAAGTGTTTTTGCTAGGATGAAGTTGTTCTTTAGAGTTCCTTTGTTCCTTTGTTCGTTCGTATTAGAGAATGTAGTAGTTTTGTTGATATTCTCAGTTGTTGTCGTTGTGATGGTTAAAACACACTCAATGAGAGAATTCTTGAGAGTTGTTGTCGTTGTAGGTCCGAATTAATGGTGGTAGTAGTGATGGATTCGAGTCAAGTTGGTACGAGTCGAGTTGACAAAGAAGATGTTCTTGATGTTGTAATGAAAGGTTGTATGAACGACCCGTTTCAAAATTTGTAGAGATGATGTTGATGGCGAGAAGAATTTTGATTTGTCTTCGCCGTGATGAGCAGTAGCTTGGAATGAAACTGATCTTGAAATATTTTTTTGATGATGGGAGCAGACTGTCAGGTGTCATTTACATTTGCGTAAATGTTTGTCGAGCAACGATATCACTGAATGTGCACAAACGATCTATTACGTTGCGTATTGTTTATTCATTCATTGAATTGTTGAATCATTCAACGACTTGATCATTCTCAATGATCTTCTGAATTGGACCTTGTTGCCTAATGGATTCCAAGTAATCAGATTCCGTGATTGGTCTTCTTTCAAGTGAATTCATGTCAAAATTCCAAATTCTTGACGAAAACAACATTTTCTCCAAATTAAAATAAATCAAATTGCCTTTTAGTGAAAGAAGAAACATCATTATTTCGTGGTGTGGTTGTTGTGATCTGAGTTGTTATTGTTGTTGAATGGTTCTCCACGAGTGCTACTATTGCTACTCGTCGTACTATTACTATTCGTAGGATCATTCTGGGCACTCCCAAAACCAAAAGAAACCAATAATCGATTCTTTCGTTGCAACAAACCACTCAAGACCGATCTCATACGAGAAGGTTTTTCAATTCCATCATGATGTATGGTTACATCGATACTGCAAGTAGTAGAAAGTGGTGGTCCTTGTTGTTGTTGTTGGTTATAGTTGTTCGTATTATTAGTATCCATCGTTGAAACAAGAAGGGAAGGAGTGGATGGAGTTGTACTTGAAGTAGTATTAGTGGAGAAGGATGATTCTGATGATGTTGGAAGTAGTGGAGAGGAGAACAATTCTTCCTGAGTGAGAAGAGGGTTGGACCTCTTTGTAGAGTGCTGGTGCTGGTGGTGCTGGTTCTTCTTTTCAAGCAAATGAATATAGGAAGGAGGAGATTGTTGGGAGGATCTCAAAACAGTACCTGGATGGTTCTTCGACAACGACGTTATTGTGGTGCTACTGGTGGTGGTGGAAACAACATTAGAATCCTCTTCTAAATGTTCTTGTTGTTGGTGTTGTTGGTGTTGGTCCATCGACGACGTCGTTGTGACCTCATTCATGAGCAGTGTGAGGTGGTGGTGGTGGTGGTGGCTTTCTTGTTGTTCTTCAGATGAGTCATCCTCCTCATGATTCATTGTTGTGTTGGTGGCCATTCCTTCCATACTTGTCGTTGCTGATGAAACCACAACACTCAAAATCTTGGACTTCTTCTTGAATAATTTGGCTTTTCCAGGACCACAACATTTGGCTTTGAGATGAGGAGGTCGTGTATAACATGATTTACAGCCATTCGCAACAGCTTGTGCTGAAATGATGGGAGGACCTACGAGAATGGAGTAATTGAGAGGTGGTGATGAAGATGAGAGAGAAGGTTTGGGCATTGTGTTGTTGTTGTTAGGATGATTGCTAGCAGGAGGAGGAGGAGGAGGATGATGAGGGTGCGTACGAGGATGGCTATTATTGGTAGGTGAAGGATTCGTTGAAGGTTGTTGTTGTTGTTGTTGTTGATCAATCATCATATTATGATTGGTTAGAGTCGTTTCATTCAAGCTTTCTGTACGTATGGCATTCGTTGTTGTTGTTGTTGTTGTTGGAGTGGTCGGTGATGGAAACATGAAGGTTGAAGATGAAGATGAGGAAGAACAACTATTCAAATCCACAAGGGTTGGACTTTTTGTCATTCAGTGATGATGATATAAAATAATTTATCAAAGAGATTGGTGATGATGTTTGTTGTTGTTGTTGTTGTTGGGGTTGTGTTGTACAACTCGTGATGTGTTTGTTCTTCTTCTTGGGAAACACAGTATCGGAGAACAAGGGAAATGCCAAACGTCAACAAATGGATTCTCGTGAAGTAATAATATTTGGAGAGACGTTTGCACAATGTGATGATAGTAGTAGTCCAATGACAATGATCAGAAGAGACTACAATTCTTCTCACTTGCTACTGTTATGTTTGATGATGTGTGCAACAAGAAACTCTCCCACCAATAATAATTGTATTCAAGAAAAAAGATTCTTTTGATAAAAGGATCCTCTTGTAAACGACGTTGTTGATGTGGTGGTGAGTGGTGAGAAGGTTGTGTCCTGATCGAGTTTTTTTTAACAGATGTCACCTGACAAACAAGCGAAAGAATCCTCATTCCAAAAGATTCTTTCGTATCAAAGAGAGACTCTTCAACCAAAAAGTCAACGAGTGATGCTGAGTCTGGTAAGGTGTGAGAAAGAATCAAAGAATCATATGATTCTCGGCATCCACCTCACTAAAAAGACTCTACTTCTCGAAATGTATTTTGAGAGACAGAAATTAACTCTCTCTGTTTTACTTGTTGTTGACCGCAATAATTACTTGAAATATAATTTGATACATTGTTGAATAACATCACTGTGTTATATTATCACATGTTCAGCCGCTGTGTGGTCCTGAATCGAAAGGAAATCCTTGCAACATGAAGACTCTCTATATGTGGAATTTTTAATGTCAAACCAACGTCGTCGTGTGACTGAGGTAAAGAGACTCTTTAAAATCAGGTGTATGGTCCAAACAAACAAAAAATTATTTTCTATTCATGCCAAAACCACTTGATATAAGGAGCGAGAACCAAGCTCCTCAATCCATATTGGGTGTTGTTGCGTTAGATCCGTAGTGAGAACTTTTCAAACAACCACAAGTGCAAAACACCAATTGCTGTCTTTGAAGGTTTTCAAATTATTGAGCTTGTATTTTCGAGGGTCGTATCGTCATTTTCAAATATTTTTTGGTCAAGGCGTGTCGGAAAGGGTTGTCGGAGCAACGCAGTGAACTCATACCATTCTTAATTAAGAACCACTTGAAAAGTGGCGTGGAGTCCTTTCCCCTGACTTCCACACTCACTGAGTGTTTAACGAAGCTTGCAAGATGTGTGATTCGTTCGAATTTGCTGCTCTTGTTCAAAGTGTTGATTTAAATAAAGGCGATTTGACCTCACACCTTTTACAGTACTGTTTACTGTTGAATATTTTCATTAAAAAAAATGAGGCCAGCCTTAATGAGAGAAGGCTACTCCATCTTTCACCTTCGACGATCATCAGCAGCCACAACAACAACAACTACCACACGATGCTTCATCATGAGTCGATCCGTTTTGATGGCACTCTTCATGACGACACTTTTGTTCATCTTGTCTTTGAATGTGGAAGTGAGAGGTGATTTTGTTGAAAAACAAATTCTCTCAACCACGGACAATGATGGCACCTTCAATAGATTCGGTACCTCGATAGCAATGAGCAATGATGGTTCCTATCTGGCTGTGGCAAAATATATGAGCTCCGTTTACATTTACTATAGAAGTAGTGCAGCGTCGAGCTATACTCTTCAGCATACCATTACCGGAAAGGATTTTGTAACAAACCCCTGGGGAACCATTGTTGGGTACACAACGTCGTTCAATGGAATTCAATCCATTTCATTGTCAGGTGAAGGTACAACCATTGCCATTGGGGCACCAAAGTATGGATCCCGAGGATGTGTTTCAGTGTTCACCAAAAGCCTCTACTCAAATGATTGGTACAATCGACAAGCTGACTGTCTGACTGCCACCTTATCGATAGCAAGCGTTCAGCAATACAATGACCAATTTGGATATTCTGTTGCTCTTTCCTCCGACTCTTCATTACTTGCCGTTGGAGCACCTAACAACCGAGAGGGATATGTGTACTTGTATTCAAAATCGGGCACAACCTGGAGTTACCTAACAATGCTTTCTTGCACAGACCCTGAATATCAATTTGGAACTTCTGTTAAATTCTCTGTAGATACAAGCGTGTTGGTTGTTGGAGCCAAGTTCAAGAACAACGGACAAGGAGCGGTTTATGTCTTCTCTAAGGGTAACAGTACTGTGTGGTCGCAACAGCAAAAAATTCTTCCTTCTGACCTCAAAGGAGTATACAAGTTTGGAAGCTCAATTGCAGTTTCAAAGGGAGGAAGTACCATTGCAATTGGTTCTTGCGAGGATTCATTGAATGCCACTGACGTTGCTGGGTCAGTTTATGTTTTCCAAAAACTTGGTCAAGCAAAACAATACACTCTCACTCAAAGACTATGGGCCAATGATAGTGTCACGGGAGACCGATTCGGATGTAATGTGGTCATGTCAGCTGAATCAGAGGTTATTGTGGTCGGTGCACATACCAGATCGCATTTAGACCGGACCCTTACAGGAGCTGTTTATGTGTTCCGACAAGTGGATGGAAAAGAGTGGGTGCAACATCAAAGAATTGTTCCCAATAGCTCCAAGTCAGATGAAAGCTTTGGATATGCAGTTGGTCTTTCGTTGGACGGTCAAACTATTGCATCCAGTGGAGTGAAAGCAACTGTGAATTCAGTGTCCGACAGCGGAAAGGTATATATTTTCAAATAAATGTGTATTAATAATGGATGAAAAACATGTGTTAGTACATTTATATTTAAATGAGAGTTGCATCCAACAAAACAGAAACATTTTCTCTGATATGTGCCGTTTGACTTCTTCCAAAGAATGCCACATGTTCCCTCAAATCATTTCCTGTACTATTTTGAGTCATTATTGCCAGGTTCTAAATAAGAATTACAATAGAACGTTTCACCTCCTGTATTGAACATTTAAGAAAATCAATTTGCAAATCACTATAACAAAGTTGATAATCAAGGTGGGCAAACTATGGGTTCAAACTTTGTACAAAACTAGGTCTCTCAAATGATACAATTTTTAATATTGGTCAGCGACATATTCAAAGAAGGAAAATCAATCCCTATCAGCACCACATTCAACATCAATTAAATTAATTTACTCTGATATATGAACTTAAAAACAAAGAGGTCTTAATCTCTCATATCGTTTCAGAGTGAATGTCAAAGTTTTATTTCCACAAATCAAGCAAATGTTCGAACACAACGCAGAACACAACGCAGAGCTTAAAGGGTCAAATAATAATTTATTCTCCTTGAATTTCAATGGTTTCACCAACTCTGTCGCTATCCACATCCAAATGATGATTCTGTCTAAAATCATAACCCACCAACACAATATGATTTCCTGACAATGCACCTGCAGAGGCCATAAAGTCAGGAATCAAATCAGGAATCGCCATCCAGGAACCCACAATATCTTGCTTGGATCCTCGTGCAATAAATCTACCTCCTGGTCTTTCTGGATCGGCAAATCCTCCAAACAAATACATGTAATCATTTGTTTGGACAAGAACAGCGTTACCATAGAAATGAGGCAGTAAACCAAAGGTCATTTCCCATGTGCCAACGTCAACAAGAAGAGCTCTAAAAATGTTCATATCACACTTGAAGACATTTTGACATCCTCCAAATATGTACAAATGAGGCCACACAACTCCAATATGGCCACTATGAAGAGTGGCTGGAAGTAATCGATTATTGTACACAGACCAGTCAGAAATGTTGGACAGTGGTGCCCTCAGAATGGTATTTGTTGCTTTCTCGTTATAGCTTCCGTCGTTCTCATTGTACATTGAAACTATACCACCAAAAATATAAAAATATTCATTCACAATGTAGGTCATACCTCCTGCTACTTTGTAGGGCAGGGTGTAATTGAGTTGCTCCCATGTGGTTTCAACGTCTGCAAAGGATGCTCTATAAATTTTGTCTGAGACATGATCGTTTATAAAACCACCAAAAAAGTAAACATATTCATCAAGCTTGAGGAAATGACTGCTATAGATAGAGACCGGAAAGCCTGAATTTGTTTCTGGGTTATACTCAACCAGCCGCCACGATTTTTCAGTTTCATTTCTATTCTTATAATACATGTTGAAACCGTTTTGAGGTCGCGTTGGTGGCATTCCATCCGCAATAAGAGCATAAATACGATCAGCTGCTTCAAAGTATGGCATCTTTCTTAGCTGCCATGGTATGGTATGCTTGAGATAATTATCAACGACTTGGAATGACGTTGTCAAAGTATTGCCTCTGAAGAAAACGTTTTTCACGTCATTCACACCTGTTCCATGATATTTACCGTCTGAGGTAATAGCAAACGTATGAAAACGACTTGAGGCAATTTCCAACACCTTTCCATCAAAGTTGTAGGTGTGTTTTAAAGGTGTGGTGATTGGATTTTTGTGTCCTAACCCAGCTTCTCCGTTCGAGTTCCATCCCCAAACATACACGTCATTATTTTCACATGTGGCAAAGTTTGTATGCCATCCAGCTGCAATAGTTGATGCATTGCAATATGCAGGGAAAATCAATTTTTGTGGAGTATATCGGGACGTTATTGTACCATCTCCGAGCTGATAGTTCGAGTTGAGTCCCCAAGTTACTACATCGCCGTTCAATAGAAGAGCCACAACGTGTTGATATCCGCATTGAATGTCAATCACTGGAGAGCTTGACAAAGCACCAACGAGTGGAATACGCACAGGTTCAATGGTTTTAGTAGTGGTAGTTGGAATTCCAAGTTGTCCTTGCGAGTTACTGCCAAAAGTGAACAACTCGCCATCTGTAGAAAGAACAGCACCATAGTCATAACCTCCACAAACTCTCAGAGCTTTTTTCCCGTAAAAAGTACCGTTGTAAAACATGGGAAATGGTCTAGCTTTTGCTCCTCCTGTTCGATCTCCTAACTGACCAAAGCTATTGTCTCCCCAGGCCCACACTTTACCGTTCGTATCGATGGCATACGAGGCAGTGTGTCCAGCTGCGATTTGAGAAATATTGTTCCATGCAAAACCCATGACCTTAATTGCCTTTTTAGAGTCGCTAGTTTTGCCGTTTCCAAGCTGACACTTGTCGTTGTCTCCGAAAGAGTATACACCATCATCTGTTAGAACCAACGTGTGTAAAAGATTAGTATGAAACTGTAAAATAGTCCGGTTTTCAAGTCCCTCCACGGGCTGTGTAAAATTAAGATCTGGAGTATCGCTTGATCTTCCAAGATTGAATTGTTGACTGACTCCTGTTGAATAGAGTTTTCCATTAGCAAGCATAAAAACAGCATGATATTGTCCAACAGCAATACGATTTCTAATTCTTCTCACAAGTTGAGAGTTTTGAACAGTTGGGAGGGTGCCTTCGGTTACTGTAAAGTTCAGAGCAGCTGCTAAAGTGGCGTTCATATCTCCCTCCGTGTATTCTTCTGCCGTATAGGCTTTCACTGTGTGATTCTATTTGCCAGAGAGAAAATGAAGGCCGAATGGGAATGTAGACCATATTATAAACATGAGCAAGGAATTTTGTCAATGTATTAATTCCAAATCATAAATTAATTGATAAGATGGAATAAATTACTTACCCTCACATAGTTGGTCACATCCTGGATCAAGTAGTCTGCAGAGTTTTGGACCATAGTAATGATATTATCAGTTTCCAGATAAAGACTCAAGAAATTTTGAAGTTGTGTTTGCTTGGTTTGAAGTAGTGAGTCAAAATCACTCTTAGCTACATGAGATTCCCAAATGTAATTTCCTGCAAACTCTATACAGTTTTTACTGTCAAATAGCTTCTTCTTCTTTCCTGTTGCATCCATATCTGCTTTTTGTTGCACATACATCGTTTTCACATCGAGATAGTTCTTTCTTCTCTGCATTTTGTTTCGTAATTCGTCGATTTTTTCATTTGTTATTTCGTTAGGCACTGATCAGTGAATCAATGATTACATTATGGTAATACAGGTAATAAAAGGAGTGAATATATGCGTGTAAATGATGAGAATGTGCAAAAATCACCAACCAAAAGCAGCACAAAAAAGTCGGATTCATTAAATATGTGGGAGGAACTCTCAGAATGAGAGACAGCCTATTCAGTGAAAATGATACATACCTACGCAGTACACCAAAGCAACCATCAATGAAAAACTAAGGAACAAGCACGACAAAACACACATGGTTATCGTGATGTTAATAAGGCTAGAGCTATTTTTCCTCATCTTTCTTTTATATGATTATTATTATTGTTATTATTATTTGATATTAGGCCAACGATGATGAAAGAAGATTCAATCACCGATTTTTGTTGATGTCGGTTGGCAATTTGATAACTTTGGCCTCAAGTTGTGCTTTTTTTTCTTCTGTAAATGTTAAGCGGTTTACAGCTTGCCGCTTCGCATTTACAGAAAAAAAAGCACGGCAAAAGTTAAGGCTAGGCTCGAATTTGTTGGTGTGAGGTCATTAACAATCATCATCATCGTTGGCCTAATATCGAATAATAATAACAACATTATAATCTCTCTCACCACTATTCAATAATAATAATAATAACATTTAGAGAGAATGAGGAAAAAACGATCATTTTTATACGGTAGTGTGCGGACAACCACATCAACCAAAGCAAGGATAGCAAATACGATGTTATTACTTACATTGATCAGTCTCTCCGTTTGTGTTCTTCTGATGGGTATAGAGCTGTTATCGGCACAACAAACACCAACAGCGTTCACAACGATGATAGAAACCTTTTCAAGACGAGAGCAATACAAACAAGCACTGAATGAAATTGACTCACAACAAATACCTCTCACTCGAAACATGATCGATTATCTCACTACCATTATTAATACTATTACCACGTTTACAACTATTCCTGTGTTCTTGCAGTCTCTTCAGAGTTGGAATATTGATCCATCCCATGTGGACAACATGCTCACCATGAAAAAGAGCCAGCTTCTATACAACACGCAACTCATGGATTATTTGACCAATCTGCGAGCAATGATTTTAAAACAAATGGATATTCAAACAAGTAGCATTAAGCAAATATCGGCAGTAAGTATTTTTCGTTGTTGTGGCATTTTGTGAATGTCCAAACTTGTCCTTCTTTGAAAATTTGATGCGGACCATTTGTTGTTGCTGTTAAATTTCATATTCGACATGTTTGTCTTGAATGTTTGATGTTGGAAATCGGTGTGAATATTGACTGTGCAACAACTAAAAAAGACCCTCTCTCAGCCACAATCGCTCTATCAAAGTTTTACAGAATATTCAGGTGACACCTCAAACTTTGACAATGTTCCCTATACTTTAGCTCAAGATATTGGAATCAAGTCAATCAGTATAACTCCTCCCATTGTTAATTACATCGCAGGCGGCAACTCGCATGTGGCGATTGTGCTGCCCAATGGAAAGCTCTATACCACTGGAGTCTCCAATGAAAATAATTTGGGACGTAGCAACACTTCTCCAGGGTTGGCTTACATCTTTCCGGTTGAGGGAATTCCTTCCAATGCAACCATTCTTCAAGTAGACACAAGATACAGAACCACTCTCGTTCTCACAGATATGGGCTTGTACAGTTTCGGTAAAAATGTAAATTGTCAACTGGGCAATGGAAATTGCGCACCTCAAGTTGGAGCCTCAGTTGTTCGAGGATTTTTGTGGAGGAGAGTTGACAGAATTGCGGCTGGAGCAGAAAGCTCATATGCTATTGATCAAAAAGGAATGTTATGGGCGTGGGGAGGAAATGATGTGGGGCAATTGGGAGATGGCACCATGGAAAACAAAGTTCGACCTGTATCGGTGAATGGAATTTTGAGAGGAAAGAAAGTGAAACAAGTTTGTGCTGGCTCTAAATTTGTTCTAGCCCTCACCAATGACAACATTCTCGTATCATTTGGATCGAATTTAAATGGGCAATTGGGAAATATATTATATTCGTTAAATGCGTCACAACCGGTTCAAGTCGCTCAGACAGGATCTCTTTCTGGAAAGACAATTAAAAAGATTGTGTGTGGAAGCGAGCATGCCATGGTTCTTACAGCTGATAATGAAATTCATGCATGGGGAGACAATGCATATGGTCAATTGGGAATTGGATCAAGAACTGATCAATTCATGCCGATTAAGGTAAACATGTCTTCGTGCACGGTCAAAGATATTTTCACCAAGCACTTTGTTTCGTTTGCATCATGTACCAATAATGCCATATACTCTTGGGGAAGAAATGATTTCATGCAGACCGGGCGAGGTGACGGAACAGATCAATTAGTACCTGGCAGAATACCCTCCATTCAAGCGAGTAGAATTATTGACATAGCTTTCACCGAAACGAGCACGATGTTGTACTTGAGAAGTGGTGATATTCTCTATGTAGGAAGTGATTTAGGCGCTTCTCCATTGTTTAGAACCATCTCCTCAACACTCAATACATTCACGCAAGAAAATTTATACTCATTCATGTATCTTCCATGGCCTCAACGTGTAAATCCTTATTTTGCTTTTGGCTCTAAAGCATACATCATGGCACAGGGTCAACCCACTGTATTTGCAAGACCAGGTCTCGAGTTCGCCTTGTACTCGTCCCCTATCCCTCTCAATACCGACACCATTCAATGGACCCAAGAGATACCACAAATGTGGCAACTAGATCAAGCATCTAGTACTACTGCTTCGCTATTCGGGCCACCATATCCATCTTTATCCTTGAGATTGTTGAGCCCCATTCAACGCTCTATTTACAATACTCACATCTTCAAAAGTGATGAATATGTGTACATGTTTGGAGGCTTTTTAGATCACGAGCTCTCTAATATCATCTATAGATCTCCTTACTATGACATGACGAATGGGTGGGAACTGGTGAACGCCACACTTCCATTCGCTGTGGCCTCAGGAATGACCCTATATGATGACACCTACTTGTACATTATGGGAGGAATTACTAAGATGTATCATTTCAATACAACAACAGACACCGATCCCAGTGAAGCATCAGTAGTATCCAATCGAATCATGAGGGCTCCGTTGAACAATCTTACAAATTGGGAAGAGGTTTTTGATGCTAAAATTCCTGTCTCTCTTCATTCTGCACATGTGTATTACGATTCAATATCAAATATGTATTACATATACGGTGGATTGAACAAATTAAGCTCATATCCTAGCAAACAAATCTATACGGTCAATAGAAATTCAATCCTAACTTGGAACAATGACACTGCCAATACTATTTCTAGATATTATTTATCAACTTCAGTGAAAATGTTGACAACCAGCGACTCCATTTACATGATTGGAACAAGTATTAGAAGTACCAATTTCTATGGACCCTATATTTTGTATGCTTCCAAGTCAACTCCATCCAAGTGGATTGAGGTAGCAGCTCTCTCCATCAAGCTGAACAATATCTGCGCAAATTATACCTATGGATCATGCACAGACTTGGATCAATGTGAATGCTTCGCTCGTCCACTAAATCAGGGACCTTCCGTTAAATGCTTCTCTATTGATGCATCTAACCCTCTTGTGTGTTCAGGAAATGGAGCATGTATTGCGGAAGATACTTGTGACTGTTCTCCAACAATGACTGGACTTAATTGCTCGGTCCCAATATGCTACGGTTATGGCGCAACAGATCCACTTGTTTGTTCAAAAATGGGTTCATGCATTGGCTACAATACTTGCTCATGTAAGGCCAATTATACAGGTGACAATTGTGAGATACCCATTTGTGATGGAATTTTGGCAACTGATGTTGATGTTTGCGGAGGCAATCGGTCTTGTATCGCTGCAAACGTCTGTGGACCCTTCCGCTGTTTTGGAATTACCAATGGAACAATCGTCAATGGTGTTTCCGTCGTGTGTAGCTCTCATGGAAACTGTATTGGACCGGACGTTTGTGATTGTCAAGAAGGGTGGGGAGGTCCAAAATGCGATCAACCAGCGTGCGATTTCTTGATTGGTGCTGATGCATGTAGCGGTAATGGTGTTTGCACAAGACAGACTACTACCAGTGTTTGTGTTTGCAACCAAGGATTCTCTGGCACCAGTTGTAATATCACTATCGATTGGCTGAAATTCTAGAGTCATTTTTTATACAATACAGAAAAGATGAAGCTTGGAGTCAGTTAATGACGATTAGAATCATCCTTTGTGATTGTAATTAAAAAACATCAATTTCACAAAAAATATATTCAATACACTTGTCATTGGCCATCACTCGAGCTAGGATTTGAAAATTTTGGAAGTTGACTTCATCCTTGTTGGTGATTGGTATTTTCATTCAACAATTTTTTGAATATTTATTTGAAGTCTGAGAATCATCACGGAACGTTTGTGTCACATCATCCTTACACACTTGTCAGACTGTGTTCATATATCATCACACCTGAACAAACTTTGCCAAAACCTAAACCGAACACTCAAAATGTCAAAAGCAAGTTGCGACAAGTCCGTTATTGGGGTAGTGATTGGCTCTCTCATTCTTCTCTTTCCATCACTTGCCTATTTGATTGCACAAATTGTTCTCACAGTCAAAAACAATGTTCATTTGGAAGGAAATGATTTGGTTTTTTCAATTCTCACTTACACTGCACTTTCAGTTTTTATTTTAACAGGTGTGATTGGAATTGCATCCATTGTCGATTGTTTTGGATCGAATAATGCAAGCATTTCTCGTAAATATCTCATTGGATGTGCCATTCATTGGTTTATTTGGATTTTACTCTCCATAGGCGCTGTCATTGCCTTAATTGTTGTTTATTCATTACATTTAGAGACAATTTTGCAAACACCTCAACCCAATAATCCTCAACCCAATCCATCGAACGGTGACCAACTCGATGAATATACCAAACAAAAAATTCTTGTTGGTACTTGGATTGGTGTGAGTGGTTTCATTCTATTGTGTTGTTTATTACCCATTTGTTGTTGTGGAGTTTCGAGAATGATTTCAGTTGTGAAATCCACACGTCATACAATGGGTGAACAAGGACAATATTCGAGATTATCAAATGATGATTTGTAAAAAGTTGTTATTACTATATCATTGTATATAAATCATAATCATGGTGGATTCAATCCTAGTGGTTAGTTATATTATTATTGCCAGGTAATAATAGTACATTTGGATGTATTAGATTACAACATGTTAGTGCCAAGTTTCTGTCCTCTCCATTTTGGTACAATCGTACAAAAATGCAAAACTCTACTTTTATGGTAGGTGTTACGAGAATGAGTTGCAAGAGTGCAGTTCATGGCCGTTCTCTAATGAATGCCCCACTAACATGTTGTAATCTAATACATCCAAATGTTTTTCTGTGTGTTCATGTTCAAGCAACTATTATATGTCTAACATTAAAGTCGTATTCAAATCACAGAAGTGATTGGGAGGTGATTGCCATGTTACATGTAACGCTCATGAAATCTCATGCAAGAGGAGGAGAGTTGCAGGAAATGTTCTTCAAAAACACGCCATTCCTCCTAAAATGAGTCGCAGAACCAAGTCCTTGAAATTCCAAGTTTCCGAAATTTGGTCTGACCGCATGCCACAACAACGCCTCTCGAGAGAGAGAGAGAGTACTCTTCGGTCTCAAATGACACATCAACAACCACAACAGAACCTCATCACCCTTCAATTGATCCGGAATTATGCATTTTGCCACAACATTGCTGCTCCTCTCTCCTCTCCTAAGAGTGAGCCGACGCTCTCGTCACTCAGTTAATGCATCATCATCACCTCGAACCATCAAAACAAAAAAAAGCATTCTTTCTGCATTCTGCATTTCTCTCTGAGATTTTGTATCAGCAGGTGTGCTTCTCTTATAAGATCGGACACAAGTAGGCACTAGGTAGGTGTTATCAAAGTGTTTCTGTTTGATTCAAGGTGTCATGCATATGGTTACTTTCATCTGAACAAACATTTTCTCTAATCATCTATATGGTCATCACTTCCATATATCACCTCTCTTGATAATGTGCATTCAAACCAACCAACTCCCCCTCAATATATCGTACGTACTCTTGTGGTGATGAATATACTGCCTTCGATAACCATGATGATTGAAACACGTGCTGTTGTCGCCTCTCTTGGAATCATCTTTAAAATCATTACAATTTGGGTTGCAATGACAAACCCAACAACACACATCATTCATCACACATGAATGCATTCAATGAATGCTTGTTGAAAATTCATTTCTCCTCTCCATAACGATGATGAATGAATGCAATAATGAATCCGAATCAATGATGCCTCATCATTTCCATATGCTTTTATATGATGCAATCGTATCAACAACGATGAAATTTTGTCTTTTCTGAACTTTACAAATGTGCTTCCCTCATCATGAATACCATATTCTCCTTGTGCGTGTTGTTGTTGCTATTGATGTTCTTCTCTCTTCGTCGACCAAATTTGATCGTCGCGAACCATCATGAAACACACGAATGATGATACAACTCTCACTCTCGCCCTGGTGGTCGACCACTACTTAAAAAACGCGAATATTTACTTGGTATATACCTGCACAATTCTGCTTCAATTCATACAATCACCACCATCAACCATTCTCAATCCGATTCTGCTGTTCAATACTACTCCCACGCTGATAATACTACCACCATTATAATTCTACCTTGATATCATCTTGTGCATTCGGCATCTATTCTGCATCCATTCAAACCCCCAATCTCATCTCTACTCGGCAACTATTACTACTACTCGGCTTTACTTGTTGAACACATTATTTGTTCATATATAACAAACATTTATACATACACTTGAACAACAACTACTACTATTCATCCATTGATTGTTTATTGCATTGTACTCGGATTACTTGGTTTTAATATTCACGAATTGCAACAATTTCCAATCTTTCTTTGCAGAGACCGTTCGATTGAACAATTCAATTATTGTGAACACACAAATTGCAATTTCTCATTACAATAAGCCTTTCTTTGCATACCCAAGAATTTAATCAGCACATCATTCCATCATCACCACATGACCAACAAATCTTCCTCCTCCTCCTCTCGCGATCGTATGTGTGTGGTATGTTCCCGAACTCATCCACCTACCATCTTCAGTTGTCGATACAAAGTGCATCCCAAGAATGTGGATGTCTTGTGCAGCTTCTTTGAGAGAGAATTGGCACAAGGAGAGTTGTGTGATCGATGCTACAGACTTTGGTACAAACATCGAAAACAACAAGAAGGAGGAAGTGAAAAGGCAAATGGCTCCTCTTCCAAGAGAAGAAGAAAAGCATCAAATTCAGCCTCCTCCTCAAAGAAGAGAAAGAAATCAACCCGAAATGCAACTAAAAAGAATGTGAATGCAGTGGCAATTGCTGCTGCTGAGGATGAAGATAGTCTCGAAGAGGAAGAAGATGAAGATAGTCTCGAAGAACAGGTCAAAGACGAAGATGGTATTAATGACGAGTACGATGAGGATGAAACCTCTCCAGCATCAAGCACTGCTGCTGCAGGAAAGACTTCCAAACAGCAACATGCAAGCGATGACGATGACGAGGATGACTATGGCGATTCGAATGCATCATCTTCCAACGAAGACACCCAAGTGAAACCTGAAAGAGATTCTGGCTCCTCGTCTCCCATGAGATTGCCACTCAAGAAACGAGCAAAAGGTGGTAACGGTGAGAGTTCCCATTCCTCTTCTTCCACAACTCTATCTTTGCCACACTTGGAATTGAGCGGAACCAGTAAAGTAAGCTCAGCAGCTATCGAAGAGAATTTATATGGCTATGCCTCCTCTGCGAGTAGCAGTGGTGGCAGCTCATCAAATGCCATGTCTCTACAGAGACGTCACAACATGAAACGAGGAACAAGTAAGGAATTGGAAGAAACCTCTCGTGGCACTGTAGCGAGTAATGGTGACGATGAAGAAGAAAAAGATGCAGCTCACGACGGCTTCAAATCTACTTCATCGTTGAAAAAGAGAAACAAAACGTCTTCAGTGGCAAAAACTGATCTCAACGACGACATGGAAGATGATGACGATACTGCAGCTGGCAACCAACATTCAAACCTCACCTCCTACCCTTATGTTCTCCATTCTATAATCTCTTCAAATCATAATGGTGCCACAACGAACGATCATTCGTCTCTGACAAATCCTTTCTCAGAAACTCATGCTACGAATCATCATACTCGCTCACAAAAATCAGGAGTCAATCCTTCGAACAGTCTCGTTCAACGACTGGAAGCTCTTTCAGCACTCTCTAGAGATGTCAGAAAATCGAAACGAAAAAGACTTTTACCCATGAAAAGTCCTGCTCGATCGAAACCTGAGGATGTCGTGAATTTATTTAAGGGAAATGATCCACTCTATCTGCAACATGCATTTTCGAAATCTTCATTCAATTCTGCAGCTGCTTTTACGACCTGTAGTGGTTCCACCTCCTTGTAAGATTCCCTTAATGTATTACAATAGACCTGAGTATCATACGTACATATGATCAGCAGACATGAAAAGATTTTGCTCAACTCCCTATTATCTATTTCAAACTCCTTATTGCTTGTAAACAATATGACAATTTTCACAATGTGACAATGAGAAGAAGTGTTGCCAATAATTAAACTTCTCAATCGATTTCAAATAAATACTTTAAAATTAACACTCAGATGGTACTACATTATTGCGATGTTGCAATGGCTCCTCTTGTGCTGCTGACCTTCATCATCACTCTTGGTTGTATGCAGCAGCAGATTGCGGAAGTCGTTCCGAGAATTTAATAGTTTTAAAAAAAAATAATTCAACACCAGAAACTTCTTCGTCATCACTATGAGTGGCTTGCAATTACTGAATCCAAACGCAGACTCTGCCAACATTTCAGAGGCCCGTCTGATAAACATTGCCGCAGCGGGTTCGATTCAAAATCTCTTGAAGACTAATATTGGACCAAGAGGTACTCTCAAAATGTATGTTTGAATTTTCTTTATCATTCGAGTAGTAGTATTAGAAAAAGGAGACTCTAAAATTCTTGTTTTGTATATCCTATTGCTGCTGTTGTATACAACAAATGATGAAAACCATCAAATGTCCTTGAACCCTTCGCTATGTGTGTTGTATTGTACCGATTTTTATGTTTGATACAACATCATCATTCCGATATCAAAAATTCAATATTATAACAACAACACCCAATGATAGGTTGGTGAGTGGTGCCGGTGATCTCAGAATTACAAAGGATGGTAGTATTCTTCTCAACGAAATGGTATGTATTTGATTGAATCTACTTTCTTTGATACCAATTGGCCTTGTTTGCAAACATGGTGTTGAAATCTATCATTTGACAAATGGAAAACACCTGAAACATTCCATGAACCGTCATCTTTGGGCTCTGTCATCCATTCATCAATCTTGTCTATATGATTTGAAACAACGAAATTACTTTGTCATCCAATGTCCCCTCAAATTTCGTTGGTGTGAATACCCATATATGCTCGGAAATCGATTCCAATGTTAACTGAAAACCCATCCATGATCATCACCATCATCACTATTAATTTTGACTCTTCTATCATCAAAAAATACATCATCATTATGGTTGACCAAACATGTACTACCTCTTTCACATAATCGTTGTATTTGTTATTGACAACATTTTATCTTCAATGATTGAACAACAAACAACTTAACAGCAAATTCAACATCCAACAGCAGCTCTCATTGCCCGTACAGCCACAGCCCAAGACGATATTACTGGAGACGGAACAACAACGACAGTTTTACTCATTGGTGAAATGTTACAACAAGCAAACAGATATTTGCTTGAAGGTTTGCATCCTTCATTACTTATTGAAGGCTTCTATTTGGCAAAGGCCGAGAGTAGAAAATTCCTCGACAGTTACAAGGAACAAATGAAACAAAGAATTAAGGTTGATCGTGAGGTTTTGGTCAGTGTTGCCAGAACAGCTCTCCAAACCAAGTTATATCCTGAACTTGCAAATAAGATGGCCGACATTATTGTTGATGCTGTCAAGTGCATCCAAATTGAGAATCAACCTATTGACTTGTTCATGGTTGAACTCATGCACATGCAACACAAGATGGACGTGGAAACAAGATATGTCAATGGATTGGTATTGGATCACGGTGCTCGTCATCCAGACATGAAACGTGAGGCCAAAAATTGTTTCATCTTAACTTGCAATGTTGGCTTGGAATATGAAAAGTCTGAAGTGCATTCTTCGTTCCAACTTAACAGTGCTGAAAAGAGAAAACAACTTGTTGACGCAGAAAGAAAAGTTGTGGATGAACGTGTTCAAAAAATTATTGATTTGAAGCATCAAGTTTGTGGTGATGACCCATCGAAGAATTTTGTTGTCATTAACCAAAAGGGTATTGATCCAATTTCTCTTGAAATGTTTGCCAAGGCTGGTATTGTTGCTTTGAGAAGAGCCAAAAGAAGAAACATGGAACGTTTGACATTGGCTTGTGGAGGTGTGGCTGTTAATAGTGTTGAAGAATTGACACCAGAAACTTTAGGTTATGCCGATCTTGTTTATGAACAAGTGATTGGTGAAGAAAAGTATACAATTATTGAAGGATGCAAGAATCCACACAGTTGTACTATTTTGTTAAAGGGACCAAATAAGCACAGTATTGCTCAAGTGAAGGATGCTGTGAGAGATGGATTGAGAGCTGTCAAGAATGCCATTGAGGACGGTGTTGTTATTCCAGGTGCAGGTGCTTTTGAAATTGCTCTCCATGATCATTTAATGAAGTATGCAGAGACTGTGGAAGGAAGAACTAAGCTAGGAGTTAAATGTTTTGCTGAGGCTCTTTTGGTCATTCCAAAGGCACTCGCTCAAAACTCTGGATTCGACACACAAGACGTTCTTATTAAGCTTCAAGAAAAGCATCAAAAGGGACAAGTTGCAGGTTTAGAGATTTATTCTGGTGACGCCATTGATCCAATTCAAGCTGGTATTTTCGATAATTATATTGTAAAGCAACAAACACTAGAGGCTGCTACCTTTACTGCCACTCAATTGCTTTATGTTGATGAAATCCTGAAGGCTGGAAGAGCTCAAAAGCCAAAGACTGAAGAGCAAGACATGGAAGACTTTGAATAAATTAGTACATTCTTTATTTAATAATTAACAGGTGAGTGTTCACTCAATCCACGTCCATGACAATATCATACCAAAAATGTGTGGTGGTTCAACTTGTTCTCATTTGGCGACTAAAAGCAGAACCGTCACTTGGAACAAATGGCATTCATTTCTCTCACATATTCATCAATTTGAGCAAGAATAATTTGTTTTTGTTCCCTATTCATTGCTCCATTTTGCTCCATTTCCTCTATGAAGAGTAACCTATCGTTAATTTCTTCCTCAACTATACATGTGCATGAAAAAATCACATCTTTGACACTCTCGTTATGACATCCACTTACTTTCTTCCATTCTACTTTTTTGAGGAGGGGCTTGCTTGGCAGGTGTCACCACTTGTTTATCAATTCTTCCTTTAATGACTACTGTGGGTGTTTTTTGTTTTCCTCCGAATTCATTATAGGTGGCAAGTAAATTCTTTTCTCTCTCTCTGTCAACTAGTGTCGGGTCGTTCCGTAACCACCGTTACCAATTTAAATTATTTTTTTTAACAATACAGTTCATGTTGAAATATGTTTTTTATGAATCAGAGGGATGAACTTACCCGTTGGTGAGGGCCTAAAAACTTCTCTTTTAAAAAGTGACTCCTCAAATGATTTTTTCTTTGTTGTAAACTTTCCCTTATTTGCATCTGGAAATAAATCCACTCGTTCTTGTTTATATCTCAAAACGGAATCATCCATGGCATGTTTTTTTGATAAAGCAATTCCAGAACTCGGTAAAGATGATTTGTTTTTAAAAGATGAGAGAACTTCCTTCTTTTGAAAATGACTCAGCTTGGATTCCGATAGCATACTCTCAATCAGAGCTTCCGTGTTGTATTTCTTTTGCAATTCTCGAGAGGTTGCAGTGGATTTTAGTGGTTGTTTTTGCATTTTTTGAAAATTGGGAAATTTGAAAAAGCGCCAAAATCTACCGTTTCGGATTCTTAATCAAATAAAAAAAAATACATAGCTTCTTTCAGCAGAGCCTTATCATCGCCTCGAGAAGCATTTGATCCAATACTGCACGAACAATGATGCACGCTTCATGTACAGAGTCATTTTCAGTAAAATCCATCTTAGAGGAGAATGAGAAGTTGAGGAATGAGAATTTCTCATTGAGAATGCAAATCTTTCATCTCTCATCCTCTTCACAGGGTCATCTCTTACCTTTGGATTCAATGATGAGTGCAATCGGAAATCACCTCAATACGACAGAAACAATTAGTAGTTCCCTCTCCCGACAAGAGGAAAACAATAAACAACTCATTGAAATTATCAACAATTTAAAACGAGAATTGGAATTGCTGAACGAGCAACATCAAGCAAGCAAAAGTGAAATGCATATTTTGAAAAAGGAAAACGAACGTTTGCGAAAAGAAATCAAAGCACTAAAACTGGAGAGCATACAAAACAAATTTGTGAAAGAACGAAATGAAATTGACCGAGTTCTGTGATCGTTCTGATAAACTGTAAATTGAATGTGCAACGAATTCCTCGATCAGAGACATCAATTTGGGCAAGTTTGAAAGGATTTGTCACAATGATCTGATTATTAATATACATACACAAATATCCGTATGATTATGACCTTTTCATAATCTATCAACATTCAGTTCTCATTCCTTGTTGGCCCTCGATTGAAACACCCGAGCGAGTTCATTAGTGGAGTCTCCATCTTGTGGAACGTGTTTAACAGCTGGCTTAAAAATGGCTTTTCTTCTTGCAATCTTTGGTGCAACAATCGAAATTTGTTCATTGGTCACAAGTGCTTTTTTCAATTTTTCAAGCTCTTCTTGCATTTCTTGCTTTTTTTGTTTTTGTTTTTCTCGTACTTGATGTTTTAAGCCTTTTTGAGAGCGGGACATGTCGAGCTCTTTTTGAAGCTCCAAAATTCTCGAGTTTTGAAGTTCAATCTTTTTGTTAGCTGCTTGGAGTTTGGATCTTTCGCTTTGAATTTGCTGCCGCGACTGTAAGCTTTCCTTCTCGAATTTGTCTTTGAGAGCTTGAACCTTTTCTAACTTGCTTTTCATTTCGAAAAAGTCATTAGCCCAATTCTTTCCGACCTTTTGCTTCCATGATATTTCTGAGTCCGATGAACCATGCTTGCTAGATTTGTCCAAAGAAGTTTGAAGTTCTGATATTTGTTGCTTTAGAGCCTCTTTCTGAATGGTGAGTTGTTCTAAATCCTTGTCCTTTGACTTGATACTCTCTTCGTAGTCTGCCTTAATCTTTTCATGAAAATCATCCTTGTCTTCCAATAGTTTTTCCAAAGCTTTTAACTCCTTTTCGAGCAACTTGATTTTGTCCTAACGTAATTAACACATGTTTTAATGGACACAGAGTGACAAAGACCACCAAAAAATCATGAATATTCAAAACATGCAAAAATTAAAAGGTATGGCACAACTTTCATCTCGTTTGATGAAACAACATTATATGACTTACCTTATTTTTGTCTGATTTTTCTTCCAGGTCAAGAAAATCTGCCTCCATGTTGTCAAACTTCTCCTTCTCTTCCTCTAGTTCGTCCTCTAAACGATCTAGTTTTCGATTGTAGTCCTTTTCCAACGTTTTAATGTTCTTTCTTTCCTCATTTGCTTCAATTTTATACTTTTCAATAAGACGATCTTTCTTGGATTCCACAGCTGCAAATTGGTCTCTCAGTTTCTTTATCTTGCCAGAATACTCATCTAAAATAAAATCTTCAAGATCTTCATCGAGAAGGTCTGAATTCTCAGCCTTCTTCAACTGGGTTTTAAGAATCATAATTTCTTCATCGTTTGAACGAATTTCCTTCTCGAGTTTTGCAATCTTGTCTTTGAGGTCTTCTATGGTATCTTCAAAAGTTTCTACCTCTCCAATGCATTTGTTGAGCTCCATTTCTAAATCGACACATTCTTCGTCGAGTTCTTCAACCTCCTTTTCAAATTTTCGTAGTTTTTTGGAGAGTTGTTTGTTTTCCTTTTCGAGTCTTGAAATTTCTCGGGAATTAAATTCTTCTTGTGTATCCATCTCAGCCTCCAGAGCAGCAAATTTTCTCTGGGATTCCTCCAACTTTTCCTCCAAGTCAAAAATCCTTTCATTGAGTTTGGCATTCATGGAACGGTACATCTTGTTACTTTCTGTTAACTTGTCGAAACCAAACATGACTTTTGCCCTCGCTTCTGACTCGGAAATATTTTGAGCAATTTCTTGAAGATGAGCAATGTTGAGCTTGGCCTCTTCTTTCACATTCTCAAGCTCTTTGAGAAGCTCGTTTCGCTTCTTTTCTTCCTCAATGAGCTGTTCTCGCAACGATTTAATTTCCAACTCGAGTTCATTGGACTTGTATTGATATTGGCTTTGTAAATCCTCTTGCTTCTTGTTAAAGGATTCCGCTAATTCTTTGGCGTTATCGAGTTCTTCTTGCAACTTTGAGCTTGCCTCCTTTTGTTTCTTCATATTGCTTTTGAGGTTAGCCAGCTCTTTTTCGAGATGTGAATTCTCATTTTTTAAATTGTGCAATTCTGATTGATGTTTTTCTTTCAATTCCTCAATAAACAATTCCAATTCAACAATTTTTTGAGGAGAGAGCTTTGCCTGATTGTTTTGGGTGTCTGTGTTCGAACTCATCAATTCGCTGCACTGCTTAGCTAATTTGGTGACCATCGCCTGTAATTCCCAAGCACTTTTTAGAGTATTGGTATGAATTGATCCTGAAACACGAGTCTTGAATAAAATTCCAAATGAAAGAGTTGACAGAGTCTCTTCGCCGCTCTGTGGAGATGAAGAGCAAGTACAAATAAGAGTAGTCTTTGCATTTCCTCCAAATGATTCTCGCACTAGTTGGATGAGAGTGCTTTTCATTGCATGCTCCAAACCAACCTGTTGCTCTCTGCTTTCATTTGGCTGTTGTTGCTGTTTGCCGAGAGTTCGTACAAAAGATTGCAATGATGATAATGAGGAGAGAGTAGAATCATCACAACCTGTTTCCTTTTCGCTTCCAGGAGCAACTTCAACACAATTCAATAACGAGTGCCACGATTCTTCAGTATCCATGTCTGTTGCGACAACTTTGATGGATATCACAGTGTGGCATTTCATAGCGTCTGCATTCATTTTCACTCTGAATACCTGTTGAATTTTTGTTCCGAATCGTAATAATTCCATAAATTCATCGTAGGATCCAACACAAATTTCAGAAAGATGTTGAACGATTAGACCTTTGAAGGGAGAGTTGAACAGGTGCCTCTCTAAATGATCTGGCTCTAACAGGTCATAGATTTTCTCTTCATGCGCTTCCATCATGGAAAGTGAAACTTTATACTCTTTTCTATTGATGTTAGTCTTTTCGTTGCTACTCTCTTCCTCGATACTTTCAAACAGATCCATTCCGATCCGTGGAAGTAGACCATATTCATGTTCTTTTTTTTCCAATGAACCTCCAATCAAACAATAGGTTTTTCCTGAATCCTTCCCACCATACACCATCACATTATGATTCATTCCCGATAATAGATCCTTGATCAATGAAGGACCTATGGATGCCTGATACATGGTTTCCTGTGAGGCATCACCCTTAACTACTCTATCAAACTCCATCTTGTTGGTGGTTGGAAGAGGCTCATCATCTTTCGGTTCGCTCTTTTTTGGTTGTTGAACAACCTTAATTCCATTATTTCCTTCAAACACAAACCAATCATTGAGGTTGGCAGAGGAAGAAGATCTTTCTCTCGATGAGGACGACGATGAGGACGATGATGAGGAAGGTGGCTTGAACCGAACGACCACTTTGGCACGATGTGGCTGTGGTTGGGAATTGGACATTTTTTTCGCTGCCTTAATAATCATCTGCTGTGTGATGACAGGTTACCTGCAGCAGATCCACAGTACAACAAACTCCAAAATGTCCTTCAAGGTTCAGCACAACAAAATGTCCTTCATCACAATATTGATACTTGATAAAGAATGTTTCATTCAGTGTGTACACACTTCAAGACTATTGTATCATTACACTATCGAATCAATGATGACTACAGAATCATGACAAATAAGGTTGACACACCTCCTCACACAATCGAGCAAATTCCTCTCTAAGAACCTTATTTCCAGCAACTGGTCTTGGCTCAGTAACACGACAATCATCATAATAGGCTCCACTTTTACCTTGCACATCAGGTGAGCAAGCCAAGTGAAGAGTGTTTTGGGAACCTTGTTTCACATTCTTGAAGAAGAGTAATTGCATGAGTCCAAGAATGATGGTCATGTAGAAAGGAGCCTCTCGAACCAATCCTGAACAAGCATGTGTGTGACACGACATGGACATTATGGAACAATTATTTTTGTAGGTTGCCAGAAATGAAGGATATTATTCACCAATAATAATGATCAAAGAGGGTGAAACATTTCAAAAATATTCCAAATATATAAAATATATTAAATAAATATATTATCCAATCGGTTTCCATCAATACTCAATCTCATTCCATTTTGAAAGAATAACATACCTGATCGAATGGCTCCTGGATGGCAACAATTAATGGTAATCTTACAATTAGGATTATTCTTAATTCTCTGCTCATGAATATTAAACACTTGATAAATATTACACAATTTTGTGAGTCCATATTGTTTGTTTACATCAATGTACTCAATACTCGAAAACTTGGTCACTGGTTTCTTCACATGATTCAACAAGGAATAAGTTTTTGTTTGTTCATTCCAAAAATCGCGATCACTCACAAACATGTGAGCCATCGATGCCACAATTACAATTCGTGATCCACGTGGATTTTTCTCCATATTTTGCCACAGCAATTCAATCAACAAGTGATGACCCAACACATTAGCTTGCATCATTTCTTCGTATCCTTGTTTTGTGTAACGAATGCTATTTGTGACGCAACCAGCATTATTAATTAAACAATCGAGAGTGTCACCTGTTTTGAGAAATTCTTTTGCACACTCCCGAACACTCTCGAGATCATTCAAATCTAAATGTAAAAAGTGAAGAGAGCCAACACCACTCAGAGATTGATCCTTTTGGACCTTCTCTCGAATGGTACGAATCATTTCGAGAGCTTTCTCTTCAGATCGACATGCGAGATAGACTTTTCCACCTTGTCGGTATAACACTTGTGCCGTATAACTGTTTCATTCAACATCCATTGATCAATGATTGGATGTAGATTAATTGGTAGATCCAGTGATCAATGTGTATTGGGAGAGAAGGAGATTGTTCCGTAGTCATCATCAATGTTCACATCGGAATGGGATGAGGGTTCAACGAAATAAAGTGGACATTCAATGATTCATTCAACACAATTACAAATCACGCATACCAGTTTATGAACACATATGCACACACACATTGAACAACATCATACCTTCCAATACCACTGGTTGCCCCAGTCACAATAAATATTTTTCCATTCAAATTTTGTTCTTCACCATTCGTACTGACTCCATTGATCACAAAATACCGAAGAGAAGCATACGAAGCCACTAATAGGGCACTCGCAGCACAAAGATAAGGATGTTGAGAGAGGACAGAACATAGAAAAGATGGAAATAACATTTTTTTTGCAAAACTCTTTTTTGTCTTCTGTTTCATAGTGGATGGATCGGAATCACTTTGTCATGATGAACATGTTGGCAACTACATTCAGTATTGGCATGAAGAGATGTTCTTTGAAAAGTCTTTTTCAGTACCCACTCACTGATACAATCGATTTTCCCAAAGATGACAATTCATGTGCATGATGTCTTGTCATGAAATATTACTGTCAACATTCACACCATTTGGAAATGAGACAGGATAAGAACAAGGTTTCCAAAAACACCTCTGTCAAGCACACTTCAGTATCCAGAAATTCCCCTCAAGAAACAAACACCTCGGCTCAGAGTGTGATCATTGAATCTCATTAACCACCACAAATCTTTTTCTTCGGTGCATCAACTTCACTATCAACAACTTCTGCAGATCCCCGCAGAAGAGACTCTTGATCATCAACAAAATCAGTTGATGTTCAACATCAAGTCGTTGATCCGCATCTGACACTGAGAAACTTCCACCTCCTCAGCATCAGCACGAAATGAAATCTTTGAAATGTTGTTTTGGTAGTGATGGTTTCGGAAGTCATCATCATCATCAATTACACAAGGATGAAGAGAGGAAGAAGAATTCTGAACTAGTAGTAGAAGTATCATTATCACTCGTCGTTTCTGAGAATGATCAAGCTTCTAATACGGACCTCATTCACGACTCATCAATGAGGTTGATTGCAACAAACCAATCCTTCCATGACTATGATTCAAAGAACAACAACAACAACAACAACAACAAACTCATTCATAATACGGCGACGATGAAGAAGACGACCACTGCTATTCTATTTAGAAGATCAACAACAACAACAACAACTAATTTCTTCATTGATTCTCATCCATTCTGTCATTCTCTTACAACAACAACCTCTGAACCACTACCACCACCACCACCACTACCACTAACAACGACCATAACACACTCATCTTCACCACCATTCAAGAAAGACTCATCACCTAAATTCATCATGATTGAACCACTCCACCAACGTCTGGTCGATACACTCTTCATGAGGACCACTCCACCAACGTCTGGTCGATACACGATCAACGAAAGAAAGAGTATCAACATCCTCACAAGGAAGAATGAGAAAGGAAGATTTGAATTGTTCTTCATCGCAATAATAATGTTCATCCTTTTGGTGTTTCAGTTGATGATGATGACCCAAATTTGTCACAACTTCCAAACCAACCCTTGTTCCTTCTTGACAAGAGGCGTCTCTTCTTTTGTGGTAGTGGAGGCCTTTCCACAGCTAAACACACACACCCTCAACACCTTGTTCCTTCATGAGGAAGCCACTAAGAAAACATGCAATCCCAACGAAATTTCGGTGGCGAATGGAGCAGCATGTATTCCCTCTTTGAAATCTGCAAAAATTCGATTAACGATCTCTTCAAACACCATTCTCTTAGATCACTCTGGCACATCACTCACATCATCAGCCACCACTGTAACTGCCAATATTATGGATCCAAAGTTCAATAACTTCTATGCTGGGAATGAATCAAGATTGTTGTATCGATTCAATGTGACAATTGTCAAACCAGCCAATCTTACTCATGTCTCTTCATTCACACAGAATAGCACCATTTACAACTTACCCACTGACTTGCCATTGGGTGTCTATACTGTTTCATTTGAAGTCATTGATTCTTTATATAATGTTGTCAATGGATTTCTCATCCAAGATGAATGGGTGAATGTCATTTCCGTAGATGATATTGCAAATAATCCAAAAGGAAGAATTGGAAACATGTCACCGAGTGAGATTCATAAAGTAACTCTCGATTTGAATTCCATTCCAAACTCAAAGAAGGAACAAGTTATTGATGCCATTGCAGAGACGTTACAAAATTTGGCAACCCTTTCAGCAAATGATGGCCTGCAAATGGTCAAGAGTTTGCAACTTGTCACAAATGCGTCAAATGCCAATTACGTATCAAAAGACTCTAGAAATAGAATTGCAGAAACCATCTCACGATATTCAACTTCCTTAGTGACGTTTGTGAATGACAGTTCCATAGTTTCCTCACAAACATTTCTACCTCTCGTCACTGATCTTATTTCAGTGGCTTCAAATATTGTCAATCTTGTCAAACTTTTCAAGAATGATCCTTCCAAGAAAGAATCTCTTGTGGCAGTTCAAAATTCTGTCTCTCTGATTGCTCTATTGAATGATCCTTCGAATATTGTGAAAATTGAAAGTGAGAATTATTTCGTGATGGTTTTGGATGCCAATCATCCATCTTTAAAAGATTCATCCTCTCCAACTTTAATCATGAATGAAAGTTCCAATTATACCTTAACCTTACCTTTAACTCCATTGATATCGAAAAATATGGGAAATGTTTCGTTTGGATTAATCAAGTATGAAAATGATCTAGTGGCTTCATGGAGAGATGTCCTCTCTATTAATGAAAACCACAGTGACAATAACTCTGATGGAAATTTCAAGTCAATCACCTATGCTGCCTCTCCTATTGTGCAATTTCGACCTCTTCTCAATGGATACTATTATCCAGTGAATGGCCTCACTCAAAGATTTAATTTAACATTTCATGTCAATGACTTGTTATTCATGAATCAAACAGAACTTGATTCCTTCTTAAATATGGAGGATACTACAATAAGGAGGAATATTACAAAACGTTACAAGTGTTATTATTGGAATGAAACATTGTCACAATGGCTCTCTAATGGATGTGAAACGTATCCAACCAATGTCGAAAATCAAATCATTTGTTCATGCGATCATACCACACGATTCTCTGCATTTGTGGAATTCTCATTACAGAACTCACAATTCAATGATTGGAATGAGATTGCCATCACCACCATTGTGATCGATTCCTTATTTCTTATTGTCATTTCCTTACTTGTCATTTTACTCATTGTCAAACGAAAGAGTCAACCCGTGAAAAGTCGATATATCACACCCTACTTGGCTCTTAGTGCCTTATTTGTGGAAAGCTTGATGAGTGGAGTACTTTCTAAATCACTTTTATTGAGATACTATCAGGACAATCCATCCTCTATGGTCATTTCAATAAGTAATCATATTAGTAGCATGATTTCAACTTCACTCTATGCGACAGCCGTGTGGTGTTACATGATCATGTCTTTTCGATATTTAATTCATCGATATTTCTATGAATGGATGATGAAAGCATTCGAATATAACAAGAAGGATTCTCTGATCAAGTACTTGTGCATTCTGAAGAGACAGTCTCTACTTGTCATTTCAAGCTTGTTGTTTGGATTGTGCATTGCTTTCTATTTTTCCATTTTTGTCATTTTGAGAGGTGTCAAGGTTTTTAGTGACACTCAATTCACACAAGCCACTTCGATATCACTGTTTGTGATCATGCTCATCATGACATGTCTCATTATTGCAATCTATGTAGCTGATATTTATTTGGATTTTACAAACAAACAAATACGAGACGAGTTGGTAGATATTTCTGAAGAAATGATTCAAATTGAAAAGGAACAACAATTACAACAACAACAAACAAATCTTATTCAAGTCAACTTCTCTCAATGCTTCTCCTCCTCTCAATTATCCTCTCAATGCTTCTCCACTCAAATAGACAAATCCAAGACGACTGGTAAAAATTCTCTGGTGAACTTGCTGTTTTCCAGAATACGACGTCAACCACCACCACTCGCTCTCAAAAAAGTCATTGAATTGTTTTCAGTGAATGACAAACTCATGTTTCGAGCAGAAGTTATTTTTTTCCTTTTGGGAATGTTTTGTTTTATTGTTTCGTATGGAATTGGATTCTCTACGATTGATTTAAGATTTTCACAAACGTTAAATGATTCCAATGATATTTATTATCATTCGAAATTAACATCTCTTTTGGATGGAATTGGATTTCTTTTTGAAGTGTTCATGACTTGGTTCTTTATTGCTGCATTTGGAGGTTTTGCATGGCTGTGGTCTTTGATCATTCAAATTCGTCAATGGAAATACAAACAACAAACCATGAATTCCTCAACATATGGGCAGAACAACGTCTTGACAAGAGAAGAAATTAATCTTCTCTCCGAAAAGTATGAAATTTACAAACTCTTGAAAAATCAATATTTACTTACCATTTTTAGACAATATTGCAAACTTGAAATGTCATTGGAAAATTACATCATTTGGATGAAAATTGAAAATACTCGAAAGAATTTTGGAGATTTGTGGCAAGATCCTGAAACCACTCCTCCTCACATGACCATTGCAACCACTCAACAAGAAGTGACAAGTACCATCACAACTAGCACTAGTTCTACTGCATCGAATTCTTCTGAAACATTGAAGGCAACAACTGAAACAACCCTTAATGATGCACAAGAAAAAGAATTCATTCACCTCTCTCTTCATGATTTTGAACGTTGGAAACAACTTATTTCAGAATTAACTCAATGGTATCATGTTCACATTCAAGATCATGCAGAAATGGGAATCAACTTGAGTGGAGGAGCAAAAAGAAAATTTGTTGGAATTTTGCAATTGTTGGAAACTTCATTCCACACGGTCACACCGACGGCGACGATGATGACTAGTGAAAGGATGCTTTTTGAAAAAAAGACATTTTTAGCATTGAAAGAAGATTTAGCAAGTGCTTTGGAGAGTGTCATGAGTGATGTCATTTACAACTTGTTGGACACGTATGCGAGATTTAATGTCTCTGAGGAATATAAAGTGGTGAAGGAAATTGCGACACAAAAGGAACGAATTTCACTTGAAATTTTCAAATAAAAGAGTATTTGACAAGAGAAATAAAGTTCAGTTATATGGCCATCGGAACAAGAATATAAACAGTTTCTTATAATTCCTAGATCCCTTGAACAGAATTGAGCAACCACATCCATTGTTTCAAACTAGTCTTTAAGAGCTAGCTTTTAATCGATAGGAACTTGTTCACCAACACATCTGACAGCTGTCAACTACAAAAAAAATATTGTTCGACGAATCACACACACACTCACATTCATACACTCCTCTCTTCAATACCACTGAATCATCCAAATCATCATCACCCTCTAAACAACAACAATCCTCATCATGGGACAAACACCTCCGTCGTCCTCTCTCCTCCCAACCACTACCAACAAGAATAACCAGTTGACATCATCTCCTGCCACTCATCATCCCATTGAACTACAAGAAACAACAACAAGAAATCCCCTTTCGAACAATCATGTGGGTGGTGGTGTTACAGGAGCGACTTTGATCACATCAACCATCAACTCCATGTCTTCGGGAGGTGCCACACAATCTGCAACCAATCCACAACTTTCTCAACAACAACCTGTTTCGAATTATTTAAATAATGTTTCTCTTTTTAATGCAAATCCGAATTTGGGATATGCCAATACTCCAACATCGGATCCATTTCGATTAATTATTAAACAATTTGCTGACATGTTGAGACCATCGTCATCAATGGTTTCCACACAAGAAGGTTTTACAAGTGTGGCATTAAAATTGGATGAAATTGCAAAAATTCATGAAGACATTGTCACAAATTATAAGAAATATTTAAGTTTGTTGGAATTTTCTGGCGAACAAGAAAAGGGAAATGTTTTATTTGGATCAAGTTCGGCGAGTTTTGCTGATGAAGATGGATTTTCCAATGAAGCTTTTGAAAATATTGTGAATGGAATTAAAAATCATGTGACATGGGCAAAAGAATCCATCGAGAGTTTGATCGCAGCCTCTGAAAACTTCGAGAGAAAAAGTTTGAAAGGATATCAAACTCGTTCGCAGTCATCTTCCATGTCTGGTGCTGTTCCGTTGTCGTCTGCTGTCAATGTCACCATTGATTGGTCTACGATTGCTAACAAGAAGGTAAGTGAGTGTGTTGTGACAACATTTTGAGGAGAAGATGAATGATAATTGCACGATCAACTATTATGCTCACATAATTTCCATATCGGAATTCTTAAATCACCGAAATCCACTCGAAAATTATGTTTCCTCGTGTTCTCCCTTTAAAATCATGTTTCATTTCCAAAACGAATATCTTCTCCAAATCCACTCGAAAATCATGTGAAACTCAATTCACAGAAATATTTTGCCATTAGAGATGAAATTGAAATTTTATTGACTTTCCATCTCGAAGAAATTCGTGGCTACAGAGATATTGTTGAAAAATTGAAACAATCAGAATCGAAAGGAGAAATTGTTGAAGTGAGTGTCATTAGCATTCTGTTGCCAGATGAATTCGGAGCTGGTTTTTGGAAAAACAAATGTGGAGAGAACGTCTTTTCCATGAAGAAGAATGACTTTCTTGATATTATTGATTTATTCTTTCAACAGTTGAAAGATCGTGTGAAAAAGATTTGGGTAGATGACTTTTCTTACATCATTGATCCAACATGTGACAATGTCGTTTCAATCGTGGATTTTAAACACGTACTGCAATGGTTTGGACCTTTTGGAACCAACTTTTTTGTGCCTATTGACAATTTTCTGAATATGAAACATTTTTGGGGAAGTATTTCTGCAATGGAAGCCCAAATGCTTCTCGATTCGGCAGACCCAGGTTCATTCTTGATTCGATTTTCAGGAACAGAAGCTGGAAGTTTTGCCATCTCTGTCATTGAACAAGAAAGTAATGATAATTTGAGTGTAGGAGATGAAGCGACACACTACAAACAAACTTTACATTTTCAATTGTCACGAAAAAGAGACGACTCTAAGATGTATTTCATTTTGTGTGAATCAGACATGGATCATAAATTTGAAACTGTGGATTCTCTCCTCAAACATTATCGATTGACCTTCAAATATCCATTTGTGAATGACTCACTCAAATTGAAAGCTATTGAACCAGAAGAAGAGACTGACTTTTTCGGATTTATCAAATCGAATCCACAGTTGAATCGAATCGATGCTGCCGAGGATGACACGAATTTTATTGAATATAGAGGACGAATTCCACCAACACTCAAAGAAGCACACGAGTTGCAACGTGCCAAGATGATGAGTAATAAGGGTGGTATTGGTGGTAAAAAAGGAACATTATCGTTGGGAATGAATCCAAAGTTGTTGGGTTCTACTACGACGAGTACAACGACCTCTTCGACTTTACAGAAAGTACTTTTTGGTTTGAGTGGAGCTGCTACCACCACATCCAATAATGCCTCACCGACAACCACATCAACACCTCGCTCTTCTTCTTCTTCCTCGAGTGGTGGTGAGAAGAGTGTCAGTAGTGGTGGTGGTGGTGGTAGCTCCACTCCAACCCACATTGTCAATCTCCACAGTGGGAATGGAAGTAGTGATCAGAATACAAATAATAATACTAACACAAATAATACCAATAATAATAATAATAATACTACGAAAATGAACTTGGAGAAGGAAGGAGGCTTAACAACACCACCTCGACACCGTGTTTCATCAGGTGGCCAAGACGGATCCGATGTTAGTAACCAATCCACGACTACCACCTCTGCATCAGTGAATGACATTATTTTAGAGGAAAAGCAGTAGATATGACAAGGTAGTATTATAACAGATTTCGAATCCGAATATTGTCTGTTGAGCATGACTCGTTGTTACGATGCAAGATGGATGCTCATTCAGACTGGATTCACACATTGAGTTCTAAGCATGCTCAAATTTATGACCATAGTGATGTTCTCGAGATTAGTTCTGCAATCGCTGATTCGAATGTTTTAGTCACTCTCAATAGATAATTAGCCACATGCTAAACATGCCAATTAATGAAATAATATTTATTTCCTAGTCACACAAGGATGGATATTTGAAAAATGTGTAGTGAATATTGCATGGAGCAATTCTTCCTTGAAAATTGATCCAAGTCAAGGTGATGCATCTTTGAAAAGAATTCGATATGAATGGGTTTAAGATATAAAATTATGCATAGGCTCAATCTATTCAACAACAACAAAAACAACATTTTTGCTCTCTTGCAACAAGTTGGCTATGAGGAAAACCATCATCACCACTATTGCCACTACGACAAACATTCTTGACTCACTAATCTTGATCTTTTTCATGATAATAATTATTCCAAGTTGGATATTGATAATTTGGAACTTGGAAAGTTGGGAATTGCTGAATGGGCTTCAAATAACCATCCCAATTTGGTTGTGGAGGAACAAAGTTGAATTTTGGAATTTCTGGAGCATAGATATCTGGTGCCTTAAAGATTGGCACTGCAGGAGCTGGAGGAGCATAAATATCAGGTGCCTTGAAATTGAATTTTGGAGCTTCTGGCATTGGTGGAGCATAAATATCAGGTGCCTTAAAGTTAAATTTTGGAATTTCTGGAGCATAGATATCTGGTGCCTTAAAGATTGGCACTGCAGGAGCTGGAGGAGCCTCTATTTTAGGGAAAGTGTATTGAGGAAATTGTGGAGGGTGTGGGAATTTCCAAGGATTTCCCACACTATGATAGTAAGGCAAGGTTTGTGGGAAAAAGGGTGGTACGTAATTGTCGGGTGCAGAAGTACCAGCCAAGACCACACTGGCCATAACCACCATGATGACCGCAAGAACGAGTAATGAATTCTTCAACAATGAAGACAGCTTGATCATTTCTCTCAACAATTGGTGTGTGTGATTTGGTTTGAATGAATTGGAGGAGTGACCTGTCAAGAGAGGAATAGAAAGTGTGTTGATCGTTGTTTTTCTTGTTGTGTTTTTTTGAGATGTTTTTCGTATGGAGATGGTTGATAGAGATGGTATTTATGGAGCTTGGAAAAAGTAAATTGTAGAGATTCATCTTGTTCCTATTCGTGTGTTGTGGACTGAGATGGAATGTTTATAAATGTTTATCATTACCTTTTATGGGCTTTTAGAATTTTTGAGCAAAATTTGATACTGGTCATTCCACGATGAAGCTTGAGTTAAGAAAGTTGCTCTTGACAGAGCTTGTTAATAATGCAACACCAATTCAGAATGCAAACAAATATGATGTGGTTGTCCACACTCACTGTGAAATATTTTAAGGTGCACAAAGAATTATTGACAGCCCATTTGTTCATATCAATCCTTAATCAGTTGTTATTACTTGTACTATCAAACCTCATAATCACCTATCTGATAATTGATACAGAATCCTACCTCCTTTAGGGACTTGAAGTCCGTTCATTCTCAATTCAAACATATTCACAAATAATAATCGGCCGAATCGAAAGAAAGGCTGCGACAACAATTCAATCAATTTATGAATAATTGGAGAAAAAGCGTTCAATCAAAAAAAATACCTTCTTCACTCTCTGGGTATCGGAACAGCAACACCAACAACAACATCATGTCGTCGTCATCTTTGAACACTACAGATGCTCTTCTTGAAGAAGGTAAGTGTACATTATGCTCAAGAAGGATGATTTTCTTTCCACAAACACTGGACATTTCTAATTCAATTTGTGCATTACGATAACCTTTTTCTCTGCTATTTTCTTGTTCAATATTTTGTAATTATTATGATGTTCATATATAACAACAATAATAATTTGATTCATCATTTTACATCGTTGGACTCAATATTTTGGATGACTCTGGTTTTGTTCCACTTGGTCTGTCTGTGAATATTTCTATGGTCAAATGTATTCAAAACAATATTATGATACAAATAACAACAATAGCTGCTCAATCCACTCTCAACTTGGAAAACGAACAAACAGAAACAACCGTGCCATCAAGCTTTTACATTCCAAATGAAGCAGATGTTTTTACAGTGTTCATCAAGACTCTCTCGGGAAGCAAGTTGAAAGTACAAATTACAAAAGGAGACTCTACAATAGAAATTAAACAATTGCTTGCTGAGTGCATTGAAACTTGCTACATGACAAATTACGAGTTCAAAGTGAAGGGAAAAACATTGAATGACTTTTCCGAAATTGCAGACTATCCAGAAATTGTAGACGGAGTTGAAATTACAATGAATGCCTTACCATATGATGCTAAATCTGCTCGCGTTCACGTGTACCGCCTCAGAGAACTTCTCTATTCCAAGGTGAATGAATTATATTTGAGTACGGGAATTATCCACTCTTCTTCCAAACATACTCAACATTCGTATCCTTCCTTCATTAATTCTGTGCAGTCGGAGCCTTACAATGATTTGGGTCATGCATTGAATTGCGACTTGGAGTTGCTTCAATTGGAGGGACAACCCATGAGCCTCAACGCATTCACTGCTTCAGCCTCTTCTTCTTCAGAGGAAGGAAAGAAGAAGAAGAAGAAGAAATCATCATCGAGTACTGCTTCAACAAAAGTGGATCGTGTTGAATTGAAAACATCCGTTCTCATGGATGAAGAGGAAATGGCACAAGGAGAACCATCCGGAGCAGAAAATAAGGGAGCTGCTTCTAGTAATGGATCCGAAACGAGTGAAAAGAAACAAGGTTTTACAAACAAGATTAGTGTTGTGGAATTACCTCACACTCCTGATGAATTGAATACCAAGAATTTATATGATCCAGAATCATTCAAAATGGCATCTTTGGAACCTATTATTATGCTTTCCAATACTGACCTTCCAAAATGTTTGAAGAGTATTACATTCTCTGCATGGAATCCTGTTCCAGAGAGCAGAAAGTTGAAGGGAGATTTGTTCTACTTACAAGTCGAAACTTTGGAAAATACCATTGTGCATCTCACAGCCAATGCATCTGGATTCTATGTGAACGGCACGAAGGGAAGTAAATTCAATCCAATGCCTGCAAATAAGCCTCACAAGAATCAAACCTTATTGGGACTATTGTGTGATATTTCTCCACTCTTTAGAACTAATTTCCCAAAACTTTTGAGTGCTCGACACAAGAAGCATCCTTTCGAAGTCACTCCAGTTCCATTCTCAGTCAATCAATGGATTAACATTGAGGAAAAGCATGAATATGATCCAAATAGAGCAGAAGAATCATTCTTTACCATGCTTGGAGCTGATCCACGAATTCAACAACGAGAATGGAATGAAGAGTATCAGAGCTGCAAGGAACTTCCTTCTGGAACCATGGAAGACAGATTGACTCGTGATCGAACTCTTTTCAAGATTCACTGTGATTTTGTGGATGCAGCTGTGAAGGGAGCTAAGGCAGTCGTTGAAAAGTATCTCTCACCCATTAATCCCATTGACAAGAAGACTTCACAGGTCTACATTCAGAATAATATTTTCTTTAGCTTCTCCATCAATAGCGAAGATGCCAAGGATGAGAATGACATGGATAAATTTGCCTATCAAAATGCCAACAATGATCTCAAGGGAGTGATGGCTTTCAATGAAGCTGATGTTCGTGGAATTCACACTTTAGCTTCTGCCATCATTGACTACAGAGGATATCGAGTAGTTGCACAAAGTATCATTCCTGGTATTTTGCAAGGAGATCAAGGTTCCAGACACGTGTACGGTTCCATCGATGAGGGTAAATCTTTTGTCACTGATCCCAAGTATCACGCACTCATGAAAGAAGCTGCAGAAAAACTTCATATTAAGGAACATGTAGTGTTGGATGAGACTGGAAAGGAGCATGTTCTTGCTTGCCCAGCCGAATGCAAGGGTATTGTTGGTTCTGATGGTCGTTTCTATGTGTTGGACCTGATCAAAACCACACCAAAGGATGTCAACTTTCCTGATGTCAAGACAGCCATTTTGAGACCTGAACTCGTGCAATTCTATGTGGCTACTCATTCTTCAAAGCAGAATATAGAATCTACCTTGCCAGAGCAGCAAAATGGAGCTGTGGAAAGTGTTGTTGCCAACGCAAACGATTTGACAACAAGTGCCTCAGAAACCACTCCTACTCAACAAAGTGAGCCATCTATGGCATTCAATACTGATGTCTTCTCTCAAAACAAGGTTGGAGGTACTGAAGAACAAACCCAACAAGACAAGGAAGAGGTTACCAAGCTTGCCAAATATCTCATGGAAGTTGTCTTGCCAAAGTTTGTCAAATCTTTCAGAGTTAAGGAAGAAAATCCTTTTGATGGTAAATCACTCACAGATGCCATGCATGAGAGAGGTATCAATATGAGATATTTGGGTTCAGTAGCAACCATGGCCGCTGAGAACAGCATTCCTCATCTTGTTTCGATGAGTGAGCAAGAAATGGTGACTCGAGTGGCCAAACATATTTTCAACAAGCACTTGCGAAATGTTGAGGAAGGTAATATGGGTACATTCATTACCAAATTCATGAATTTATTATTTGGAAGTAATGTTCCAGTGGTGGAAGAATCAAAGAAATCATCAACTGCACCCTATGAAACACTCACTCAAACTCAACTCCTCTCACAAATTAAGGAGGAAGTCAAGAATCATTTCAAGTACGATTTACCAGAAGGTTACATGACAAAATTGCAAAAAATCTCCACAGTGAGAAGTTTCTGCATGAAAACAGGTGTTCAAATTGCTCTTCGAGAATATACTCTCAATTCTCCTGCTCCATTCACATCCAATGATATCTTGGCTTTACAACCTTTGGTCAAACACAGCACACCACGATCCAAGACAGCATACAGTTTGTTAGAAGTTGGAAAACAACAACTCACAAAAGGTAACTTTGAAAAGGCATTTGAATTCCTTTCCCAAGCCATTATCATGTTCCAACAAATTAAGGGACCAATGAATAGTGAAGTGGCCACATGCTTTAGTTACCTTGCAACCATTCTCTTCAATGCATCAGATTTACCACAATCCTTTTTGCATCAACACAACGCATTACTCATTTCGAGAAGAGTGATGGGAATTGATAGTTCCATTATTTGTCAAATTCATCAATTGCTAGGATTGTTGTGCTTTAATGTGGGCCAAGCTGAGTTTGCTTTAAAGCACTTTTTAAGAGCTAGGTACATGCACTTGTTGTGTTGTGGATTTGATCACCCAGATCTCGCTCATATCATGCTTAATATTGCCATGATGTATCAAGACATGGGAGATCTTCCACGATCTCTCAAATACTTGTTGGAAGTGTTGAGAATTTATAATGTCACTTTGGGCGAAACATCAGATCAAGTATGCACCACTCTCCATGCCATTGCCATGACTCATAACTTTTTGAGACAATACAAAACAGCAGCAACCTATGAAAGAAAGAATTTTGTTATTCTTAAGGAAAAGTATGGTGAAAATGATGCAAGAACCAAGTCTTCTCAACAATGGTTTGAACACTTTACTGGAAGAGCTGTTGCTGTCGAGAGAGAACTCAAACAGGGAGAGCAAGAAGCTATGAAATTGTGGAATTTGCAACAATCCATGGCAGCCAATCAAACCTTAAGCAAAAAGCCACCTCTTGAAATTTTGAATTTATTGAAAGAGGATGAGCAAAAGCTTTCCAATTTAATTTTCCCTCAACCCACCACAGAAAAAAAGACATCTAAGTAAACTTCTTCCAATCTCCTATTAAGAGAGAATAATAAATCCAAAATTCTTTTTGATTTAACAGAGGCTTTTTACTGATGTCTTTCCGCAATTAACATAGAAAGAAACTGAAACATAAGGTTTGGTTTACAAAGATTCAAATATGCCATCATTCTCATCAACAAAATCGACCTCATATCGTATTCAAGCTATTGATCATGTCCAACCATTCTTGAGTACAGTGTCGTGGGTTGGTCGAATCGAAAAGTGTCACGTCATATCCCACAAATAAGCCAGCAAATTTTGTGGCCCATGAATTGCTGCATTCTCCCTGATGAATTGGAAAGCCTTTTTTCAGCCTAGTCGCCATCTTGTATCCATCCACAACGACCATCACATGCCAATAAATAAAAATAGGTAAAGCCACAAACCCAATGCCAACACAACAAGTGAAAGCCATAATCATGCTCACCAGCAAGTAGGCAACTCCCTTTCGATCTTGACCCATGAGAGTGTGACCAAGACCAAATAACGTTAAATTCATCAAGACTGTAAATATTGGTTCGCAAAATATGGAATTATTTGGTATAATCCATAGTTTTGGATCAAGAAATTGACTCTCGTTCACAACCTTAATTCGATCACACGGATTTTGTTGGACATAATGAGGCAGTGAATATTCGTCAATATATAATTCCTGAAATTTGTGATTCGATCTCGTTGAGGATACAGGAAATGTAGGGTGACTATTCCATCTGTTGACATGAGGATGCTGTTGGTTGGAGGAGGCCATTTGATGATGATATGCAAGAGGCAGTGATGATTGCTGCTGCGATGCCACATTTAGCTCTGTATCAAAATTATTATTATGATGATGATTACTACCCGTCTCCTTCTCGATCACATTTTCCTTTAAGGAAGAAGAAGACATTTCAATGGTTGTTGACGATAGAGCTTGTTGAGAATCTACAGGATGATGATTGTTGATATTGCTGTACAAAGGACTCTTGCCGTGAAACTGATGGTACAAAAATTGGGAAGGAAAGTGATGAAAGTGAGGATGATGAAGGAAATGATGAGAAGGATGATGAGGCTGATAATAAACTCCTCCTCCAATATGGTAATTGTTGTTATTATTCATTATTGGTTGTTGAGAGGATGATAAATTGGATGAGGATGAGGAGGATTGATGAGAATGATGCGGATAGAAATATAAGGTCGAGCCTTCGACCACAATCTCACTCGGATCATCTTTTCCAAAATAAGATGGAGAAGAAGTATTCTCATGATGATGATGAGAAGGATGAGAATGATTTTCTCTCTCTGTTGTGGTTCTTGTGGTAGCACTAGGGTCCAAAGTTGTGGTTGTTCTTGTTGTTAGGAGGATTGGATCGGATCTTTCCGTTGTGGATGTGTTGCTCCCAGTTTCCGAAATAATTATACTACTACTACTCGTTTGGTTGTTAGGATCATCATCATTGCTCGTTGTTGGATGAGAGAAGACGTGTTGTTGTTGAGAATCACTATGTTGTTGTTGATTCATCAATGTTATTTCCACCATGGAACCTCTCCGACCATTGGTCCATGAGGATGATGATGTTGGAGGTGATGAGGAAGAGGCTTTGGTGGTTATTGCATCATGCGAGGGTTCCATCACCACCACTGCATGACCAACGACCATTTTTTTTGGAAACTATTTGGAAGGAGAAATGAAATAACTCCTTCATTTCCGTTTTCATCATTCATTCTGTTTTCCATTCATTCACTGATTCAAAATGGAATACAAAATGTTCAGTGAACACTTGAATTTGTGAAAGAATGAGGAGGAGAAGAAGAAGCTCATCATGATGGTTCTCATGACGATGGAATGCGCAATGTCTGTGTTACCCATTTCCTTTATCATTATCTGATATTAAAGAGATTTATCCAAACCATTCACAAACACATGTTGAAAATTATAATCCCGCTCAAAAAACAATTCCAGTCAGTTGTCAAAGTTTTCACACATCCCAATCGACTAAAAAAATGCTGCCCAACACCGCTCGCATCAACAGCAAACACCGATTCACCACCATTTCCATTCTCTGCACCATGATCGGATCCATCATTGCTCTTCTTTTTTCGATTGGATATTTAACGTCATTAATCATTTTGACAGCACAACGAAAATTTCTTTTAGAAGTTTCTGACAATTCCGACGGCAAAATGTTACTCGCAGTTGAATTTACTGCATCAGGTTTATCTATCATCATGAGTGTGATTGGAATCTTTTCAGTGATTGATTGTTGTTCAAACATGTCCTCTCCGAAATATTTCAATGCATGTTCCTATATTTGGACAATTAGTATTGGAATTTGTTGGGTTATTACATTTGTAATGATTGGAGTTTATGGAAGTAAATTGGACAGTACATTCCATTCAACATTACCTAAAGATGAAAAGGAATATCATGTATTATATTTTGCGAGTATTGTGGGAGTGACAAGTGGCGTTTTTTTATTGTGTTGTGTGCCATTGTGTTGTTGTGGAATTGGAAGAATTATTGTCACGTTGAAAAATGCACAAAGTACGAAATATAGACCTATTCTCGAGAGTGATGAAAATTTTGATTGAGATTGTTGAATGTCGACCGGATGTCTAAGAAGAATTAATTTCCTAAACAGTTCATGGATAAGGACGAGCAAAAGGATTCTCGAATAGCTCACCAGTAAACTCCTTTTGACACGTCTTTCAAGTACGTGCTGTTACACATCAAATTCAAATCCTCTAATTATTCCATACACCCAAAGATTTCTCATTTTCTCATGAGGTGCATTCAATAACTCGAGTGCAAAATGGTGAAAAGATGTTTCTTTCTCGCTGCATGAAATGGCGGTTCTGTTTGTTGTTGATTCAGCAGCCACATCACCATCTCTTCCACAACGAAGTGCATTTCATATTTGTGGTAAAATCGTTTACTTGTGGAAGATTCATTGGGAGAAAAGTACTTTTAGTGGTGGCACCAAGTGATGAACAATCGTCGAGGTCATGTCGAATTTGCTTTGAGATCGTTGTTTCCATCCACGCATATTTTCTCTATCTGAAAATGAGATTTTGGTAAAGTTCTTTTAAAAGGACATGTATTACACTTGATCTTTTCTTTTTCACAGCTCTGCATATGTCAAGTAAGTTGGGCGATCTTTCCAACTCTGTTCTGAAGCGATTTTTGTCTGTAAAAAAGGTTACTCCATTTTCAGTTTCTTCAGGATATTTTTCGTACAAGCATCCCAAGTAATATGAAGCATCCATTCTATCCCTTAATTCAGGGTTGCACATTTTTGATATCAGATCTTGCATATCATGCTTCTCTTCTGGATCAAAAAGTTCTTGAAAAGTACGTCCAAGAGCGAATATATCACTCTTTGGTGACACAATACCATTCTCCGTCTTTTCTGGAGAATCATAAGTGGGAGTTCCAGATTTTGACTTTATAATATCACCAGTGACAGAATAACAAGCACCTTGATTAGCGTCATAGGAGTAATAGAGTATTGCCAATCCGTAATCTATTAAAAAATAACGATCTTGATATTTTACCACATTCGATGGTTTTATGTCGATGGTTCTTTGACTGAGGGTTTTGAATGTTTCAAATACTCTTCAACAGCTTGTACATCTGGAACCAAGAATGAGCGAAGTAAAAAATCAACTAATTTTTCTCTTTCTCCAATGTCAGTATGTTGAAAGCTTCCCAAATAGAATAAGGGATAGGTTAAACTCTTATCCTTGTCAATAATACTACCATGCATAGAGTACAGATTTGTCTTAGCTCCATCAATGGTCATTCCAATGACATAGAGATGATTGTGAATGGTTGGATCAAGTTTTTCTTTCACCAATTCTCTTGCGTTTCTTGAAAGTGCTAACCTCATCACAAAGACAACTTTGAAAATATCTGGATGGTCTAAATGATTGACGTAACAGTTTCTTTTGTCTTCTCTAACTATCTTCAGCAAATACTTGTCATTCTATTTTTGTATTCGTATATTGTAGTTCAGTCACTCCATTATAGACCTTTGTTGAAGGAGGGTTAAGAGCTCGCTTCATGAAGGCATGGGTATCCTCGTTTAAGGAATAAAACTGTAACACCTTTTCAAGATTTTCCGCACTTGCGTTAAGGGCATATTGTTTTAACAAGTCTACTCCTTTCTCGCTGTTTGATTCAAACGGGGGAAATGATTCAACATAACGATAATCAACATTTAAAGCGAAAAGTACAACCCTTAGAAGGCTTCACCATGTTCATTGGAGTTGCAAACCATTCGAATGTTGTTTCTATTTCTTGGAATTCTCTGTATCTAATATTTCTGGGTCATGACCGAAACGTACTCCCAGGTTCAAACAAACTCTGTCTTCTGCCATATTCAAGAAAGGTATGCAAATCTTCACATGAAGAAAAGGTGGATAAAATTGGAGATAACGTTATCGAGCCAAGATGATGCATTGGATGATGATGGTAAGGATGTTCAAGTCTTAACACAGAGATCCACTTGCAAACATTCTTCTTTTCATCACATCGAACTCCATTTCGACAATTCCAAGATCTCCTGCAGCCAAAAACATTCTCTCATCTCCCATTCTGCCACTACCACTCGAACGAGAAAAACAAAAACCATTAATACTTCCATCAAGCCCAACAGGCAATGTCGAATTTGTGTAATCAGAACTCCAAAGTGAGAAAATACTTTGTTTTTCTTCAGCTGTGGTTGGAGGGAATATTGAAAAGCATTCTCGATCTGAATAATTTTTCGATGCATCCACCACATGAAAACAAAACTTGTGTTCTGAAAATATTAATAAATCACTGTTGGCTACTGTTGCATATTTCACAACACGAACGCTTAGATTTTTTCTTGGGGACATTCTTTCGCTGAGTGCTGAGAATGGTGAGGGGAGGAGCATTTGAACCATGTTTTCGAACGTCCCACACGACTACAGTTCCTTCCTGAGATCCCACCGCAATTTCTCGTTGATTAGGACTAAAAGACAAAGAAAATGCTGCCTCTTCGTAGGCATGTGAGAACGTTCCTATTGGTAAACATGTCTTGACGTCATAAAGTACAGTTTCAGTATTATCCCCACAGATAGCAAGTAGAGAGCCATCAGCATTAGTTGAACAATAATTTACAGGAGATTTAGCTTGGATTGAAGAGGTAGTAATTCGGTGATTATGTACAGCAACGGTTTTGATGGTCTTGTCGTTGTTTCCTACGAAAATTTGAATATGGTTTGAAGCGGCACTCGTGGACGATGAGAGTGGACTAATGTGACAACCATTATTGATTTGCCCTCCAAGTGACATGTCTTTACACAAAAATTTTCCTGCCTGAATGTCAATCAGAGATAACTCGCTTCCATTTCCACCTAGGGCAATGAGGTTGTTATGAACATGCATGCATGTTGGCTTAAATCCTAGTTTTGATATAGGAGAGGCTCTTCTCTTTGAAATATCATACATTAGGCATTGATTATTATTTACATAGTAAAGATATCCTCGGTCTTGTGCAGAAGTATTTGCTTGTAGTGAGTAATGGAATCCTCCACGAGGGGTATTATTCATAGTACTTGCGTGAGATACCACATCTTCATCGTCAAGTCCAATCATAAATTCGTCTTCGTCATCATTTTCGTCTCTCATGAGCATTGAGGAGTGATGTATATTGATCATATTTTGAAAAGTTTCCCCTACAAAATGCTCACATTTCCAATTACTTAAATGAATCAAGTCTCGTAATTGCCAATGATGATGAGTTGGTTTTCGGTGCATGTGGTGTAATTTCGAAAGTGAAGAATTTGAAACAACATTCACACTACAATCATCCATTGTACTATCCGTCGCAAAATAAAGAGCATGATCTTCGTTCCACCATCGATAGAGAGGCGAGAAGAATTGTGAGGTTGACGGTCCTGTTGATGTTGTTGCTTGTTGTGCTCCAATCCTACGATGCGGTCGACTGTTTTCTATATTTTCCTTCTCTTTTTCCAGATTGATATGTTCGAAAATTTGTGCCAAATCATGAGAGGCGGCATCCGCCTGTCCAGACATTAAAATTTCAAAGAGAGAATATCTCGGAGGTTGAATTCCAAAACTAATGATCCTTTCATTCTCATCATAATTACCACTTCCACGTTGACGATCATTGGCCATTCTTCTCAATTCAGCCTCTCGTCTATTTCTTTGATTGAGTGGATTCATCAAGACACGAAAAGGCGATGGCTGAGAGGGTGGAGGTGATGACGATGTCGTTGTTGTCGAAGAAGTCGTAGATGAAGGCTCTGCCATGGTGGATGATGTGGTGGTTGTGAGGCCTGATCTCCGTGCATTCATTGCCGATGAGGAGGATGTTGTATTGGTTGTATTTGTGGTTGCCGTTGATGTGGATGATGAAATGGATTGCCTCAACAGATTGGCTCTCCTCCGCAACACGGCAAACATATTCAAAGGATTTTCATCCTCTTCGGAGTCTTGAGCATTCATATTTCTTTCCATGATTAATTGAACAATATCAGAGGGTCTAATTCGATGGATCAATGATGATCCTTCTTCTTCTTGTTGTCGTGCGGCAGTAGCACCACGACCATCGTCGTCGCTGCTATTGTCGTCTTCGTCACTGTCATACAAGTTTCGAACACGTGGATTGGATCGATCACTCATTTTTTTGTTTTCGATTCTTTCACCAATAACAATTCATGATTGAGGATGAAGAGGGACAATAGTTGTTTGGGTCGTCTGATTGAAACGCCTACAGTGAGTCACCGAATATTTTGAATTGGAATAAGTGTCGAATTTGTACTTTCTTAGCGTCACACGATACAAAGATGACAATCAATTCACAAAGTACTTTAATTCCATCCTTTTTAAATCTAAATTCTAATCAGTCTTCAAATAAGGTTCACACAATTTCAAACTAGTCTCATACAAGGTATCTTGCAATGCTTGATCGTCAGAAAAAGCATTTGGTTTTGCCAGTTTTGCATCAGCATAGTAACCACCATTGAGCAAGTCTTTCTGTGGAGCAAGAGACACCTGTAATGTGGTTTGTGCTCCTTGCCAAGGACTCTTTGAGAAATACCATGCCAATGGAGCATAGATCAAGTTAAACATGGAACCCATGTGTCGTGTGAGATTAGTGCGAACTGCGCCTGGATGTACACTGTAGGTACTGGCACTTGTCGAGGTATTTGTCTTTGAAAATTCTCTTGCTAATTTCTTTGAGAACAAGACATTGGCAAGCTTACTTCTTCCATAGAGTTCATAAATGTCGGCCAAGTCCTTACCATCACCTTTGATAACATTCTCTTTGAAGGAGCAAAATCCTTCAATGTCCTTCTTACCTCCTCGTAATAACCAAATGGAGGCGATTGAAGAAACATTAATAATTCGGCCATTACATGCCATAATCATGTCCAATAATAGTTGAGTCAATAAAAAGTGACCCAAATGGTTGGTTCCGAATTGAATTTCAATGCCTTGTTTGGTGACTGAATGTGGGCACATCATGATTCCAGCATTATTAATTAAATAGTCACATCGTTGAAAATTCTTCTTAAATTCTTGTGCAAATTTCTTAACACTCTCCAAATCGGTCAAATCAATCGTCATGACTGTAATTTGTCCCTTCTTTTTTGGCGATTGTTGATTGTGGGAGGTTTGTGTGGTATTAGTAGGCAACAGCACTCTTGATGGCTCCTCCATCATGAGTTTCTTTGCAAACTCTCCAGCTTTTTGATCTCTCACAGCGAGAACGACATCGGAACCTAATTCATACATAACCTTTGCTGTTTCATATCCGATGCCTCCATACGAAGCTCCTGTTACGATCGTCACTCGGGAGGATAAATCCGAGTGTTGAAATAATTTCCTATCAACCATTCCTCCATTGAAATAAACTTTTCCCAAATACAAGGCAAGAGCTCCTGCAGCTGTAGCTCCTGTAATTTTATAAATCCTGTTCATATCATAGCCTTCCGTCAGGAAAGAATACACATACGAAAGGATATCAAAGAAATTGGAAGCATTCTCTTTGAGTTGTTGAAACATTTTTTTGTTGTGTATTTAAATTATAAAGGACTGATGAAAAACTCAAGCATGTTAGATACTTTTTGGACTTCAAGTACCTCAGTTGGCTTTTTAAATTTGCCCAAAAGAATTCCACTCCGTGCAGCATACAAAACTGATCTCATTCAATCAAAACATCTAAATTGCAACACTCTCATTTTGATTTGAAGAATTTAAAAAAATTAAAAAAGATGACAAAACCTTCGCCGTCCTTAGAGCCGTCATCGTCATCCTTGTCAGTACCACCACCTTTGCCAACAAAAGATTTAGTGAGAGAGGATCACCATAGAAACATTTCATCCACACCACCACCATCGCTACTGACTCTTACAAATTCTACCCATCATGGCAACTCCTCGGAATCGTCATCGGAATTGCGATTTGTTCCTTCATCGGATGCTTCTTCCATCATTTCAATCAATACTTTCAACGAGACCTCGTCATCAACAACCACCACAGCATCGTCCAATCCTTCTCGTCCTTCTCCTTCTCCTCCTCCTCCTCCTCCATCCTTTGAAATTACATGGCAAAATTTAGACAAGTTCAAATATTATTCAATTGGACTGGCAGCAACAAGTACAACACTCGGACTCTTTTATCCCTTTGATTTGATTAAAACTCATCAACAAATGAATAGTGGAAGCTCCATCAAACAAATTTCTATTTTCAAAAATTTATGGAAAAATTATGGCTTGAGAGGTTTATATAAGGGATTTGCAATTTCCTTGTTGGGAGCATGTTCGATTGAAAGTCTCTACATGTCTACCTATGAAATTGCTAATCAAGAATATTTAAATAGAAATACGAGTGCTAGTGGTGGTAATGGTGATGATGAGATGTTGAACTCCTCTGAAGCTCACCCAACAACGAATAAGGAAAGTGATAGTAAGAGTTTTAATCGATACTTTTTGGCTGGTCTCTCGGCAGATATTATTGCCAATACGTTGGTTGTTCCTTTTGACGTCATTTCACAACGTATGATGATATCCAAAGTTCACAATTTATCATCTATTCACATTATTAGAGATATTTTGAAAAAAGAAGGTTTCAGAGGCCTCTATAGAGGTTACACGTGGTCTTTGTGTAAATTTGCTCCAGAATCTGCTTTGTGGTGGGGAATTTATGGTCTATTGAGGAAGAAGTATTTTGAAAATTTTGTAATTGAGGAATCTCAAAGGCATGGCAATTCATTAATCAAACATCAACTATTCTCTTCGGCTGTCTCTGGAATATTGGCAGGCGTCGCTTGTGCTATTGTGTTTAATCCATTGGACGTCATCAAAACTCGACTTCAAACATTTGAACAGAAAATGACCTTTAAGCAAGTCATTACAGAGCTACATCGGAGTGATGGATTAGTGAAAGGACTTTCGAAAGGAATCCTTCCGAACATTATTTTCATGGCTAGTACGTCTTCTCTTTCCATCACCGTTTATGAATTGGTCAAGATTTTATCAAAAACAAGTTAACGGTGATGTAGTCGTTGAGAATTGCAAAATGATTGAGTGGCAACAAAAAAGAGGACTTGGGAGGACTGCCCTCTAACGATCACTTATTGTGTAAGAGTTTAACAAATTGCAAATAGGAAATATAAGAGAGACGCTCTGGGAAAGATTGAGAATGTAATATAATCATCAAACTAGACGTTGATCGATTTCAAATAAAATCATCAAGCTTGTATTTGAAGACCTTGCAGTTTATCTTGACATTTGACAGAACAGGTCAAAACCACAGAAAAAAACCAAAAAATCATTGCGAGGGAGTGCACTCCGATCATACTCTTCCGTCTCCATTACTACCGTTACGCGAAAGCCTTGTTGTTGCACTGAATCCTTCGCCAGAGACTGAGTGACCATTCATCATCCTTCACGAAAATTCATTATCGACAAAAGTCTTCATCATTTAGCTCTTTCCTTTTCTGGTCCATCTAAATTCATTCACCAATCACCACCACCACCATCATCATTAGAATTGTCCAAAATATTTTTCAACACCAACTTCTCACAAGTGCGCGCGTGTGTTTGGATTGACTTGTCTGGACAAACAACAACATCCTCTCTTTGAATAATAATAACCTGTTCGGAAATTCAATTTGTTCTGAATCAAAATAATATCCATTTCAACTGAATCCTCATCGATAGATTCATCACTATTTCATCATCATCATTTCCATTTATAATAACAACACTTCAATGGTTCATTTCAGTTCATCATCCGATCATAAAAAATCAGCATCTGCAGCTTTAGCTCAAGATGACGATTATTATTACAACGATAATTATAATGATTCCTCCGATGATGACAATGATACTTCGGGAGTGGATATGACCTTTTCACAACTCTATGAAATTATGCGTACTCAACAGTCGGTTCCTGCGAATATTCTTTTGACTTTATCAAAGAAGGATCTTGTGTTGTGTGAATTGAAGGTGAGTATTATTCATTGCTGTGTAATGGTGGGAAATTACGTTACGAATGCGTGTGTGCATGTGTGAAATTCTGAAAATGTGTGTGTTGTGTGTGACTATACTCTAAAACGAAATGGAATTGCATGACATTTTCCTCACTTCCAATGGTGGTTGTGTGTGGATAAAATGGAACCCTACATGTCCGTTCGATTCGATTTCGCCCATTGCCTACCTGTCTCTCACACACATACACGCTCTGGCAATAATGATGGACTCCTTCAATACGGTCGACCAACCAACTTGTGTGTGAATTAACATGGTTTAATGACAAACTATATCATCATCCTAAATGATTACCAATGACTTGATATTATTCTCACAATTATGTTTCATATGAATTTTCCTTTCTTCATAAATTCAATTAAAACACAGAGAGAGGGAATGGCACCTCAATTCAAACGAGATGCACAATATTGGTACGACACTCTGAGTGTGTTCACTTACAAATCGAGACAAGATTTTCTCATGAGTGATTTCACACTATGTAATGACATTAATGAAAAATTTAAATTGATTGATCTTGAACGAAAAAGAATTGACATATTAAGAAGAATATTCGTCGTGTTGAGATATGGAGATTTGTTATTTAGAAAATCAAAGAAAACCAATGATTGGATGCTGTGGAATGAATTGAAAGGTTTACCTATTGCAACGGCCATGTCACATGGTTCTAGGATTATCGTTCAATTACCAAAATCGGCCAATACGTCTCAAAAGAAAGGAATTTTTAAAAAATTGTTTAAGAAGGATGAATCGTCACATGATCATGGATTTTGGACGTGGTTATTATGTGGAGATGAAAATGCAAGTTTGGATATGGTTTGTACACCAGAATTGACAAATGGATGTGTAAGTAGTTTATGATTATTATCATCATAGGGATGCATCCCTTCAATGAAACAAATGCTCATGTATTTATCATCCATATATTTGTCATTCTTGTTGTCATATTGTATGTGAACTCTTGAATTACCATTATGTATATGATCATTATTATCAACAACAACACCATTGAACACGCATTATAGGAGGCTGCAAAGAAAGGATTTCTTGTTTTTAAACGAACTGCCGCTACACACAGTTTAGGATATTACACAGATGAAATTAAGGAAGATACATCTGTACCATATTCACCATCGAGCCCCGTCACTTCAACAAGCACTCCAACTTCCCCCTCCTCTTCGTCGTCATCCTCAAAAAAGAAAAAAGTGAAACAACTTCGACAAATTAGCGTCCAATACACAGATCAAAACAATCAGAGAGGAACCATGAAAAAACTCAAAGACATTGTGGAAATTAAGGAAAAGCTTGGATTGAATACTAGAAACTCGAAACTCATTGGAAGCAAAGAAGAAGTCATGTTAAAACATAGACATTGGGGTCTCAATATTTGCATGGGTGGATTTGGAAAACAATTACCTAATTTCCTTTCACATAAGGAAGCAAAGAAAGCTCGAAAAAAAGGACCCAAAAAGGGAGCTAAGGTTACCTACACGACTGTAGAGCCCACTGGAGAACATAGTCATATTTATTTGTATTACATGTCTCCGGGACCCAATCGTTATGGTGGTATCATGATTGGAGTGGAAGGCTCAGAACCTGGAAAAAAAGATCAATCAGGGGAGACTCATGGCATTACAGCTGGATCTCCTTTCATTGGTGTCACTGATGGTATGAAATGGAACAAGATTAAGGACATGGGTATGGATGAGTATCCAGACAAGTACGATTCATTATTTATTGACTTGTCGTCAGGATGGGAATTTTTGAAAGAGAAAGCCAAAGAATGGCGTGACGAGATGGTGATGGAGACCATTTATGTGAAACCAGTCAAAGATGCCGAAGAAGAAGCTCACTTTAAAGAACAGCAATACCAAGAGGAGGAAGCAGACAATTATTGAAAACTATTTGTTATTAATATTAACAATGTGTTGAGAAATTGATCAATAGCCATGGAAGGATCCACCATCATCATATAAAATACAGAAATACCCCAACATGGAAATCTTCCAGCAAAAATTTTTAACGACATTTTGTAAAAAAAATGTTGCCACGACCAAACTCTCCATCCACCGCGACGATTGGCCATCCTCAAGAGAAAAAACTCAATAGTGAGGGCGACAATGATCATTTGGAGGCTTCACCCAGAGAACATAAAGTTGTGTACATGTATACTTTGGAAACCTCCACCAATTCCTTAGAGGATAACCTTAACGAAGTACTTCCTCCCTCTCCATCTTCATCATCGGCATCTTCAAATTTTGCCATTGTAAATACACAACAAAATGATGAAGAGAACCACACTGTTCAGAACGGTAGTGAGTTGTTTGGCAACAACATCAATGAGAGCTTTTCAGAAATGACAAGCGCTGAAAAGATCAAGAAAAGAAGGCTGGCACAGGAGGAAGAATTAAGGAAGAAAGAAGCAGCCTATCAACTCCTACTAAGGAATGAGGAGAAGAAGAAACGAAGAATGCAGAAGGCGATAAATCAGAGAATGGAGATTGTAAGTTATTCATTTTCAGAGATGGATCCACAAGATATATTACGAAATTGATTAAATTCGGTTAATTGCTGGTTACTGATACTTTCTCTTTCATATCGGGCGGCTCAGGAAAAAGAACGAATGCGATTGGAAATGGTTGAAAAGACACAGGACCAAATGACCATTCTGAAAAAGATTGAGGAAACAAGAAAAAAAAATGTTCAGAAAAAGATTGCTCTCCTTCAGAGCAGTGCTTTCCATGTGTACATGTCCAAGGTAAATCTCATCAAAAAATTAACAGAAATCGAGGGTAAGTTTGATTGTCAAAATGGAAAGCGGAATGAAAATTCATCGGAAATTTGACTCATGAATTGTGTCGGAATTGGCTTCTTCTTGAAATGATTATTTCGTATTTGATTTCTTAAATGACAACCAATCAGTCAAAGAAAGATTGAATCAAATTGTTTCTGAACTCCAGGTCAACCCTTCGGAACAAAGCCAGCAACAGCAACCTCTCACATATGAACAAGTTAAAAAACAAGCACAAGAAGAACATCGAAAAATTGTACAAGAGAAAGCAAACGATGCACAACAACATTTGAAACATTCAAACTTGACATCAACCACCAAATTTGCCCAAAATTTGCAACATCTCACTTCTCTCTCTGAAAAGGAAGAGGACGAAGAAATCAATCAAAGCACCCACAAATACCTCAAACACTCGGTGAAACATCGACACGATGCCATCGTTCAAGCACACAAGAACTCGGAAGAGATCAATAACAGCGTTATTGAACAAATGGTACTTTCCAAAAAGCAGCAACTTGCATCTGAATTTGATCAAAAGATTGTACAGGATCATTTGGAGAAGGTTAAAAAACTTACGTATGCCTCCAATGTGGTTGGGCTGGAGAGCGAGGCGCTTAAAGAGCTTCTCGAGCTTCCTGAAGAGCAATTCGAGACGGATATTGGTGTTGCCGATGCAGAAATGGATTCTATCCGTGTGGAAATTTATAATTTGGAAGCAAAACGAAGACAGAATCAATCGACCCATTCTCAACACAAACTTGAAGTTAAGGAATTCATAGAGATGGGAGAGCAAAAGAAGAAACGATTCAAGCAAGTTTTGCCCAAATTAAAACAAGAGCTGGAGGTTATTAAGAAAGAGGCTGCTCAATACGAGGAAGAATATGGAGGCATGTCTCTCACTACAATGGACGAGCAAATGACAGCCAACATACAAGAAATGACGCGTCTGAAGAGCGAGGGTAATCAAATTCTTACTGATCTCCAAACATCCTTCCAACAAACAAGACAGGAACTTGAGAGTCAAATTGAAGACTTGACACTAGAAGTTGCTGAGGCGGAGAAGAAGGCCAGTGAATGGAAGGAAAAAGTTAACGATGCATTTGCAAAGGAGAAAATGAGAGAGGAACGACTCATTTCCATGCAGCAAGAAATTGAAAAACTCAAAGATGGATGTCAAAACTTTGTCTCCAACTTTGAAAAGAGAAAGAAACAAGCACACATCCAAACCAACCAAAAATATGCTGAAATTATCATGTTCCATGATTTGAAGAGTATTATGGAAAAGGCCAAGAGATATTATACATTGGAGTTGGGAACAGCCTTGAAAGATAATACTTCTCTTATGGACTATTTAAATACGAGAGTGAAGACTTTGAAAGAAAGATTGGCTGCATCAGAGTTTGCTCTGCAAAAAAGTATTGACCTCACTACCTTTTTGAAATCACTCACTCATGATAGCGTCTATTTGGAACATACAATCATGTCAAAATATTTGGAAATGCGAGATCAAATCGTTACAGGATGGAGAAGATCTCTTGAAAATAAGGTTAGATTGGTGGCTCAACAAAACTGTAGACCCTTCATTGAAAGAGAGAGAGCCACGTCGGTTGTGAAACGCTTCATTAATACGGTGTGGATGAGAGACATGTACAAGTCAACCATAGGTGTAATTATTCGACCTGAAGAGGCTTTGGAGAGAGATCATGATTTGGAGCGTGTGAGACAACAGGTCGAGCAACAGACATTTAAGGAGCAACGACTTGGAAAGTTGCTTCTTGAACTGTACCATAGATATGAGAAACAACGCCTCGACAAAGAGCCAGAAAAAGTCAAACAAGAGGAAAAACAACGTATCACAGAAATAACAAGGGCTGTAGAGAAAAAAAAACAAGAGCTCCTCGATAAGATTCAGTACGAATCAGAGAGCGACGCCGAAAGCGACATTGAGGATTCAGATATTGAAACGAATTCAGAGAGTGACTACTTTAGTGAGGAGGAAGAGTCTTTCAGTTTTGAAATTCCAACTCATGTTGATGTGATCAAGGAAGAATTTGACGCACTCATCGAAAATATTAAGGATCAGTTTCAAACTAGAATCCATGAGGAACTTGAGGAGGTGAATCCAACACCAGAATCGAGCTTCCTTGGAAAAGGCTACTACAAACGAGGAGAGAAGCTGTCGTTTGTCCTTCATACCAGAAGAAAAGACAAGTATGAGAAAATGATGGCCTCCCGTAAGGTTGGTTACACATTCTTAGAGAAATCCAAGCAATCCAATGAGCAAGAGAAAGAAATGAAGAAGCAACGTATCTTGACTGTTTCTCAAAAAATCATGAAATCTCTACAAGACTATATCGACTTTTCTAAGGTCGATAAAAAGATGGAGAGTGTGGTCATTCCCAACATTAAGAAGCAGCAAGAACATAAGGCTAAGCTCGAAAGCAAACTAAGCAGAAATGAACAAATCAATAGAGTGCCAGTCACCACTTCTCAAATCAAACAAGGTATCAATCAGGTGACAAAGCAAGATCAACCTCTCAATACTTTGTCCTTTACTTCCATTCCGGTCATTCGCCCAACATCCATCTTTGGTGAGTAGAATGCGAGCCAAATGAACAAATTTGATTGTATGAATAATTTTCAATATTGTTTTTATAAAATCAAAAAAATGTTCCGACCATCAACCCTAAGAAAGGTTATTGCCAACATTTCTAAATTAAATGTGCTGAACCTTCATCCGCAATTTGCGACCCGATTAGCATCATCATCATTGAACCATTATTTCAATCATCATGATCACAACAGCAATCACCAATTATTTTTATTAAATTCAGCATCGTCGTGCTTATTTTCAGTAACACAAAGGAATATTTTCATCCGATCCAGCGAGACTCCAAATCCCGCAAGCATGAAATTCTTTCCTGAATTTAAAGTGTTGGATGAAAAAGAGTATCCAGATATTTCCAGTCTCGAAATTTCGAACCCACTTCAAGCCTATGTTTCTCCACTCGCAAAATTATTGTTCAAAATTGACGGAGTGAAGGGTGTCTTTCTGAGTCGCGACTTTGTAACAGTGACTATTGATGATCCTTCAATGTGGTCCCATGTAAAATTAGAAGTATTTTCCACTTTGAATAACTTCTTTGAAAATGGAGGAACTGTTTTGAATAGAGAGGCCAAACCAAACGAAGACACCATGATTCAGGAGGGTGATGACGAAGTAATAATTGCAATTAAGGAAATTTTAGAGACTCGAATCCGTCCCATGGTTCAAGAAGATGGTGGTGACATTGTTTTTTCTCGATTCGACGATGAAACCGGTACTGTCTATGTCAAGCTTCAAGGCAGTTGCGCCAGTTGTCCAAGCTCAACAGAGACACTCAAGAATGGTATTGAAAATATGCTCATGCACTATGTGGCTGAGGTTGAGCGCGTGGAGCAAGAATTGGATCCAATGGAAGCGATCAGCGAGGAACAACTCAAAAAGACTGAGGAAAGAATAACAAAAGAAAAGAGTATTGTCGATCAGTATACTGCTTAAAAAACGTGTTGATCACGATAATGATGGTGATGATGTGACCAGGATTCAAAACACGACAACAATATTATTACTTGAGAATCACTGTTACAAACGAAACTTGTCACAAATGCATTGGAGAATGATTGAACATCCTCATCAACCACCACAAGGAAAGGCTCTTTGAAACCCCAAAATAATATTGGAGATAAAAGTTATCTTTTCAATTGTTGCATCAAATAGTCATTTAGTTTGGTTTCCAATTCACAAAAACATTGAAAGCCAAATGGTCGCGGAGGAAAGGCCAAAACGGGTGCCCGCTTTTACTGTAAAAATGCTTCAAGGTGTCTCTTCAACCCAAAAAAAACTGCCCAACAACAAACAACAGCAAACTGACCCATCAACAGCCGAAACAACAAGAATCATTTCAGCAACGAGAGAGATTATGCTCGTTCATTATTAATCTCAAATATTCCTCTGTTATTTATTATTCCTTCATTCCTTGTTTGATTGTTTAAAATTTGTTCCAACACCTCCTTCTCCTCCAACAAGACCAAAAGTTATTTCATCTTCACCTTCAGTTCCTTTTATATTTGTTGGAAATCGTTAGGAATCTATCATCATCATCATCATGAATACAGCAACAGTCCCTAATCACTACACCCCTCAACCCCCCACCACAAATGTTGTAGCTCCTCATAATATGAACTCTCCCCGAACAGGGCGGGCAATCATAAACGAGACCGATAAACGAGCCCAGCAACAACAGCAACAAAAACCAACGATACGGGCGAATGAAATTGCTCAAATACCTCCCTACAAACCCCAAATACCAAGGCTCATTGGAAAACGTTTTCTTGTCGGAGCAAAGCTAGGAAGTGGAAGTTTTGGAACAATACACGCTGGAAAAATCATCAGCAATAATCAGGAAGTGGCCATCAAGTTTGAGGAAGTAAAATCTAAATTTCCCCAACTCTTGGCAGAGTCCAAAATTTACAAGATTCTGTGGGGTCTGCCGATTGCGAATAGTAAAAAAACTCTTCTCTCAATACCGGGACAGAATGAACCCAACCAAGCGATGGCCTTGTCAAAAAGTCAGGATTCCATCTCGCATCTCACCCAACATACTCAACACACAACACAAGAAATAATAGGAATACCCAAATTGTATTGGTATGGAGTCGAAGAAGACTTCAATGTTATGGTTATTGAATGTTTAGGGCCGTCGTTAGAGGATTTATTCAGTTTTTGTAGTCGTAGATTTTCTCTTAAAACGGTTCTTATTTTGGCAGATCAATTAATATCTAGGATTCAGTTTTTACATGAAAAGAATTTCGTTCACAGAGATGGTAAGTGGAAGATTTGAGTTGAATGTAGTTTTTTTCAAATAGGCTTTAATATGATTAATCTGTGATTGATTGTATTTTCATTTCCCTTAATTCATTGACTTTAACGAAACAATCAATGATTCCCCATTTTAATTTCGTTTTACAACTTTTTCGAACATCAAGTTAAACCTGAGAATTTCCTTATGGGGAGAAAAGAAAAAGCTCATCACGTGTATATGGTAGACTATGGTTTAGCCAAAAAGTATATGATTGAAGAAAAAGGAGAAGGCTTAAAACACATACCCATGAGAAAAAACAAATCCTTGACAGGAACAGCCAGGTATACAAGCACCAACTCTCACCTAGGATATGAACAAGGACGAAGAGACGACCTCGAAAGTATAGGATATTTATTTGTGTACTTCTTGAATGGAAGCCTACCTTGGCAAGGTCTAATGGCTAATAACAGACAAAAGAAGTACGAAAAAATTGCAGAAAAGAAGATGAACATTTCTGTGAATCAACTCTGCGCAGGTTTACCTATTGAATTCACCCAATATTTCCTCTATGTAAAGAAGTTAAAATTTGACGAACGACCAGATTATGACTATTTACGAACTAAATTTGCAAATCTCTTCAACAGAATGGGATACAAGATGGATTTTGAAATGGATTGGATGAAATTACGGAAAGATTTGGCTCAACCTCAATATTAAAAACTATTTCTTAAGACCAGTTTTGACTTGTCGGAGTCAAGTTGCCACTTGTCCAAAGCACAAACAAAAAAATATGCCCTCACAGCCATTCAAGTCTAGTAGGTTTTAACGTTCTCAACATATTCACTATCAACACTTGCATCATCAACAACACTGTTGGTTACGGGTAAAATTTGTGATCTTTTGTTACGGACTTCCCCATTTCGTTTTGTTGTTTTTCGCTCGAATGTCAATTATTCTTGTTGTTCGAATTAACAAACAACAAATTGAACCTAATATACATCAACTCTATTCGATTATATCTAAAATATAATATATATTTAAACAGATCTTGTTCTTGATGAGTGGACAAAGAAAGATATTGAACTTTGGCTTCAATACATTGGTCTCGGCGAATATTATAAAACCTTCATCAAGCTCTATCCAAAAGGTTCCTCTCTCAAGAATGAACTTGTGAACACAATATCATCGGAGGATGACATTCGTAAGAATGCTTGTATTGGACAATTGATATTTTGGTTTGGACATGTCAGAAAACTTTTCCAGGCCATTCAACATTTGAAACAAAACAAATATGGTAGGTGACAATAACAACTTTTCTCTCGTGTGATGAAACAATTTCAAATGTGATGATTCGTGATGATCAATTTTTTCACATTTACTCCTATCAATAACTTGCTATCATATGATTGGGAACAACAATATTGATGACATTATGATCACTTTTCATATTAATCTTTTTTATCTATTGGATGTTGACATGTGCACATACACATTCGAAACCCTGTGATGACCATGATCCTCCAATGACATCGCCACAATGATCCATTCAAACGAAAAACCTTGATCTAATATGAATATGAACCTTGATACATCTTGAAATGCGTGTGCATGGTGATGATTCAATGTCATCACTCATTATTGAAATATTCCTCATGCTGGCGATCATGTTGATGATGATGACCACTCATTTAAAATCACACAGCATTCAATTCAGATTCCGTTAAATTTGAAACTCAACGACAAGAAAATGACAAACTCACTGGAAAATCAAGTAGTTTTGTGAGTAGAGCAGCACCTCGAATCACAATCATCAAAAATCGTGACGTTCGTACACTGACTTGCCACGAAGTTGTTTCCATGTTGAGAAGTGACGAACGTATTGCAAATTTAAAAGATGAAACCAATGGCGTTTACGCTTGGACAAGAGCTCACGAAGAAATGCTCATTGCTCAAAAAGTAGATGGTGAAATTTTCCTTTCCATTACAAATCCAAATGAATATTCAGAATTTGTGTTTGACAAAATTCAACCCAATTATGCTACCTCTACGCATGCCACACTTTTTGAAACTCTTACAAAAATTGCAATTGAAATTGTGAATAATGGTTTTAAACCTGTGGAATCTGCATTGATTGATAGTCAGTCATCCTCATCGAATCCCATCAACACATCTGTAGAAACAATCTCAACCACAAGTAGCAATTATCCTGAAGTTTCCTACGGAGAGAAAATTCAAGTCATTATCGGAAAAATTAGAGCTTCCTCAAAAAAAGTTCAAAACATGTCTGACGATGATCTCAAAGAATATGCAGACAATTTGGGAACTGTGGAAGGCATCAAAAAAGCATATTTGAATAAGGAATTCACAGCCATCAAGAAACTCTTCTCTTCCATGAGGAGTATGAAAAAAATGGGTGCCTTATCCAGTGCATTGAGTTCTACAGCATCTGACTATACAAAATCGGAATGTCATTTAGAGAGACTTCCAGATGATATCGAAATTGCTGAACGGGAGAGTAGTTTATTGCCCGCTCGTTTCAAAGATACCATCAAGGTCAAATTGGTCATTGCTGAAATTGCAAAGAACAAGAAGGAACGAACCATGAGACGATTGTTGTCACCTATTATGAGTAGTATAAGTGCCAGTCCTCAATTTGGTCTCTTCCATTCTGGAGTCATTATTGGGTAAGTATCGTGTGTGGATTGTTGTAGGACAGGAGGATTGAGAAATATTTCTCATTTCTTGAATTCATATGGACACTTGTGCCCTAATGTTAACACATGTTTTTTGGGAACATTTCATCATCGCCATTAACAAATTACGATCCATGTATCATCAACAACACATTCACTTCCTATCGCATTATTTTCAACATTTCACAATTCACTGGTCACAAATATATTTTTGGACTTACACAGACCATGGCTCATTGAATGGAATTCAAGTTCACTCTGTATTCCTCGTCGTTGCTACAGCAATGCAGCTACTCTCGCCATTGACATTCAAGAAATTTCCACCAAAGAGTTGGATTCATGCATTGATCGTGTGAGTCAGGTCATTGCCGATTGGAACGTTCACAATCGCTACAGTCAACAGAAGTGTAATTGTCAACATTTTGTCGATGATATTTGCAAAGCATTGGGAATCAAAATGAATTTCACAGGATCTATGGGCCATTATATTACCAAATTAAGAAATAAGGGTTTGTGTAACATTAAATGGAAAGTTCCAGTCGATATTATGGAACAAGTTGGAATTAAGGAACAGCAAATTACCTTCTACACACACAAACAACTCGACACGCTCATGTGCACCATCCTCTCTAAAATTCCAGACTTTCCCGAACGATACGAAGAAGATCACATGTTACTGAAGAGTTTTGATCGAGCCTTTTGGTTGCGTGCCTTCAAAGCTCCTCAAAACGCCAATTACCATTCCATCACTCCCGAAGAGTTTAGAAAATACAGTGGATTAAAGCAAAACAGTGGTGAATCGGAAGAGGAGGATTTTGGTGTGTTCGGTTCTGCAGGAGGTGAAGAAGATGAAGAAAAGGATGATTCTGAAAGTTCTAATTATCATTCCCGAACGGGTTGTCCTTTTGGCCATCCCAGTGATAAATCCTTCACTGCGGATTGGTGGTAAATCTCATCTCACCCACGTGAGCGAGTGTAATCTCTCTTGAATGAATGAATCGGTAGTTCTGAAAGAGTGGTGGCCATCAGAACATATTAATGAACATTTTCAAAAGTAAATTCAAATTTTCAAGTGAAATCCAAAAAATGTTGGTGTTCTTAAGAAGATAAGGCTTTGTGCACAAAAAAGGCGGGTTCCATTTTTTTCAGAAAAAAAATTTATTACGAGGAGTGTATCCAAAATTTTGGCGAGAACACAAATCATTTTCTTTTCCTTAAAATTAACCAAACGTTTCTTGTTGTTTCCTTCTTCGAAACATTCGATTCTGACCGTCCAATTCATTAATTGCTTTGTGTTTCCTGCAGTACGTACATTTGTTCTTGACGCGCTCAAAATTAAATCCTCAGATGAAAGTTTGATTTTAAAAATAAAAATCTGGAAATTCCAACCTGAAGGTCGGATCATCGGCCGGATGGTGAATCGCAGAAAAAAAAATACCTCCACTTCCCAAAACATGTCAGAACATTCAACACCATCATCAACAACCACACAAAACTTATCTTCGGCCGAATTGGAATTAAAGAGATTAGAACTTGCTTTTAAACAAAAGCAAGCAGAAGTAGAGCTTGAAAAAGAAAAAACAAAACAAAAGCTAGCAGAAATAAAGATCGAAGAGGAAAAAAGAAAAGCTGAAGAGGAAAAAAGAAAAGCTGAAGAGGAAAAAAGAAAAGCTGAAGAAGAAAAAACAAAACAAAAGCTAGCAGAAGTTGAGCTGGAAAAGCAACGCATAAAGAGAGTGAAACTTACCATCCAAACACCAAATGCGTTTTCAATTTCGGAATTTGATTTCTACGAACAACATGTCAAAAATAACCTGACCGAAATTGTAACACCAACATGGCTCGGAGAAATTGGGGAACGGATCACCGTTAAAACTAAACGATACGGTGAATTTAACAGTGAAAATAATGTACAACAAGCTTTTATGAGTTTTATTACCGAGATGGCTCGCGGAATTGAATATAATGCAAAGCCCTATGATACCTCTCGACACGTTACTTTGGGTAATAAGAGGCCAGATGTTTGTTTGATTCCAAAGAATCTTGACATTCAAGACGTATCTCGAGTTGCGAGTGGTTTTAGTTCGATATTACATTCTATCATTGAGGTGAAGCATACTAATATTTCTAACTCCTCAGCACACGGCCAAGTGTTTTTTTATTTGACAGAAATTTTACGGATTCAGAAAAACAGAAGAGAAGCATTTGGAGCTCTTTCAACATATGAATCAATTAGATTTGTAAAAGCAGAACGAGACGAAAGTCAGATTCATTATTTCATCACGGACTTATTTCCTCTATGCTCTCATGACAGCAATGATCAAAACTCTGATGGTGTCCAATATCTCTCAAACATGCTTCGTTTGCATATAGACATTCCAACTCCAACTTTTTCTGTAAAAATTCATAGTTTTTTAGGAATTGGCGCGACATCTGTGGTCTATGAAATTACTGATCCAAATGATCCATCATCAAAAATCGCTATGAAATTATGTACCTCCATTGATCGAATGGTTGTCGAGAAAGAAAAGAAAATATTGAGAACTTTACACTCAAAATTATCATCAGAAAGCAAAAAACACATTCCTAAAATTGTGTCTGAAGGAGATGAAAATACATTGCTAATGCCAAAATATACACAATTAATTATTAACAAATTAATACCTATTCCCTTTAACAAATTAGCATGCATTGTAGATTTGTTGAAAGATGTTCACGATGCAGGCTTTTTTCACAAAGATATTAGACCTGAAAATATTGTACAAACGACAGAAGTAGACTATGATCTCGTTTTGTTAGATTGGGGATTTGCAGAAGAAAAATCAGAACATTATAATGTTTCTTATTTTCAAGGAACTGTTTCCTTTTGTGCTCAAGATTATGCAAAAGCATTTATTGAAAAACATCCCATCCCCTACCAGAAGAAATTTGATATGGAATGTTTGTTAAAATGTTGTTTTTATATATATGATGAGGAACTTCGTAAATTATTCAATGAGAGTTCAAAGGACAATATAAACCTGGTAGATAAATTAAAAATTTACATGGAGATCTGGAAGGATTATGCAGAAAGTAATACGATCTTCAGGACCGCTCTTCAAAATTTGTCCTATGATAGTATAAAACAAGCCTTGGAATCTTTGCAACAGCAACAACATTAACGAGATTCATAGAATAAACTTGCGAACTCAATTTGTGAGATATCAAATCTGCCGCTGTTCTCAAATACTTTTGGTTCCGAATTCGGATGCTCATCTCGCTTTACCAGCTAACAAACGAGTTGCATAAAGCTGAGGGTTTTTCATACCTCCCTCCTTTATGCCAAAGCTTAATGTCACGGATGATTTTCTTTCATTCCTTTTGGTTTTTTTAAGGACAACCTCTTTGCCTAATTTACCTTCCTTTAAATATCAAAGCCAAAATAGACAAGAATTCATCTTCAGTGTTCTCAAATTGAATCCCAAGATTCGGTGCACCTCAATAAATTGTTTTGATTTGTTAGTTCTTAATTTGTTTTCCTCATCGATTTCTTGGTGATCTTTCTTGTTCATCTGTGTTAAGATGAAAATTCAGGATCAACAGTCGTTGCTGCAGAATAAGTGTGATAGCATTTGGTGAGACTTTGTTTCAATTAATTAATGTCAAGTTGTCCCTTTACCTTTGTTCAGTTAATTTCCACTTCCTTCGTGGGGTTAGAAGAAGTTCTTCTTTCCAAAAAAATTTATTACGAGGCCTGTTTATACACTTCCAAGATCCGGATCCAGTTGGGATCCTAGTCAGAGGTCACAACTCTACAAGTAGAATCACAACCTAGATGTTCTTCTCTTGGTGTCGTAGGAAGCAGCGCTTCTATCAAGGTTCCTGGGGTCGAAATCCTTATCAATCACAGATCATCACAACGTGAGGGGGACTTTTAAGAAGTGGAGTTATTGCCTAGCCAAATAAACGAGCTGCGAATCGGGATCTATCTCTTAGTCAATTGCTAATATGGATAAAACAAAATTTGTTATTCAGAAATGTGGACTTGTCTGACGTGATCATGGTCAAAGCGATCACTAGCGACCTTGTTCCTTCACTCCCACTAACCCGATCTGACGATCATTTTGCCAATATTTTCCAGAGTTATAGTTCTTTCTTCGTTATGGTATGAAAACATTACCCTCCTTCGCCTATTCCTTTTGCCCTCGCTAAACCACCGCAAATCTACTTTAAACCTTTGACCGGAAGGTAGTTGTACCGATATACAACGCAATGTGTAACTACCCATACGCGATTTGAATACAAAACTCGATGCCGAAGCCTTGGCATAATGGTCTAACGTCTGTGCTACGGTTGCATCTGGTCCCCGCCGAAAGCGACCAACGTCTGCAAGCAGAGGTTGTGGTATTTTTTTGACAAAACACGTCTTTCAGAAAAAAAAAATGCATGAGAACCGAAAGCGTTCGGCCGAACGACTGCAACATGCGACAGTGGAAGAGAAGATTTCAAACAACAAACATTCATCATCAGCCAGCATTAGGTGTGTGCGGCATCAGAAACGAAATCGATTATTGCGGAATTTATTTTATAGATCTATGGATTTTAAATATAACATGATTGTTGGTATGAGACGAGAAAATTCATATACTGTTGGAAAGAAGGTGGATTTAATTCCGATAACGAGTATAGAGGATGAAAGGGAATTGTTAAAAAGGTAGGATTGATGAATTTTTATAAACAAAATGGATTGAGAACAAAATTGTGGTTGCTTTCGGAATGGATTTTTCGTTTGCTGCCAAATATGAATTAATCATCACACTTAATTTGTGGCAAGAGATGTACTTCATTAGGATTTACAAGAAACGGGCATCATTTAATTGCCTATACTTTGGAAGATGACAGCTCTGTGGAGGATTCAACAGCAAATGTTTCTTTTGAAAATCAGATGCTCGATAGTGCTAAAAAATGTTTATTCCTTGTGTTTTTCAAATTCGACGTGAATAGACGATTAAAATTGGACATCATGTTTCAGTTAGTGAACAATAACCCAAAAGAAATTCTATTTAATTCGAATAGAAACACCCTCTCGCAAGGATTGCAAAATTATGCCATGAACGAAAACGTTACTACGGTTGACTCGAATGGTCAATTATTATCAAACCCAGAAAACAAGACTATTGTAAAGAACAAGAATATTTCTTTCGACCACTATATTCCAAAATTTATGGTAAATGACATTCATTTCCATGTTACCGAATCAATTGAGGAAGATATGTTTTTTGTTTATCAATATTGCACAACTGCTGCAGAGAAAATTTTTCTACTCTCCATATTTCCAAATATTCTTAACATTGAGGAGGGAAACATTTATGCTGTTACCATTAGATATTCTTCATCCAGTGATGTCAATACCAGCATTTTTAATCCAATGTTTCATGTGGTGCCAATCTTGACAGACCATAGAGAGCACGATGATGGCAAACTTGACAATATGCAACAACCGAGTGAAATTTGCCATTATTCATTCGAAAGAAACCTTCTTCATGGATTTTCCACGAAAGCACAAGGTTCTTATTTGATTGCGCTACCTACATCGAATACCATAGAACTGTTCACTCTTCATCCTACGACCATTCATTCGAAATTTCAAGTTCACGACCCATTAGAGAGAGACAATTTCGAAGACAATCAAGAGTCATGCGTTCACAAAGGGCTCAGTGATAATGTCACTTTCGAATACATCCCATTGTTAAAAAAGAGCGACTTGGTGCAAACAAGTTTTGTTAGTGCTCGTTGGTTTTATCATTTCCACGTTGAGGAATTTCTCATGTCCACTCTGGAACAATTCGAGAAAATTTTGGATTATGGGTATGTTTTGAATTCTTACACATTGGTAAAGACAACACTCATTCAGTTTCAAAATTATCAAATGCCAAGATTCTACAAATTGTCTCTTTTTTGTGATAGTGGTGGATTTGGCTGTTTCAACAACCATTCAGAGTCATGAGAGACGCGTCGTGTATCATTGCTGCCTTAAATTTAACAATTTTTCAGGTGATTGTCAACCTCCAACCTTAAAGATCATTCACAAACAATCGATCCAAGTCGATCCCAAATTGTAAGTTCAATAATGGTGAAGTCTGGATTTGGTCCTGATCATTTATTATTTTCAACAACAGTTCCACATTTCAATTTGCTCAAACTCTTTGTGTCATGTATTTGAAAATGGAAGCGCCAAGACTCACCAATTTTCAAACTCACACCAACGAGAATCTTTTTACCACAGGTCAATCTTCTAAAGCAATACCTCATCCCCTCCTTCCTCTTTGCATTGTCAACAACAATCCAAAATATACCTCTCAACAACGTTGATTGGATCTTGTATTCTAAAATTATATATATATAACCTTAGTGTTGAAATCTTCAGAACATTTGAAATGATTTGCTGATTCAATAATACATGACCAAATTGCAAATGTATTCAATTTGATTGAAAATCACCCACTTGCAAGTGATGAGTTTTGATTGCACGAAAGAAATTTCAAAAAATATGAACCACTTGCTGAATCGATGTCAAGGCACTCGAGCACAACACTTTTCGTCATCCGTCACTCGGAGGAGATCATTCAAAGATCTGTTGTTCACCATTGCTAATCATGTTGATAGCCAAAATGCCATTCACAATTATGGCTCTCCAAACATTCACCACCAGCGTCAAGATTGTCATCATCATCAGTTTGGATCAGTTTCAACAAAAAAAACACTCATTGGCCATCATAATGTTAACCAATGTAATGTAAATCAATTAATTTTTTTATATAAGAGTTTTAGTATGAATCATTCAAGTTTCGTAAAAGAATTTCACCGTTCTCTTCTGAAGAGAGAGAACGCAAAGAATCATGATTCACAAGTTGTCGTTACGTCATCATCATCTGCAACTGGTAGCATTTCGTCGACTTCACAAATTGTGGAAAACGTCAAAGTACTTGAGACAACCACAACAGCGAGCTCTCAACAAGCAGCACCACCTGCCACTGCTACCATTGTCATTATTCAACAACAACAACAACAACAGCAACAGCATCAACAACCATTGACGTCACCAAATGTTTCCACTCATAGTATAGCGGATCAAACAACTCAACCCTTACCAACCACAAACTCAGCATTTCATCATTTTTCGTCAGCCGCCATTGGAACAACAAACAATGTAGCAGCTCAATCCTCTACAACAACCTCAACAATTATCAAAATTGATTCACAAGTCATTTCTAAAGAAATTGAAAAAGCAGTGACGGAACAAATTAAACAAAAATTGAAGCATGCCTATGAGCCTACACGAGAGGAGTTTGAAGCAATGGAAAGTTTGGAACATGAACATTTATACGAAGAAGGAACAAGAAAGAAGATTGGATGGATACAGAAATTTAGAACCTTTTTAAGAAAAACGAGTACTCTTCTTTCTAATTTATTACTCATAGGAAAGGTATTGCCAGCCAATGCGATAGCCACTCTATTTTTCTCCTATTACAAGATGGAAAAGAATTACAAACAAAGGTATGTGTGTAAAAACATGTTGATGTGACGTCAACAATGAGGTCTAACTGTTTTTGAACATGCAAAATAACGTTTTCCAAAATTTACATGGTGGTTACATGATTTTATTAATAATAATTTATAATATATATAATATATAATAATGTGTATCATGTTGTAGATGTTTTGAACAGCGTATTACAGCAAGTTTGAATTTTATTGATCACGAAACCAACACCTTTAAGGTGAGAAATATTTTCTGTAAGAATCTCGACGAAGTAGTTCTAAATAATCAAGCCGTTGTCCAATTGATTCAGGAAGCAGCTGCCAAAACTACCAGTGAATCGCCCATTGTCATTCTTCCAGATGATGACAAGTGGTTTTGTTTACATCTTATTCAATCTGCCATTTCACAGAATGTGTGTGCCTCTGGTTATTTTAGACAAGGTAGGTGTCAATTTCATGTTGAAAGAGGACAGTTTTGTGGGCGCATCAAATATTGTTGATCACCACTGACTGGTTTGTGGAAATTTGAATGTTTTTAATTTGGTGATTTAAATGAACGTTCATCAATACGTATAGACATGAAATTGAAACATCATTCAGAATGGTATGTCTTTGGAATTACATTAATTTTTTAATGATATTATTCATCAATCGACCGAATTTCGAATCTGTCTTTGTGGAAATCATGATCTGTTCGGAAATATCTTCTTCACAAAATTCTCCACACCGCTGCCGATCTCCGGTGACACCGCATGGTGATTTGATTAGAACATATCTATGGAGAAGTTCGTTGGAATACAGTCAAATTAATGGCCAAAATGTACAAGGAACAATACGAGTCGATCATTCACAGTAAGTAGTACTACTGTAGTGAAGAATTAGCGTAAGAGAAAGTGTGTATGTCAAATTTTCTTCTTCACTTGTTTTCTCTTGTTTTGGAATGCACAAACCCCTTGAATGTCCATTTTCCTTTTGCAAATTCCACACAATGAACACAATAACCTTCATCAATCAGCTGGATTTGGTGATTTGATGCGAGTGGAGATTGTTCTGAGCATGTAATTAATTTAGGACAAAACTTTTGGGATTTCGTTACGAAAAGAGCAATCATGTTCCCACTTTTTCGTCACTTCAAATGAGTTCGTTCGAAGAGGCAAAGGATCCACCGAAAGCCTCTTCACCATCTCATTGTGACATGATTTAGAACAAAATATTGTCACAACAGAATGAAGCAGTTTTTTCATACCCTCACTCATACCAATGACATCCAACATTAAATCTAGTCATCATTATGGGGAGACCATTATTATGACTGCAATGCCATCGAGCTCTGAGAGGACGAAAACTCATCACTTGGATATTTTCATGACTGCCAAAAGTTCATGTCATCCAACAACAACAAACATCTTGTACGCGTAACAACACACATCTCACCAAGAGGTGGCAACAAAAATTGGAAATGGAAATTAGAAGATGGAATCAGAAAGAAAAGACAATCGAGAAGAAGAAAAGAAACAAGAGTGGTGGATGTGGCGCCAAGTGTGGAAATTCTAACCAACCCTGCATTCAATAATGTGGATGATCCACACACAACCATTGCTTCACAACAGTCAATCACCCACAGTCATCACCACCAAACTGATCAGAACCATAACGATTCAATTACGACAACAAGACACAATTCTAACTCTTTACCATTTATCTTTGTGAACAACAGTGCTTCCATTCGATCCGCTGACTTGCTGCAACCACATGGTGTTACTTCTTCTTCTTCTCAACAACAACATCATCCACACAATCAGACAGTGACACGAACTGCATGCATGATGACAAATAATAGGGAACCATTATCGTCGTCTCCATTATTCTTGCCCTCCTCTCACGAGAATGGAAATATTCCTCATGTGGTGGTAGAGAGCTCGACGATTCTAAATACCTCTTCTTCTTTTCTAATATCAACGAATCTAACAAGCAACAATCTTTGGAATTAGCCAATTCTCAAGAAATTTTAGAAGCGATAAACAATCAAGAACAACTAGTGGTGGTGGATAAATTTAATACTAACACTTGCTCTTCCACAACATCCAACACACCTCAGAGAAAATACACACGGACATCAATAAAAATATCAGAGCTCCTCAATTAAGGTCACAATGGTTTTTCACTTTGTAAAATAATAATGGCTCACATTGTTTAATCATATCCCATCAACATAATTATGGGAAATAACAGCCAAAACATCGAATCTTCAGATTTACCTGTGTTTTTCTTCTTGTTGCTCCAGAGTGAGATTGAAGTGATTGTTGAATATATCTCATTTTGGCAAACATGTGATGATAAGCCAAACATGCAACAAAGACCTTGTGAAACGTTAGACTCTAGATCCAATGTTGTCATTCTCTCTTGTTCGTGTATCAGTGGATGATCGAACACAGTATTTTAAAAGTCTCTAGCCTTCTTAATTTCTTGATATTTCCTCAATAATTCATCTACTCTGAGATATTTCTTTGTGTCATTCCTTATGAGAAAGATCAAATCTTCTGGATTTAACTTTCCTCGTTTTGACATTTTCGTAGCTTCTGTGACAATTTCATGCACATATTCCTTGACCAATTCTTCCATAAGTGCCACAGTTTCAGGTAATGGATTTTTCACATCTCCAAATCCATACATCATTTGGCGAATGTGAGGAGCAATATCAGCCTTTTTTCGTCCTGGCCCTCCTTCTTTATCTGCACCAGATTTTGATTTTCTTTTTCTCTTTTTTCCTTCTGTTTGTTCATCTTCATTGTCTTCTTCATTTTCTTCGTCTTCATCATCCATATCTTCATCATCCATTCCAGATCCATAAAAATCATTTCCAGCATTCGAAGATTGATCAAATCCGACATCATTAGTGTCTTCGTCATCGTCCAAATCTTGTGGTGTTGAAGCCTTTTTCTTTGGTGGTGGTGGTGCAAAGTCATCTTCCAAATCTTCATCATCTTCATCATCATCCTCTTGTTGTTTTTTACTTTTCGTTTTCTTCTTCTTTTTTTGTGTAGAAGCCGATGAAGAAGAACCTCCTCTTGATGATGATTTCTTTCTTCCCTTTCTGGAAGCAGGTGGATTCATGGAGCCACTGGTTTCACTTCCAACACTTGTGCTATCTTGTTGTTGTGGATCATAATTAATAAATGTTGTGGTATTATTTGAGGTTCCGGTCATCTGCTGGCTGCTCTCATCATTTCCCGGTTGGTAATTGAAAAAAGAAAATTGTTTCATTTTTTTTAAAATTATTGATGGTGAAATAAAATTTATTTTTCAAATCAAAGTTTTGATCATCATTTGGATGAATATTCAAGGATGATTATTTCAAATCAAATAATATGAACAACAATTCATGTCCTTTACAGTTCATGTTCATAGAGTCTTTGAAAACTTTAAATTTTCCGAAAATAAATGACTCTCACAAAAAAATGCCTACGAGAAGATCCAAACAACAACAACAACCACAAAATCATCACAAACAACAACAACAACCGGAAGAAGAAATTATTCTTGATCCTCATTCATCATCATCACCATCATCGGAGGGGGTGGAACAAGAAGAAGGTGATAGCCACAGAAATCACATAATTCAGAACAATGAATCTTCAGCAATAACATCCGAGGAAAAGTCAGCGGTTGATGAGGATGAATATCAAGTGGAAAATGATGAAAACAAGAATGAGAATATGGGTAAAAAAGATAGCGATCAACACCAACAACAACAAACGGAAAATAATACTGTAAATAGCAATGAAAGTAATATTAACATAATTTTACATCAACAGGAAAGAACCCCAACACAAAATTTGGAATACTCTGAAAATTATAATACTCTTTTAGAGGATTCAACAACGACACAGAACAATGGTCACTCCAAAGAATTGACAACAGAATGTGTTGCGCATACACATATGCAACAGTCAAACGACAACAATCACAGCGGCAATGAAAAATTCAATTCTACCAGAAAGATCACTCCTGAATACGAAGAACTAGACATTCAAGAAGAAGAAGATCATTCTTCGAAAAGAAAAATATCTATTACGATTAATAATACCAAAAGTGGGCTTAATGATGACAATGCCACTACAGTAGTTACATTACAACAAGTAGATTTATCCCAAAACGATGATGCTAATAACTCGTCTGGTATTGTTAGAACAGAAGCAGCTACAAGTACAACCACCATCGAAATTAATGAGCCTCTCGAAAAAGAATCCTTTTTAAAATCTCTTTGGACCTCAAAACAAAAATGGCAACATTTCGTTGAGAAGATTATCATTAACCACAAGTCAAAAATTGAATTTTTAAAAGCTCTTGGAAATTTAATGTATCTCGGTAGTAGATCAAGGACAGATGTGGATCTCACTGAGCCTGCCTCAGAAGAAGCTGAAAAAGAAAATCACTTACTCGACATTTTAGAAACTGAAAAAATTTCAACCGTCATTACAACAATAGGATGGTATCAAGATTATGTGGCAGATAAGCACAAATTACAACACAAGAATATTCAATCGGATGAACGATTCATGTACTATCACAAAGTTGGACAGTTTTTAAGACTCATTGAATGTTTTATTTTACTTGTTGAAATTATTTTCAAAACCGAATACAAATCGAAAAAAACAGGAAGACGCAACTACTGGAATGTCATTATTATTACTGAGATTATAAGGTAAGTAAGATGATAAATATTGTAAGGGCATCAAATGCATCATTTTTTTATCAAATAATGAAAATTGTATCCATCGTGACACACAAAACTGACATAATATGACCATATAATTATCATTCATCATCATTCACAAACGTCACAGAGCGGTTCTCAAACTAGTAGCCATTTTCAAATCCAAAACCAATGTACCCATGTTCCTAAATTATACTGTCCTTCCACCAGATGAAGAAACTATGAATATTCCTATGGCCAACTTATTACCAGTTGCTCCGAAAATTCATCCTTTCGAAAAAGAGAAACAAGCTCTCGAAGAGTACAAAGAAAAGCAACGAACTCAAGCAAAGCCAAGAATTGGTTCACGAAGCGGACGAAAAATACCATCCTCTGATGAAATGTTTGCCGTATTGAGCAATAGTAAAACGTCAAGCCATTCAGTACCAACCACAACAGAATTGGGAAAGCAATTGGGACATGCCTCTCAACATGTGTATATACTTTTGGCTGGATATGACAGGGCCATGGATGGTACGAGAGGGAAAATGTTATTATATCTATCAGAAGTCATCTATGCTTGCAAGCCAGTAGTGTACAGTAAGTAAGGTGATAATATTTGATGTCAAATGATCTTATTTATACCATGTTTCTACATAACTTGTATGAATTGTTATTGACACTCGGTTCACATTATAATTATTTCGAAATTTGTTGTCAACACGACAGGTTTTCTTCTTGCCAAGTACGGTTTCCGATCTTGGACACCATTTGTTGTGTCACTTCTTATGGAATTATTTTCACTCTATGTGAGCAAAAAAGCAGTGAGTATCATTGAAGGTGAACAAAGAGAAAGGGTCACAACGGAACGGCCTGCCACTTCTGGTATGGTTATCGAGTCAGAGTACAATAGAAGAGTTTCCAGCTTATTTAATTACTTGTATCGAGGTCCTTTGTTTGAATTAATTATGAACAGAGTTTTCAAACTTATTCTATTACCAATTCTGAAACGAATTCCGTTGCTTGGAGGATCATTAGGTGAGTAGTGTGTGTGGCTTCATTTTCTTAATTTTTAATAACTTTATATCAGTTGGATACATTGAGTATATTATCATGGTTCAACAGTTTTACTTCTTCTGCAATCCATCAGTGTAACATTGAGATATCAAGAATAAAACTACGAATAATAACACGATATGATAAGTTTATTTACAGAACCCGAAAATGCTGCCATGTATTATCGAGCGTTTTTAAAACAAATTCCTAAACCGTCCCAATAGATGGTAACTCAATCTGTTCTTGCTCGATTACAGGAAACATTTTCATTGGGGAATGTGTGACATGCATTTGGATCACTCTTTGTCGTTTCCTCTTAATCTTCCTCCATATTAAATACAAACAGATTACCATGAAACACGACCCTACCACAACTGCAATTATAACACACACCACAACTGCAACAGCAATATCAAAATCATTGTTTCCAACGGTTGGTTGCTGGGGTGAGCGAATGGGTGTTGGCGATTTTCCTGGCACCACAGGATTAACACCCGTTACAGGACTTGTCACAACCATAAAAAGTCCAGTCCTAAATACTTGTGCAGTGACGGTTTCACGTTTTGCCTCCACAATTTTGCATGAGTTGTTGTAATACGTAGAGTTGACAACTTCAAATATTCTTCGATCCTCATTCCAGAAAGCACACCCAAACACTTGGTTTGCACCTCTGGTCTCCAAGAAGGTTCTCGAAATTGCAGTGGCATTATCCAATCTCTCAAATGTTATATTGGCCAATGGGCTATCTCCTTCGAGACGCAATCGTTCTGTTGGGTTGGACGCTCTCATGACAGCAAATTCAACAATATTCGATACAGCATTTCTCAATACCTCAGATCGACTAAAAAGAGTTTGGATGGTTTCATTTTGATTTTTCATATCGTAGCTCTTCATATGAATATCGAGGTTCTTCATGGACCACAATATTCCTGGATTAGAAATCAAACTGGGGAATAGGGAAAATGAATTTTTGCGATCCATCTTTCCTTGTAAGCCATTCAGTAATGAGGCCATGCTCGATCGTATGGAATATTGGACAGAGTAGGGAGTTGCAATGAGGGATGGAGGCATATCTGGAGCGAAGGACTTCAAGTACGAAATGGCCAAATTCTCATAGGCATTATTAATTACATCTAGCTCTGACACATTGACTATTTGTTGTACATTCATTCGTTTGGCAATGTTGCTAGAATGAATTCCCTTTTCCTTGACATAATTGAACAATGAGTCACAAATCTTTTTGGTAGAATTGAGAATATTCTCACTAATTACAATTTGAGAGCTACTTGCCGCAAGAGCAGTTACGTTTGCAAGAGCATCAATAACAGCCGTGAATGCAGTTTGCTTGAGGAATGGAATTCCCGCATTCATCGATGAAAACACTGATAGAGTTGCGCTCACAGAATCTGTGGTTTGAGTGCTTGACTTGATCCATTTGCTCTGAATGAACGCATTCACAATCGTTGTGGTTACATTCGACAAGGCTTCTCTCTGTTGAAGAGTTGTTGTTTCAGGTGATAATGAGGAAATAACTCCAAGAGATGTTGTGACAGAGGCCATATCGAGGATACTTGAGGACATTCTGGATGTAAGAGTGGAGAGAGTGCTTATGGCGAATGATGTACTTGGTTTCTCAACGGTAACACTCGATTCTACCTCCGAGGAAGCTAAAAATCTATCGAATGCAATCACTTTTACCCTTAAATGACATTCTGTAGTATTTAGACAGGTGTTGGGAAGGAGAGTTTTGATCGACTGCATCTCTGATCTTTCTGCCAATGGAACCCAATAGTCATTCAATTCATCATAATACAAGAATTTGAATGTAAGTGGGGTATTTGAAGTGAACCATCCATTTCCACATTTGATATAAAATTGCGTTGTTAGGGCTGATCCTGTAGATGGGAGAATCTCTAAATTGCCCACGCTCGGTGGTGAGTTGACCGTGAAGCTGAATTTGGCAGACCCACTTCGAGATAATCCAGCAGTGTCTTGAAGAAGCAACGACACGGAATATGAGCTACCAGGAACTAATTGATCCTTTGGAAGGGTTAAATAACTTTTTGAGAGAGTTTCTCTCGTGAAAGATATTGTCTGTCCCAATCCAGATTGTACCGACCACAAATAGGTTGGTCTTGCCAACTCTTCCTCACAATACGACCACAACACGAGTGGCTTTGAAGGATCCACCAAGGCAGTACCTGCACCAAGCACATTGTCTTCCGAAATGCTCATTTCGTCGATTCTAAGGATGGATACACGTAGAAGAGAGGCCTTTGGTGTTGAAACAACATTAACAACGATGGAAGTTGTCGCACTTCTTTGACCCTTTGTGACATGTGCAGCAAAATTATAAATTCCTGGAGTAAGAGAGGTCTTATAAGAGGTGGTAATTGGCAACGCAATATTTTCACACAGAGTAGTTTGATTCATGCTCTCATGTGTCATGTTGTAACACACAATTTCAATCACTTCGGATTCTGTAAGGTTGTGAATTTGGCTTGGGTCTTGAGTCACCACTCGGAATTCAAGTGTCTCTTCAGCAGACATGGTGAAGTCACCTTTATCGAAGGCTATTGAGAGAGGTGGCAGTTGAGCAAACACAGTAAATGAAAGCGTGGTGGTCATGGCGTTGTCACTCTCTGCTTTCAGTACAAAGTAATAGGCACCCTCTTGTGGCAGTTCAGTATAACCTGGACCGAATATCAGCACAGAGTCTTGTGATGTTATTGACACTTGAGGAGAGGCAGATTCTTTGGTATGATCCAATGAATAACTGAACTTGGCTGCACCATTTCCAAAATAACAGGTTGGGAATGAAATGATGGGCGTGTACATGACCACTTTTCCAATCACAACCGTACTAGAAAAGCCCTTATCAATACTCAAGGAGGGTACAACATCTTTCAGAATTGTGAATGCAACGGATTTGGTAGTGTTCTGTTTGAACATTGAGATTACTTGAACTGCAATCTCGTAGGAACCCAGAGACAAGGATCGAATGGTTTGCATGTCGATGTACAGAGTGGAGGTACTTGCAGCTGTGTTTCCATCGAGTTGACTGACATAGGTGGACTGTATGTATAAGTTTAAGCGATTCAGGTCAACTATTGAGGGAGCAGAGACAGCAACGAATGAAAACCTCAACGGACGTTTATCATTTGAGGAAGAACCTGATGCATCAATAAACACATCATCACAGATGGAAATGGATGGTTTGTTATAAAGTAGCACAATATGAGGAGGAAGTGGTACAAATCTACCAAGACCAATCACAATTTGTGCATACACAGGAATCAGTGCCGTATTTGAATCGAAAGGATTAGTTGCCACGAATCGAATAATACTTTGATCCACTACCGTTGGATTGAGACCAAGTGAAATTTCTAATGTGGACGTTGTTGTACCAGAGATAAGGGAACAAGTAGCCAAGTCTCCAAGAAGGGTCAAATCATCGGGAGCAATCAGCATGTCACAAGTAACCACAGGCGGCCAGGGCGGAGAAGATACGACAACCCCTACAATTTTATCTCCTTCCAAAGTGAACCCAAAGGAATATGGATCCAACAGGAATGGAGTTGTTTCTGGTAATGAACCATTCATCTTTTCTTTGCAATACTTTCCTTCATAACCTTTGAGACAGGTGGCACAAAATGTGCTTGCGTCAAAATTTCCATTGCATTCACAAGTGTCTTGTGCAATACATGTACCTCTTCCTGAGCACACTGAAAAGAGGTCTGTACTCTCTATCTCATTGCACGAAAAGGAAGGTGTCGTATTGTTGTTGAAATGTGTGGTCTCGTTACTAAACGAAATGTTCATGCACCTTTCATTTGATGGATACTTGTCGCATGGTAACACCACTTGTGATGTTGCTGCGAGCCATTCACATGTATCTCTACACATGCGTTCCTCACTCAAGTCAATTCTGTTGCAACTTGGAAACGCGTCAAGGCAACAAAACTCTTTGAGAGAGTTTTGGCATTTCTCATCGCAAGAGGCTGCTTGATTCGACACTAGTGTGGTGAAGCAAGCTTGTGCATTTCCGTCATAAATGTGAGAGAGATTGGATACCGTTCCAAATTCATCAGTAAATAGAATTTCATGATCCATGAAGACTGTCTTGTTGCAAAAAAGTGTATACTCTCGAGACACCTCAACACATCTACTGTGTAAAGAGGGAATCGTTGAAGAGCAATCATCGCCGAAAAAGTTTGGAAAACATGAGCAATTGTTGTGAGCAATACAAAGGCCATTAAGGCTGCAGTTGTTGAGATCTGTACATTTTGAAACAGAGCAATCTTGGCCAAAATAACCCTCTCTACATTTACAATCATCTTCGTTAACACAATCTCCGTTACCACTACATACAAATGTAATGTTTGAATACAGAATTCCCATGCAATAATAATTCTCTGTTCGATTAGAATCCGCACTCGTATCATTGTTCATTGTTGTGTTTGTGATAGTATAATTGGAGGAGGTTGTTTCATTCGTCACGTATGAGTTGTTCCTTTCGTAATTGGTTTCATTTGTCTGGTTGAAGGATGGTATTTCACTATTGTTTGAGCTGAGTGTAGAATTATCAACTAATGTTGAATTATCAAACACAGTATTATTGGAAGCGTCGGTTGAAAAGTTCAAGCATGTTGTAGAATTATCGTAATAGGTTTGATTGGAGTTATTGTCAATGAAGGTGTTATTTACAACGTCGATTGTGCAGTTTACACATGTGTTTGTAGAATTACCAACATTAGTTCCATTTTGGTTTGTCGTGTCATTATTGTTCGTAGAAGTGATATTGACCATTGTTCCATTTGTGATTGTGGTTTCATTGTTGGTTGATCCTCCTATGGAACAGTTCAAACACGTTGTGGAATTGTTGGCAATGGTTTCGTTATTGCTAGTACTATTGGTATTTGCAATGAAGGTACTGTTTGAAATGTCGCTTGTGCAGTTTACACAAGTGTTTGTAGAATTACCAACAATAGTTCCGTTTTGAAAGGACGTTTCATTATTGCTCGTAGTAGTGTTATTGATCACTACGGTGCAGCCAGAATCTACAGCACTTGCTGCAGGTGTGGGTTCAATAAATGTCTTATAGACACATGAGCTTGTTGGCAGCACCTCCCAATAACCTTGAACAAATGAAGTAACCACATGATATTCTTGAGCTCGAGATATGCCCTTATTTAGGAGTTGTACACTGATCATTTGAGAGTCACTACTGGAAGCGCTTAAGGTGATCGAGTTCACCTCAACATGTTCCACATTGTTGTGGATATCAGTTTCATTGAACCAGCCATTCCCAAAATAGAGTGTCATATTCTTTTGGGTTGTACCATCAGTGCCAGATAAATAATAATGATTCACTATTAAATCCAAATCATGAACAAGAGTGGCAGCTACAGCAACGCTTGAAGGATAATCATACCACGCTAACGTAGCTTTGAAAAATGTGTTTCCATTGTTTGCATTCAGAGCACTCTTCAATCGGAAGCATAGTTTTGCAGTATCGCTCAATGAATTGAACGAACCCTCAAGAATTTTCAACTCCACGCTCGAACCATCCATACTCAAAAGATTACCAATTTGTACCCTCCCGAATCCATCGTAGGGATTGGGCGTTCCATATTGTTCTGAAACAGAAAATCGTGGTGTCTCTGTCGACGAATATGAGAAGGTTCCCGAAAGTGGAACAGCACTATGAATGAGTGCTGCTTTGAGAAGAGGACCCTTAGGATTTGCTATTTGCATGCGAGTTTGAAAGAATTCTCTTAACAAGGCCAATGCACCTGCCACAGCTGGTGTGGCCATACTTGTTCCGTACTTGGTTATACGCGCTGCTGCGTTTGAGCCGACAGGAGCGCCAGCGTCACAATTATTCGACGTGGTTGTACCATCTGAGTGAGTGGACACCACTGTGTGCCCAGGTGCAACAATGTCTGGTTTGATTCTGTTGCCTTTTGATGAGACATGTGTGGTTAAACAAGAAAATATTCAATTCCATTCATGTGGGCCGCAAATGCAAAAAAACAGCAATCAACAGTCACGTGTACAAAATCACAATCATTACTTACCACTTGCTGGACCTCTGCTGCTAAAGTAAGCTAAATTATTCTCATTGTAGTAGGACGGATGAGTGCTATAATAAGACGACATGGTAGAGGCACAACACTTCATTCTTATCTCATGCAACGTGGACGCACAACATTGGGACGTTGAAGAAAATCCATTTTGTGTGGCTGCCTCTTGAAAATCAATGTATGTCACGCCATCAATGAAACCTTCATTGGTTGTTTGATGAGCTCCTACTGAAATTGAATTCTTGGCAGTGGCAGGATAACCCATATTCCCAAACTCTGACATGTCTCCATCATTTCCTTGAGCGAAGAGAATGACGGCATCTTTGTTGTCCCACAAAAACTGGTCTATTGCTTGAGACATGCTAGTGTACTTGTTGCAAACCTCGCAACACGTAGAAACTCCAAAAAACTGCTGGCAATCAGCATTAGAGACACCCGTGCCAGCAGGTAAGCCTGCGTAAGAAATCGAGAGAGCACAACTACTGCAATCGTACAAGCATGAGACGTAAGCTGTTGGCGAGCATCCCCAACTGTTGGAAAAGATTTTCACCTGTGCAGTTGGATTGGAGTAGGCTGTAGAGAATAAAGATGATACAGATGAAGGTATTGAAAAGACTCCTTGTGAATTTTCAAGATCTGTGAAATAAACCTTGGCTGAGGGCGCAACGCCATGATATTGATTGAGTCCAGTATTAAGAGCTTGATTTTCCAAAGAGCCGAGGGCAGTACCGACCACATGAGTACCATGGCCATTGACACTATCCCTACTGTTGCCATATTGACTGCCATAAAACACCACCTTTCTTCGATTCATATTGAGACTATTGATTGTCACCGACCTCACAGAATCCTTGAAAAAGCAATTGTCGTAATCAAGCCCTGTATCTGCAATGCCAATGACTTGATTGTTTCCAAAAATATTGAGGTCGTAGAATGGAGTGGAAGAACTGCTAATGGAAGCACTATTATTTGAGGCTTGGATTAAGGTTGACACTCTCTTATTCAGGAGTGCGACCTTCAATTTGACATCCACAAAATGTACATTGGGATGGGCAAGGAGTATGGACCCCATCTCCTTTGCGACAAGAGGAGAAAAGCTCAATTCCATCATGCTCTCACTCACCACACGTAAGGGCAAATAATCCTTACCTTGTGTGAATTTCGTTGAAAAGAATGAGTTCAATTCACCAGCAATCTGATGGGCCTCTTCAATACTCTTTCCAGACTCAATGGCATCCAGTGAGGACACAAGAGACACCTCAAAATCCATCATGTTGTTGTTGGAAGACTGTTCATTTTGACTCGATTTTACATCCTTTTCAGAGAAGGAGTCAATGCGAGGTTGGAGGCGATTGGTTCTTGAGAAGTCACTAGTGGCATTCTGAGAGGCAATCGTGTCGATCTTTCTCTTGTAGAGAGATTCCAACTTGTCGAAACGAATGGCAGATTTGAATCGAGGCTCAAATTCTCCAATCCATTCAATCACAGAGGAAGCATTTTCTGAAGATAGCGATACCAAATCACTCTCGCGAACAACCACCGCAAGGACATGAGAATTTCCCAGTACATGGTTATTTCCCAATGAGTTCATCATCAACGAGGAGATGAGATCTTTCGTTTTGTTGATCGAAGCTTGTCTCTTTCGAATTTTCGCATTCTCTGCTTGCCGCTCCCATACACCTTCACGTAGCTTTACAATGAATTGCCTTTTTGCTTCCTTTTTGATATACTTGTTATCATCTCCAAAAAGGTGGTTGTGTTCTTTTAAGGACGACTCCATTCGTGAAGGTTGTTGATTCAATAAATTATTCTCAGGTGTCATTAGAAATGAGTGCTGATCTCGTTCCAAATCATTGATGGTGTTGTCTCGATTAAGGAAGGCTCGAAATGGTATCATCTTACGAATGTTTGTATTGGGTTTGGCTTGCCTATTCTCGCTAGGATCTTTTATAATTTCTCTGTCTTGATTTTGGGCTCTTTCCACTACTGGATGATCCCTATTGATCCATTGAACAAGACCTGGTATGATGAGCAATAGCAGCAACACAACAAATATCCCCACCACCATCCAACGGAGCATGAAAGTGTTCATTATTTTGCTGCTCCATGATGGTGTAGCGTACTCGTTTTGATGATGATGATTTGTTAGAGGAGTATGTGGATGATGATGATGATATCGAGGATCGTCATGGTCATTCTCGTCCTCTTCTTCTACCTGACGATGATGATTGAGGGAGTAAGGAGAATCCTCCTCTTCCTCCCTAGTGTTCATTTTTATGCAAATCAGTTGGAGTTGAATTCACGAAAGATGGAAACGAGTTGGAAGGTTTGCGTCGAGTAGAGGTTTCGGCCTTTAATGTTTGTATAATTACTCGCGATGTTATGTATAATAAGGATAATAATAATAATAATATGGGTGAACAAATCAGTGAAGTGAGAAGGGAGAGGAATATTTCATTCATCGTCATCTGAACGAAATTGAATGTCATTGGTAATCATTATGGGAAGAGTAATCTTGCTCTGTCCACACACACGCAAGTGCTGCCAGTGTTCAATCTCGAGAGTCTAAGAGTTTACTTCTTCTTTGCTCTGCTCTTGCTTGAACTCTTTTCATCCTCTTCATCATCGTCAGTATCGAGATAGAAGTAATTTCCTTGTTCTTTTTGTTCCTTATCCTTCATGGAATTCAACTTGTTGATACGTGGACGATAGTTGGTTGGATCACGACGGAATGTAATATTGAGAGACTTTAAGAACTTGTTCATACCAGAGAGTAATGGTTGTGGAGTGTTGGCAAGGGCCTTAACAGAAGGAACACCCTCATACACAATCACTCGATCAGCCAAATAAGTGGCCATGATAAAGTCGTGCTCGACAACGAACGCAGTCTTCTTAGTGTGAAGAATAAATCTCTTAATAACCTTGGCAGCGTGGAGACGTTGTTCAGAGTCCAAGTAGGCACTAGGTTCATCAATCAAGTACACATCAGCAGGAGTACCTAAGGCCAATACTAAGGCAACTCTTTGCAACTCACCGCCTGACAAGTATTGAACTTTTTGATCCATCAAGTGATTAATGCTCATTTGCTTGACAACATCAGCTTGGAATTGTGGGTGCATGAAAGCCTCTCTAATCTTGGTGAGTAACAAGTCTTTAACGGAGCCAGGGAACTTGGGAGCAATGGTTTGAGGCTTGAATGAAACACTCAATTCTGGAATATCAACAGATTCATCATCTGGTTTCTCCTTACCGGCCAACATTTTAATGAAGGTTGTTTTACCTGTGGGATATTAATATGGGTTTGGGATTACCAAGTGAATCCATAGAGGGTATTAGGACCCACCAAGTGAAAATGTAGGCAAATGAATATAAAAATCGAATGAGTGAATGATCACAAACGATGCCAAGTGAACAAAAAAGTATGTGGCAAATTAGGAAAAGAAGATAATGAATGGATTGAATGTGTTTGAATCGAAGGAGAGAAAGTGGCATTCAAGTCAACAGAAAAATTGTCAAGTCATCAATCGATATGACGAACAACAAAAAACTCTACATACCTGTACCATTCTCTCCGAGCAAAACAACAATTTCAGAGGCAGCAAATGAACCAGCAATAACATTCAACTCGAAAGCATTTCCAAAAGTCTTTTTCATGCTTGGATAACTGTAGGTCTTTCTGGATGCAGATTCTTCAATTTCATCCACATTTTCACTTGCTTTAAAGCTCAAAGCATCATCACGGAAACGCAAGTTCTCAGTTGGAACAAAACCAGCCAAGAAAATGTTAATACCTTCTCTGACGGAGAAGGGCATGGTAACAACACCATAAGCACCAGGAACACCATACAAACAACAAATAAAGTCACTCAAATAATCCAAAATACTCAAATCGTGCTCAACAACAATGATATAGTTGTCGTGAGTGACAAGCTCTCTAATGACTTGAGCAGCTTGCAATCTTTGCTTAATGTCCAAATATGAAGAAGGTTCATCAAACATGTAGACATCAGCTTTACGAACACACACAATAGCAATTGCGAAACGTTGCAATTCACCTCCGGACAAGTCACCAATTTCACGATCCAAAACGCTCTTTAAATCAAGTTTGTCGATTTGTTCCTCCAACACTTCTCTCTCATCCTTACTCTTGAGAATTTGCAATACTTTACCCTTGGCAGCACGTGGAATTTGATCGACATATTGTGGTTTCATGGTAGTCTTCAAGTTGTCTTCCAAAAGTCTTGTAAAGTATGCTTGCAATTCACTTCCACGGAAATAGGCTAGAATTTCACTCCATTCTGGAGGACGAGTAAATTGACCCAAATTTGGCTTCTCCTTACCAGCCAAAATCTTCAATGCTGTCGATTTACCAATTCCGTTTGTACCGACCAATCCGAGCACTTGACCAGGACGAGGCAAAGGTAATCTGTGGAGTTTGAATGAGTTTGGACCGTATCTATGTGTAGTTTCCTTCTCCAAATTCTTTGGCAAGTTGATGATTTGAATGGCTTCAAAAGGACATCTCTTTACGCAAATACCACAACCAACACAAAGCTCTTCAGAGATGAAGGCTATTTTATCGGTTGGCTTTACTTCAATACATAATTTACCAACACGGACCACAGGACATGACTTTTTACATTCCTGGGAACACTTTTTGGGTTTGCATCGATCTTCATTGACGATGGCAATACGGGTGAGCTTTTCTTCGTCGTTGCCCTTTTTTCGTGAAGCTGATGATGAAGACATTTTTTTCAAAAATTCAAAAATTATTTTGTAACGCTGTGATGATGCGAGGGATCCATCTACTCTCAATTTTGAAAATGATGAATCGCTCCAATTTGAAAAAGAGAAATGAAAAGAATGAAAGCATTGAAATGTTTACAAGAAAGAACCACATGATGATCGTGAAACTCTTTTTAAAATGAATTATTTAATATTATAATTTTAAAATCAAAAAGCAAAAAAAAATGTTGCCATCTTCAGATCCGATCCGTAAAGAAGAAGAAACGCCCAACCCAACAGAAACCTCTTCCACCTCAACAACAGCAATGCCTTCAGGTCGTAAACTAATCAAAGACGATGATGAAGAATATTTATCATTCCTTGAAAAGAGTTTGGAAGAGGAACAAAAATATATAACTTCCGAAGATATTGAAAAAGCGGAAGCAATTTACAATTCGATCACGGATGAGAATGCAAAAAACAGATCAGCTTTTACTCTTTCAGTGCTGTATATAAAATCTGGACATGAAATTCTGATACACAAAGGAATTTCGTTATTGGAAAACATTTTACGTTGCAATCATAACATTTTTGAAGTGAATGATTTATCGATAGAAAGTTCATCCCATTACAAGAGAGATTGTTTATATTTAATTGCTCTTGCTTTCTATTTCTTGAAGGATTATGTAAAAGCAGAGGCCGCCGTTCAAACATTGTTAGAATTCGATAGTGAAAATGAACAAGGAAAGAGATTGTATCAATTGATTGAAAGAAAGAAAAAATCACTTCAACAAGAAGGAATTATTGGATTAACATTGGCAGGAGTGACAACGTTGGCTGTGGGAGGAATAATTGGATTGGGTGCTTTGGCTATTGGTCTCATGAAATCTAGAAAGTAGTTGATTAACTGTTACTACACATGTTTACAATTCTTTAGTACTTTTTCCCAATACTATCCTACCTATTAATTTGACATATTTGTAAATATCCACTACGATTATTAGTGTTGCAACTTTGTACATGACAAGATGATTGTGTAATTTTGTAAAATCTCTACCACCTTATAATTCCCCAATTACGGGTTGCTTTTTGTGGCTGTGAATTAATAAATATGCTTCTTTAATTGATGAGAATTAATTAAGGCAAAGTGCTTTATAAACCTTTCAGGCGCCTGAAAGGTTTCATTCAACAATTCGGTTCTATTTGAAAAGGTAATTTTTTTCTTTACTGTATTCTCAAGAACACTCCAATCTTGATGTTGAATGTCGAAATTAACACTAAAGTGATTTTTGGTTGCAACCCATTGTCAACAACAACACTGGGATTAAGGTTTATCCTGTTGTTCAATGATGGTATACGAATCTCGCGCTTGTCGATACACAAAATAAATTCCCAACAAGGACAAGAACACAAGTACCACCACAGAAGCCAACAACAAGCCCAATGAGAAGGTCCATTCCAATGCTTGATCTTGTTCCTTAAAATCATAATTTGGTGTCGCCTTTCCTTGCTTAAATAAGAATGTCTTGAATGTGAATGGTTCTATTGAGAAGAAATCTGAAGTCCTTCCTTGTGAAATCTTTTTCGATGTTGACAAGTTCGTTTCATCCAGAGTGAGGACTTTCTTATCGACAAGTTCCTTGATAAACATGGTTCGAATGGTGAGAGTTTCCTTTCCTTCATTCGTTCCCAAATGTTGTAATTGAACAAGTGCTTTAGCGTCACTTGCATCAAAACTCTTTCTATTCAACACAATATCTAAATTTGTCAAATGAAGGTTGTCACTCAATGGTCGATTGAGGGCAGAGAACTCTTCAACAAGTTTTGAAGCAGATTCCACATTAATAACAGCCTCTCCATCATCATTATAGTAAGAAATGGGAGTGTAAAAGTCTTTAGCGAATGGAGCCAAGAAGGGTGGATAATTATTCATGAGAGTTTCTTTAGGAAAAGCAATTCCTCTCAAGTCAGGTGCTTTCTTGAGACCTTGATCAATGCGAACCTTAATATTCAAAGCAATGACAGAATCGTCATTCACCATTTGATCGACACCTCGACCATCGTCACTAGAAGTTCTTCTATGAAGCATAATTTCGAGTTGACCATTGTGAATGCTAGCAGCACCATGAGTTTCAGTAACAAATAATGTAAGCTGAGTATTTCTAGTTTCATCTCGAATATAACAATTGTAGACCATGGGCATGTAGGTCGCTTCGACCTTGGATTTTCGAGATACCTTCACTGTTTCCAAACCATTCTTGTCACAATAAAAAGTTTCACCAGATGTAATAAATGCAGATGCATCAAAACGTGTAATAAGCTCTTGATCTAAATCTAAAGGTCCCACAACATAGATGTATTCAAAATCAAAACCTTGTTGTTGGGCAACCTCGGGCTCATAAATTCTCACGTATTGTTTGACATTGGCAGCAATGTCTTGGCTGACTTGTGTGAAAATACCACGAGTGGCCTTTTTGGTGATTGTTATTTTCTTTGGAGTGGATGAAGTGATGAGAGGTTTTGGATTTTGTGCTTTTGGAACAAAAATGTAAGCTCCACTGTGTTGAGAGTAATAGGATGAGCTGTCACTTTCATAGTACATGAGTTGTTGTGAAAGGTCATACTTCTTATCAGACTTTTGCACAGAACACAATGTGACTCCTCCTATTTGCGAATGTTGACAGAATGTTAATGATGTTTTACCATTGGTGACTGTGTAACCCTTCTTGTCATCAATATCTATAGTTGTTTCTTGCATGTCATTCTGTACAACATCTTTACATGGTTTGGCAAAGGCTAAGGTATAACCAAGAGCTGGTACATAAGGAATGATTAAATGCAAATCTTGATCATTCTGATCCAACAAGGATCGAACAATTTGGGATTTCAATGGTTTTCCACTTTGGTCATAAAAACAAGTCTGAGCTGCAATATCTACTACCGCATCGTCAACATTAATGACAGAAACATGATTATATATTGCCCAACCAAGACTGTTATAGACTGCAATTGGTACCGAGTAATCCCTGATTCTTTTTGTCACTAACTTTTCGAGTGTCTCAAGGAAAGTCTTGAATGAAAAAGTTTGAGATAGCAAAGCTCCATAATTTTCAAGGAGCATGTCACCTTTCGAGATTCGACTCGTTAGTAAAGTGCTAAGAGCTTTGAAGAGAGTTTTCTTTGCGGAAGAAACTCCATCGGATAGACTTTGAATATAATCTTGTGTGACATCAAATTTGGAAGTACCTGTGATTGCATCGTGGTGAGTCACATCAGCCATTGCCACAGCCAAAACATCCAGATTACGAAAGCCCTCAGAAATATATGAGCTTTTCTCCTCCTCCCTCACGAATGGAACAGAAATGGCAAACAATGTTTTGGAGGTTCTGAAAAAGCTTTCTGCTACTCTAATTGATTGTTTCAAAATGGGATATGAAGTGTAATATCCTGTCCAAAATGCTGAAGGTCCATCTGCGTATGGCATGAAATCATAATCGACAATATTTTGCGGATCAGTTTGTGGCTTGGAGGCTTCCATATATTCACTCAGCAAAGAATATTGGATCTTGTATGGATACTTGGTTGAATTCTTTTCAATGCCTCGAATGGCCTTCTCAATTAACTCGAACCGATTTTTGGCATATTTAAATGTAAAATCGCAGCCAGCAGGAATCATAATGTCACTTTGTTTAAATCCGAGTGAATATTTCATAATTTGTTCATGCAAAATTTCAGCAGCTTCATCCTCATCGACGTATGCAATTGCTCCTTGCTCATTATCAAAAAATAGTGGTCGTACGCAATATTGATAATCCAAAATGTTTGAATAAACTGTAGATCCGTCAGATAATTTCCAACTGAAAGACATTTTCTTTGAATTTCTCATCTCTGTTTGTATGGTTTGAGGAATTCTCATGATTACGGTATCATTTAGTCCCGATTCGGCATAGAGACGTGACATGGTGGTGGTACTTCCAAACGGATCAATTCTGAATGAAGTATGTGGCACAAATGTCTTGACACCACCGTTTGTTTGGCTGTCAATTTGGCTGTCGAACGTGTCCATAACAAATTGATGACCTCTCGTTAACGTGTGTATCACCGAAGTGTAAGTGTTAGCAGCTTCATCGGACATGGTCATTCCAGCCAATGAAAATTCTATTCTCTTCTCTTTTAAAAACTTGATAAATAAATCTCTCCAATGAGGCTTTGCCTCGTCCCACCAATAATTAATAAAACTCATCTCAACAAAAATAAATTTCCTTTTTGGATTTTTTTCAAGAGCTTCCAAAACGCCTTCAATGATAGGCTTTACATCCTCCTCATAGTAGGACTTTTTTGTTTTCAACCAACCAACATCCCAATGACTATGCGGGATCATATGAACTGTTTTAAAATAAATATTATGATCGGAAGATGAGAAGATTTGAGCATGAACGGATGATATCATCCTGTTTGTTGTTGTTAGAGTTGTTAGTAAAATCATCATCATCATGTTGAGGAGAGCGATCATGTTGATGATCTTGGAAGAGCGAGTTGGAAATCTCTCGCCTGGCATTTTTTTTACAAAAAAGATTTTTTATGGTTGCTGGACAACAAACACCTCAGACTGACTTTTGACAAATTTATTATAAAGACATGAACATGAGGTCAATACGAGTTGATCTTCACTTATAAATATATTTGACACAATTTTGTTGAATTAAATTATTGCAAAGAAGGGTTGGAGATGGAGAATTGTCCCTTGACATGACCCTTATAGTTGATGAAAGAAAGTTGCATGTTACTCTGAGAAATTTCAACAGCTGTGAAACCTGATTCTTCATAGTATTGCTGAAGATAGGGATGAGAAGGATCAATTTCATCCTTCTTGACCTTACTACCTGCTCCAGATACAACTATTCAATGGTTGTTCCATAGGGTTAAATACATTGTTCAGAAATAGAGAAGGGAAATGTGTGTTATTTTCTGTGTGAATAGACGAAGAGTAATGAAAAATACAATGTCTACATACTTTGATTCATACATTGACCATTTTGATCACAATCAAATCCGTTCAAATATTGCAAACTAGAAAATTTCAAATGGGTGTTGAATTTGATAAATAACAATAGGTGTGTGAAATAGTTCAACATGAATTTTCCTCACAAAAAGAAAATAGTACCTACTTGTGACTGAAAATTGTTTTGATAAAATAAACACATGGTTGCCTTTGAATTGAAAATTTTCTTCACATTACTTACTCATGTCCAGAAAAATAAACATAGAAACCATTCTGAACAAGAAGAGGTTTCAATTTTTGTGAAATGTCAGGATTATCTCCATTTTTGCCTTATTTACCAAATGTTTCAAACGTTCATATTTTGGTTATATGTATCCATGTATTAAAATCATGAATGGTTCATATTAGACGAAATTACATTGAAATGGAATTTAAATTTTACAAACCTGCAGATTTCATTGGATGATGACCAACAGCAATCTTTAAACGTTAATGATCGATATTAATACTCTTGATTGTCATGATCACCATTATGAAACTCACCTTCCAATGAATAGTGTTACTTCTTGTAAGGGAATCAATGGTTTGTTGCATGATCGTCAATTGTTTTTCAATGTTTTTTTGAAGAAGAAGAGCTGTCATATTGACCTTATCGCTCGAATAATAGGATTCAATCATGGGAGAAGTGTCAAAAACTGCTAACAAAATATTCACATTTCCTGCTTTCACCACTCGAGCATAATATTCATTGGGTAAAAAGAAAATGCTGGATCCTGGCACACCACGATCATTCTTAATGCTGTAGTCAATCTTTGAAATTTTCCAATGATCGGTCAAAGACGAATATTAATTTTCCAATGAATTGTGTCCACAATTTTAAAGTTCAATTATTGTTGAAGGTTAATGAATGAGATAAAAAAAATAACATGATTAAGCCAACATCAATGTTCATGCACGAAATGTCACGATTTTTTGTTTGGTTGAATGTCCTTGTGTGACACTTACTTCGGCATGAGCATATCCATAATAATCATGATTTCCCAAAGCATTATAAAATTGTGATCCAAAAGCTTCTCTAGGTCTATAAACATCTTCAAAACTTGTCTTAAATTGAATGTCATTCACTCCGCTGACTCCATAATCATAAAAGTTGTCTTGATAGAACAATTCAAACATTAAATTTCATCATTCAATTTTCCATACATGATGAAAGAAACGTGTAAACCCATCATTAAAATTTCGGAAAGAGATTCACATTCGTGCCATCGTCATCCTTATGATGAAAAAAGACCTACCTCCAACTCCAATCGAAAAATCACAACTCGTATTCACACTCTGACACCATTGAACCATTTGCAAAGCTACATCCGTTTGATGATCTTGACCTTGTCTTCCAAAATCTCCGATCACTGTAAAATAGCCTTTATGGCTCGTTGCCTGAGACTGAGTTGATTTCATCATCATCGTGTTGGTTGGTTTTGCAACAGATGCCGTCGCGGTTGGAATTTGAATAGTGAACGCAACGACAAGTTGTTGAGAATAAAACCATGGGACAACAAGCATGGTCATGATGATGAGGATAGAGCACGACAGGGCCATCGTTGCGGACATTTTTTTTGAATGTTGTTGATCATTTCAGAGCTAAATGATGAGGTACAGACCTCGAAGAAAAAAGATTTGTCACCAATCAGAGGGAAGAATTCGAATCCATTAATCTCATAGAATCATTTCTGAGATCAACTGTAGAGTTACAAGAATAACAGCCTGTCTTTCGAATAAATGGATGTCCAAGTACATTCGTTGCTGGTTTCTGATGGTTTTTTCATCTCTCATGAGGAATCATTTCGAAGAATTTCGTTGAATCTACTCCAAAACTCGCACTGGTTTCCAAACTTGTTTAATTACCAATTTCTGAAAATTTCCTCAAACAATCGAATAAAAAAGTAAACGAAACGTCTTGTCCAGCTTCATCTCGAACATTAAAGAAGAAAAAGAACCTGTTCATCTTCCCTCCAACAATTAAGTTTTTCATTGTTGTTATCATTGTACTTCTGTTGCAACAATTCTTTTAAACCAAACAACATCAACAACGACAACAACAAATTTCTTCTCCCACTTATTGAATCCAACAACACACACATTTACAACCCAAATGGATCTCCAACTCGATAAGAAAATACTTGTCGTGTTCTTGGTTGCTGTGATTGCAGCCTTTTCCATTCAAATGATGGTTCATCATTCCACAGACAATCCCCACATATCACATCATGCCCATGCCTCTGTCCCTACACAGGAACCACTCGCAACAACAGGTGAGGTACCAAAAGCTCATTTCCAAGCAGCGAATGAGCACATGAAAGAAGGCGTGAAAGGAGTGGTCGAGAACGCGAAAGATTATCTCCACGAGAAGAGGAAGGATTTGAAACAAGACTTGAACACACTCAAGGAAAAGGCATCATCGTGGACTGAGAAAGTGAGAGAAGCTGTGAGTGAATTGAAGGATGAATTCGTCGATAAGGCCACTCAACTCAAAGAGAAAGCAATGGGAAAGGCTAAAAAGATGAAAGCCAAAACGGGAGGAAAAGCTCGTCGTCTGAAGGAAAAGACCACCGAATTGAAAGATAAAGCGACCGACAAGATGACCGATTTGAAAGAGAGTGCCTCTGATTTGAAAGATACTACCAAAGAACAGTTGGAATCTCTCAAAGATACAGCCAAGGAGAAGATGAGTGATTGGAAAGAGAGTGCCTCCGACAAGATGAATACTCTCAAGGACAAGGCTTCGGAAAAAGTCTCTGATTTGAAAGATACCGTGAAGGAGAAAGTGAGTGATCTTAAAGTGTCCACGACTGACAAGATGAAGGAATGGACTGAGAAGGCGAAAGAGAAGGCTGCAGATGTGGCTGGTTCCACTGTGGAGGGAGTTAAGAAGGTCGCCTCTAATGTGAAAGAAGGCATTAAGGAAGGATTCGAACAAGCACGAGACGAGAGTGAATGGGTGAATGAAGAGAAAGCAGCCTATCCAGACACTCCTTTCCAGAGTATGGATCCTTTGAAGCGAGAGACTTATCGTGAAGATGTGGAGATGGGTAAAGCTCCAAGTGGAATGCAGAATACGCATACTACCACCACTTCGACTGGCAGCATTCCTGACATGACAACAACAACCACGACTTCCACAGCATCTCCTGAGACTCTTAAAAAAGCAACGGAACCATTGTATGAAGAGGTTTTGAAGACGACTCGCGAGAATAAGGGATGGATGGGAGAGAAGGCAGAGGAGATTAAAGCAAGTTCCAAACCTCTTTAATGAGGTCGGTCTTGATATAGATCAGCCAAACCATGTGTTGAGAAATAACCTTAATGAGAATAAAATCTCTGATCATCTCATGATCCGTTTCGTGTTGTGTTCATTTTGATGTTGTTCATGAGTGTATATGAACAGATCTTTTCCCATCAAAGGTGACCTTGTTTTTACAATTATGAGCCTGGTCTCCGTCGTCCATTTCCATAATCCAATCAGGAGCTTTCTTTCATTGACAGCTGACTGTTGATCGTTTCACACACTCCCGTTCACATCGGAGCTCTGACCCTCGACTCCTCCGTCATCCGCTTTTTACTGCTACCCAACAAACAAAAAATCAGCACGTGCGTGCTCTCGAGAGCCTTTGTTCCACCAACAAAAACATTCGCTTTTTTGCTACGACAACGAGTTTAGTGCGCTCTCTCTCCCCAAACAATAACAACAGTAACAACACTCCGGCCGATCTTGCGTTTTCATTATTTCTGAACTAAACACAAAACGTGATCTTTTAAAGGCTAGCTCCGCTGCTGATTTATAACAACCACAAACCATTCATCATTATCACCAGCATCATCTGTATTGGTGTTACTTCTTAGTGTTTGATTATTTCATCTTTCAAAATTTTGAAATTGCAAGTCCTCTTGTGTCCAAATTGAATAGTTCCATTCCGCCGCTCAACATCATCAACGTTAAACCCAATATTAACGATCGTACTCGAGTGCACAAAGACTAACAAATTTTGCAACATTATATAATTACCCCATCTCCATATTAATATCAATCACTTTTTGATTGTACCAAATCATTGCCTTTGCTGCTTTTGTGGTTGTACAAACAAAATCAAGTGTGTTCGTTGTAACAATCATAGTCAATTTACCTTGTACTCTTTATCATTCCGACAAATTCCACCATCATCATCATCATCAACAACAGCATCATGGATCAACAAATCATTCCCTCAGTCATAACCGACACATTAACTTCCTTGGGACTCTCAATACCTCAACAAGTCCTCGTCGGAAGTCTTGCTTTCCATCTCATCATGTACTTGTTTGTCATGAAAATTTTGTGCTTGACACTGATTAATCCATCATTTTACAAAACTCTCTCCAAAAGAGATCAAAATGAATATGAATCTCGTGTAATCTCATCTCTTCACTCTTTTGTTGTGGCATTTGGTGGAATTGCAATTTTGTTTAATGATCACGTTTTTTTATATGATTGGAATATTACACACCGATCATTGGCAACTGAATGCTTATTTTACTTCTCTACTGGATACATGCTTATTGATTTGATGTTTGTCTTGTACTATTATCCCCAAATTGGAGGTATTGAGATGGTGATTCACCATGTTTTTGTTTCAACAGGTCAAATTTGTCTTGTTGAATGCCAAATTGGAGAAGTGTTAGGCGTTTGGGTGACACAAACCGAACATACCACCTTTTTCATTAATATGAGATGGTTTTTGGATAAGGCCGGAATGAAGGATTGTTCAATTTATATTTTCAATGGTCTCATGATGTGGCTGGTGTGGTTCCTTGTTAGAATTGGTTATGCTGTTTTCAATGTTGTGTTCTTTGTGAGAAAGTGGGACGAATGGATGAAGTTGATTGAGGAGAGGGGAACTTATGGAATGTTTCATTTTGTTTTCCTCACTATTCAATGTGTGAATTTGGGTTATCTGAATGTCATGTGGTTTACCAAATTGACAAGAGGTGTCATTAAGGCTCTCTTCAGTAAGGACGTGAAAAAGAAGAATGCATAACCATGTGATTTGTCCGAACAATAACAATCACAACAATAAATTGTAGAGAGTCTTTCTCTACGTGCGTATTGAGTTATAAATGGATGACGATGATGTTTGTGTACACACACACTCAAATTTTCTTGGACAAAGCAAGGACTTATTCGGCTCCCATTGTAAACTATATTTTCTGGTTGACCAATATATTTTAAAAAATGTTTTGAAAAAAATACGCCACAAATCATCACAGGTTTGTTTCACTTTTTTTACTCTTTTGGATTTAAACCATTCCTTCCGTTTTTCTTCTTCTATCTTCTTGACGTTCACTCTCTTTTCATCATCATTCTAATTCTCTCAACAATAGAAATGGTAGCCCCAAAGTTGAACATCAAGCCAACCCACAAGAGAGAGAAGAAGTTCAGAAGATTTGATGCCCACAAATTCAAGAGATTGGCTCAAACCACCACATGGAGATATCCACACGGTATTGATAACCCTCAAAGAAGACACTACAGAGGTCATGGTGCCATGCCATCCGTCGGTTTTGGTACTGCTAAGGTTGTCAAGTATCACGATAGAAAGACTCGTTTGATCCCATACGTTGTTTCCAATGCTAAGGACCTCGAAGTTTTGTTGATGCACAATGACAAGTATGCTGCTGTCATCAACCACCAAGTTGGTGCTCAAAAGAGAAAGCAAATCGTCGAAAGAGCCAAGGAATTGGATATCAAGCTTTTGAATGCTACCGCCAGATTGAAGACTGAAGAAACTCAATAATTGTCTTATTTCTCTTAATAAAAAAACATTATAAAATTCATTCTATTGTGCATGTAGAATCATTTTGTACACGAGTTCAAATTCGGAACAGACCAGCCAACCAAGCACATGATGGTAGTGTTGTTGCTGACAACTCGATGTTTTGTGTTTAGATTAACTTTAGAATTGTTTGATCATCTTCCAAAAAAATGTATTCAAGTAGTCATCAGCAACCAACGACATTATCAGAAAAGCCTTCCAATCCCATCAGCGGAGGAGACTCCTCGGGCGCATCGGCACCAGCACAACAACCAGCATCTTCGGGATTAAAGCATTCCACTCTGAAGGAATTGGAGATGGAATTTAGCTTGTTGAGAGTGCCTCTGGAGATGGCCAATCGAGAATTTAGATCTTCTCAAAAATCCGTTGAGAAGGATCTTGGGATTTTAGAGAAGGCTGTTCGTGAGATGATTCAAAAAGCAACAAAACAAAATGTTTCTGCACAGGACCAATCTATTTTTCTTGATAAAGTGGTAACAAAATTGCGTGGAGTGAAACGAAAGCTTGAAGAAACCGATGTATTGGAAACAAATTATTTGAATAATTGTAGGGAACGTTTGGATCATTTGGAGCAGTATCCGGTCATTACAGGAGCAGTTTCCCGACGAAAATCAATCTCTAACATTACAGAGCATGAATATCAATTATTGACGGGGTGGAGAAGAACTCGAGTGAATCGAGTCGTTGTGGATTATTTGCTACGATTTGGACACTATGAGACTGCTCTTGCCCTCTCAGAGAGAGAACATATCAAACATTTGGTAGATATTGAGGTTTTTTCTCGTGTCAAACATGTAATAGAGTCGTTGATGAAAAAAGAGTGCTCGGAGGCACTCAAATGGTGCTCTGAGAACAGATCAAGGTTGAGAAAAATTTCTGTACGTTCCTCTTGTTGCTAAATGGGCAGCAATGCCATTTCTATTAACTCTTCTTTATGGTGATATTATATAATACTTTGTTGCTTAATTAACTCGATATTTGTGACAAATATTACGTACATGATGAATCATGGACTGCTTGTTTGGAATTCTTATAATGTTTAATTGGTTAAAATGAATTACTGTATTTTTTGAAATTATTCTTACTTTACGTTGATGAATTACAACTACACGAAATGAATTACTACATGTTCTCACAAATGTTCCATTATACGTTTCCATTTGTACACGCATTCAATAGAGCAATTTGGAGTTCAATTTACGAATTCAAGAATTTATTGAACTTTCCAAGAAGGATAAAAAAGTTGAAGCCATCGTTCATGCACGAAAATACTTGACATCTTCTCAGAATGACGCTAAAAAAAACACAGAAGAGGAACCTGTTTCACTCACACCCGAACAAACAAACATGGTCAAGAAAGTAATGGCATCTCTTGTATTTGGACCTTCTACTCCCATTCCCGGTTACAAGGAACTCTACGAAGACTCGAGATGGAATGAATTAATTGAACAGTTTAAAGCTGACAATTACCAGGTATGTTGTGATACAATTTTTGGAGAGAGATTCATATGTTGCCATTGTAACTTTTGGAATAATCCAATGATTGATGTCACACCAAATTTTACTGTTGATAACATGATACCGATACTATTGATATTATGACATAATGCAATTATCATTTGCGAACGATTGTACGAGTAGTTGCATGGACTCACCCGTGAACCCACTCTATTCATGCTTCTTCGTGCTGGATTATCTGCTCTCAAGACACCACATTCCTATGAAGAATCTTCCATCAATATTAATGATCCTCTCTCGAATGAACTTTTTAGGGAAATTGCTAAGGACTTACCATTCGCTCATCACCATCATTCAAAACTCGTTTGTAGAATTACTGGAGACATTATGGATGATAATAACCCACCAATGGTGTTGCCCAATCAAAACGTTTATAGTTTGAAGGGCCTTGAGGAATTGGCAAAAAAGAATAATGGACTAATTGTTGATCCAAGAGGAGGACAAACGTATACTTTGAGTGATGCTAAAAAGCTCTTCATTATGTAAATTTAGAGAGAGTTAGTACAACAAATGCTTTGTAAATAATACATTGTGAATTTATCTCACTACCACCACCAGTTGACAGTGCTCTCTAACTGTAAATGAAGCTCAGATTCAGAATAAATTCCAGACTACACAGCATTTTGTCATCAACATAACAGACATCATTAGCGCACAAACATTCACTATTTATTAGTCATTTGAAGAAAATCAAAGGATCTGGATTCATAAGATCAAAGTCATAACTTCCACATCAATCAAAAGACAAACTCTGCTTCTGCCCAATCCTCAACAACAATTATTTTCTTCTTGAGACAACTGAAGAGCTAGAATGCTTCATCAATAGTTCCTTATCAGATGCACTGACAGACAAACCGTGCAATGTTACATTCTTAAGCTCTGGAGAGGCCTCAGAGAAATTAACTGAAGTCAAAGCATGACAGTCACAAAGTTTAAGGGTGGTTAGTTGATGACATTTCAAAGTCATTCTTTCGAGGTATTGACATCTAGAAATTTGAAGTGTCTCTAAATGAGCATGACTAATAAATGGGCGTGATAATCCACATGAGCTCAATCTGACCTTGTCAAGACCACTACACTTGCTCAACATGGATGCCAAGCACATGTCAGAAAGTCTTGAACATTTTGAAAATCTGATTTTCTTTAAGGATTGATTTTGGCCGATAACTTGAATGCTAGACAATTGGTCACATTCTTTCACAGTCATCTCACTCACACAACTCTCAGCAGGAAAATGAACTGAGGCAAGTGTTGGGCATTGAGAAATGAGAACAGATTGGATCGCAGAGGAAAGAGTGACAGTAGCAAGGTTTGTACAATTCACAACGTTCAAGTTCTTAACTGTAGGTACATCACAAGTCAATTTGGCCACACCCTTGCATTCAGAAATTTCCAAGTTTTCAATATCTTGACCAGTAAAATGAGTACTAATTTTTTCGAGTCTCATCTTGTCACATTTTTGGAATGACAAGGTAGACAACTTATTAGAGGCACAAATCAATGGGCTGGTAAGATTGTTGCATTCAGAAAATCGGATATGTTTCAAATTACTATTGGTGCCTCTTGTAATCTTTGGAGCAACCAATGAATTGCACTTGTCAAAAACAACGGTTTGAATGAAATTTGAAGATTGGGCAAGCTCTCGTGAAATCATGGCCTCATTCAGATTTGGACAATCAGAGAATAAAATTTCAGTACTGCAATTACCGCCATTGTTGCCCATCATGGCGAAACTTTTGAACTTTTTGCATGAAACTACGAGTAGTTTTTTCAAATTCTGAGACATGACTGATGGAGTTTCAAGTTGAGCACATTCTCTCATGTTAAGATCGATGAGATTTGGTAACATGAACAAAGGCTTTTGGATCATGTTACAATTCACAACTTCTACAAATCTAATATTGGGACTGTTGGAAGATATGTTGTTGAAGGTAGTATCGTCAATGTTTGGGCAATTTCTAACAAATAATTTGTTCAACTTTTCGCTCTTAATGTTCAAGCTCTTCATCATGTGACAATCACTAATTTGAACTCCTTTCAACACGTTGGAATAGATATTGGCATTTACAATGCGATTGCAATTGGAAATAACAAGTGCCTGGAGGTTTGACAAGCTATTACATAACAAACTCAATACGTAATCATTAAGACTAATATTGTTGGAGATGCTCAACATGCTAATGTTTGGACACTTGTTAATAATATTACTGACAAGGCGTTCATCAAATGGAAGAAAAACACTTCCAACAGCAAGTTTCTCAAGTTTAGGACAAGGGCCAAGCTCTAATCTTTTCAATTGGTGGAGGTTTGCCATGTTAAGAGAATCAAGAGACTTGCATTTGGTTGCAATTTGTTCAAGAGAGATGATCTTTTGCAAGTTCAGTGAAGTCAAATAGTCGCTCTCAACGAATAAATGTTTGAGCTTGGTCGCTTCTGGTTGAGGAAGCACAAACATTTGAAGGTTTTCCATTCTGGGGCACTTTAGAATCAACTTTTCAATATTGGCACATAAATCAACACTCATAGAATGAAGTTTGGAACAGAACACTTCAAGATTAATCAAATCATTGCACATTAAGACAATAATCTTCTTCATAACATCTGAAGAAATAGAGAGTGTCTTGTTGTCAGTACCTGTTTGGCAATCAAACAACTCCAAATCTCGCAAGTTCGGCAATGAGGTTATCAACTGCGAAAGGTTCACATGTGCAATGTTACTGCTTTTGAGTTTTAGCTCGTTGATTTGTTGGGATTGGATCATTTGAAGACCACTCAAGTTCTTACATTGGTCAATACATAGATGTTTAAGGTTGTAACATGATTCAAAAGTGAGTTGTAAAATTTCAGAGCCAGTAAAGTGGAATTTCTCGAGAGAGGAGCTATTGATGGAGCACGAATACACCTTGTTGGTAGAGACTCTTGTAGGATTCTCACAAATGATAGAGAGCTCGCGCAAATAACGAAGCTCTGAAAAGATCATATCGAAGGTTTTTTGAGTAACGCAGTCAAGACCTCTAAGGTATAGAAATTCAAGTCTGTGACAGCCACGTATGAAAGTCGAGAGAGCATTGAAACTAATGTTTGCAACATCGAGCTTTAGCTCTCTCAAGTTTTCTCCGTACTGGCCTAATTCAATGAGGTCCTTTTCATGAAAAACAATATTTGAGGTGCTAAGGGCAGAAATTGAACGAATATTCTTGCAGTTTCTAACAAGGGATTTGACTGATTGTTGAGTTAAGCCAAAACAATAGTCCATTTCAATGGACTCAAGATTGAGAGCGCGTTGCGAAAAGTCATGAATTCCTTGATCTGTCAATTTGTGATGAGTAGAAATTCTGAGAGATTGCAAATGTGGAAACTGAGCAATTTGCAAAAGTGCAGAGTCTGAAATGCTTTGTTCAATATCGTCTTGACTGAATTGGACTCTACCGCCACTCTGTGCCAATGTATTGATCGTTCCATTCTGTACTTGAGAAGCAGTAGATACCGAAGAGCACATGGGAAGTACTAACTTTGACAATGAGGGATAAACCTCAAGGAGTTTTTGGAAATTGACAGTTAAGAGCTGTTTGCATGAGGATGGTAAAATAATTTCTCCGAATGGATGAAGCATTCGAATAGGTTTTAAGGACTGGCTAGGAGGAAGTAAAACTCCTCCATTCTTGTAAATTCCGAGTTGTTCTTGCTTTTGGAGTGATTGGCCAAATTCATATTGTTGAATGTTGTAAATGACTTCTTTTTGACCGAGTCTTCCAAGAGATTCCATGAGCATGGTCGAGCCCAATGCATAGGCTTTTCTCATGTCAAGAATTTTGAAAGAGGTAAGGTCATCAAGAAATCCAATCACATCACCCATATTCTTGATTTTAAAGTGGCCATTGTTGAAATCGATCCGTTTCCACAATACAGAATGCTTGGCTATTTGATACCATCTTTTACAAACTCCAAACATGGCATGAATCAGCATTGGTTGAGAGAGATAGGACATGACAAAGATAAGAATGCCGTGTGGTAACATTTCCCATGAGGGGTTTGCTTTGTTCGAGAGGACATGGCTGCTACCTCTTGCTACTACTGCACAATTAAGATCCATGATATCGTCGTGCCCTGAGATGATGGATGGAATAATGGCTGGTTGCTGTTCAATTGAAACAGGTAGTAGTTTCAATGCCATGGAACCTGTAGTTTCAGTGGTGGCGGTGGTGGAGGTACTAATGTTCGTTCTTCTTCCTTGCTCGAGCAAGGTACGATCATTATTTGACAAGTCTTCATACATCATGTCATGCTTAAACGAGACATCGATGGTTTCGTCTTGCATCATCTCACCAAGAGCTGAGTCCACGAAATGGTTCAAGTTGGAATGTAATTTCACCTTTTTGGGTACAGGTTCGTGTTGGCAATGTTCATCATTGTGAACATCTCGGTATTCATCATCAACATGGCCATTGCATTCATCTTCCTCAGTGGATGATGGTGTCTTTTCATTCGCTTCATGCTCAAGATACTTTTTGCGTTTTAGAGCGTTCAATGGATCCATCTGGATATGATTAAATTGTTGTTGCGGTCTAGTAGTGGGAGAAGGAAGTCCATCACGATGGATGCTTTGGTCATTGAAGTCATCATGGTTGTTGTTATTGTTGAAAACATTGTTACTAGCACGGGTGCAGCTGCTGTTGATATTTGTTGTTGAGCTCATCCTTTTAACACAATGAGTAGTAGTAGTTGAAGAACTCTGAATGACACGTGTTGAGCTTTGCAGAAGCAATAAAACTTGATGTTGTTGTGGTTAGAAATGTTGTACTTTCTTTTTGAAAATCTCTTCTTCAGATTTGACCTGTACTGTTGTTCAAATGATGACAAGAAGTTATTTATAGTTGGTCGCCTTCTTCAATCTCCTTCAGGGTGCAAGTCCCTCTTTGTCTCTTTTCTTCAGAAGATTCGGATGAAGATAAATGGGCTGTACAAACCCGATATTAATAATCAACCCGTAACGTATGAATAGGGACAAAATGTAAAAGCAAATAGAGAGTATTAAATCACCCAAACCAACAATCCCCGACGACAAACCAAACAATTCAATACAACCTCTCTAATTGCAATCCGAATAATAGATTTGTAGCACAAATAAAGTATTAGAAGAAGAAGAATAGGAGCAAACAAGAATCAAGCGAATACAAGCAAATTGAAGGCAACACACAATGAGCGGTCTCAAACGATCGAGAGAGTTGGGTAACCGCTTTTTTTGATGAAGATGGAAAAAAAATTTGACTCCGATTTATGAACATTCATCATCATCATGATAATACATTTCGCACCCAAAGTCCTATTTGGAAATTGATGGCCAGGTTGATAGCTCTGTAGCTTCGAGAAAGGCACTGAGATAATTGAACTGGAGCGCATCTGAATGTTCAAGAAAATTACATCACCTCGACATCATCATCACTCGAGATATTTTTCTACTTTGCATCATCACACTCGTGTAGTTTCAAGATTTGAATGCTGGAACGAAGAGCACTGTAGCCGGCTGATGCAAGGGAAATTATCCTCTTGAATTTTCAATATTAGCACTAATTGACTAAAGCTTTCGGATTATTCTTTTCGTGTTTTACTGCGATGATTCAGCTAATGCACTTGTAATGACAATATGCTCATCAGCAGTTGAGAACATGTTTCTCACATAGATTATAATAACATCACACAGAAAATTCATCTCTTTGTCACAAATCTCGGAAAAGAGAGCTTCTTGCTACCATATGTTTCCATATGTTTTTGAAACACCCGAATGGTATCTGAGTTTGCAGTGAGCACATTCTCTACCTATGACTTTCAGAACCTCAAGTTACACACGCCTCTCTTCAAGAGTTTCGTGAGACCATGAGGGACAAAGACAACAGACACAATTTCTCATTATTTTGCATGAGATGCAATGTATGAATGTATAAGCAGCATTTTAATCATCTTCCCCAATTGTTGTTGGTTTGAAAACCTATTCTTGCTTCTAATTCACACAAGGAATAGCAAGTCCTCCTACAAGACGGAAATTTTGTGATTGGTTTTTCGAGTGCATATCATTCAATTTCACACCGATCTGACCTCTTCCGGTCGAGGATCTTTTTCATGCGAACCGTCAAGACAGCCAAGTTTGAGCAAACAACTCATTTCCAACACAAAAAAAATGTCAAACAAGCTCATTTCGTTGGTCTTTGTGACCACCTTCTTGTTGATGACCACCTTCTTCATGTCACCACCTTTCTTTGTGAATGGCCAAATCAGTGCCGATCTCACCATCAAGATTCCAAAAACTTCATTGACTTGTCAACGAACTGTGACCTACACTCCAAGTACCACCACTGTGGCTTTTGACAGCACTTCTCGATGCGATCTAAATGCCACCAAAGCACTTTCACTCGGAACGTTCACTTCAATGGGTTTACAAGCCAGTGTCAATGTTCTCCCAATGATCAAAATGACTGCTCAAGCAGGAGTCACTTTATCTGTGAACATTTTTGGCAAAATGACAAGTGTTGACTTTGCTTTCAATGTCGGTGCATCCATGGGTTTTGATGCCCTCTTTGAATACTTGGATAATGATTCCAATCCAGGTTATCAAGTGGGTGGTGCTGATCAAATTGTCAAATCCTATCCATTAACTTCTCTTCAATGGTCTCAATTGTCTGTTGTTTCGACCAAGATTGATGCCAACACCACTTTCTATCAACTCTCCACTGAAGCTCAAGTTGGAACTTTGTGCAAAGTCAAACTCATTGGTTATCTCACTACCAATGAAGTCATTCTCTCAAGCACTGCATTTGTTTCGAGAGATGGAATTCAACAAATTCTTGTTCCTTCCTCCTTCAAGACCTCTCTTCAAGTGTTAAATATTTCACCATCGAATCCTGCTGCCAAGATTGGTATTTCCACATTGTTGGCATTCCGTGGAAAAGTCAATACAAAGGGTACACGAAGTGCAACCAGTCCAGCTCGAGGTGAAGAACGTCCCGATGATGACTCTGCTGATCAGAGTGTTCTTCAAATTGATACTTCTTCCTACTTGTCTGGATTTTTGAATTTACCAAGTGGTTTCCAAATTCCAAAACCATTCTTCTCGTATCAGACCTTTGTGAGTAAATTGAGTGGTGCCTCTGGAATTGCCTCTGGAAGATCGAAACTTATCTCCACTTCTCTCACTCAAGCCACTGACGCAAGTGCCAATGTCAATACGGAAATGACTGGATCCATTTCGGGATCCTCGGTCTGGAGATTTTATGCTTCCTTGACGGAACAAGTTCAGAATTTTGTGTGGGATCCTTCATTGGGTAGTTCGGATGATCGTCCTCCTTCTCCAACTGTTGTTTCTGGAGTCTCAACATTTAGAGGTGGTGTTGCTGCTCTTCTCGCAGCACTTGTCATGATGTTGATCATGATGGTCATGTAAGAAGAGAATGATGATAACACAATAAAGCTTTGTGACCGCGCACATTTTCTGGAATTGTGTCGAAATAATTAGTTTCCTTTACAAGAAGAAGGTTTAACGTTCATGCTCAGCATTGAAACACGGAAGAATCTCTCCCATCGCACCATCATGAGTTTGTTCTTCGTTTGGATCGCACAGGTTCAAGAGTTCACTAACAAACACATATTTTACTCTCTCTCTCCTAACATGAAAACAGTTTAATTATATTCGATTCAAAGATGTTCATCCTTGACTCGAGTCGGCTATTGGAGGCGCGGAATATTATTATTAAACAATTCATTCAATCGAATTTATGAGCATTTATTTCAAAAAATTCATCTCTCTGTTTGAGCTTAATTGTTGTCGCTGTGTTGTAATAATACACAAACACAATTGTATTGAATACAACGGACTGACTCGAATTTCGTTCGTACTTTCTCAATAGAAACAACAACGACATGATGAGGAGAACAAGTCAACAACAACGTTTATTATTGGTCCTAACAGCTTGCAACAATTGTTTCGGAAAGAAAACGTGGTTGTTGGTTGAGCAGCAACAGCAGAAGCATCTTGATTCTTCTTCTTCCATAGTTCTTCTTATGAATTCATTTAATACTCCAAAACTCTCCTATCATACCAACAACAATCCGATGAACAATACAACATCAGTCAATCACCAACAGCAACAACATGAAGGAATGAATGGATTCAACACCAATAATCATCATCACCACTACGACATCAAGAATCATCCAACGACTACAAACATCTCTGATCCACAACAAGTGAGAGTATCACAAGAAGAACACAAAGAGCATCAACCATTCATTTCGCAACTGATCCTTGGTGGTGCAAGTGGATTTGTTGGAAAGCAATTGCTCAAACATATTCTTTCTCCCAATTCCCAGAAAATTAAGGTTCCTTTTTCGGATCAATTATCAAAATTGTCACAAGTAAGTGTTTTGGTGAATTTCACAAATTTGAATGAATGGAATGCGAGGATTGTTATGAAAATTTTGTAATCATTCACATTCAATCTCATTGAACCACTTGAATTATTTGGAAATTGAATTTTATTTAACTCAACGTTGATGCTTTCTATAATTGTTGTGACCTTATCGAAAAGGTTACAGTTTTATCAAGAAGACCAGATGAAACGAGACAAATTTTGGAACAACAATGCCCTTTTCATAACTGGGAACGAAAAGAATCGATTCAAGTTCAAATTAAGGATTGGAAAGATTTGAATCAAGTCACAACAGAAAAAGATCCATTATTTCTCTTCAAACATCAAGTGTGTGACATTCGAGAAACATTTGACTCTTCTAACAAAAAAGTAGCTGCTGTGAATTTGAGTGGAGCATCTGTGGGAGAAAAGAAATGGACACCCGAATACAAGCAGGAAATTATCTCATCACGAGTGGAGTCGACACAACATTTAATGCAACATCTGAATAGTTTTGGTGATTCTGCGAGCGTCTTTATTGGAACAAGTGCCGTCGGATACTATCCTTCTATTCCTGATCTATCTCCTCATGCTCAAATTTATACTGAATACAATTGCCCACAAGCAGCAGATAATCCATTGGGAGAGGTCACCAAAGCAGTCGAAGACACAATTTCACAAACCAATTTTGAGAATATCAAAAAGAGAATAATATTGAGACCAGGAGCTGTGATTGGAAAGAATGGAGGCATGTTGAGTCATATGATTATACCTTACTTGGGATTTTCATTACCCGTTGTGTTTGGAACAGGTAAGTAACCAAAATATTGGCAATATTTGTTTTTGCAAAATCCAATGAATTCATTTCGCAACAATTTGATTAACACATCTTTCAACTATTTGATTGTCACACCAATGCATCGTTCACTGATGACATACTTGACAGGTCTACAACCATTAAGTTGTGTTCACATTTCAGATCTCAGCAATATGTATATTCATGCACTTTACACAAATTTCAATAACTATTACCAAGCACTTCAGGGAAGGACTACATCAAGCAACGGCACCAACGTCACATCTAACCACGAATCAGCAGTAATTGTATACAATGCAGTCATGCAAGACATGATCACCTTTCAACAATTTGTTTCCTATCTCAATGCAAAAACAAATTTATTCTATTTACCATTAATTCCAATGTCCTATCGTTTAGCGAAAATAATATTTGGAAAGGAACGAGCTCAATTATTGTGTGAAGGACAATATGTGTCACCCACTCGATTCATGCAAGAAAATTTTCAATTCAATTATCCCAATCTCCATTCTGTTGTTGATGAAGTTGTATCCAAGTAGTAGTAGTAGTAGTTTGTTGATTGAGAATGCGCTGTTCGTGATTTAAGGTTGTTGTCGGCATTCATGGGTAAAAGAAACGTGCACAATAGCGAGAATTATCTCAATTTTGAAATCCCTAAATTTCATCGCGCTCTAACATGTGAATGATGATGTGCATAAATGGAACATGTTAGCGCGATGAAATTTAGGGATTCTTAAACGTAATCCATGATTCTTGTTCGTTCCCCAACATTCGATTCTCATAAAATTCAATGATCCAATAGTACGAAAGAGAATCGTTTTCTGATTTAGGTCAATTATAACGGGAAAGTGTCAATAACAGTTGACATTTTTCAACAACATTTATTGACTGCTATTAGCCTTTTGCCTTGTAAGAATTGAACAAGCCTATTTTCTGAAACACATCTCACAACAACAAATCTTCTCTTATTTAGGTCATTTACAAAGAATTATTGACACCTCAAATAGCATTCGCACAATACATTTTATTTCAGTTTTCCACTTTATCCATGTAAGATGAATTTTAATTTTATCATCACTTATCAATATATGTAACCTTACAAATTTGATGAAATTCAATTTAGTGCATTGATCAATTTTTTGTGAGTGTGTTTCCATTCTTATTTTTAGAGACACAAAACTCGAAATTGCGAACATTCTCAAATTTCAATCGAAAGACCTTTTTCAAGCATATTATCCATAATCTCTTCGTGATGATGAATTGCGTGTTTTACTTTTATATTCACGAAATGAACAGTGACATTGAATTCTCGTCACTATGAAAAAGGTCGTTTTGTTTCGCAAAGAGCACTTCAGAGTCTCTACGTGTCAACAATTTTATTCTAGCTATGGAATCAAATTCTGCACAGACCATCTCACCAACAAAAACAAATCACCCAAACGTCCGAACGGTGACAGCTGTCATCACAAAATAATTCCTGTTCTATCTCCTTTCGCCTCTCCCTTTCGTGATTGTGTCAAATGTATCCTCATCACCACCAACACCACAATCCATTCACTTTTGGATCTAGTTGTTATCCAAACAACAACAATAACAACATGACAACAACCATCCACACCAATAACACCACCAATAACATCCAAACAGTTGTCTCTTCTTCTTCCAAGTTGATGAATCTCAAAAAGCGAATATCATCCAGTCCATCCTCCTCTTCCTCTTCTTCCTCTTTACCTTGTTGTTTGAAGAGCTATCAATTCATTCACTTTGATCAACAACTCGAACGAAATAACAACAACAACAACTCCTCCTCCTCGAAAGGACACGCAAATGAGCTCTTATTTGTGAACTGTAATGTGCCTAACTCCAAGACAAGTCCAAACAGTAGCAACATCCCCAGTACTACTAATACTCCAACTACTACTTTGATTCCTTCTATGTTGAATACAACAATAACAACAACAACTCATCATGATACTCTTCTTCACTCCAAACCCATTCCTTGCGTTGGCTTGAATGGAAGTCTCTCTTCCAACCACCACCTGCCTCCTTCTTCAAGAATCTCCAAGAAACACAAATCCTTTTCTTCTTCCTCTTTCAGCAAGAACACAATGAAAGTACGAACCATCCAATCCAAGAAGAACAACACCATGATTCTGAACATGATGATGATGAACAGTTCAGAAGATTCTTCCAATCACATGACCAGTCGTGGTTCTGGTGGTTCATCCTCTTCCTCCTCTCCAAATACTTCTTCTTCTTCTCGACAACAACAACAACAACAGAACACTTCTCCAAACACCATGCTCTTTGACTTTAAACTTCAAAACAGTGGTTTCGATTTTGTCGTCTTTAGTAACACCTCTCCAACCACTTTCAAGAGAAGTTACCGAAGAAAGGATGGAAGTCTCACGAAAAGGCAGAAAGAGCTTTTAGAGATTCAACAACAACAGAAACAGACACAGAAACAACAACAACACGAGACGACAACACAGGCTTCTTCTTCTTTGGCAAAATTGACAACAACAACAACAACAGGTGGCACCATGGAGGTTCGAGAGAGGATGAATCGTGATGATCCTCATCAACAGGATGATCATCATTCCTCTCCCATAACATTTTCATCATCATCATCATCATCGTTGGTCGATTCGACCAATAACAAGACAAGATTGTCCATGATGAACCCAACAAGCACTGCTTCTCCACTCCAACCTGATCAATTATCCCATACCATCATGGCGAGTACTAGTTGTATTCCTCCTTCTCCTTCCCAAACGGTTCTGCGAACAAGAAGAACCTCCATCTCTATTGCAGAGTTATTAAATTGACAACCAATAAAACACATTAGAGGATCAAAGACACCCTTCTGTCCTTCCTTCTATTTTTGTTAATCTCATGAATTTGATTTCATCAGAATATTCTGACACAGAATGATGTTCAGAATACACTGAATACAACGACCTATATTAATGGCGATTTAACTGAATTTAATGATTCATTCATGAAAATACTCACCTAAATTGTTGAACCGTTCAACACCAAACTCACAATTTCAAATAAAAAGAGAAAAAAATGTCCCTTCAAAAAAAACTTCCCTTTCGGAGAGGCTTATTAATGAAATGGTTTCAACATCATCAACCTTGTTTAAAGAATCATATTGCTAGTAGTATTCTCAAAAATAATAATAACACTTTTTCAAAATATGGTAGATGTTTCAGCTCTTCTTTAACAAATCTTACGACCGTTCCGATGGCTCAAAATAATTCGGAATCGTCTGAGTTTGAAAAACAAATCAAATGGTTTGATCCATGTTTCACTCGAGATGGCGTTCATCATCATGAAACAGTGAGCACACCTATTAAAATTTACAACTCTCTTTCGAAAACTAAAGTACCATTCGTGATAGAAAAGAGAAGGTGGACGAATCGTACCGACTCGGAAAATAATGATTCAACATACTCACCGCCTCCAATTTATTGGTATTCTTGTGGACCTACTGTCTATGATGCTTCACATCTTGGACATGCTCGTAATTATGTCTGTTTGGACATTATTTATAGAATTTTAACACACTATTTTCAGTATCAAGTGCTGTATGTGATGGGAATTACGGATGTGGATGACAAAATTTTGAAAAGAGCTGCCGAGTTGAATAAGCAGCCATCGGAAATTTCACTCAAATATGAACGTGATTTTATTACGGACATGAAACGACTCAATGTCACTCAACCTGCAGTCTACACACGAGTCACAGAGCATATTGAAGAAATTAAATCATTCATTGAACAGATGGAAAGGAATGGATTCACATATGTAACGAAAAACGGAGGAGTTTATTTTGATTCCAAAAAGTTTGAAAATAGTGATCACCTCTATGGAAAACTTGCTCCAAATACCAACCAAGAGGAATCCATTCAACAAGAACACATTGAATTTCGAGATGAGAAGAGAGACCCTCGAGATTTTGCTTTATGGAAATTTACCTCGAGAGAATATATGGGATGGGACAGCAAATGGGGATTCGGAAGACCAGGTTGGCACATTGAATGCTCAGCCATGATCGATAGTGTGTTCAGAAATGACACGAACACCAAGAAACATGATTCCTCTATGGAAGAAGAAAAATATGCCACACTCGACATTCACTCTGGAGGAATTGACCTTGCCTTTCCTCATCATAATAATGAAATCGCTCAAAGTGAAGCATGCCATCATCACCAATTTTGCTCTTCAAATCGTACCAATTGGTGCAACTACTTTATACATGTCGGTCACTTACATATTCATGGCCTTAAAATGTCGAAATCTCTCAAGAACTTTATAACAATTCGAGAATATTTAGAAAAATATACGGCTGACCAATTTCGCTTATTTTGCCTTCTCCACAAGTACAATGAAACTGTGGACTATAGTGAAGACGCTATTGAAATTGCAATCCGTTACGAAAAGAGAATTCACGACTTTTTACACAATGTTTCCTTCTACCGAAAGGAGCATGAAGAGAATATTGGAATGAACAAATCAAGAAAATGGGATAGTGACCTGAAAGAATATACTCTTCAATTTTTGAAACTTAAACAAGCCATTCATGAGGCAATTTGTGACGACTTTAATACTCCTCTCGTGATGGATCACATTTCCACAATTATTAACATGATCAATGCTCTCTTCTTTTCGAAATCCTCCAAGGACCTTCTTGCCATTGATGTGTTGGAGAATACAAGTCATTATGTGGTTGGAGTTTTGCGCATGTTTGGACTGAAATTAGGAATGACTGCTCGACAAGATTTTCAAACGGGTGAAACAGAGTCCGATGAAGAAATTGCCAAACATCCATTCACGAGCAAAATTATTGATCTATTTGTGGAGTTCAGAGCTCAGGTGCGAAAGGAGGCCCTCAATTCTGAACCAAAACCAACCAATATTTTACGTATTATTGACGAGCTGAGAGACAAGAAATTAAAAGAGCTTGGTATTCGAATTGATGACAGAAGCTCTGAAAAAAGTATGTGGAGATATGATGTGACTGTAAAGGATGTTGTTGACAACAACAACAACACCTCAGACACTTGTGCTAAATCACAGCTCAACGAGCATCAGCAACAACTGGCTCTACGACAACAAGAAATTGAATTCAAATTGACTGTTCCTCTCGAACAATACTTTAAACTAATGCCTCAACATACCAATAAGAATTATACACAATTCAACGAGTTGGGCATTCCCACACATGATCATGAGGGACAACCCCTTTCCAAGTCAGCCATTAAAAAGTTGACCAAAGAAAGGGAAAAGCATGCTGAGTTTTTGGAAAAGCATTCAAAGCAGAAATAATCAAGTTTTCAGATTTTACAACAACAGAATGCAGGAAAATTCAATTCAGCATTATTCAAATTGCTACACTGTATCTTCATAGCTTGGATCTGTTTTCTCATCCTGATCTTCCTGATCCATTTCTTCTTCCCTTAAGGTCATTTGAATTCCTTGATGTCATCATCATCGAATAAATCGGAGGAAGGTATTTTGAGAATTCAAGCTATTCTCAATGAACTGTTGTTGCTTGATACGGGATGTTTTTTGAAGATGCTGTCCTCTTCAGTTCCCACGAATATAGCTCTCGATGTCATTATTCAAGCGAAAAAGAAGAGTATCATTGAACACGCTTTAGGGATATTATGCAAAAGAGTGTCAAAGATCCAAGACGAATCACTGACGTACATTTTGTTTTCAAGCATAAATATATAACACTTTCAGAATTGAAACTCCTACATATCCTTGAATATCAAGAAGTGGTAGATCGTCCAATGATTCGAGTACTTTGGATGAGACAGAAACATCTGTCAATAGAAGTCACAAGAAGAATTTGGAAATGAAAAAGCTTTCAAAAAGATATCCTATATTCAAAAGTAAATAGAACGTGTTGAATCAGAGCAAGGAGCTTCACAAGAAAGTGCAAAAGCAGAGCAACGAGCTCTCCAAGATAAATTGGAACTCGTACTTATTCCGACACTACCAAAGCAAAACTCGATCATTTATATCGGCGCAGCAACAGCAATTATATTTGGTTTAAAAAAGATGATTGAGTCATTCAATGTAACCAAGTCAAGCAACTAACTTCACAAAAAGCTCATGAGTGGAGGATCCACTCAATCCAAACAACGGGTTTGAGAGCACCCTCTCATGTTTCGAAAGAGTAAACAATAAAAATCGTTTGTTAATTTAAGGAAGGACTAATGGGTTTGTGGTCTCGCCAAACACCCGACCTTGAGAAAGGTTACGCGTTTGTGGAATTTTCTGCATATTTTTGTAGAGTCCCATTAATTAAGATCAATCCAAGAAGAACTCCAAAAACCGCCCAGCGGAAAAAAAGGAGAAAACCAAAGAAACGCAAAAGGAAGTAGGAAGGATGAAAGCAGAGACGAAGAATCCATGATGTGAAGCACAAGAAGTCACAGTTAAGCGGAAGAGAAAAAGATTCCATGATGTGAAGTCACATTTAAGCAATTTCTTGATAAGTCCATGAAAATTAAGAGAACATGAAGAATGAAATACATGAAATTAAAATCACATATAAAATATATAGATAGCTCAGTAAAATCCTTTCCGAAAAGATTCGAATCAAGGTGGACCATTCCGATCGCGAAAAAGGTTAATAAGCTTAAGAAACAAGTGGTGGGAATGCGAAAGTCATTAAGCAACGGAAAGAGAGGCTAATATGCAGAAAATTTTGGAGCATGGAAAAAATTGTTCAAGCTCAACCAAACTCTTTAATTGTTTATTTATCGAAACATTCATGCCGTTCAATTCGTTCAGAACATATCAAATGTCTCAGAACTTTCCACATACTCATGGCCACAAAACTTTTTTCCCAAAACCCCAAAAGCTACATTTTATACAGACAGCCAAATTGCAACCTTAGAAAACTCATCTCACACAATCACAAATTCTCTTAGCCACTCTAATCCAGATTTGAACGGCTCCGCGCTGCTGGAGCTGTCAACAACTTTGGCAGCCAGGACCATCTGGCTGAATGGCTGTTCGCTGCTGCTGCAGGTTGGATGGGCCCTCAATGGACCCTAATACCAAAATATCAATTTGGAGAAACTGATCAATAGTCATATATGACAATTACAAAATACTACCTGTGACTGCTGTAATAACAACTTAACCCTAGAACACTATATCTACTATTTCCCTAAAACTCATATCTATAGAGATTACTTTAAAGTTCTTCGAGAACAATGTTTTTTGATAAGTAGTTGTTGAGATCAGACTTTATTTATTTGTATGCCATGATCTGTCACCTCAAATACTTCTCACTCTAAAAGGATTGACTGGATGGTTTGCCTTTGACTCTCTCCGCAAAATCAACGACAAATCCTCATTCTGTGATGACTAAAGAGATCGTATCCTGAAAGGCTGTTGATAGATGAACCATCTATGGCGATAATGTTAGATGAGTTGCGCAGTAATTAGGTTTTCGAGTACTGTTTTGATTTGTTTCACAAATGATGGTGTTTTGAAAACAGGGTCCAATGTTTGGGATGTTGAATGAAAACACCGTTCAACTTCTCAAGGAGATCATGTTCGAGAAACTTGCCAATAAATGAAAAGACTGCGAGCTTTTGATGGTAGCCATGATGATCCTTCTTTTGTAGATCAGGTAGAAGATCATGATGAGGAAACCCTAGACTCGAAAACTCCAAAGAGTCTATGTTCAAAATTTCAGAAAAAAGATTCTGTGCCATCAGGTTTGGATGCCAAGTGGTCGTCTCTTCCTCTACTGCTGGCTGATGATATTCCAAAATATGAAAAATCATGTGCGAGAATTTCAAAACAATGGTTGAGTGTGGTGCAGAGTATATCAGTGGTATTAGATTTTACGCAAGATCCAATTTTTGATCTGGAAACACTGAAAGATGTGGTGAAGTGTTCCTTTCTCAATGTCACTAGCCTAAATTTATGTGGAAATGAAATTGGAAATACAGGAATTAAAATTCTTGTGAATGGAGAGCCCTCCTCCGTCTTGAAAAACTTGACTGAATTGAATTTAAAAGGAAATAATATCTTCAAATGAGAACAAATTCTCAACTTGGATTGGAATGAAATTGGCAGACGAGGGAGAGAAAGCAATTTTAGAAAGTCCATATTTGAAACAATTAACAGAACTTGATTTATCGTGCAATCAGATTAGTCACGAGACGATCCAACTGTTAGAATCAACTTTTAAAGGACATGTATCCCTTGACGGAAATGAGATGGTTGAGCTTTAATGTGTGCATCAGCTTTTGACATTCAATTTTTTAGTTTATCAATTTAGTTCAATAGCATTTGACATTCAATCGGAGTGCAATTCTTTACGAAATTAAGAGTGACATACAGTAGTTTAACCTGAGCCAAAATTTGCCAGCGAGTTTGTTGGTGTGTTGGTTGCGTCTCGCCCTTCGTGTGTTTTGTGGAAGACCATTCAACCCTGTCCCTAATGAAAGAAGACAACAAAATAGGACATTTTATTTAAATCAATTCGACAAAGATTTCACAAATGGTGACATGAATTGTTTTTTGAGTTGCTTGTTTATGATGGGAGTTGTTCGGTTGCCTTCTGTTTACGATTATTGGACATCTCCGACAGTTGATAAAATTGGAATGGGATATTTCTTTCAAAACCGAATGAAACAATATAAATTTTGTGAAATATTTCGATGTCTTGATTGTGAAATTGATGAAATGGAATCTTTATTGAATGAAACTTTTCGAGAAGTGTGGGAACCTGGGTATGAAATAGCTGCAGATGAAAGTATTGCAAGAGCAACAATGCATAATAATCCTCACCATAAACATGCTCCCAAAATGTGACATCTTAATTTTGTAAAGAATTTCAAAAAGAGAAACAAATTTGATTTTTTATAATTTTAAAAAAAATGCCAAAACTTTGTGTACATTGCAACACCAGAAATGCTGCTCTCAAACGACCAAAGAATGGAGCCATGATTTGTCGGGAATGTTTCTTTGAGTTGTTTGAGAATGAAATTCATGAGACGATTGTTTCAAATCATTTATTTAAACCCGGAGATAAAGTTGCAATCGCGGCCAGTGGAGGAAAGGACTCTACCGTATTGGCTCATGTGATGAAGGTCCTGAATGATAGATATGGATATGGATTGGATTTGTATTTATTGAGTATTGATGAGGGTATCAAAGGATATAGAGATGATAGCTTGGAAACTGTAAAGCGGAATAGAGACCAATATCAAATACCATTAAAAATTCTCGGATATAAAGAATTATATGGCTGGTCCATGGATGAAATTGTTCAACAAATTGGTCTCAAGAATAATTGCACTTTTTGTGGAGTATTCCGAAGACAAGCACTCGATCGTGGATGTGAGCAATTGGGCGTGGATAAGATGGTCACGGGTCACAATGCTGATGATATTGCAGAGACTGTCTTGATGAATATTTTGAGAGGAGACATTGGACGATTGCAACGTTGTGTTGATATTATAACACATGATGACGGTGGTTTCAACATTCCACGTGCCAAGCCATTCAAATATACCTATCAAAAAGAAATTGTCCTCTATGCCTACTTTAAGAAATTGGATTATTTCAGCACAGAGTGTTCCTATTCTCCAAACGCTTACAGAGGACATGCAAGAGAACTCATCAAAGATTTGGAACAATTACGACCTCAAACAATTATTGATATTGTCAAGTCAGCAGAGCAATTTCGGTTTCACAAGAATGAAGAAGTTCATGATGAGCATGATGGCCCATTAAAGAAGCGAACGCTCACTAAATGCATTCGATGTGGATACATTAGTAGTCAAGAATTGTGTTGAGCATGTGTTTTTCTTGAGGGATTAAATAAGGGAACAGCTCGACTCGCTCTCTATTCAGATGGTCAGTCAAGGCCAAACAGAGGAAAACAAGTGGTCGTTAATGAGTCACCAACAGCATCGTCAAGCACAAAGCCTGCTGAAAGTAGTTGTTCGAGTAGTGAAGTTCCTCCTTCTCAGAATATCAATAATGGGGTCTCTTCTGATGCATCCAATAAGACCACACAAGACAAGTCGTTGGAGTGGTGAGTGAGAATTTTCCAATAAAAAACATTCCATAAAAAATTCCCTCAACCACTTCTCTCGCTCATTGTTGTTTTAAATTTGGTTGCTTTTCTGTCGGCCACAACTCTCTTCATTGAACTCTCCTTGCATCATTCGCTGCAACAAGAACAAATTGTTGTACCACCGCCTCGTTTGTTTCCGAAGTGAGAGAGAGCAGGCACAACTTTGCAGAGTGCATATCGTTATTTTGCAAAATCATCATCATTAACATTTTTCATCATCAGACAAATTGGACCAAAAGAGCAAATATCGGGTGGCCCATTCAAAGCCCGATTTATTGTACCAACCACAATCATTACATCCCTTAATATTGAGATCTAATCGTTCAAAACACATCAACAATATCATCAGAGAGGAAACCACAAATTATTATTTACAATTCCGTACATCAACATGAATCTTGCAAAATATCAAGATGATGAACAAATTGATGAAGACTCAACCTCAGATACTTCTTCATCGTTTGGATTTGATGGTACCACCTCCGAAGCTCCAGCTGTTTCACTTCACCATCACCATCCTATCAACAACCATAGTACCACCACTACCACTGAACACATTCCATCAGAGGAACAACAGCTCATGATATCAGTAGCGGAGGCTGCTAACGATATTTACAATAACACGCAACTCGGATTGCAAGAGAAGATATTCGACGGGTTTTTCATTTGCTTCTCGCAAGCTCTTTTAGATCCTCACTTGGAAGATTTAAAGTACAAAATATTATCTAATGGAGGGCTGTTTTTTGATACAGTTACAGACAAGGTCAATATTGTTGTTCTTGCTAATTCTAACAATCATGATAAGGACAGGATCAATTATGCTATCAAACACCAATTACCAATCGTTTATGAAAACTATATAACGGATTGTTTTGCAGTTTGTACTCGTTTGGATTGGAAGCAATATTGTGTTCCACAAATGGACCACTTAATTGAAGATATTGCCCAACTTTATCAAATAATACCTCACCACAATCTGGTTACGTCATCGGAACATATTCACCAACAAATTCATGATATTAATGCCTCTAACTACAGTCTTAAACTCTTTGTGAAGGGTTCTAGGAATTCAACATATACTGACCAATTTCCAGAAGTTCTCTACACGCTCACATGGAAGCACAAGTATGATGCTCGGATTTTGTGTAGCGAAAAGCTTTTTGCTGGAAAACATCAAGGCAAGATTATGGAGAATCTTGAACTATTTCTGGTGATGGGATACAATGATCGTATTCCTGTTTTTACAGATGAACCAAATACACCATCCACACCTACCAACAATATTTCTGCATCCTCAAAACAGAATACAAAGAAAAAGAAGCAAGCATCGTCTTCCGCATCATCAACAACAACAACAACCTCTGTATCATCAAAAAAGAAGGGACAAACTAGGAAGAGTGAAGATAAGGCTACCGTTACAATCTCTAGCGTTCATAGACCATCAGATGAAGAAATTGTTATTAGATTTGGAATTAACAGTTTGTACTGTTCTAAACGATTTCAGTACATGCCATTCCGTCTCTGTGTCAAGTATACACCAATGGATTGTCCTGTTGATCAGCATTTCACCATTTTTTCTCCAGAGTTCAAAACCTTTGTTAAAAAGGATGCAAATATTACAAAATATTTAAATCAACCATTTCCTCTCAATCCCACAGTTAAGGTTATTACCAAAGCATGTACAACAACCACTAGGGTTGAATTTTCCAAATTCACAACATCAAGCTCTTGCTCATCACCCAAACAGAACACATCTACCAAGAAATCATCAAAAAAGAATGGAAATTCACAAAAGAAACGAAAAAAGGATGAAATTGATGAAGATACCACTGATACTGTTACTGCTACTACAACCGCACTACAATATCCTCAAGTGAACCCCTACGATCAGAATGGAGCAGGAACACCTGGTACTCAATGGCCTGCAATGAGTGATATGAATATGATGTATCCATTTCTTTCCATGTTCCCTCATCATCATCCCAGCTCAATGTATCCTTCCATACCTCCGCATCCAACTGTAGATCCCAATCTTGCCTTATATCCGCCAATGATCCCTCAAATGGGAATGACATGGATGAACGAACCTGTGGGCATCAATCCAAGTGGTGACATTTTTTACTCACAAATTTTCAAAGATGGAATTATCTATAAGGTCGCCGATCTAGTCCTTGTTTCTCCTTGGGAGACGGGTGAAGATGGTGAGCCTATTGAAAATGACAAGCAAGACAAGGATGATACAATCGATGATAGAAAGCCCATTGAAAAATTTTGGATTCTTAAAATCATTAATCTACTTCAAACAAAATCAGGAAATATTCGGTTTATTGGACAGTTTTTCTATAGATGGAGTGATTTACAGGGATTTTCATGCGATATTGAGCAAAGCACCGCAATAACAAAATCCAGAAAGAACCACGACTTACCACCAGAAAAAGAAGTGTTTGTCTCTTTCGATATGCACATCGTGCCCATGTCACATGTTCATGGAAAATGTTTTGCCAAATTTTTGGACCCAGCACAATTAACAGACTTGGATAGAAAATGGCTTGACAGCGACAATCGATTTTTCTACCAATGTGCCTACAATAGAAAGACCAACGAATTGGTGTTACTTGAGGAACAAGTCCTCAAAATTCTCAGAGAGGATGAAGATCACTCTCCACCACCCCACACCAGTCATCCTACACCCATGCCAAATCCACTATTTCCAATGAATCCCATGAACCCAATGAATCCAATGACTATGAATCCCATGAGTGCATTGAGCCATGGGCATCCAATGGGTCCCATGCCAACCTCAAGTCTATTCCCACTTCCCTCAAATCCTTTTGCACCTTGGTCACTAAATCCACCTCCTTTCCCGACCTCTTCTGCATCTTCGACGAGTTTAGAGCCTCCTTTGAAGAAGACGTCAACCACGTCTTCCTCTTCAGATAAGTAAGACAATTTGTGTGGAGAAACAAGTTCTAATTGTCAACCACCGTCATTTGGATATTTTCAATGATATTCTTCATTACAAGAATGAGATATTGCAATTCAATAAAAATTGAATAAATTGAAAATAATGGTTAAGGCATAAAATTCAACATTTAATGTCCTCATCTTTCAGAGGAGTACTTTTCATGGCTGACTCAATTCCGTAATGGACATCGATCCATTCAGAGGAGTACTTTTCATGGCTGACTCAATTTTCAGGAAATCTTCTCTTGCAATGGATCGATGTCCATTACGGAACGACATACCCCAACTCTTCTTGTTCGTTATGAATTCTAACTCGTTCAACAACTTTTTCACAGGTACATCTTGCATATCAGTATCAAAATCCACTTTAATTCTCCAAGGCTTGAATTCATCACTCACGGTCACCTGATAGGGTTTGTCTTCTTCGTTGACAGTGGCCAAAGCTGTGAATGCATGGCATTGGTTCGCCTTACTGTTTCCACCTTCGAATTTCAATTTTGAAGAATAAAAAACAATCCGATCTCCAGCTTTCATTTTCGAGAGTGGATCACAGTTCCCATGACAAGCTTGAGCAATACCCCATTCTATTCCTCTGGCAATGTGATCCTTGGAGGCAACAATGAGCCAGTACTTGTGAGAGGGTGTTTTCATTTTTTGTTTGGATATTCTTGCAACCGCTCGAACTATTTTTAAACGTGAGGACAATTATTTGAAATTGTACTCTTCAACAGTTCTTGTTGAATATTTGAAGAATCCATTTCCAAGCGCTGGTTCTGTTCATTCAACCAAAATTTAATTGCATGATTATAATTTATTCTTCGAGTTTTCTCTTCTTATCTTCCTTCTTCTTTTGATGAACAGCACTCTTAATCCATTTCGTCTCTGATTTCTTCTTTTGTTCAATTGCTGAGGCAGCTCCAACCTCCAACTGTTTCAAATCCACATAAGGAGTGTTCTTGAGTCCAAAGGACTTGGTCACACCAGCCACATCCAACAATTGGAATGAGAAAATATCCTTCAATGGATGAGAGGCATATGCCTTGATGAAACCCTTAAATGCTTCTTCTGCATTCTTGAATAAATAATAATTGGAGGAAACAATCTTTTCGAGTTGATCTTGAATATTTGACATTTTAGATCGAGGGAAATCTAATTCATTGAGTGGAATATGTGCCTCACTCAAGTACTTTAAGAATCCAGTTTCTGAAGGCAACAACAGCAAGAGAGCACGGCCTACATTGCCAGCTCTTGCCGTACGGCCCACGCGATGAATATATTCCTTTGGAGCTTCGGGTGGATCGTATTGGACAATCCAGTCGACTTTTGGAATGTCCAATCCTCTCGCTGCAACATCAGTGCTCAATAAAATTCCACTCTCTGCATTGCAAAAATTGAAAAAGGCCTGTGTTCGCTTATTTTGCTTCATTTTCCCATGAAGAGCTGTCACAGTTACATTGATATAGTTCAAAAGTTCTGAAAAGTATTTCACAGCTGCACAACTACTCATAAAGACAATAATTTTCTTTCCCTTCTTTCCGGCAGTGGTTGTGGCCAATGTCTTTTTGAGAAATGAATACAACAAGACAAACTTTTCAGCTGCTGGAACCACGACATAACCCTGTTCTAAATTTTGTGCTGTTGAATATTCTTCCTTGTCCACTCCTTCTTCAGTGCTTGTTACGCTAGTACTTGTATTCAAATCCTCAATTCCAACAAAAACAGGATCTCTCTTAATACTCACTCGAGCAATGTCAGCAACCTTTGTCGTTTGTGTAGCACTAAACAACAAGGTTTGTCTTCCCTTAGATGGTAATAACTTGACAATTGCTTTCAATTCTTCCTCAAATCCATCATCCAACATTCGGTCTGCTTCATCCAACACCAATGTAATCAAATTCGTAACTAGGAACCCCTTTGTATGCAACAAGTGATCCAACAATCGTCCAGGAGTTGCAATGACAATATTTGCTCCCTTCACCAACTTTTCTGCCTCTTGATGTTTCGATTGTCCACCAATCAACAAGGCATGAGTTTGTTTCATAAAGGTCATTAAGGACTTACAAACCGCATAGGTCTGTATGGCCAATTCTCTCGTTGGACTCAATACAATTACTCCCGTTCCATTTCTAGGTTTAAATTCAGATCGATATAACAACTCCAAACAAGGTAAAAGGAATGCCAAAGTCTTTCCACTTCCAGTTTTTGCTTGTGCCAATACATCCTTTCCAGCCAAAGCAATGGGAATGGCACGAGCCTGAATGGGTGTTAGGTGTTGAAAATTCAATCCCGATTCTTCTCCATGATCAAAGGCTTGTTGCAAAGGCTCACAAAGTTTGAGTTTGGAAATGGAAATATTCGTTAGGAAAGAAGAAGTGGCTACTGATTGGCCATCTTGTGTTTGCTGTGGTTGAGGAGAAGTGTCTTTAAGCGAATATCCATACTCGGAATAGAAATCTTCTTGTGTGGTGGTTGTGGAGGTAGTACTAGTGGTGGCTGAAGAAGATTCCGAGTCGGTTCTTTCGTTATTCTGTTGAGGTTGTTGTTTTTCCTCATCCTTGTTCTTCTTTTTCTGTTGTTTCTGTTCTTCTAATTTTCTCTTCTTGGCCGATGATGATGAATTTGCTTGTTTCAATTCCGAAGAAGAGGTTGGGTTATTGTTGTTGTTTCTATTCGATAATTGTTGAGTTTTTGATAAGGTTGTACCATCTTGCTCCTCAAGATGGCGATGATCATCCTGTTCTTCACTCTCCTCAGCTGCTCGGGTCAAAGCTTTTGCTTTCAACTTTTTCAAGAGTTGTTGCTTGCTTTGTGATGAAGACATTTTTTTCAAATATTTTGATGAACTCGCAAGAGGATAATATTTAAAATTCTTCTCGCATTTCTTTAGAATTGACATCTCTCTCACTATGCACTACTAGTAGGCCACTCCAGTAAAATCTAAGGCTTTGCTCTTCTCCACAACGTCATCATCCTCTTCCTTTTAAAATTCAAAAACTGTCCAAAGCTTCACCAAACCCATCGATTGGAATTCAATCAAAAAAATGCAAAAACTTGTTCGTGCAAGGAAAGCTCAACAATGGCTTTCACCACTCATGGGATATTGTTGTTGTTGTTGTTCTCCACCACACCACCACGTGGTTCAAAAAATTCACGGAGGACTACCCGAGTCTTTATGTACCTCTTCTTCTTCTTCTCGATTATTATCATCATCCATTATTTCTTCTTTCCACCAAAATCAAAACCATCATTACCACCATCACCATAATACATTTTCTTCTCATAGGAATTATCTGGCTGTAACATCTCACTCCAATTCTAGAATCTCCACAACAATGATACTCATTCATCATCATCGGGATAACATGAGAGAATTTTCTCGGAACGTTTTACAATTGAAAAAGAGTGGAGTAGAGAACGATCCCTTATTAAAGATTCTTGATTTTGCAAAACAAGAAGCAAGAATGAAAGAAGAAGGATTTAAAAAGACTAAAGATGAGCGGTTCTACACCAAAACATATATTGACCCCGAAATAATGACTCCCGAGGAAAAACAAGAATATGAAAGTGGTGCTTTTGATAATGTCGATGAAAATGAATTTGAATCATGGATGAAGAAATTGGAAAAGGAAGAACGAATCATGTCTCGTGCTCATGATGAGTCTTTTTTGAATGATACAATTCCGAGAGAAATGAAACAGCTCAGTTTTTCAGACTTGCTCGATGAAGCAGAACAATATCTAGTTCATGGCAAACCCATTCCTTTCTTTAATAGACTTGCAGACCACATTCCTCGAGGACAACGGGAAGACATTTTCAAACGACCTGATTATTCTCACTTTAAAAACAATCCACCAACGATGAAAGATGCTCAAGAAATGGTTAAATTTGGAGATGAAAAATCAGATCTTATGGAGGAGAAAAAACAAGAGGTTTTCCGAAAAAAGGATGGAAAGATTGATTATGTGAAAACTGAAAGGAGCATGTATTATCAGCCAGCTTCTAAAAACCTAAGTGTTTTTTCATCTCAACAAGAATCTTCTGGTGACGACATGGGATCTACGGAGGAAGCATTCGAATATGACACACCCGATGATTATGAAAGAGTGAGGGTTCCTGATGATGCCTTTTCGGCCTATCACTATTTTAGAAATGAAGTTTATCTGCGCCGACTGGATTATCCCAAATCACGAGAAGAAGAGGAAGAAGAAATTAGTGAATTTTTCATTGAAGCTTACCATGATAAAAATGCTCCAAAATCATACGGTGACGATACATTGGTGAAGGAATTTCTGTTAAAACGATATGGAAAATTTGACAAGACAATCGCATCGTTAGATGTTGGACAAAATACTGCAACGCCCATCACAGCATTGAACAAATTATTTGAGATTAAGGATGACTTGATGAATGCTCAAAAACACAAGGAAGATCGAAAATCTGAGATAATTCTCGATCATATTCACAATTTAAATCGAATTGTTCTTGCTAAAGGACAAATAGAAGCCAAGTTTGAATACAATCCATCTACAGGCAGAATGGAACGAAAAAAGAGAATTATTGAGGAGGATATCATTTATGAACCCATCAAGAATGAAGATTTAAGTGAGGAATACAAAAGCAATCATGTTAAACATATGAAGCGATCCAAGCAGAAATTTATGGCAGAAACGGAAGATGAAATTGATGAAGAAATGATGAATCAATACATGAAAGATTTGGAGAGTGACAACATGTATGAAGATGAAGCCACAACAGAGGAGATTTTATTAAGTCGACTCATGAGGAAAGTCAATCCAAACAAAGAAGATGTTGAAACTTTCACAGAGTCTGAATTATTGCAACTTCAAGAGCTTGTCAATGAATATAAGGATGAATTTACCAAGCTTGCATCAAGAAAAAGAAGAAAATCATATACACCAAGAGCACCTACTTTGGAAATGTTTTTACCTAGTGACAGTGAGCTTGAAACAGCCATTGAGGACGAGTTTGGAGTGAGTTATGACCAATTTAGCCAAATTCTTGAAGAGAATCCACAACTGCAGCAATTGATGGCACAGGTCTCACATGATGCTGATTTTGGTTTTCGAGCTCTCTCTCAAGCGATCGTCGATATGGGAGGCACTCAAAAGGTCGAAGAGAAGTTGAATGAAAACAGTAAGGTGAATCGATCGTTCGAAGAATGGATGAAGGTGTTTAGGAGTGACAGTGCCATGAGAAAGCCAATGTCAGAGCTGCTTGAGATGTATTCAGGAAATTTCAAGAACAAGAAATAAATTTTGCAAGTTTTGTTCATGAACCTGTGTGACCTCAACAACAATTCCAATCCTTTCAACATTGTAATTTCTCCAATAATTCGTTACGAAATTAAGTTGACTCTTAGAACCCTTTCTTGTTTTCCTCGAATTTTCACTTATTAATGCACGAAATTAAGTTGACTCTTAGAACCCTAAGTGAAAATTCGAGGAAAACAAGAAAGAACCATGAAAACAAGCAAAAACAAGGGAAATTAATTCAACATCGATGTGCGAATTTCAAGGATTTGAAGAATAGTTAAAAGATAAATGATGAGGTTGTGTTTTTTCGTATTTGTTTCATTTTTGTCCTTTCAACAGAGCAAAACTCAAAACTTGAAGAATTTGAAAAAATCAAAGCTTTTGGCATTTTAATGCACAGGCCCAAGTGACACACAGAGGTTAAAACTCGAGCCATAATTTGCCAGCGAGTTTAATGGTGTTGTGAACCTCTACAACAAATGCTACAAAGAGCATCATTTTATCTCTTTTAGGATAAACATTGGTGTTCAGAGATTTTCTACAAGGTGGTGTGGAAGTCAAAATTGATGGTGGAATAATTAAAGAGAATAATACATGTTGTTCTATACTACAAGATCGGTGCTGCTCAAATTCTTACTATTGAGGAGATTAAGCTCTTGGTGTTTCTGCTTTTGAAGACGTAACTTTAACCTTTCAAATAAGTTTGTTAAAAGTTGTTTCACCTCTTTGCCAATGTCATCAAAACAATCGTCATCTCCATTTAAATATTTCTTTCTGCATTCATCAATTAATTTCTTATTAATATTAAGGGCAAGAGGACCTGGACGATTTAAATCCATATAACAGTTTGAATGTTGTGAAAATGAGGAAAATTGATTGGAGGAGAAAGGTGTGTAGTGAGGATGGAAGTGTATAAGTCAAAGCTCAGCAAACTCCAATAATGAATCACAACAAATAACATACCTTCAGGATTCACATATAAATTGAAAATATTAACAGCCATTTCTACTTTCTTGCTAATGCGAGATTCTTTTCGATACGCTTTCCATTCCTTGCAAAAAAAAATAGACTCCTCAGCATACTCATCGACAGCAAATTGGGTCAGAATATTACAAGCTTTTGGATGCTGTAATAACAAGTGTCACAAATATTATTTTCATTATACGGGCATTGCAATCATGATTACATACCTTCAACACATCATCAATGTTCGTAAAACGTTCCATATAAATATCCACATCTTCTAAATTAATTTTCAATTCCAAATCATGAGCAGAAGGAGAGCGACTCACCTTACACGACGGTGAGGTATTCTTTCTCCCATCGTGTGTTATGGTGTCAGTATTTGTTTCTGTTGATTTCAAGAAACTGGCCGATCGTATCAGAGCAGTCGGTTCAATATATTCATTGAGCCTAATGGGTCGCAAGAATAAATCTTCAGCGCTTGAAGATTTTTTATGCGTTGCTTCGGAACTTTTGCCACAACTGATGCTTGTGGTGAAGAATCCATTGCCACCACCACCTCGTGGAGACTTCTTCCAAGGTGTTGACATGTGACTCTCCAACGAATTGCTCAACAACGGTGGTGATGATGACATAGTCAGAGAAGTAGGAATTGAAGGACTCTTCTTCATCCTCAGTGGTAAGCTGAGTTTCTTTGCGAGTGATGCCAAGGGTGAAGATGCATTATCAGAACTAGGGCTAGAGGAATCATAGTCGTCTGTGGAGATGTTTGATGATTTTCCTCGCAGAGAGGAGGACATTTGGTTGCTGTTATATCCTCCGTATGGATCCTGATAGACATCATCCAGTAAAATTCGAATGTCTCCAATTCTTTCGTTTTTCTTTCGTTCTTCTTCAATGAGCTTTCTATAATTTTCATCCAAATTAGATGTAAATTGAGACATATCCAAAATGCTGAGTCTCTTGGAGCATCGTCTGAAATTTGTGAACCTATAAAACTCCTTCTTCTTGTCCAATAGTTCGGAAGATTCGTGAATGATATGAATGAAGAGTTTTTTCGAAATCATTTGATTACCCAAAGAGATTGCATCACTGGTATTCAAATTAAATAGTGAACTCAAGGTGCGGATAGCCTCTTTACCACTAAAGCAATCCTTGTAAGTAGTAAAGAGGCATGTATGATCTTTGGGTTTAATTTCTCGTTTGAATTTAGTAAAATAGAGCAAGAGCTCTTGATCCGAAAGTTGTTTCATGTTCAACATCATCAACAACAACAAATGAAAGGCTTTTCAATACTACTATTGCACTGCTACTACTACTACTACTACTATTGTATGTATTAATACTATATTGCACTACTACGTTCCAAACCAATGATGAAACACGCAAAAGTTCGTTGTTGTTGTTGCGGTTTGTTATTGTTGAGAGACCACCAACACCACCAACACCACCACCACTCACGAGATGAGAGAGTTCTATTCGCAAGGAAATTGTTCGCTGCTGATTCCGAGTAAGGTGATTTGTCGGTGTTTTGATTTTTTTTTTATGAAAGAAGTGAGCACGAATTTGGTGTGGAGTTTCTTAATGTCATTGAGACTTCACTTACATGCAACCTTCCTTTTGGAGAATCTCCATGAAGAGAGTGCAGTTATGATGATAAGAATCTTGTTTAGGAAGAAAGGAGAGAAGGTAAGTGCGATCAGTTAATGTTGTTGTTGTTGTTATTGTTGTTTAAAAACCATCACCATAGGTGTCTGAAGATGGCCCAAAAGGAGATTTATCATTGAATTTGGGGTTCAATAGGTGAACAGTGTTGATCTTCAATAAGGACTTTTAAATGAAAGGAATTGCAAATGCATGACAAACCTTCCGGCAGGTCACTCTTTTGAACACTTTCCAAACGTGCGTGGGGGTCTTATGATGGACTATAAAGGTAAAAGTCATTCGAACATCGTTTCTGTTTTGGACGAAACATTAAAGAATCTCCGTGCGCATCTTCATGGAGATTCTCCAAAAGGAAGGTTGATAGTTCATTGAAAAACTGTAAATCTTCCACACGTTGTAGCCACAGGGCGTTCCTATCCTGAAACTATTCATTGTAAATTAATTTATTAATTTTCAAAAAAAATGCACAATTCTTCATCTAGCAATAACATCATCGCCAATTTATCCATTCCGACCATTTCCAATCTCTCGGTTTGCTTTAAATTGTGTTGCAATCATCATCATCAGAATGACAACAATACGCAATTCAATTCGGAACACTTAAAAAATCAAGATGTAACAAAGAAGAATTTATTATTTGTACAACCGAATGATGATGAGTCAATACGGAAAAAAGAAACATCATCATCCTATCCACAACAACAACCTCATTTACCTCCAGATCTTGCGGAATGTATTGCAAATTGTTCACAAAAAAGAAATCAAACGTTTTCATTGTTTTTGGGCTTGAGTGATGAAACAATTGGTAAATAGTGAACACAATTCATGTTGAGGTGGTGAAGGGGTAGAGAAAGATTATAAGGAGGCCTTAAAATGGTTCGATCTTGCTCGCCAAGATTTTTCAAATGCTCAATATTCGTTAGGATTGATGTACAAGATCTTGGAATAGGTACCGACATAGATTTCGCAAAGGCCGTAGACAATTTTCAGCGAGCAGTTTTGCACAATCATGCATGAACCAATTTTTTCGTTAGCAAGATGTTATATTTTCAAAACCTTATCAGTTTGAAAATAATGTAAAATTTTTTAGTCAACTGACAACTTTAAAGTTCCTGGTTGACTTGAGGTATTGAATAATGCACAATTACTCGTACTTGTTGCTTCCACATATGCAAAAGGCAATGAAAGTTGGAATTCCATGTTCACAAGAATGCCATCTCAATTTGAGAAATACCACAAGAGCGTTTAAGGCACTTTGAAAGAAGAGTGAATAACCTTTAATCGACCTTCCACTTTCTACATGGAACTTTACACAACTTGAAGCACTTCAAAACGAAAAAGATTTGTTACTCCTTTGAAAAATAAACCTGCCAAAAATGTGTAATCAATAAAATTATTAAGCAGAAAAATACTCATTAGTGGAGGTTTCACTTCAACGTTGCGGTTTATTCACATAAATTTTTATTAGAACTGAAATGTCCAATTTGAACAAGAGGTCGGACTGTTTAATCAAACACCTAAATGTTCCCTCGAACGACACTCCTATCGACAAGGTGACACTTAAAAATCTCCATATTTAGTAAATGATACAACCCGACCTCGCCAAAAGGATGTCAAGCTTTACTCGTCTCAATCCAGCCTTACCACATTTTTACCTCTTAAATACTACAATCCATGTTAGTCACATCCTTAAATGGTGACTTGTGAGCATACTTTGAACGCCAAAACCATCAACAAAAAAAACAAATTGAAATATTCTCTCCAGATGTACTGGTGTGTGGTTTGTAATTCTAAGCCAACCCAAGAGCATTCTGGAGGGTTTGGCTTGAACTTTGAGAGAGCATTTGCTCACAAGGCAGCATGGAGCGTGTATATTCATTTATTCATTTTCCATAAAATGGAAGAATGGTTTGAGAGTAAGTGACAATGTTCTTTGTTAAGGATTAGACCTCAGTAACGGCAACAGTTTTTCACGTCGGTGAATTGTCGTCCCTCTGAGAGAATTCAAGGATTGAAGGGATATAACCAATTCACATTCTGTTCCCTCTTTTAAGACGAGATCGATTTGTAAGTCTAGGCTGACATCAACAAGGTTAAGTGTGAAACAAATGTTCCAACAGATTCTCTTTCCCCACCATTCATTTCTGATAATAAGGGCTGATAATTGTTTTCATCACTGGAAGAGATAAAAAAGGAGATGGATAAGAAGATCAGTAGTGTGAAGAAAGAGTATGAGGATGTGATGAGAGAAAGCAGCACTCTTCCTGGAAATTGATGAATTTGCCTGAAACAAAAAAGCAGGGAAGGAGGTTTTTCCTTTTTTAACAAGAAAAAGAATGTTCATCCAATCATTGTTATTAAATCCAATAACAAACAACAACACCCTTTTTCTTCCGTTATGACGATGCAATATTTGGAAAGAATGGTTTAGAAATATGATAAAGAAGACAATCAGATTTATTGTTGTTGCAACAGACCAGTGTTCAATTCATTCTTTTCAAAATTTCCAACGTACATCATGCTCATTTCATTCAGTGTGTAATAATCATTCTCTTCAAAACTAGTGCTTCCTCGTAATTGTTTTTCCAGTTCAAGTAATTGTTTGAAAAATCCTTCATTCGGTAAAATTGTGGACCTGACATGACCACCATGGTTCATAAAAAGTTCAAATTTGAGATTCTACTAACCTAGATTTTTTAACAATGAAAAAGGCTGTTTTCAAGAGAAATTGTAAATAGAAATATTAATAATGAGTCATTTCGTTGGAAAAGGTTTCAACCACACATGAAAAATTAACAAACCTTCTCGAAGAGTAATATTAAATTTTCGCATCAGATAGGCTATGCAAATGGTTGAACTTCTAGAAATTCCAGCAGCACCTATATTGTCAAGTTCACAATAATTTCAATTAAATTCCAATTTTGAATTTAAAGAAATAATTATAACAGTTCATCATTCAAATGTCATTTCTCGCAACATTTCTTTCACTTCCAAATATACAACTCACACTTACAGTGCACCAAAACTGCCTTATTCTGTTCATTCATTCGTTCAATAAATTGAAAAGTATCATCGAAATATTTTGCTATATTTTGTTGAGCTCGATCGTCCACTTCCACTCGCAAATAACACATTCCATCATGTTTTTCAAAATAATTTGGAATTTCTGTGGTACAATTGATTATTCCTTTGATATTTAATTTTTCAAGACCTGACAATCGTCGGGCGTGTCCAAAAGCACCTATTTGGATTGACAAATATTGATGTATAGAAATATTTAGATAGTCATCAACAACAAATCGAGTTCATGAGATAGATCATCATCATGTGGTCAAACAAATGAATGATTGTGTTCCGATCGGAGTTTGAGATGGTCAATAGACGTGATGAACAGTGAGGATCGCAATTTTTGAAAGCCTTTCATATTATATATTCAACAAGTGCATACACCTACCTAAATATAATTTTGAATCAATAATGGTTGATGGTTTATTCGCGAAATAGGAAGACATTTTTTTTTGTAAAATTCTTCCATTCCGAACTTGATTTTGTGAAAAACAGAAAGCATGTTAAACAGTCTGATTCAAAAAGACTCCAAATCTGTACGAACAGAGAAGCGTAGATTCTTGTCGTCCCACGTAATGGACCATCCTGATTATTGACCCAAGCACAGCATAGTTTGTGATATCAATGGAAGGCATGAATTCAAAAATTAGAACGTTTATCGAACATCACTCACACATACATTGCCTAATGTTGGGCACATCATAAAATCTTCCTTTGGAACTTGCAACGCTTGTTGTTGAAGATGCGGTTGAATCATTCTGCCCTGGATCTTCTCTTCGTTGAGAGGTCTGTTGGAGGTGTCATTTCTCATTACACAACAGTCGAAAGATTCTCTCGTTTTGGAAACCACAATGAATGGAGTTGGAGAAAACTTGGGCTTCACGGATCGTTTCAGTAATGGAATGCATTTCCTCTGTTTTTCTTGATCAAGACTTACTTTTTCTGATCGCTTTTCTTCGATCATTAAGGAAACTGACTCACTAGGTAAGGTGTCTAACCTCTTTTCTTGCTGCTGGATCCAATGATTGTTTGAAAATTCTTCCAAAGAGGTGAATGATGATTCATTTTCGTCTGATTCGAGCTGTAATGGGACGGATGGAAGTGTCAGAATTTTAGACATTTCTAAATAATCTAAAGGAGAAGACATTACTGCAATTTCTAAATAGTGCTCACACAAGGAAAAGAGAGAGGAAGTGGTTGAGGAGACAAGTTGATCGAGAGATTGATTGGTTGTGTAAGGAAATGAAGCATACTTTTGAGATGCTGATTCAGTCATGAAGTTGAGGTTGTTACTGAATACTGATTTGAATTTCCTTAATGAGGAATGTTTTTGGAATGTTAAATCAATATCGGATTCTTTCTCATTCTGATTTTTCTCTTCAATAAAAGAATCACAGCAGGAAGACGATATACTTGCGCAGGCACCCATGATAGTATTAGTAGTGATACAGAGCTGTATTAAAGATGTTGGGTCAAGAAGTACAGTAACCGCTTCTTTTTTTTTGGTAAGGCTTTAAGAGGAGGAGAAATGGAAGTGAAAAGTACGCTCTTACTCGAATGCATATTTGACAATTTGGTAACCAATACCTTAATAGGTGTTTGAATATTCCATCGATGAATAAGGCAACACCCTTGATCGAGCGAAGTGTCTTCCCGACATGCTAATAAATTCCATCCTCAAAGAATATTCATTGTCAAGGAGGATATATTCCAACAAAGATTTGAGAGGATTCCATTTTCACTCAAAAACCTTCCGCACTGGAAATTGTAAAGGAATATTCATTAATCTCTAATGAATATTCTTTCTCAATATCTTTCTTATGCTCTGTTGGAAACACTTGACAACATTTTCTACCATCCTTTCAAAAGTAAAAATTGCAACTATGGAACTCAATGCACATCCAATGAAGGCGTCCATCAGTTGTTGTTCATGACTCTTATGATCATGAGAACACAAAAAACTCGAAAAGGAAATCATTGCATGAAAGAGAATCATGGCCAACATGGATCCTGAACTTTTCACATACGAAGCTCGTTCCAGGACCATTTAATTCTAGACCTTTCGATGCATTTGAAACGTGTTATTTAAACTGAATAGGCTTTCATAAATTAAAACATTCCTTTAAGCTTGGGATGTTCCAAAGGTATTGGGTGGTTTCAAAGATTCAGGGGCGTTTCAAAGAATCCGAAACATTCCAAATCAGCTTTTCAACTTGGGAGTTTCAACTTCAAAAAAATATCATCACATTTGTGTCTTTCTTGGTGATATCAATCTTTCTTCATTATCAGAACTGCTTTCTGATCCTTCACTATCCGAATCGCTTTTTGATCTTGATCTTGAGGCTTGCGAATTGGATCTTTCATTATCAGAACTGCTCTCAGATCCTTCGTTATCAGAATCACTTTCTTGTAGATTTCTTGGAAGTTCATTATCCGAGCCGCTTTCTGATCCTTCATCACCGACTTGTACTGGATTAGAATTATGTGAATATTCTAGAATTTCACGATTTGATAGTGTCATTAATTCAGTGTCACTCATTGTCAACATTTTAGCAATAAGGATACATTGAGCTTTTCTTTTTTCCTCTGCATATTCTTTTTGACGGACAACATTAACAGAGGGTCTTAATAATTTTGGCTTTTCTATAGGAAAATCAAAGTCTGAACGCATCCATTCCTTGTGGTGATCTAATACTTGAATATTATATTTTTCTACGAATCTATGAATGTCAAACAACACAAATGCAATTTTAAATTCCACACATTTTCCAAATCTCCACTCATTTTAGCAACTGAATGAGGATTGAAAAATTTGAATTTCTCACCAATATGAGAGAATAATGTTTCAATCATACCACGAAAAGCACCAAATTCTTCATTATATTGTGCTTCACTGTATGTTAGATCTTGATTTCTTGGTTTTCTAATTGGAGCTCTGAAATTTGACTCATCAAAATCATATCCTTTTTCTTGCAATTTTTCAATATAATCAGGAATTCCCAAGAAATAACCACCATCAATATACAATACATCCACACTAGGATCTAATAGTTTTGGAATTCTCCCCATTTGCTTGAACATACCAATGTCTGTATTAGGAGCACATGGTAGGGATTTCGAAATAGCAATTGCTAATTCTTGATTATCCATCAATACTTGAGTTCTTAATCCAGAATCTTTATATTTGTAACTCCAATACTCCCTTTTAGGATATTTGGCTAAATTACTATATTCAATACGTGTATCATGACCATCTAAAAAAGTGGTTCCATCCTTGAAGCCTTTTTCGTTTTCAATTATACCAATAAGACATTGAATAATAGGATTTGAAAACATTCTTTGCAAACAAGTGTCAGCCCATTCATTAAGTTGGTCATGAAATTCAACGAAAATTGTGTGATGAATTCTCCATATTGTAGACCTTGCGATAATTCTCCTCTCATTTAAGGATCCGAATGTTTCATTTTCAAGTAACATGTAAAGAATTAATAAGATTTTGTCCACATTACGATAAGGACCTTCTAACCATCCACAGATAGTACCAACAGTATGTAAGAAGATGAATGTAGCAACATATCCAATTCTTTGGCGGACTATTTCTTTAATTCTATTCATTGTAGGAATATCCTTGATATCCTTTCTACCTTTTGATTTCTGAATAATTGGCAGCTCTTCATGCAATACCTTCCATTCATTGGCCACCAATTTTTTGACCTCGATTTCCCTCAATCTCACAGGGTTTTTTTTTACTGATATCGAGAGACATTTTTTTCAATTCAAAATTTTATTTGAAACTCCCAATCATCTCTCCAACCCGTCAACATGCATCCACATACACTCAATTCCGCCAAGAATCATGAGGACGAATAATGGGTTTTTCATTCATATCGGTAATTGAATGTCCAATGCGAGTGTAGAGTAAGAGGAGCGACCAAATCGACCAAGAACTTGCGAGAGTGATGGTCATGTATAGGAATATCATCTTGAATGATGAACACATTTTTTTCAATTTTCCAAATAAGTGATTAAAAGTTTCAAATTAAGGTACTTTTTAGGAGTATTGAATACCTGAAAAAAATCATCAACCTCTGAAACTTACAAAAACCCTTGTGAAATTACGCACGATCAATCAATCTAATGGATTCTTCTCCAATAAAAACATACAAAGAAGTTACAAACAACTCATTGGATGACGATGATGATATATTTGATGTCGATTTATTACGATCGATATTGGAGAGGAACAAACAACAGGCAAGAAAACCTGGAGGATCGAGAAGTGATGGAAAATATCAAAACACCAACCCAACCTCAAAAACAATCATTATTTCGTCACGATAGATTGCTCATGATGTTTAGCTGCTAACAAATAAGTCTTACATTCTCCCTTTCCTTTCACTTCGACTCGTCGTTCTTCAAATTCCAAACCCATATCATGCACACGTTCATAGGTGGAGCGACTGATGTGAATTCGTCCAGGAACTCCAGTCGACTCCATACGAGAGGCGACATTGATCGTATCTCCCCAGATATCGAAAGTGAACTTCTTTTTTCCAATCACACCAGCCACAACTCCACCCGTATTAATTCCAATTCGAATCTCCACTTGTGTTTCCAAATCTGAAGTCATGTTGAATTCCCGTATGACTCCAAAGGTCGCAATTGCAAATTGTAACACTCGCTCTGGGTGATCACTTGTGAGAGAGCCACTAATACCACCCACACAAAAGTATGCATCTCCAATCGTTTTAATTTTCTCTAATTGATAGGTATCCGTAAGAGCATCAAATCCATTGACAATAGTGTTCAACATTCCAACCAATTGACTTGGATTCATTGTTGAGCTCAATTTGGTAAAACCAACCATATCACTAAAGAAACATGTGATATCTGCGAATCGTTCTGCAATAAATGTCTCACCGGATTTGAGACGTTCTGCCACTGATTCTGGTAATATATTTTTCAACAACATGTCTGACTTGGCTTTCTCTTCTGCCAAAACAGCACTCTGTTTCTTCTCTGCTGTAATATCTCTAATGATCAAAGCGATCATTGGAATACCTGTATCGAACATGACTGAGAAGATGTTAATTTTGACTGGGAATTTGGTTTGATTCTTTCTCAAACATGTGGATTCAATGACTTCGGAGTGAGTGACATCTATTTGTGCCTTATTCATTTCCTTAATACTATTTTGAATGAGAACAGATTGTTGTTGATCGAACAAAGTCACGACAGAAACTCCAACAACGTCCGCCTTGTGTGCAAATCCAAACATCTTTTGTGTGGATGAATTCACAAATTCAATAGTTCCATCCTTAGTACATAAAATGGCACCATCCACAGAAGCATTCAATACGCTCTTGACATTGGCATGTTCTGAATCTGAGGCATGAATTTGGTTTTTCTTTGTCTTCTTTTGATTGGTTGGTGTTAAAATGTTGTAGAGAATATAATTTCGAAGTTGTTCATTTCCAACAATGATTTCAGATGGTAAATAATTCAACATCATTCTCATATTAATTAATTGTAATCGATGCTTCTCCAATTGATAGAGCATTCCATAGAAAATGGCAATCATGAATACCAAACATCCAATTCCAAACAAAATGGTTATAATAACGGATGGTTGTGCCGAGTATTTCACAAAGACATCCATAAAATCAATAATCTTCTCTCCCAAAAGAGAACCAGTGAAGAAGACATCCATATAGTTATTAAACATGATCACTGTGTTTGAGGTAAAGGCCTTGTTTTGAGATTCACTGTTAAATATGGAAATCTTTTTCGAATATTCAGTGATCATTTCATCCAAACCTGTGCAGAAGCGTTGCATGTACAAATCGATGGTGAAATCTGTTGTTGTCGTTGAATTGTTGTGAATGACACGTGCCTGAGTACAGTTTTTAATTCCTGCCACCAATCGATCAATATCTGTATATTTGCCAATGGAAGGGGGAAAAAATTGACCTTCCTTACTGATTCCTCCATAAATAAGAGCATTCCATTCCTGATACAATTCGTCCAAAATTGTTCTCACTTCACTTTCAGCATTCGTTAAAGGCTCCGTTTTCAATAACGATGGATCATTAATTGAAGAGGGTGGACTTGCAAGAAATGAGAAGTATTCTCCAACTTTGAAATTTGAAAGGTGAATATGTCTCATGACTGTGGTTCCATGAATCACGTTATTCATGGTCATTGAGACACCTGTGTAGTTCAGATTTGATTCTACCACCATGACGCCACCACTCACAATGCAACATAACAAAGTAAATAATCCCATCATCAAGAAAATGTACTTGGGTGCTGTAAATTGATATTTGGGGAGATGAACTTTGACATCTTCATCATTCTTCAACCCCAAATCATGATACACTTTTCCAATAATATTCTTTGAAAGAGCAGAGTTGAATAACTTGGAAACTTGTTTGGCGCTGGTCATCATTTTTAACATGACTCCCAAGAAGATCACAAATCCAATGATATACATCATGATCAATGCAGCATACACAATTGCAAAAGACATGACAAAATCCGAATGAAAAGTTTCAGTACTCGCCACAATCGATGAACAAAACGTTTCAAAAGCATCTCGAGAGGATTGCTTATTTCTCCACAAGTACATGAAATTGAAATCCTTTGTGGTTTGGTTGTATTGATCCAAAGGCCATTGTATAAAAGAATTGATACCTGTGAGTAAATAGTTAAAGATTTCAATCATGGAGCTATTTTTCATGTAGGTTTCAGTGAACGCCAATTCTGTGCTGTTGTTGTTGTTGCTGGTTGTGGAGCTATTTCTTAATATTGTTGTCGCAAAAGGAAAGAAGGCAGAAATGGAGTTGTTGACAAGTTCAGCATAGACGACAGCATTGAGTTTGTTTTGCTGAGCAATTTCAACAATATCGGTGATGAAAGACTTGTAGGTCATAAGGTGAGCTTTGTGTGAGTTTTTAACAAGGTCCACCACAAGATTCTTTTCATCTCGAACGGAGAAACCATTTTGATTATAATTGTTGATGTTTTGAATAAATCGAAGCTCTCTCAAGACAGCAAATGAAACTGATGATCCTTTGCACATCTTGTAAACATATTGCACATCTGTTCCAGATTTAACAGAACCATAAAGCGAGATGGTCACACATGTCAACAAGACAAAAAAGGAGAAGAGGAGAAACAAAACCAGGAATACATAAAACCCCTTGTTGTTTTCTAAATGTCTGAGAGAATTCTTCAACACAACATCTTTTTTAGAGAATTCCTTTGTTTCAATTCCAGTAAATTCATCATTATTTGGCTCACCCTCAATATTGGTCATCATTATTTGCTCGTATCTCTGGCTGACCATTGAAAGTCTTAAATTTCTATTTACATTATTGTTGATAGGTAGAAAATTGTATTTGGATCCCTCTTCTTCCAGTTCATTAGCTTCTGCAAACAGAGATTGAGCTGTTTCCTTGTCAAAGCGAAACACTTCAACAAAATTGGCGTACTTTCTGATGATTGTTTTTTCATTACGATATTTACGCATGAGATTATGATACATTTCTTCAATGTGGCTCGTTAAATCAGCACATCTTCGATTAATGTACTCAATTTTGACATCATTTGGAATGTCATTCATTAACTCTTTCCAAAACATTCGATGAAGAGTTCTCAACTCGTCTTCAAATTTTTCTAAACTATCCAACACATGCTTACTCTCAGTGATACATTTCAAAGCAAGAGATGCACTTGTTTCATCCAGTTCAACTTCTTTGGATCGTTGTTGCACTTGAAATCTGACAAAAATATTGTTTGACATTTTCATACATCGTTTAAACATATACATGGCAAAGGAGTGAGAGTTTCCATCTTGCCACGTGTATGCAATAATGAGAGCACTGATCAACAACAAGAAAGGATGCTGTTGGGCTTGATTCTTGTTGGCGCCAATCACTTTAGCGAGAGAGAGTGTCACATCTTCATTTACACTAATAGGTCGGATCACTGAGAATTGTAAATACATGATTAACCATCTTTTCTTGTTTTCAAAGATGTGCAACACTTGTGACAGATTTTCCTTATTTTCATTGACAATTTTTTCAACTTGTTTGTAGGTGAGTCGTTGAAAGAATTCCATCACAACAAAACCAACAATGAAACCCAACACTATCAGACCAAGAGTGACAGCCATCAAATAGAGTCCAAGATCATTCGAATTTTGAGAATTTACAAATGTAGAAATAACAACTCCAATCGATGCACCAATCTTGGCACCACTTGCACCAACGAATAAAGAATTTGCAATCATTCTGAAATAGGGTAAATTTGAAAGAAAGAGAGGAGGAAAAGCAATGGAAAAGAGCAAATGAACAATGGCACGAATCTGAAGCATTTGTTTTGGAATTAAAAAGATGGTCATAATTTCCAAACAATTCAATACCAATTGCAACATTAAAGCATTATTGTTCAAGCTGGTAAATAAAGACTTATTCATGGGATGGCTATTTCGATAGATCATGGCTGACAATGCCACACATCCAATGAGTATGACAAATGCAACCAATGAGAAGGCATAAAAGATAATATTAGGTGTGTGATAGCAATCGACATTGGAATAACGAGAGAGTTGAATGGCAGAGACGCTGCCTCCATTGTCCAAGGTGATCGAACTGCTGCATTCGAGAAGGCTGGTCAACACGAACGTCATGGTTCCACAAGCAATCAAGATTAAAAAGTTGAAGAAACGAGTCGCTTGCAAGAACCAATCCGAAAATCTTCTTGTATTAATCACTCTCTGATAAGTCATGAACAATAAAGCAATGTACAACAAGAGAGTGGCAAAAACAATGAACACCAAAGCAACCATTCCTTCATAGGGAACTAAATTCAACGAGAGCGTGAGTGGATAATTGGCAACTGTAAAGACCCACTCTCCATACTCTCCAAAATTCATTCCACCCACTGTCGGAATGAATACACTCACCCATAGGAGATGACAATTGAAAACAAAGGTCAACATCCAAAACATGATGGAGGATTGTTTGGAGCTTGATTGCAAAGCCACAATAAGGGAAAATAACGTGGCTTGAAATCGATTCATAACAGCAAAGGCTGAAAGAGTGGTCGAGCTAGTGGCTGAGGTTCCAGTGAGAGAGGTTCCAGTGATGGCTGCGGAATGTGCGACTCCTGTCTGACCTCCAGCACCACCATAACCACCACCTGTGGCACTGGCAATCTCTACTACATCTTCCCTGGGTTCCGAAGTTACGGAAGCCGTCTGAAGGTGGTCAAAGGAAAAGCGATTGGAGCGAGGTTGGGGAGTGCCTCTTGGCGAGGATGGAGCTTCATTCCTGTACATTTCAGTAGTTGTTGAATACGTTAAAAATTGGGTCGTTGAGAATGTTTGGAATCGGAATTGATGTATGAAGGTGGAACGTGCTTTGAAGTTTGAAGGCTGAAAGGTTAAGGAATGAAGAGAGTGAGTTTTTTTTAAGGCTGAGAATGAGTGGTGTAAGCATTGATTCTGTTCTCCTCTGCTGAGGTTGGCTCCTTTTTAGAAATGCCTTTTGTGGATAGTGTTCATAATAGGTGCAGAATCACCGAAGATGGTCATCCAAGAACCATAACGGTCACTGAAAACCAAGTTCAACGAATAACCGCCTCAGACAACCGCGGTTATAACACAGACAAACGTGTTGGGGCATAATGGAGCTAGCTCGCCACCTCCTTTATCGTCATGGGCACAGTTTGATGGACACGCGGTGGGGATCCGTTAGACACCTCATCACGCTGGACACCAGCAGCAATGGAAGGGAAGCACTTCATGTGTGTTTGGACCCGTTCAGAATATGATTGAGAGGCAAGGCTTTGCGCAACAAGAGAAAAAACATGATCATCTACTGGCTTTGAGAAGATAAAAAGCACGTTTCTGATATGACTTTCATTTCTACTACTACACCTCTCTCAATAATTGAATGCACTTTAGGAGCCTCGTCTTTTTGGGACAACCACCTCAAACGTGCTTTAATGATCTCCACATCTCGGATGTCGTTGATGGCTGCAGTCATCACTAAATAAATCCATTCAATTTCCTTTGAAATTCCATCGTTGACTTGATAAAAGAAGCACTCAAGACACACCTCTCACTTTGGAATAGAGATCTGTGGAATCTCGTCATTCTTAAAATATAGTCCTTCCATGATTCATCTCAGTGTGTCTCTCAAAAAGCAATGGATTGTGACGATTGGGTTCAATCATTTTGCGAAGTATTCAGTGATCGTTCATTCAGAAAATAATAATTTCTAAGACAATTTATTACAGAACTGACAAACATAGGATCTCATTGAGTATCTGGGACCCCCAATATCGTGTAGAGTACCCTTGTAATTCACCTTTTTAGGAAACCCTTAAAATTTAAAAAAACAAAAAAATTATTTTTTGGTGAAATTCAAGACCCGTATCGAACAGCTTAAACAGTCCTGTCTGTGGAAGATGTTTCATTGAGGCTTGAAGGATTTCGCAGTTGATGAAATTGTTGCGTTTGCAAAGACGGCTCAAATATTTATTAGTCCAAACCCCCCTATTACTCTTTATTATGTTGTGGACCCTCCCTTCACTTACCTGTAAATAGGGCACTTTCCCTTGAATGCCTCCGATCGCGTTGCTTGAGCTCTGACAACGATTGTATCTAAAGGCGGTAGCAAAAAACCATGGTTAACCACAACCACGTTAATCATCACAAGGTGACATCCCCTTGAACCTTTAATACCAGAACACACCAGGCGTGTTCTGTAACCTTCATTGTAATACTTACCTTTGTATCTGAATTTCCGTTTGTGGGTGGGAGCTGTTGAAAGGGAATTTGGCGAAGGTACCTTCTCGAGAGAATCTTTGATGTCGATTCGTTCGACCTTTCAGAAGAGCAACAGAAACAAAGTACCAGCAGGTTAAACTTTGAAACACACAGAATGAGCAAGAAAGAAACCAGTTGAAGCTGAACAAAGGGAAAAGAAGATTATGGATGATCGCTTGTTTATTTTGGCAAATAAAGGTAAACTTGTAAACTTTATGAAGGAGAGATTTGTTGGTTGACTATCAATCAGTACTTGGAAACAATTTAAATTGTTGCAAGAGTCTTTGATGAGAATAACAGCGAGCGAAATTCAAGATGCATCAACTTGAAACAGGTATTTTGTTGCGTTTTGACGTTGAGAAAGTTAACATCTTGAAACTCAGAGGCACTCACAAAAACATGTTGGCATCCCTAATATTACGTTTGTAATATTGAGAGAGAGATCTCACCAGCGAATTCATTCATTATTGTTTGAGACAATAGAGTTGGAGATTGCATGTATTTCACGGATCGCTGTCAAGATTGGAATGCCTTTCTTTCTCCGTTGTTGATTAAGACTCACTTTTTGCGATCGCTTCTTCTCTTCCAAGAATGATATGCAAAGAAACCTATAGTCTTGCCGATACATCCAATCATTGTTTGTGAAATCATCTCCCAAAGAGTCAAACGGAGATTCATGATGGTGATAACAACAAAGGTCTGATTCGAGTGGTAACGGAGGGATGGAGGTTAGTGTTGTTGTTCTCTGAGTTCTCTTCATTTCCATATAATAGGATTGGTCTAAAACAGAAGATAAGGCAAACTCTAAATAGTGTTCACATAAGGAAAAAAGTGAAGAGTCGGTAGAGGAGAGAAGTTGATTGAGAGATTGATTGGTTGTGTCAGGAAATGAAGCATGTTTTTGAAGGGACAATGAATTCGCGATTTTGTTGTTGTTGTTGTTGGTATCAGTTGGGAGTGATAGGGATTTCCTTAATGAGGAGTGTTTTGGGAGTGAAAGATAATGTCGATCCGATTCTCTCCTAGGATTCGAAGGCTTCTCTTCAGTAAAAGAATCAAAGAGGTAGGAGGTAGACGATACACAAGCACCCATGATGTTGCTGTAGTAGTAGTGGTTGAACAACCAACAATTCGAAGGGATGATAATCTCTGCTTTTTTTTGGTCGGTTTTGATTTTTTGCGAGGTCATATCCTACTCGTTTTGTCGTTCAAGATTCGGAGGGTTTTTCCACACACAGCAAAAATGGAGGAACAACTTGGGACTACTACCGAAAGTGGACCGCAACAGACACGCCCACTTCCATTTCTACGCAACAAAAAGAAGCTTCTTTTGAACTTGAAGAAATTGAACGCGGAGGTGAATGGAGCGGTGACGATTTTAGAAAGCATGCGTTGCCAATCTTTACGAAACATCAAATAATATGTGTACACACTGAAATGAGGAAATTTGAGTAGATCTGAATTTGGGGTTGGAAAATGGTCGCTGGAGCAATCCGATCCAATCCGTAGATCTGGTTATTAAAATACTTCAATACATACTTGTGTGACCTACTCTGCCTGGCACTGTGGAGGGAGACCCAATTGTGAATTTGTTAAATTACTGGTTGGTAAACCTTGCCATCTTCGCATGGCCAAAATAATGGACAAATCTCGATGTACTCTCGTATAGACACCACTTGCCCAATTCCCATTCTGATCAAAAACTGTATAGCCACACACATTGGGATCATGAGCTTTTGAATAAGGCATGGACTTGGTACATTGACCCCCACAATTCTTTCCATCTGAACATCTCGAACAATTTGAATACCCATCGGGAAAGGAAAGGCTCCAATTTTGTCATAAAAGGTATAGCTAGAGAGAACGAGTCGAATTTGCCAATTTCCATCTGTTCGTGAAAAGAGAAACTCTTCAAAGTAACGATGCTGAGGAACGTTTTTTTGCAAAACGAGAACACTTCCCGCATTACCCATGTCTCTACTGCTGGAGGAACTGAATTGATCGTCGTGACAGTCATTCTCAATCGCATAGCGTTCGGATTTAATGGGCCAATAACCACAAATTGGAAACTCCTTGGGATAATCTGATTCCCAAATCTTAATTTTGTAAATATCACTTGCGCTGAGACCTGCCTTTTGCATGGCCATCTCGAAATAAGGTCCATAATTGTACGAGTTCATTTGACACATGAGGAGATCCTTTTCTCCACCAATCAGCACTTCGAGATAGGCAATAAAGTCGTCCGGATAATCTCCACCTCCTAAATTGTCTTTAAATTTTTTGACTGATCATATATTCACAAAAAGATTAAAATATTAAACATAATCATGCAAGATATCGATCGAATTCCACAATTTCCCTACATTCAGATGTTTTGGAGTGACTCTTACTTACATATTGTTGATAAATTATCTGGTGAGATGTGTTTGGCTGCATCCACTCGAAATCCACTAAATCCCAAAGACAATAATTGAGTTAAATAATCCGCAATTCGTTGTCTCACATAGTCTGACTCTGAATTCAAATCAACCAATCCCACCAACCAACCATAATTCAATTCGAAAGCAGAATCCCACGAATTAATTGGTCTTTCACAATGAAAATCCATGACCGAGTAAGGCACAGCTGGAAATTCATTGGCAGGAGGCAAATTAGTGTTGGACATGTTTTTCCAAGTGAAACCTTGGGTGTAGTAGGGCGAGTTGGCTGTTCCTGTTTTTGCTCCTCATTTGACACACCAATTACCATTTCCATTACGATGGTAGGGATTTTGATCATTGCCACTTCCAGCCATGTGGTTAATGACAGCATCGGCATACACACGAACACCCAATCGACGACATGTGTTAATCATGGAACGCAATTCATCACGAGTACCCATTCGTGAATGTTGTTTGTAACTGACCTGTGAAGGGCAAATGTTCGAATGAATGGTAAAGTAGTAGTGAGGTGTGTGAAAAGTTAAATGTTGGCGCAACGTGTGTGCGTTTGGAAATCAAACTTGATACATACAGGTTGATAAATATGACATAACCACCACCACCACAGAAAGAGCCTTCATCATCACTGTAAAGGATGAGCCGATGGTAAGCTCGTTCATGTTTTTTAGATGAAATGATGGTAATCAGATCTAGATCTATGATTTCACGGCTAAATGAACTGTGAGCCACGAACTCGGCACAACACCCACTTTACTGGTTCCCGTGTTTCATTGATTTCATTTCAAATAATGTTGCATGTGAATACATGTGTTGTTGTTGGAATGGTCTTGTAATATGAAAGAGATATCTCGGTGACCATTAGGGACCGATGAATGATGGAAGCTGTTGCGAATGTAATCAACAACGACAGTACCACCTCGTCACTCTTAGAAGGATGGATGCGTCAACAACACTCATCAAGGGACACTTAATGTGACACCACCACAACCTCTACCTCAGGTGTTCTAAATGGGTATGAGAAAAATCTCTCGAACAACAGTTGACGTCAAATGTCGAAACTAATGTCTCTGACTACAATTATTAAAATTATAAAAAAATAAACTCAACTCCAGCTTTGAGAATTTCAAACCCGAATGATTTTTACTGATCATGCCACTACTGAAATATTTATCCATTAGTACAAGTATTGAGTCGAGTTCTTGTGTTGATACCATCTCGGGTTTTGGATATCCCAGAGATGTACTCCATTCTATAACCCTTCCTGTGCAAAATATCAACTCTAGCAATCACAACACTCAAGAATCGAATGTTCCAGCAACCACCAGCAACACAACCTCTCAATTAGAAGATCCTTCAAGGAGCAAGAGTTTCTGCGAGGCCGAAGCCAATGGAGAAAAAAAAATGCGATAGAATACGAAATATAACCTTTGCTTTTATATCAACAAACCATTTGTATTTATCTCATAATTCTTCTTAACACTCTGAAATTCTGAATAAACCACAAGCTTGCTACCTATTCTCAAAGTTCAATGACGTCCGAAATTTTATGCATGGAATTGTACCCAAAATTCTCTCTATTATTTTAACCCCCAATCTTGTTTATTTTAATATCATACATGTAAACGTCCTGTGGTGTAATGGTAGCATAGAGGACTCTGAATCCTTTGACGGAGGTTCGATTCCTCCCAGGACGGAAAATTTTATTGGTTGAGGAATTTTGTTTTGTTGTCAGCGTAACCCATGCGCATTTTGAAAAGCAAAAAAAATGTCCACACGAGAATCCGTCAACAAAGCTCAATCGTCTTCCGAACAAGAACAACCCACCACAGCCCACGAACAAATCATCACCCCGTGGGACGTGGAAGCAGAAAGTGAGATGGGAGTGGACTATTCAAAATTAATTGTCCAGTTCGGTTCTGAAGAAATTCAAGAAGATTTATTGGAACGGATTGAGAGAGTGACCCAAAGACCTGTTCATCACTTCCTCAAGAGAAAAATCTTCTTCTCTCATCGTGATATGCATAAATTATTGGATTACTATGAACAGGGAAAACCTTTCTATCTCTATACAGGGCGAGGTCCTTCCAGCGAGAGTATGCACTTGGGACACTTGATTCCGTTCCTCTTCACCAAATATTTGCAAGATGTCTTTAACGTTCCTCTCGTCATTCAAATGACCGATGATGAAAAGTTCTTGTGGAAGAATTTGGAATTGGAAGAGGCTCATCGACTCACCTATGAAAATGCCAAGGATATTATTGCTTGTGGTTTTGATAAAGAGAAGACTTTCATCTTTTCCAATATGGAATATATGGGACATTTGTATCCGACAGTTCTTCAAATTGAAAAGGCTGTTACCACCAGTCAAGTCAAGGGTGTATTCGGATTCAATGATTCCGACAATATTGGAAAATTCTCTTTCCCTGCCATTCAAGCAGCGCCATCGTTCTATACAGCCTTTCCTCACATCTTCCCAGAGAAGGACTCTTCGTCATCACAGAGCAAGTCATCTTCCGATTCCAAATCCAAGAAAAAGTCATCCTCTTCCTCTGGAAAGCCAAAGAAGAGAAGAGATATCATGTGTCTCATTCCATGTGCCATCGATCAAGATCCTTACTTTAGAGTCACACGTGATGTGGCTCCAAAATTGGGCTTCCAAAAACCTGCTCTCATCCACTCCAAATTTTTCCCTGCTTTACAAGGTGCTAAAACTAAAATGTCGGCTTCTGCAGAAAATTCATCCATTTTCTTGACTGATACACCAAAGCAAATTAAGGACAAGATTAACAAACATGCCTTCTCTGGAGGTGGTGCCACAAAGGAAGAACAAGAAAAGTATGGTGCAAATCTTTCTGTGGATGTTCCATTCAAGTATTTGGAATTCTTTTTGGAAGATGATGCTCTCTTTGAGGAAATTCGTGAGAAGTATTCAACTGGTAAAATGTTGACTGGTCAAGTCAAAGGTATTCTTATTGACATTTTGACCAAGATGGTGAAAGAACATCAAGAGAGAAGAGCCAAGATTACTGATGAAGAGGTGAAAGAGTTTTTATCTGTTCGTAAACTCAATTTCGCTTGGCCATCTAAGAAGGAGGAACAAGTGGTCACCTCTACTTCATCATCCGAGGAGCAGAAGAAATAGGGCTGTGTGTGATCATTTCAATTCATCAATCATTTGGACATGTCGTTGCCCATCTCTAAAACATTCCTTAATGCATTAGCAAGGAATAGGACATCTCGCTTATCAATAAATTATTTGTTCGACCCTCCAAAAAGCAAGAAGGATAAAAAAGAAGTACTTTTTGATGTTGTATTATGATTCGTTATGATTCGTGCACACGTGAATGACCTTGTTTTGATTTTGTTTTTCAAAGTCTTTGATTTATTTTTAAACTTTCTTTTTGAGGACTCATCAGTTCTTGACGTTTCATTTTGGACAAGTCATCTTTCATCTCTTTTGACACAAAACAATTAAAAAAAACAAAAAAACACTTTTTGTTCCTTCTAACCACACTCTAAAATTACGGATCCGTTGGAGTGCATCGCATAATCAACCTCGAGCAAACAAACCAAACAAACCAAACAACAACTTCTTTTTTCACAACTCCTCTCTCTCTCTTTTCTCAAATAATTATTTTAAATATTTAATAATTTCCAAATTTGTGAGATTTTAATTCATCATCACCATGAAAAAAAAAGAAAAGTCAAATCATCACACAAAAGAAGAAGCTCCCTCTCGTGTTTCCATCTCTTCCAATGATTCTTCAAGTACCAAAGGTAGTGTGGAAGAGATTGATATAGTGACAGATGACATGATTGGTGGAGCCGCCATGCTCGCATCACAAGCAGGAGGTAGCAAACGAAGGCATCGATTCAGCATTAGAAATCTATTGGGAGGTAAAAAAGGTGAAGTGAGTCCACGTGCCAGCAACCTGTCAGCTGCCACTCAATCCACAAGTGCGTTGGATGATTTCAAAAAAATGGCAAATATGGAAAAATTGAGTTTGGATGTTCCTACTTTGGATGGTTCCGATTCGAGCGACCAATCATTAATTGATTTACAACGAAGAATTGCAGAAAATGATCAAGGATCACCTTCTCCAAAATCTCCACATGGTATTTCAACTTTTAAAAGTTCAAGTCAACTCAGTAGTGTGAACTCTCCAAATACAGCCACGACCATGACTGATTTATCTCCTGTCAAATTGGCAGAAAATGAAAGAATTGTGACCATCGAGGAGTTGGAGTTATTGAAAAATGCAGCCACCAATGCAGAAACATTAAAAACTCAACTCGAAACCAAGATTTCCCAATTAGAACAATCATTATTGACATTGAAACAAGAAAGAGAAACTCAGTGTAAGAAATTGGAAGAGGAGAACAAGTCACTTTCAGAAACAATTTCAAAATTGCGTCAAGAATCAGAATCCAAAGATTCCAAAATTTCACAATTTGAACAAGTCGAACAGAAATTGAAAGAAGAAAATTCAAAATTGCAACAACAAGTTCAAGAACATGTCAAGATGCTCACTGAAAAATTGCAACAACAAGATGAAAGTGGCAAATCCATTGTGGAATCCTTAAAAAAGACGCATGAAGAATCTATCAACAAACTCAAAGAAGAATATGAAAAGAAAGTTAAAGAACTTGAAAGTGAAAACGAAGGACTTCGTGACGATTTGATAAACTTGGATTCACGAGCATCTGATGTTAAGAAACAATTAGAAAAGAAGAATAAGGATTTACAACTTTTACTGGATGAAACCAAGAAGAAATTCGAACAAGAAATTGAATCTCTCAAAAAGGAAAATCAAAAGAACAAACGAGAAGCTGGACAACACATTATTAACAGTGGAGGTGACGATAAAGTGAAGGAAGAATTTGAAAAGTTGAAACGTTGGAATGAAGAACTCAATGAAATGCTCTCTGTAGAACAACAAGGAATTACTGCTCTTGAAAAGGAACGTGACAGTCTTGCATTGCAAGTGAGCGAATTGAAAGCTAAATTAGAAGGAAAAGTTTCAGAAGATGGTGAAGCATTACCTGATATGGAAACTTTGTTAAAACAATTGGAAGATGTCACCATGGAAAAGGAAGTTTTGGAAGAATTGAGACAAGAAGAACTTGTGGAATATGAAAAAGTGAAGGAAGAATTAACTTTGGAAAATACCAATTTGAAAGAAGAGCTTGAAAAACTCAAAAAATCCAAATCAGTACCACCTTCTCCATCCGCAGTGCCATCATCCACAACGATTGAAGAAAATGGTGTCATTAAAACTCTCGAAGACATTATTATGGAAAGAGACGTCTTGGAAGAATTGAGACAAGAAGAATTATTGGAACATGAAAAATTGAAGGAGGATTTGAGTGATGAAATTGAATCCTTGAAAGAACAAATTGAAACTCTCAAAAAGAATAATTCAAGTGTTTCATCATCAACGAGTGTTACTGCTGCAAAGGATGACACCTTAAAACTCATCGAAAGTCTTCAACTCGAAAATTCACAATTAAGAGAATCACTCGAACTTACCAAAAACGTTCAAGAAAAGATTGTAGTCGAAAAGGTTGAAGTTGAGAAAGTGGTTGAGAAGATTGTTCCAGTTGAGAAAGTGGTTGAAAAAGTGGTCGAAAAAATTGTCACTGTTGGAGATGACTCTGTCAAGAAGGAAATGGAGAATTTGAGAGAACAAGTTGAGTCATTGATTAATCAATTGGATCAATCGCAAGAAGTTGTAAGAGAGTATGAAAAGAAATTTGAAAGTGAAAATCTTGTGTTGAATCAACTCAAGAAGGAACTCGAAATGGAGACACAAAAATGTCGTGCACTTCAAGAAGAGTTGTCGAAAAAGAAAGATTCACAACAATTGTCCACTTCATCGGCTGCTGCTGCTGCTACTGCTCCGGCTACCTCTCACGAAAGTTCATCGATGACTACCACTACTCTTCCTCCTGTTATTGAGAATAAGACAATTCTCACTCAACAAGAAGAAGAATCTTCAACAACCTCTGTGGAAGATGTGGGCGACATTAAGCTGGTTGACAAACCAGTGATTGCTTCTCTTGAAAAGGATGATCTTTTCAAACTTCGATCAAAATATGTCTTGTATTCAGAAGAGTCAGAAGAGAGTATAGCCACTCCACCTTCGGTGGCGACCATTCAAACTCAACCAACAGTTGAAGAGGAGCCTGAGGAAGAACAGAATCAAGATGACGATGATATTTATCAACATGAATTGAAACAATTTGAGAAGGATTTGGATAGAATGTTGGTTAAGAATTCTATTAATTTGTCAGGAAAGATTAATTCGTTGAAAGAACTTGAATTGTTGTGCATCAAATTGAAATATAACAAGACTTGTAAAATTTTAGATTTGTCAAAGAATGACGCCATTGACAATAAGGGACTAAAGGTGTTGTGTGAAATGTTGAAAGTGAACAAGACCATCACTGATCTCTATTTGGAAGAAACTCAAATTACAACCATTAATCCACACTTGTTTGACGTTTTCCAAGACAATTATACAGTCACTAATATTATCTTCTCAGAGGAGTTGGTTCCTGGCTATGAATTAGACAAGTTGGATGCCCTTTTGGATCGTAATGAAACTTATTAATGATTTGTTTGAGATATTATGACTCAAAAACATGAAGGGCATTTATGACATGTCCATCACTACAATTAAATTGATAAATTAAATAATTTTTGAAACAACGAATGATTCCATGAAAAAGCTAACCTTTTGAGAGAGAAAGGCAGACCTCGATCGGTGGAGGTATCTCTCCCAAAAACTTGTTTTACAACCACAACTCCACCTCCTTAATACACTCTTGGTCATGAGATGCCGATTTCAACAGAAATGGACTCTTTTTCGACAATCCAATCACACAGCTCGATCCAGCAAACAAAGTTTCCTTCTCCTTTCCAGTTCTATTACAGCACACAAAGTAAGGTATTGGCATACTCTCTGAGAGCATTGGGCTTATCCGATTCAACCAATAGTTTTGAGTTGACAAACAATTTTCAGGTTCCTCTGAAGACGCTAACCAATTCGCAATAAACAAGAGTACTTCTGTGCCTTGTTCCTTATGAAAAGTACCAAATTCTTTGTTTGTGAAATTGGTGGAGAAATTCGTTCCATTATTAATATCCATACAAATTCCAAGGCCAATTCGAACATTTTGTTGATCTCTATCACTTCTGGAGTTTTGATTATGGAGCTCATTGTTTTTTAAACGTTCTTTCACCTTCTTATCGGACAATGAAAAATCAATAGTTTTAAATCCCTCTCCTTCACTTGCCCATTTCAAATCTTCACAATACAGAAAATGTTTTCTATAATTCACAAAAGATCCATCCGGAGAGATCACATACATGGAGTTGAATAATTTGTAATGATTTCCAATTGCATCATCATCATCCATACAATCAGAAGAAGATGAATCACCACTCGTAAGATCATTCACAATACGTTCCTTTTCGGGATATCCACAAACGACAGCACATTGATAGTTCCGAGCCAATTCCAAACAAAATTCATAACAACATCCCTTTCCCTTCTCCTCACAATACGGAAATACATCTTTTCTGTTTTCAAATAAATATCCAGTAAAACTCATTTCGGGAAAGATCAAAATATCAAATAATGAAGAAGATGATACCAATGAAGAGGATTGGAATACGGACTGACCATCATGATGAGAATGATCCATATTCAGCTTGTTCATCTTTTTTGAAATGTATTGTCTGAGCATTTCAGTAACTTTTTGTTGGTTCTGTTTCACTTGTTTCAGTTGGACGTTGAATTGGCAAAAGGCCACTCGAAGAGAACGCGTGGATGATGTCGCCAGTGATTGAAAATTCATTTTTTTTGTTGTTTTTTAATAAATTAATAAACCCTTAATTTGCATTCTTTCACGAAATTCGATCACGATTCAAGTCAAATTCTTTTGAACAACGTCACAGTTTTGAAAAAAACGGAAATTGCATTTATTTGGATCTAAACTAAAAAATGTCCACTGCCACTGGTATTCAAATTTCGAACATGATTTGTGAAGTGAAATCCCTCACTGAGGCTCTCATTGCACAACAAGCAGGAGTGGGTGCTTTACTGGTCATGTTGGAAAGAACACCAGCCACAAGTAGCCAACATGGTTGTTCCTCTTTGAAAAACATTGAACGTTGTTGGAATGTGAATTATCAATTATTACATGAAGTGAAAAATCAATTTCCCAATACACCTATTATTGCAAGAATAAGAAAAGGTCATTCAGTGGAAGGTTTGTATCTTCAAAAGGATGAGCACCGGTTGGGACGGTCAATCAGTGGTGTGATCAATTCATTATTTGATTAATGTTGTTGTTACCCATGGATTTAAATGTTCATTCAATTGCTTCTAAATGTATCACTTGTTGATGATTGAATGGCAGCCAAATTGTGTGAGGAAATGAGTATTGTCATACTCGACGAAAGTGATGAAATGAATGTACAAGTGAGTGACGAGTTTGTTGAAAAACCAAAGTCAAGTTTAACCACCACTGCATTCACTCAAACCATCACAGAAACTGATCATCATCCATCTTTCATGTGTGCTTGCAGTGATTTACCAGAGGCTCTTCAAAGAATTCATGAAGGAGTAAACATGTTGAGAACGAGAGGAGAGATTTGGTTCAAGTCAACTCTCCGAGAGGACCAGATTGGTTCTTATTCTTCTTCCTCATCATTGCTGAACTGCATGACACAAATTAAGGAAATATCCAAAAGTGTTCTGAATGTTGTTTCCTTCAATGAAGAGCAAATTGAGAGTTTTGCGTCACGAGAAGGAATTTCAAAGAATCTTGTACTTGCAATGAGACAACAACAAAAGTTATTGGTGCCATTGTTTGCCTATGGTGGAATTTTGAGTCCTGCTGATGTTGCTTTGGTGATGCAAATGCCAAACGTGAGTGGTGTCATGTAAGTTATTGAAATTTTTGTTGTTTTGTTGTAGAAAAAGAATCATCTTGATGTGATACACACTGTACATGTCTCTCAGAATTGGTAATGAAATATTTGAGGTAAGTGAGTGAAGCAGTAGCAACTCTTAGAAATTGCAATCTATCTACACTTCAACTATTGAAATATACATTCTTAATTGTCATGAATGATCAACACTCAAGTATGAAAATCCTCTCAAGTTATTGAGTTGCATGGCTCAGGCAGCTAGGTTGCACAAAAATCCCTCTCTGCTTTTGCAATTAAGCTTGGAGTTTGGCTCACTTCATCATCAGCAAACTGTGTCTGTCAGTACGCTCCAACCCATTCAAGCTAAGCAATTATTGGATGAAAAAGGGACATCACAATCTTCACCATCGACGGAGTCATCATCAACTCGACCATTCGCAGAACATCACAAACCTATGGATAGTTCTCATTTACGCGAAGAATTTAGCAGTGTTGTTGCCAACAATGATTTCATGTAGTGTGTCGGAATGGACATCATGTCACACTCATATCTGCTATATATTAATACTGTGCGACTCAATGCATACATTATTTCATATTAATCCAATAATTGTATTATTATACATTAATTTACATTTGCTGAATTTCCGAAATTATTTATCATCGTTCAAGTGAATAATTTCACACACATTCACGAGATTTGATTCCAAATGAATAAAAACAAAAATTCGTGTGATCATTCATGATCGTGCCTCTGATGATTACCTAATCCAAGTATATAAAATAAATAACACGAAAATAACAAATCCAATCAAGAGACAAAACATTCCGAGCATTCCATGCGTTTTCTGTGATAATATTTTCAATTTTTGCAGGGTAGCATCTAGTATACCTTTCGTACGACCCATATCATCTTCAATTTGTTTGAAATACGAGTTCTGTTCCGCCAATTCGCCATTTATCGAGAGAGCAATCTCCTTCAAAACCCGAACTCCCTTCACCATGGTTCCTGCTTTCCTTTCAACGTCCTCTTCTGCCTTATCTAATAATAATTGAGTTTGTGTTGCTGTACCATTCGAGTTCCGAGAAGGTGTTGTTGTTGGTAAATAGGAATAATCATCTTCATGATTAGAGGCTCCGAATAATTTGGATCGGAGTGTTGCACCATTCTTTCTCATCATAGTTGGTTGAATGATTATTATTATTTAAATAGGTGATTTAAAAATTCTTCAGTAAACTACTTTTGATGAACACAATCCAAATTCAGGAGAAGAAACAACAACAACAACAACCACTCGGAGAGATGATGTGATCGTGTATTGCAATTCGTTTTTTTTTTGAGTTCGTCCACACTTTCTAATTGAATTACAATTATTCGACGAACGATTAAATCGTCGTTGAGGTGTAAGAGCTGAGCTGGCAGTCTGAATTATAGTGAATTACAAGTAGCCTGGAACTTGGCCATGATGTCCACTGTCCTGATTCCCGTGCGTGCGAATTCTGTAAAACTTGTGGAAAGTTGCTGTCATGAGCAAAAATGGTAAGTGCAAACAACCGTGCATCTCTTCTTCTAATAGTTCCATGCAACACCATTTCAAATCCATATGGATTCATCACCAAACGATAACAACAACTCAATGCAAGTACTTTTAACAAATCCTTTGGAATGAATGGAAATATGAGTGTGAATAGTAACGCTCCATTCATTTGAATGGTGATTTGAATGTTGCTTCGAATAGTTCATTGACTGTTGTTGTTGATTATGGAAACGAAACAACGTGGTGGATTCATTTTGGCGCCATTTCAAAAAACTTGTTTAACTGAAAAAAAATAATTCAACAACAACAAGGAAAATGCCTTCCGCATCTTTTTCATCGGCTTCAATCCGTAAAATTCATTCACTCATTGAGAATAAGAAGAGAAAACACAATGAGGAACAAATAACAACGCAGAAAAATAATGAAATGGTGGTTGATTCCGATGAAGAGGGAGAAGATACTCGCCGCCGCATGATGATGATTTCATCCACGACACCACAAAAATCTTTGGAAGCATCTACCAAGAAGAGAAAGATTCAAGAGCCTTCTCCAAAGAAGCAACAACAAAATCAACCACAAAAAACGAATGTAGACCAAAGTAAACCAAATAATAATAATAGAAAAACATCCCAATTTAGTGCTATGAGTTCCTCGAATCACAGCACCAATAGCAACCATAACAACAACACAACCAACAAACAAAAAAAGAATGATCATGGAAGTGCACTTTCGAGTCTTCAACAAGAATTTCAAGACAAGCTCAAATCTTCAAAATTCCGATTCCTTAATGAAAAGCTCTATACGACGACTGGTCATCAAGCTAAAGCACTCTTTGAAAAAGATCCTTCTCTGTTCACACTCTATCATGAAGGATATAAACAATCAATGGAAAAGTGGCCCTTCCAACCTGTCAAGAATATGATCAAATTTTTAAACAGCAAACCAATATCGTGGGTGGTGGCTGACATGGGTTGTGGAGAAGCTGAAATTGCAAAGAATGCAAAACAAAAGACGATACATTCATTTGATTTGGTTGCAACCAACGACAAGGTTACAGCTTGTGACATGAGAAAGACGCCTCTCTCAGACGAGACTGTAGATTGTGTCATTTTCTCATTATCACTCATGGGTACTAATTTTTTCGATTATCTGAGAGAAGCCTCAAGAATTTGTAAATTAGGTGGATGTTTGCGGGTAGCTGAATTGGAGTCACGATTTCTTGGCGAATCAAACAACGCTAGTGATTCTGGAAAACTCAATGATTCGTCAGTGATGGCTGATGAAGACGAAGAATCTGTGACATCTGCTGCCAAATCTCCTCGAAAAAAGGTGAACCCTTTTGCTAAATTTGTGTCAGTAGTGGAACATTTTGGCTTTAAATTGGATAAGCAATCACAACCTAATGGATATTTTGTTGTCTTTGAGTTTAACAAAGTGAAACTTTGGTCTGAAATTTCTAAAATTAAGGATCCAGCTGTGAAGAATGTAGAAGTGCTCAAGCCTTGCCTTTACAAGAAGAGATAACGTAACGAAATTATTAATTAAAAAAACCAAAATCCATTAATTTATTGACAAATGTAAACTTGGCCTCAAGCAATTTTATCAGAAGGTTCTTGATTCATTGTTGTTGCTAAACTTTGAATCTGAATTTTGTCTTCTTGGTGCTTTTCCATCATCTCTTGTTCAAAGATACCAGACGAATATTAATGTCATAATTATGATTCAAGTTTTATGTGATTAATTGCCAGATTTGTGCCAGCTTTCAACACTTGCATCACTATTACTATTTATCAAATATAATGATTCATTATCTCTTCGAGAGAGTCAACCGAATGTTCGTAGTTTTTCAACTCTGTTTTCATCCATCCGAAAAGCAATTCAATGGGATTGAAGTCAGGAGAGTATGGGCTTTGCCAAAACACACTAATACCTTGGCCATTCATTATACTATAGACTTCTTTTTCCTTATGAATGGATGCGTTGTCAAGGACTAAAATACAATCTTTTGGGATCAATTTGCTCAATGTTGTCAGAAACATTTTAAATCGATCAGCATCAATTGCTTTCTTAGTTGTAACGCTATATGAACTGGTCAAGTAAATTTTGGAAAACATTGGAATGAAAACAAGCATGACCAAAAATGTCAAGAAACATAACAATAGAGTGATCACAATTCCAAAATTCTTGGAGGCCAATCTCTTGTAAAATCCAATGTTATTTCTTTTTGCAACAATTTCATATAAATTTCTCAAATAAAGAACTCTCACAATTGTGACAATATAAATGACAGTTGCCATTGTCACAGTGATGATTGAAATCATTGAATATAAAACTGGGAAGGTGCTGTAAATGAATTCACAACTGCTTAAAATTCGAATCATGACCAGATATGGACCACACCAAGGAAGTAACAAACGAATCTTGATGGAATTCTTTTGACACATGCAAATGAGGAAAATATAGTATATCAAGCAACAAAGGATGGATGCAAATTGAAAGTATTCACTTGCCAGAATTGGTTCATACAAACAAATACTAGTTTGGCATGAATATTGAGTCGTACTCATCATTTCATTTTGCAAAATATAATGGAGGAGATTTGTATCATTGGGCAAGAACAGTTCATGTGAAAAAGTTGAGAGTGCCATTCTCTGAAATAGATTTCAAAACATTCTCCACAACGAATGGCTGATATTCCACCATAGCATGCTATCATCTGTTGGCATGGATTTTCTCACAGTGGAGAGAATTCGATTGGTCACATTCACAAACCATTCAGATTGTGAAAGTTCGAAAAAGTTTTGGAGTCTCCTCAACCAACAAAAATCATGTTTTTCATAACATAAAGGTGATGAATTGTTTGTTGTGCAATATTTCATCGTTGTCAAACACGAAATCATGTCTTCTTTCAAACTTTGAACCACTCCATGAGAGTCATCGAGCCTCGTGATATTCGAGAATGAAGACGTCGACACAATATATTGAATTTCATATGGAGAAAGTATGGACATATCAAAGTCACTCCATTGCAAATATTGAAAAGGTTGTTTCTTTTGTTCTCGGATTTGCCGTATTAATTTTGGAATATCTCGATCCGTTGTGGTTAAAAATTCAATTTGTTTCGAGTCAACGAAAGGATTTCCCAAAATACAATCACACAACATGTTATTCACTTCAACCAATTTCAGGGGTTTGATTTGATGCATAGAAAGAGCCAAAGCAACACTCGATTTGAATGCATGCTGACGTGTTGTATCATCAGATTCCAAATCAAAGGAGAACATGTGTATTGTTGTTTGGTTATTGACAAGTTGTTGAAGAGTCGTCGTTCCACCTTTCAAGGAACTCAATGATTGTTCCTGTCGACGTCTCAATGAAAGCATTACAATGGAAGAGTTAGAACTTAGAATGGCAGCAGTGGCCATGGTTGTCGTTCGTTGTTGTTGTTGTGAAAAGATGACGAGTTTCATGAACGTGTCAATGGTTGTCGAGTCAATGACGAATGGAAGTGAAATTTCTTTTTTCTCGTCTAGTAAATGAGCAGCAGCTTCTGAGAGCAAGGAGATGCTGGAAGAAGAAAAAATTAGAACCACCACCACCACGAACATGGAAAGCATGCAGCGAAGGGAAATGCAACAATAACGGCACCACCACCACCACCACCACGAACTGTTGGATCGGAAAGGAATGATTTTGCACATTTCTTGTGTTTGTTTTTTTGAAAGTCGGGTAAAATTTGGAAAATTTGATTGTATCAACAGGTGACAGTTGAGTGATTCGGGTGTTTGATTTCGGTGAACGTGTTGTGGTTTCATTGGTGCTTTTCCTCCACTCTCGGACTCCCGCAGCGAATGATAATGATCCCAAAAGGAACCAATTTGTTTTTTCATTAAGCCCAGATCCATTGAGGCGAGATCTGTTGATTGGTTGGTTTCGTAAAGGGTACAACGTGCTTCGCATCATTTTTGAAACAATGAATCTCCATTTGCTGCCCACATAGCCAAAGAAATATCTTGTCTGTAATGTACAAAAAGATTATCGTCATTAATATGTTTAATATGGAATAATGTTTTCATTAGAGTTGACGTCAACTTTGTACTTTTTCCCATTTCATGCAATCCTTAATGGCTTTCATTAAAAGTGACTACATTTGAACTACATCAGGACATTATTGAGAATTTTCTGAAATTTCATTTAAAGGACAAGATGGATCTGTTCGTTGGTCGTTGCAATTTAGATTCACAGGTAGAGCACACAGGTTTGAATTTGCTAAAAACTGAATTGAGGGAGTAGGACAATGTTCTCATGTTGTGATTGAATAAAACAAATATAACTTACTGGATAAACAAACCGGACACACATAACCATCATCGATGGGTTTTCTAGTTTCAAAACAGCTTGCTCTGAAGTCAACAGTATTCTGTACAGGTAATTGAATATATGATCGAAGATTCTTCTCAATCATGAATATTGTTGTGAGATATTGAATCAAACCTTCTTGTCTTTGAGGTTTTAAATACATGCCACCTGTCAAAAAGCAGGCTTGTTGCAAAAATGTGGAATCCTGTGTCGATAATACGCATGCATCCAATGTAATTCCCTGTATAGTAGTGAGCAGGTGGATTTAGGAGAGTAATATTGTATTGAAATAAAGCAATGTATCATGCATTCATCCATGAAAAATTTCATAGAGCACAACCACAAAGAGCACAACAATTACTAAGAAATATTGTCAAAAAAGTAACCCACTTACCATCTTTTCAGCAGAAAAGATCGAATTCATGACTGAAATGTACTGCGAAGAAATGTCAGGTGAGACTTGAAAAGTTAAAATTCTAGAGTTGAGTGTGGTTCCATCTGGTTTCTCTTTTTCTAGTCTGTTAATAAAACATAAAGCCATTGTAAGAGCTCCACACAGAGAGAAGCCATGAGTTCGGGACACAGTATGATGAAATCCTGAAGCATCTTCAGTGGTTGTTTCTTCCTGATCAGCCATGGCTTGATCGTCATCCGTGGCTGTGCTTTCTTCATTCATTTGAAAAAGACCATTCAAGATGGAATTAGAAACGGTCTCAAAAGTGATTTCATTCAAGAAGAAATCTTTCACATCTTCTCCCGAATTAGCTTGATTCAAGACACTTCCATTCTCTTTGGAATAAATTTTGTTATAATTCTGAGTGTCTTTTTTAGTGAAAGTACTTCTATTTGGAAAGAGAAAATGAGATTTACTATGATCGGAACTAGCTATCACTGCAATTTTCTTATTCCTTTGCATGGTCAGATACATGTTAATAAATACCAACAAGTGATTGACAAATTGAGAAAACGAAATTAAATTCTTTGATGTTGCCACTCCGTTGGTTAAATCTAATTTTCTCTTTCCCCACGTGTAGGGATTTACATCCAATAATATTACCAACAAATCTAAATCATCGGACATGGTTATAGATCCCGACGATGAAGATACTTCCACTCCTGATGACATGTTGTTGTTGTAGAGCGAACTCGATGAAGAAGCTTTTTGCATTTTTTTTTCAATTTTAATTTGAATTGAAAATTGTTTAAAAAAATGTTTATTCAGAAAAGAAGGAACAATGTTCGCTTTGTCAGAGTTGATCACCAAAATCATCATTCCAATGGTGATGAACAAGAAGAACAACCTCTTCCTTATTCTCCTCATGACCAACACCAATATGAAATAACAAATCCAAAAAGAACCGACCAACTTTCGGAAAAACAAGATCATCAGTTAGATAAGGATTCAACAAACCGAAAAACAAAATCTCCTGAACCATTACGTAATGGTGATGGCAATGCAGGTGGTAGTGGCCGAGCAGGAACCCTCCGAAGAAGGAGAAGGGAACTACATCCAGTATCTCATTTCCGTGATGTTCAGCAATTTCCAAGAAATAATTCCCGATTTAAATCAAATAATAGGAATGATCAAAAGAATAACAAAAAGGCTCACCAAAAGTCTACTCGAAGTAATACAACAACTGTGAGTTCACAAAGCGTGGAAAATTTAAATTCACCCAAAAATTCGGAGACTTTTGAAAAAGATCAAAATAGATCCAGTGGGGATGAATCTCCTAAAAACGAGAACAACTACCAGAATATGGGAAATGAAAGTTCCTCACGCTCTCCTTCTCCTCCCCCATTGACTAAAGAACAACTTGAAAAGCATGTTGCAAAACAAAAGGTTTATGCCTTCTTTGCATGTAAGCCTTGTTCATCGTGGTTCTGGAAAACAGTTTTCGATTACAAGAAGGTCACACGATGTAGAGATTGTCACATAAAGCTGGAAGCTATCCCCAATGAAGAAGCAATTGGAAAAGGATATTATCAGTGTGACTTGTGCCACCATGTTTGGACCTCCCTCAATGTACGTGCAGATGTTGGACAACATTGCCTTGAATGTGAGGAACAAAAGGGTTCAAATTTTGACAAGAAGCTTTACTATCCGCACAGAATTGGACCTTCGGAGAAACGAGGACTACGAAGGAGCCATCATGGTCACTCTTGTGAGGCATGTTATTTCCTGAGTCCTGAAAAACGAAAGTTATGCAAATTTAGAATGACCAGCTTGGTACCAAGAGTGTGGAGTAAGAGCCACGAAAGTACTGGCACAACCATCTCATCTGTTTCTTCCATTGCCTCTCATTTCTCTGGGGTTGGAGTTGATTTGCCAAGACGTTTCTAATCGACCATCATCAATCTCATCGATCTCGAGATGAAATGAAACAGAATGCTTGAATTCATAATTTTATTAATTACTTGATATTTCAATCATAAACAACCTTTTAATGGTAAATTTACATGGTTAGGAAATATAGAATTAGTGAGAGAATTAAGAACAAGATTGGCAGGACAAAGAACAACACACGACTGTTGGACTGGCTCGCAAGCTGAGAAGGCTTAACTGTGGTGGCAGTCTCGAGAATTCTATCATTGGAACTGATACTACTGTTAACAGTAGTATTAGTATTTTGCTGAGTTGTTGTAGTCGTCATGTTTGCTGTATCATTGTTGCTGACCTTTTCTTCAGAGTGGGCAACATTGGTCTGATCCACTTTGGTGGTTGATGCATCCTTCTTACTTGAATCTTCTTGCTTTTCTGGAGGGCTCTTCTCTTGAGGTGGACTCGATGACGGTGGGCTTGAGGAAGCAGCAGCAAGTGCCTTTTTGGCTTGTTCTTCTTCATAAATGTGCCTCCACGTCTCAATATTATTCAACACGGATTCATGTAAGAAGGTCAATTCCTTAAAGGAGGAAGCAACCAACTTAAATAAGGGAGAAACCACGAATTTTCCAAAATCCATTTGTGACTTGGGGAAGTCCAAAGAATTTCTATCCATGAGAGGGCTAATGGGAAGCCCTTTCTGTCTCTCTAAATCTCCCTGTGAAAAGAATTCGTTAATACATGCGTTAGCCCATTTCTTTGCAATAGGGAAGGGCCTGCTCAAATTGCTAATGTCCGAACATTTCATTAACACTCGCATCAATAATATTCTGTCCTCAGCGTTTTCGTTAGATAATCTTCCAGTTCCTATTCGAGATTCGAAAATTGAAATGATGGAAAAGTGATTGCTCATATCGGTTGCTAAAATAGTCTGGACGAGACATTTCCTAAATTCTCGGAATTGATCCTCAGAGAGGCCATCTAAAAAGTTACATTCATCCTTTTGCAAAATTTTAAATGCATTGAATGCATGATAATTTTCAAGAACACTCTTGTCATTGTATCGATAGGCCAACTCATCCTCTATGTATTGTATGGAATAACGAATGGATTAAATGCAGTGTTTTTTGTTACAAAAGAACGGTATTTATGCCTCACACAACTTACCTGTTGCAATTAAAAAGTTATTATTCACTCCTGGATGATCAATGTCATGGCAGAGCCCAGAAACTAATAACACAAGTTTTTCCAAATTGGAAAAGAACGCATCAATCTTCTCATTATTGATCAGTAAATAAAGGTATTGTGTAACATCGCAACAATGTCTAAAATTGTGATAAAAATTTGCTCGATACTTCTTTCTTAGATCGCCCAAGAAGGCCCATAATTTAAATGGCTTAATATTGAAAATCTCGAACATGTTCAGCGATTTGAAGAAGTACATGACGTGCTTTTTCAACTCTTCATAGTCAGAGTATTTGAAAGCATCATAGTTCAGAGATTTCAAGTCAACATCGGGTTTGTATGTGTCCAAGTTGAATGGTAATTCTGCTTCAGGTTTGGTTTGGGTTGTATTTGGGGTCTGTGCGCTACTGGGAAGAGCAAGAGTGGTAGAGTAATTATTGGTCGAGTCAGTGGAGCTTCCAGAATCTAGACTATTACTTCTCTCATTGATGCTGTATCTTCTAGCGTTATATTCCTCGGCATCTTTGGTGTATTGATTCACCAACCAATGACGGGTACTTTCATCCATTTCAGTTGTTTTGAGAGAATCTAAAAAGGCTGGTCTATATAGATTTGAAGAACTGAGAGATTTCATCACAGAAATGAGAGCAAGTTTAGTTTGCTCTCGATCTAAACTTCCACTCATAATGTCTCCTACTGTGCCGACAATTAACTGAATGGGTGTTTCGATTGATTCACTAACCTTCTTTTTGAAGGCCATTAATTCTTCTTCATTCTTCTTTTCTTGCATGTGAAGTTGATTTCTTAATCTCTGTTCTTCTACAATCTTGTTAATATAAAATCTTTCCCTTATTCTTCGGTCTCTATATGCTAACACAGTTTGTATTCTTGCTCTAAGAATTTCTTCCTTGATCGGTTTTGGAAGAAAATCTTCTGCTCCATATTGGAATGATTTTGAGACGGTTTCTGGATCCTCGCTGCCGCTCATCATAATACAAGGAATTTCTCGATTAATGGCCTGTTTCAAGACCCGAATGAAACCAAAACCATCCATTTCTGGCATCATTACATCTACTAAAAGGCAATGAAACGGATCCTCATCATCGCGCAACAACAAGCTCAAAGCCTCTTTTCCTCCTGCTGCTGTTGTACATTTGTATCCCAAATTTGAAAGTAATTTTGAAAGAGTTTTTCTTGTTACTAAATCATCATCGATCACCAAAATATTAGGGACAATATTTGAATCCGTTAATAATTGAGGAATTGAAGAAGAAGAAACACTGTCTCGTCGACCCTCCGATGATGAGCCTAAACTCAGCTTTCTCTCTTCTCCACCGCCCAATCTCGTCAAGGCAGAAGTAGGCGGTTGTTGGGTTTGCATCATTTTTTGTATTGGAGTTTCAAGACTCGAGAGGACTCCTCTCAAGAACTGAAGGGTCGAGGTGGAGATAACCTTCTCAGTTGTGGTGCGCACCTACTGGGAGGAGGATACAACGCATCTGCATACATCACGCGCATAAGACATCTCCTTGTGTCATCATTGAAAAACAAACATACAAAATTAATATGGAATTCATAAATCCTTTTTATGGAGAACGAGATGTCTATCGTACAAGTTGATGAATGGACTTGATCCTCGATCTAGAAATATGGGTAAGAGTGGTGTGTTTGTTGAACGCATTCAATATTGACAATGTCGGCAGTTAGAGTTAGATCTTTCTGTGCATTTGATTTCAATAAGGGATGGTAATTACAAGATATTGGCAAAGTTCTTAACTATTGATTCGACTTTCCTTCTTCCAATTCCTTAATTCGTTGTTTAAGCTTTTCATTCTCCTGTTTTAGTTGTTCCATGTCTTCAGTGGATGGTCCTCCAAGAAAATGCTTCACATATCTGAATCAAAATCATTTGATTTCAATAATCATAATTATTTAATAATCAGAGAGGGATGATAATCATCGGGTTTGTTGGAACGAACATCACACAAAATCGTTCACATGTACATACTCGAGTGGATTTTGTGGTCTCTCCGGTTCTTCATACAATGCTACAAGAGCCTTGGTAAACGAATCAACAACTCCGTTCTTTTCTAAATATTTTCGGAATTCTTCCTTTCTTGCATTAATGGACTGATTTGAGTACATCATGTTATCATCATTCCGAAATCATGTCATACATTATTATAGTTTGAGTCGTTCGTTCATCATGTGATTTCATTATTCATTCATCACCATTGCGAGTTTTCAAAAACAAATCATACCTGATAGGACATGATGATGGCACAATGCTCTATTTTTTTGTTGGAGAAAAATTTTTGCCGCCAAGTTTCACTACAATCTCCAACTTCAATACCTTCAAATGTTGTTCCGAATAAACAATGTATGAACCTTGTCTTTATTCTCGACCAATGAATGTAAATGGATTTAACCAACTCGAGAAGGATATTCTGGGCACCAACTGCCAAGAAAATTATTTCCTGACACACTGTCAGCAAGTAAGAATGAGTGTGTTTCACATTCATATTCATTGAAGGGACACAGGCATCGATGTGTTTCGTCATTATCTCGCAAAGGTTCATTCACTTCGTTGCACATGTCTTTGGAGGATTGTCTCCTAAGCCAAAACGCTCGGTCATAACTCTTCAACAAATTTTCGTGATTCTTTCCTTCCTCCGTGTTCACCCAAGCATGATGTTTTGCATTGACAGTTAACCAAAATTGGTCTAATTCTTGGTGAGTTTTGAAGGTAATCTCGTCAAAATTAAACGATGGCTTGATTGGTTTTGGGATGGAGTAGGTCATGGAACAGATTCCATACTTTTTCAATTTGAAAAAATAGTCCTTCACAAGAGGTGATATTTCTGTAGAGTTTTTCAGGTCAATTCCAATGGCTTTCAGAACGGTTTGAGTAAAATGTTGACAATTTGCCTTTTATGTACAATGAGGTTAATGTTTCCATGATGAATGACGTCCACATGAAAAAGTCAATTAAAAGTTATTCCAATTACATTCATTCAACAAGCAATCATTTGTAAATTATTATTGATATGAATGACAAATGGTGGATATACAAGTAAACATCGGCGTTACCGTCAACAAAATTTCTCAACTTACAGTTTTGACATCATAATATTGAGTTGCATTCCATGTACAACACACTCGAGTAATTTTGTTAATGACTTCATTGATTTCAGCTTCCCCAAAGGCTTTTAAATGATAAACAAACACAGCCTTACTCGAGGAAATAGGTCTAACACAAGCAATAGAATTATCATTAAACTCGATATACCAATTTCCAACAATGAGAGCAGTATGGAATAAACCAAACCCTCCTAAAATATTTGTTCCGTAATATTGTGAGATGCGACGAAAAGTAACATCATTATCACATAGTTGTCACCTGCTATCTAAACTTACCTTTTTCATCGGTGTTTGCAATATTTGCAATGTGCCCAACACGGCGAATAAATCGATGCATTTGATTTTCATGCAGCGTAGTAATTACCAACTTCACAGGAAGAGATACCTTCTTTTTCGACGAACCTCTGACAACAAAATCGTTTTGCTTAATATAAGGATGAAAATATCGATATTTGAATCGATCTGGAAGGCATAAATTTTGAGCGGTGATCAAAAGCTGCGTTTGTGACTGCTTGAATGACTTTTCTAATTTTTTACAACAATTCTTGATCGCATTCATTTCAGATTCTGATAAAAGTTCAGATGAAAAAAGCCCTACTGGGTGATACATTTGAGATTTTTGCTTGGAGTTGTTAGCATTAGAAGTGGGAGAAAAGGAGATGGAGACTGGAGTACTGGATCGACTTGGTTGTTTAGAAAATGGTTGATGTGACGAAAAAAAAGGAGAGGAAGTGGAGGCGGCGGGAGTTGCATTTTCTGCGTCAAAGGAAGCAGCAAGAGTGGAATCAATATTAACTGTTGAGTTATAGGAAAAGGAGGTACTGGAAAGGAAGGATTCATGAGATGTTGAGGTGGTTGAGAGAGAGGGTGATTGATCTGTTTGTTGCCAGCTTAAATCAGTGTCATCCACTAAATCTTTTACCAATGAAGTGTCATCACTGAAATCCATCACTTGATAATTTTCTGGAATGTTTTTTTCAAATATTTTGTCCATAAAACGAAGATAATTTTTTTCCAATTCAATTTTCTTTTCAGGTGAAATGACTCTGTGTGTTTCATCAGCATGTTCATTGATATGACATTTTTGTACAAAAATACCAAATCATTGATTTTGCATGTTAAAACCAACTCATGGAACTTGAAATGCAGCTTACCTTGATAAAATCTGTTCTTGTTTTGTTTTCTTCAATAAACTATATATTTTTTTGGCCGCATAGGTATCCTGTGTGACTTGAGCAATGAGTTGACATGATGAAATGTGAAAAAGAGCTTCTCCAACACTTTTGTATCTGGACAAGTATATTGACAAGTTATCATTCTTGCTATTAAATTCTACAATGTCCATAACAAAACGACATGTATTAAACATGTTGATATCACGTTATGCAAAGATTTCCGAAAAATATCTGAAAACTTACTCTGAGCCACAGATTTTTCAATTCCATTCTCAATCAATAATTGTTGAAAATTGGAAAGGTTCCAATCATACATGGGCGTTAATGAAACCCTGTCTGTATCATCGTCGTTCGTTTCTTCAATCAGGGCCGTTTTGGCACCTTCTGATGATTCAGAAATTGAATTTCCCATTTTCAATTGAAAATGTTCGTTGGACAAAGATCAGTTTCGAAAATAGCTGTTTTATAACAGAAACAATCTTGGGCAATTCCGTTTAAAAGTGAGCTCACTTTTAAACACGTGTAATCGATCCAATCAATCGGGAATTTGTTGTGTTCAAATAAGAACCGAGAAGAGGATGGATGGCGAATGGACAAATTTTTTTGGAGCTCAAACATCCATTTCCAGCTCATGAACAAATTGCTGCTTTGTTTTCAAATCTAAATGATTTTCGGAAAGTGTAACCCCCAGTAAATATAATTCCAAATTATGCTTGATTCAAATCAGTTTTTGAAATTTCTGATTGAGTTGATGATCTGGTTCGTTGGGTATAATTGAAAAAATGTTTATTGGCCCTTCGGTGCCTCAGTGATTTCATTCTCCCAATATTTTCGTTGGATAACATTGGTATGATGAACACCAAGTCCTCTTTGCCACGTCAAAAGTTCTTCCCTCCAAAATTAATGATGGGATGGTACAATTCAAAAAAACGAAAACGATTGTTCAGTCTCGTCAAGCCAACATGTCCGAACAATTATTAATGAATGCCATCGAGAATGGTGATTTACAACAAGTCTCTACACTGATCGTTGAAACAAATGCCAACGTTAATTTTATTGAATTTCAAAATAAGGGTTACACACCTTGTCATCTTGCTGCAGAGAAGGGTTTGATGAGTATTCTGGAATTATTATTGACCTACAATAGTGATCCGAATATTCCGAGTGATGAGAGGGTGGGATCTCAAACTCCTCTTCATATTGCTACTTCAAAGGGATATAAGAAAATAGTTGAAACTCTTTTAAATTATTATGCAGATCCTAATGTACAAGATGAGAATGGATACACTCCGTTACATATTGCTTGTCGTAAGGGATTCTTAGAAATTTCCAAATTGTTATTAGCAAAAGGAGGAGATCCCGATATTAAGGATCAACAAGGAAAAACTGCATACTATTGGGCCCAAGAATACAAACATGAGGAAATTCTTCCGTTTTTAGTGGTCTTTTCAGCCATGAAGGAATCAGCATCGTTACCCGTTGAGACCACAACTGAATTGAAAGTGAAAGAAAAACTTGCCTCTTACGACTACACTAAACACCACGAACAAAATAAGATTACCATTCATGTCATTAAAAAAACCAGACACCGAAGGAAAGAAGAAAAAGACCACAACAAAGAAAAAGAAAAGCAGTAAATAATGAGAGGGTGCACAGATAAGGTCACTTCAAGGAATCATTGAACTGCATCCGCCACGAATCAAAATAACATCAAAAAAATGGACAAGATCACACAACCCATCCATTCGGTGACAAATTTCGTTCGGGAAAATCCAGGACTCACTGCCCTAGGAATTTTCTGTGTTTTATATTTCGGAGGAAGTATATACTATAGAAGAGATAAACCTCTTCTCAAGACTGAAGACGATAATTAATGAATTATTATATTATCATTGAAAATTGTAATCATTTGAATCAGAACAAATTCTTCCATGACCCAAAATTTTGTATCTCAATATTAACATCTTCCTCTACATTTCTCCCACATTCAAGTATTCAATTCGAGCGTGTTGATCATGATGACAATAAACTCCTACTACATCTCACAACAACAAACTCTTCAAATATAACCAACAATAATTATTTAATAATTATTTAATTAATAATTATTTAACAAAAGGTAGTAATTATGATATGATAATATAATAATTCATCCCTCTCTTGTTCAATCCCATCGTCCTCATCAATAAGAGCACTCAAAAAAATGTCCTCACTCACCAACAAACTCTCGCAATGGGTGAAAAAAGTGGTTAATTCTGCTACGGTCGGCAATGCAGCAGCAACATCCAGAAAATTCGTTGGAAAGGACCTGAAGGGAAATAGTTATTATTCCGAAATTATGGGAGGAAAAGAAAGAAGAACGGTGGAGTACAGCTCCGACTATGATAAATCCATTTTACATCTTCCTCAAGATTTACCGTTAGAATGGGTCTCATGGCTCAAGTACATGAGAGATCATCCACCCACCGAGAAGGAATCTAAAATGTTAGACGAATACAGAGAAAGGCTCAGAGTTAATGGCGAAAAGTGGGATCAAGAGCAACAAAGACAAGCGTTGCAGAGTCAAGCCAATGAGGCCATGAAACGAGCAGGATTGAGAGGATATGGTAGTACGACCAATTACGAAAATACTGGAACCTCCTATTCAACGGATAAACCTCCTTCATTTCAATTTATTGCAGATCGTTTGAGACAAGAAGGAGGAATGTCGTCCGATGCAGAGTCGTTGGCTAGTGAAGTTGAAAATTCTGAAAGGTTGCAAAACACAAACATTTCACGGATATTGACTGCAAGTGGAGAATTGAAATCGACCTATTCATCGCAAGATATTGAACAGAGAGATGAAAGATTAAAAAAATTGGAGCAAACAGAGAGCAATACACAAAAAGATCCATATGCACATTTAATTCCTGATCCACGATTGAAAAGATCTCGTACCGATGAAGATATTCAGGATATCATTGATAGAGAAAATAAGGAATATGATTTACCAAAGGATTTATCAAATCCATCGAATTTGTCACAAGAGGAAATTAGAAATATCACAAGACATTACTCTCGAAGTAGGACAAGCCCTTTTCTCGGCAAAAAGCCTCAAATTAGAGCAAACTCGAATTACAAAGTTGATGAATAACTTGCGAATATATGAATACGTTTTTTAGGGAATGACAGTTTTTTCAGAAATTACACGTGTGATTGTATATAGTTGGAATATTTATGGAATATTTATTTTTATGATATTTATTTGCGGCGATTAAGGTACACAAACTTGAAAAGGGTTTATTCGTGTTGTAAATAATTGACATATTTCAGTGATAGTAAAGATTGACAAAGCTGAGGAATTGATGATTTTTGCAGTAATGCTATTTTTCAAGCCATCTCAAAGTACCAATTTGGATTTGTTAATACGAGTTCCCAGCTTCCTCTCATCACAACCCTTAATGGTAGGCCACAATTAACACATCACTGATGGTGTGTTGGTTCTCCATGTAAGCCTTCTCAAGTAATTTCTTGTGAAATGCTGAGTGTGGTCGGTTAAGGAAGAAAACAATTCTATTCGGCAATGTAACAATTTGAGGCTGTGTCGAAAATAATGAAGAATACCTGACAATGTGATTGTAAGCCATACCGGAGACGTTACCAAGCAAGTACAAAAGTTGATTGTGCTTAAAGTGAAAGGCTCCATATTCTCTACCTAAAAAAACTTCATCATATGGAAATTCCTTTGAATCGTGATCGGTGATAAGAGGACTCTTCACTCGGCGATCATCACCTTCAACTGTAAATGGTGATCCACCAAAGAAATGATATGTGTTTGTTGGGGATGTCACTAACGAGCAATTGGTTCCTAAATTGGCATAAATGCCTGCCTGAACACTTGTAGGAATTTCTTGAAAAGGTGTTACATGTCGAAGGATTAATTGCTTTGAAGAATGAGATCCAGCAACACAAATACTTCCATCGACCAGTAAAATGATGAAATGAAAATTTCCACAATGCAAGGACTTTACAGGCTTGGTACAAACATGAGCCCTGTTTAACCAATCATGATAACCTATGCACAAGTTAGTTCGAAATTTGGAAAACAATGCACATGTCATGAAATTTTGTTGATGTTTGTGACAATTGTATATTGATGAGTCACTACAAAAACATACCTGTGTTTGAATTGTTAATCCAATCTTGACCAGATAAGTGAACATCTGTATTATTCACAATACACACACTAAATGAGAAACAGCATCCAACATGTGTAATTCTACTCCGCTTATTTTGCAGTTGGATATGCGGTGAAAAAACAGGCTTGCTTAAATCGACATTTTCCTTGCTCGACAAACGACTATAAGCATTATTTCCACGGCCATACAAGTATGTTTCTCCGTTGTGAATATCCTCTAAAAGAAATAGAGCATGTTCCGTATAGGTTGACATTTTTAACACTCGTAAACTTGCTGAACTTTTTTCGTCTTTGGAGCCAAAATGAATATTTTCAACCTTCCATACCTTGGAAGAAGTATCATCATTCTCATCACTTTCAGTATCGTCATCATTGACATTTTCACCTTTCGACAATTTAAACACTTGTTTTGTATAACGATCAAGAACATAAATCAAAGAATGTGATCCGATCAAATCCTCCACCTCATTCAATTCAACAATCTCCACGGATTCAATCTCCTCTTTCAAATTAATTTCGGTCATGATTCCAAGAGGAACCATGGCTCTAGAAACTGTTGTTTTTGCTCCGATCAATGATTCAAGATGATTCAGCTGTTTTGGTGGCTTTTTGTCAGTGGCACTCCGACGACGCCGCAACGACAAGATATGGAGCTTCATTTTTTTTTGTAAATCTTCCTTAATCATCATCGAGTCAACCATGATGATTTCCAAGTTCCTCCCCTATTCAATATGATATTTCAATGTTGGAACAAACCAACAAAAATTAAGCAACGATCCGAGCTGAATCACTTCTCTTCGAAGGAGAGATGCAATAAATCACCATCGAGGTGCCTTATGGCTCAATAAGTTTTTGTATGAAATGGTCGAGTAATCTCAATATTTGACGAACGGTTTTTCGATTCCCACTCATTAAGAACCGTTGATGGAGGTGGGGTTGAGAGTTACATTCAGTTGAGTTTTGTTGCCTTCTAAAGGTGTTCGTTGTAACGTTAATGGTATTCTGTCATGGATTTCATTCGCAACAGATCCGCCATCATTCATGGCGGAATTTAGCGATTCTCTTTTTCACTATCGTTCGCTTCATATTATTCATTGCTAATTCAAAGTAATTCAATAGTGAGGAAATATAATTTTGTGATGAATGTGGTTTCTAATTCTCCAAGTTTCTTCAAGAAGGGTTCATCCACTTGTTCCATTCTCTTAGAGGGATGTATTATGCTCCATTAAGCCGTAAGGGATTTTTGAAACATCAGTCTCTCTCTTATATATTTCGGTCCTCCTTAAACTTAATGAAATTGAATGAGACCGTTGGAATTGGGCTGATTTTTTGAAGATACTGTCCTCTTCAGTTCCCACGAATATAGCTCTTGTCAAGACGAAATCTCGTCCTCATCGATGATTGAAGCAAAATTGAAATTGAACTCGGTGTCATGACCATTGCCTCAACTTTCGTTAATGTGGTCGGATTTTCAGTTTGTGCTACGATTATACTCTTAGCAATGGAGTTAGGAAACCTTATCAATAAAACCTCATTCGCTAGAAATGAAAAAGCTTTCAAAAAAGATATCCAATATTCAAAAGTAAATAGAACGTGTAGAACCAGAGCAACGAGCTCTCCAAGATAAATTGGAACTGGTACTACCAAGCAAAACTCGATCATTTATATCGTCATAGCGACTGCATTTATTTTTGGTTTTTTAAAGATATTTCAATACAGCGGAAGGCCACAACACATGACCAACTAGAACATCTAATTGTTAAATATATTGATAACTCCTAGTCTTCAGATTTGATGGAACATCATTTCCCAACACTTTGTTAAAAAACAAACAAATATTCTTTTAGAAATTCAAGCTGAAGTTTGCAACGCTGTGTTTGCAATAACAAGTTGGAACATGAAGAAAACACTCTCCGAAAGTCACAACTTGAATGCACAACCCATTTTCAAGCTCAGAATCAAAAAAGGGTCGTCTCGAAAAATGTCTCTACAACAAAATCTATGTAAGGGGATTGCTTGTTTGGTTTCTCTTCATGGCATTCGAATTTGTGCATGGTGTGTTGAGAATTTTGGTATTGGAGCCAATCGTGGGTGATTTCAGAGCTCGTCAAATTTGTGTGTTCTCTGGAATGGGAATTATTTATCTTGGTGAAAAGATTTAAATCGTATATTGGAGTCGGCAAGTCCTTTCAACAGTGCATGAAGGTGGGCATGATGTGGGTTCTAAGCACCTTATGCTTTGAAATCGGATTGGGAAGATGGAGTGGTTTGAGTTGGGATCGAATATGGGAAGATTACAACTTGTTTCATGGAGGATTGTTGCCTTTTGGATTGATGTTCATGCTCTTTAGTTTGTATATGGTTATAGAATGAATGCATACTTTCTCACGATGATGGTGATGCATCATTGGATATCTTACTGTGTGTAACCTAAAAGTTTTATTGTCATTGATGAAAGTTGGACGCTACTGATTGTGAATGATGGTGATTCATGCAAGAATGAAGAAATTGTTTTAGGGTTGCATTGGAAATAAAATTGATTTGATTATACACCATCATCATCGGAGTTGGCAAGGAAAACGAGAGGTGTTGGAAGTATTCCATTGCTGTTTTGTGTATTCATTCCAATATTTCGGACAGAATTATTTCCAGAAGAAGAATTTACCAATGCTGATACCGATGCCATTTGATTATTACTATGATTAAGTTATTTTCATTAAGATCATCCCCGAATATTTGTAGCAAGTTATAATAGACGCAAGTAATATAATTGATAATTTCCATATGGGTGAACGAAAATGATGAACAATCATGTCCTCCGCATTTATCATCATGATTGAATTTCGTGGATACTGTCTTCCAAACCTACCTCATCATCATTGCTACTACCGATGTACGGAACATCTGATTATTCACCATCATCATATGACATGATTTGTTTTTCACCAACGACGATGATGAAAGGACTCCTCTCAATACTCTTGAACAACAATTTCTTCTCATCATTTTTTTTCATGAAATTCCTCCAACTTGTGATTTTATTTGTGTTGTCTCAAACTAGTGATACCCTCTATCTCATGAACACACACATGCCTAATTGTTTTTCGTATCACACATTCACATCGATTAGTTGGAAGAAAACCAATTTGCATCTTCTTTTTCCTTTCCAAACAATAAGTATCAAAAAAAATGCAACAACGAGAACCTTCCGTTTCCTATCTGTTGCCTTATCCCAATCACAAGATCAAGGCTCATCGGTTCGGAATTAATAAATTATTATATTTGGAACGAGAAGGATCAGCATCAACAACATCATGCACAGAAAATACTCATCAGTACCAGCCACAGGATCAACAACATTATTTATTTTCAGGAGGAAGAGATGGAACGATCAAATGTTGGGCGCTTTATGCTTCACAGCAACAGCAACAACAACATCAACTACAATCTCAACATACTTCCCAAGAATATGCAATGTCACCCACAAAAACCTCATCAGGCTTTTTGCATCAATACCATTCTCCACACCAATTCATGTTCAGTTTAGAAGAGCATGTGGATTGGGTGAGCGATATGATCTTACTTCCGGATAAGAGACATTTAATCAGTTGCAGTCATGATAATACCATCATGCTATGGGATGTTGATATCAATAATCCACAACATTGTTTAACATATAGGTGAGTGTGATAAAGCGCTATTTGTGACTTGATGATGGAACCATTTGTTTGGCTATTTGTATGATTGGTGGATATATTATCGATGAATAATATATTGGTTGATTTAATCATTTTTAATGCCAAATGAAAACAAATTTAATAACGATCGGAATTACCACGTTGGCGATGATGGTGTCTATTACTTTTGATTTTTGACAAATGTGGTACATTTTAACATGAAATGACACCAACAACCACAACAGAACGCACACAGATTATGTTACATGCGTTGCATCTCCTTACACATTATTAGGAGAAGCATCGACTTGTTCGTTATTTTGTTCTGGAGGTTTAGATAGTTCTGTATTCCTATGGGACGCCGAGAGATTGGTGTCCATTCGGAAATACTTTGCTTCTCTTAATAATCAAGCAAGTCCAAACATGCAAGACAATTCTCCTTCCATGAAAACCATTCAACAATATGATATACAGAGTTTACAAAGCTACTATCCACCACAATTAAGTCCACAACCAAAACACAGTATTTATGCACTGGCCATGTCTACATGTAGCGCCAACCATAACTCCTCAGTTATAGATCAACATGTGATGGTTGCTGCTGGCTCTACAGATCAAATGGTTCGACTTTACGACTTTAGAACCTCAACAAAAATTGGAAAATTACGTGGCCACAAAGACAATATTCGTTGTGTCTTGTTGTCGGTTGACGGAAAAAAATGTTTTACTGGATCAACGGATGGCACTGTGAAATGTTGGGATTTAAAAACTCAACGATGCTTACAAACATATTCATTTTCAAATCCTAAAACATCCACTCCTTCATCGGTATGGACATTGGAGTTTGATCCTCAAGATCCTGATCAAAACACAATAATTGTAGGCACACGAGAAGGTCTAGTTTATCATCTTGACACAAAATATAGAAAATCATGCACCATCGCTAATCTTCATTCCATTAATCCACACTACGATAATAGAAATTCAGTTCTAAGTACCTTAATTATTCCAAGCAGAAATAACAAGGTGAATAGTACTCTCTGGGTTGGAGCTCTAGATTCCAATTTATATGAATTTGAATATGGAAGAATTGTGGAAAATGTTAACAATAATTCCAAGGACATATTTTCTCAAGATGGTGTGACAGTTATGGCAAGCACTCCAAAATCTGCATCAAGCTCATTTTCTCATATGGATTTTTCATCTCCAGTGACAGCTTCCAACCTTGTAGAAAATCCCACCACACCAAAAACTCCAAGTTCACGAAGTCGAGCCAGTAGTTTTCTTGTTCAAAGAAGAGCTTTCAGTGTCAATGCTGGAATCTCACATTACATGCCTCGATCAAAAATTCCTGGATGTCCTGGCATCATTGAACATTTTATTTTAAATTGCAGAAAGCGAGTACTCGTGAAGGATAATTCTGGACGAATTTCCCTATGGGATATCACAAGTGGGAAAATGATTGAAGATTTTGGAAATTCACATTCCTCCATGGTTGACGAAGGGAAAGATTTATTTGAAATATTATGTGCTGATTTTTCAAAAGAAATGATTTCAGTAAGAAATTGGTTCACTGTTGAAAAGAAATTGGGCTCACTTGAAATCGTGTTAACACCCAACGAGTGTTTTAATGCTGAAAATTATGCATATGAATCAGGTTTTTTAGATTGTGAAGAAGAAGACAAGGTTAATTATGGAGTCATGATTATACAGGCACTCTTTCGACGATGGAGAGAAAAACGAATTGAATTATTGTCAGCTCGACAACAAGCAAGACAAAATATTGAACATGATACCAATGATGAAACCATGATGCATTATGACGCTCATGCACCACTTTCTTCAGATGATTCTTCACAACAACCACCATCTTCATCCACAGCAGTAGAATTTCAACAACAACAATCGCAACAACACTCAGAATCCATCAATCAGAGAGCTGAACGAAAATTTGATTTACCTGAGAACACAGCTGTGATTATACATTTTGAAAAAACTTGCTCAGACAAGAGTCCTTTCAAAAAACAAATTCGACATTTTGACGGAGAGGAATCTGAAGGTTTTCCAATTCCTCAATGGGTTGTGGATATTACCAATGGAGTGCCTCCAAATGTGAATCCTCAATCTCACAAATTATCGTTTTATTTGGAACCTGCACCAGATGAACCATTCTTGAAACCCTTACAACCAAATTCTGCCAAATCATTGGCACATCGTATTTTGAGAATTTACAAAGTTGCCTTGCATGTGGTGAACAAGTTGAATATTGAATTACCAACTTTTGGTGAATTGGAAGAAATTAAGCGAAAATATTACGAATACAAGAGAAAAGAGCATGAATTGAATCCAGATCAAGTTCCTCTTGTGACACGAGAGAGCGATGAAGCTTTTGATGAGTCACTGATACTACCACTAAACATTGATCCCAATCAACGATGTAAACCTGAGGACTTTATTGAGGTGTTCTGTCAAGGGCACCGAATGAAGAATCGATGGAATTTGGCAATCGCTAATGCATTCTTTAGACCAAAAAACGTTTCCTACATTACATTACATTACAGACAGAGGTATTTGATACCTCCATCTGTGCGACAATGAGATGCCGAAAACAACCCTTCATTATGACACTTCATGATAATTGTATTCATGTAAATATTTCTGTTTGGATTACACATGTGCAAGAGTTTTCCACACAGTTCAATGTTGTAACAACAATTCTTCTTCATACCATTTTTGGAGGCCTATTATTTCTTTTTTCTTGAGGTACGAGGTTTGGCTTGTTTCTTCTTCTTTTTTGGTTGTTCTTCCTCCTCCTCTTCATTTTCCTCACTCTCTTCTGCATTGTTTTTTTCTTCTTTTTTACGTTTAGAGGCGGCCTTTTTCTTTCTTGGCTTTTCTTCTTGCTCGCTTTCCTCCTCTTCCACTGCATCAGATTTTGATGCTTTCTTTCTTCCCTTTCTCTTTTTAGGTTTTTCTTCAACCTCTTCCGATAAAGTATCCGTAAGATCGTCGTTGTATGTTTTTCTTGCTCGAGCTGACTTTCTCTTTGATCTTCTTGGCTTTTCTTCGTCTTCATCTTCTTCAACCATGTTGATCTCTTCTTCTTCCTCTTCTGCTATTTCCTTCTCTGAACTCTTTTGTTCGGTAGATTCACTCTTTTGAGCTTTTTTAAGTGACATTGCAAGTCTTTTTTCTTTTGACAATGGTTTGCTTGGTTTCAGCACGTCTGGAATTGGAATTAAGGATTGAGAGACAGAAAGTCCGGTATTGGAAACGAAAAAAGGAAATGCCTTGGCTCTCTCGTAAGGATATTCCATATTGTCATCCATAATATCAGGATCTGCTCCATAGCATTTGACCATGTCAACAGCCAATTGAATAAATCGGAATTTACATGCCACAAATAATGGTGTCTCACCGCTTGCATTTTTCTTGTTAATAATGTCGTCGAGCTTTTTCTTTTCTTTTAACGCCTCTAAAAGAGTTCTGGTACATTCAGTTCTTTGAGCAATAATCATTTCATGAAGTAGAGTGTCTTTGGTATCTGTGGATATCATGTCAAAGTCAATATGATCTGCATACTTTTCCAAAATATATTGAATTACCAGATCTGGGATCGTTGAATTATTTCGAATGGCTTTCACCAGAGCAGTGAGGCGGTTTGGAGTGGTATCAGGTCCGACCACTGTCATATGTTCAGCAACAACAAGTTTTTACAAAATCGCAATAGAAAAACATCAAAATATAAAAAACATTCGAGTGCCTTAAAAAACAACAAGACTTACATTCTGACAATTGTTCAGGTACTTTGCTCAACACCACTGGAAGGGAGTTCAAATTTTGTTCAAAACAAGCCATGAGAGCTGAGCCGTAAGGACAATCCTTCAAGTTGCTTAAAGAACATCCTATAAATTAATGTGTTGGATATTGCAGTTATTCGGCGAGATTGGGTGTTGTAATAGAATTGATGTTGTGGGTTTTGGTGGATCAAGTATAAAATGGAATCCGCAAATTATGTAAGTCATAATGAAGAGTTTCCACACAAATTTCAACATACCAGCTTTTTCAACCATGAATTCAAGAACATCCTTATTATATATGGCAGAAGAGACAAAGTCATTATCAGGATCATTCAAGTCACTCCATCCATTTTCGTACATGACCTCTAAAGATCTTGCAATGGATATCTGCTTCTTATGACAGATTTGCATGAGCAGAGCAAATGTTGTCTTGGTCATCATTTTGCCTGAGTAATGCTTTTTTGCATATTTTGTAATTTCGGCCAATAACTGCTCAATCTTTCCGTTCTTTTGTGAGAGTAAACCCAACCAAGAATTGCATGACAGCTTGGTTAATTGACTTCCTTGTTGAAGAAGGTAGGCAATAATTTGATGCTTTTGCTATTAAGATAATACAAGATTACATAATAATAAACAATGATGGTATGTAAGATGAATTAAATGATAAAAACGATGATGATCTGTACAGGTTAAACAATAATAATGAAAATTACCTTGTATGCCACTTTTTTCCCTATAATTTGGTCTAACAAGGTTCCCGAGTAATTAGTGCTGCTAAATGTTAATGACAATTCTGTATTCGGATTAATGTTGTACTTTTCACACAATGTCTAAGATTGTGTAATATGTATCAATCAATATTTCAAAGAAACAACAACAAACCTTCGCAGCATCTAAAGTGTTCAATCTACCAATATTTCCAATCACGTTGATTTTTAAATCTTGGTTAAACTCAAAGTCAATATAACCCGCGGCTTCCTCATACCAATTACCCTAGATCGTACATATGCCAAATGATGTCAGCAAGCTGTTAAGTATGGTACTTACTGAAATATAGGGCACTGCCGATTTAATTTTTAAGTCCCTAAATCTCAACAATTTCTCTCTGCCTTCCTTAATACGTTGGAATAGGGCTTTCAAATCCTTCTCATGATAGCTAGAAAATATGAAATTAATTTCTTCTAGTGCTGGAAATCGTTCTAAAATGTGCTTCAGTGTGGAGGTAGTAAAATTGTAGTTTGCATGTCGTCTATTCTTTCTAGGCTTTTCCAATCCGAGAATATTCAACACTTTTAGGCTCTTGGACCAAACATTTCTGTTAGTTTTATCCTGATCTGGCATGTCGTTCGAAGAACCTGCATAATAGTAACCTCTATTATATTGATTGCTAAACAGACTTGTAAAATATTGTGTTGGAAATATGAATGTGATCTCGTTCAACTGTGAGCATGGTGCCATTATTTGATTTTTACAAGCGTCCTGTTCGAGATAGGATCTTGGCAACTTGATCGACTTTAAAGAGTCTTTGCAGCTACTAATCAGGTCATAGACATTTTTAAGTTTCGGATCTCGAGCATACATCCAGTCAGCAAATTGGAGAGATGATAAATCTAAATGTTGGCTCTTGGAAAGCGCAAATTTAAACTTGTTCTGATAATACTTGTTCAATCGTTGTAACGAAAAGTAATAGGGAACAGCAGGTAAAAAGGTAAAAATTTCAAAAACCACATCTTCGGGCAACTTTTCAAGAGAATCAAATTGAATTAAAACATCATAATCATTGGTAAATGGTTTGATTTCATCGGAATCATCAATTATAAAATTTGGTGCCTCTTCAACTGCAGAAGCCTCTACACTCTCATCGTCCGATTTGTCCATCATCGTTGAAGTCTCTTCCTCTTGATCACGTTCCACCTCTACTACTTTCTTCTTTCTTGGCATTTTTTTCGATTTTTATGTGGAACTTGTGATGGTCTATTCTCGTGAGTCCTTTCATAGAGTGAGCAAGTAATAAAGACTTCTTGGAACACATCTAAGGTTGATGTTGCAAGATCCAGTAGTGAAATCGCGAATTGATTGAATTTGCGAAGAAAACAAAAAAAAAACAAAAAAAATATTGCTAAGGCTTTCAATCAAAATCTTCGGAATTTTATTCATCGATTCAACAATTATTAATCACCAAGTGTTCCTGGAACTTACTTTTCACGCAACATTCCGTGTTTGGAAAATGTCCCAATTTCGAAGAAGCATCAACAAGAGTTTGGTCGTTCCCATGTTATTCATTGGTAATTACTTGAACAATACAGCAAGCTCTTATTATTCCTCGAGTAGTAGCAGCATCATTAGCAATGTAAAGACGTCGGAACAGCAACAAGCGTCTGCTCTTCCTCGGAACCAAAATCATGAAGGAACAACTTTGAATATGATTTCTCGTAACATTAGAGAAACATTTTCCATGATGATTTCCAGCTTGTTTAAATTACATGTTTGAGAGAATTTTCTAGAGGTCATTCATACCAATTTTGGAAATTTTTTCGCTACATTACCAATTACCAACATAACACACTGAGAGTGATCATGGTTGAAAACAGCAACCAATATAGTGTGTTGTTATTACTGTCGTTTTGAAAACCCAATGAAGGACATGCATTTTCTCCACAACTATATATTGAAGAAGAAATAAAGAATTACAGTATTTGTGGAATTTAAAATCTTACAATATGATGACAGCTAAAAAATGTCCCAAAAACGACCTTCGTGGCTAACTCTGAATTTTTCAAAAACCTATTACGATTCACAAACTCTCTCCGATGAGGATATTCTTTTATTGACTGGAAAATACTGGCTCAATGATAACATGATCAATTTTTATTTTCTTTATTTGGAAAATGAAAAATATAAAAAGTATCAGAATGAATATTGTTTCATGGCTCCCTCTGTTTCATTTTGGGTTTCCATGATCGATGATGAACAAGATATTAAAGCATCATTGGATCCATTAAAAGTCCAAGAAAAGAAATTAATATTTATTCCGATTAATGATAATACAGATATTGAAGCAGTGAATGGCGGAGGCTCACATTGGAATCTTGTTGTATTTGAGAGGAGAAACAATACACAAGAAAAGAGTAAATTTTACTATTATGATTCTGGTGGAAACATGAATAAGAGAGCTGCACAGAGATGTATTGAAAAGATGGCTCCACATTTTGGAGAGTCTGGTTTGGATGCAAAATTGATTGCCAAGAATGCCCCTCAACAGAATAAGTATGTTTTTGTTTCAGACATGTACATATGACATGTTTGAAATCAACAATATGTGATTCAATTTGTAAATTTCGATCATCTTTTTGGTGAATTATTCATATTTAAAATGGAATGAAATTTATTGAATTGTTGCATTCACAAAGTGGTTATGACTGTGGAATGTATGTGGCAGCTATGAGTGACTACATTGCAGAACATGGAGTTTCAGATTCAAACATTGAAAAGGTACTCACTCCCTCTTTCATCACACAATTCAGAAAAGACATGTTGGATTTAGTCGAAAAAAAGACAAAGGAAGAACCTTAATAAAAAGGTTGAGCATTTGATTTTCAAAAGAATTCTTGTCATAATGAACTGCCACAATATTCTGATTGGAAAATAGAGGCTTTATTCTTTGTTTTTTTCACTTTGAAAGGTAAAGTCAACATAGAATACATTAGTGTGACATCAAAGTGTTGCTGAGATAGATGATCAGAACCACAAAGAGGCACGGCCCTTGAGTGTGACATTTAGATTTATATTTTTTCTGCTTTCCCATCAAGCCCACTTCAACTTCCGTATCGTATTAATACAGTGAAAGGAGGCCCTTTCTTTGGCGTACATTCTTCTCGCACATCGAAACCATGTTTTTTCAAGAACTGAACAGGCTTCTCTTCTCGTGACTGATTTTCATAATGATGTACAATGGTGTATATGGGCAGAGTGGCCTCATCAGACGCTCGAATGATTGGCAACAACACCTCAGTTCCAAGACCTCTATTTCGTAATTCTGGTTTTACAACAAGTGTCAGCAGGGACCAATGAGGTTTCTCAGTTTGTGAAAGTAGTTGTGAATGAATTGCTTCCATATCCTCCACTGCCTTCATTGTCCTAAATAGACCCTTAATACCACTAAAAATGTTCAAAACCATGAAATTATTAATATTGAAACCATCCATCCATCATGATGAGAGGTGAGTTACATTCAAAGAATTATAAAATTTTGAATGAACACTTACAGACTCTTTGGAGCTTTTCCAATTCCCAGTCTTAACATTTTCCAAAAATCAATTCCTTTTGAATTGAATGGATGTTGCCATATAGAAATGGCTTGAATTTCCTTTGCATCATCATTCATTGGATAATAGGTATTCACATAAATTCTTCCATACTTGATTCCATACTTGATCAACATGGAGCAAAGAAACAATAACGACTCATTGGAAACATCTTGCGGTGATTCTGTTTTGAAAATATAACTGAGTAGAGGATGCCACATATGACCTTGTTCCTCACAACCATGAACTAGAGTGTTTGATTCTCGTGTGATACTTCCATGTGATACTTCCTTCACCTCTTCTGATGCTTTACTTGGGCTTGAAGTTTCCGATGGAGCCTCACTTAAAGTCCTTACTCCATTAGATGCAACCGATTCGTGCTGAGTCGAAAGATTGTATTTGTAAAAGAGTGGCGATCGCAACGATTGAGCCAAAAAGTTCGCTGCCTCTTGGACCTGTGACGGATGTATCTCACTCACCACACTCTTTCCTCGCTTATTCATGTCTCTTCTCTTTTTTGGTTTGTGAATTTTAACAAACGCATATGCTTGTTGTTTGAAAATATTCTTTTCAGTTTGTGTCGATGGAACAGAGAGTACAAGAGGAGAAGATGCCGTCACTTTGCTTTCATTAAGGACAGTCGAATCCATCGAAGGATCACTTGGAGAGGCCACCAATGATGGATGTTTGCTATTGGCACTGCCCGATCGTTTTCGTTTTCCAGACATGGGAGATGCAGCTGATTTCATAATTTCATCTCCAACTTTTGTGGTCGTCATAAATATTCGCCACCACTGTGTATATGTCGCCACAGCACATACGAATGTCATCAAAATGATAGTCTGTCAATATTCATGAAGGAGAACAATACTTACATGTTCTTCCCATAATAAAAACAATTGCTTGCAAGAAAGTCCAACATGATACATGTCCTCAATTTTCAAGTATGAGAATACATGCAGTTTCAACACATCGGGTAAAAATTTAAAATCTTTGAGAACAAGTTTCAAATTGCCATATTTTCCATCTGCTTTGATCTTGTTCAACACTTTCAGAGTTTTTTCTGCGGTGGGCCTTTCTCGAGGATCATAGCTTACTAATAATTTTGCCAAATCGAACAATTCTTGAGAATATCCAAGTACTTTAACACACTGATGTTCAATGTCTGCAAAAAAGTTTGGATTTTTTCTCAATTCCATTGAGATCATCATTTGTTTTCCTGTCATCATTTGAAGTAAAATTCTAAATTGTTGTTCATTATGAAAAAAGAGGGAAGTTCTTGACACATGCATATTCTGTACTTACACACCGTAAGAATACATGTCAGTCGCTTGATCATAAGGTTCCTTGTTCAGCATTTCATAACTCATGTATTGAATTGTACCACATTGAGTATGAGCTCTATTGGGTGTAGCATTAAATTTCACACGCATTCCATGAAACCAAATGTCAGTTAAAATAATTAATTAATTAATATAATTATATTTTCACTTACAAGCTGTGAGTTCCAATTTCACGACTAATACCAAAATCTCCAATTTTAAGCGTACCATCTGAGGCAATCAAAATGTTTTGCGGTTTTCTGAAAATAAAATTCCATTCGTTAATAGTAATGTTAGATTATAGATTATACATTTGTGACATTAGAATATTTCCTATTACTATTTCAAAACTTACAAATCTCGATCTAATATAATTGATGAAATGACACATCACCAATTGTGTTTCACATTTGTACAAAAAATAAACAAATTCCCATTTTCTAACACTTACGAATAATATTATGTTCATGCAGATATTTAAGGCCCTCTGCTATCTGTTCTGCATACGTTATAATATCTTCTTCTTTCATCTTTTTATCTCGCTTAATGACACTTGTGATTAGCTTTTGTAAATCTCCTCCTGGACAATATTCAATACAGAGGCACACAAAGTGAGTTTCCGTGCTGTATTTATGAAGAAAGACCTTTAAATATTTCATAATATTGGGATGATTAAGGTCTTTGAGCTTTTGAGCTTCATTCAGATGAAGATTAGCGTCATCGAAGCTAGCCCATTCCATACGCTTGATTGCCACTTCTTCATGTGTTTTCTTGTGTTCAGCTAAAAGTACTTGGCCTAATTGATATCATTGTGAAAGTATGTGATTGTTGTGGTTATTGATTGACGACGATGCATCATCACATTTTGAGAATATAAGATGTGAACTTGCTTGCACTAATTCATTGCGCACCTACCTTCAGATCCTCGACCCAAGATTTTAATAATGCTTTCGTGAGAGATGCAAACAACACATGATCCGTTTTTTAACCATTCAACGTTCCACACCAAATGTCAACTTACTAATACTGATCCATGACAGTGTGTCAGTGATGATGATTTGATGGTGGTGGTGAATGTGAAATTGATTTAATATTGCTATTATTATATCGGCAGAGCGAATGGTCTTGAATTATATATTACACGTAAATGTAAAATACAACAGCGTAGAGAGAAGAGTGTTGTTTTCTTGTATTTCCGCAATACCACAATTTTTCAATACAGATCTGTAAAGAAGATAGTTTTTCTTTTGAAAAGAATCCTTTTTTCTTCTTTCCGATTTAATAGATGATGATGATATATATATACTATTGAACTCGGTTACCGAGGACTATTGAATTGAAAATCAATGACCCTTCCACAACCACTCCCGATGATGAGTGGAATCAATATAGAATTGCTCTGTAACAATCACGTGAGCTCTCTCCACAAAAAGACTTTTTTTTTCTCTCTCTAACTGACAATTTTGTTGTTCCATCGATGAGTTCTCATTTCATCTCTCGATTGCGATGCTCTTTTGACTCTTTTATGAAATATTTATTTTAATTTGAAATTTTAAATTAAATAATAATAAATTTTGCAAATCTTGGAAGACTACACTACATCGTTGATGGATCCATCCTAGTGATGATGGTGGTGTTGCTTTCAATTTGAAACACTTTCCCAAAAAAGTTTGGTTTTTTTCTAAAGCGATTGAAAGAGTCGTTGAAAAAAATGTCAAAAGTCACACAAACCAAAGTCAATGCTCTGTTGTATTGGGCTCAAAATGCCACTAAAAATTATGATAACGTTGACATTAAATCTTTTTCATCTCCATCATTTGCTGACGGTCTTGCTTGGTGTGCCATCATTCATCACTTTAGGCCTGATCTCATTGATTATGGTGAGTGTTATTTTTCAGTACATGTGAAGAATATGATTATTGAAATGTAATTGAATATCATCAATCTGAACGATACATGATTGATGGCTATTATTTACGACACGTGTGATTTATTATTGTGTACAATTTATCATCATTCCGTTTGGTGTGAAAATATCTTGTTCCGAATTTGGTATTTTTGTGTTGTTGAACATGTGGACTCCGATATTCAGCCTCCTTGTCACCCAGCGATCCAAAGAAAAATTTAGAACTTGCATTTAAAGTCGCTGAAAAAGAATTAGGATGTACACAATATTTAGAAGTGGATGATTTACTGGGTAGGTTCGTATCTCTCTAACATGTTGTTTGTGAGTGAACGTTTCGTGAATTTTACTGTTCATTTCTCGATTAACATGTTGTGTGCATGGAACTGTCAAAAACTTTCTCTAATTCGCTTCTTCATATGATGCATTCATCAATTGGATAGTTCGCGTCCAGAACCAAAATCCATTCAACTCCAACTCAATGAATACAGAAGAGTGTTAGGAAGTGCCAATGAAATTCACAGAAAAAATTCCGATTTTGGAGACTTGATCACAGATTATGAACAGAGTCAAGCTCTCAAAAGAAGTGTCACAATGCCTCCGAAAAGTCTTGAAAATCCAGAAACTCCTCTCAACAAAAGTTCAGCTACGTCATCAAAATCGTCAACTCTTTCTGTGCAGTCTTCGCTCGGCACGACAAGTAAACTTTCGATACAATCCTCTAACATTACTGCTAGTAATGAGCCAAAGACCACTGGAATTGTGACGGCACGACAAAGAGAGGTCTATTCGAATAATTCGAGTCCTGTCATCTCTGTCACACAGCCCAATCTTGAAGTGCTTTCTTTAGATGAAGCAAAGAAAAAGATCAAAGATTTGTACGAAGAAATTTCATCGCTCAAAACCGATGCTGACAATATTAAGAGAGAAAATAACAATTTAAATATATTATTCCAAGAGGCCAAGCATACGAAAGAAGAGACTGAAACTGTTTTCAGACAACAAAATGAATCACTCAAACAAAAGATTAGTCAACAACGTCAAGATTTGGAAAATGAAAGAAACGCCAAACAGAATTTAGAAAATTCAATTGCTAAACTTAAAGACGAAATTGAAAATTACAAGAAGGAAATTTCTGACAACAAGAAGAAACTTGAAACTCTTGAAAAAGAGAAACTCTCTAACAAGGACACCAAATCCGTGGAAGAATTACAAAAACAAGTGACCGACCTAACGAATCAAGTGAAACAAAAAGAACGAATTATCACACAACTCGAAACAGAAAAAACTTCGTCCTTCCAAAATTTGCAAAAAGTGTTGGCTGAGAAGGAAAAGGAAATTCAAAGCATGAAGAATAGTTTAAAAAACATGACAGAACAAGCAGATACCATGAAACAAGAACGAGAAAAACTTGAAATTCAAATCAAAACTTTGAGTGGTCAATCGAACAATGACCTGAAGAAATTAGATGAAACCATTCAACAATTAACAAGAGAAAAACAAACTGCAGAACGCGCCGCCAAAGATACACAAATGCAATTTGAAGATCTTTCTAAAAAGTTGAACAAAACTGAGAAGGATTTGGAAGAGACAAGAAAAACTCTCGATACCAAACTAAAGGAAGCTCAGCAATTGCAACAAGAGTCCAAATCACTGAGAGAACAAAATTTAAAACTTTCACAAGAGATCACAGAAAAACAAAAGATTCAAGAAAAAGAGCAATCCTTGATCAAGGAAAATAATGACAAACTTTTAAAGGAAAAACAGAAACTAGAAAAAGAATTGGAGGAGATCAAGAAGCAACAATCCAAACAGCAAGAGTCCTCAAAAGATCTCGAAAAGATTCGTAATGAGAATAAGAAACTCGATGAAACTATTCAGAAGCTCACTTCTGAATGTGCCACTCTGAAGAAGGAGATCGAGAAAGCTAACAAATCCAAAGAGGAAACAGAAACCACACTCAAACGTCAACTAAAAGAATTAGAAGAGAAACATCAACAAGAACTTTCTTTCACATTGGAAAAATCAAAATTGAATTCCTCTCAAAAACAAGCAATTCTCGATTTACAACTTGAAGATTTACGTGAACGATGCTCCGATTTGAAGAAGGAAAAAGAATCGGTTGAGAATGAGCTCAATCTATTGGAATCAAAGAAAAATCAAGAAATTGAAGACTATAAGAAGAAGATTTCAAATTTGAAGGCTGAATTGAAGAATGCCAAGTCCACAACCACCACTACATCTTTGTCGACAACTACACCAGTTTCAACGACAACAAATTCTCCCAATTTAACAAAATTAATCGAACAAGAGAGACAAGAACGTTTCGTGTTGGATCAATCCATCCTTTGTTTCGATGCTTTTACTTTTACACATCAAATTCCAACTCCTGTGAAACCTATTTTCTACGCATTGTGTCACTGGTTGGAATCGAGCGAAACTTTTGGAATCAATTTGGTCTCTACATTGCATTACAAATTCAATTCATACATTTCCACTGATTTAGAGAAGGCATGTTATTGGTTGAATGTCATGGTTCGTCTCATTCACATGCTCAAACTAGAGCCAGAATACGAAAAGAAGATGAAAGCCATTCTTAAGAGTAATATCATTGAAAAGAACTTTTCAGCACCACTCTCCAATCAAGACACTTCTAAATTGAGACCACCCGTGTTCTTGAATTACAAATATTCACAACAATTAATGGAAGCCAAACCACAACAATCGTCATCGAATTCATCCGTCGACAAGTTTTTAATTTCACTCGCTCAATTGACTTACGATTGCTACTTTGAATGTATTTATTACATGATTCTCAAAGCAAAACCTTTAATTTTGGAAAAGATGTTCGGGTTGACTCCATCCAATTCCATTCCATTGCTTGGAAAAATTACTGGAGATGTGAAAATCGATGTCATTGTTCGAAACATGTCGCATTGGATGGATCAAATCAAGAACAGTTTATTGGATTCTCGATTAATTGTTCACATGTTCGAAGCGTTAGCAAAATTGATGGACTCTTTAATTTTCAACCAATTCATTTCATCCATCAGCTCTGAAAAGCTTAAAACCAAGAATGTGAATCAGTTGAGAGATTTATCAATGAATCATGCCATCCATCTCAAAATGTCCGTCTCCTTCTTGGAGAGTTTCTTCTTTGAGGAACATTTAACAGCTGGATTGAACATTCAAGATTTATTCCATCAAACAAGAGTAAGTAATAATTGTGAATTTCACAACAGCAAGTTGAGAGATCATGATACTTTTTTTCACAAATGTTCACTTACTGTGAAAACCAAATGGTGTTATTGTACTAACTATCTATATTATTTTTATTACTATCATATTGTTCAAAACCACCTGTGGAATGATGACAATTAATTATACTGAAATAATTTGATCAATCTATATTGTTGTTTGTCTTGTCACACACATTCAAATAGGAAGGAGCAGATGTTTGTGTCTTGGGTCAAAAAGATCTTCTCCAACAAGGCAATGATTTGCGTGAAATTGTTTGTCCACATCTCTCCACTCCACAAATTTCCATTCTTTTATTGGAATCTTCCATGACTGCACAAGATTTAATCATTCCCAAATTATCATCGAATGGTTACACAGATCCCAACACCTTTTCAAAACAAACCTCTTCTCTTTTTGATTTTGAAAACAAATTCATGAGTGCTGCAACACTTCACACCGTTCAATATCCTTCCATTTTGGAAAATTGCAACAAACAAGAATATTTCTTCCTTTTCACAAAATCGAATATCAAGGGTAATAGTAGTAACAATACGTCATCCAATGGAAATTCTCTGACGACAGCAGCAACATCATCCTCGACACCAACCAAGACTTTACAAAAATCATCCAATCATGATGAAGAGGAGTATGATGTGAGTGCTTCTTCATGGGCAAGTTACAAACAGAGTTCACTATTGGCCACTACTCCATCTTCGACGACATTGCAATCTTCATCGCCAAGCAAAACATTAACGAGCTCATCAAGCAACAAGAAATCAAAAAGTGGACTCAATATGGACAATGGTTTATTTGATTGAATAGAATTGAATTGTGAATTAATGAAAATCTTTCAGCAACTTAAATTAAAATGCGCCAAAAACCGTTATTTCATTTTTTAATTAATTTTTTAAAAAAAATGTTTCAGTCCTCTTCTGCTGATGAGGAACAATTCTCACAACAATTTTTCGGAAAGTCTTCACGAGCAATTTTGGATGAAATTTACAATGTAGCCTATGTGAATATTTGCGATGCATATGATCATGTTGAGGAATGGGCTATTCATCAAATCGGGAAAGATCCGACGATTAACAAGGAAGATTTAAAAGAAATTTCTCGGTTAATTCGGGATGCAGTCCAAAAGCTTGCAAACCAAAGTATTCTAATACTTGGTCATCAGTCTGATCTTTTGGAGAAAGCTGCTATGGAGAGGTGTTTCAACATGCCACAAATACCACCCGATTGTCGTGATAGTTATTGTAAGCTCGTAACAAGCGATATTACGTTATTATCAGCAAACAAAGAGGATGCTCTAGTATTTTTTGATGATGGTCTGTCAACTTCCGATAATGAAATAATAGAAGTTCTGACAGAAATTCACAAAGTTCAGCAAGATATTAATCAATCACATGAAGAGATGGTGCAAGGAATTGTTCAAGGACGATCCTTACTGCATGAACGACAAGAAATTATGAGATCTTTAAATTATTATGCTCAACATAACAAGAAATTGGAATCTGTACAACAACAACTCATGCATCTCTCGATGAGCTTGGAACAAACAGTGAATTCTCTTATCAAACATGCTCAACATCTTCATCGACAATATAACAGTACGAAGAAAGCATTCGAGGAGCAATTTGCAGTTCAAGATCAAGAAAGCATTTTTTCACAAGGAGGTATATTTGATGACCAATCCTCATCGTTTACTGAGAGCAACAAATCCTCACAACAATCGGAAACGTCCAAAAAGTCTTCCAAAAACTAGAGACTTTTTGGCTCCTAAGTTTTTCCCTATCATCATCATTCCTCTAGGTTCTTTTTTTGACGCTGTCAATCATCCCAATCATCATCATTTAATAAATTATTATTCAAATCTAAATTCTCAAATTACATTTCTTAAATTGTCTATTTATCTTAAATTCTTCTCCAAATATATATTTCCTTGTCAAAATTGCTGTGAATTAAGAAGGATTATAGGTTCATGAATGAGAAAAATAATAATTGAAAATAACAATTCCATATTCACGACAGTAATGTTGTTTTAATTCGTGGAGCTCTTCTTTTCCGAACGCAATGATGGTAAATCAGGTTTGATGGTAATATCGGGTTTGAATATTCGGTGGGCGGTTTCAGCTCCTGCAAACACACTTCCCAAACTCACTAAAACAATAAACAAGAACCTCCATGATGTCTTTCTCAATGGTATTGCTTTGTTCATCATTTTGGCTTCAGCCTCTGAGGCAGGATTTTGTTGGCCAGGTCGTTTGATGATTTTCATATTTTTTGAAAGAACAGACTGTTCGTTCATTTCCCGCCATTTCAAACCGAATGAATTGAAAAAACAAAAAATTGTCGAGTCGTCGTGACGATTGATTATTTGGAAGAACGGAGTTAACAACAAGCTTTCGTTGAGTGTTATCATCATCACCGTATTCACAATTAACAGTTGTTGAGGACGAGCGTAGACATTGTGAATCAAGTCTTCATGGATTTGTGATTATTGGTATTATTATTATTATCAGAAAAGATTGTTTCATTTGGAATTTGTGATAATCACCACCATCATCATCAACGGAACGCTCGGAAGAACATTTTCAGAACAATTTTAAATTCATATTCATTTAACACCATCACCTCCTGAATTTACATACGCGTTTAATGTCCCAAAACACCAGAGGTCTCTTACAACACCCATCCTCGAGTAGTGTTGGCGGTGATGCCACAGGAAATTCATCATCCCAACAACAACAACAAGGCTTATCATCTTTTCTTCAGCAACATCATCCGAACGGCCATAATTCTTTCAATCCTCCTTCCATAGGCTTGACCTCCTTTCTTTTGAATCCTCCATCCCAACATCATCCATCCATGAGTACTCTCAACAACAATAATAATAACATCAACAATAGAGGATCAATTCATATTTCTTCCAATCTGTCCTCATCCATGGCGAGTAGTAGTAGTGGCAGCGGTGGTGGTGGTGGTATTCATCCTTTTACCATTTCCTCTTCATCTTCTGTACCTCTCTCAGCTTCCTCCTCATTGCCCTCTCTCCTCACAACAACTCCCTTTACTGCCACGACGATTCACACCTCCATTCCACCATCACATTTCCTTACTGGATTACCACCCTCAACAACAATGAGCTCAAACACTCCTTCCGAGAAGAAGCGAAAAACATCCACATCCGTCCACACTGCCCGAAACATTACTAATAATGACGACGATGATGAAGAAGACGATGACACACACAAGATTGAAATTGATGACTCGGTGGCAGATGAAACAACAACTCCCACCAAACCAATGAGCTCAATGACAAGTGCCACTCAAAGTGATACCAAACGAAGGAAAGGTTCTGATGGTACCATTTCTTCTGTCTCATCATCGACACAAAAAGGCTGTAATTGTAAAAAGACTGGATGTTTGAAACGATATTGTGAATGCTTTCAGAATAACAAACGATGTACAGATAAGTGTCGTTGTCAGGGTTGTAAGAATTATGACGGCTGTCCTGATTTGTGTCGAGTTTTGGAGAAGCAAACAAAATCTGGAACGAGCTCTTCAGGAGGAGCGACGAATAGCCAGAGAAAAGTCAACTCACAAAAGAGAAAACAAGCTCAGAGTCAAAGCAGTAGCTCATCGGTGGGCAGTGGTGCGGCCTCAATCCTGACGTCCAACACTTCTCGTTCTCAACAACCTTCTTCACAAATTGGTAGTCCCTCCATACTGGGAGGTGGAGGAATTATAATGGCACATGGAACAGTCCCGTCTTTTGCTGCTCATCACTATCAACCTCCACCGATTAATACGGATCAAGTTTCAGCTTCATTATATCAACATCCTTTAAGCTGCGTCTTTGGCGAAGAGAGTGTTGTGGAATTGTGTAAGAGACTTGTGATTGCTTCTGTTCAACAGGAGCAAATTTTCATAGATGAATGGGCAAGCAAGTCCGGCACATTGTTGTCACCACCCCTCACCTCTCCCAAAAACAATTCCAAACCAAAGGAAACTGCTGCTGGAAGCAATACAGACAATTTTCTTTTGTGTGACGAGGAGGATGTTACCAATTCGACCGCGAACCTTAATCAAGCACAACCTCTGCAATCTCCACGAAAAATCTATCCGAAAGGTTTTGAGAATGGACTCCTCAACTCAATCAACACTCGTGTCGTGCAAGAGTTCAAGCAATTTCTTACCCAACAGCCTTACTTTCAACAAACCGATCATCAAGAATAAAAGATCGACGTATAGGTCACTCCAAAACATACCACTGTTCTCGTTGTGGCAATCAAATAGATTGAGATCACAATGGTGCTCGCGACATTCTCCTCCGCAACATTCGACTCGTTGTTCGAAAGACTTTGCGAAATTAATGTACCATGTCCAACAAACTCGCAAGTGTGTCACTCTTAATTTCGTAAAGTTGATATAAATTATGTCGACCATCAAGAATAAAAGATGGCATTCCATAAATTGGTCAACAGACACAACAGAATTATTTACAAAGCTTTAAAGTTGTTTATTCCTTCTTTTCCTCGCTTGGTTTATCTGAGGTATTTTCTCGTTTGGCAAAAGCTTGAGCTTCTTCGAATTTTTTCTTGAATTCTTGAGCGGCTGTGATAATTTCATGAAGAGGTCATAATGATGATTGCAAAAAGCACACAACAAGAATGTTACCCAGTAACCCATTCGAACACAAAAATCATTAAATTCAAAAGTACTTACTTTCAGTGTCTCTGAAACGAATAGCAAAAATTTCAGACTTGGCTTCATCGTCAGCAAAATCAGCTGGTGATGAATAGACCCAGGCCTTGTCGCTACCAACATTTTGAGTCAACTTCATCTCTGGAATGATCAAATGGTTGGCACAAATTGTCAAAGTCTTGTCTCTTCTCATCAAAGCTCTCACTTTATGTTTATCGGTCTTGTGTTGAAGGAATTTCATAATACCAACACCACGTTCTTTCCATTCACTTGAATCGTTATCGAATCTGAAGAGCTTGGCACGACTGTTTAAAGTGATTCAATAATTAGTAGACATTCCATAATAATAAATTGTATGGATAGTTGCATCCGTAATGAGTATATTTTGTGATATCCACAACAACATGAAATATTAACATCAAGGGTTTGGTATCGCATCGTGCAATATTTAATATTGACCAAGCGTTGCCGCATAATGAGCAAAATTTACGTATTGTTGTGGACATCATTATGAAAATAATTTAAACAATGATCATCATGTCGGCGATGATTGTAAAAACAATCCAAAAGATCATCGGCACAATCATCATCATCATGTTATTACATATTCATATTGAATAAATTTAGAACAACAACAATAATTCTTTGAATCCACTTACACTTGATAAATTTCCTCCTCATCTTCAATTTTAATATGAACATCACGAGTAGGAAGTTCGTCCTTGTTCACCAATGGAGTAAATTGAGCCTTGCATTCCTCTTCCTTGGCGAATTCTTGTGCTCCTTCTTGGGTGTTATCTTCAGTATCAGACATGTTGGTGGTGGTGTTGAATTTTTTTTTGAAATCAACGTTGGAGACGAAAGCTGTTGGTTCTGCTGGGAAGGAGAAGACATTCCCTTCAGTGGAATTCTTTGTGTGGGAGAACGATGACGACAGACGTTTATTATTATTATTATTATTCTGATGATGAGAAATTGTTTTGAAAGGTCTTGAGGTGAATCAAAATGAGTGTGTGTGTCATGTGGACACATCAATGATCCTATAATAATTATTCTTTCAAATGAAATTTAGTGGCAAAAATCAAATATCCAGTGTGACCTTTCATTTCTGGAACGGCAGTGAAGAGTTTTCGCATTGTTCCTGAAGATGAAGGAGTAGTTGAAGATGATGAAGAGCCTTCTCCTGTGCCATTATTATCGCTAGGTTCAGCAGTTGAACTTGATTGATCTTTCTTTGTGAAATAGTGATCCACCGATGTCATATCCACAACAGAACTCATATACTCCTTCACCAAACATTCCACTGTTTTGATTTCAACAAAATCAAATTCTCTCAAGGCATTTGCAGTCTCTTGAATTTGTTCAATGCATGGACTGAAACCACAGAATTTACCTCCAACTTTGAGAAGTCTGAAAACATTAGGAATGCATAGCCAAGGCTTTGGTAAATCAAGGAAAACAGCGTCCACAGTTTCTGTCTTATCCTGGCCAAGAATAAGTGAGGCTTCATGTTTTGGTCTCAAAGTATCGCTCAAAATAATATGTAATGTTGTTTCATTGGGATTGAATCCATTGAGGCAAACGTCACCATTGGTGATGGTAATATTGTAGAGTCCATTGGACCTAAACTCATTGACAGCCTGCAAAAATCTTTCCTTGTGATATTCAAAAGTGAATAATTGACCGTTTGGCATAATTGACCTAGAAATACTTGTCGAAAGAGAACCACTACCAGTTCCAGCTTCAATAACAATGCTACCTGGGCGTAGTCGGAAATGTGTTAAAATCAAACTGATATCTGCATGATATAAAATTTGAGTTCTGTGCTTTAAAACAAGTGTCCACAAATGAGGAGTTGGTTTGAGAACGTAGACAAAGGGTCTTTTGGTGTCGGTAGTCGAGTCGTCATCCTTTTTACGAGGACGTTTATCGACATGACTATATATTTTAGAACCGAAAGGTTTTCCAATGATATTCTCATGTAAAAAGGAACCAAACCGACAATCAAAAGTATGTCCCTTTTTAATCACTTCCGCTTTCATAATATCATGGTTAATGAAGAAAACCACCATATCACCCTCTCGAATTTTGTTTGAATTTTTATCGGCTAATGAAATAATTTGTTTAGTGTTATAAATTTCACTCTTATCATTCATGGATGGAACCAAAGAGAGAAGGAGTGTTTTTCTGATTTGTTCCAATTCTTCATTCTTCGGAAGAGGTTTGGTGTTGTTGTTGGCTGCTGGTGTTTTGGTTTTCTTCTTCTCGGGTTCACTCATTTTTTTTGATGCGGACGAGGAGGTTCTTTCCATCCACAGTTTCAAGTTTAAGAAGAAAAGGACTGTATGGGCGATGACGCATTCTGGATTTCGCAGAGCTGGAAGGTTGGTTCGCTCTTTCAATAATCATGAATTTTTCCAAGATGATGAACACAACAGGTATGAAAATGTTCAACCAGCAGTTTAACAAGCGAAAAAAAAATGAAAATTGCTTCACTGCAAAGATGTTCCGTCCGATCCACAAGGCTCTCGATGTCTTGGATCGGAATGATGATCATAACCATGATTTTATTTTATTCTCAACATGTACATTCACTAACACCACAACAATGTGAAGAATTGGGTTTTAAATCATCGGAATTGAGTTGTTCAACGTGTAAAGAATTTTCTCTCTTTTTAAGTGAGAAGAAAATAATTGAAAATTGTAACCATTGTTGCCAAGATGCACTGACAAATCAAGAAAAAGGAGAACTAGCAAATAGTACAGAAAAAGAGTTTGTTAGTGGAACACTCTACATGTGTTATTGTAATATTAGATCTTTCCCTGAAATTGAAGGGTTTATGAATAATGATGCTAAAAAGTTTAGAAATTTACAAGTTGCACAACGTCAAGGAATTATGCCCACATTAACAATGAAAAGAAAAGACGGTTCAGAAGAATCGCATTTAGTGAGCCACTGGAAAATTGATGAAATCAAAGAATTTTTGAATGAAAAATTACTTCAATAATTATTGAACGACATGATGAATGGATCCTGGTACAACTGGTCAATAAATCATTGCTTTCAGGTTTGCTCGTTGACTTTTTACGTAGCAATGAGAATTCTTGGAGGCTGTCTTTTGAATAAACCTTACAAGATGAGTGTTATTCGATAATGGTTTTTCACCTCTTGTCATTTTGATAAACGAGGTAAAGCGCATTGTGAAAGAGGAGGCCTGTAGTGCAAAAATCACGACAAGGGAGAATCGTTGCAAATGATGTCCTCATGGTTTGAAGATTCTTTTGCGCCGATTCGTGTTTTCTTGGTTTAAGAAGTTTCCAAACGTTTTTATTTAGAACCTTCAAAAAAAAGAAACACGTAACATCTGATAACGAGATTTTCATCATCATCATTGTTGTGTCATTCAACGCACGATCGGGTTGCATTTCTTTCTTGTTAAATTTGGATCTATTTCGAAAGAATAGTGTGCTACATGTTTACGCACACCAACTACTTTTTCAAAACACACATCAAAAAATCAAACTGAAATATTCAAATCATTGGACCCAGCTCGGATTAGAACTTTAGAGGAATAATATTGTGTGTCTTTTGAATATTATTTATTTGTAAATATATACATATTCATATGGAAACACCAAATTCTGCAAATGTTTCAGCAGTAGCATCAAGTACTAGTTTATTATACTCTTCCATGATGATTCCTTCACTGTTTAATCATTTGAGAAGACGATGGAGAGGAAGCGAAGCCAATCACGGTGAACAAGAGGCCTCTCCTTCCAATGTTACATCAACAACTACTTCGACTGCTATGACTTCAGAAACAACCAACCATCATCAACAAGCTGCTTCACGAAATCATCGACAACATGAAGAAAATAGTGCAACATTTCATCAACCACAACAACCGTCAACAACCTCAACACCTAACGATGATTCAAATTATAATGAAATTTCAAACCGACCACATCATTCTCAGCATCACTACCACCAACTTGGCCGTCACAGTAGATATCATGCAAATATTTCCTTATTACATTCATCGGAAAGAGAGGACGATAGCGCATCCACTACAGATGGTAGCACCATCTCCGATCGAATGGGTGGAGTGCATGATGATCCCGGAGGAGAAAACGATGATAATCATTCACAATCGTCTGAATACTCGGATCAAGAAGAGGCATTCATGATGAGCCCATCATCCCTACATTCACACATGAACAACAATAACAGAGGAGGTGAAGAGAATGATGATGAAGAGGACGATGAAACCATACTCTTCACTCCCTTATCATTGCCAACCAACAAGAAGAACAAAAACATTCACGGCATGACAACACATGATCAAATTGCTCTTACTGACCGCGATCAAGACTTCGATGATGATAATGATAATAATGGCCTTCCAACGAAATTAAATCTGTCTCCTATTAAGGCTCACCATTCGTCATCCCCATCCTCATTAGCATTATCATCATTGAGAGAGAATATGCACCCATCCATGGCCTCTCCACTCCTACTGCATAGGAGACGATCAAGTATTTCATCAAACTCTTCCTCCAATTCACCTTCCTTTAGTGTGGCCACCAAGAGAAAACTCATGGCTGCCACTCCCGGAGGAAGACTCACCAAAACCTCCACTCTCACTCACCTTTCCAGCAACAACAACACCACTACTACTTCAATGCATCCACCACCACCAGTAGTAGTAGATCAACACTCTCCTCTCCCTCATCAATACAGTTTCATGTTCAAACATGAAGATCATATGAAACGATTCAGACATACCCGATATCAGACTGGGCAGTTGCCAGAGAGTGGACCTTATCGGTTTGATGATTCACGAGAAATACGAAACAAACTCTCTCTCACCAACACTTCAGACATTCAGAATGTGGGACAATATGAATTCAATGCAGTGAGGCTCACGACCTGTGATTGGTTCATTAATGGTTGGCAAAAAACATCAACGCACATGATTCGGGTACAAATTGATATCTATAAGAAGAAAATAACCTTTTCCTATGAGAACATTGATGAACACAAAGTTCAGGAGAAACTCGTCATTGCCTTTGATGATATTACAGGACTCGAGTTTCAACATTCTCCCTTATCGGATGATATTGTGGTGATTGAGGTGAACAGAATTCCTACAGACGCTCCAACCTCCATGAGATCGAACTTTTTCTTCCTCTACCTCAGTAAGGAAGATAGTGCCAAGTACATGGATGGAGCTCTCTTATCTTCAGACAAACGTTTATTGAAACTTGCCATTGTTGGTCTTCCTACATGGGCCACTATTGTCAACCGATATGGTATTCCAATTTTTTATAATCATCAAATTCGAGGAGTGATTACGACCCTTGTAAATATTTATATCATTATCAGTTTAATTTGGGGATTTTATGATTTGTATAAGAATTTACCAATTGTTGGAGGTGCATTGAGAGCAATATTTGGTCCTGTTGCCTCGTTTTTGGAGCCAATTATTAAGAACAAAATCATGCTATTGATACCTCTAGTGTTTTCTAAGGTTTGGGAGGCGGCACAAATATTCTTCTCACTATTTGCTCCTCTGCTTTCAATTTTCACACCGTTGTGGAAGCTTATTGTAACAATATCTCATGCCATTACGAATGTATTCAAACCACTAGCGGATGGTTTTGTGATACTTCTCAATGGTCTTATTTATCCCTTCATTCAATTGTATCACCATGTACTATATCCACTATTTAATGGACTTTATTTATTGGTTGCTGGAATTTCACGATTTTTATCGCTGATAGGAACGGGTATTTACACTGCATTCAAAATTCCTGTACAATTTATTGGAATGGTATCCTCAGAGATTGTTGACATGTTCGTTGATTTATTTTATGCCTTGTCAACTGCTCTAAGTTACCCGGTGACATTTTTCAAGTTACTATTTAGCTTCATTGCTGGGGTTGCCACCCTTATTTATTCTGCTATAATTTATCCATTTACAAAGTTGGGTTCTCTGTTCAAGTTTAAGAAGGATATTGAGCATGCTACTCAGGTGATGAGTAATGTGGCTTCTGCCTCAAGTCAGGCTGCCTCTACTTCCTCCTCTCTAAAGGCCTATTTGATGAGCATGAAGGAAAATTTCCAACCTCTTTCAAGTCTTTGGAATGGTATTAGACGAATTATTGATAGTATCATTCATACGTATCACACCAAGATCAAACATAGGTCAGTGTGGAAGAGGCGTATACTGATTACCATCATTTGCCTGATTGTTCTTGCTGGAGTTATCATTGTTTTTGCTCTTGTGTTTTAAGAAGGATGGTTTTTGTTGTGTATGAATTTTTGTAAATTTTGTACAAATCTGAAGGCCTGACAACGATTTGGTACGCGCTAAAACATAAAATCTGTGTTAGCTTGGAATTCCAGTTCATTTCAAAACAATTTATTGGTTTATTTCAGTTTGGCTTTTTTAGTGGAGGACGTTGCTGTCTCCTCCTCTGCCTTCTTCCTTCTCTTCTTCAGTTTCGATTTCAACTTCTTGTACTTTTTGAAAAGCTTTTTCTTATCCTCTTTAGACATGGTCACCAAGACTTCATAAATTTCTTCTGGACTTGTATCGTCCTTGGTAAAGTAATCTTCGAAAACATCATCATTATTGGGCAGGTCAGTGTCGGTAGTCATAAAGTCAACATTTGATTGTTGCATTTGAAGAAGTGGATCTTCCCTAGCTACAATATCAGAATCCACTCTACTAATTCCAAACAATGGACATTCTCTGTCAATATTGGTATGTCCAAATTGTCCACACTTTGTACATTTTACATTCCTTAATTCAATACCAAACGGCTTGTGTTTCACTTTTACAAATTCTGTATAGGCTCCTTCTGTTGGAGCGTGTTTGAGGAAGGGGAATTTTTCAACATCAGATAATTGGTCTTTAGGAATGTACTTCTTTTCTGTTTTTGGCTCTTCATTATTACTGTCATCATTGACAGGAAGAGTATTCTGAGGAGTTTCGACTGTCTCTTGTACATTTTCATTACTCTTTTTTGTTTCAATTTTCATAAAGTCTTGAATTGAGTTTAGTCCTTCAGCGGAGCCATGGGCAGCTTTTGTTCGAATAATGTTTCTATTTCGTTCCTCTCTTTCTTTTCGTTCTTGTTCTTCTCGTTCCTTCTGCTTCTTTTCTCTCTCCAGTGAATCTTTCAGACCAGGAGGTAATTGATAGAGAAAGGCCACCGATTTTACATTTCCATGACTGATTGAAGTTGTATCGTCATGATGATTGTTTCCGCGTTTTCTTGCTCCTCTTCGGGATTTCTTCTTGGGTTGAGAGTCCGAACCTCTAACAAAATCAGAGAATTCAGTAGGAGTTGTTGTAGAAACAGCAGCAGAGGTCGCTGATGACGCTGGCTTCTTTGTTGAAGAGGATGGTACAAACTCTAACGGCTGATTATTATTTTCGGATTGTTTGTTTGTTGTTACTTGTTGTTGATCATCGGTATTTACAATTTTTTGTTTTAGCATTTGCTTCCTTCTCTTCATCTCGGATTGCAATTCCGTTGTTTGTTTCCAAACAACATTATTCTCGATTTTCTTGTTTCCTTTCCGAGAAGCCTTATCCGCTGTAGTAATTTGATCATCTTTATATAATTCTTGCTCTTGTTCTAATTCTTTCCTTCTTTGTTCCTCTTTCTTCTTCTTTGCCAAATACTGTTGCTCCACAATCCATTTCTTCCTCTGATTTTGTTTGTTGAGAGGGTGAAAAGATTTCAAGTTAAGAAATGCAAGAGCCATTTTTTTTTGTTGATTCGAAAAAAAAATCTAAATTTGCAAACAAAGGTTTGAACGAAATCCAATTATTTGACAGTAGTATCTTTAGGATCTGATACATGTGCACAAATTCATGGCGAAAGATAGTTTCTCATCTTCATTGGATCTGTTATTACTGAAACGATTTTTATTAATTAGATTTCTTTGTCGTGGTAAAGCTTTTTAGCACTCACCTTTTTTAGAGTGAAAAAATGCCTTCATCATCCTCGCCCGTGATGGATTCATCCAATGACGACGTGGATCCTTCTCACTCAAAGAATAATTCTACGACGGCTCTTGATGATGGAACGGCAAGTGCCGATACTAGTGTCCTTCCTCCAGCATCATCATCATTGGAGAATCCACAACAACAAGTAGTTGGAGAAATCAATAGTGTGGACGATGGTTTTAATACAACAACAACGCCATCAAACAACAACATGATGGATTTATCTGAGGATGGCAATGAATTGAATGATTATAGGCCTGTCGGATTGATATCTTTCAACAAGTTAAACATGTTGGTCTATACATTTCAAAATAAGATGTTTATCATGGATCCGAATGAACCGACAAAAATTGAAACAATTCCATCCAATCACATGTATGATAATATTTCGGGATGTTCATGGCAAGCCAACGAAGGAATTCCACTACTCTTAACAAATGATTCGTACAATACCATCTCATTATGGAAAAGTGGAGATCATTGCATTAATGATTTTGTACTGAGAAAAACCTTTTACAGTGAAAACGTATTGTGCTGTAAATGGTGTGATTCCATTCGGATTTTTACAATACATCCACCTTCGGAACGATTATTTGACACTGAGGGAGACGGAGAACTCCTCGAAAATAGATATCAATTCAAAACAAGTGTGGCGACTGGCTTAGCCCATGGAAGTAGAGCATTTATTGTAATTACGAGTCATGGGAGAGTGTTGTTATACTTTTTTGACCATGCTAAGGCACGATGGGTCACCTCTACAATTCAACTGAATCTAGATTGTGTCACTAGTGCAGATTTTACTATTCTAAATAACGGTCAAATATGTGTCGCTTGCAGTGAACGAGACAGCTCTGCTGTTCACATATCCTATTTTGGGATTGAGGTTGGTAGAAATGTAGATGCTACCCTTCCATTCAACTTGAAGTTTATCTCACGTTCAGTGTTTGTGCTAGATAATTTGGTTGATGGACTGTACTTTATTCCTTTCATGGACAGATTAATGGTTAAAACGAGAAATAACAAATTCAAAACATTTTGTCAAAAAGAGCATACCTTTTCAATATCAAAGGTAATTCCTATTTCTGAAGAATTAAGGAATTCTCTAAGTGGTATGATTTGGAAAGAACATCAAAGTTTTGACATGCCTGAAGGAGACTCCATCTCATTTAAAACATCTGTGGATGGACAATATTTAATGTTTATCAACAGAAATAGAAGAATTACTTTTTACATATATGACCTTTCTTCGAATGAATATACATTCCATGATGAAATTTCGAACATTTTCTTGGATGGAGCAAGTAGAGAGCTACTGAAAGATGGATCTCTTGCTCCTTCTCGAAAGAAGAGAAAAATGCAAGAAACCGTTACCAACAACAGTGGTATAATTGTGACGAACAAACCAGAAATATTGGACGCTTGCATATCGCCTAACTCCACAATACTCGCTGTTTTGGATTCACAAATGAGAGTCAAACTATTCACCATGAAGAAAATCTCTATTGAAAGCTATCGCAAAATGATGGAATGTTCCATGCTCAATGGATTTGACAAGTGGGATTTACTTGCTTCCATTCGAAATCAGTTCACAAATTCAGAAATTGAGGAGCTTGCGGATTCTTTTGCTAAAGCTGTGAATAATTTGACACTAAGCAATATCCATTTTTGGCAATTCCAACATGATACATTTGCACTATTTATTAACTCGTAAGTAGCTACTATGTCTGATTAAGCAATTGAGTCATTTTGATGCTGGTATGATCATTCTGCACCAGAATGCTTCCGAATGCGGAGAAGCGAGCGCTTGGCCTAGTTTCACAATCAATTACCTATTGTAATAGTATTTTACATATATTGAGATCTGAAAAGAGTATTGCTTCTCTAGGCGTTCTTCATGCTCAAAATCGCCCAGATACCTTTGAAGCCATTTTGAAATATTGTGAAGAAACGTCTTCCAAGTTGAACATTGACGATGCACTTTCATTCATTTGTACAGCCAATTGGACCATACGATTGCTCTTATTTATTAAGAAGTGTATGACGGATCTGATCAATGAGGGAAAAACCAAGACGAGAGGAGAGCTGAGTTTATCTGTCTTTTTTTTGGTAAGTAGTCGTCTCTTGTTGATAAGAGAAGAGATTGAAGGATGATATTATATTTTCTCGCACGTGTGTGCTTGTAATGTTTTATATATCTTATCAACCATGTACCACTCGTACTTTGCAATTCACTTTCCATTTCACTGATTCACATATTTTCGTTCACAGATTGGAAGTTTAAAATCTCAAAACTTTTTACCATTATTGAAAGAACTTGTGATTGTTTCTATGGTTGTGTTATCACTCATTCCAAAGCTAAAACAGGAACATCAAATTCTCTTACTAAGCAAACACACAATTTCTCATGCTGTCAATTTCTTTGGGAAACTTTTAGGTTCAACAGAGACGCTTAAAAAAACTGAAATTTACAAAGTAGATCACATCAATCCTATCATTATTGAAGAATGTGCTAAAATCTTGGCCGATGTGAACAAGTCAAGCTATGATGAGGCACTTTCCAATTATTCCACACAACAACATTTAGAAATTTTGGATCTATCTCCCATGATGAAAGGTTTTCTGTACCATCCAGAATTTATTGACATTCTCCCTCACAAGAAACAAGTAGATTCTATTACGAAGGTCACGCCCGTTGTTGAGCGACCTGAAAGGATTATTGATCCAAAGAAGCTGAATGTTGCTCTCAAAGTATGCAGGTTGTGTAATAGAGTCACACAACTAGATCCTTCGCCAATATTTTCATGGAGCAAGAGATTTTCAATGTCTTGCTTGATGTGTGGTAGTTTTTGGAAACGATGCAGTATTGAAAGTTGGCAAAGTATGGATAGCATGTAAATTGATGATTATTGAATTTAACACACACAGCAAAATTTATTGCGATTATTCTTGCTCATCATTGAAAAATCGATCCGTCTGATCTCAATATTCAGCTCCCTTTGCATCATCGTCTTTTCCATTAGTGGATTTTTTGCTTCAAATCATTGACATTGTTTAGTATCCTCTAATCTTTGTGATGAGTTTCTTTTGATAATCTTGTTGCAATGGTTCATATCTAGCAAAGTCCATATGGTAGTGACATTGGCCTGATGTCAGCGATCTTAAATGTGAACTGTATCCAATCATTTCACTGAGAGGCACTTCAGCGCAAATAACAGTAAAATGATCTCCCTTGCTTTGCATGCCCTTAATTTTTCCTCTTCTGCTTCCTGTAAGATCGGACATGATAGATCCGATGTAGGATCGATCGGTTTCAATTTCAATATCCATATAAGGCTCCAGTAATCGAATGTATTGATCATTCTCTTTAAGCACCTTGTTGATGAGAGTATGAGCACATCCAATAAAGGATTGGTTCTGTAGTTCTTCATTGCCCGTAATAATTTGTTCATTATTGTCATCTAGAATAGAGGCTCCAACAACGGTGACAGCCATTTCTTCAATTGGATATCCCAACAATGCTCCTCTCATGAAACTACTTTCAATTCCATATCGAATAGATTTTTCAAATTTCTTAATAACTTTTTGATCAGGTAAACACAAATCTTCATCCCATTCAAAATTCACGATATTTCCTTTACCGGATTCAGAAGGGCCCACTTTTAACCATAGCTTGGCATAAAGTCTCTTTCCAGTTGTCAACTTTTTGTCGAATTCCAAAAAAGTGACAGGTGACTCAACTGTAAGCGTCTCTCGGTATGAAATTTGCACCTCCCCCATGTCTACATTGATACCGTATTCGGTCAAAATTCTATCCTTAATAATTTCTAAATGCAATTCTCCCATTCCACTCACCAGAGTTTGGTTGGTCTCTTCATTATTCGTAACTTTAAGACTTGAATCTTCCTTTTGAAGAATGGAAAGAGCATTGTCAAGGGCATCTTGATCTGCTGAATTCTCGGCCTCAATGGAGCAAAAGAACACTGGCTTTGGAACTGAGAGTTGAGGAATGGACGACTCAATTTTGGCTCCTTGCTTGGCAACTAGAATATCTCCTGTGCCTGTTTCTCGTAATCCAACCAATACTCCAATATTTCCACTTGAAATTTTTTTAACTTCTTGTGGCACGTTGGCGTGCATTTGAAAAATCTTTCCAATACGCTCTTTTTGGTTCTTGGAATGATTGAAAATTGCAGGCGATTTTGTAATATCAATGGTACCGCCGTACACTCTGACAAAAACCAACAATCCTCGTTGTGCATCATTAATTACTTTAAAGGCAAATGCATTCAATTCCTTGTTTTTTTCTTCAATTTTTGGTCCTGGAAGATATCTAATAACTCCATCCAAAACTTGTTGTACTCCTTTGTTTTTGAGAGAGCTTCCGCAAAATATAGGTATAGCTTTTCTAGAAATGGTAATTCTTCTCAATGCATTATGGATATCATTTGGTGTAATTTCTTCCTCATTCAAATATTTTTCTCCTAAAGCTTCATCAATGCTAGCAATTTTGTCAATCATTTCTTCTCGCGCTTTCATGACACGATCCATATCTTTAGGTTGCACTTCCAGTGGTTTGTACTCTCTCGAATCTTCTCCTGAAAATTTATATTCTTTAAGCTCGATCAAATCAAAAACTGATGTAAAGGCATCCTCCGTTCCATTCGGTAATTGAACTGGTATTGGAGTTGGACAGCCTGGTAGCCGTTCCACAAGGGTGGAAATGGCATATTCAAAATTGGCTCCAATTTTATCCATCTTGTTCATGTAAACAATTCTAGGAACATTATATCGATCTGCTTGTCTCCATACTGTTTTACTTTGTGCCTCCACTCCGTTTACAACATCAAAAATTGCCACTGCTCCGTCCAACACACTCACAGATCGCTCCACTTCAAATGTAAAATCCACATGTCCTGGCGTGTCAATTAAATTAATTCTATGGTCTTTCCATTTAAATGTAATGGCTGCACTTGTAATTGTAATTCCACGTTCTTGTTCTTGAGGCATATAGTCCGTTATGGTGTCTCCATCGTCGACATTTCCCAAGTGCGAGCTGTACCCCGAATAATAGAGCATTCTCTCAGTAGTTGTTGTTTTTCCAGCATCAATGTGAGCAATAATTCCCACATTTCTTATCATATGACTCGGAAGTTCAAACATGATGTTTCCCAGAGTATCACCGTTATCTTGTGTATTACTTTTAATATCTTTTTGTCGGGTTGTGTGTTTGAGAGAGGTAGAAGCTTTCTTTTCAGAATTATCGGAATATTCTCTCTTGGTGTTATCATTCCATCCGAGAGGATGATTGCTCCGCATGATGATCATCGTTGGAATACTACTCCGAACATTTGAGGTTGTAGTTGTCGGAAGGGACAAGTGGGCAGATACAGAGAGAGCATTTCTTGAGGACGAAGGAAACAAAGCCTTTAAAGAGGAGGACGACGACGACGATGACGATGAGAAGAAGAAGAAATTTTGAGAGGAACAACCCGATAAATAGCGTTTGAGCATTTTTTGATTCAAAAAAATTAAATCATCATTTTCAATGAATGAAAATATGGAGAGAGCTCATCATGGCTTTGTTTTTGTTGCAACTGGAGTGAACTGAATTTCACTGTCTAAGGGCTGTGTTTTTGTTGAAATGAATCACCAAATGAATCTATCATTATTTCAACAATGATGAACTAATAGTGAGGTCATCAATTGATGAGGAGACGTATATTGTGCTTGACGTCGTAAGACGAACGATCAGAACCAACGAACACTCTCGACGTTCAAGTTCCAAAAAGATCAAAAAAAATGTTTCAATCTCTTCTCGATTATGCATGGTATTGGTTCTATCGGATCATTGATACCTTCCAACCACAAACTCAATATTGTGTGTTGGGATATTGTCATTCAAGTTCTTACACTCCTCAAATATTTACTGAAATTACAGACTTGTTGCAACGATCGTTCGCCAATGATGATACAAAATCTTCTCCGATTGAAACGCAATATTCATACAGCGTGGAATTTAAAAACTTTTACATGACTGTTTTTAAATTGAATTATTATTCTAGCTACTACACAGAGGATAATATTTATAATTATTATATCAATGGAAAAGCTGGAATTATACTGACGATCGAAGTTTCCTCTCATAAACAGGATGTCGATGATATGAAAGATCGAGTGCAATTTGTATTGAAAAAGATCGAAAAGAGAGTGCCAGTGCTATTTCTCATTCATGGTCCTCAAGACTGTTTAGGAAAATGTACTCCTGCTATTACTGACATGATCCAAATGCTAGTGAAGAAGTATGATCACGAAGAGTACTCATGTATTGCAACCAAAGAACCAGGTAAAGATGGAACTCTTTACGAAGGATTAGAATGGCTGTTCACCACGTCCTGTAAATAGGCTCACTTTTTTGTGAGAGAACAACTTTTGTGTAAATTAATATAAATGAGGTAGAGTTGGTAGTATGCAATCTCAAACACAAATCATAACATTATACCTATTGCAGTTAAGGGAAGCTGTTGGGTTCCGCTTCAGTTTGACAGCTGGCATCCGTTTCCGCATTACAGCTGCAGCTGTAATTCAATCAAAAAAACTCGCGCAACAGCAAGCAGGCAAAAATACTTATGGTCAATGTGCTTTCCTGGAGAAACTCTGGTGGTTCGGGTTTAGCCAAACGAGACCCATCAGCAGCCTCCTCTTCATTCCTTGGCTTAATCAACCACCACAAATATACCCTCAAGAAGAATACAGCGTATCATCATGATAGGCTTACTTTCCTTGTTTTATGTAAGTCTTGTTTTGGAATGATCGTAACCTTAATCATCGTCATCATCATCATCACTGTGATCCCGTCCTAATTCAACAGTAATTTCTCTCCTGATATTATGTAACTATGCTGCACCATTTATTTCATCATCATTATCGTATACAATCTCTGATCAAGAGATTGTCATTGAACAAGTAAAAGCATGGAAATATAAACAACGAAGTTTCATCCGAGTTATTGAGGGAGATGTGTTAAAGGAACGAACAACAATGATAGAGACCAGAGAAAAACCGAAAGCGGTCGATGTCTATGATGCAATCGGAGAGGCAAAAGCCCATATCGAACGAGTCAACATAAACAGCCCAGTGCTTGGTAATATGACCCAATTGGCTTGGGATAAGCTGGTGCAAGTGGTTAGCCGAGAGCTTGAGCTGGAACATATTCTGGTTATGGGAAGGCGTTCGATTTTTGATTTAGGAGAAAAGTGTGCAACAGGCATCAATGTAAGTGTTGTCATTTGCCTCGTCGAAGCAGCTCAACACATTTTCAACAAGAATTTCACCGAGTATGTCTACGGAGAAGAAATGTTTTTCAGAGGCAAGCATTTTAACATTTCCCGAGATCAATATTTAACCTTTGAAACGGGAAAACCTATAGATTTTGTTCAGAATAGAACAACATCAAGAATTACCAACAGAATTAGCGCTGGATCGAAACATGTTCTTGTGCTCATGCCGAACGGTAAGGTATATTCCACAGGTGTCTATGTGAATGGAAACTTGGGAAGGTAAGTGGGCGAAATTTTATGGAGCTTGGCACTAATAACACCCCGATTTTGCCATTCTGTGAATAGGTAAGTCTTGAATCACATAATTTGAACCTAAGTTTTGCTTAAAAAATCAAACTAAGAACCATGACGGATTCAAAAATTGTTTATAATGCTCCTGTTGAAAATCTAGAAGGTCACAAAATATTACAAATTGAATCGAACATGAACAGTAACTTAATCTTGACGGATAAGGGTGTTTATGGGTTCGGCGAGAATGCCAATTCTCAAATGGGCACCGGAGGAACCAAAACCGTTCTGACTCCAACAAGAATCAACGGCTTTAATTTCAACACTACGATCGTGCAAATTGCGATGGGGTACTCCTTCTCTTTTGCAATCGATATCACAGGAAAACTATGGGCCTGGGGCAATAATAAGGATGGTCAATTGGGTGATCGAACGTGGGACGATAAGAATCGACCCTTCTCTGTTTACAGATATGGAGCCTTATTGAATCAGACTGTTTACAGAGTGTGTGGAGGTTGGAAACATGCTCTCATTTTAACAACGAATGGTTCACTCTATGCCATGGGCGACAATTCATTAGGTCAGTTAGGAACCAACTCGAATGTCAACAGCGGAGAACCTGTGAAAGTGAAAATGGATAACTTTGTGTTTCGAACAGTCATTGATATTCAATGCGGATACGGTCACAATCTTGCATTGACATCAAGCGGAGAAGTATTTTCATGGGGCTATAATGCCTATGGGCAAATCGGTGACGGCACTACATCCAATGTTCTAAAACCCAAGCTTGTTTCTGGCCTTAGCGACTGCAACGTGAAGAAAATTCACACCAAAGCTAATGTCAATATTGTACTTTGCTCCAATAACACTATCTTTGTATGGGGAAAGAATGATGTGAATCAAACAGGAACGGGTCTTTCCTCAACAGCCATTTCACTTCCAACCCGAATCGACTACACACAGCAACCAATTATCGACATGACATCCTCAGAGAATTACTCATTCTTGTTTTTGGCAGATGGCTCTATTCATGCCGCCGGTATTTGTAACAATGTGCAATATTTCTATGGACATGACTGTCTCGATTCTCAACCTGCCTTATTGCCTGGTGCCGTACCCAATGATCCTAAGCGATATGTTTTTTCTTTGGATGGCAAGTTTACCAAAGTAAGGCTTCAAGACAACATGGCCATTCCATGGTATGAGAGAAAACTGGTCTACTTTGAAATGGGAGAAGATGGATATTTACTCAAACCTGATGTGACTGTACCCACTCGAACCTGGAATGGATTCAGCATGTACACTACGAATGTCACCAAAAACAATAATTGGACCATATTGGAATATAACAATTCCACAAATGAGGGATTTCCTGTTTCCATTTATAACTCACACTTTTTAAAACTCAACGAGTACATGTATTTATTTGGAGGATTCATCAATGACGAAATCTCCAACTCAATCTACCGATGTCCAATTTATACACTAACACAGGAATGGGAATTGGTGAATGTGACGCTTCCAATACCTTTAGCGTCTGGCAGCATTCAGGTCATTGGAGATTTCGTCTATATATTTGGAGGAATGTCAAGATTGTATTATTACAATGAAACATGGGATGAAGGACCTACAATTGCTCCAATCATTGTGGACACCATCTTAAGGGCACCATTATCCAATGTTGTATCATTTGAAATTGTACCTAACAAGAAAATTTCGACTCCGCTACACTCCGCCTACTCGGAAATCGTCGGTGACTATGTCTACCTATTTGGAGGCTCCAATGAATTGCACAATTCGACCTTTAACATCTTTAGAGCTCCCTTATCTGATCCAACCACTTGGCAAATGACCTTTGGTCTTTTACCATTCTATTCAATCAATACAGGAACATTTGTGTCCACCAACAGCTCTCTCTATATCTTTAATGGAGGAAATAGCACAACAGCAAGTGGTGGACCCTACATGGCAGTAGCCAGCACCAATGATCCTGTCGAGTCGTGGATGCTCTACCAGGATCCAATCCTAACCACTGACACCTGGTGTAAAAAGTACAGATTATTATGTTTGTACTGCAACGGTGTTCCAGCTACTCATCCCAGTGTTTGCTCGTCCGCTGGTGATTGTGCAGACTACGACACTTGTGTATGCACACCAGGAAGAAGCGGCAAAAATTGTGAGCTGGTCAGCATTTTGGCCTATGACAATATTCGAAGGTATGCCGATGGCACCTATGCTTCATCATGTGAAGAGTACAAAAATCCAAGTAACACTTCTAGAATCTATTCTGGATTTATTGGCAATGGCTTTTACATGCTTCAGCCATATCCAGGAATGCCTCCAGTCCTTGAATTTTGTGATATGACACCCAAGCTACCGAATTACCCTAGCCATCACCCCGAAATTATTTCAGTTCAAACAACATCAAACACGATACAGACCTACTACCGCTTACTCAAATATTCAAACTCTATCACAAACCTGGGAAATGGCATTTATAAATTACAGTACGACTTATCCAGGGCTTCTCTATTCTCCAACAATCAGGTACGTGATAACCAAGTAACACCTCAACTGCAGATGCTTTGTACGACTCCCTACGTTGGAGCTCCTGTGTTGTGTAGTTATGCTGGAGTGTGCACCAACAACAAGTGTGTGTGTGGTACTGAGAGGTATGGAAGTGATTGTCGAACTGTTGGTATTGTCAACTATGGAGGGGCTCGAAGATATGCAGACTTGACCTTCGCCACTTCCTGTTATTACTACAGATTCCCATCGAACTCGAGTAGACTTTATTCTGGTGACATTGGTGATGGCATGTACTTGATTCAACCAGATTCCACTAAAGATCCAGTTCAAGTTTTTTGTGACATGACATCGAAAGATAAGAATGGATACGATAATTCTGGTTGGACCTTGGTTTACAAGTATCCAAAACGAGTGGCTGACGATCCTTATACCATTTGGACTAGCACTAGTGACACATTTGGAACACCAAACAAATTCCGCGAAGACATTTATCACTTGGCTACTGTGAAGAACAGTTGGTCAGTCTTCTCAGAGGCAAGAGTTGAAATTACAGCTGGAGGCTCAGTCAAGAAATATATTGTCTTTAGGCTTGGAACAGACAAAAATATATGGTTCGATAAGTTTTCCGTTTCCCATTCTTCTTGGGCACTAGATACGGGTATATATCAGTTTTTCTCTGCAGTTGGTGACAATGCAAATAACAGAAGGTGGGCCATCATTCGGTCATACTTCAATTGTCCTGGAGATCATGGTTGGCTTGCAATGCCATACAGTGATGTCTGTGCTGGAACTTGGCCGCTTGAACCTTATGGTCGTACCATCCTTTACACGAGTGCAGACACATCAACTTATTTCAAGGATATGCTTAAGGCTGACACGTTTATTATTATGTTGCGATAATTTACTCAATAAACACAAGTATAGTAAAAATTCTATCAATTTTAGAGTGAGGCAACGGCCGTTAGAGCAAAATTGACAAGTTAGATGTGGTGGTGAATCCAAGTGCAACACTGGTTGATTTCGAAAGAGGTGGAACGAGAAGACCAAGACTTCCCTACATTACCTCTGGATCAATATTTGTTTGGATTCCTCTACTAAATGCAGCACTCTTTCTATTGATCAGCTTATCATTGAAACGCTGATTGTCATTTCTCCGAATGATACGTGCCGAATTTCTATTATTTTGAGACGAAGATAAGGCACCAAGTGATGATTGGGGTGCCTGTTGTGACGTCGTGTTGTTTAGAGAGGAGGAGGTGGTAGTGGTGGGCAATGCCGTTCTTTGTGTGTCAGAGGACTTGTTGTTTGAAGACAAGATGGAAGGTAGGTGATTATTCGAGGAATTCATATCATTGCTGTCTAAACTGCTACTACTCGCACTCGACCGACTTGGAGTGGGCGAAGAAGGAGCGTCTGATCCTTTCTTTGTTGATGATGATTGTCTCTTTTTCAACAAGAAGGAGAATATTTTGAAACCCTTCTTTTGTTCTTGAAGATCTTGGTGATTCTTTTCGGATAGTACGGTCATGAGAAACTCTTATTGGTGTCAATGTGCGTGTGAGATTGTTCAACCCAAGATGAGATCAATAAAAAGGAATGTACTTGTCTATTGTTGCAAGAAATCTCTGTTCTAAAGAGTCAGAGTGGTTGTCGTTTTAGTCGTCGTGTGTGAAGAGTCTTCTTCTGTGTTTGAGCTCTAGCGCAACAATCAATTCTGAAGAGTTTCGAAAGCGATTGTTGTTGTTTTTTTTTCTTTTGAAAAGCAAAAAACCTGTCCTGATACCACAACGTAAATTCAAGACCAATAAGGTGACTGTTGACTTTTTTCTAAAGAGGCAACTTCAACCCCCCATCATGATGATTCGTTCCAAAAGTCGAGTCTCGAGGATAAAGCAAATAGCCAAAAGAATATAGCTCTCTCTTTATGACGAGTGGTCAACATGACTGGCTTTGTGTTTTCTCAAACTTTGAAAAGTACCCTCTATTTGCATGATCCGATTGTTCTTCTTCATGAAAAAGTAGAATCCACCAAATCTCAACATACGACCACAATTTAATTTAGACCTTGATCAATTATTTGATCGATGATCCCTCTCTTGGGTTTATGGCCATCTTTGAAGAAATGTCATTCCAAGAATGGTTGTCATTACTGTTTGGATGTGTGATAATGATGGTATCGCGTAGAGCTCTTCGAGTAGGAATTCAACACTTTAAACTGTCGTTAAATCCTCATTGCAGTTAATCTCATGAGTGACACTTTGGGACATTTCATCATCAAAGGCTTGTCAAAAAATTGACAGGATGAAAATCACAAGGTGAACCTTCATTCGAAAGTAGTATCATTGAGAGGCATCCAGATTGTCTAGATCATCATCATGGTGTAAAGCACAAATGTCGAATTGAAAAACATCCACTTTATTCATGTCAGAGAGAGAGGTGTCAGTTCATTAATCCTTCAATTCACAACAACGACAACAACATCATCACACACAAATTACCTCATCCTTGTTTCACGACAAGGATCCTAAATGGTGAACTCCTCTCTCTTATACCTTCTTCTTCTTCGTATCATCCGCACCACCACCAACATGTTGTTGTTTCTTCTTATCATAACATTGATACCCATAAACCGCAGCTCCAGTCACAACACCAGTCACTAGAGCCAATGGCAACACTGTTGTGGTCAAACCCACAGCTCCCACAGCTCCCACAGCTCCAATCGATTGCATGACAGCCACAGAACTTCCAGCAGCAACGCTTCCTCCACTGGCCACGTCTGAACAACTCATCCACCAAGCAGCGATGGAACCAGAAGCAATTCCACCTGCTTTAAATCCGAGAAGGGAAGCTAGAGCTGGAATTCCAACAGAGGTTGCAACGCCTGTGGTGGTAGCGGTTGCGACGGTGGTGGTAACGGTGGTGGTAACGGTGGTGTTGTCTTTTTGAAATTTCTTGAAGAGTGGTTGAATGTAATTTTCGTTGGTTTTTGTGAGGTATTCTCGAAGAAGGCTCATTTTTTTGTTTTGACAAGAGACAGGTGTGGTTCCTTAACCTTGTGATTTTCATCCTGTCAATTTTTTGACAAGCCTAAATTTGGAATTGGAATCAGAATGTACTTTTTCCAACACAGTAGTAGTAGTCTTGTGTATGTGCAACGAGTTTTTTCGCTTGAGTGAGCTTAGATTCGCTTGATTTTCTTGGACGATGGAGTCCAGCGAAAGTCCTTTTCCCCAGCGGAACAGCTTGGCGTCACCCATGCATAAGAAAATGGTGCAGTCGAATGTTTGCGTTAGATTCATGTGAGGTTTTTTTAAAAACCAACAAGCACATTAATTTATCAAAGGATGCTAAGAGAGAGGTGGAGAGGTGGAGCAACAAGATCTTTTTTCATTTCTATAGGTAGCCATCACGATGAGAAAAAACGTCTGCGAATGGACGCGGGCCAACCTCTTTCGTTGAGAGCCATCTTCAATTCTTTTGAAATTTCATTCTTTTATTTCAATCATAGATGTATGGACATTTAGTGAATTCAATGTTTTTCATTAATCATCAATTACAACGTTGATACCATCAGGTGTCAAACTTGGTTTCAAAAAAAGAGACCAAAAAAAATGAGCGCCAACGCTTCTACGATTTTTTGGCAAGATCGGGAAATACGTTTTGACTCGAATGTGGAGGCTGGGTAGGTGGTTGTATGATGATGACGATGATGGAGGAGATTTCATTGTTTGATCCAAATATTGCAATGGTGGAATCATGCTGTGTTCGTGTATCAATTTTATCTCATTATGATATTAAAATTAATAATGATATCGGATGCATCTCGGATCTTTCTCTGATTGAAATTTAGAGAATTAAATTTGAGAAAGGGAGAGTTTGAAATTGATGTTTTGGAAAATGTCGAAGATACGAAAGGAAATAACGGAGAGAAAGGGAGATGCGTCATTACCAATTTACGATTGATTTGGATCTGTTCGAGAAATCCAAAAATTAATTTGAGCATTGGATACAACACAATGGTCAATATCAAAATTCAGACTGGTTCTAGTCGATTGAAAGGATCCACTCAAGCTTTGTATTTATTAACAAAATATCATGGCTCAAGATTTGAATTTATTTTTTCAAACATGGTAAAATCAAATCCTCGCCTGTTTTCCACCATTCAGGCCGTTTTTAAGGCCTATCAATCAAGCAAAATGTACAGAGAAATACGACTGAGATCTGCAATTATTAAGAATAAGCATTTAGATTTGTTACCAAAAGAACAGGTGTATACTACTTTGAGTGGAGTTTGGAATTTAAGTGCAGAGCAAGGAAATTTAGGAACTTTCATTGTGACCAACGTACGAGTGGTGTGGTTTGCAGATCTTGCAGAAAATTTCAATGTTTCAATTCCTTTCCTTCAAATTGTAAGTTTTCATTTTGATATTTTCGATGCAGAAGAAGCATTACCATGACTTTTTCTCGTCCCTGCTGTGTTTCATGCATGATATTCTCTCAGAAAAATGTTTCCTTTAGAGATTCAAAATTTGGGAAAGCATTTGTAATTGAGACCAACAGAAGCTCTGGAAGAGAATTTGTTTTGGGATTTAAGGTTGATCCACTTGAGAGATTGAATGAATTGTTCAAAGAAGTCTCATCCCTTCACCAGCTCTTCACAGACAATCCCATACTTGGAGTGGAATACCAACCAGAAGAAAAACAGGCCAGTCTCGAACAATTAATGGTTCCCAAAACCACAGAGAGCATTAAATATGTTGGAAACAAGGACACGAGTGATCCATTAGCTCCTTACTATATTGACAGCTCTGATAAATCCAGTACCACATCGATTGGATTCAGCGAGGAATTGGGTTTAGCTTGCGAGGAGCTGAAAGACGGTATGACCATCAAGAAATTGTGGCAATGCATTTACAAAGTGTAAATAAACCATGTTGATTGATTGATGTGTATTCTCCAAGGAATGCCTGTTCCAACACGAGTGATTCAGTGTCAGTTCGAGTTCATATTGGTGGTGATCTGACAACATCTGTTCTCGATCATTGGAGACACTAATGTCATTAATTTCAATGAATTCAATGAGGATTTGTTCACAAGAGTTGCTCTTGATCACATTAAAATTATAAAAATTGTTCAGCCACCTTATAAGGGCCTGAGAGTGTGTCCACAAATGAAACCCTTTAACAATACCCAACTCAACAACAACAACCTTTCAAAAAAAAATGTCTTCCTCTCATCAAGCCAACATTCCCAAACTCGTCGGAAATACACCACTCTCCGAAGCAGATCCAGAACTCTTTGAACTCATTGAAAAGGAAAAGAGTAGACAATGGAAGGGTCTTGAATTAATTGCTAGTGAAAATTTTACAAGCCAAGCCGTGATGGAATGTCTCGGAAGTTGCCTTACCAACAAGTATAGCGAAGGACAAGTGGGTGCTCGTTACTATGGAGGAAATGAAGTGATTGATGAAATTGAAAAGTTGTGCAAGGAGAGAGCTCTTGCTGCTTTTGATCTCTCATCAGAGGAATGGGGAGTCAATGTTCAACCCTACTCCGGATCACCTGCAAACTTTGCAGTTTATACTGGTCTGTTGCAACCTCATGATCGTATCATGGGTCTTGATTTACCAAGCGGAGGACATTTAACTCACGGATATTATTCTGGAAAGAAGAAAATTTCTGCAACTTCCATCTTCTTTGAAAGTTTACCCTATTGTGTGAATGAACAGGGTTATATTGATTATGATGGACTTGAGAAATCAGCAAAAGTTTTTAGACCAAAATTAATTATTTGTGGAGGAAGTGCCTATCCAAGAGATTGGGATTATGCCAGATTGAGAAAGATTGCTTCCGATGTTGAAGCCTATTTAATGTGTGATATGGCTCACTATTCTGGATTGGTTGCTGCCAAAGAACACAATAATCCATTCGAATTTTGCGATGTTGTCACATCAACCACACACAAATCACTCCGAGGACCTAGAGCTGGTATCATATTCGCCAAGAAGGAACTCATGCCAAAGATTGATTTTGCAGTATTCCCTGGCATTCAAGGTGGTCCACACAATCATCAAATTGCTGCGATCGCCACACAATTGAAACAAGTTCAAACACCAGAATACAAGGAATATATCAAGCAAGTTAAAGCCAATGCCAAGACGCTCGCCAAATGTCTCATTGACTATGGATACACATTGGCGACTGGAGGCACTGACAATCATTTGGTGTTGTGGAATTTGAGACCACAAGGAATCACTGGAAGCAAGATGGAAAAGCTTTTTGATGCTGTCTCCATCACGGCTAACAAGAACTCGATTGCTGGAGATCCAAACGCGTTGTCACCTTATGGAATTCGTTTGGGGACTCCTGCCCTGACCACTCGTGGATTCAAGGAAGAAGATTTTGTTCTGGTTGCTGAATTCTTGCATCGTGGCTTGAAATTGGGATTGAGACTCCAACAACAAGCTTCCTCTCCAAAATTGCAAGACTTTTTGGCTCAAATTAACCCAGAGGATGAGGAGTTGAAGCAATTGAAGCATGATGTGGAAACATTCGCTAAACAGTTCGGAATCCCTGGATGGAATATTGAAGAAATGAAATTTAGAGATTAAATGGTTGTTTGATTGTTAGTAACACACCACATGCATCCAATAAATCGTAAATTCAACAACAAGAGGTGGCAATGAGAATTCATGACGATACGATGAAAATCCATGATTTACAAAATGATATTATTCCATTGGTTGTGACTGTAAAACCCGAACATGGCTATCGTTATATGATGGTGATGAGGATGAAAAAAAGAGAAGGAAATAATTTGGAAAATAAAATTAATTTCGTATTATTTAATAAACGGCTCGAGCTAATTTACATCTTAACTTCCTTCAAACCATCAACAAAGAAGTACAATTGTGAGGTCTTTCCGTCATCGTTGAACTTTTGGAAGATGAGCATGGACTTGTCCATATCGTTAGATTCACCTTGGTAGAATTTGTAGTTCTTGATGTCCTTACCAACTTGTTCAGCGAGGAACTTCTTGACTTGCTCGTTGAATTTGGCGAGCTTTTCAGCGCTCTCCTTTTCAATTTTAGCTCTCAAAGTGGACAAGTATGGTCCGATGGTATCAACCAATTGCTTAACCTTTTCAATTCCTGGAATTTCAACCAAGTGGAAGCTATCAACAATTTGGTCAACCTTTGTGGTATTTTCTGGCTTGTTTTCCAATTTTTCAAATTGGTCTGGATCATAGAGGATATCCTCGTCCTCATCTTTGACCATGAACTTAGAGGAAACATTGTAAATGAATCCTTCGTATTCAGTCTTCATTGGGTATGAATCAGAGAACAATTCATCACGGGTGAAAATATCAGTGTAGACCTTCATTGTTGATGTGGTTGGGGATGTTGAGATATTTTTTTTTCAAGACGACTCTCTCTTCAAGAAAATTGGTCAGGACTGCAGTGATTGGTCGTTGGGAGGCAGATTACAACATCAAAACATTTGCCTTCGAACACACACAAGGACGAGGAAATTGATGTTGTTGACCTTATTAGAGGGAAAAGCAACAAGAGTGTTCCCAAACCTATTGTTCGAGACAATAGGTTCACTGCCTTGTGTTTTAAGATGGAGCTCCAAGACGGTGAATATTGCATATACGCGAATGGTATTTGACAGCACTAGCAACTGAAGGAAAGAGCATAATAATACATTACAATAGCACTTGAAAAGTTTAATAATATACGAATATAATCGATGAAACTTCCAGAACAGAACGAGTCACCTATCATTGCATTAAATCTTGCTATATTCAAGCTTGGTTTCTAACTTCTTCATATCCATCATCTTTCGCACAGCTTTCATAAAGTCCTCCTGTATCACATAGTCTCTCTTGGCTCTGAGAGCAAACATACCAGCCTCGGTACAAACGTTACGAAGATCTGCTCCGTTGAAGCCATCCGATAATTTGACAATGGCATCATAGTCAATTTCACCTTGTTTGGTCATGTTTTTGGAGTGAATTTGTAAAATGGACAATCTTCCCTGTTCATTGGGCAATGAAATTTCAATCTTTCTATCCAGACGACCAGGTCTCATCAAGGCAGTATCCAGAACGTCAGGTCTATTGGTAGCCATGATAAATTTGACTTGACCAACATCGTTGAATCCGTCCAATTGATTCAACAATTCCATGAGGGTTCTTTGAATTTCACGATCGGCACTTGTACCTTCAGAAAATCTTTTACCACCAATGGCGTCGATTTCGTCCATGAAAATTATGCAAGGTTGGTGATCACGAGCGTATCCAAACATTTCACGGATAATACGAGCTGATTCTCCAATATATTTATCTACAATGGCACTAGCTACAACCTTCAAAAAGTTTGCTTCGATATTGCTTGCAATGGCTCTTGCCAATAATGTTTTACCTGGAAAAAGCCAAATTCATGTTTTGAAATGTTGGAAGCCATATTCCATGATGGAATGTGAATTGATTCAGGAGGAATTCGTTCGAGTCAGGCATGTCACAATAAATGTCACAAATGAACGGAATGAATGGAACAATGTTTCATGATGATTTCAAAAGGTAAATGCACAAAAAACATACCAGTACCAGGAGGTCCGTACAAAAGTACACCCTTTGGTGCCTTGATACCAACTCTCACGAAAATTTCTGGATTGATGAGGGGAAGTTCAATAGCTTCTCTCAATTCTCTAATTTGTTCATTGAGGCCACCAATTTCGTTAAAGTGTGTCTTATCTAATTTGACATCTTTTGATTCAATCATGTTGAAAACTGAAGGATCAACCTCACGAGGTAAAATCCTCATGATTGTCAATGTTGTCATATCGAGAGCAACTCTTGTACCTGGCTTTAATTTTGCCTTGTCAATCTTTTTTTCTAACCCCGGTAACATATCTTGGTCCGCTGCTTGCCTTTATAATAAAACGTTCATCATCCAATTGTTTCAAAACTTCTCCTACAATTTGTCCAACTGATTGGAGAGCTTTAAGATCATCTTCAGTCTTTTCGTATTTCTTTTTCAAATCTTTTTGATTTTCGCGAATCTTTTTTACTTCAGCCTCCAATTGTCTGTGTTGAGCAAGCTTTTCAGCATAAACATTCAGAGCTTTGTTTCTTCTCTCGTCGATCTCCATTTTCTTGCTGTTCCGTATTTGAGTTTGTTGCTGATGTTGTTTGTATCAAAAAACGATCGAACAAGAATACAGCACTCTCTCGATATGCAAGTTATTTTTTTTTGATGGTTTTTTAAAAATAACTCGACATTTCCTCATCAAAATTTTCTTCTTTGGTTTCGTGCTTTGCATTCAGAAAGCAGCAACAAAAGATTTCACTGAAGACCCACAAATATTGAATTAGTATTATATTAGCAAATTTGTTGTAGTGAATTGAACTCCGATAATTCTTTCATATAATTTAAATTATTATTGTTGTTATTAATTGCCACACACATTTCCCGATGTCATCCTCTCATCATCTCGCTAGGAGTGTTTCAACACTCGACAAGAACCATTTGAGAAAATATTCTCTCATGCTCTATCGAGCCCTTTTAAAGAAGAGTGTGGATTTTCATCTCAAGAATGAGCCTTCTCCAACACGAAGTTACCGAGTGAGTTATTTAATTCCAGGAGAAGAATTCAAGAATTATTTGACTGGAGAAATTCGGAAACAATTTAAACAGGCTCAGCGGTTATATAGAGAAGAAAAGAAGACTCCCGAATGGTTTGAACAGCAATTAAAGGATGGATTTATTTATTTGAAAGGCCTAGAGAGAGCCTTTGATGAAGGATTCAACATGACCCATAACAAACGGAAGGCTATCCGATTGAGTCCTCTCCTTCATATTCTCAAATTGGCATGTGGAGAGTATGGAAATTATCATTATCATCAGAAATTGAAAGAACTTTTCTTGTTGGCCACATTAATGACCTATCAAAAAGTTCAGCCTAAACCTGTGGCTTCTTCATCCACTCAAAAAGCATCAGCAGCAACAACAAGAGAAAAACGAATAGAAAAAGCATCTCAATAAGGATCACTCACCATCATCATTTGTTCAGCAACTTGTTGGGTCTCATTTACAACTCCACGGCTCGTTTGGGTGCACCCACTAAATCTCTGGACCACACTTGTCACTTTGTGGAGTTGCAACACAGGAAAGCCAGCCACTGTGGCAGATTGGAAAACTGAGCAAAGAACACACAACCATGCCCACTCAAAACACCAATGTGCCTTCCTTTCTGGATGACGTTTATAATTATTTTGAAGCCAATTAAAAGATAACCTTTCCAAAAGAATTTCATGTTCTCACACACAACTGACACAAGCGCAAGAATGAGTTTCCCCAAACAATGTTCTTTGACTTATCACTTGAATGGCGGACCGCATCACCGACAAGGATCCTTGCAGTAGTTGACCAACTAGATACCCTTCTCAATTAATGCTTAGGACTCAAAAACGTCAAAACTGCAGCAGTTTAAGAAAAAAACAAACCACACAACCGTCATCACCACCACTAGCGGTTCAAAACGAGTGTTCAAAAGTTGTGTTGCAGCTGTTGAACGGTTCAATTATCTCTCTCTTCTTCAGGCCTGAAGGAGGACTTCCGTTGTGTCGACTAACCTCTCTCTGCTACTATCCTCCTCTGTATCGCGTGTGCCACATTAGTCTCATCACAAAGAAATTTCTCTGGACAGCAAGAAATATATATCTCACAACAACCGCAACATCATTGTCAAATTCACACCAAATTGTCTCATCACATCCAATAACAAATTGTACATCAACTCCAATACCCATCATCACTCATTCACTCATCATCAAGAGTGTGTTGATTATTCATATTTCATCATCAAATGTCTCAATACAACAATTCCATTGGTCTCTTCAATCAAACCGACACGACTTCTCTTTTAGAAACAGTGACTCGTTTCTACAATGATAAAATCCATCAAAACCATTATGCCCATAATTATTTGGATGATCATTATCATTCCGTTTCCTTCATTGTTGGAATGATCATTTTGGGATTGCTCGTTGTGGTCGTTCTTCCACTCAAAACTTTTTCATTGCTCTATTATTGCATGATTGGAAATTCTAGAAGAAAGAGGAACGCTTCTCTTTCCTCAACAAATGATATCTTGCAAGAACCTTCTTCAACTCCTTTTGATAATTCTCAACAACAACGAGAAACATTGAGAGAATCCAAGAATGACAAGTATTGTTTCATGAGTTTTACAAAATTTGTGGCTTTGGAAATGTGTTGTGGATGGATTCCTTCATTTCTGGTTTGTGTGTTTTTATGTTTGTTGATTTTATTTGCTTCTGCATTTTCAAAGATTCATTTTGCAGGAGCTGCCATGTTAATGAGTTTGGTCATGTTGTTTTGGTTTGTTCATTCGGTCATGTTGGATGGTGGTGTGTTTATGGCAGGACTTTTTCACACTTTACAAAAGGTTCAAGAGCATTACCATTTAAGGAAAAGTCCACAGAATCAACACGGAGCCAATTCTCAACAACAAAATGGAGGAGATGCCACGAAAATTTCATCCTCTACTGCTTTGGAAATGCAAGAGGTGAATGACCCAAAAAATATGGAAGTTTCTACTCCATCATCATCCTCTCAAGAAAGTTCTGAAAAAGGAATTGTACAAGTTTTGATTGAGGAATTGGGTCGAACTTATTTCAATTCATTGGCTTCGCCAATGGTGAAAAAACATCCACTAGTGACAGCTCTCTTGCTGTTTCTATTGTTTTGTTTGACATTTGGCATTTTCATTGTCACAACCATTGTTTCTTCTGATTTTTGTGTCACTTATGACCCTATTGAGGTTTCTACCTATGTCACACGAAAGAATAATAATGAAATTTGTAGAGAAGGAATTTGTTTCACGTACATGACCATTTCGAAAGATATTTCCACACAAATGATTGTCAATTTCCAACTCGTTGCCACTCGTCTCGATGACGCCTATGTCTATTATGGAACATTTAACCCTCAATTAGATTTCCAATTTAATTCAAATACTTCAAGCAAAATTCAAGCAAGTTGCTTCAAATTAGATCATGTCATCAGTGAGGTTTCAAGATATCAATGTTATGCTAATTTGGTGAATTTGAGTCCATCCTCTTCGTATTATGTGAAAACTGCTGCAGTGGGAGTTCCCAATTATTTCACTTCACAAGCATCATTGATGGAAGATTCGTTGGTGTATAAATTCAGAACTGCTCCAAGTGCATACTCGAGTGTCGATCGAGTCGTATCCTTTGTGAATGGTGGAGATTTTGCTTGGAAAGATTCAACTTATGAGTTGGCTTCTGTGTTAACCAGTTTGGGAAAGAATATGGCCACATGTCCTTATTTTGCAATGGTTGGAGGTGATGTTGCATATGAAAATGGATGTCCTTATTGTTATCCAAGATGGGATCGATGGTTTAGAAATTGGGCCAAGTATATGGTTGTGAAAATTGATTATTCTTCAACCATTTCACATGTGTATACGTTACCTATTGCAACAGCTGTTGGTAAGTAGATGATTAATTTATTGTTGTGACAGGTTGTAATGTTTTGCTATTGTGGACAACATTTGATTTTGTTTCACTTGGCACTTGTTGACATTTTTTAACAACCATTATTTCACACACAAATAACTCTATGAATAGGAAATCATGAAGCAGGAAATTTCCAACGTTCTTCTCGAAATGAGAATGGTTATTACATTCGATTGTTTCCACACGAAATTGAAACTACACAATCTTCTCCTCCACTCATTGTTCCAGATCCACAAAATACAAGAGCTCTCCAATACATTCACTATCTCTCTAATCACACCTTGATGATGGTTTTGGATTCATGGGTTCATGAGTCTCCAGCTCAGCAAGTGGATTTCATTGTTGGATTTTTTGCAAATTTAACAAAGAATGATGTCAAACTTTACAAGAATCGAATTGTGGTCATTCATGAATGCATGTACTCGTCAGCCAAGACAAAAAGTTCAATAACTTTGGAAATGAGAGACAAATGGGAACAATTATTTTTGAAGAATAATGTGACACTTGTTTTTGAGAATCATGTGTAAGTATTGTTTTGTGACAAATTTGTGTCTGAAATATTTTTCTAATTTATTTATTTATTTAAATCACACTAGTCACACTTACAAACAGACCTATCCGATACGTTTTGGAAATGTCATGGATCCAACTGCCAACCCACTTGGATCCAAAGATGGAGCTCTCAATGATTACTCTTACGAAAGAAATATTTATGGAACCAATGGAGGAAGACCAATGAAGGAGGACGAAAAGGCAATCATTTATGCTGGAGATGGAAGCTGGGGAGCCCATTACTATGGAGATGTTATTGATTGGGGTAATCCAATATTTAGACAAATTGGAATTGTTACACATTTCTATCATGTTGTGACATTTGACAGACCTGATGGAAGCTCAGTCATTCAAACCGCAGCGTATGGCTATGATGAAACCACTGGAAAGGGAGTGAAAATTCAAGGAAGTGGACTCACCATTACCACCAAGTAAAGTGTATCATAAAGTCCTCCTTCCGGCTACATGTCATCTTTTTAATAATAAATTAATTGTTTATTCTACTAGTACTACAAATATGGTTTCATTGTTGCTGCGTGGCGGTCATAGCTCCCAAAAAAGAGCGATTGAAGAATGACACATTTCCATCATCACAACAATTTCATTATTTTTAGTCTAATGAGATTCCTTATATTCTGCATAATCATTGGCATTATTTTCCTCTTGATCCAAACCTCCATCGTCATCATCATTCTCTACCAAATGATATTGTTCAACATGATGAGAGGAACCATGTCCACCATGACCACCTTCTTCCTTTGGAATGTGAGCAGCATTGGAAAGGAAAATGGAAACACTGTGATCTGTTGTAGTTGACATGAAAAAGCAATGTCACAACAATATTTCGCAAAATATTTCACAAAATAATTGTATGAGAGGTTCACAAACAATTCCATTGCATTTGTCAAGTATTGAAAGTACTTACTGGCATGAGTGTAGTGACTGGCCTTTTCCAAAATGACATACAATTGCACAAAGATTTCCAAAATCTCAACAGCCAAGTGTTCTTCCAAACTTGCTGACTTGTTTGCAAAATAGGAAGGATCCTTTTCTCTCTTCTTGTAATTGTATGCATATTCACGACCCAAATACACAATGTGAATAATAGCAGTTCCAATCGAATACAAAACAAAGATGAAGAAAATAATACTCTCCACCCAATTGATCCAAATAGTGAGTGGTTTCTTTCTTCTCACAGCAATCAATTCTCGAATGTATCTAAATGTGAATAAAAATGGAATTCCAACCATGACAATGTAAGAAGTAATTTTGAGTGCCAACTGGACATCAAATTCCTCTGGTGACAAGTGGTAAGTGGTAATTCCCAACAAGTCATTGGCCTGAACGAATGAAATGACCACAATTTTGAATACACTCAACAAGTACATTCTCAAACGACGATTGCCGAGAGTCCATGTATTGAGTTTTTTGAGACCACGCCACAATTTTTGAGGAAAGGAAAGTGGCTGAGAGGAGTGATGACCTGAGAGAGGTTGAGAGAGAGTCATTTTGAAAGGAACTTGCAATTAGTATTGTAGAGATTGTGTTGATGATGGTAGTTCTGTGATTAATGATGATGATGATTTGAAATAATGGAGAGAGAGAAATACACTCACTTCAATTCGTTCTCGCTGATCGGGAGTGAGAGGAACAAGGAGAGTGAGAGTGTATAATTTTTTTTGAAAGGCACCATCTCGCCTCAGAGATATATAGTTCATCAAAAGTCGGGTGGATATGATCATCTCGCAATGCTTTCGTCAACAACTTTTGATTGGAGAGGTTGTGCGTCGTTTACAATGCTCGTGTTCCAGCGTTTTTGGTGGTTTTTAGACCGAGCGAAGAATGTCACTTTCCAAAAACGGTCAGAGTCCATTCCACCTCAGGTTCGCACAGACTTGGTTTTGTAAACATGACTCGCGAAGAGAGCGATCACGACGGAAATGTTGTGGGCTCGTTCTTTATCACGCTCGTGTTGATCACAGACGCGCGCCAATGATTTTGATATTCGAAAATCAAGTTCCGTATAAAAATAAATTCCGAAAGAATATTCATCCCAAGACACAATTTCAAAAAAAATCAACAAATAAAAAAAATTAAAAAACTCAATTCAAGTGAATTGTGTGTTTCTCTTAATAGAAAAAAGCCCAAGATCTTTCCTTTTTTTTTCTCCATTGGAGATAGATATATCTATCCTTTACGATTACTACTATTTGCTCTCTCTCCTGAAAGATGCCAAAAGAAAAGAAAGAAGCTGTTCATATCAAATCCAAGATCATCGTCATCAACAAATTCATATAACTACATTATAAAGTTATCTTTAGACTCCAATCGAAAACTATTGAGTTTCAAAAGATCCAAAAACTGATTCGTTCTTAACGTGATATTGATAATGTTATCTTGAGGACAGTTCCTATTTCCTAGTGTGAGAAGGAGAGGTGAAAATATTCCTGATATTCTGTCAAATTCAAGTAGCCATTCCAAAAATAAACAAAAAAATTCATTGAAGCTTGAAAGGTCTTTCCCCTCGAATCGGATCCGATCCACCCAAAGTTTGATCGTTTCGTTGTTATCATATTACATGTATCAAGAATGACAAAAGAAAAGAAGGAAACAGTGCAAACCGACAAGATCAAAAAGAAAACAAAATTGAAAAAGAAAGAAAAGAAGAACAAACATCCAATCGACAAAACTTTAACTCCCGAAAGGCTCTTTCTCTACAAATATCAACCAGAGTCCAACCAACTCGTCCCACACTTCTATACTCTAATAGAAACAAACAACGTGTACCAACAAGAATATTGGAAGGATGGAACCGTACAAAAATACGGAAGGAATAACACGATCATTCAACTCCCAAAGGTCTTGTCCTCCTATTGTGGTGATGAAGATGATGCCTCTTCTGATTCTTCATCAATGATGCAAGAGGTGATTGATTTGAAAGATCTATGTAATACCAAGGTAAACATGTTTAGAATCAACCACGAGCATTGTACAGTTACGAAGGTGAAAACATGCTTTAATACATCTTCCTCCTCCAAGAAGAAGAAGAAGAAGAATTCAGGTTCAGGAGACAATGAATTATCCACTCGTAAATATTCCTTTGAAAAGGACTCTTCGAATGTAATTGGTAAATTTACAGAAGCATTTGTTATTGGAAATGAATGGGTGTTGTTCATGAGATCTATTCACTCCATGTGTCATATAGCAATCCTAAAAACAAGAAAGATTCTCTCAAATTAGAGGCACATGTTGAGAATCCATCTCCCCAAGTATTGGAACTGATGAGAGAGACTATTAGGTATCGACTCACTTGCAATATAGTGAAAAGTCTATCCTCAAAGCAGCTTGGTAAAACCCATGACTTTTTGAAATTGTTAAAGAACACTTATGAGGTTGATGATTTTACAATCCTTGAAAGTAGTAGTGTCAAGACCACAACTACCATTTCACAAGACGAATGTATCACAGAAAACACAACCCTAAGCAATCTTTTTCTGGTCAAGGCGAAGATTACGCATGCAGTTTCACATATAAAAGAAGGTTCTGTGAATGAGCAAAAGGAATTTTCAGAACAACTTCCTTCCTCCACGAATTATTATGAATTTCATTCATTCTATACAGACTCGGAAAAGAACTCCAAAAACTCCAACAACTTGTCTTGATGAAATCTTTAATTAAAAGATTTTGTGACTCGCTCAATTAGATGGAGACTCTGTTCTTTTCCCGTTCATTGAAGTACCAATTCAACCTGAGGCTTTATTGAAACTGAACTGTTCATTAGATAATCAAACAAGGTTGATATCTCTAATGAAATACCAGTAGTAGCATGTAAGATTGACTCATCAACGATGGTATTAAAAGGTAAATTCGAAATATTCATGAAATCAACTCTTGGACTAACGTGGGAGCTTTTTGCGGTTGTAATCAAGAGCGAAAAAAGGATAAAAAATAGAAACCACAAAAATGGGCAACAAGATGATGTCTCTTCAGTCCCGATCTGTGGACTCTTCCATCTTCAGCACTGGTGGAGAGGATGAATGGATGAATGATAAAAAGCTCTATCGTTTACCTTCATTGCAACATTCATTTGCGAGGAATCATTATCTCTTTGTGGCTCTCTATCGGAAACGATCACTGAACAAATTTACTCCGATTTTGGATATTGAATTATGGGAAGAGTGGATGATCATGAATACCACCACATCCAATAAAGAGGTGGTTGATAAAAATCAAGACAAGTATCCCTTTACGAGATTAATTGAAAATTCTGTATTACCATATTTAGGACAAGAGGAAGACAAGGAAGAATTGATGCGAAAATATTCCAAAGTATTGAATAACAACAACACATGTAATAACAACCATCAAATTCGAAATCAAGCTCAACATGATTCAACGAATAACGACATCACTACGATCGTTGATCAAATAACTAGTGATGACATCATCAACGAGAATAATACTGTTAACCACCATAACATTCCCAACAATGAATCTTGGGCAATGGCGAGAAATTCTGCTGTGGTGGGTCATCCAGAGAATGTACGAGTTGAAGAGTTTCATTTCATGCACCCCAATGATGAGGAATCAACAATTCATATTGACGTTGTGACTCTGAAGAGATCAACAAGTGCGATGGATGAGCGACTGTGTGAAGGCGAATCACACCAAGATGTCAGTGGTGATGTGAAAATTACATTGGATGATATTGAAATAATTGGAGCAGTTTGTGATGGTGTGAAATTAGAAAAAAGAAGATCATTCATGACTCAACTCAGAGAATTGTGTGAACAATTATTGATGGAATATTACTCAACTTCAACAAATTCTTCAAGCTCTTCATCATTGAGTGGATCAACTACGAAAAAAGAAAAGGCATTGTCGTCCTATTCAGATGGTGAAGATCAATTCATGAAAAAGATGTTTAAACCCAAAGCTTTAGAATTGATAAATGGTGACAAAATGAGGTAAATAAGTGGCACATGCATCCACATATGATTCCTTCTAAATAATAACCTCTCCAAACCCTAATTCTAAAAGAGAAATTTCATGCAAATGTATTATAATGTCAAAATACCAAAATCACACCTTAAGACAAATAGCAGAATAGACCAATATCTGCTTTAAGATGTTGAAAGTTACGAAATAGATCATCTTTCCTTTCTGTAAATATTCTATACAAGACTGAGTTGGCCATTGCAAATCGCAATAAAGTGAAAGGATCCTCAATAAATTGCATAACTGTGATCCAGTATTCGTCAGCCAAATCTGAAAATTTAACATTTCCATTTTCAAAGAGTTTGATTACAGGTTGCGAGTTGTCAATGGGTGTCTTTGGAAGGAGAGTGAAAAATGATGTTGGACTATTATATCTTAGCATCATGTTGTGAAATAGAGAAATATGATCATATTCATAGTAAACCCATTTCTCAAAAGGTTTTTTCTCTTCTTCTTCTGTTTTTAGTTTTTTGGAGCTCTTCAAATAATATTCTTCATATTCTTGCATGAAGCCCTCTTCCAAAACATTTAATGGAATGCCTGCAAAGTGACCACATCTCTCACTCATTTTCGACACACGAGACGGATGAACAAATGTCATACAATAATCATCCCTCTCATTGTAATAGTCGCATATGGTCAACAAATTAGGATATCTCAATTTTTCCACCTCTACTTGTTCATCAATTAGTCCCTTCTTTTTTGCATGATACTCTTTCTTCAAGTCCTCTTCAAACGTTATTTCATAGCCCAATAAATCCTCGAGTTGGCTTTCATCAGACCAACATTCCTCCAATTTCAATTTTCCAGCCAATGTGCTATACATTTCAGTGGCTCTGAATCGAAAGCAATCAATATAAAAGTTAGGTTTTTGAAGAGCAACAAAATTCTTCCAATTATAAAATTGCGAAATGGGATCATTATCTTCATCATTCTCTATATCTCCATCCTTCTCACTTTCATCATTACTATCTTCATTCTCAATATCACCATCTCCATCCTTTTCACTATCTTTTTCATTCTCTTCATTTTCTCCATCCCTCTCACTTTCATTTTCTCCATCGGAAACCTTAGCTTTCATTGAGGAAGCAGTCTCTAGATAATGTTCCCGAACTTGTTGATGATCATAATGGTCAAGAGGAAGAATATTCTCTCACAACAAGCATGAATCCCACTTACCCTTATCATCCAACAGGCGCAAATTGCACATGATCACAGTCACATCAATGCCCATTTTTTTCACCAAAAGTTACGAACGTTGGTGGAACATCAAATTGAATTCAATTTGATCACATGGTTCATATAATTATTATTGATCAAATAGAATTTGATCTTGATGATTTTAAAAAAAATGAATTTTCCGATTCAAAGGAGGCTTAATAAGCTAACGACACTTTTCATCCAACAACATGTTGCTACCGAGAGACTTGGTAGCCTCGGATGGAAGAAACACACGGTTGGTGCTGCTGCTTTTTGTGGTGGGATCCGATGCTTCTTCTCTTCAAAAACAATGAATCATCAGACTCATCAGGAATCAACCTTGGATATTATGAGATCCTTGTTGTATATTCCGGGTAATAGTGAGAAAATGTTGAACAAAATTCATTCCATGAAGGAAAGGCCTGATGTATTTGTTCCAGATTTGGAAGATTCTGTTCCGTATCATCAGAAGGAAGAAGCAAGAAAAATGGTGAGAGATTTTCTCTTATCGACTTTTACGCCAGATTTAGTTTCCGAATATAGAATGCATATTATTCCTCGTGTGAATATAGAATGGGAATTTCTTGAAAGTGATTGTGAAGCTGTAGCCATTCCAGGAGTAGTCACAGCAATCAATGTTGGAAAGACTTCATCTATTGCTGACGTTTTTAATATAGATCAGTTGTTGACAAGAATTGAGAACAAATTAAACGTACCCCAATACACATTCAGAGTAATCCCTTCCATCGAATCAGCAATAGGTTTGGTACATGCCTATCAAATTTGTAGCTGTTTACCTCAAAGAACGATTGGAGTTGCATTTGGTGGGGACGACTATGCACATGACATGGGATTTACAAGAGACACCACTCAAATTGTGGAAAAGGAATTAGCATTTGCAAGATCTACTGTTGCAGTAAGTACAAGCGTGACACAATTCTCGCATAAGAATTTCGTAAAATTTTCAACAAATTCAAATTGTTGCATTTGCAAATGACATGGAATAGGTTGCTGCAAGAGCGGCAGGAGTAAGTTTTTTATTAACTAGTTTTGAACAATGTTTTGACATCATTTGTGACATTTTAGATTCCCTCCTTCGATACACCAAATGTAAATTTCAAAAATTTGGATGGCCTGAAAGAAGAATCGGTGGCAGTTAAAAACATGGGTATGAAAGGCAAATTTGCAATTCATCCTAGTCAAATTCCAGTGTTGAATGAGGTATTTGGACCTTCACAACAAGAGATTGAGGAAGCAACAACGATCGTAGAGGCCTATGAAAAGGCAGCAAAAGTAAACAATCGTGGTAGTTGTCAAGTGAATGGTAGAATGGTTGATATGCCTGTTTATCGAAATGCAAAACAAGTATTGGCATGGGCCAAAAAGACTAGAAAGTAAAGAATTGGAATCTCCTCCATAATTGTTGAACATTTTGTTAAGGACTTTGTTTTGAATTCCTTTGCACACTTGAAACCTCCACTCACATGAGCGTGTGACAAGAAGGACGCCTTCATGGCCTCAACAAACTGTCACAACTTTCTCAGACACCTCTCGAAACTAAAAGCAGAGACATGGATGATTCATCTACTTTTTTGGCCAAGTTTCATACAAGCCCACAACAGCACTCACACATCCACTAATACCAACTACAGCATTGTTGAGCGACCAAACCTTGTAACCTCCATTACCAGCTACTAATAAATCTGAAGTGTTCTTGATAATATTTCTAACAATTTGTGACTTTCTGTCACTAATCTCTTTCAATTTAGTGTCAATACTTGAGAGTTTTGAATTTTTGATTGGATTGCTTGGCGTTGGAACTGCAGCAGCATTTGAGGGCTCTACCAAAAAATCACTCAAATTCAAAAATCCCTCAGGAAGCTCTCTCATACAATCCGCTTTTTCTCTCAGGCACCGTATTTCCTCATTAAACGTGTCCAAAAAGTCGTACACATCCGAGATTAACATTAACAATGTTCCAATAAACCACATTTTACAAGATGTCTCTGAATAATGCTTGGCTCGTGAATTATTAAATAATTTCTGCCACACATGCACAGCATTAAGCTCTGTGACATCATAAAACAAGCCAGCCTTAGCTGCCCAACTTGCATGATCGTACAAGATATAAATTGAAAGAAGAAACTTTTGTGAAACTCTCACAAAATCAATCCATCTTAAGGTCGGCCTTTTTTCTCCATTTTTCATCTCATTGGTGCTATTAGTAGCATTACCAGTCGTACTACTCGTATGATTTGTTTCTCTTTTTTTCCAATGCAATTGATAGAACTGAATGACAAATTTGTAAACATCCAACAGACTTCCAATCGATTTGAAAAATCGAAATACTTTTCGAGCATCAGAAATTGAAGACTCAAAATTTGAAGTTCTCTTCAACGCTTGAGTATAAAAAGTTTTTGTTTTTTCCAAATCAAACGCTTCATGATGAATGAGAGAATGTGAAGATTCCACATGTTCGGAAATTAAATGTTTCAACACTAATTGTCTTCGAGTTTCAATGGCATATGACACAACTTTTGCTCCATATTGAAGAATTTTGGTGACCCGATCCCTTCCCGATAATGTATCCATGATTTTAACAAATTGGGATAGAAAAATATAAACTGGATGATCCATGATGATGATAAAAGATCAGAAAGAAGAAGAAACGATGAAAGAGAGAGATTGAAAATAATAATAATGGTTGATGAGAATGATTAAGAGGATGAGATGAGGGACAATGGAATTTTTGAAAGCCTGTCGAAATTCTCCGAGAGAATCAGAGGATGATGAATGAAATGGATTTTCGCGTTTTTTTTCTTGAACAATCTTCAAGTGGATCTGTCCACACATGATAATTGAACATGTTTCTAAAAGAGATTGATTCAGAAGAAGGTTATTATTGTTGAAGCAGATGTGAGAGTTGCACGAAGGAAGCATTGGTGACAGTTTATCCTCACACGTGCTCAATTTCGTAACGGTTTTTCCTTTTTGAAAAATTGTGACGCAAAAGGGCGTTCTTTTGCACCTTAGCATTTAAAAAAAAACCGTTAAATCAGTTAGGGAGTGTGACTTGTGGCAGCTGCTGACACCTCTTGATCATTATCATTATTACAATCCACCCTTTGTAAATATCTACCTCCTTCTTGTATAAATATCACACACCTCACGCAAATTGCATCACAGATCACCTCGCTTGACTTTTCGGCATCTCGATTGTGGATGAATATATATATTACAAATATATTTACAACATTACACAGTGAATCATTCACAAAACCACACCTCATCACACCTCAGTCCTCCTCAGAGATTCCTAATCATCATCATATTGATCAATTTTCACATCCTTTCAAAATCAACCCTCATATTTCACACCCTAAATTTTTTTACCGCCAATTGTAGTACAACAACCTTCTTCTTCTTTGTATTGATATATATTGACACAACTATACTTTCTTGTACAACAACAGAAAGCCCTTCTTGTATTCTCTAGTCACTCACCGATTCATTCACTCTCTTAAAAAAAACAACAACACATCAACACTCTTTAATCACTCTCGTTCAAAAGCCTTTGTGACTTAAGCCTTCGTTCTCTTGACTTTCTCCACAATAGAGACTTCACGCTCAAACTTTGTATACGTTTTACCAATTCACATTCTGTGTATTGACTATTGAATAGCTGGATAACAAATCCTATTCTACTGCCTATAGATAGGTTTATACTCTCACACAACATGTTTAAATTATTTGAATTCGATGAAGAAGATTCTCACGAGTGGAGTTCTTCAAATTCTTCCTTCTCCTCCTTCTCCTCCTCATCGTCGTCGTCATTGATTAAAAGCATTCCTCACAAAAGGTCTAACAAGTGGTCGACACCTCATGTCACATTGCAACAAGATGAAGTAGAATATGGTCATGAAGAAGAGAATTCTCGAATTAATCTCTTATTTGCGTTACCTAAGGATGTTTGGACTGAAATATTTTCCTTTTTAAGCACGCATGAAAAGTTGACACAACACGTTTTCATTTGCAAGTCTCTTTATTCATGTGTTTATCAATCGATTACCTCATTGAAATTAATTGGAATTGAGGCAACCAAGGAATCAACCACGGCTCAACAACTGACGGCGAGAAATGCTTACTCGGACGATGACAAGTGGCTGATGATGCCAGATGTCAGTCCTTCTCCGTCAACCTCTGTGACCTCTAATTCCCAAGCAAAATCTCTATCGTATGCTTCCAGAGTGTCGAGTTTGAGAAGAATGAAACAATCAAGACACGACATGTGTTCATCGTCCTCTAGTAATTTAACAAGCTTGTCAGATGTCTACAAGAACGAACAACTTCTTAACGAGAACCCTCTCGTTCGCATTCTTGAACCATTTTCCAAATTGACTCATTTAAGCATTGAATTTTCAAAAGCTCTCACTGGTGAAGTTCTTTCATTGATCCTCAACAAATTTTCCCATCTTGAATCGTTGTCTCTCATTCACTGTAACGAACTAAAATTCATTCACATCACCTTCCCAATGGAAGTTTGTAGTCATTTGAGAAAGTTGGAGATCCGTGACTGCCGTAATATTCAAGAATATTCTGGAGGCATCAAAATTGATTGTCACTTACTGAAACATTTAACCATTACAAGTACTCCATGTGTGCAAGATCGATTTTTGTCCGATCTCATCGAGAGAAATGCAAGCTCATTAGAAACTATTTCAATATTTGGTTTGAATGACTTCTCCAATTTGTGTATGGGAAAAAGAATGAGCAAACTTGAATCGTTGTCACTCCAACGATGTAAGAATTTTTCCAAATTTCACCTCCCCATCAAACAAGTGTGTACTGTATTTCCTGTTCTTAAGGAACTAGATCTCAGCCACACTAAATTCAACGACAACAGTTTTAAGGCATTGACTCATGAACAGCGATTGGATCGTCTTCAAGTTTTGACATTGGAAGGATGTAAACAACTCAAAAAACCAACCTTTGGAGTTTGTAAATCCCTTCACACAATGATTTTCGATCTTTGTATCGACTTGGAAGATGTCACCATTCCATCCGGTCACTGTCCATCTCTTCGAAATCTCAGTGTGAACAATACAAGAATTAACGACAAGGCTCTCGAAAGAATTTTCAATTTTGGTAACAACAGAGGAATACCCATCGAGGAATATCAAAATGGATTGGCGTCGCCTCCGATTAGCAAACTTTCCGCAAAGAAATGCAAGTCAATTTTCAATCCAAAAATTACATCGTATCACTTGGAAGAACTCGATCTTAACGGATGCTTTAATTGTTCCTCGGTGAAAGTTGTGGATTTGAGCAAACAATCACTCAAGAAAATGAATTTGGGATGGACTAAAATATCAGATGAGGATTTGAACAGAATTGTGACGACTTGTCCTTCGTTGACCGAGTTATCACTCAACACGTGTGACAATTTGGTGAATCCTCATATTGAATCACAATCTCTGAGGAAGATTTCATTTACTGGAGCACACTTTTTGCATAATCCTGTATTCAAATTTTGTGACAAGTTGCAGCATATTGATTTCAGAAATTGTGACAATTTAGAAAGCCCAACGTTGGTGCGGAAAAAGAGAGTAAAAACTCAAGAACGCATTAGCTACAATGTTGCGAGAAGACTTAACTTTGATGAGTGTTTGCCATCTGCAAGTAATAACAGGTCCAATGAAAGCCAATCGTCCTCGTCCACACCAATGCAAAAACACACTCCAATTTTGGAAACCCAGGAGGATGACAATGATTACTGTCCATCACCAAATATGCTGCATCCAAAAATGAAAGTGATCGAAGAAGAAGATGACCTCTCTGACAGTAGATTTTGAACTCCATATGGTCTTTGATCTTGGAATAAACATATTCTTCTTACTAAGGTTTGCATAAGAATTGCCATTTTTATTGCTTCTGTAATTTTCACTTTCTTTGAAACAGTGTTTAATTAAATTTTGGTTTTTTACTTTGAGCCTCCATATTTGTTATTTTCATACTTAAATCTTGAATGATTCTATTTTGATCTTCAATCATTCTACTCAATTTTGAAATATCTTCCTTATTTCTTTCAAGCTGATGATATATTTCTTCTAAACGATATCTATCTTCAAACTTTCTCTTCTTAATGAAAGAGTCAATATGTGGCAAATGAATGGCAGATGACGAGTGATCCTCCACGAGAGGATTCGTCGTACTTGCTTCGTCATCGGATCCCAACGTCAGTGCATCAATACTAGGAAGCATTTGTTTTTGAGAGGTTGTCATAGTGCTGGTAGCACTACTACTACTACTGGGTACAACATGATGTTCTGTAGGTGTTAAGGGTGCAGCTCCTGCAATGCTTGAAGCCACATTGGCCAATGACGACAATGGATCCGTTTGTGGCGAAGAACTCGTTTGTGGCGAATAAGAAGCTTGAGAAGTCAAAGGATAAGAGGAAGCATTGCTGCTGTTTGGGGTTGCTCCAGTAGTGTAAGGCACCATTGTCATCATGGAAGGTGAGTGACCTCCTCCAATTCCTTCCTCTCCCATGAGTGTGTATGAAATGGAGGATGCTGGAGTTTTGGAGGTTCCTGTTGTTCCTTTTCCATCACTTTGGTTGGAAAAGTCAACCATCATCATTGCAGACCCTATTTGTTGTTTTTCTGCTGATGTCAAAGAGTCACGATCTTCCTCTTCAAGTGTTGAATTCGAACGTGGACTCGTATTGCTGTATGGAGTGGTCGAGGTTGGAGTGGAGAAGGCATTGGCTTGTCGATGCATGACAATGTTGGGTCCAGCCACTTGATGTGTTTGTTCTCTTTTTCGTTTGGCCAAATCGAGCATCATTTGACTTCGACTTCTTGATCGAACCCAGAAAGCATCTGACACACAGATTAATTTGTTCTTCGAGTCATAGATGTCAATGTACACGACTCTACTGCTGGTATTTCCTTTCATGTTGTTGATCTTTGAAACTACTGGAAATTCGACAAAATATCTATGATTATGATGATCGTATGAGAAGAAGGACTCTGAAACCACTTTTCCTTCTTCATTGTCTCGCAGTTTCAAAAAGCATTTGCAATTCTCAAAGTCATTTCCATGAATGATGATGTGATCTTTGATACTGCAATTGTGAGTGGTGGAATGTGGATGTTTGGTTTTTGGATCATTCAATCGCCATCCCTCCTTGCAATCCATGTAAGCTGGATATCGTTGTTGATAACCTCCCACAAAGTGAAGTGATGGCTTTGATGGGCCCATATATTCATTGTGATGCTGGAGCAGTGGTTGATGTTGGTGGGAAGAATAGATCGGATTTGGCGATGGTGAGGAGGCAGAGGAACCTTGTTGACGCATGAGCAAGGGAGGTGATGCATGATTCGATGAGGTGTATGAAGACGACGATGACGATGCTGATGAGAGATTAGCTCCACCTGTGGTCATGATTGGTTTTGCATTCGTCGATGTGTTTGAGCTGTTTGATAAGGGAAAGGACGTGAGTTGAGAATTCATTTTTTTTTGATGTGTGGTTTGACGTGAATTTCGAATTTTGAACGAAAAGAAAGGAGTTTCAACGTTGAACGAGAGCGGGAGCAAACTCTTGTGCGGACTAGTAAGTGAATGATGAATTGGATTGAAGTGAGTGTTCGAGTGAGAATGAGTTTCTTGCAAGATTTCTTGATGATGAATCAGCTCTTGCAAAAGGTTAGTGTGGATTGGTCAATTAATATTGATTTCGGGCAAAAGGAAGTTTTTTTCTCAGTGAGGGTCAAGAGGAAAAGGTTTTGGAAAATCTGAATTGGAAGCTTGAGAGTTGGTTGTGGTATTATAATAATAGAAGATTGGATCTTCGGAATCCAAATAGTGCTATTTACAATCTTTAAATAGAAAACACAAGGAAAAGAAGAGAAGGCGAACAAACAACAGATGATTCGTTGAGTATTGAGGATGGAGAGAATATTCTCTCGTGAGAATATGGAGAGAGAGAGCAAGAGTTACAAGCAAGAAAAAGAAAAACCTTGACCAGCCGGACACCAATGGAGGGTTCAAAGTTCCGTTGTTTTTTTTTGATTTTCAAAATCGGAACCCAGAGATCAAGACGATTGATGCCATCCAACTTGAATCCTATGGTGATGATCAACCGACAATTCAATTCCATTGAGAAAGACACACCACACGTGTGTGTGTTTGTGCTCCATGTGATCCAGTGATGACGAAGAACGTTGGAAAATGTGGATAAGGTGATGGAGGTTCAAGAATGTGGTTGAAGTCAAGCGGGAAACTCATTCGTCCAGAGAAGAGATCGGATTTCACCTCTTCCGACCACTGTAACGAAAGCAACAACCACAATTATGGAACATTTCGGTAAAAGTGAAGAGAGAGAACACCATGGTGTGACTCCAAGTTGAATACTCGTGAAAATTATACAACCGAGGGATGGGCATGAATCCCGAAAATGGCAAAAAACAAGTTGTTGGTCATTGGAACTGAGACTCTGTTGTCGACCACTCTTAGCCACATTTCGAAATTTATGGAGAAAGGAAATGAACATTTGGAGCATTAATGCTGCGAATAGCTACTTCAAGTTAGAGACGACTCGATTCCTTTTTGAATCCAATAATAACTATAACTGTGAACAACACCATACGTTCTACACCATGTGTGAGTGACTAGTGTGCTCTGATCTTGATGCCTTAAATCGACTTGTCGAGTGGTGACGAGGTAATAATGAATGAATGGCCATTCTCTCTCTCTCTTTTGTAGTTCTGCTGCTTCACAACCTGTTCACCATTCTTTGGCATAAAGCCCTCAAAAACCCTTTCACAATTACAAGGTCACATGATGATAGCTTTCTGTTTCTGTCAAGATGTCCTTATTCCAGAACCCGCCATTTTCGCCTATCATCTCATTTGAACAAGCTTTCCCAAAAACATCTTGCGTGTTATTAAATTTCAATACAAGGTCCTTTGAGCGGTGACAATTACATTTTAAAAAAACGTCAACATCACTCGAGTGTGTGGTGTTCGTCATCAAACCACAACAACACAATCACAACAACAGTGGCCTTCTTCTCCACTTCTCTTTTATCCATTGAACAGACCTATTGACAAACAAAATATATTGTCGACGCGCTCTCGCTCGCTCTCTTCTTCCATTCTGACAGCTCGTTGTTGTTTTCTCTCATTCTGTCAAATTTCAGTGACAACAACAACTCAGATCGCTCTCTCACAGGTTTTTCTCGCTCTCCAATATCAATCGGTTATTGTTTCCGTGTGTGAGTTCCAATAATCCAACAACAAATTGGTGATCGTTCATTGTCCTCCTCCTCAAATCATCATCGTCATCATTCGATTATAAAATAATTTTTTCAAGTCCACCCGTTCAACACACACACTGACAACCTGACAACATCATCCACATCATCCTCCTCCTCCTCCTCATAACACCCTCACACTACTACTACTACTACTACTACATCATCATCATCATGAAAAACACTCTTTCTTCTCTCTTTAAAAAGGGTGATAAAAAGTCATCATCCAGTCCCTCACCACCAGGAGAGTCCTCTCAACAACAACAAACAGATTCCACCTCCACAGCCATGACCTATTCAAGCTCTGATTTGAGTCTTGGAGGAGGAACTTATTCACCAACCACTGTGAATGGTGGTGGTGGTGGTTCACTCCATCATTCCAACTCCTTCTCGGGTGGTGGACTTGTTGCAACTCTGGAAGGATCACTTCCTGAGAATTCACAAATATGTTATGGTACCATTCAAACTCCATTCAATATGTTTGAATTGAATAAGAGAATGTATCAATTGAATAGTAGCCATTTGTTGAACAAATTGTCAAATCCTTCCACACCCAACTCGAGAAATAATTTGAAAAATCTCAATGGTGGTGGTGTTGGTTCGAATTCAAACGCTTCCACTCCTCGTATGAGCAATAATAGTGGCAATTCTTCTCCCAATCTCTCGGCATCGAATTCCACAGGAGATTTGAATAAGAATACATCACAACAATTTACAATTACACCAACATTGTTGATGGGTAAGAGAAATGAATTGAATAAGACTAGTCTGTCTGATAAGAGAAACTCTTCGGTCTCTCCCATTCCAGAAAATGCTCGAAGCAGTTCTCCTCTTGTCACTTCTTCTACCAACAACAATTCTTCTAATAGACTATCTCTCAAAAAGAATCAATTGGAAACAACTCAAGAGAATTCGACTGCTGTTTCAACAACATTTGTGAAATCTTCATTGAGTGATCATGAAAAACTTATTGAACTCATTGTGAGTTTCCTCGTTCCACATAAGGATTGGATTAAATCTGTATCAAACAAGGCTGAAATCTCTCACATTCGAACAGTTTCCTTGTTGAATAAGAAATGGAATCAGTTGTACTTGTCTTGTCAAAGTGAAACAGTGAATCAATTATGGAATGCCTTGATTGTTGAATTGAATAATTGCAATGGTGATAGTGGTGGTAACTCTGAAACAGATACTGCTGCCAGTGATCTTGCCACAAGTAAGAAGTTTATTCGAATGTGTAAGTTACAATTATTGTTTGCTTGTGGTGACTAGTTTCATGATCTCATTCTGTATGTTCTTTTTCAACCTTATGATAACAATGATCATCATCATCATCATCACACCATGGTACTATTTGAATTTCCATCTTTGTGAATCTTGATTGACTCTTTCCATTTATTGTTTCTCTTGGCCAACTGATACTTGACATGTCCAATCATCTCATGCCCCAATGTGGACAACATCAAAACATCAACTGGATTCCACCTTCTGAAAAATGAATGAACTCAAACCATCATCATCTCTTACCACCACAACTACTCCAACTACTCCTATTACTTCCTCCTCTCCATCCACCTCCTCCCCAAATTCAACACAACCACTCGTCTCCATTCTTCAACGACCGGTTCGTTTTGGACGGCGACGTGGCATTGCGAAATCAACTTTGTGTCCTCCTTCTTCATTATTGCAATCCTCTAATGAACGACGTCATTCTTCGAAATGTAATGACCATGATAATTTCTCCAATTCTTCTGATAACAATAATTCGGACGTGGCTCGGTCCAAAAATGGAAATGACGAATCGTCCTTGACACCCACCACTCTTTCCTCAACTTCAACCACAACTACAACCACAACTTACTTAACAGACTGCAAGCTGAACAATCTCAACCAGAGCAATCCATCCACACCAACCATTGGTTCTGGAACCATCTCTAAAGGATCTGCTAGAAAAACCAAACCAATGGAAACCTTCAATCCACAAGACTTTTACTCGATTGATCTTTCACAACTGATTTATCAGGAAGATCCACCAGAAAACATGGTCATTGTGGATGGACAAATTGAGCATGCATCATTGAATAAGCTTATCGAAGAATTGACCTCGCATGTGAATTATGATATTCACTTTTTGCATACATTCATGTTGACATTTAGAAACTTTACAGATAAGGAAACCATTTTCAAAAAGTTGGAAGAGAGATTCAACTATCCACCAAACTGTCCTCCAGAAGAGTTTGCTACATTTAAACGTGAAGTTCTGGATAAGATTAGATTGAGAATTATCAATTGTATCAAATATTGGATTGAAAACTTTTTCGTTTTCGACTTTGACAATGAAATGATGCAAATTTTAAATCGATTCATTGAAATGGTCAAGAAATCCAACCAAAATGCTTTGGCATCAGTATTGGAGAAAGCAATTGATCGTGTGAAAAACAACGATTCAGGAAAAGTCATTACTCAAGTCAAATGCCCAGAAGTTCTCAAATTGAAAAAGGGACTTTTCAATAAGAAGAAGGAATATAATATTCTAGATTATCCATTGCTTGAAGTTGCTCGTCAAATCTGTCTCATCGACTATGCCATGTTCAAAACTATTGAACCTAAAGAATGTTTGAACCAAGCTTGGAACAAGGAACATCGAGTCACCAAAGCTCCAAATATTTCTAAAATGATTCAATACTTTAACTTACTTTCAGGTTATGTGGCAACAGAAGTGTTGAGACCAGAACTTGAATTAGAGAAGCGAGTGAAAACTGTTGAGAAATTTTTGGAATTGGCCAATCACTGCAAGAGTTTGAATAACTTCAACGCTGTCTTCAGTATCATGAGCGGTTTGAACTCATCCGCTGTTCACCGTCTCAGTAAAGTGTGGGATGCCATTAGTGAAGAATCAAAAAAGATTAGAGAAGACTTGGAATATTTACGTCAAGGTAACAACTTTTCCAATTTGAGAAATGTTCTCAAGAATGTGAATCCTCCTTGTGTGCCATTCAACGGACTCTTCTTGACCGATTTGACATTTATCGAAGATGGTGCTCCAAAATATATTAATGGATTGATCAATTTTGGTAAATGTAGATTGTTTGCAAAGGTAATTCGTGATATTCAGACCTATCAAAACACAAGATATAACTTTGAGGAATATCCTGAATTGAAGGAATTATTGCTTGGTATTTCTAAATTGAGTGATGACGAATTGTTCAACTTGTCACTTCAAATTGAACCTAGAAAGCAAAAGAAGAAGAAGGCAACAGGGGCATCCTCTACAGCTGGAGCTTCTGCATCCCTGACTAAAGATGACGATGATGATGACAAGCAAAAACCAGCCATGGATCTTTAACCTTTCATGATAAAACTCGTTGTATTTTAATCATCGAATGTGCTCAAATGAATTTCAACCACTTTTCACTAGTTCTCAATGAACCGCCCCTTCATCCTAACAGGTTTCGACAAGTGTGGAAGTGTTACTTGAAATTTTTTGGGGTGTAAGAGAGGCCATGACCGTCTCTCTGTCCAATACTTGGTCTCGCGAGTCCAAAAAAAAATTAAGGCGAATTAAATTGTTTGACCCAAAGATTAGAGTTGAAAATTATACTTCCGAACGAGTTCGTTACTTGGCTCCTTGCACAAATACTTTGATCAAGAATTCTGAGAGGATGAAATATGTCAAGTTTAGTTTCTAAAAGATTAGCCAATTTGGTTGCTCTTCCTTGTTACTCTTTTATCAAGCGTTGTTAGGTTGACACGGAAATTATATCTTTAAAAAAAAAGAAAAAAAAATGCAAGCCTTGTTTCAGGGCATTTCCTTCACGTGGAATTGGCTGACTGGACAAAGTAAATTATTGTTCTTTCAGGAAGAGGATCGTTTGGAATCCTCTAAATTGAGAAGCAGAGTTGTTTCGGAGGATGATGAAAATTCTTTATTGAAACTCTCACTTTCCGAAGAGGCATTGAAAGAGAATTTTGATTATTCATTCAAGACATGGATGATGTTGGGAGTGTTTTTGAGAGAGAATCATCAATGGGAACAGGCTGAAAGGGTATTCAAGAAGGCCATGCAAATGGTTGAAGAAAGTGCAAAAAGGATGGAAAATTCTGAAAATGCCTTTTCTTCATCATCATTAACTTCGCCAAATGTGTCTTTATTGCTTTTGGAAATGGCGCGAAATTTGGAAAAACTTGGAAAGATTGAACAAGCGATCGAAAAATTGGAAAAAGTGATTCAATTAAATGTCTCAAAACAAGACAAAGTTGATGCTCTTGCTGAACTCGCTTGGATTTATTTGAGCGATGAAAAGTTTGAAAAAGCAAGATTATTCATTTCACAAATTGAGGAACTTGGCAATGAGGACAAAAGAACAAGACAATTAATTTCTCATTTGCTTGGAAATTATCATTTATCAATGGGAGAACCTGACTTAGCATTACAACATTACGAAAAGACTGTCGAGTTAGATTCTACGTGTGTCGATGCATTGGCCGTTCTTGGAGACATTTACTTTCATCATAAAAAAGAAAAATCAAAGGCAAGAACATTATGGGAACGTGCATTCACAATTGATCCATTGAACAATAGCATTTCACATTACAAATTATCAAATATTATTATGAAAGAAGACAAGAATTACGAACGAGCAAAATCAATTCTAGATGCTGCATTGAAAGTGGATGCCAAAGATGCCAACTCAAATTATCTCATGGCGTTTTGTCTTGACGAGATGCAATGCGAAGCTAAAGACGTGGTCATGTTTCACTATTCTGAAGCCATGCGTTTAGAATGCCAAAAGAAAAATCTCTTTGTTCGATTTAGTGACTATTTGGTGCGTCTTGGCAAATACGAATGGGCGATTGGAATATTGAATACTGGTATGAAGCTAAAACCAAAAGAAACCATCACTTTCCTGTCCTTACGTGAGAAAATTTATGAAACCACGAAAAACTATCAAAATGCTCTCGACGACTGTGAGTTATTGTTAAAACTCATTTCACAGACAGCCATTTCAGGTTCTTCTTCAGTCTACAATACCACTCATGCAACACAAATGAGTAGAGACGAGGTACAGGAACGAGTTGCAACTCTTAAACAAAGGCTTTAGTCTTAAAAGGAAGCGTGAAAACATAGATGTATGTTGTTTTACTTGGAAATGGCAACTTAAATTTAAAACAAAAAACGCAAACATGAAAATATGTTGGTTCTTGACCTATATTCACCATCATGTGAAGAATCAAAGCAATGGAATAAGAAGATGCTTATGTCTTTAGCCTTGCACAAAATCAAATATCGAATAGAAGTTTTATTCATCCCTGATTTATTGTACAAGTGATCCAACATTTGCAATCATGCAGACATAATGTTCACTGAGGTCAATTCTTGCTCTTTGATCGCTACTGGTGTCTTCTTGGTTGCTCGTCGGGATTTCAACTTGATGACAAAGACAACGACAAAACAAACCATGACAACGCCAATAATCAAAAGTCCCAATGGTAAAATGAACCACAAAAAGGTAAGGGAAGTTTCTGTTTTGGGTGGCAAAATTTGTGTCGAGTTGTTTCCATAGTGAATACTGTTGTGCTCGCAATTGTCTCCGTAATAATTTGATCTGCAATTGCACAGATTCAAAGCAGCGCATGTTCCAGATCCTGAACACACGTTACTGCTATTACTGAAGACTCCAAAACAAGTGGTGACAGAACAGTTTACACCAGAGTAATGACTATCGCAGGTACAGTTATTAGTTCCTGAACAATTTCCATGTCCATTGCACACCCGAGCATCCGATGCAATCAATCCAAAGCATTGAATGAGTCCAGTGTTATTGTTTGTGTTGGTGTCGTTGTTGGAAGAGTTACCACAATTAATACAGTCCGTGACAAGAATGGAACAATTAGCACCAGAGTAATTGGAATAGCAAGTACAATTGTCAGTACTAGAGCAGCTTCCATGCCCATTACAAACTAGACTATCTGTTGCATTCAAACCAAAGCATTGAATAGACGTGTTGTTGGATGGAGGAGGTGGAGGTGGTACAAAAATTGTGTAATTTGGTAAACAGGTACAATTATTGACATCTACGCAACTTCCATGACCTCTACAAACAAAAGGGTCCAAGTAGTGTATTCCAAAACATGAAAAGGATTCACATTCTTGGCCTAAAAAACCTTGATTGCATGAGCAAGTGTTGGGAGAGGTGCAATTACCACGACCGAAACAAGCTCGACCGTAATCACCGAATCCTTGCACTGATGTCTTGTTCCAACAAAGAGGAATACCACAATCAGGTCCAATCCATCCAGAAGCACACACGGAATACATTCTTCGAATTCTATAGCCTTCAAAAGTTATAAATTCATTTCTTTGGGAAGACCATGCAATGCCTTTCACAGACCTTAGTGGTGTCTCTGTTGCTTTTGCATTTTCCGTATCTTTTATTACACTCAATCATTGATTCATTCTCAGTTGTTTATAAACCAACGAATACTTACTTGTGCCATATGATCCTGCCACATCATAGACAGCTCCATCGGCCCCAATCTTTTTGATATAAGCATCCTGATTTCCAAAATACACTTCATTGCCGATGGGTGCTGCCCATCCTGACGCAGAATACTGCCATTCACATTATGAATACGATCAAAGTGAAAAATCATTTCAATCACATACCGATATTCCAGGCGCAACGGTTGTAATGTTCTGAGTTTGAATGTTGTACACTCTAACTTTGTTGAGATTGTTGTCAACAAAATACATTAAGCCGTTGGAGGTAATCGCTAGCGAGGTTCCTTCATTGGATGTTAATCTCTCACTGTTTTGTTTGAAAAACACTTACCAACAACTCCAATCTTTCCATAGGATGAATCGACCAATCAATAACTTGACATTAGAAATAACTTCCCGATGCCATTGTACCAGGAATGTTATCACTCGTTGATGATCCTCCTCCTACAACAGTATAAACCTTTCCATCAACTTTGGAGATCTTTCTTATAAGCCTACCGCCTGTGGAATAGTACATCTCACCGTTATAGAAAGCAACCGCACGAGGTACCATGACGCCACAAACCAAGGGATCCGTTCCATCTGGGCAGTCGGAATATGACATATCACTAGCTACCAAAGAAATAATTCCAGTGCTTTTGGATACCTTCTTAATCTTGTTCGCTCCTCCTTCTGCAATATAAAGGTTTCCATTCTCATCCAAGGCAACGTTTGAAATCAAGTTAAATAAATCTTTTTCGATTGAGATATATGCTGCTTTTTCGAAGAACAATACAAATTCTTACCTTGCAAGTGTTGCTGGTCCATTTAAACCCACATCAGGTGCTGGCTAGGATGCCACATTGCATTGGCCTTTACAAACGATCAAAACTTGAAAAGTGTTCATTCACCAACCACTTACCTGCAACAGTTCTAATAGTTTGACTTGTCATATTGTAAAACTTGACACAATATGAATCAGATTCACTGTATTAAAAATTGCCATCACTGTCCATCGTCTGTCCATAAATACCACTAACAAAAGATTGTTTTGCGGGGTGATCGTTAACATAGAGCTTGGATGAATCGATGATAGAGCTTAGATACGTTCGATTGAACTTTCTAATCTTGGATTGAAATGCCTCTGAGAAATAAATGGTGCCATTACTGTCGACGGCAAGTCCTCTGGGATACATAGACAGGCTAACTGACGAACCAGATGAAACAGGACCATCCTCTTCAATAGTGGGGCAGCATGACTTCATTCTTTCTTTGCGATGCAATAAATAACTTACCTGTGATAGAATTGGAGCCTGTACCTAATACATCGGAAAATGTGCCTGCTGAGTATTTTGAAATATAACCTCTCCTACAGTTGAAATCATGTCATTCATTTTCATGTGCAATGAATCTTTGAGGATTACTTACTGGGTGACGAACAAATCTCCGTTACTTGTTAAAAAGTGTTTTGCAGGCGAATCCAGATTTCCTACTCCACCTGTTCCAATCAAAGTGTTCACTGTGGTGTACATTCCATTACTCTTGTTGATTTTTCGTACCCTTTGAGTGGAATCTACAACTAAAATGTTTCCTTGGTTATCCTGATCCATAAAGGGTAAGGAATTTAAATGTATTGCTGACACTTACAATTAAGAGGTCTGGTAAGAAACCGAACTTGGTTGTCCAGTACCATAAAGAGTCGAAACACGGTTGTTGATGAGATCTACCTTTCTGATTCGGTTAAAGTCATTGAAATACAGTTGCGTTCCGCTTGGATCCAACAACAAGCCATCTCCTCCTCTCATACCTGCTAGTTCAGTTGGAATGTTATCTCCTCCTTTCCAAAATCCATCCACTCCCTTAAACGTTGTTCAATGAATATAAATTCATTAATAAAGCTTAAAGTCGTGAGAGTCCATTTGAACTTACACTTCCAACTAATGTTTCCATATACCATTCAGAAAGAGCATGTACTAATGGCATTGCAAGAAAGAGAAGACAAAGTCCACTCAGAAAACCCCAACAAACCAGGGTTGAGCCAAGCTGGTGAGCTGGTCTAGGTGTCATCGAATTCGATTTTTAAAGTTTGGAGATGAGAAAGCGGTCTGAGCTCATTTCCAAGAGTAGTAGTACAGCAGCTATTGTCGAGTCGTCATGGCGCCTCGTGGTTTCGGCAATGTCATTTTTGTACTATTTCATAAATTATACACCCTTAATCGCGCATTGAGCCTATGGATTTATTTGGGTATCCCACGCCAAACCATGATACTTGTCCGTTAAGGAACGATAATCAACTTTGATTGCGTTCAGAAAATAAATTGCGTTCGAATACTTATCATTTGCTTGTTTATCGTAACGGTTGAGAATAAGACACTTGTTTGATATTAATTGTTGCTCTCGAGCCCCTCTGCCAGATCTTAGCTTGACTCCCTATCATATTAGTTCTTTGATGTGCCTAAATGCATCACTACAGGGGATGAATATTTAACAGGGGTAGACAAGTGTCGATAGAGTGTCTGAGGAGGAAATGTTACAATGTTGTTGTTGGTTTGTTAATGAGGGACAAGATCCAATGTTCACAAAAGAATCAAACTAATCTAATCTTGGTCATTCGTGTTGGTGATAGAGTTCGACACGACCACTGTTTCGTAGTCTGGGCAATTGGAACCTTCTCCGATCGATGGATCTTGTGAGAATTTCATCATCAAATAAAAAAATGCAAAACACATCATCAAATGTTCAAGGCTCGCTTCCAACGAGCAACACCACCAATCCATCCTCTTCATCGGGTGGTGGTGGTGGTGGTACATTCTTTTCATCCAACACCATGGTGAATGAGAAAGATATTCAAAATGTACCAAAAGATGCCATCATCATTGAAAAGATTTTGCAAAGTATGGGAGTTAAAGAATTTGAACCTAGAGTTACCGAACAATTGTTGGAATTAGTATATAGATATGTTTATGAAGTTATTGAGGATTCATTTGTGTATATGGATCACGCAGGAAGAAGTGATCTTGATTTGGAAGATATTCGATTGGCGATTCAATCAAGAGTCAATCATTCATACACGGAGCCACCACCAGTAGAAGTAAGTTATTATTAAACACGGGAATGAGTTGAATTATATGCGAATGGTGGTTGCGCGAAATGTTCTTTTCGGAACGACTACGATTACTTAATTTTATGACGGATACCAATATTGTTGTTATTGTTACGATTAATGTGATTTTCAACTCTCGCTGGTGTCGAATTTGATTTTACCAATAATTATTCCATGATTCCCAATAGTTCCTTCTCGAAGTTGCAAATCAAAAGAATTCTCAGCCAATTCTACTCCCTAAGAAACCACGTGTATTATTACCTCCTCAACATTTATGTCTTGCTAACAGAAATTATCAATTTTCCAAAACACCCACAACTGAAGAGGGAATCGCTGCAAGAAAGAAACGAAAACAAGTTACTAACACAACAAGTTTAACAACAGATTTGAATGGCGGAGCAACCTCAACGAACATTGATAATACAATGCAAGATGACGACGTTTCTGCCTCCTCCGCCAACATTGGAGCACAAGAAAGCATTGTTGACACTAATCTACCAGCATCACCATCCAATGAATAGATTGGTAAATGGTTTATTATTGTTTCCGCTCTAAAATCTGAATGGATTGGATGCATGTATCCAAATTATTTTTCTCAATGGCAACAACATCATGACCTATTCATGGTCAACCATTTATCAGTCAGTCATTCTCTCAACCTTATTCAATGTCAGTCATGAGCATCATCTTTGTCTGATTCATTCAAATAAATTATTTTAATGTGAATGAAATAATGCAAAAAAATGCCTGGAATCCAAATCCTGAAAGGACGTAAACCTGTGCGAGCTCTCGCGTTCAATCCTAAAGGAAAGTTAGCGTGTGGAACGGTGGAAGGAAATTTGAAAATATTTAATGATTTTCACGTTGCTGAATCGGAGTCCTCTGTTCAAGTATCAGCTTCCAATAATCCGAGAGTATGTGTGGTGATCATGTGTTTTATTAATTTATTTTTAAATTAATAACAAAATATATTAATGATTCAATATTCACTACGGATGATGATACGTAAATTTGAATGGATTAATTTTATGGATGCCTAATATTATGTCTTTGCTCCGATCACATCATTCACATCCTTCACATCATAACAAAATTATGTCATGATTGATTGTCTCGAAATAGCAGCAACCTTCCTCAACACCATCATCCTCATCATCACGAGAAATTGACATCAAAGGATCAAATCGTGGTGATGTTACAAAAATTAAATTCAATCCCTGTTGTAGTCATCAATTAGCTTGTATCACTTCAAAAGGTTAGTTTTTAATAATTGAATGAAAGAACTCAGTATCACTTCAAAAGGTTATATTCGAATCTTTGACACAAAAATTACAAGTTATAATGGAGGAGAGTCTATTGTACATCTCATGGTTGGTGACACTCCTTTAAAACATCTTGATTGGTGTTGTAATGGATTGAAAATGGTCGTTGTTGACAATAAGAATTCAATTTACATTTATACCATCAAACAAACTCATGCAACAAATATTGGAGAAATTACAACATCATCTAGTTTAGTGATTAAAGATCGAGGAGTATTCCCTTATGACATTACAGATATTAAATGGGATAAAAAAGGAAATACATTGTATATTGCAACAGGAATTGGAAAAATATTTTGTGTGAATGATGAAAAGGAAAAAATTTCTGCATTTGTGACTTCAAAAATTAATTCACCCTCCGTTTCAACACAACCCTCATCTGCACCACTGCTGTCTCAGAAATCATTGGATGGAAAAAGTAATGCAATGGATACTTCATCAGATTTTGAAATTCAGTCAACAACCACATCATCCTTGAATAATTTCCTGACAACAGACTCATCTCAATTTTTAGTGAGTAAGGGAGCTTTGACAAGCATGGATATTTCGAGTGATGAGAGGTATCTGGTGGTTGGGTCTGAGGACTCAGTTGTTTCCATTTTTGAATTTCCTGAATTAATATGTGCACACACTTTCTCAGATATGAATTCATTGGTGGTGTGCGTTTCAGTGAGAGCTCAAGTTGGCACTAATCCCAACACTTTTGCAAGATCTTCATCATCATCGCATGGCTATAATCTGTTTTTGCCTCCAGTGATGGCTTGCTGCACAAGAAATGAAGAAAAACGAAGCTACATGCTCTATGTGATTAACTTGATCGATGGCACCCCTCTCATGAAGAAAGAAGTTAGCCAAGTGACACAAATACAACTGCACCCTTCCATGAATTATATTGCTTACATACAAGATGGCAGCACTGAAGTCATGGTTGAAGAATTCGCATGCTAATTCTCGAATCGTACTCGAGTCAACGCTTATTTATTCTGTCTACATTTTTCTAGGAATGCAGAAAAGAAATCTTAATATCTCGATTATTTCCTCTCTCTTAATAAATTATTCGACCTCAAAGTCACCTTCCAAAGCACAATAGCTGCTATCATAGATAAATCCAACCAATTCATCACTCTCTGGGAAATCTGTATGTTTCTTACCACTGAAAATAAGCCATCCAAGTTCATATTCAGTGTTATCGTCACACACATGAATTCCACACAGCGTACCATTGGGAGCTCGGTATTGTACACATTCCTCGGGGTGCTTTGAGCTTAACAATTTCATCACGGAGTCATACTCGCTGGCGTCAATCAGTTGTAAGTTACCCCCTAACTTGTTATCGTCATCATCACAGTCAGAGCCAAACTCTTCGTCACTTCCACGATAATCTTCGTCTTCATCCTTTTTCTTCTTCTTGGACTTGGATTTATACAATTTGAGCTCCTTCTGAACTTCAGAGCTAGATCCAGAGTGCCACGACCAATCATATCGATTGACATAGACGATTTGCTTGTCCTCATGGCTCTGTGCAAGTGAGATACCAACAGTAGCACATCTCTCGAGCAATTCCTTACCAGAAATGTCTTCATGATGAATAATAAATCCACCCACCCAATTCTCCTCTGGATTTACAAATCTCTCAACAACCCATTTGCCCTTGCGAGCTGCAGCTCGATAACAAAATTCACTTTGTAAAATGGTCCCACTGAATCCGGAATTGGTTGGCCCATTCACACCATCATGAGCCTTTGTTTTGCTTCCTCTGATCATACACTGCACTTGTCCCCACAATATTTCTCCCGAAGTACATTCAAAAGCATGAGTACACGGAAATTTCATTTTGATCTTTACTGCAGGCTTGATGTTTGTTTTTGATTCATGAACTTTCTTGTTGGTTGAGTCAGAAGAAGAAGTTGTGGTGGCAGTTTCCTTCTTCTTATTCGTTGGGGATCTCTCTTTTGGCATTTTTTTTCTTGTTTGAACTTGAAATTTTACTAGCATTACAAAAAAATTATATCTGGTTAACCACGAGAACAACTATTGTAAAATTCCACTTCGCTTTCTAAAGTTGGGAGATGTCAATGTTTGCATGATGGAAATGAGAGTGGTTTGTCGAATTCCAGAAATCATGGAAGCCTCTCTCAATGTTTTTGGTTTGTATCTCATTAATTTCACTCTTTCCTCGGTAGTGATGTGTGGGAATATTCCCTTCTCTCCTAATTGATCGTACAGTTCTGAAGGTAATGCCAAATGTTCCATTTTAGATAATTGTTCAATATCGTGTTCGTATTGATCGTAGTATTGGAAATATCGACATTCAGAAATGATGGTTTGTTCGTCTCTTCTCGATTGTTTTGCTTGTTGAATGGATTGAAATTCCAATTCCAGTAAATATTGTTGTTGATGTTGAACATTTCCCAGTGGTGGTGGTTGTGAATCAAGTAATTTTGAATTTTCTTGTTCATGATCAAATTTACCAATCATCGTCATTTCTTCTTGTTCAGCATTTGTGTTGCCTAAGGTGTAGTCATATATAGTTGGCATATATTCAGCTACTTCACTCAAATGTTTAAAATCAATGTCACGAAGACTAGTGACATGTTGTTGTGCAATAATGTCAGCAATCGATTTCTTTTTTCCAATATCAGTTCCAACAGAAAAATCCTTTAAATTTAAAATTGAATTCCACATTTTTGGTGTAAATTGAATCGAATGACACATATTGAGAGCACGAGTAATTCTCTCTTTTCTTTGCACTGCTTTTTGATATCGTTTCTCAGACACACTTGAACCAGTATCGAGAGAATTATAATATTCTTCATTGTTCATATCATCCTCAGGAGTGATCCAGTTTCTTATTGGAGCTATGTGGTGTTTCTTCTTTCCTTCCACATGTAAACTTTCCAATCCATGTAAATATTTCTTTTCAGTCAATCTCAAATCAGCATTATCTGCTCTCAACATTAATCGATATTCAGATCGTGATGTAAATATTCTATAGGGTTCGTCCACACCTCGTGTCACTAAATCATCAATCAAAACTCCAATATATGCCTCCGATCGATCCAAAATAAATTCTGAATTATCCTGACGAGCATATATTGCTGCATTAATTCCTGCAATAATTCCTTGAGCTGCAGCCTCTTCATATCCTGTAGTTCCATTGATTTGACCGGCCAAAAAGAGTCCCTTACATTTTCTCGTTTGAAGAGTGTGAGTTAATTCCACTTTGGGTGAAACAAAATCATAAGCGACCGCATAACCAGGTTGTAACATGTGCACGTTTTCGAGACCTTTCATGGTACGTAAAAACTCGAGTTGTTTCTCTGGAGGTAAACTTGATGAAATTCCATTCGGATAAATCACATTCGAGTAGTGATCATAGGGCACATTTCTACCATCGGAATATTTGGGAAGTATACCTTCAGGTTCTAACCAAATACGGTGTGAAGTTCTTTGAGGAAATCGAGTGACCTTAATTTCAATGGAAGGACAATAACGAGGTCCATTTCCAAAGCGTACCTCATCTGCCAATGCATTGCAATTGTTAAGAATAATTTCATGTGTACGTTCATTCGTTTCAGTCTCATAACACATCATGTGAGGTTGATCGTGTGGTACTCGAGTTCCATAAAATGTATTCTCGTCATGCATGTAGGAGAAGGGTTCAATAAATTTGGCTGAGGGCTGTTCGACGAGTTTGGACCAATCGATGGATTCTCTGTGAAGGCGTGGAGGTGTTCCTGTTTTCATTCTTCCCATTTCAAATTGAAATTCCTTGTAAAAACAGTCACTCAAACTTCCACAGGTGCGTTCTGTTCCAATCTCGCTAATTCTTCCTCCTGCAAAACGAACAGTATTTCCAATATGAATTTCTCCTCTCAAAAATGTTCCTGTTGTTATGACTACAGATTTGGCACGAATTTTTGTACCATCTTTTAGAATGACTCCACGAATTTCACCATTTTCATGTAATATTTCATCCACACTTCCGCTAATAATTTGAAATTTATCAGGATATCGTTTTGTATACTCAGTCAAGATTTGTTGCATTTTCGTTCTGTACATGTGACGATCCATTTGTCCTCGTGGTCCATAAACTGCAGGTCCTTTACTTTGATTCAACACGTTGTAATGAATCATTGCGTAATCACTCACAACACCCATCAAACCTCCCAAAGCATCCACTTCCTTCACTAAAATTCCCTTTCCAACTCCACCAATCGATGGATTACAGGAAAGAACTCCAATAGTATCCGAGCTGTGTGTCACCATGAGAGTAGTTGCATTGTGAAAGAGAGCAGCATGAGCAGCTTCACATCCCGAGTGACCACCTCCTACCACGATGGTGTCGAAAAATGTTGGATGTGTTCGGAGGGTGGTGGAAGATTTTCGAAGAGAGGAAGAAACGGAATGCTTGTTGTTCTTCATATGGTCATGTTGTTGAGTGGCAGAATGATAGGAATCCATATTAATGGTATTGGAAGGATGCTGTTGTTGTTGTTGTTCGTGGTGATTGTGATGATCTGTTGGAAGAATGGAAGTGGAGTGAAAATTCCGAGATGTAGAAATGGGTTTGTTTATATTCAAACCATTAGAAGAATGAGTTCTTTTTGAGAAGTGTGTTGTGGTAGTATGTGTTCGGTTCAGAGCACTCGATTCCGGGAAGAACGAGGTGCCTCCTTTGTAGAGGTGAAAAGGTCGCTGCAGAAGGATTCTTTTCATTTTTTGAAATCGTCGAAAGACTTGCTTCAATCAATTCATGAACGGTTGGATTCGAAGAAACATGAAAGGAATGGAGTTTATGGCTGTGGTATACAAAAGCAAATTCAAAGATAAGATGAAATGAGAGAAAATATTCCATTGTGATCCAGCCAATATTATGATTCTTTTCGAAAACCTGTTGGTGATTGTGTTTTTGCTGCTTGGGTTCTGAGAGAAGTCAATCCAACACAAGGACATTGCAATTCATTGTAAAACGCAAAATTGAGGTTGACTTAGGAAATTTGTCTTTTTCGAAAAAAAAATAACGCCAGAACTCCATAACGTAAGTCTTTCACTTTCTCTCTATTTTTTACCAACACTGCTGTTGAAACTGCACCGGTGCAAAACACCTTCTTATCTTCCCACAGAATGCCACCAAAAGCAGATCCATCAGAAGTTAAAATCTTGTACTTGAGATGTTTGGGAGGTGAAGCCGGTGCTACCGCCACCTTGGCTCCAAAGGTTGGTCCTTTGGGTCTCTCTGCCAAGAAGATTGGTGACGATATTGCAAAGCTCTCCAAGGACTGGAAGGGTCTCAAGATTACCGTCAAATTGACCATTCAAAACAGAAATGCCGAAATTGAAATTGTCCCATCTGCATCATCATTGGTCATCAAGGCTTTGAAGGAACCACCAAGAGATAGAAAGAAGGTCAAGAACATTAAACACAACGGTAACTTGTCTATGGAAGATGTCATTGGTATTGCAAGGACCATGAGATCAAAGTCTTATGCTAAGGACTTAGCTGGTTGTGTCAAGGAAATTTTGGGAACATGCTACTCTGTTGGTTGCACTGTTGCTGGTGAGAATCCAAAGACTCTCCAAGAACAAATCACCAATGGAACCATTGAATACAAGATTCCAGACCAATAAATTATAAAATCATTATTTCATTCACTTGGTTTCATTCTTTAAGGGTAGAGTTGTTAATTTTGGTGGAAAATCTAAAGATGGGCATTTACTTGGTCGTGAATTGGCTTGTTTGAGGAAAACCTCTTGCTTCTTCAATTCTCCTTCGAAAAGCAAAGCAGTTGATAATATTGATCCAAATCAATCCGTCTCTGCGATTGAGAGAGTGTGCCACAAACATCTACACAGCAAACGAGTGTTTGGAGAATTGACTCGAAAACGGCGAAGTTGCACCTCAAAAAAATATGATAAAGAAGCTCCTGCTTTCGGGCCATCATCAAGGAAGCACAATATTGTGTGGTTCATCAACAAGACTATCATCAACAACACCATCATTAATTTTATTCAATCAATGTTGCACCATCAACAAGTCGAGGCAATTTCACTACGGAAGAATAGTCTTTACTCAGTCATCTTCAGAGGATGATCAATCTTCAGCCCATCCTTTCCGTTTCTTACAAAGAGGATTGAAATTAGCTTCTCCTAAACTGATAATCTTGATGGTACGTGCGAGAGATTTTCATTCATAATGGTGAAAACAAAATTTATTTATTTGGAAATTACCCGTGTGAAACTATTACAATTTTTAATATAACTTGCACTCTGCGAACCAAACTATTTTCTTACCATAATCTTCCGAATTTTCCTTCAATAGGGCCCTCCTGGAGCCGGCAAAGGAACACAGTCTCGTCTCATTACTGCTGAGTGTCCTTCTTATCATATCATCTCTGCGGGTGATACACTCAGAGAGGAGAGCCAGACCAATCCTCAACTTAAAGAATTGCTCGCAAGTGGAAAATTGGCCCCTGAGGAAGAAACAGCCAAATATCTCTTGAAGAAAATGAATAGTATTTACAAGGAATATTATGAAAAATATGTAACATCAGTGACAACACCATCTACTTCTGGTCACGTTGATAAGGAAGCAGCAGCAACAATACCATCAACAACAACAGATTCTGCATCTTCAACAGATCAACAAAATTTACCAACCAAGGACGGATCAACAGAATTGCCTTCAGCAACAACTGTTGAACAACACGTTCCCTCTCCTAATTTCATTCTTGAGGGCTATCCTCGTAATATCGTTCAAACCAAACAGTTTTTGACCTGGTTCACAGGTGGAGACATTCATTTCTCTAAACATCATACCATCATTCTTCATTTATTGGTTGATAAGGAATGTATTAAGGAAAGATTGAGAGGAAGACTTATTCATGACAAAAGTGGACGTACTTATCATGTTGAATTTAGAAAACCAAAGGTGGACTCACTAGATGACGCAACAGGAGAACCTCTTTCAAAGAGAGACGACGACTTGAACGACGAAGCCATTGCAAACCGAATGGAAACCTACAAATCTCAAACATTACCCACTTTGGAATTGTTGATTGACAATGAATTTGAAGTTGTCGACGTTACTGCTATTGAGCAAGATATTGAGAAGGTGAGATCTAAATTATTTCGCAACTTGATCGAAAGAGGTTATTTACCAAAACCAAAAACCAGCTCCAGTAGTACTAGTGCTGGAGGAACCACTCCTGCCTCTCCACAACACAATACAACAACAACATCCTCAAGCGGAACAACAACCAGTGGTCAAAGTACATAAGGCATGATTGATTAATGGCTAATTTGCCTTTTCACTTTGAGAATTTTTGTAGAGTTGTGGCTTCAATTTCGTTACTGATCATTTCTTCCATGTTTTGTACAACAAATGTTTCACCAATACACCACTTGCTTTGATGGCATACATGTTTTCAATAAATTCTTCTCGTAAGTTTTTGTTGTTCATCAGTGATCTCTAAAGCTCTCACACCAAACCATTTATCTTTCAGATAGTGGTTGCTACTTTCACGAAGGCAAGCAAAAATATTCATTGTAAACAGCACAACATCGGTTGACTTGCTTGTTATTGGTTTTTTGAAAAATTTGTTGCAAAAAAAATATAACAATAGTAAGTCTTCGCCGATTTTCTTTGATGCTAAAAGCACTTTGAACAATTAGTGGCTGGAAAGTCCAAGGAAATTCAAGCCCAAAAGGCCGCAGCCAGAGAAAGCGGCTCAAAGGGAAAGAAGAAGAAGTGGTCTAAATCAAGAGTCAAGGAGAAGTTGAACAACAAGGTTCTCTTCGACACCAAGTCCTTCAATCAATTGGTCAAGGAAGTGCCAAAGATGAAGCTCATCACCATTGCTAGAGTGTCAGAAGCTCTCGGTGTTACTGGTAGTGTTGCTAAGAAGGGTTTGAGATACTTGGAAGAAAAGGATTTGATCAAGCCTGTGGTCAAGCATTCTAACATGATGGTTTATGTCGTCAAGAAGGAAGAGACTGCTGAAGCACCAAAGGAAGAAACCAAACCATCCAAGAAGGAATCCAAGAAAGAAAAACAATAAACTTTCCATCATAATATAAAATTTTAAAATTCATACAGAACTAAACGTTGTTGTTGTTGTGATATCTTGGTTTGTGAAGCTCGTTTTAATTTAAATGTGATTCCTTTACGAAAAACTATTCGTTCCTCAAAATCGTTTATTGCTCGAATAAAACATTTCTGCGTTGGTCTTTCCATCGCTGCTTGGCATAAACTCTCCACATTGATGGGAAAAGAATTCGCTCACCATCGCGTTTTTTCTAAAATTTGACTTGTCTTTGAACTCCCCAAAGAGTTGCCTTAACTGAGAATCGTTTTGCCATTGTTTCATAAAATTCGCTTTTGTGATGTTGGGATGAGCCACCTCAGACACAGTTGAAATAGTTTTCACAAGTTCCTGATCCTGTCGAGCCACTCTTTCTACCTTGGACCTATCATAAACAGTTTTCTCCACATAACCCATGTAACCAGGAATGTGATCAGAGCCATAGTTCGAGGAAAGAAAAGTGTGACCTTTTGTTGGTAGAATAGTTCCGTCATTTCGATAGAGAGATTGTTTTGTGCTGAGACTCTTTTTATCCTTCTCGTCCTTACTTGTGACAATCGCTAGTGTGGTGTTTGGTCTTCCATAGACTGTATGATTGTTCTCGTCAGGAATATGTCCTGAATAACCTTGAATTCGATACTTGTTATTGTCACGGTGCACGCCCTCAATATCAGAGGTGCTGCTCTTTAACTCATGTCGATGCGTGTTGTAATCAACAGAGTACGATGACGGTGTGGCATTAGTGGATCCTTCTGCCATAGGATATGTTCGCACAGGAGATATATGCTCCATCTTTCCTTTTGGACATTTGGTGATGGTTGAAACTTTAAAATCCTCACTAACACACGACTTGACCAGATGATGCTTGGTTGTGTAGTCATTGGGTTTTGCGTTTTTGTTAGGATCTTCTCTCCTTGTGAATGACCAACGGTGTTGAGATGCAATCTCAGGTCCCTTTCTTAATTCCACCTGTTGAGCAGTGACACGAGAAGGAAAGTCCTTTGTTTGATGTCTTTTGAAGTCTCCGCTGGTGGTGTCAGACAAATTCTTTCGAATGAACATGTTCGAATTGGGAATTATTGACTGTTTCTTGGTTTCAATTGAGCGAGATGTTGCTGTTGCAACAGATTCAACATGATTCATTAAATTCTCTATTCGGGATTTGTGTGTCTTGTGGAAAGCGTGATCCATAGAGACACAAATGTTAGTCGTAATACTCCGAGGATCAAAGGATTTCAGTCGTTCGGTTGGGAGTGATGCTTGATCCGAGTTGCTTTGTACCGAAGAATGTTGGTTCTCTTTGCAATACCCATAATGATCGATTTTGGCCTTAATGATTGGTTGATGTGCGTTCGGAATGTAGCCATGATAAATATGAGGAAACATTTTTTTTTACAACTTATTGGAATCTGTAAATTTAAAATGGTGGTGTAACGGTCGTTTTCAACCGATGTCGTTTTTGAGCGTTAAACCTCCTTATTTGTGCACACACGAGAGAGACTGTTCTGAGTATTTATTCTTCATCTCTTGGGTGAGAGAAAACATGTTCCCATATGGGGAGGATTCATTCATGAATAGGGATTGTGTTTGTGCTTGTGGGGAGCAATACTTTAAGAAGCTTCTTTTCGTCTTGAAAATGTTCCTACCGTTTCACCCGCGCTCAAAAGAGAAAGAAGAAAATATTTACAAAATAATTTGAAAAAATTGCATCCAAGAATCGATTCTCAAATTTGCCCTTTTGAACACGGAGAGATTGGAGATTGAATCTTTGTAAAAGTACTATCTATTAAAACAATTTTGAAAAGTCATGTTGTACGACAAGCATCCGAATAATCCTGCCAATTTACAAGCAAGAATTAAGGAGGAGAAAAGATTGGCATATTTTGAAAATTATGTTCGGGATAAGCAAATAACAACGAAAAGAGTTGATTTCTGGGACAGAAATCCTCCTCAATATTCTCTGACGAGACTTCAAATGAAAAGATATCCTCTTGTTTCGAAAAGACAAGAATATAATCAACATGTGAATCAACGAAGAATTAAATTGGTTGAATTGTATAATATTGAAAAGCAACAGTATCAATTAGAATTGTTGAATAATGCCCATGCCCTTAAGAAACAATAATTGATTAATTCTTTGTAAATAATGTATACAATAATTTGATTTTCAATAATTTCTATTCTCGAATTATGAATTGAGTATTGAAGTATTTCAAGAGATGAATCACAACAATAAATAATCCTCTTTATTGAAAGATATTTGAGATGCTTGCTGCTGAGACTCATTATTGCTCGATTCGTGATGAGAGCTACTGCCACCCTTTGAAAATATTCCACCAAATAAACTGCTCACGACACGGGTCACCTTGGCAGTGCTACCACTGACTGAATTTTTATGCTTTTCGAATTCGCTTAATTTTGTGTCGAGAGAATTTACCTTTTCCTTCACATGTGTCACATATTGTAATAAATTGTCAATTCTTTGATATGCTTCTTTCACATGTATCATCATGTTTAATAAATGATGTACCGTAGTAGTATTGGTTGAAGCTGTGATCGTTGTTGTGTTGGTCGAAATGGGATCATTGCTCTGTTTAGTTTCACTTGTAGCCAATGAACATCTTGTCTCTACAGAAGATGGCTCTTGTTGTTGAATCATTGAATAATAGGTTGAATGAATAAAATCTAATTGTTCTCCTAATTCATCACATCTCTTTAACAGAGATTCAATAATTGTATCAATTTGTTTAATAATTTGTGATTGATCATCCCCATTGTGAATAGAATTTAATAAGAGATGAGAATATTGTTGAACCAAAAGATCAGTTGTGTAATGAATTGGATTTGAAATGGTTGAAGCCTGATGAAGTATCGGAACGGACGAAGAAGGTGTAAAATGTGTATCGTTTTTTGAGGATGAATCCGTAACTTGAGAATTTTCTTGAGCTCGTTGTGGCTCTTGAGAGAGTGCCTCCACTGAAGGTTCCTGTTGTTGTTGTTGTGATTCACTCATGATGTGAGTAGTAATCGGAAGCAAGCCAGGTAGGTACCTCGATTTGGAATATTTTTTTAAAGTAACTTTAAAATAAAAAATGATGAACGAAAGCACAAGTAATGGAGCAAACAATCATCATGATCCCTCCATGACTTTCACATCCACTCCTCCATCCTCCATTTATCAAGCTCATTCATCATCAAATCGATATTCAGCTTCTCCATTTTCAGGGGCGGGCTCATCAGGAATTCCACTTCAAACTCTTCTAGATGAGAAGGAACAAGAAGAATTAATTTCAAAATTTCATTCTCAAGCTTGTACTCAATACAAATTGTATTCATATACAATCGGAACAGCATGTGCTATATTTTGTGTTTTATTTCTCTATTTTGCATATGTCGCCGAAGATTTTGGAGAATCAATCGGAATGCAACGTGTGAGGCTCATTCATACACTTTGTAGTGTTGGATTGCTTTGCTTGAGTGTGCGATGTTTTTATAGATATGCTCTTTGGAAGAGATCAAAGAATCTGAGTACTGATAGTAACACGAATAGTTCAAATATGAGAAGAAAGAGAGAGGAATCGATTTTACTTGATGTCTCATACAATGAGGATGAGGACATTTCTTCATCCTTGAATATAGTTGCTCCTTCAGAATCGTGGACTCTTCTTCAAACTCATGAATTTATTGCCTTCAAACAGCGAATATTGTTTATTTGCTTATTTGTGGCTGTATTATTTGCTGCTATTGAGCTTTTATTGTGGGCTCCACACCTGCAAGAGCAATTCACATCACTCTATTCAGACGTGGACGTTAAAGGTGATGGTTTCCACACCTTTAAATTGGCCATTTTAATATTTCCATTTGTTTTACCATTGATGTTAGTTGCCTCAGAGTATGGCCATTACTTGTTGAATCAGAATTTTCTTGAAATTATTGATTTGAGCGAGCATCGATACAAGTTTAAGAGCTTGTGAGAGCTTTCAAATTTCATTTTCATCCAAATTATTCTATATTGATTTTCATAGATTTCAATCTAGATTTTCTAAAATCTCAATAAATCTTTATTCAAATTGGGTACCAACATACAAGCAAAAGACGAAAGATGATCCAAAAAGATGCTGATCGAACGCGTTTCCAGATGCAATCAATGATACACAATTAAGTATAATTTATTCTCCATGTTCCTCCATCCATCTTTCCAAATCTTCCTGATAGGCATTAATGTACTTTTGCTTGGCATTTTCATCCAATGCTCTCCATCTTTCACCAGCAACCTTGCTCAATTCAGTGATCTTAGCATCAGGAAATTCCTTCCTCAATGATTCTCTGATCTCATTGTAGAAACGCAAATAAGAGGAGATTGGTCTTCTGTTTGCTTGCTTTCTTCTTCTGTATGCACCCATTTCTCTGTGATAACGAGCCTTGTCTTGAGCAGCCAAATCGACATAGGCAGACTTTTCTTCCTCACTCAAAGCATCCCATCTCTTCTTCAATTCACGTTGAACCACAGTGAATTTCGATGGAGTATCAGGTTTGAGTGTTCCGTTTTGAGTCAATTCATTTTGAACAGCAACATAGTTGCGAGTAGTGTACCACAACAATGGAGTCAGGGCTCTCTTTGGAGCGTTTGGATCCTTCTTGCGCATAGCAGCTTGTTTAGCCTTTTCAGCTTGCTTTTGAGCAGCCAAAGTCAATCTCTCCTTTGCTTTTTGTTTTTGGGCCTTCAATTTTGCTGCTTGCTCGCGTTGAAGCTTCTTTTCCAATTCCTTCAAACGTTGCTTTTCTTTTTGTTCCTTTAACAACAATTCGACATTGAATTTTGGTGAAGCTTGATCAGCAGCCGCATTCAATGATCTGATGGTGTGATAGGAAGCAGCTTGAGAAGCGAAGAGTGAGAATTGTGGCTTGCACACAGCAAACAAGACACGTCTAGACAACATGATGAATATTTTTTTAGAATATTCTTTTTCGGGACGAGCAAATTGATAGGCGGTCGAAAACGAAAGTCTATCAAACAGACCTGTAACGCTCGTAACGGTCTTGACAACAACTTTTTGAACAATGCTCAAAATGGACGTGGTTACACAGACACTTGTGGGTGTAATTTCAAAAAGTTTCAAGTAATTTCAATCATGGTGATTTTTATTCTTGATTCACAAACTTTTGATACAACTCAAGTTTCGAACGCAATGCTTCTGTGATGGCTCCTGACTCGTCATCATCAATGGAGTCCTTGTAAAGAACCTGCTCGGCTTTCCGTTCCATCTTTTCTATTTTTTTCTTGAGCTCCTCGATTTCTTCCTCCTTTTTTCTTTCTTGAGCTTTCTTACCATTCTTCTTGGCTTTCTTTTTAAATTCTCGAAGATATTCGTTTCCCAAATTTTTTGGGTCTCTATTAATGTTTTCACTCGAAGAAGCTTTGGTGTTCTTTTTTTCTATTGAGGGAAGCTTGGTCCTCTTCTTCTTTTTTGGAACTGTATGAGGAGAGTCTCGCCCTCGTTTGTTGTCACTCTCGCCGTGGTTTGGATCCTCTGATGGAAGAGCCTTAGCTAAATTGGTAACAACATTGTTGGTAAGTTTTTTCTTGCTGAGTTGAATTCGCTGTTCAATTTCATTTCGTTTCTTCTCGTCAATCTTGATTTTCACTTTTCTGAGTTTTTCTGCATATTCTCTTTGATGATCTAATAGTTGTTTCTTTCTTTCTCGCTCTCGTTCTTCTTGGAGTTTTTTCTCCTTTTCTTCTTCCAAAGCTGCAAAATAGAGTTTGTTATAGGAGAATGATTGTTGTTTTCCATGTCGTTCTTCATATTCTTTCTGTCTTTCTCGTTCCTTTTCCATCATCAAATGCTGAAGTTTCTCCTGATAATTGTGAGCAAACTGTTTGATTTCCTTGTAAACATCTTGATTGGGCAAGTAATACTTTTTCAATTCTTTCAACAACTCCTTTTCTTTTTGCTTTTCTTTTTCCATTCTTTCTTGAAATTCTTCCTCCTTTTTAAGATACAAAGGTTTTTCTCCAATAAAAGCCAACTTGCGCTGGACTGCTTCCTTGGATTGACGTAATTTTCGTTGTTCTTCTAATTTTTCTTGTAAAAAATCTCTAAGAGGTTCTGAGGGTGCAATAGGAGATTCCTGATTTTCTGAGTTTGTGTTACTGGGAGATTTTGAACTATTCTTTTTCTTTTTTTTCTTTTTTTCTTTTGATGAAACATTTGGAGATTCTGAAATGGTATCTTCTGTTGGAGCAGTGGTGACGTCTTCTTTCTTTGATTTTGTTTTCTTTTGGTTTTTCGTTTGTGGTTCCTGTTTTGGTGTCAAATCTTGCTTTTTGCTTGGCGACTGAGTAATAGAAATATCTTCTTGTTCTGATCTCATATTAACGGTTTTCTCTTGGTATGGTTTTACCAGGTTGGATTCTTCATTTTCACCATGTTTCATGTCATTTTGTACAGGTTCTTTATGTGCAGTAACTTTCTCAATGTTATTGGTGTCAAGCTCTTCATGATTAGGAGCAACTGCAGCTTTATCTTCAACAGGCGCCTGAGATACCTTTTCAGGCTCAGCCGAGATGGCATTCACTTCAGTTATGCTTTCATCTTGATGGGGTGACTGAGGCGATTCTAGATTTTTCTCATAAGCAGCAGGAACCTCAACTGCGCTTGAGGTTTGTTGTTCGCTTAAACCTTTAGGTGATGGTTCAACTACTGTCGCAAATTGTTCAGAATATACTTTCAGAGACACAGAACTTGGCACTTCATTCATTTCTATTGTCGTTCTGCCCTGTTCTGTGAGAGATGACGACTGTGGTTCCGTTAAGTTTACAGACAGAGATAATTCTTGCTTCATTTGAGAGGAAGCACTTCCGTCAATTTCTGTGGTTGTTCGTTCATCATGCAATTCGTGATTGAATGTATTGGTTGATGTTTCAAGTTGCACTAATGGTTCCTCCATCGATTTATGAATCGGAAATATTTTAGGAGAGTTTGAGGGTTCAGGAAGGATTTGAGGAGATTCGTCATGAGCAGTAGCTTCCAGTTTAATTGAGAGTTGTTGATTTCGCTCTTCTGTTGTGTGGTATGATAGGCTAGCATTTTCTCCTTCGTGATGATCGCTCGAGCTAGGAACGGTTGATGATGCTTCGTTTGAAGTTGGGTGGTCGTGTTCGTTGATGGGAAGTGAGGCCATTTTATTTTTAAAGAAAATCAGTAAAACGATCGTTATGAAAGCGCGGTTGTACAAACAATGAATTTTTAATGGTGATAAGCTATGGCCATTACCCAAGCTCACTCCAGAAGAGAAAACAACATGTGGGAGGCACGTCCACTGTGAACTTATTGTGTTAAACGACTGCTCTGTCAAGTTGACGCTCTGGCTCAGTCTGATGGTATCACACAAAGGAAAATAGTCTGTGGTACAACTTTGAACTCTCTCTGGCCAGGTCATAACGTCTTAATGACAGAATTCAATGTGTTTTGATCTCCAGGGAAGTGATGAATTCAATTCATCACTAATGTACCTCAGATCGTTAACATCCCTGAAGAAGCAATGAATCTTTTTCTCAAATCTGTCTACAATTATGATGGATTGAGATTTGGTTTTCCAATTCGTGAACTTGCTTTGGTAATGCACAAAAATGTCATTGATCGTACTTCTGTCATAGAGGTGAATGTCGATCTTTCTCTCTGCAAGAAATTGTGAATTATTCAAGTTAATTTGAGTTAGTGGATAGGTGGTGGTACAAGACTTGCTAAAGGGCGAAATTTGATATTTCTGTTTGAATTCTTGGATGAGCGCCACGGGCTCGGATTCAAATTGATGTTTCTTCATGTATTCATCAGTAAACTTGTCGATATCGTTGATTGATATGGAATTGTCGTGGTACTCATTAATATTTCGAATATTTAACAACTTGCTAAATTTTGTAACTAGATCTTGAGGACTCTGCTTATTATTCACTTCTTTAAAACATTCATGCATTCTTTCTCGTAGTACTTTCACTTTTTGCCACAAGTGATCATTAAGAAATGAATTAGAAGCACAGTAAGTATCACCATTCGGAAGTAGTTCAATATGTAATTGTTTAGTCAATTTTTCAGGCCATTGTGAGAGTGGCTTCCCATGCTCATCTCTGTTGAACTTTCGATTTGTGAAATAGACCAAATCGGAAGGAGTGGAGCCTTCAAAGTATGAAAACAAATTTCCACAGAGCACAATAAATCCTTTTGTTTGAAGCCACTCATGTTCATGTTTTTTCACGTGTTCAATGAAATCCAAGTGGTTGTTGTTGTTGTTCAAGGTATCAAGTGACTTTTCCAATAGTAAATCAAGTAAGAGACGACTTCTTATGACCTTTCTAGTTTTTGGTTCATGACCTCCCATGGTAGGACCATCACAATTATTTGCAGAATGGTTGAGCAAAAGTTTTGAGCCACAAGTCTCTTTCTTCTTGTAGAGTTCTAATGTTGGAAGTTGCTCCGAATAATCGTCATCCACATTCGTTAAAATGGCCATGCATCCAGTATGTATATTCACACCAAGCCATGTATTGCCATATACCAAATCAGTGACACATAAAATAGAGTTCGCAACGAGTTGAAAATCGCTGTGTGTTGGGCGATCAAATTCTTCGTCTCGATTCGAAATTAATATAAAAGGATATCTTGTATTGGTTTCAAAGACAGAATCGAAAGGGTCTCTCTCTTCGGGTTTGGTTTCTGGAGATTTGCTACTATTGTTGATAATGTTGTCTGTTGTGTTTACAGTCTTCGACGTTGAAATGGAGACAATGCACATATCCTCAATGATTTTTGCTGTATTTTTTTTAGAGATGTTCAAGTTCTATTTGGTCGTTGAACTTGGAAATGGTGATGTCACAAATAACATTGTAAAAGGGCTGTACACAGAGTTGACAACAAAAAAATGAAAAGATGAACCGTCGTTCAATCAGATGGCCTCTGTCATTAATTTTGTAAAATCGCAGCTCTTATTCCGAAGGTTGGATAACTCGAACTAGTTCCTGTATTCTTTTATGTTCTTTTTGAGCGTTAACATGATTTCTTTCAAATTTAACAAAACAACAATTCCGGACAATACCCATCTATTATTTTTGTTTGTTCATGCGGAATGGTTAATACTCTTTGGGGAATCACCATCTTTAAATATTACGTCAAATTGAGTGAAATGAAGCAATTGGACATGAAGCTACAAGTTGAAGTCGAAAAAAGAACGTCAAAACATTCACGGAATCTGTGTTACACTCACAGGTTGATTTACATTGCAAAGATATTTATTATAACAAAACCATCTTCTGATGACGCAGAATGTGCCAACTTATTGAAAAACAGCCAAATCATAGGAAACAAATTTTACTTTCATGTATTTGCCTAATATGCACAACATCAAATATTATATTTACACTATTTGTGATGCAGGGACTGTGCAGCACACTTCTAACATTTTTTCTATTGTATTCGACAGGATATCATATTCATAATCATAGTGTTGAACTAAAGCGAGCACAATATAGCTTGTATGTTCAATCAGAGCTGGCAAACTTGATCCAAAGCGCCTCTGCTACAGAATCTATATTAAAATACAGAGTTTATTATGGAAGCTCGGCAGTAATGACAAATATCACTGATACTATGGCATGGATATCTATTTTGTCACATTTAGGAAACATTTTCTGTAAGAAGGCATCTTTTGTTCAATATGCAAGATTTGACAATGTTTTTGTTGGATACTATAATGATACATTCGAAGTGACAGAGAAAAATATCACAAAATTATTCAAACTTAATCCCAACCAGCAAAATTTTCAATTCTTTCCTATGAACGAGTTACGATTTGTCAGAGAAATGCGAACGCCTTATCAAACACTTGCTCGGCCTTGGGTAAAAGAATTTTACAACAAGAATACCTCAAGACCATATTGGACATATCCATTTACGAATGTTTATGGCCAAAGAGCAGTCAGTTTTGTGTTACCAATATTTGTCAAGGACCATTCTTTTCGACAAACCCTATCTTCCTTTCTTGAAAACTCTTATTTTGGAAATGCTACTTTTCGATACGACACTCCTTTTTTGAGGATAGATAATTTAATAGCCATGGTAGGAATTCAATTCACTGTGGACTATTTGTCAGACTTTCTGAAAAACTTAACCAGCAATTCTGAAATATTAAGCAGCTTTATTGTAAACACTCATGGAGAAATATTAGGTAGCACCTCACGGAACGACACCCTTAACCAGGATCTCTCTTCGTTCATTTTCAATAATAATAAGAATTGGAGTTCTGTTAATGTTCACTCATCACCATTGCCTGGAACAAATGTCACGTTCGAATACAAGAACTTTATGGTTAAAATTTTGCCACTAGAGGATGACTATGGATTGAATTGGCTATTAGTGATTGCATTTGCAAAGGGAAAGAATTATATTGATGAGATTTTCACGCAAGGTGTCTCAGCAGTTGTGCTGTTCATTGTTTTATTCATTCTTCAAGTTTTAGTTCTATTCTGTATTTTGCAATATATCAGCCATACCCTGTACCACATGACCCGGAGTATACACAAAATACTCAGATTTCAAGCTCTTGAAAAAACTTGCAAATTTGGATCCTATTCGATATTTCTCGACTTCAGAGAGATGAATCACAGTTTGAACAAGTTAAAGATGGGATTGCAAGAATTTAGAAAATATGTACCACACATTATAGAGAAGAATTTGAACTCAATAACAGTACCTATTGAGCAAGAAATTGAAACGAGCAAGTTGAACACATACAGAGTCATAAACCCAATGTCCTCAATGAAACCAATCTATATGCGAAAAAAGCTAGCATTCATGCAACGCACCCCTTATTTATCTACTCTTAAGCCCTATAGCGAGATAGGAATGAAATCTAGAGAAATGATTGTCATGTTCTGTGGAATATCTAATTTTGCAACGCTTTCTGAAACCGCCAACAACTCCACCTTCACGAATATGGTTACCGATGTGTTTTGTACAGCATGTCATTTGATAGAGTTGCATTTTGGAGTTGTTGATAAAATTGTGGATGGAACAATCATGGCTTTCTGGAACGACGAGTCTTTTCATGAGAGCCATGAAATTCATGCTTGCAGAGCTGCACTAGAAATCATTGAAGAACTCAAACAAATCGAGGAAAAGCCCTGGAAAACTTTGTATGGAACCAAACCAAATAGCTATCCAAAATTCGAAATGACCATTGGAATCAATAGTGGGAAAATGTTATGTGGATGTAAGTTTAACAAATATGAGTACAGCGTTCTTATTTCCTTAATGATTATTGGTATTTGAATTTGTTGTTAACAACAATATCATGAATCCTTGTCAAACATTTCATCCATGAAGGTATGGGCTCTCCTTCAAGATTCAACTATACAGTTATAGGAGAGAATGTAAACATCGCCTCTCGATTGCAATACTTGGCCCAGTCATATAGATGTCAAATTATTATTGGAGAGAATGTTCAAAAAGTCGTCCAGAAAGAATTCACTTGTTTTTTTGTGGATTTTATCAAATTGAGAGGGAAACTACTCCCCACCTCTGTTTATTGTCTGGCCACATTCTCAAATGAAGCTAGTGATATTCAACGAAAATTGGCCCTTGAGTTGGAAATGGCAAAAGAATACTTGCTGAATGGTGATTATTATCATTTGAGACAAGTGTGTGAAAAACTTGTTCTCTTGTTCATGATCAACGACAATGATGACTTGAGCTACAAGCAAATAGAGTTTGATGCCCAGCATGAACACAAAGGCTGTATGATTCCTTTACTCCTGCTACATCGATCGATCCAGCTCATGAACAAGGCAGGTTGTGACGCTCTCTCTCGTTCAAGTAGCAGCTATTGGAACAATTCTCAATGCAGTGATTGCTTATCTTATCCTTGCACCACAGTTCAGTAGATGATGGGAGAACATGTAAATCGCGATGGATGAAAATTTCTTGAGATGTTTCAAAGCGCTTTGTGAGCGCGCTCAGATTCTTCCACATTGGGGCATCCTCACTTATATTTAAGGTAAAATCGGCTTCTTAGCAACGCGAACTCGCAAAAAAAATACCTCGCTACCTCTAAGGTAAGAGTTTTTTTTCAACAAGCACTGCATAGTACAAGGCTTGTGGAGATCGGTCATTCATCGTTTCTCCTCCGAAGAAATAAGAACATCAAAATGCCCACTCATCCTTTGGTAGACTCTCTTCACTCCAAGGGGAAGGATGCTGATTATCATGAAGAAGAAGAATACGTTGATCCAGATGAAGAGCTGGATGCTTCGAAAATTAAGGAGAAACAAGAAGCCATCAAGAGAATGCTTATTCTGGCTAAAATGGCTCAAAAGTATAACCTTGACGACGAACAATTGTTTGATGATGACGGTGAATATGACGACAATGACACAACAGCCACTATGGCTGGCTCCATTCAAGCCGAGCGCTTAAACAGTACACAACCACGACATCCTAAACTGAGCGAAATGAATTCTAGCCAACAATTGGGAGGATCAACTTATTCAGTAGAGTCATCCTCGCAAAAGATGACTCCATCACAACAACAGCACAACCTCAGCTCTTCCAACATAAGCGATTCAAGCCAGAGGAAACGAGGCATCAGTAGGCGACTTGCAAGTACAATGGCCTCACGTAACAAATTGCTGGACTCCGCTAACTTTGATACTATGAGCACAGGAAGTGATGACATGTCGGACACACAAAGCCAAATCATCTCCGATGGTGCTACTACATCAGGAGTTCTTGTAACTCATCAAAAAGATTTCATTCAACTGAATAATCTCATGGCTCAATTCATGATGTGTGGTTTTCCGGTTATTATTTTTGACAATTTTGCAACTGTTGTATTCCTTAATAAGGAAGCTGAAGATTTATTCGGAGTCTATTCGTTTTCAGTTCTTGGAGAGCATGTAGGTGATCTGTTCTTGGAAGACTCTGTTTGTGAGATTCATAACTTAATAGAGATGTATACTGGAAGAAATGTTAGTCATTCATCATCAACAACCTCTTTTACAAGCAAACATTTTTCTCCTGAAGACTTGAAAAAGAAAAAAGAGTCCTTGATGAAAATCAGAATACTGAGGGCAAAATCTACTACTCTCAAAACCTTTTTTTCTGTGAGGTGTCGTTTCACCTGCATTAACAAATTGGGAGCTGAGCATTTTGTAGCTTACATGGAAGTGATGAAAGAATCCGCAGAAGAAAAGAAGGAAATGGCAATGAGACAAGTCTATGAGGCGATTACAGAGCTCTCTGTTATTCCCATTGTTTCAATCTCCCAAGTGGGTATTATTCAAACATTCAATGGTGCATGTTCACAAACATTTGGCTATCAGAAGAAGGAAGCCATCGGAAAAAACGTAAAAATGTTATGCAACGATAAGGACAGAGCAAAACACGACTACTATCTATCGAGATACCAGAAAACTGGAGAAAAAAGAGTTGTCGACAAGACGCGTCTTCTCAAAGCTAAAACTAAGAAAGGAAAAGTAATACGAATAGAATTGAGAGTTTCTGAGGTAGTGGACCCTAATTCTGGTACAACCACATTTGTAGGTATGTCATTGTTGTTTATTATCCTGTAATTTTAACAAGCAACAATTCGTGTAGGATTTATCAGAGATTTAAAAAATATGCTAACCAAAGAAGAACAGTTGACAATGTTAGCAGACAAAATATTTCCTAAAAACGTGGCTCAACGCATCAGTCTGGGAGAGAAAGTTATAGATGTGTTTGATTTATGCAGGTAGGTCTGGCATTATTTTGAAATTTTACTAACCATCATCGAAAAGTGTGTTGTTTTGTGATATTGTCGGTTTTACGAAAATGTCACATGGAAAAAGGCCAGAAGAGGTGGTGAGCATGCTTCATGAAATATTTGGCAGTTTCGATGATGTGTGCACTGCTTTCCAATTGGAAAAAATTAAAACTATTGGTGACTGCTATTTTTTAGCAAGTGGAATTCCAAAATATGATCCAGAACATGCAGACAAGGTTGTCAAGGGAGGTCTAGCCATGATAAGGGTCATTCAACATTTTTGTAAAAAACATGAGCCCCTAGATCTTCAAGTAAGAATTGGAATACACAGCAGTGGCGACATTATTGCAGGAGTCGTTGGAAGAACAAAACAGACTTACGATTTATTTGGCAAGGTAGGTTGAGAGACTTTTTAGTTGATTTTATCATTGCTGAAAACACTCACAAAACACGATCGTGATAATTTAACAGGGAGTTGAGATAGCTCAGCTAATAGAAGCAACAGGTAAAACCAATCAAATTCACATCACAGACACTTGCTATTCTGAATTACAATCTGAAAAGCTTAAAAGTTTATTCTCGGAAAATTACGCCCAAAATACAGAATTGAACCTAGAGAAAATTGGTACTGTTGTAATTCCTGAAAAAACTTGGATTACAGAGCTGCAGTAAATAAATACCAGTAGTGGTGTTGGATCCTTCTCCTATCTTTGTTGCAATGCTTGAAAGAGTCTTTTGTCTACATTAAATTCATGTTCGTAAGCATGTATTGCAGTTGTAAATCTCTCTCTATACTCATATCGTATTGCCGTGAAGAATAAATAACTGTAATCAAATAGTGCACATGAAATTGTACACATGTCACATGTACTATGTTATCGTTGATTTGATACATGAAAGAATGGACCGCTTGAATTTCACTCTCGTTACGACTTGTTCTAAAAATTTTGCCATAGCTTGAAGTGATATCGACATTCTTTTCAATGACTTGAAACTTGGAAGATGCTTTTTGTAATTTTCCAATTTCATTCTCAATAAATGTATTCTTTTCATTTTCATAATTTCCATGTAAATCATGAAATTGAATGGTGAATGAATCGGGCACAGTTTGTAACATGTTCTGAGATGCATTGTTGAGAGCACTAAATGTTGTCTCAATCTGTAACAACGAACCATCATGCTGAACAATTTGATATTCCAATAATGGAATGGGAACTACATGGAGTGTTCAGAATGGATTCAATCGATGGGAAATGAATGTGACAATGTCAGATAAATTTCCATGTTGATATCAACTACTCACCTGAAACAACATGATTCCTATCATTACTCGCTGACAGTGAAGACAAGTTAAAAACCTTAAATTGTTGTGCTTGATTGACCATTCCATCTCGCAATCGGGCGACCTTAATATTATCTCGTGAACGATGAATCTTGAATGAGACTGTGAGTGTTCCCTTATTTTCACTATTTTCCAATTTTAAATCTACCACGTGTTCCGTATTGGCTTGAAATTTGTTTGTAATTACAAGAGAGGCTGATCCGAGAAAATCCTGTTGTCGACGCATACATGATTTGAATAATATTTATGTAATACAATTTAGAGAGAAATTTCCAAATGATTGATCCATTCATCATCATCGTCATCATGAAATTCAGATGGTGCCATGTCATAGGTATGATTATGAAATACAACATATATTTAGGAAAAAGGAGAACACTCGAGAAGCCAATCTACTTACATCCTTTGAAAATCGGTCCCAATCCATGACCGTAAATTTTACAGAGACTTGTTCCGTATAATCCTTAAGAGGATTTAATGTAAAGCTTTCATTCCATTGCGGATCTAAATTCTTCTTAATCACATTGGTTTTAAATACTATTGTCTTTGGATTGGAAGTTTCATTCGGTGAATTCGTAATATGGAGAGAACGAGAAGAGAAATGAAAGGAAGGAGATTCCGATTTTTCGTGAGCGTTTGTCGTTGGTGGTTGTTCAGAATGAGAGAACAATGGTTGAGAAGAGAGAAGAGCCTCACCATGACATTCATCATCATGGACATAAACCTCACAATAGGGATCCGAAAAACCGTTTAAATCAGCAGCCATGAGAGAATTTGCTTTTATGATTTTAATTTCAATCACATCATCAATGAGGAGAGGAGCCTGTGAAGTGGTGGGTGTGTTTTGAAGAATCGAGAAAGAACGAGTATTCGTTCTGGAGAGTAATAGTTCAGAAGAAGATGATGACAAATCAACACCAATGTGCTGCTGATTGGTCATCCTTATTTGAAAATTTCCAAGTTTAGATGATGAAGAAAAAGTGCAGAGGTTCCGTGTTGTGCTGAACACAAAAATTTAAAATGTATAATTAATAATGTTCGAAATAATATTCCCGAAGAATTGCTCTGAGAGAATAAGAATGAGGATGGCAATCACGATGATGATGGTCTCTCTGCAAAAGTAAAGTCGTTGTTTGTTTAAAATTTGTCCAACATTTCAAATGTCTGCAAAGATGGCAAATTTATGAATGAACCTCCTTTTGGCGGCCGTCACACAATTTATCACAAGACATCAGGATGGAGAGAGTGGTTGAATCATTACCGCCCTATCAGCATTCCACCACTCTCTCATGCAAGCCAGCAACACAGATACAACAGGAAGAGGATTCCAGAAGCTTTATATTCGTTTGTTGCACATCATCACACAAGCATTTCTGTTAAAATAAAATCATCATCGGATTAATAAAATTGTTCGTCCAACCAAATATATAATATTGAATTAGACCAAAACATTTATTGTTGTTGGACGTCTTCAGCCTTCTCCTTTTCTTGGAATTGTCTGACGTAGATCTTTCTAGCATTGAATTCAGATTCGTTGAACATTTGAATAGCCTTAGCAGCAGCTTCAGGAGTTTCGAATTCAACAAAACCAATACCCTTGGATCTCTTGGTTTGAGCGTCAGTGAAGATTCTTGCATAAGTAACGTTACCAGCAGCGCTGAAGTGTTCCTTCAAAGCAGCCCAGTTGGTTCTGTATGGCAAGTTAGAAACGAAAACTTTAGTTTGAGAAGCGTTTTCAGTCATGGTGTATAGAAAAGGATTGTCGCAAGGTGGTGTTAAAGTATTTTTTTCAACAAAAAAAATATTGAACGTATATTCTTTTACAACCAAACCGCCCACATTTGAAAAATGTCAAAATTATTTCATTTTCTAAACGATAGAGTCTTGAACTAAATCATCAACTTGAAAGACTGAACAAACTCATACATCTTCTAATGACCCTCCATATCAATGGGCGACCATTAGGTCCATGCCCCTCGCTCTCTTGTCGAAATTCCCTCAAAAAACCTTGTTATTGAGGAAACAATCAAAAATAGCCTTAAAAAATGACTCTTCTCCAGCCCCCCAACAACGACGAAAATACAACCGTTCACGAGAACCCAGAAATGGATGTAAACGCCTCTGATCCGTCCATGGTTCAATATCAATTGCCGAATGATCGGAAAGATGATCCACCTCATCCACCACCTCCAACTCAAATGTATTATTCCTTACCAATGCAACAACCGCCACCTCAACAAATGTATGTGGTCTTGCCAAACACAGAATATGTAGCACAGGTTCAGCCAACTGTACAACATGTACAGTATGCGTATGGTTCAACTGCCTCTGCCAACAACGCATCCATGGCAACCCAATACTCAGAGCCGGTTCCCCAAGGATTAATGAGCTCTAATGTTCAGATTGTTTCCTCTCAGTCAAACGAAAATGCCCACTTGCTTTCTCAAGACACAGAGGGAAACTATGTGATGAAGGCAGGATGTAATGTGATGGCTTGGACCTACGGCATTGTTGGATGCATCTTTTTAATACTCTTTCCCTTCGTTGGAATTCCATTTGTTTTACTTGCAATATTTCAACGAAATGCTGACTTTATTTTTGATGACAAGTCCAAAGAATTGGTGGTTCATTTGTATGGGGCATTCATTCCATTCGGGTGCTTTGATCATGAAGAAAGAATAGCCTATGAGTCAATAAGTGACATTGTTCTCCAAGAAGACTATACGATGAGAGTCAATGGAGAGTGTTCCGGAATAATATTTGCAGTTCTAAAGAATGGCTCAAGTGTTAAAATGACCAAAGGTTACACAGCAAGATCAGTCGCTTCTTTGAGAGCAAGAAAAATTAAGGAAATGTTAAGAGTGAGACTGAACGCTTAAGCATTGATGTATATTAATAATATGACCTGTAAAAAAAAAGTAAAACCTCTATTTCTAATGATGTTCTTATGGTAAAATCAATGAGCAGTGTTGGAGACTATACTTTGTAAAGATTTATAAAAGAATTTAATGAAAGAAATATATTAAAAAGAAACATTAATGCTTTTTTGGAAACTGTACTGTTAAGTTGTGACATGGGCCCATCTCTCATATTTGAAACTGAACTTTCACCAAATAGTCATGATCAAAGACACTTCTCTTTTGAGTGTCAGTCACTGGGTTGGCAACTGTCATTTGAAATATTCGGTTGTGATCAAACAACAAAAAAAATCTGCAAGAACACACTCTCGTCAGAACAAACTCTTGCCTCTCTCTCACCTGCGATCAAAGTTTACCGATTGTATTGAATCAATCCGTTCCAATCTTGTTGAATTCGCACAACATGAGTAACAACAACACCACTGCTGCCTCCGTCTCCACTGCTGAAAAATCATCTGAAGAGAAGGTTGCTGCTGAGACTCCATTGAAACTCGAACAAGAATCAGCATCAACAACAACATCTGAACAACCACCCACCACTTCTGCTGCACATGTGGTTACAGATACCACCACCAACGACACCACTACTACCCATAACGACTCCACCACCAACGAAACCACGACGGATCATCCACCAACCAATGATCATCACAACAACAACAACACCCTGTCAGCGGCTACTTCTCTCAATGCAGCAACCACTACCACCACCTCATCGTTGACTTCTATCGATACCGAAGATCAAACCACCTTCTCTGATACTCGTTTATCAGTGAGTGGTGAAGCCTCTCATTTGGACGTTAATCTTGACTTTACACCTCATCAGGGAAATTCCATCATCACTACTGAATCGTCTCAACAACAAGTCAAGGAATCCTTTGTCAAGAAAGAACCAGTCGTATTCATCAATGAACGTGATGTCATTCAAGAATACAAGATGAATGTCAAATGTGCAGCCAATGTTCGTGCTTTGGATCCAACTGGCATTCTCAAGAATCAAACCGTGGAAGTTGGAAAAGATTCTCAAAATCATCCCATTCGAAGACGTGCTGATTTTAAGGATTATTTAGTGGAAGGATTGGTCGAGAAGGAAGGAGATGCTAAACAAATTAACACGGCCTATGATTTGTTTCGATTGGCAGCTGAAAAGTATCTCAATCGAGAATGTTTGGGTGTGATTACAGAAATGAATGTGGATCCTCACACTGGAAAGAAAACACTCGGAACGAAATTTGAGACCTTCTCACAAGTAAGAGAAAAGAGTTTGGATTTGGGATCTGCTTTGAGAAATTTGGGTCTTGCTCCTCATTATCATGTTGGTATTTATTCAAAGAATCGACCCGAATGGCAAATTACTTCTGAAGCTTGTCATTCACAGTCATTGGTCACTATTGCCCTTTATGATACATTGGGAGAAGAGTCTTCAGTCTATATTATGAATCATGGTGAAATTGTTGCCTTATGTGTCAGTGGTGATGATGTGTTTACAAAAAATGTGATGAAATGGGTCAATCAATGTGAATATTTGAAATTTGTCATCTTGTTCAAAAATCATGAAAATCCAAACTATGATCAAGACGTTCAAAAGTGGAAAGAGGAGTTCAAAACCAAAACCAAGGACTCTGTTAAATTATTTACCTTTGAAGAGACCTTACAAATGGGAAGTGGTGAAAAACGTTTGCCTCCCACTCCTCCTCGTTCCATTGACATTGCCACCATCATGTACACTTCAGGTACAACAGGAATGCCAAAAGGAGTCATGCTCACTCATCTCAACATTGTTTCCACAGTGGCAGGTGTTCATTGTAATCTCATGAGAATTAATGAGACCGATCGTCTGGTGAGTTATTTACCGTTGGCTCACATTTTAGAACGAGTGGCAGAAATGGCCTTTTTACAAGTGGGTGCAAGTATTGGTTATTGGAGAGGTGATGTGAAAAAACTCAAAGATGATATTGGAATTATTCAACCAACACTACTTCCTGCTGTTCCTCGTGTGTTGGATCGTCTCTACGATGGAATTAATGATCAAATCAAACAAAAGAAGAAGATTGCTCAAATGATTTTCAATAAGGCATATTCTCAAAAACTTAAATATATGCAACAATATGGTGTGGAAGTGAAAACTCCAATTTTGGATGCTCTCGTTTTCAAGAAGGTGAAACAAGCTGTGGGAGGTCGATTGCGTGGAATTCTCTCAGGAGGAGCACCTTTGAGAAAGGAAGTTCAGCAATTTATTGCAGTAGTGTTTGGATGTCCTGTGGTTCAGGGATATGGATTGACCGTAAGTATTTTTGTGTTCATCTTGTTGATAAATGTGTGTGTATGAAAATGGATAATGTTACAAAATGATGAACATTTCAATCATTATATATGATAGGAAACATGTGCTGGATCTACCATTCAAATTCCATTGGACTTTTCAACTGGTCACGGAGGTTGTTTATTGCCATGTTTGGAAATCAAATTGGTAGACGTTCCAGAAATGAACTATTCCAACAAGGATAACAACTCTGGAGAAATTTGCATTCGTGGACCAAACATTTCACTTGGTTATTACAAGGAGGAAGAGAAAACTCGTGAAGTCTATGACGAAGATGGTTGGTTCCACACGGGTGACATTGGAAGATGGGATCCTACAGGAACACTTTCCATTATTGACAGAAAGAAGAACATTTTCAAGCTTGGTAAGTGATGACATTCTCAGTACAAAGTTCTGTTGTGAATCATCATTTCACATTTTCTGACTGAATTTTTCACATCCTGCGATTCTTTTATTTCATATTCAACACACATTTTGAATGTCCAATTTTCTACAATTATTGCATTTTACTGAACAACTCCAATGTCCATATATTCAACAACAACACCTTGAAATGTCCATATATTCTCTAATGACGATATACTCAACAACAACAACAATTTTACTCTACAGCTCAAGGAGAATACGTCGCTGCTGAAAACATTGAAGGCAAACTAAGCAAAGCAAATTACGTCTCACGTATTTGGGTTTATGGAGATTCCTACAAGACCTTCCTCGTTGGTGTCGTTGCTGTGAATGGTCTCAAATTACTCGACTGGGCCATCACCAATGGAAAAGTCACTCATCAAGGAGGAGCTCTCTCCACCATGTCTGAACAAGATCAATTACAAAATTTAGAGAAATTATGTGCAGATCCAGAAGTCAACAAAGTGATTCTCAAAGAATTGGAAAGAGTTGGAAAGGAAAGTAAATTATTAGGATTTGAAATGGTGAAGGCCATTAAATTGATTCCTCGTGACTTTGAGTTTTATCCTGGATGCACAACACCCAAGTTGAGTTTGGTGAGAAACAAGTTGAGAGATACATTCCAGAAGGATATTGATGAAATGTATGAAAAGACTAAGATTTAAGTGATATATTCACTAAGAGGATGATTTATGGATATTGATTTTTATTTTTAAATGAATTGAATGAATATTAATATATATATATATTAAATGAAAATTGAATTTATATTAAATGTATTGTTGTTTGAATGGGTGTTTGACAGGGAGGGTGAGCCACATAGAAAAGAATCCTTTGGCTCACTCTCCATGGTGTTTGAATACCAAATTGCGAATGTCACAGTCAATTCTTGTCTTAATCGATTCTACATTTGACCGACTGTTGTCCTGACAGGAAGTGACACTTGGTGACAGTTGTCAGCTTTAGGGTGAGGCACTTTAAAAAAAAATGACATCACGAATCGGTGAGTATCAACTAGAACTTTCACAAAATCATTCTGACCATGAATCGTCTCTCATTTCGGTGATTTCTCTCATTCACATCACTCAACCATACCTCTCACACACCCATGCGCATGATGGTGTGCCGAATCTTATAAAAAATTGGATCTCTTGTCGAATTCATCATGATGATGATATTTGTTATTTGACCTTCTCCATTTGCGATCTTTCTCATTACAACAATGATAATATTTATATTCAATAATAATAATAATATTTAAAATTATTACAATTTTTATTAAATAGGACAATATCAACTCTATCAAACTCTCGGAAAAGGAAACTTTTCAAAAGTCAAATACGGAGTCGATGTCAATGACGGCACTGCTTGGGCTGTCAAAATTGTTGATCGTCAAATGATTCAAAAAGAAAATTTAGAATCTCAATTAAGACGTGAAATTGCAATCATGAAATTACTTTCACATCGACATGTGGTCAAACTTCGAGAAGTTTTACAATCTCCAACGAAAATTTATATTATTTTGGAATTGGTGACAGGAGGAGAATTGTTTGATCGAATTGTTAAGGCAAAGAAATTTGATGAAACGACGAGTAGAAAATATTTTCATCAATTGATTTCTGGAATTAGTTATTGTCACTCTCAAGATGTGTCACATCGAGATTTGAAGCCAGGTATGTGATTCAGTCCTATCATTTCTTATATTTCTTGTTCATCTTGATTTGATTGATCGATTCTTTCAATCCGAAAATGTTCAATGAAAATGTTAAATGGATGATGAATATAATGATGATGATTCAACTCATTTTAGAAAATTTATTACTCGACGATAAGGATGTCTTAAAGATTAGTGACTTTGGTCTTTCTGCGCTCTGTGTGGGTGCTGGTGATACCAAGAAAATGCTCATGACCACTTGCGGAACTCCGAACTATGTCGCTCGTAAGTTTTTTTACTTTTGTGTCATTTCTTTTTTAATAATTTTCAATCTTTCTGATTCACACATGAATTTCAATTGATTTTATCATTACCATGTTTTCATTCGATACATGATCTTAAATTTCAATTAAATATATTTCAATACACACAATATATATTTAATATATATTTTATTATATTTCAGCGGAGGTCCTTCTTGAAAAAGGTTATGATGGTAAAAAAGCAGATATTTGGTCGTGTGGTGTCATTCTCTATGTCATGCTCACTGGTCACTTTCCATTCAGTGCAGATTCTATTCAAGAATTATTTAAGAAAATTAAGAATGGAGAACATAATCCATTTCCACAATATGTATCGAGTGAAGCCAAAGATCTCATTAAGAAAATGCTCATTGTGAATCCAAATTATAGAATTACCATTGAGGGAGTCATGAAACATCAATGGTTTATTGCAGATGGTGGAGAGGAATATACAAAACAAAATCTTGAATCTTCCATTAAATCGAAAGAGGATAAAATTGGAGATTCTATCACACAGGAGGAAATTGATCGTTCAGTGACAGAGTGTTCGGAAAGTGTGACACCTTCAAAAGATTCAAATTCTTTGGATTCTCCATCCTCTGCGAATAAGAAAGCTCCATTGAATGCTTTTGATTTGGCGAGTATCATGATGTCAGGTTTCGTCAATCCTCTTGTGAATCATGTGCCAAACGCCTCTCACAAGACAGTGAATATTAGACGTGAGACTCGATTCATTGCACGTGGAGATAAAAAGACTGTTTTGGAGAAAATTAAGTCTCTGCTTGCTGAGAAATTGCAAGTAAAAGTCTCGACCACACATCTGAATGATTTGGAAAGCGGAAAGCTTTCTCAGCAAAATGCAAGTGATCAGAATTTATCAGACATGAAATGTTTTGCCACAGTGAAACAAGTGGGAGTGGCCTTCAGTGTGAAAGTCGACCAAACAAGTGTTGGATTTTGCCTTGTTGAAATTAGAAGAGGAAAGGGATCCATTATTGACTTTAACTTTTTGTATCGCCAAATTTTATCCTTGTTAGGTGATGTGGTCATTTCAGGTGGAGTTCAAACACAAACGTCATCTGAAGGAATGTCACAACGATATTATTAACTACAGAGCTGAACGTGTAATCGCACATAACTCATGATGATTTAAATTTGTAATTTATAGTTTTATCTGGAGCGCATTATTGTTGTGAGCGTGCTCGAAGAATATGTACACCATTCGAGCAAAAGACACACGTTGATCTCAGTAACAACATGGACCTTTTTTAGAGGAGTCTTCTTTTCGTTCGTCTTTTTGGTACGACTTGTCAAAACTATTGGAACTGTTGTCACCAGTTCCAACAACGTTGAGCTCAGTTTTTTTGTGATCTCCTAATTGATTTTGTCCTTGTGACTGTAAGCTCATATTTTTGGTAATTTTCATAATGTGAGAAACTAAAAAGTGGAATGATGAGTCAATATTGATGTTTTTACGGGCTGTGAATAGTTGTTGGTAGAATACGTCAGCAAATGACTAAAGTCCATGTGCTACTTACCTGATGTTTCAAACCAAGCGATAAATCCATTTTCCTTTGCAAACTTGTTCATCTTTGTCTTATCAATGGTTATTTCAGGTAAGTCACACTTATTTGCTAATAGAATCATGGGTATAGGAGTAACTCCATCAGGAAGGACCACTTTCGAGTTGATATCGTCTCTCCATTTTTTCACGTTATCCAAAGTAGAAGGTCTTGAGATATCAAAGCAAACTACAGCAGCAATAGCGTATTTGTAGTAAACTCGTGTCATGGCTATTGTGAAATAATTTTGAAATTGTGTAATTATAATAATTTTAAATTGAATCATTTTGGAATTGTCATGTCACAGGTGGCATTATCCAAACTTACCTCCAAAGCGTTCATGCCCAGCAATATCCTATTTTTAAAATTGTTGTAATTGTGACAAAATATTAATTTCAACGATATATCTTCTTCTTCGAAATGAAATGTACAACATACCCATAATTGCAATGAGACTGAAGTGTTTTCATTCCAATCGATGTGCTTTAAGCAAAAGTCAACACCAATGGTTATACGATAATTACTTGTAAATTCTCCTGTGCAATATCTTCGAATAAGGCTACATTTTACAAAAGCAACAACATCCTCCGATATAACTTGAATATCTCACTAAATATTCTTACCTTGTTTTTCCCACTATTTTTCAGTCCATCCATGCAGCGCAGAATACATAGATGTAAAATCAATATTTTAAGAATCATTTTCAAAATTCACATTCACGAACGCTAAACCTACCTGCATAGTCACCAACCACTAAGACTTTGTACAGGTGGTTATTTGTCTTATTACTCGGTTGATCACTTCCATTGCTACTTGATGCTTGCGCCGATGGCACTATCGAACTGTCCAACTGACTATTGTGTTCATCATCAACATGATTTGAATAATTTAAAATATCGTCGTCGTCCATACTGTATAAATTTCCGCTTGAATGCAAAAGGTTTTAAATTTTACAAAATTGAATCAATGAGTTATAGAGATGATTGTAACGATCAAAAATCCCTCTCCAATGATCTCTCTATATTTGAACAATCGTATTACCGTAAATAATAATATTATTTCATAGAACACACACTCTTGATCGTTCACCACAAACACTCTACATACACAAGTTCCGTATACTTTTATAAATACAACTATAATAATTGTTGATATCCGTGTGTGATTCCGAGTCTTGGACAACGATCTTCCTTTTTATTAGTTTTAGTTCTTTGATATTGCCCAACACAGAAGAAGAATTTTTTCAAAAGATTTTTTCATCCCAGAAAAGCCGATGTTTGATATGCTTGTTGCGAGAGAAAGAAGAGTACCATTAGAGATGATCTTGAAAAGAGAACCAACCATCTTTAACAACAAGAATCACTGAAAGCAATGAAAAGAGAAGAGGACAAAAAAGAGTTTGAGTTTTTCAAAGGAGAGGCAAACACACGATTCGGGAAAATCAAAAACGAATTTATTAAAAAATGTTCAAATCTTCATCCAAAGTTATTCTCAATCAACACAAGACTGGTGCCTTGTTGCTCGGTCGTTCTTTGAACGGATCATCAAGCCGTTTCTATGCTACTGATAAGAGTAAGTCGTTTAATAGTATTGGTTGGATGAATGTATCATCAATGATTAATCTTCCATCTGTATTATTCCTCTTATGAATTTATTTGCGGACCGCAATATTTCATATGATGATGGGTGAACAATATATTAACATTATTGTGGAAAACAGAACAAGTTGTTATTGTCGGTGGTGGTCCAGGTGGATATGTAGCAGCAATTAAAGCAGCTCAACTCGGTCTCAAGACTGTTTGTGTTGAAAAGAGAGGAACATTGGGTGGTACTTGTTTGAATGTTGGTTGCAGTAAGTATAGGATTCATTTTACACACCTTCAACAACATTAATGTTTGTTTGGAATTACCTTCACAACCCATCTTCTTCACACATATTATTATGGAATTGTATTTACTTTCATTTAATTATGGTGGACTCTCTCCTTGGTGCGGATCAATAATCAACTATTTTCAATCAAAATGATGGGCGTCGATAATTTTGAATTTAATATTTAACGATAATACCAATGCATCAATGAACGAATAGTTCCTTCAAAGGCCTTGCTTCACGCTTCCCACATGTATCACGAAGCTCACGGATCAACCTTCGCCAAGTGGGGTATCTCATTGAAGGATGTTAAAATTGATGTTGCTACAATGCAAAAACAAAAGGAAAAGGCTGTTTCCGGATTGACAGGAGGCATTGAACATCTTTTCAAAAAGTATAAAGTTGAATATGTAAAGGGTGAAGGTACCATCGTCGGAAAGAACGAAGTTGCTGTTAAGGGTTTGGACGGAAAGAATGATACAATCACAACAGAGAATATTGTTATTGCAACTGGTTCTGAGCCTACTCCTCTTCCATTCCTCCCATTCGACGAGAAGGTAATCTTGTCATCCACTGGTGCTCTCTCACTTGGCCACATTCCAAAGAGAATGGTCGTTATTGGAGCTGGTGTCATTGGTTTGGAAATGGGATCTGTTTATTCTCGTTTAGGATCTGAAGTCACAGTCGTTGAATATGCTGACCGTGTTTCTCCATTCTTGGACAAGGAAGTGAGTGCCACATTGAAGAAGATTTTGGAAAAGCAAGGAATGAAATTCAAATTGGGAGTTGCTGTCAAGTCAGGAAAGATCGTCGATGGAAATAAGGTTGTTCTTGAACTTGCCAATAATGCCTCTGGTGCAGTTGAATCCTTCGAAGCTGATGTTGCTTTGATTAGTATTGGTAGACGTCCATACACTCAAAATTTGGGCTTGAACAATGTTGGTATTCCTCTCGACGAACGTGGACGTGTTGTCATTGATGAACACTTCCGTACAAAGGTTCCAAATATTTATGCAATTGGTGACGCTGTAAGAGGACCAATGCTTGCTCACAAGGCTGAAGATGAAGGTCTGGCAGTTGCCGAGTCATTGGCTGGACGTCATGGTCACGTCAATTATGATGCCATTCCAAACGTTATTTACACTCATCCTGAAATTGCTTCTGTTGGTAAGACTGAAGAAGAGTTGACAAAGGAAGGCATCAAATATAAGGTCGGAAAATTCCCATACATGGGTAACTCTCGTGCTCGTACAATTGATGATGGTACTGAAGGATTTGTTAAGATTTTGACTGATGCTCAAACTGATAAGGTTTTGGGAGTTCACATCATTGGTATTTATGCTGGTGAATTGATTTCTGAAGCAGTTTTGGCTATGGAATATGGAGCTAGCGCTGAAGACATTGCCCGTACATGTCATGCTCACCCAACATTGTCTGAAGCTGTTAAGGAAGCTGCTCTGGCTGCTTATGATGGTAAACCAATCCATTTCTAAGTTAATTCAAAGACCTACATTGGATTTTCTCAACATTCTTAAGTTATAATATAAATTGAAAATTCACGCGTGACTTTACTCATGGAATGACTCGTATCCTTAATTTTCTCGTTGTCAAGTACTTGCTACTATCAATGACTATCGTATTGTCATTCCTTTCGAGGATTGTTCAACGCATTGCCAGGTCTAAAATTGCGGGCAGTGTTCGCCAAAAATTGAGCACTCGGAGGTGCATGTCTGCGCTTCTTTGTGGAAGGGCTGATCGTGATTTCTTGCTTATTCGTACATGCGAGACCAGAGGATGACATTGATCCACAACCAATATGGTTGTCAGCACCGCCATCACTCGAATTCTTTTGATGAGCTTGGGGTGAGTGTGATGCTGTTTGTTGTTGATTTAAGTCAACTGCATGATGCGTATTTTTCAATAGCTGCTCAATAGCAGAAACAATATGGCCATACTTTTTAGAAATACGACCATACTTGGACAGAAATAAAAGACCTTTGTAATCTTTCACTAAATTCTTGAGAATTTGTTCTTGAGTGGCCACTCTCATAATTATATCTGGATCAAAATACAGCTCCAGGTGAGTTTGTGCAGCAATAGCAAACGCAAAAACAAACGATGCTGTCATTCCAAGGAAAACAGGATTTTCAGTCAACGCACTGATTACATCCGCTTCTTTGAGAATGGTATGTTTAAAAGAAAACTTGATGATTGGATCTTGGCATTTGGAAAGTACTACTCTCAATGATTCAATATTAAGGTAAGTCACAGTAAGGGTATCCTTAAATAATCCAATTTCAATATACTCTGGCGCGTGTTGTAGATCTTTGTGGTGAGATTTCATTAATAAATGAATGTTTGCTAACACTTCTGTTTGTCTCACATAGTTTCGTTCGTTTAAATCTTCATCGACTATTGCAATCATTTCGTCTGGCATTTCTCTTCCTGTAGATATTTTAAAGGCAACTGAAAGTAATTGACTGTACTTGACATGTGGTTCCCATGATACTCGATGATCAAAGAAAAAGAGTTTTGTCACACCTCGCTTCTTATCCAAATTGTCAACATTGAAAACATTGCTATGAAAGCATTGCTGACCTTTCAGCATTCTTCTTTTCCTTCTCTCAAAATATTGATCAACAATGGAAACATATTGTTTGGCAAGTTCATCTTCACCTTCACCAGCAAGAAAATAGGCCAAGTAATTATAGGTCGACAAGACACTAAAACTGTCAAAATCATCAAAAATTAACCCTAAATACTTTTTTGATACATTAAATGATTCCAACGCTTTTTCTCTTCTTCCAGTGCTTATGTATCACATTAATTATCCAATAAAATAATTAATAGTGGAATAAGGTAAAATGTGTGTTTTCAGACAACTTACTATTGGTCACACAATGCCTGTATGGCATAAAACAATGCCAGAGAATATTCATCCTGTTGGAGCTCTTGCTCTTCAACAAAAGTGTCATTATTTTTAAAGAATAAGGTTTCCATACACGGATAATTAATCACAGCCATTCCCATCGCCATTTTTCTGAAATACAATGTTAAGGTCTGTTTTTTCACACAACTTCTCATCATGGACTCACTCCATTGAATTTGAGGCATCTCTGAAGAGACGACTCGTTTGCCGAGAGACGATCGTTGCATTCCATTATTGTTGTTTCTCCTACTTTCTATATTTACAATGATGGTGGTGGAGGAATGTTCAACATTTTCAATTTTTGTACATTCCATATTTGAAGTCCTTCTTAGATATTGTTTGTCCCTCTCTTGTAAATGCATTCCCTTGCATGAATTTCACATTCAGAACATTTAGGCAATGTTTTTGAACATTTTCGATGTAATTTTCTGCAACTCACACACGAGAGTAAGGGCACCAACTGTTTCTTGTTGTCATTGTAATCAACATTAATGGGTGATCTAATCCTATTAATAGTATTCACCACATGCATATCATTTGTGAGTGCCATTCCATTCACAAATTTTGAAAATGTGATGGTTCTTTGAGTTTTTGAGAAAACATCTTGTTGATTCAATGTTTGTCGTCGTTCAGCATCATCTCCTTTTGTCAACATTATTTCACTTTTGGCAGCGTGACATTGCAAAAAATTATCTCATCCTTGTCGTGGTCGACAGAATGATTGTTATTGCTATGATTCTCATCTATGATACAGCAGCGGTTCAATCTTGGTTCTTGCTGTTCTGTGGCAATGAATGTTTGTTGATTCAATTTGTAAATGGGTGCTACTATTTTCTGTGATTCGGAATTTGGAAGATTGACTTGTTGTGGTTGACATTTCACACATGTTACTGAGGATGAAGGATGTTTATCAAGTATGGATGGATAAAAGCCTTCCCGTGACGCCGGTGGTGATGTTGTTGTGTCAAAAGTCAAAGTAGGGTCAAGAGCCGAAACAAAAGGCTGTTGGGACATTTTTTTGAATGTTTACTCGTACTAAAGAGGAGTACCTTTCCTCTCATTTACAACATGCAACGACTTGAAATTAGGTAAAAATGCTAGTATATCTTCAAAATGTCTCCAATGTCAGTTGTCAAACAAAGCTATGTCACAACACCATCCACAAATTTGCCACGAGAAGAAATTTGAAAATTTCCACCGTCACAATTAATGCAGATTGTTTGAAATTCATTCCTCTTTTAAAATCCTTTCTCAACCATGCAAATCCGGATTTTATCGGCTGTGCTCAGCTGGAGCTGTCACCAACTTTGGCAGCAAGGACCTGGCTGAATGACTCTGTTCGCTGCGGCTTGAAGAGGGCCCTCTTTCAAAAGTATTCTTTTTCTTGTATAAATTAAGATTATTAATTCTTTCACATTCATAATTGAAGAAAATCTGAAGATTTAAATGGTATCAATTGTCATTACTCAATAAGAACAGTTCATGTTATTGCATCAGTTGTCAAACAGAGCAAAGAGTAGATCAGAGTTGGAGATTACGAGCAAGAGTGGAATAATGAGAATCTCGAGTTTCAAATCAATTGTTTATTCAGAAGCAGGAGTTGAAACATTCCTTAAAGCCTTCTTATCTTTAATATGAGCGAACAAGACTCTATTAATCTTTACATAACCATCAGAGTCATTGTCATCTGGATACTCTTCTTGATCTACTCCCGAATTGAATGACAAGGCACCGTCATCCTCATGTCTATTGGAGTAATCGTTTTGAAGCACACAAATACCTCCACAATAACCACCACCGCCTCCACCTATTGTGAATAAAAACATCAATTCAGTTCAGTTAAAATATATCAGATTGTGACTCCATTATCAATACAAACCTTCATAGAGTGATCCACCACCGCCTCCAAAACCTCCATTGGCACCACAACTATTGGAGAAAGTACCACCTTCACCTCCATTGAGGAAACTCTTTCCTCCAACACATTGATCGCCATTGGATCCATCTTTGTAGAAACCTCCACCACCGCCTCCTCTGTCACCCTTAGCACTTGTATCCTTTCTTGCAGAGTAGAGCTCTGGATGACAGCCACGACCACCAGGGCCTGCTACTTTCCAAGAATACCAATTGGCTGCCATTATTTTCAAAAAAAGAAATATTGAACATGAGAAAAGCGAGAGTTGCCATCACTTACCTCCAGCTGTGTTAAGAAAAAAACGTCAAAAATTTCAACAAAAAAAGAATTAAGCATATGCAAAGCTACAATAACAATTCCAAACACTTACATCCACCAGCAGCCACAATAAGAGGTTCACCATTCACAGCTACAAAGGTTCCTCCTCCACCTCCGCCTGTTCAAATTCATTGCAATGAATTACACGAGAGATTGGTCCCATCAAAACAGTTAATAATCAACAATGTATCAATACTCACCTGCACCACATGAGCTACCATTAAGACAATCATCACCACATTGACCTACCAAGATGGTTAACAAAGTTCCTCTCCTTAAATGGAAGGTGCCACTCACTCTGGCTCCGTATCCTTCACGTTGAGATCCTGAATATGTGTTTTTTCCTCCTCTCGCACCAGCTGCAATGATTCGATAATAACCCGTAATTGGGATCACCCATTCTTGTTTTCCTCCCACAAGCTTCACCTTATCTTTCAAGAATTTACAGTGATCATAGTGATTACCAATGGTTAGGGGACCCGTTCGGCCTTTTTGTCCCAATGTTGTGAATTTAATATCAAAACCTTTGGGAATGTAACTTTCTAAAATGCATTCTCTTTCTTGATATCTATAGTCTCTGACAATGTGACTGGCGTCTGGGTTCAACTTGAATTTCATGGCATCATAAATAATGGGGAACAACTCTTGTCTCTTGTGTTCCAACAGTGGATGTGCATCAATGGTAGAAAGAATCTCTTCATCTACGAGGGGGAATCTAATTTCAGCAAGTAGTTCATCCAAATACTGCATTCTTGTTTCTTTAGAATGTTCAACCCACTTCATAATTGCTTTCAAAAGGGATCCTTCACTGCAAATAAGTTGTTTACCTCTAACTAACAATCTAATATCGTCAATGGACAATAATACAAATTGCTTTGCCTCTGAAAAATCATCAAATTCTGCAGCAATCTTGGTCAATAGAGTGTTTTTGAGGCCACTGATTTCCGTGTACTTATTTACATATTTTTCACACTTATCCAACAAGAGGAAACAGTGTTCGGCATCAATATCAGTTTCCTTCATTGTCTGGAGAGTTAACTCTTCCAAATCCTTCACACCATATCGATTTGCAAAAGCGTAAAGATCAACAAAGTTATCGATCGAATGATTGGCGGTATCACCTCGATGAACAACACTCAAGAATAGATCCCTTTTTTAGCGGAATTATTGAAATGCATCTCGTAAATTCAAACTCGTCTCTGTACTTACATGGCTGTTTCATTAGTCTCTACTTTCACTTCAAAACCAGGGGTGAAATCAGATCCGTACAATTGGTCCTTTAACACTGAGCTCCAATTGGCAATCTTGCATACAGATCATTAAATTTTCATCACAGAAAGCCATCAAGTTTTCAAGGAGATCAATAATAATAAAACAATTCAATTCCAAACGGAGAGATCAGTAACCACACGGAATACCTACCAAGGCTCTTACGATCGGATACTTCTTTCCAGAATCAACCACCAAAACAGCATCAGCAAGATCTTTGTTTGAGAGAAGTTGGTTCAACTTGCTCAAAGTCTTATCGGTACATTCCATCCAAACCTCTTCTTCATGATCATCAAAAGATGAAATAGAAGAGCCGGTCTTCTTATTTTCGCTCTCTTTGGATAGAGAAACACTTGTTTTTGATTTCTTGTTCTTTCCTAACGAAAAGAGAGAGGAAAGCATGTCGTAATAGGATCGGAGCGTGAAGCAAATTTTTTATAAAATTGTTGTTTTGTTTATTCTTCCTGGAATTGCACACCAAGATGAACTTGAGTTCCAGGTTCTACTACAGCCCACAAGAGGAAGAGGTTGATCAAAAGAGTTTGTCTTTGCTGGAAGAATTATAACTTGGAAAGGCCCAAACGATGATCTGAAATAAAGCAGTCTGTAAAATAAGGACACTTGTCCAGGAGACGTATAAAATGATTGAAATTCCATTTCCAAATCTTTTAATTCTGAGGACCTCTCAGTTCAAGAAGTTGTTGTTAACACACATGTTGTTATTCATGAATTGTTCGAAGAATGTTTTCATCCTAAATATTAATTGGGTGGTAAAAACAATAGAATTATTACCATTCATCCATTCTCCATTTTCAGTTTACAAGATAATAATCTGAGTGAAGAGCTTTTTGTTCAATTCGAATGAACCATTTCATTAAATCCTTCGCTTCTTAAATTCGAAATCTTTTCATTTTGAAGAGGTTTGCATTAATTGATAATTCTTTCTTATTTGAAGCATCAACTAGCCCATGAAGCTATCCTCCTTCCCAGAGTGTCCACACATCAGTCGACCAAATGAAAAAAGTCATGTTATAAATAGTCAATCCCCAAAAAGTCTCATGCTTTTCATTCATGATGAAAAATATTATATATGGCAACTCGAGTAAATGAATCTCCGTTCCCCTTGTCATCCACGTAAGAAAGTGGAAATTTCTCAAAAGCCACTACACGGAATCCTTAATCTTTTTTCTGCACATCTTTTGTTTTGGAAAGCAGGGCGATCTTTAAACACAAATAGAAAGATCACTACCTAGCCAATGTTATAACCATCCCAAAAGAATGTGGGGAACCCTGGTTGACTCGTTTGTTGAGTCTCAACTGGGACTTTAAGTCAACTCTCACCATCAGAAATGCTCTTTATGTTCAAAAAAAAAACTCCTCCAACCCCCTCTCACTCACTCACTCACTCAAATTGGTACAATCTATGCTCAATGAAAATGGAACCAAAGGTTTCAACGAGAGTATTAGTTACCTTGTCTTCAAAGGCGAATCCACTTGTCTTGATGATTCGATTGATCCTTTTAACGCTGCTGGCATGGTGGTTCATGTTTCCTCAATGTGTGAGTTCCATGTCTAATGTAATGTTGGATCAGTACTCTTCGCATGTTGGTGAGTATAACAACGATCACATGAATCATGTCGTTTCAACAAGTGAAGAGGATGAGTTTTCTCATGAATGGGGAAATGAGCAAGTCGAGGAGGATATTTGGAGGTCCATCTCTCACGAGAGAATGGCAAGAAGACAAAGCCTCTTTGAAGAGAGTGAATTCTCCATGGCCCTTGCTGAGTTATTTTACGCTGAGAGAGCCATGACATGATCCACAGAAACTCTCAATAGTTACTGAAAGAAAAAGGGCAAAACTTTTGAAGGGTGGTCAGCTGTTCCTGGAAGAACAATAAAAAAATTTTGAGGAGTGGAAGGAACAACATGATTAAGGATCTTTTGGAAAGTAACGAAAATTGTTTTGTTGTTCACAAACTCTTTGTTTTACTATTAGACCATCAGGATTGACTGGTTAAGGATAGGGAGAAGTGTTTCTTTGGTCATGAGATAAGTAAGAAACACTCAATGACGTACGATCCTTTATTGTATGGTACTGATCTAAGCATGCACGATTCGCAACATCGAGAAATAAAATTGATTGTGATTGGAAATTTTTCAAATAAGGAAATTCCAAATCAATACCATTGATTCATACACATGTGGAAACGATTATCTTTTTGGCCTCCGTACAATCAATATATTGACAAAAAGAACAGTCGTCATCATCATGATGCAGGTATCTCTCGAACGTCCTTGTAACAATGCAAACGCCACAACAACAACCCATCATCATTGTGCTTTAATCAATTCGCCATCACTGAATCAATCACCACAACGGCTTGAAACCTCTCCTCCTCCTTCTCCTCAAGCATTGGAAATGATCCAGTCGTCTTCACTTACATCGGGTTGGAGTGGATTCTATGAAGTTTTACTTCACTGTTTACGTTCATTGAGAAGAATGATGTTTATTCTCATCAGTAACAGTGGTAGTCACGAAACAGAGAATCCCTCCACGACTACTACGAGTACTTTATGCCATGTGAATCCGTTTTCTCTTGTTGTATCATCACCGTCACAGTCATCATCATCACCTCATGAAAAGTCCATCCTTATGAAAGATCGTCCTCTCCCCTCTTCAACTTGTTGTTCGGATCATACCATTGCTTTTAAAATCCCAAGTAGAGCAACAAAACAAGAAGAAGAATCTCCAATCCACATGCAAGTGGAATCATTGAGTTGTTGTGCACAACATTCCAACTCTCAAAATGAATGGACAAGGAGCAGTGAAAGTTGCGACTTGCACACACCACGAACAACGTCGCCAAAGATGCTTGAAACTCAATCCTTGCCATCATCCAATGCATCACTTGGTTCGACGTCGTCATCTCCTATTTCATCCTCTTTTTCTTCATGTGAAGATTTGCATACTTTTCTTGAATATGGCAGAAGACAGAGTTTGTTTGAACCTGGGGAGTACGTTTCGGTCATGACAGAAATATTAGATACAGAGAATTCCAAGAAACAGAAACAACATTCGAATGGTTTGCAACTGCAATGAACAAGTGTGAAAAAGTCTTTTGGGCTTGAGATTATTTTGTGAAAAAACAGTCTGTGAATATGTGACTTCAAAAAATTTGAAACAGACTCTTCTGAAGGGGGTAAACTGAAAAAACTTCCAATCAGGTTGACCTAAAAAAGACTCTTTTTTTGATCATGATCTGAAATGCAATTGTGATCTGGAAAGGGATGTATTTCGTTCTTCTAGGTATGATATTCTCTTCGTGAAAGTTAGAATCATCTAATAAAGAACAATAAGTGATCCGTTGCGGATCGTTTTTGTTTAAGGAAAACATATCTAACACAAAAAGCTTTCAGAGTGAAGAACTTGGAGCCCTAAAGAATTACGTTTAAATACAAGACTCTCTTTGTTGTTGGATTACATGTGGTTAAATATCAAGATCATTATATTTCGATAGATTACGGATTGACAATACTATATTCCTACTATGGCGCAAATCAATATTGCTCGTTATTTTGCCACTCATGATATTATTAAGTCAAAATCTGGAACTAACACTTATGATTCTCCAGAAAAGAACGAGAATGGAATTGTGTCACCAAAGAGTGATATATTCACTCTTGACGTACTTTTCAAGAAGATAAGCATGATATGCAAGATCTGGTTTCAAAAATGTGTAACTATAGGATAGAATGGATGCTACATGTTACTTAGAGTGCTTGTTCGAAAAATATCCTGAAGAAACTGAAAACGCAGTCGCCTTTTTTACAGACACTATTCGATTCAGAAAAGAGCTAGAAAGATCGCCCAACTTACTTGACATATGCAGAGCTCTGATGATCAAGTGTAATACATGTCCTTTTAAAAGAGCTTTCCCAAAATCTCATTTTGAGATAAATCTCTCCAATAATGCTGTATCAAGTCTGACATAATGCTGTGCAGGGCAATATGAAACATGTGAGAGGTTGGAGTTTCTAATCTTAATGAAATGATTTGCACAATATCCTTTGGTATTACAACATGATACTTTGCGTTCAACGAAAAATATTCGTCAAACAGCAGTCTTGCTTGTGTCTCCATTTCTTTAAGGCCTTGTTCGGATGTGGTTCGAGGCGACAATGTAGAAAATCGTTCTTTAAATTCACAAATGCGTAAACAGCATCTGACTTGATTGTAAAGACAAGTGTCCTTCCTATCACTCCAATTTAAAATTGCGTCACGATATGAATTTTCAGTCAACATTTCGAGAAAGAAAATATGCGTGGATGGAAATAAGATGGTCATTTCTCGTTCAAGGAGCTCAATATGCTCACGTTCTGATTCTTGTTGCATAAATAATTTTTCATTTTCTTGCTCAAGTATTTCAAGTTGCTTGGAGAGCAATAATACTTTGGTTCTCAATAGTTTAGCTTCCTTTTCATATGATCGCTCTAGATGATGTTTAAACTTTTCAACACGGCTGCCAATTTTGTGTTTGTGTTCGGATAATTGTTGTAGAATGGCAGTTGATTGAAAGTTGTTCTCTAAAACATTGCCACTAATGACGAACAAATGTTCAACAATGACGTTGTCATCGCTGCTGCATTCTGAGTCTTCACTATCCTCGTCCTCAGGGCTATTCGTTTGACTGTGTCCACCACGTACAGTATTATAAATCAACTCTTTTGCCTTATTCTCTCCACTACTGGCTAAGAGTATTTCATTGAAATCCTTTTCGTCTTGTTGAACTACTTCAGCATTGGATTGAGTAATGGTGTCAGCAGTCGGTAAAGAGTCGCTCCATACTACATTTGGATTTACCAATCGAAATACAGCCATGAAGGCCATCTCAGAAAAATCTTCGTCGTGGTGGTTGTGATCAATCTCTCCAAGTGATATTTCGACAGCAAATACTCTTCCAGATTTTGTCTTTCCAACCACATTCCTTGGTTTTCCAATCATTCTCTTCACTCTATGCTTTACATATTCAGCCATGTACTCGTCGTGGTGACTGGCAAACATTGAAGGCATCAATACCTTAACACTCTCACCAATTAATTCTGTATGTTCCCATTCAAATAAAACCTCTGCTGAGTTGTTAACACCCAAAATAATGCCCTTTTCATTTGCAATGATCGTTGGATCGGTCATCATCTCAACAAGTTTTGAAATTTTCAACCCTTTTTGAAAGAGCTCAAAGTTAATACTCTTTGGGATGTGTTCCAACAAGCTTTGAATTGAAAGAGAAGACGATGATGTGATAGACGAGGTGGAAAAATCTGGCATTTGATAATGACTTTTCGACAATTCATATTTGACATGTTCATAAACGATCTCGAAGCCTCGTATCCACATGACGTATTGTTCATCACTTGGTGCCACCACTAAAAGGGTTTCTCTTTCTCCCAACGAATTTTCCACAAATAGTAATAAACTATTTTCTTTACCACAAATATGAAGAGCAGGTTGTGGAAGAGATGGTACGACTGTTGAATCAAGAGCAAGAACAACAGAACCACCTTGACCTTGCTCAGTGATCACTGAGGAAGAAGCATCCTTTTTGTTATCCATTTTGCGCTCTAGTTGAAGTGAAGAAGAAGAATACACCATGAGATATCTTTGCAAGGGTGTATGGAAATTAGAGGATTTAAATTTGATGAGCACTCCATCCTTGGATAATGTAAAGAAAAATCTGAACATGTTCAGATCATCATCGTCATTCGCATGGAAGGGTTATTATCATTTCAATGAAACAGAGTTGTTTTGTTGTTGTGATTCTTAAAATCAATAATGGACCTACTTTTTCCATCTTCCGAATAATCCATCTTGTCTCATAATTAATTCTCCACTCGCAATCATGATTTGGTTTTCATCTTGATGATGATTCTGGTGACTTCTTGGGTGCATATGGTTGTATGAATGTGTTGGTTGAGAAATTACATCAACGACCTGTTGTGGGCTCAATTTTTCAGTTGAGTGTTTGAGTGGTGTGAATCACTCCAGGCATCGGCAGAGCGAAAAGCCTCTTTGTTGTTTGTTTGACTTCTGAAGTGTTTTAATTTTCTCCTTTTTCAGACATGATGGGTGAAGAGGGAATTTGTGTTTGGTTTTAGATATTGTTGAAGTCCCTATACAACATGTTGAAATGGAAATAATTGGAGAATTTTCTGTGCGCACAGAGAACCGTGTCATTCACCCCAAAACATTCGAGTGTGTTCTTTACTGTGAATATTTACAACAAAGTCATTTCTTAATGATGCTAATTAATTTCTGACAGTTCCTTATTGCGTCGATTGGAGTCGGTTAAAAGGAGTTTACTGGTGAGTTGAATCCTTATCGAAAGAATGAGAGAGAATGAATGGACTCTTTAGGAAATTTCTCTTGGACATTCGGTCGACATGAAAATTTCTATTGAAACAATTGTAATGATAAATATTGCAAAGGTCTGGATAAATCACCACACATGCATTTTCTCCAATAAACTTGTTACAAAAACTACATTTTGATTTTCTAAATACCACTCGTTTTCTTCGTTGATATTCAACAAGTTGGCCTTGTGTTTGAATGTGATCCATCTTACTCATGCTCTTCATCAGACTTGCCGTTCTCAGATTGGTTGCATTTTGTTGAAGTGTAGCAGTTAAAAAGGGAAGAATTTTCTTAGTGCATAAATTGTTTGGCAGCATTCGAAGTGCTGCGATTGGATCTATATGTTTGGCATACTTATTGAGAATATAAATTCCAAAATCAATGTGCCCACGTGCTTTCGTTTGCTTGATTGATGCTGCATCTTGAAAGCAAAGCTTGAGTAGAATCAAAAAGAGCTCATTGTGAAGTGTCACTTTTGTATAATGTCTGTCATACATTTCTGTTGAAATTTCCACACTGCTCAGAGCTCCATCCTGATATTGTTGCATGAGATTTTGGTAAAATTCAAGTTCATAAATGGTTTGTTGTTCCTTACAATAATTTTCGGCTCCTTCCATCGAACACAAATCAAACAATAATATTCGCAAAGCTTTTTCATGTTCTCTTGAAAGAGAGTAGAGTAAAATCATCTCTTGATATAAATTTGTTCCCTGTAAACGAGCCAAAACCGTTTCGAGAGTTATAAAATCTTTGCAGTCTTGAATATGAAGCATGAGTTTTGTTCTCAAGTCCCAAATGGCTTCTTGGTCTTGTCTAATTTCATAGGAATTAATGACATCAATATATTTCAATGCCAACAATGTGTAGTATTGGGTCTGAATTGGAAATTTCTCATGATCTTGTAATTTTGAATTCTTATTGTAGTCGTGAATAACATATTCAAGCAGAAGTTGAATCACTTCGTTTTGAGTTTCTTCATCCAAATGTTGTCTCACAAACTTCAAAATAACATCGACGCCCAAATATGAGACATTATGGGTCAATACTGATATACTTTTGAAATGGTCTAGCTTGAGACACCATTCAATATTAGACCAAAACAATTCCTTTTTCTTGTCTATCAAACGGTCCTCGTCCGTGGATGGCATTGGCCTATCAAAGATCTTGTGTAATATACATACGGTTTCATCGAAAGCATATTCTCCCATGTCAGACTTGTTGTCATCGCTGTTCATAGCAATATTCTTTAACAGTACCAATGATTTGTTAACATTTTCGAGATTGTAGTTCAGATAGGTTTGATAAAGGAGGGCCATATAGTACTCTTGTGCTTCTGGAGAAAGAATTTCAACCTCAGCCTTCAATATCTTCATGCATACATCAAGTTTACAATAGCATTTAGTGTACAGTTGTTGTGCCGTGAATGTAATTTCAGAGTCAGGATCTGGCTTTAGAACTGCCTTAGTTTCTTTTAGCATTCTATTGAGTCTTGAGAGATCTCCAGAGTCTAAGTACATTTTGAACAATAAATTGTCAATGGAACTCTTAGCAGACGTTGAGATGAATGCCTCTTCAAAAAAGAGTGACTCGTCTTTCATATTCCTTTCGATAGAACTAATTTTCTTTCTTCTATATTCTAATAATGGTCGTAAATACTTTTTACACCTTACGATGAGTTGATCAGCCTCTTTTTCAACTTCTGCATTTGCCTGTAAATCTCGTCGTTTGGCAATTTTCTCCACGAAAATATCATAAAGACTCTTTGGCTTCTTTTTTTCAAAATTTAAATATTTTTGAGTCCAACTTATTTTAGGTGAGAAATTGTCATCGTTTAGAATCAGGGGTCTGTAATCTGTAAACAAAATTATTAACTCTCTCATATCATATCCAAGACGATATTCTAGAGCTTGTTCATGTTCTCTAAAATATGTAAATGCTTTTTCGACATCCAAATGGAATAATGAAGCAAAGGCCGCTTCCAACAACAGTTGTTGTCTCCATCTTTTCTCGATGGCAGAGTCGATATGCTCTCCTTTTTCTCTCTTAAACTCCAACATTCTTTCAAACAATTCAAAAGCTTCGCTACAGTGTGCCATTTCAAACAGTGAAGAAATTTGCTTTTCATACGAGATGGGTGACAAAAGTACAACGGTTTGAATTTTTTCTTTTTTGCTCTCTTTCTTGAAACCGAGAGTGGAACTTGATGTATTTGTGGTTGAGGCAGGTACGAAACTATCGCAACAGACAAATACTCCAATGTTGACTGAGCCTTGAACTAAACTCCATGAGGAAATATTATTCAACTGATTTGATTCTTGAGAGCCATTCTCTGAGGTGTATACTACAGAATTGGTGGAGGGTTGAATGTACAGGGTTTTCACTAGACGTGAATCATAAATACTATAAACTTCAATCTTTTTCCCTTGATCTAGAATACCAACTGCATATGGAAAGGAGAATGCAATTTGTTGGGGTGACGAAGACCAAGTAATTGGAGGTCTGTTAATCGATTGAATTGAATGGTGGGTTTCACATTGATTTGAAAATGTAATAAATTTTTCACAAACTGCACTTACCGTGTCGAGGGTGTTCCTCGTTGCTCACTCGAAGAACGAGTGTTCATATTTACAAATACGCTGATACTGTCGGTTCTTAATAAAACCTCATCATAAATCAAGACACACAATGGGCGATTGTCTCCAGATTTTGAGTCACCTAATTCTAATACAGTCGAAGGAATCATGGATTGTTTTGAATCCATTGTTCCAGTGTCCATATTAATTAATGAATATTCTTTTTTAAATCCAACAATTAAAGTCTTGTCAAACCAAGCCAAGCAATGATGATCTTGAATTGCCTCAGGTAAAACAAATTCCTCAGAAACGAGTCCCACCGAAAGACAATCCTGTTCAGTGTAGTGAAGAATTTGTAACTTTTTCTTGGTGCATACTAACAGTCGATGATTTCTCTTGCATTCATCAATAGTAAAACATGTAAGTCCAACCGATTCTTGAATTCTCTTGATATGTGTAAGCAATAATTGTTTTCTCTCTTCAATAAATTCATATCTGAAAAACTCAATCGCATTTTGTACTTGAATAAATAACACTTGAACTTGATCATCACACACAATTTGTTTGATCGGAACTTTACCCCACAGCGCTTGACCAACAGCTACATTCTGACCTGTAGACATTGTGGTATGTCGTTTAGAGGTATTACTGAGAGAGCTCAAAGCACACGCGACAGGCTTTACGGTACAGACATGATGAACCGTAATGGATGGCTGCTCTTCAGAGTCATAGGAAGGAGCATTGATGTTGTGGTCTTCCGAAAAGCTCTTGGATGATGATGAATTTTCTTGGTTTCTATTGATGTAATAACATGAAAGGTATCCCTCCGATGTTGCAAAAAACAACAAGTGATTGGGATTATCAATGCAGGAACATTCAATGGAACCATACTGAGATTCGGAATGTTGAATGGAGAGAGGAACAACTTCCATGGCTCAGTTTAATCTTTGTCAAATAAAAAGATAAACTAGTAAATTGATGAATCAAGTTGTCAATAAATTAATTGTTAAAAAAATCAATAAATGACTATCCGAGAGAGAATCATCAGTGTTTGCAACTTTTTTTTTGAGTTGGAAACGTTTGCAACCTAGGAGCAGAGAATCGCGTCTGTATTTTACATAGTTATCGTCGGTAGTAAATGAAGCTTATTGAATGCATATTGTGCATAAGTAATGTCTCCTTACTGCGGTCTGTTATTTCGAAGGTGATTCAAGCTTGTTTCCGGTGGTACGGCCGACGGTAAAACTCGAGATAAAAAATACTGTCGGGAGTTACTGTTGAAAAGAATCCACCAAGACACAAAATACAGTCGGAAGAAGCATCATGTTAAATATTCTAATAATGGAGGTTTAATGAACGAAACAACGACGGAAATACTGTTGAAATAACCTACCACAACACCTGTGGCTGTTACTATCGATGATAATGATGGAAATATTCCTATTTTATTTTTAATTCAAATCGAAATTTTTTTGGTTCAATATTTGATTTAAAATTGTTATTGCAAATGCATTTTAAATTTTATTGGCATCATAATTTACAACTCAACAACGATGGCAGGGTTGACAGGTCTTGAGCGTCTCATTTTCGCTGATGATGATTTACGTAAATGCTCTTGATACAGTTTATATTCCTCAGAATTGATGTCATACACATCTTCGTCGTTTTCAAAGTCAAAAAGGTTGTCTGAATTTTTGCTTTGAGACTCCAGATCTTCTACGAAGTTTCGCCTTCTTTTTTGCGTTCACAAATATTTGACTTATATGTTTCCTGCACATCTTTATCAACTAAAAACGATTGTTGTGAAATTTAGTCAAACAAATAACAAACACAACTTACTATTTCATCTACCTGGGATTTATCACAATCTGAAAGAATACTATAGTTTGGAAGACTTGAACAAAATGTTTTAACGTGAGTAACCACTGTGTCTGAAAGTTGAAGCTTTTACTCTTGTGTTTGGGGATTAGAACAGATTTGAAGAGTTAAAGTTAAAAGGAACAGCATTACAACTTACTTGGGAGAGAAATGAATGAAATTTCAATTTACAACATTGTTTGATGCTTCATGGAAAGAAATGATCACCAAGAAATATCGACAAGAAACAAACCTTGCGTTGTTCTGAGTTAAGAATTGCTTGCTTTCTTGAAAAAGTGTTATATTCAATGATGGAGCTATATAAGAAATGTTTTTTCGATTACGTTTCTTCTTGATACCCCTTACAGTGTCAGTTGGCATTATGATTGGTTTTTTTTTTGTTTTGATTTTCGAAAATACCGGCTCAACTTTGAAACTATTGGAGAGAAGTTTTTGTAAGCGAGTTCAGATCGAGCGCGCACAGGAAGCGTTTTCTTTACAAAAAAAAATATCATGCTTCAGAACAAGGCCGAATCCAAATTCTTTGACGTGGTTTCCTTGAGAATGTGCCACAAGTGCAATGTACATGATTTGGAATTGTATATCCATAATTCGGCAAAGTGTAAAACCTTGAATCCCTCTATCAAATGCACTTGTTTTTCATGCGGCACAACTTACTTCACTTGTCCTTTTTGCAAAGATTGCTTCTCCGACTCTCATGCACCCAATTTTTTAAAACACATGAAAAGATGTTCAAACAAAGATGAAGCTCAGAACCCCGTTTTCAAGTGTTGTTCTGAACAAACGACAGAGTTTGATCATTATTATTCTCATATCATCAAAAATCATTGTGGTCATTTGTGTTAGTTTTTAAAAAAACGCAAACATGAGGATAAAATGGATGACGAAAAAAACAACAAGAAAACGACAGGAGTGGTTGTTATGGAGGAAGGCTGTGATATTGGTGGTTTATTGATGAACTTAGAAGCTCTCACTGCTGACGTGCAGAATTTAGTACAAACACCATTTCCAATATTTGAATTTTTTGAGAAACTGAAACAATCTATGCCATATGTATCAAATCACTCGTGCGAACATGAACAAGAATTTCACTAAAGATCACCCTTTTGAAAGTTTTGAAGAATTATGTTGTTTTATGTTAATCAATCACTTTGGAATTTCAACATTGCGTTCGTTAAACAAGTAACTGATAAGGTAGTTCTTAGTTCCTTGATCTTTGAAGTGAAACACATGGATAACGTTTCCTATATGTATCACCTCAAATGCATTCCACAACTAATGCTATCAGCAATAGATATCAGCAAAGTCAAGTCTAAATGTAGCTGTATTTGCTATTCATTGCCATCTGGGTTAAAGTGGCAATTAAATTGAATCAATTTGCATTTTGTTATAATTTTTGTAAATAAATATTAATTTTCTAAATATTTCAAAAATCAAGTCTTATTCAACAAAGTATCTGAAAATAATTCGTGGGTACTTTCATCCGTACCAATCCGAAAGTATTGTCCGTCGTTGTTATCATAATTAATTTCAATCATTATTTTGTCAATATTATTCTCCGTCCATATCTTGCCAGTGGTATTTCATCCGACAGTATTGGTCGAGCAGTAAAATACGTCTTATTTTCATCGGTCAGTATTTTCCTCATTTACTTTTCCGACGGTATTTTAATGACCAGTATTATGCAGATGTAATTGCCCTGTTGTATTGTGTCGTCCTTGATGCCGTGGTTAATATCCATCAGTATTTTAACCAGCGATATTCTCCATCCGTATTCGTCCAGCAGTATTTTAATCGAAGGTATTTTTCGATGGTAGATAAACGTCTTATTTTTGACCGCACTTATTTTCTGATTACTCATGCGTTATGCCTGCTTCCTTCTGCTCCTAGGAATCATGAAACGATCGACGTTATTACTTTTTTATTGTACAGAAGTGGTGCTAGTGATTGATGAATTTTCTTCGTTAGGAATGGTTGATGATCCTGTTGTTGGAGTGGATTGTGTGGCATCCTCATGAACTGGAGATTTTTGTGACTCTTCTGACTTTTTCTTGCTCTTTTTCTTGCTCTCATTTGACTCTGCTTGAGGTTCGTGGTTCATGCCGAGCAGGTTTTTCATCTTTTCTCTTAGAGATTTGTTTTCCTCTTCTAATTGAGTTATTTTGTTTTGGAATAACACAAAGCTATTCTTTGTTTCTTTCACGGTCTTTGTAAACTCATCCATTTTGGATTGGGAAGTCTTGAGTTGTTTTGTCATGATATTTCGTTCATGATTGGCAGCTTCTACCTTCTTTTTAAGAGTTGAGTTTTCCTTCTCTTTTTTCTTCAAAGTTTCAATGAGCTCGTCGAGTTTGCTTTCGAACAATTGTTTTTCGAGACCAACTCGTTTTTGTTCTGTTTGGCTTTGTTTTGAAATTAGTTCTAATTGCTGTTTGTAAATCTCGACTTGGGTTTGTAAAGTTTCCCTTTCTTTTTCGAGCGTGAGTCTCTCCATTGCTTGTAGGTCAAGCTTTGAACGAATGTCATCAAGAGCATCAGAAAACTTCTTACTTAAACCATCATACTTTTCGTTATGTTCTGCTTTAGTTTTTTCATAAGCCTTAAGTATTTCGTCATTACTACTCTGCAATAAAGTGCAATATTGTTGCAACTTTTCATTTTGTTCTTTAAAAACAGAGAGTTGTCTCTCCACTGTGGTGTCAAAAATCAATGAAAAGAAGTATCATCATGATGTTGAAATAAAAAATCAATACCAATAATAAACATACGCTCCAACCCTCTTGCCTCACTGGCTTGCAATCGACGACATAAAATTGCATTCTCTCGTTTCAAATCAGTGTTTTGTTTGGCTATAGTTCCCGAAAAATGTCTATCCAAAATGGTATCTACGACCTTCAACTTGGTTTCACTGGTGGATGAATCATTCATCTTCTGAATAATCTCATTCTTCAATTCCGATATTGTTTTCACAGCTTGTTGTTCGATTCTCTCCAATTCTTCCTTTTCTTCTTTTTTCAATCTGGCAGAGAGCGTTTCTATCAAATGCCTAACTTGTTGTTCATTAAATGGTGATGAAGTAGTGCTAGCATTGCTGTTCTCTTCCTTGCCTGCTGAACTGCTGGTTGTTGTATTTTGGATCGGAGACGACACCGATGAATTGCTCGTTGTATTCTTTGAAATCTCTGATTTTGCTTGTTCATTCTGAGCAGCCATTGCAGCTACTTCATCCCAACCATCCGAATCATGATTCTTGTTGGATGATGACGAAGATGTTTTGTGCTGAGAGGAAGCCTTGTTGGACTTGCTGTTAGCCTTCTTACCCATTTTTTTGTTTTGTAATATACGAGAGGAACCGAACAAGAGAGAGAAAGGTCAGTCATTTCAATGATCTTTAAAACCATTTGAATGCTATTATAATATTGGAAAGGAGTGTAAAGAGTATTGGTCATGAAAGAGTTCTCTTTTTGCATGATCATTTCCATGGAATCAAATTAATCACTGACATTTACAAGACTGAAAAAAATGTTTAAAGTCGATTCTGGAGGTGGCCAATTTCATTCGCCATCAACCACGAAGATAAATGGGAGCCGATTCTACCACAACAGATACTTCATCAGTAATGAAGAAATGAAGCTAAAATACAGCAGTTTCGTCTTGAAACATTTATTGATCCTCATGCTGGGAATGTCACTTGTCATTTTGATGAGCTGTCCAACGACCACGATGGTGGTTCATGGGCAACAAATTTATTCATCTCCATCAAAAACTGAAGTTTCATCAATACCACTATTTCCAACGGATCAATCATTACCGAAATCATATGCAGGAAATTTACCTGTTCGAAATGGACGTGATCGATTGTTTTATTGGTATTTTGAAAGCTCCGATAAAACAGCCCAAGATTTGATTGTCGTTTTGAATGGAGGCCCAGCTTGTTATTTTGCTGAATTACTTTTTATGGTGTGTATTTTAATAGTAGTTTTTTGACTATAATATTATTTAAATATTCCCAAATTCATGTTGCAAATGACAATAATTTACAATACATCCATAATATTGAATACATTCAACAAATTACATACAACTAATGAATGATGAACAATTATTGAAACAACACATTAGGGAAATGGAGTTTTCAGTATTGAAGGAGATTTAGTGAGCGGAAAAGCAACTAAGGTCACACTCAATAGCAAATCCTTTCATCACTTTGCTCATGTTCTTTATATTGATTCTCCACTTGGAACTGGATTCAGTCAATTTTCTACAACCTCTTCAGATGTTGACTCGTACGCACAGTCCATGTTTCCAGGAAATCCATTAAGAGAAAAATCAAAATTCCCTGGAGCTACCAAATACGTCGTTCAAGACATTCAAGATGCATTGCTTGGATTTTCCACAGCATTTCCAAATTTATCTTCACTACGATTACACATTTTTGCTTTGGGTTATTCTGCAAAAGTAGTTCCCTATCTTGTACAACAAAATTTACCATCTGCTGGAAATGCTAAAAGACTGAAAATTTCAAGTGTCATTTTGGGTAATCCATTTGTACAACCTTCACTTCAGTACGCCTCATATGCTAAATATGGATATATTTCTGGATTGACCATGTATCGACAATTTGTGGAAATGAATCGACAATATGAGCAATGTTTGACCGATGTAGAGAATGGAGATTACACTCGTTATGATAAGGAATGTCATGGATTGATCGAAGGATTACTCGTCAACTCTGGAAATGTGTCTCCTTTTAACATTCGTGAACAAACAACTCAAGAATATGTTCAAAGACAGAATCTGTTAAATTCCTATGTCAATAACAATTTATTTGACATGTTGAAAAGTCTCGCTTCCATTCCGTCCAAAGTCAATATTCCTCATTGTAGTAAGAAGGTTAACGATTTATTCCACGAAGAATATCATTTAGATCTACCACAAGAACTTTTTCCTGCTCTACTCAATGAAAAATCACTCATCGCTCCCAATTATGCGAGATCGGCTGTTCGATTCCTCGTCTACAGTGAACAATTTAATTTAGTCAGCAATGTCTTTGGTGTGAATGAATTTTTGAGGCAAATGCTCAATTGGGACGGCCAAGTGTATTTCAATAACATTAATTCGACCATTTTTAGAGTGGGTGGACTTGTCACAGGAAGATTTAAATCTTATGGCGGTTTAACACAAGTTGTTTTGTATAATACTAATTACATCGAAGGAATGCAAGACAATCCCAATATTGGATCGACCATTTACACCAATACCAATGTTGACATGGTGAGCTCAAAATTTGAAATGGTTCGTCGTTTCATTACTCGACAAGGCAGTGACGATAATAGAGATGATCGAAATAATTTATGTCCAGACTCAGATGCCATATGCCACTCATCCGTACAATACCCATGCCCTAATAGTTGTTCCAATAGAGGATCTTGCAATTTGACTACCAGCAGTTGTGATTGTAGTGCCAATTTTTATGACAATGATTGTTCGGTTGCTCGATTAAGATACTCCATTGATCAACTCGCACAAAGTGTTTCATTCCCTAATTTATTCATCAACGGAAGAGATACCATTGTTTTTGAAATTGAAATCCAAGAACGAACTTCTTTATTGGATATTTATTTGGATGTCTCTCGAAATGGAGATTTTGGAACACCTTTCGTTTTCCTTAATGTTTCAACACGGCAAGATGCACTCTCGAGTAGAGAATTGAAGAATTTAGCCATGCAACAAATTGGATACAATCTATTGAATGGTTATAAGAGTACAAGATCTGAGGCTCAAGCAAGTCATGCACACTACTTTTTCACACGATACAAATCCTTCCAATTTTTTAATACTTCCCACGAACCAAAGAAAGTGATCGATGCACAAGATGTAGAAATTCTAAGAAACGAATTTCACACACTTGCCATTGTTATTTACAACTCAGCAGACATGCCAGTAGAATTTAATGTGACACTTCGAGCTGCTCCTGGAAGTGGAAAAGTTCAATTAGCAGGAATTTTCTTTTCATTGAGTGTTCTCATGTCCATGATTGTTGTCTTTGAAATTGTTCTCATTTATCAAAGAATGAACAATCGAAAATTATTTATGAACACTAATGCACAACGTCGTGAGGACATTCCAATGAGAGATGTCCAACGACAAGGTCTTTTGAATAGTGAGCAAGACGATGATGAGGAGGAGGAAGAAACTCATTGACAAGAAACAACAACGACCAACAAATAAGAATCCACCACCAGCAGAACTGATGGTGATTTTTGTAAATACAAACCATGATGCTTTTGAACATGACTCGATGATCATTAATTTTACATGATTGTGTGTTCGATGAAATTGTGTTGCAATAATTATTGAATTGACAATTTCATCGTACTAAACCATAAATATTACCATATTCGTATTACCAATAATTGGTATCAAAATTCGTGGCTGATTTTTTGAAATGTCTCTTTCCATGTTCATTGGATCTCTTCTCCGATATATCCTTCTCACCACTCAGTTCTGGAATTAATTCACTCCAATACATTTGTTTGTGAAGACGACTTGTGAATTCTTGAGCGAGTGCATCGGCTTGTTGTTTCGTGAGTCCCCTTTCCATTTCATATTCATTTCCATTGTCATCGAGTCGGACCACTCGCCACACTGGTTCATGGATCCATGTGTTGTTGTTGTTGTTGTTGTGAACGTTGCTGTTTGGAGAAGAATTTGTTGAACTCTCGTTGTTGTCATGTGCACTGTTACGATTTAAAGATGTTCGGAAAGGTCGGAGTTGAGAGGTGGAATGCAACTGCGGCAATGTGCAGTTAAAAGGATCTTTTTCAAGCACTAAGTGATTGCATGAAGTGATGATCGATGTCGATGTGAAAGAGTGTGAAATTTGAAAGGGTCGAGTCGCAGCTGACTTAAATTGTAATGGATTTGAATGGTTGGATGCAAGATGAGAAATCAAGGTTCTTTTGAACATTTTTTATTGTTATTTCAATGTCTTCTGATCACAAGTCTATTGTAATTCACTCTTTGAAGAAGAGATGAACAGCTCCTTCACAATCAAAATATAATTCTGTCAATCAAAATCTGTGAAAAGAAATTGGAATAATTTTGAAGGAATTACATGGATTCAATGATCCAACATCATCTTCACATCGCCCAATCTTTGCGAATAATTATTATATTATATAATTAATAATTATTAAAACAAATATTAAATTCTTTTTACGAAAAAAAATGCAACAACAATCCTTGTTCGAGATTGTTGTTTCTCGCCGATGGGAAAAGCTGGAACAATCGGTCATGATGAGAGGTTTCTCAAACGTTGGAGGAGTCTCTTCATCAATAGTAAATGAACCAACGAATGGATCGTTACTACACTCTGATGGTGCTCAAATGGATATGACTTCTGATGAGGACGGAAATGATCAGGAAATTTATGGGTTATCAAACCCACACGGTCATCGGGATGTGCTGTCCAACGATCTATCACTCTATTTACCATGTCTTACAAGACAATATCATCAATCTCCAAATCGTTCGGCCGGGAAAATTAATCTTTTTAATGTGTTGAATTCTTCTCGATTGTTTGATAAAACAAGACTTTGTAATGATTATAGGACAAGAGTCAATTGGGATCAAGTGCAAGAGAGTTTTATACAATTTCTAATGACTTCTCCATCATCTGCACCGCAACAACAAGTTACGAATATCACAATTTCTTTCGAAGAATCTTCTCTTCAAAACCGAGTGAGGTATGTTTGATATCTATATATGATAATTAATATGAGATCTTTGGAATTTATAACAATATCGATATTAATTCGATCATTCAACGATAGTCTTATTTTGAGAGAAATATTTGCAAGCGCTTTAAACACCCAAAAAAGTACTTTGTTTTGCAATGATGTGTATAACACTGAAATTTGCTACCTCATCTCTTCTACACTCTTTCAAATACCACTGTTTTTATTTTCCTCAAGTTTAGAATCTTCGGATTCTCGTATTGCAGCCATCACTAGAATGAGAAATCAGCACTCACAAGCTGGAGGATTGACTTGGTATTTTAGAGAAGTAATTCGCTTCTTCTTTCTGTTAGATCCGCTATCACTAAATGGTACTTTTGATTCATTAGGGCTTGTTTCTGAAAACGATATTTCTGGAACTACCTACTCGGAAAAATATATAGTTTCAATTGTGTTAAATCATCCTTATATTTTGGAAGATTTAATTGAGTTTTTAATCCGAGAGTTTTCAACAAACAATCAATATATGGCACGACTGGAATCTATTTTGCAGCAACTAAGTTCATTCTCTAGGTCTTCGGCCGAAAAAGTTCGATTTTATTGCATGAAATTTAGAAAATTCCCAGAGTTATGCTTATATATAACTTTTGAAAAGATAAGAGACTATGTTAGCTTTTTTAATAGCTGTTTCAATGGAGTTTTAGAAAGTGGAAATTTGTTCTCCGAGACAAAATCAGCTGAAATGGCCATATTTGAAAGCGTGAAAAAGAATCCCAAAATTCAAGAAATATTAAGCCGTCACATTGTAGCTGAATTGCAAGGAGAAGAAACATCAGTTGCTGACACTTGTTCTCTGCTTCGACTGTGTTGTGCTTTAATGCTTCTTTCAAGTCATAATGTATTTAAGAACGATTTTTCTTTGGTTACTTCATCCAACCGTAATTTACCCGTTAGCATTCATTTGACAAAACTCAGATTTTCATTCTTATTTATTTGTGGAGAAAATATCACTGCATCGCTTTCATCAGATTTGACAGTTATAGACGTACCTAAGAGCAACATTGTTCAAGTTTTGAGAGATTTTATTAGAAATTTAATGGAAGTCTCAAATTCTATGAGCACAACCGATTCACTATCCTCACAAGACAAGACAACAATCAAAAATATTTTACTGCTTTTGGCCACCAATTTTCATGCGCAACTCTACAAGAGTATCGCAACATTTGTGCTAGACACTCTGCATCCAACATTGAAAAACTCAAAACATCTTTCACATAATACTTCTTCGTACAGCTCGGGATCTGGAGGACAGCAAACGGAACAAACAAAAATACCATCCACCAAACTATCCAGACAGTTATTAGATGAAAATACTCTAAAGAGACAACTAGGAGACAGAATTGCCAATCTTTTTGTTTCAGAACTATTTCCTGTCGAAAAACTAGCCCATGACATTTTGACTGTCACACCGCTTCCGTTTTACACTGCAGACAACGATTACGTGTTGCAATGTGTTTTCCGAATGCTAAAGAGCAGACTCTTTAGAAAACATTCTGTTGACGCGTCTGATTGGGTTTTCCAGCAAGTGCGTTCTCTGTATCCAGTGAACGAACAAATCACACTTCACCACTTGATTCCAAAAATCATTCACGAATTAATTCATAGCAATTGCATACCATACGCATCCATGCCATTCGATATGAAACTATTTAGTGATGAAATGATACTAGATGTCTTTGAATCAAAAACTTCGAATCAAATTGCAAGAGCATTGATTTTATATTACATTTTATCGGTGAATAACAGCGTAAAAAAACATCGATATGGACCCACAATAATAGAAAAATGTAATGTTGTGGAAGTGGTGAAATATGTGAAAGAGCATAGGAAACAAGTTGGAGTTTTCTATAGCCAATTGTTATCTGCTGTTGAGGAGCTTCAATATTTATTTCATTTGGAAACTTTACTCTCAGAAGGAATATACAGTGCTGAAACTGTTAAGACAGCATCATTATCTGAAAGTGACATTTCTGATGCCATCAAATCACCAATGTTGGATCAAGCCAAAACAAAAATGGTCCTAGATGAATTGAGAAGCTCTCCCGAATTATCACAATTACACATGAATGACATTATTCGCATGCTTGATATAACCAATAAGGATGGTCTTATGCAAAATTTCCAAGATGTGAGATATTTCGTTTTTCTTGCTTTTCAAGAATGGTGGAAATGGATGTTCTCAAAAACAAATCCAATGCGACTTGCTCTTCAAACAGCTAATGTACTTGTGCTCAAGGAATCTGGAGAGCTCAAATATTATGACATTTATCAAAACATATTACTGCTATTCAGAGTCGATCAACGCATATTCCAATGTCCCCCTCTATTAGACATCTTCCTTCAAATGCTTTCCCTTTTCATGAGTGCATCAAGAAAGTTCATTTTGCAATCGACTCATTCTGATGCCGCTCTGAAAGACAGTTTAATCAAAACACAAGAGAGCTCTATTTTGCAACTCTTACTCGAGTATCTGAATCCAAATATTCTCAACCATGCAGTTGCAGAGAGCGACAAACCTCTCCACGAAGATGACGGAAGTACTGACATGAGAATTGTTCAACGAAAAATTTGTCAATTCATTCACCAGAGATTTATTGAAAATCCAACTCTCTCCAAGCTCATTCACTTCCAAACCTATAATCCGGCTCTACTCCCAATTACTGTCTCATTGATTGATTCGATACACATTTGTATGGACTTTATTCTTGAGTTGCTCAATCAACCAAAAGTGCATCAACAAATGTTTGCGGTCCAACTTGCCTCTTATCTCTGTGAAAAGTATCCACTTCAACGTTATATTGATATTGCTCGAGCAGCCATTACAAAACTCAAACAAATTGCTCATCAACGATCTGCATTAATATCCAGCAATTTTTCTGCCCCTGAAGGAAGTATTGATTTATTCTCAAGCAAGCAACTCGTTAATCAACAAGAAGACTTGAATAACGCACAAGAAATTTTAGAGACATTGCTTCGACTTTCGAGAGCGTTTCCCTTCCTTTGTTTGGAATGTATTCAGGTGGTGCACGAATTGAAAACTGTGTTTTCTTCAAAGCCAAAGGTACTTTTACTAGTTCAGCAATATTTTGTCAAGCTGACAACATCTACTCATAATTAAAGCCGATTATATTCATAATTGCTAATGTAAATTAAAATTATCGTTTATGTTAAAATTCTCTTCTGTATGTTGTCTCTTTAGATAATACACGATGTAATTGTCCTTTTCCAAAAGTAGCTGCATTTTCATCACCGACGATACAATCGTTAGTGTCATTTAACAAAACAACCTTTGCTGTCTGTTTAAATAAATTATAAATCACACGATCCAACTCTTTTCCAGTTTGCTTAAAGTCTGGACCAGCGTTGACCTCCAACAAGTAGACCTCATGACTTTCATCCACCAAAAAGTCCAAGCCATACAATTCAAAACAATGTGGCAGTGGCATGAAATTCAACTCTCCACTCACTGCTTCAAATGTCTCGCCTGTTATTTTCTTGACTTGTTCGAAAATTCGTTCTAACTGCAATCTCGAAATGTGTTCAGCATCTTCCTTGTCTAAATTCCAAAACAATTTCACTGACTCGCTCTCCTTGAAATCGACTTCGTTCACTTGAACACAAGTATTGGTAATGTGTGAAAATGTATCATTGACACGATTCATATCGAAAGGTCTCAATGCAAACAATGCCAATATTTGATCATACACATAAACTTGTAAGGCACCCACTGAGACAACATAAACTCTCATGTGAAATTTTCGTCCACTACACAATAACAAAGGTCTATCCACATAGCGTTGTATGACCCATTCTCTTAATTGTCTCAAATCCACGCGTTGTTCAGAGGATTCATTGACTTCTTCTTCTTCTACTCGGACTTGCTCATGTTTTTGAGTAAAATAATTTTTCAACGCCTCCAACGAATTGAAAATGAAAATTTCAGCTCCCTTATTCGTAATGGATGGTTTTAAAATCCAAGTCGTTAACTTGGCATCATCTTTCGTCGATTCTTCTTGTAATTTTCTTTCATTTTCCTCAAGAGACTCCACTACTTCATAAATATCATACAAACTCTCATCAAAATATTCGGGATCATCCAATTCATAGAGATAGGTCTCTGGTATTGCGTTTTTCAAATAAGTGGTTTCTTGTTTGTCCAATTTTTTGGTAATGTATCGATTTAAAACACTGGCAAATTGTGCTTTTCTGATGAGACCCTTCCGAACACAGTAATAATTACATCGTAGAGGCTCCGATGTGGGCAATGATTTATCCAACGACGATTCATGATGTTGAGCTTTCATGACAAGATCCCAAGCAATGTTTTCATATTCATCCCATTGAACATGAATGTTGAAATGTTTGATAAACTTCTCCACACATTGTTCATAGAGGAGAGCAGCAGGTTCCTCATCATCAGCACAAGTTTCGGAAGCAAACTTCAAAACATCTTCTCGGGTGAAAATATTGTACTGTGCGAGAAATTTGGAAGAGAGTTCTTCTTCTGGGGAGGTAAGAACTCGGAGAAGTAATTGTTGGGAGTAGGAACAATCGAGATGAATGAGAAGGTTGTGCTTGATAGCAGATGATTGAGATGACATTTTTTCGTATTCAAATTTCTGTTTGAAAGATGCTTTTGAGCTAATCAACCATGAATCATGATGTAGCTGAATGGACATGTTTAATTATTAACGATAAATAATGTAAATCCAAAAAGGTCAAGTATCATTCGAGAGAATGTTTTCATGATTAATTTTTACGTTCACATTCATCGCAGGGTTCATTGGAAGGAGAACGATGTTCCTTGAGGTCTAACTGGTGGAGTTTGTTGTCGACAAGTTGTAAGGTTCGTTCAATGTAGTTCAATTGTGCAATCTTAAAACGAGCTTCATCCAAGTCGTCCTTTTTAAACTGCTCATCAATGGAACGCACGATCAGTCGCTTCCTCTCATTGAAATCCATTTGTATTTCAGTCAATGCTTCTCTGTTGTCTTCATTGTCATTAATTTGTTCATTCACTTCCATAATATCCATCAAAAATTCGGGAGACAATTGCACATCGTTCACTGATTTATGATTACAGGGTCCTAATTTTTGTGCCTCCTTCAATTTCAACAAATATTCAGCTCTCAATTTTGTACTTTTCAACGTTTGATAAGCTGTGTTTACGATAGCAGATTGCATTCTTGATATTTTCTTTTCCGTTTCAGATTTTTGAGCAAACTTGTCAGGATGAAGAACCTTTTGCAATTCCTTATATTTTTCATGCAATACTTTTGGATTAATGGAAAATTCGTGAGGTAAATCCATGAGGGTAAAATAATCAATTGAAGTTTCAGGATATTGTCCAGCCAACGTGCCATGAGTCTCGGAAGAAGGTGGTTGAATTTTGTTGCATGAACTACAAAATAATAGATGGCATGATAACTCGGTTTCACAATTCCAACAAGGATGATGATGCTGTTGATGATTTAATAGTATCGGATCTGTACTACGAGGACATTCCCGATCCATGTTTTTAGTGCACACTTGATTTGCTACAAAGTATGTAGAAAATTTCCTTTCGATAATGTTGTTATGACTATTCATGCCAATAAAACTCTTGTCCCTCAAAGCGAGTGCAACATATTGATTGGTCCGCATATTACGGAAACCGTTCTGCAGGACAGAGGATGATGATGATAACTTTCTCCATACAAGATTTGCTTTCATTTTTTTGTGCGTGGCTAATAAAGTCCTTCTATGGTCATTCCTCTGTGAGACGTTCTTGAGATGATGCAGATTGGACCAAGATTGATGATCCCAAAACACATGTGCTGGGAGATTCAATCTAGTCGAACTTACTTGAATGCATTTCAAAATGAACAAAATTGTTCAAAAGAAAAATGCCTCGACATTCAAACTTTTACACTGAAGAAGGTTTGTGGTTATAAAAAGTGTTTTTGGGTGTGTGTCTTAATCCGATGATGGCTGTTGTGATGAATCTTCTGCTTATCACGAATTCGATTTATAAATATCCAATTTGCTCTTTGTATTTCTTTAATTGGAATGTTTCATGAATGATATCGGAGTGCAGACCTTGAAGATGATTATGATGAGCACGAACATGATGGTCATGATGACCATGATGGTACGTTTAGGAATAATAACGTTATATATATTTAATACCTGTCATAATGAATAATAATTGTTGCATTAATTTAATCCTCCGAAAGAAGATCCAGTTCTTAGACTTCAAGACTTTATTCTACACGGAATTGATGCAGAATCGTCTAAATTTATTCTTTCTGTCTTTCCTAAAATTAAAACTGGAGAAGAAGAAGGTCTTCTTGTAGATGTGCTTGAACGCAATGATGGAGATGAAGAGGCAAGCATCAACGAAATTTATGAATTGGCTCAAAAAGAACATGAGAAGAAGAAACAACAAGCAAGCAATATTGTGATTAAATCCAAATCGAGTGACAACAAGTCAAACAAAAACAAGCAAAAAACGACACAACAAGCATCACCGCAACAGCAGCAGCCTTCACAACAAAAGAATCAAAAAACACCAGGATCAACAGGGAAGAACAAGAAAAAAGATAAGGATACTAAGAGTAATATCATTTATGTGACAGAATTGGATCATTCAACAGAAATTTCTGGAACACCCACACCAACCACAGAAGTTTCTGATGCTATATTTTCTACTCTCTCTGAACATAAGCAAGGTATGTCTGTTCATCCAGAGTGATACTACAAAATATAACTTACCCTACTCAATTTGAGAATTTCATGATGGAGAGAGAACAGTGTTCATCAGGGAGAGTTGGCTTTTTGCAAATTGGTTGTTTTGGTTGCAAAGCGCAAGGAAGGATTATCTATTTGGCAAGATTGTGTGAAGAGAGCGAAAGAACAACAAAAAACGCAAAAATATCATCAAGGCGAATTGCATCATCAAAAGTGCACGTCTCTCGCTTGTGAATTGAGCAATTGCTAATCATTGTGGTTCAAGATCAAAATTCATTAGATTTTGATACGAGAACGTTAGAACGAGGAATGTCTGCTGCTGGACGTGGAAGAGGAAGTTTACTCCTCTCCGGAACATCATCGTCAGCACAACTCCAAACACCAGCGGGGAGAGGTGCTTCTTTACTTTCCTCTTCAACTTCGAATCCAACCGTTGTTGTTTCTCGTAGTAGTACGAATGCTACAACCGTAACAACAAGTACCTCCACACCAGGAGGAGGAAGGGGTTCTGGTTTTATCCATTCATCTTCATCGGCAACAACCACTTCTCCTAGTACTATGAAAACAACAACCATCATAGCAGGTGGTCGTGGAAGTAGTCTCCTCTCAAAACCATCTCAGCCTGTCATTACAACAGTAATTACACCAACAATAACTTCATCAGACGTGAGTAGCAGTAGTACCTACAGCAAACCAATCCCACCCTCTGCATCATCAACCTCAGCAACTCTAAGTAATACTGCTGCTGTTGGGAGAGGATCAAGTTTCTCTTCCATAAACATATCGGAGAAAAGCTCCACTCGTGTGAAAAACATTCCTTCTCAAACTCACTACTACTCATCGTCCGAGGATGAAAGAGATGACGAAGAGCTCTCCTCCGACGAAGAATATTTACGGTCTGTGTCTTCCAAGACGAAATCAACAAATAAGACCAATATTGACAAACAAGATGAAGATTTGAGCGAAGACGAGAAAATCGTTTCCTCCAAATTATCAAAACCATCACCTCTTCCCTCCCGAGAAAATCATCAACAATCTAAACAACCGCAGCAGCACGAGTTCGCAGCAACAGCTTCCACATTTGCTCAATGTCTTACCACCTCCCTTGCCAACGAATCTTTTGCAAAAACCTTTTTTTCCAACTCTCCCGAACGCTTGTCTCCCTATTATGAAGTTCTTAAATTATTGAACAACATATCAAAACAACAATCGAACATTCCCGAAATTTTTACATTCAATACTCCATCTCCAGATGATCTTGTTCAATCTGCTAGGTCACAACACAAGACTAGTCATCAACCTCTCGAAAATTTCCAACCTATTCAAAAAAAGCAAACACCAACAAAATCGAAAGGAGATACCTCAGAAAAAAAGAAAGAACCAGCATCTCCAGTTCCCAAACACACCACAGGAAAACAAATTAAGCCGCCTCAAGATTCTGAAAAGAAACGAATTAATGTTGTTATTATCGGCCATGTTGATGCAGGAAAAAGTACCTTAATGGGGCATATTTTAACGAAGATGGGGTATATTCCAGAGAAAACCCTACACAAATTTAAGAAAGAGTCTGTGGAAATTGGAAAATCATCGTTCCACTTTGCTTGGGTCATGGATGAACATGAGGAAGAACGAAAACGTGGTGTAACAATGGATGTTGGTGTAAAATATTTTGAAACTGAACATCGTCATGTCACCATTTTGGATGCACCTGGACATAAGGATTTCATTTCCAAAATGATTACAGGAGCAGCCCAGGCAGACTTTGCCATCTTAGTTGTAGATGCCACTCCTAATGGATTTGAAACCGGATTCACAAATGGAGGACAGACCAAAGAACATTTAATTCTCGCTAGAAGTTTGGGAGTGGAACAAGTTATTGTAGTAGTTAACAAGCTAGATACAGTTTCATGGTCGAAGGAGAGATTTGATTTTATTGTAAGCCAGTTAAACGATTTCATGAAACAAATAGGATATCAAACCCAAGATAGTAACCACGTTTTTTATATACCAGCAAGTGCTTTCCACGGTGATAATCTTATTGAAAGATCCTCTCAAGTACTATGGTATGAAGGTCCAACAATTGTTGAACAAATAGACAAACTCGATCCAAAACCTAGAGATACTGAAAAGGCTCTAAGAATGTCAGTTTCTGATGTCTACAAATCCTTGGCTACTGGAGTTACTATAGCTGGTAAAATTGAAACGGGAACTCTCTCTGAAGGTGATGAGATCATTGTAATGCCTATTAAGGAAGTGTGTACCATCAAGACTATTTTTAGAAACAAGCAACAAGTGAAGTATGCATACGCAGGAGATAACGTTGAAATTGGGTTGGGTAATATCGATATTGAAAAGTTGATGGTTGGCCAAATTATTTGTCCTGTAGGAAATGAAATTAAGGTCACAAATAGATTTCGAGCCAGAATTGTCACATTCGACATGAAAATACCAATCCTTAAGGGCTCCCATGTTGTCCTGCATTTACACAATATTGATGTTCCTGCTGTCATTACAACACTTGAATGTACTCTTAACAGGCAACAAGAGATTGTGGAAAAGAAACCAAGATGCATTCTTAAAAATTCGAATGCTATTGTCGAAATTACGACAGAAACACCAATATCGATAGAGCAATATTCTGACTTTCCAAAGTTTGGACGGTTGACTATCAGATTAAGCGGAGAAACTGTGGCAGCCGGCGTTGTAGAAGAAGTGAAGAAACCCAAGAAAAAGAAAGAAGGAGTTTAATAATTAAATTATTATTTATTCATGAATCGAAGACTTAGCTTCTTTTTGGTTTGACGGCTCGATATAAACAATCATTTCAAAAGGAATGCCTATAGAATCGTTCGAATTATAAAAAGTCACATCTTGAGAGCATGGTATAGGAAGTACTTGAGTTGTGTTCTCACCACTTGACGTAAATATTGCTCCTTTGATTTGAGGAGTCTTGTTGGAGTCTTGTTCACACTCTTCCCGATCCAGTTTAAAGCAGAAAGACAAATTCAACCAATAACAATCACGCCTATCTCCTCCAGGTTCAACAATAACTTTCAATTCAGAGTTTGGTGAAACAATATCGTAGATATGTTCCGTTCTACTGCCAGAAATTAGTACTGAGCTAGGAGTGAAACTCTTGGAAGACAATTTCTTTTGAATTTCTTCCATCGATTGTGAAATATATTCCATCCAAAATATTCTTTCAATGTTTTAATATCTTTCTTCGAAACAAAAAACGAATGTTCCACACTCGTCTTTTCAATCTTAGAAAGGACAGAATGGTACTGAGATAACACACTCGAAGGAATTGGAGCCTTTGAAATTCCATAATTTTGTTTCAAATGTTCCTTCACAATTTTCAATTTGATGCGCAATGGAATGCAATATTGTGAACAAACAAGTTCAAGAAAAGAGTTTGGAAAACCAAGCAAACAATCCATATCTCCATAATGATTACCATATGTCATGAACACAAACATGGTAAATTCCATAAAATCATATTCTCTGAGTGTTGTAGGTTGTTGTTCTTGTTGCTGTGAGGATAAAAACGAGCAAGAACCATCAACACCATCATAATAAATGGCCACTAATTTGTAAATTCCTCCACCCAATAGATCTGTGATGAGGCGACGTATCAATTGTTTCAAATCTAAAAACTTGGCCAAATAAATGATTTGACGTAACAGGTTGAAAGGGGAATCACCAATCATCATCTTGGTCTCATGCGTTTCATGATTCTCCTTTTTCTCCTCTTCCTCATCATGGTTGTTTTTCTTCTTTTTGCGAGAAGGTTCCTCTTCATTCGAATGTTCATCATTATCTTCTTCATCATCGTCATACTCTTCTTCATAGTCTTCTTCAAAATCATCTTCACACTCTTCCTTTTTAAATATTGAAGTGTCAATTGTATCTGTGTACAAATATTCAAGAATTGCTTCGAAAGCACGTCGATGGAGAGTATTCATCGTTGTTGAGGATGGCAAGGTAGGATCATCTGGATTGAACTTTCAACTTGTGGGTGTCAACGAAAGAGGATGATTTGATTTTTCTAATCGATGACTATCCTCTTGTTTCCAAAGCTGCTACAAGAGTAAAACTTTAAAGTATCGACTCCGAGAGAGAAATATCTTGTGTAAATAATAATCATGGAAGGAAGTTCGAACAATGACATCTGGGATGTGATCAGTCACTTGCTCAGGAGACGAAGAAAAGGACCAACGAAGAAACTGCCGTAAATAATCTTGTTGAGAGGGATATTCTTGATGAAAGGAATCGTCATCCTTGCGTGGAGATGTTATTCTTTCGAAAACGATCGTCCAGTTGATACATTTTTTGGGAGTGAAATTTGAAAATGTCAAATTTCACATCAAGAACACAAAATTTTAAGACCAAAAAGACATTTTTCACTGGATACGTAAAAATTTCCCCGTTCGATGGTTTGGAGATCATCATTTTCTTTGACAACGAATCACTGTCAAATTTTATCGACATTGTTATTGGTTGGAGCAATCTGTGTTTCAAACATTGAGCAATAAGTGTTTATATGTAATACCTCCATCAAATACTCTGAAAAACTAACGTACCATTGAAAAATCCTCACTTTTTACAGGCGAATTAGGAAGGTATCGTGAAAGGATTGCTATGCTTCAATCATTGCTTGTTCTTTAAATTAGAAAACTTAAAGAGAAGAACGTTCATAAAATTTGAATTACTTAAACCTATGATGCAGTATCATCTTCATGTAACACGAAAACAATGAAAGACAATATCTCAAACCTTGTGGCTTGACACAAAGAGTAATCAAGCTAAATATGGTCAATGTTAAGACTGCCATAAATGGTGTGACATTCACAATTGCAACATGAAAGATCGGAAACAATGTCGCTTTGTGTATTGATTATGAAGAGAAAGAGGATTAAACATCAGTTTCGATCCTGTGTTTTAAATATGATGATCTTATGATCTGCAGATTTTCATCAAATTCTCATGAACAAGTGTTGAATCTTTTTGTATTAGTGGGTGATTTACATCTTCTTTCCTGAACTAAGGCGTGTCTCAATTTTATGCATTCTCTACTATTTAGTGTTGTGGGTGCGAGTTGACAAAAGTATGCCATTGAGAGACATACTGAGATTTGATGGACGGACCATATAATTCTGAAAATCATATATGAACATCTTTCTGGTCTATCCTAATAAACATGTTGGTTAACAATTCCATTAGGGGATGTTGAAGTTTTCTTTTGCTTTTTCCGTCCGCAGTTCAACAACACAATAACGTTGACACCATTCCGAATGAATGCAAATTTGTCTTTTTGTTACAAAAAAAATGCTCAAAAGTGATCACAAAGGTTTTTTGTCGTGTCTTTCTTTTGCTGCACAAAGTTACATTTTGGGTTATTCATCCACACTGTTGCCGGAAGGAACTGGACGTGTACAATCCTTCGGAAAGAAGGGAAAGATTTATTCGGGCATTGGAAATAGAAGACGATCAAGGTCGGACGGCAAGACTTTGAAAAAACAACAAGAAGGGTCCAATCTGGTTGATCAACCTTCTTTTGATTCTTTGGAAGATGATCTATTTGATCAGGTTCAACAATTGGTTTTTGCTTCAGGATCTAATGATAGACATCAGTGTTTGATTGATATCGATGAGCTTTTGGAAGAGAAGAAAGAATTTAATGCGAAAATGAATTCAAGAGCGAATGCTTCTGAAGTTTATGATTTAAAAGAGAAATTAGGAGTTCATTCCAAAAAATCATCAAGAGGTGATGATTTGAATGGCAATGATGATGAGGATGAAGATTCTGACAGCAACAGTTCGACAAGCACCGAATCGCCCAACGAAGTTTTTAATTTCAATAATTCAAGCACATTGACAAGTTTAATGCCCATTCGTATACCTTCACGTATAGGAAATAGACCTTTTCGAATTAAGAAGATTGCATGTCTAGAAAGTGGAACGATCATACTCAATGAGTTTGATTCTAAAGTATTTGTGATCGGAGAGGTTGCTGATGGAATGGATTACACAAAGGATGTTACAGAGATTTTTCTAATGTATTTGGACAATTTCGGTTGTAAGAACAAGGTAGAAGATGAACGTGTGGTGGAAATATTTACAGGAGCTGACTTTGCGTTCTTCATCACTGAAACCTCAAACTCTCAAAAGCTTTTATATTCCTATGGACAAAATCGACAATACCAACTCAGTCATCCAAGAATTTGTCATTCAGAATTGGATGAAGCCCTTCGAGTTGACCCAAAGTATTTCAACTATGAAAATCCGGCGATGGTTAGTTGTGGATCACAACATGCAATTCTCGTGACAGATATAGGCAATGTTTACTTTTGTGGACGTTTACACCAATTCCAATCTACAACATTTATTAGTTGTAGAATTTCAACTATTACAACTGGGTGGATGAGAGATTTCTTGAATTCTAAAAACATTTACTTGGGTTCAGATTACCAAAGCATGGTTGCTAAATTTGAAAATTTAGGAATGAACTCAAATAGCTCTTCCACAAAAAACACTCCAGTTGTCATTTCAAAGAAAAACAACTACAGAATATGGCAAATCATCAAAAGCAGAGAAATTCATACAATTTTTAGAAATTGGATTTATCGATACTATACATTATATTTTCCAAAGAAAGAAGCCAAACCAAGAAATGAAGAAGATTCAGACTCAGAATCTGAGTCTTTTGAGTCAACGACAGAACCTTCTGAAGTGACAAGTGAAAACACTCCAAAATGTGACAAATCCACTTCCACGACAATAACCATAGATAATTGTTGTATCAGTGAAGCAAATTCTCAGACAGATCAACCTTTAGCGACACCTTTAGAAATTATGTCGCAAGTAGTCACGGAGTACTATCAGAACCAACCCGAATGTGAAAACAATGTAACCGCGTTTGACATTTTACAATTGTTGAATCATGTATTCAAAGTTGATTATCATGAAAACGTCACAAGTAATAGCTCTTCTCTAGAAACTATTTTTGAACGAGATTTCCAATATGAAATATTAACAGAAATTATTACAAATTCACAATTTTTGAAAATCATTCAAAAGCTCTTAACAGATGAAAGTATATTTGAACGTGTCCTCGTTGAAAAGTTTGCATCACTATCTGCCATCCATTTTGCAAATATCATTTACCAAAAGCGTAATAACCTTGTGATTTATGAAAATACGCACTGCTACACCCAAAAAGGTTTTCACTATGCTAAAAATTTAATGAGCACTTTCTATGAGTCCATGATATTAACTAGTTGTGATAGATTATATCACTTTCCTGCTCGAGGAATATGCCCTCAAATGCTGACATGGAATTTGTTGGATCCTTTTGTTCAAATTGGTCCAAAACATGCCGAAACATATAGACATCGAAATGACTATCGTGGGTCTTCTTTTGAACTGCGAGAATGCTACACTCCTGATCCTTCTCAGCATGATCCATATTTAAACGCTTTTGATGACAACTTTTTGACCATGTTTGGCATGTATTCTGACGTTTTCTATGCAACAAGCTCAGAATATTTATGGTATGAACAGAAGGAACAAACAAAAGATATGAGAGAAGATCAATCAGTAATATCACAATTGAAGGCCATTCACAATCCATTACCTTATGATATTGAAATAGAAATACAAAAGAATAATGATGGTTGTAATGACATTTCATTTTACTTTAATACTCACAAGATAAGGAATAGAGGAAATATTGAAACCATTCAACGTGTGTCGGAGGGAATTGTGATGACCACACTGGACAGGAACTTGTTTACTTTTGGTTCAAATGCTTATTCCGAAATTGGCCAAGTTTCAGTGGTGACTAACTCTTCTCATTTCAACCTTAATGAACAAATGACTGCACTAGAACCTATGAATGTATTTTGTGATCAATATGCCATGGTGGTTGAAGGCAAGAGAGCCCTTCCACATCAACTTGACCCAAAATGGTTTGGAAATATTCCTCAAACAATCCTTTTGAGAAAACTTCTCACACCCTTCCAATATGGAAGCGAAGATGAGAGTAAGGTATTTCCACACACGTTTTACTTCTCTGGAGATAGCTCTGGAGCTCGCTCGATCAACGACGACGATGATGAGAGAGGAAATAATGATCAAGAAAACGATGATGTAGAGCTAAAAGACAAAACCATGACCGAGTTGTTACACAAAGAATCGGAAAAAATTGTTGAGTTTTGTCACTTGTCACTTTTGAAATATCGATATATGCCTTATTTGCACAAATTGAAAATGCACATTTCTTTTGGATTGGACTTTTTCATTGTTTATTTCACATTAGATAATGGAAACACAGCAAAACGCATTATGTCAAGCAAACTTTCTCAGCTTGTGAATTCAGAGAAATTAGCTGATTGTATCATTCTCCTGGCTAACACAAACAAATAATTAAGTCAGTACGTTTTTTTGTAAAAACTTCAGAGAGATCATCACCATTCTCAAAGCTCCAGTCCATTCATTCTCTCTCTGGTCAGTATAAATTATACTTCGATCACTAATCTTGTCATCTTCTATGTACACGTTTTTCGATAATTCAATGCAATTGGGGATTGCTTTAGCTGCATATAAAATAAGTTCCTTCAAGCAAAATAGAAAACTTTTCATTCCTTGGTTGAAGGAATTTAAATTTCGTATCGAGGAATAAAACAGGTCGTACTTCTCTCCACTCTCCAATTCTTTGACAGTGGTGTGACTCCCTTTTGGTGTTATTTTGTACTTGCTAAATCTAAATTTGGATAATTTTTGGGCAATCATGTTAATTAAGAGCGCACACAATCCCCATCCAGCATTAATTTCGTCCCACGACACTTGCTCAGTTCTCAATGTTCCCATTCTTAAGCTGTTAATCATCATTATTCGGCTTGGGTTTTCGTGAATTGAAAATAATTTCTCAGGATTGAATTTCTTCCTGCCACTTCTCATTTGTATTCTTCTATTGTCTTCTGATACATTCTGCATATTCTCCAAATATTCAAAATATGCTTTCCAGTAGCCCTTTTCTATTTCTTGTTGCGAATTGATTTCATTTTGTAAATTCATGGCCTTTCTTCCAACACGACACTGTCGGTCAGTATGAAATAATAAAATCTTTTCTCTCTCTTCAAATTCTTCATTTCTCAGCTTATCCATTTCTTTTTTGTAATTGTTGACATCGGATTCAAGTTCCTCCTTTGACAACTGTTTCTTTTCTTTCAACATTTTCTCGAAAGTGTCACACTCTTTCTTCAATAAATCCTCTCTCCTCGAAAGCTCTTCAAATAAATCTTTCAAACAAGCTCCACACAGTGATTGCTGATTTAAAAGTGATTCCAAACTTTCTCCATTCTCCAATAATTCATCAATCATGTAATTAATTTCTTCAATTCTTTCTATACTTTTGCTATTACTTTGAAATGTATCCATAATGGAAGCCGTTGGTGAATTGAAATCACTCAGAAATACAAAACTCTCATCGAGAGCATTCGGATCGGAAGGAGTTGGAGGAACAAAAACATCTTGAACGTTCTTACATTGAGTACAAGTCATTCGATGAGTCATAATTGTTGGAGAAAAGAATGGATTGATCCATGGAGAGTTTGATGGTGGTGGAGTTTGCATGAGAGCAGCATGAGAAGGAAATGGATGTTGTTGGTGTTGTGAGGGGATCATATATGTTAGAATATTCCGATGATGGTGATGGTTATGATCAATATTAAATAGAAAAACACTGTTCAAAGTTTTAAAAGGTTGTATTTGGAATAAATTATGGCAAATTAATTTCCGAAAGTTTTTAAAAGTACAATCACGAGAGTATTATAAATTTACAAAAAAATTGGACATTCACGTTAATCAATGATCGCAATATTTTTTTTAATAATTTTGTTCGAACAAAAATAATTTTAAAAGTCACACTTGACGGAATAGCTTTTCTTGATCAATCATTTGTAAAATATCTTTGGATGTTAAGTCCTCTGGAGTGGCAGTCATGTCCAAAAGTCCAGCTTGCTGAAATTTAAGCTTGTCACATAATTACGTTCAATATTTTCTAGACCGTTCAAATGGGCTTTTTTGTTATTTTTTGATATGGCCATTTCAAATAGTGAAAGAGCTTTCAAATAATCTCTGTGACTGTCACTCCAATACCATCCTTAAACATTTTTGAAAGTTCGATCATTAACTTGCAAATGAAAAGTATTCAAACAAACCCAATACTTTTAAACATCTTGCTAACGAAAATTTGGCTCCTTCATGATTGTGCAAAACTGCTCACTGAAAATTGTCTGCAGACAGCTTTCGTGAAGTCTCTAGATCCATCTTTCAATTTTTTTAATTTTTCTTTTTGAAAAAAAAATCAAAAATGGATCCAAAGCGGTTGTTGTTGCTTCATCCTCACTCTCAGCGAAGGCTTGGTGTAGTGATCAAACACTTGTGTTTTTTTCCTCTTTCTCATCATGACCACCATCATCAAGAAAAGAAGAATTACTTTAAGAAAATTCATACGGCTTTACCATTGGCCCACTATTCCGGAATGAACGTCTCTGGTTTTTCATCAGGACGATCCTTTCATCAAATTCAAAGAAATTTCACAAGTGGTACCACTAATTTGAGCCACAACATTAAACAAGACTATTCGGCACCCCAAACATCTAATTTATTTAAGCAATATTGGGAATCCATTCATTCTTTCATACAGGATGGTAACAAGAGTCTTGAAGAGAGTATCTGTGCACTTCCTGGATTAAATATTTCCAATATCAACAAGTTAGAAATTCCTGAAGATGTGGCTTATAAACTTGCGCAGTTGTACATGAATAAGCTCGACAAGAACGGTAAAATACGATTTTTTGAGGTGATGGTGATGCATTTTGGAGGAATACCAATCTCAGCATTATTACACATGATGAGATATGATAATAATAGCGACTCTATGGGTCATGAAAGTGAAAATTATTCCAAAATTCTTTCCCAAACAATTGACAAGTTAAGAACATCATTGCAAAATGTACAATTATTAAGCCAAAATGGAGAGCATGTGGAACGTCATATTTTGGGATTTCTTAATTCAATTCAACAGTTGAGAACGACCATAGAGCCATATTATGAAAAATTCCTAGAACAATATATCTTGACACTCATGAAAAAAGAGGTACCTTTCAATTCTCAAAATCTCAATGGCTTGGAGTTTGTTATGCAAATGAGACAAGATTTATTGGATATAATTTCAACGCTCCAAAAACAATCAAACAATATCAACCAGGATTACAAGAAGTATATTTTACCATTTTTACTTAATGATCTCAATACTAATCTTGTTAGGCTGTTGTCTAGTTGGTTCTCTCCATCTTTTCTTGAATGTAAAGAGTTGGATTGGAGACAAACTAATGCTCAATTATTGGAGAAGATTATTTCCTCAGAACGTGTACATCCAATAGCGAGTATGGAAGTATTGAAAAACAGACTTGCACCAACCCCAAATCGAAAAATGTATGGACTATTTCATTCTTCAATGCCAAGAGTGCCGCTTGTGGTGCTACAAGTCGCTCTCATGGATCATATTGCTTCAAATATGCGAGAAATTCATGACGTTAAAAAGGATTTACCTCAGCTTGTGAACACTGCAATTTTCTACTCAATATCTTCCACTCAAAGTGGATTACAAGGTATTGAGCTTGGCAATTACTTGATCAAAAATGTGGTGGGAATTTTACAGAAAAAAAGATTGATCACTGATAACTTTACTGGAGATATTAATCAATTTAGCACCTTGTCACCCATTCCAGGATTTATTCGTTGGTTATCTCAAAAGTTGAGAATTGAGTGTTCCCAAGATGAGGAGCTGAAACAAAAATTTCATGACGAAAAGCTTCTTTCAAGATCTGATATGGATCTCATCAAGCAGATTGCTACTGAAGATCCTAAATTGTTTGGATTTCAATCGTTGGAAGAGGTCAGAATGAAATCTGGATGTGAGCTACTTCTCGCATTGGTCGAATTTATTTTATCGTCACCAGAGGCAACATCTTTACATCCTAGTGACAAACTTCAATCTATTATGCTTCGATTATGTGCCAGGTATTTGTACTCGGAGAAACACAAATCCAAGGCGTTGGACCCAGTTGCTAACTTTCATCTAAGAAATGGAGCATGTTTGGAACGCATCAACTGGAAAGGAGATTTGTCTCAACGAAGATTGAAAGAGAGTTATGGACTTATGGTAAACTACAAATATGTTTTGGAATTGATCGATGAAAATCATCACGATTATGTCATTACTGGAGCAAATAAGATTAGACTTGGAGAATTGTTTGACAAAAGTTTATTGGAATAGATAAATTGGCATAAGAATAAATATTTGTCAGCAATTTACAAAATCGTCTCACCTGTCGATGGTTTCACCAAAGTCCCTCAACACTTGATCTGCAATGCTCTTTCACTAGAAATGTGAGTTTAGAGGGAAATGCTCTTTCCAAAACGATGGAGTTTATTCAAAACGATTTCAAAGAATCATTCTCATGTTTTGCTTCACAAATAATTGATCCATGTGCAGAGAGTGGTGTTTGTTGGTTGATAATACCTCTTAAAATAATTTGCACATCAAGTTGATGGGAAACGCATTCAACTTAACGGTTATTGCTATGTGCATCTGGAGAGGAACATGATTCTCGGCGATTCAGTTTAGGGCAAAAGTACGACACATTCGATGACAGGAGGATCCTCATCATTGCAAACGAATTTTTATTATCCATTTTACAATCACTTGCCACTTGTCAAAAAAAATCAACACCCTCCTCTCTTTCATAAAGAATGAACAGAGCTCTCTCATTGGTTGCTAGAAAGTCCCAAAACATTTCTCTCCATGTCAACAAGAATGGCATGGCTCTCATGATTTTACAATTCAATTCTCCATCTGCTCAACAAAGATTCTTACAAACCATTAGAAAGAGAAACAATCCAGGATTCATGGATACCGTCTCAGGAATGGTACGTAATAGTATTTTACATCTTATCATTCTCATTCATTATTATTATTATTGGTGATGATTCTTATTGGATGTAAATTTGTCAACTTGGGAATGATGGTGTTGTGATGATTGGTGCGACGATTCTCAAAAAATTATTGCGAATCCTGTGATGCGATTGGATTTTTTGAAAACACAACTCCAACACTGTGAACTCGTGTATGATGATTCAACAACAATAATATCATTCCTATCATTCAAAACCACCACTATTGGTGTGTGTACCCATGAATTACAATAATTATAATGTCCTATGACATTTAAAACGATGAACATTTCAAAACTTGGATTCACTCTTCTTGTTGTTGTTCTCTTTATCGAATCAATCTAACAATAATAACAACAATAGTATGAAAGCCCAGAATACAAACTCGATTGTAAACCATTCGAATTCCGTGAAGGTGAACCATTCTTCCTTCTCAATTATTTGGGTGTTGTCATTGTCGCAGCCACTATTGCTTTTGCTTTCATGTTGTGTTTCAGTAGTTTGTTGAGATATACTTTGGTTGATGTTGCTGTTGTTTTGAAGAGAAGTAATCCTCATCCGTTCTTGAATATTAAGAACGGAGCTGATTTACAAGCAACTTTGAATCCAATTTATTTGCCATGTCAACCTTTCACTCACTCGACTGATTTGAAGCAAATGTTCTACAATGAATTGAATAGAGCTAAGAATCAAACTTTGTAAATTTAATCAAAGTCGAAAATTTTGTTTCGGTATCAATCACCTCACGAATATATAATATTTAATGCTAAAATAAGGATCTAGTCATAGTTGTAATAAACACCACCACCACAATTATGAAATAAATGCGTATCAATGAATGAACGGGAATTTATCATGCAAAGTTTTAATAGAATTCATTACATTAATTAAAGGAAGATGATTCAGATTTGTGGCTTTGCCTGCTTTCGGGATGATGTGTGTCCTTCCTTATTCATCTTGGAAACTGAATTTTTGTGAGCTAGCAGTGTTTGGTGTTGGTGTATCGTCATTCAAATCCATTTCAAAGTCTCCACCACCACTCATAGCACTACCTGGAGAAGGATCTTCAATATCATGTGCAAATGTTGTTGGATCTAAAACTCTCTCCTTAGAAGTCGTGAGAAGGGCCTTTTGATAAAATTCTTTGACGTCATTCATGAATTTATCTGCTTGAGCGTTGGCCTCAATGTTCTTCCATTCTTCATCCAATCGAACAACACCATAGGGATTTTGTGGATTGTTGTAATTATAATTATTGACTGTTTGTGTAGAACTTTCATACGTTACAATATAATATGGAAGAATAAGATCCTTATTGAACAATACGTAACTCATTCCATCCGAGCTCTTGAGTGAATGGTTTGACTTCAATTCGCTGATAGTGGTGCTCTTCATTCTTGCATAGTCTTTACTGCCAGATCTTCCAGGCAATACCAAGAAGAGCATAATTTTCTTTTCTTTGGTGATAATGGGGCTGGAATTTGCTGATGAGTTTGTAAAAACATATGGTGCTGAACCTTTAACATTATTCTTGCAAATCCAATCAATGTTATCGTCGGAATAGTCTTGAATATCCATAAAGGTTAAAATTGGTTTGACTTCAGAGTATTTGATATTCATATCTAAAACAGTGATGAATAATATGAGAATTGAGTAAAAATTTGTTGCTAAAATAACTTACCAAAAGCAAGGTTGTGACGAGCTTGCTCAAATGCTTTTACCAGCCATGATGTGACAATATATTTCACCTCAGTAACTTTGAATTGTGACTTTTGTTGGCAGAGTCTATAAAATTCACTTTCAGCAACTCTAAAGTGGATGTGTGACACCTCATTACTGAAGGTTCTTTCAGGTTTAAATGTAAATGTACGAGCTTCATCCCTTTCCAATGTGTCATATTCACCAGGAAGATACATTCTATTTCTCTTTGCCTCTTCCTCATCATTGAGACCTTCAGATGTGCTAGTACTTGAAGTAGAATTGCCAATCCAATCAGACAATCCACTTGAATTTGATTTGGAACGGAATTGCTCAACTTGTTTGGTCAACCTGGCTGTCTCCTTCTTTTCTAATTCAATCATTTCTTTCATTCTAGTAATTCTTTCTGTAAGGATTTGAACATTGTTCTCATACTTTGGCAATGTAATATCTTCAAAGTAATTCATTGGTGGTTTTTCTCTTTGTTTGCCATTATTTTGTTCTTCAGTCTCAATAACTTCTTTGGTTTCTTTCAAGACACGTTTCACTTTGATCTTTGGAATTTCTGGGCGTTTTGGCAATTCACCAGTCAATAATCCTTCCATTGCATCCTCTTCACGACCTTTGCATCTAATCAAAGCATCTCTAATTTCTTTGGTTTTCTTTTCCGGCATAATTTGTTTGATACTTCTGACCTTTTCTTTGTAACCTTTAATGTGTTGAGCAATGAAACCTTCTTCATCTTCTTCGATCACTTCAATTTCCCTTTCAACTACAACAGTCTTTTTTCTTGACAAAATATCCTCTCTTTTCATTTTCCTTTTCAACACTCTCGTTCAATAATCGGGTTACTATGATGAATGAGGGTTGAATTGAAGAAACGGATTCAGTGTAACGGAAATAAAAGGGAGTCAACAGTTAAAATTGATCATCATAATCATGAAATTCAAATAAATCACAGATTTTCAAAATAGAAACAAATGCAATGTTCATCAGAAACATCGTACATTTAGAATACTCGTCGGAATGAAGTGCTACTGCTACTACTACCTACCAAGTTTAGATCGGGCCAAATTCAAATCTCGTTGGAGAAGGTGTTTGAGTTTTGGTGAGGAAACTTTTGTGAGTAACTGTTCAATTTCTTCCAAGTCTGTGGTTGTGAGAGCATCAATGGTTTTGAAGTACTTCTCAGCGAGAGGATTTTCTTGTTGTGGTTCAATAATTGAGCTGATCATGATGATGATGGTCTGAGTTGATCGGAATTTGGTGATGACGAGTCAGCTTTTCTAATGAGTTTCAACTACAATAAAAGTGATTTTGTCTGAACAACAACAATGATTTTATGTTATTACAATAATGTTGAAATGGATGATTGAATATCGACGCTAAATTGGATCTCTCGGATTTTTTTTTAATTGGTTTTTCGAACTTGAAATTTCTTCTGGAATAGTGAACTTTGATCTGGGAGTAAGAACAACAGCATTTCTGGTTCATCTTTCCATTACCTTTCATTTATTGAAGTTCGAAACGGTTGTATTGTGGTGTTTGGTGCCATTTCTAAATGTCCTCCCTAGATGTGATTTTTGATGCTTGTTATTTCATGGGCCTACTGAAGTAATTGAGACAGAATTCTTTAATAATGTCATCATATCCTGTTTTTCTTCAACACCAACTCTCACTTGCCCTGTTTCAACAATTTCCCTAAACTGCTGTTCGATCTGATCTGCAATTTCAAGATTTTCAGCCATAACTTCCACAATTGGTACCTTGTTTGTTAATGATGATACTGTAAACAAAGAAACACACACTAAATGCTCTTTGAAAGATGATCGTGCTAATGCCTCACGAAATTGATCAAGCTCTTGCATTGTTTTTTGAGAGCTCAATTCTTTTTGGATAATGATTGTTTTACTAAGGGTCATGTAATTGCAAAAAGTTTTCATTGCTTTTGCTGTCAACTTCGATCCAGTGAATCTTCTAAAAGCTTCTTGAAGTTGTTTTTTATCGACTCTCATATTTCTGGCTATTCTGGGCATGTTAGCTTTCAATTTTTCTTTGTGAGCTATTCCGACGATTATTTGGTGTGCTTTGTAAATGAATAAACAGGCCTCAATCCAGTCAAATATTTGATTCTCTTCTTCTTGTTCTAATGGAGTTTCATCAATAAATTGGAATTGAAGTATGGTCAAATCTTCAATAATGGCAAATGAACAAGGAACCTTTTTACTACCCGAGTCTACTGTAATGCTTGATTTAATTTCAAATGAAGACCCAATGTCTAATTTGTTCTTAACCAGCTCATTCGAAATAACTGCAAATTGTTCTTTATTTTCATTGGTAAATTTATAAAGCCTAAAATTGAAAGGCAACCTTTTGGGTGATCAAAGCCGCCATTTTTTCATGTTTCTCTTGATGGAGTGTTGTAGAGATAGCAAATTTATTATTGAATTACACCATTGTCACTCTTAATTGTAAAAAGCTTCTTTATTTACTTTCGTGAGTGATAGTGAGTGTGCAGATCGTGATGAGCTTCTTCACTGCAAGGTTCGTGGTAAAATTCCTTGTATAATTGTTGCACCTCCTTGTTGTCGTGACTCTTTCTAATGACAGAGGCCTCATCCAACTTGTAAATGGACTGAAGTCTTCTCTTGATAATATCTTGATGCTCAAGTTTTTCAACAACCTTTGGCTCTCCACCTCCACCCACGCATCCACTTGGACATGCCATCATTTCAATAAAGTGGTACTGTTCTTCAGGTTTCAAGGTCTTGGTGTATTCAACGAGTTTCTTCAAATTTCCAGATCCATGAGCAACAGCCACCCTAATATCTTGACCTAAAATCTTAATGGTTGCTGAACGAATGCCATCCAATCCTCTCACTTCTTCCAAGTTTAACTTTGGAAGTGGCTTCTTTTCAAGAATTTCATAGGCAGTTCTGAGAGCAGCTTCCATGACGCCTCCTGTCACACCAAAAATTACAGCAGCTCCAGTACCCTCGGCAATTGGTGAATCGTAGGCAGGGGACTCCTTTCCTACGGTGGTTTCATCCAGGTCATTAATTTGATTCATCTTGAAAAGTTTGCCCAACTCTCGGGTTGTTAAGACATAATCGATATCTGGAATAAAGTTGCCTTGAGCATCCTTGTGACCCATTTCAGGTCGTTGAGCCTCACCCTTCTTGGCAGTACAAGGCATAATAGAGACGTGAATCACTTTCTTACCCTTCAGAACATGTTGCATCCTTGGAGTCCAATACTTTCTCACTACTGCACCTAACATTTGTTGTGGCGATTTACATGAAGAGACGTTTGGAATAATCTCTGGGAAATCTTTTTCAACCAAGTTAACCCAACCAGGACAGCATGAGGTGTACATTGGGAAGGGTCCTGGAGGGTTGCTGGTCAATCTTCCTATCAATTCTGTTCCTTCTTCCATAATGGTCAAGTCCGCCGAGAATAGAGTGTCGAAAACATAGTCAAATCCGAGTTTTCTAAGTCCTTGAACTAATTGAGCAGAAGTGTAATACCCTGGCTCTTTGGAGAATTCTTCAGAAATGGCAACTCGAACAGCTGGTGCCGTAGAAGCTACCATTACATAATCTTTCTCTTTGCCTACAAACGCGCTGGTATGCTTCTTTTGCATTAATAAATCGGCCACTTCATCTAGTTGGGCCTTAATAGTAATTGCTCCTACAGGACAAATTTGGCTGCATTGACCGCATGCAATACATGGAGATCTTCCTTCAGTGAAGTTACTGACCTCACTCAAAATCAAATTCAATTGTTGTACTTGTTCGTTGTGACCTCTTCCAGACATGGAGAGAGCTTCACGGTCTTGGATGAAGTTACAAGTTCTAATACATCTTGTACATCTAATACACTTATCGGGATCAATTTGAATTGGTCCTTCAGTCAAATAATCAGGAGTTCCAATGTTGGACACTTTCTTAAACTCTTCAGAGGTGTCAGTGTAGAAATCTCTCAAGGATGGAGGAATGTCCTTCTTGGAAACATGATACTTTTCAAGCAAGTTTTGAAACTCACACATATTATTTGCAGAGCATGAAGGGCAGTCCAAGTTGTGATGAGAGAGCATAAATTTCAATACGGATTTAGCATTATCGTAAGTTTTTTGAGTTTGAGTCCAATAACAACCTCCCTCTTTTACCTTATTTACACAAGAAGGTACAAGCTTGGTTTGATTGTCCGTTTGAGGGTACATGTGACGACCAGTTCGTCTAATTTGCTCTTCAATGTCATGAGGGTTAATTTCTTCTTCAACAAGACAAATTCTACAGTTAGCTGGTGAGTGTTCCTTCAAACGAGGATGATAACACAAAGTTGGGATGTCAACTTTGGCCTTTTCATCGATAACACCGTTAGTTTTTGTAATCATATCATTGAAGAATAATTGAGCCTCCAAAATTGTGCTTCCTTTAGGAACTCTTATTGGAAAACCATTGAGATAAATGTTTACCATTTCTATACACGAGAATACAATCCGAAATACACAATTAATACGATCATTAAGATTTCAAATGGGAGAGAATAATATCATCATAGGTGATTAATGTTTCGACTCGTAATCATAAGTGTAATGATCATACTTACCAGTACTTGCGCATTCCTGAACGTTGGATGTATACTCTCCAAAACTATGCGAGTGAGTGGGTTTATCAGGATGATCTCCCGATGATGATTGTTTTCTGCAGGAACCGTTTCCACCACATCCACCACCTCCATTACAAGCATAGTTTCTTCTAGTGCTATTTTGTAGGAAAGTCTTTTGTTTTTCAATCAAAGAAAGAGAAGGTGAGGATGCTCGGGTGGAAGAAGACAAGATTCGGTAAGCATTCTTTCCACTCTGTTGTATCCAGCTCGCAGTAGATTTCAATGGTAACTTCATTGTGTTTGTTGTATCGAATTGCGACACTATACTGTTTTTGAATCGCGTTATTGTTGTTGTTGTAGTTTTTTTGTTGGTCTTGTTATGGATAGGATCGTTGGCTCGCGCAATATGGTATTTTTTAAAAACAAAGCTCATCACAGGCCCTAATAAGGAAAAAGCAACTCGGTCTTTGTAATGGTTATTATGATCAACATTCATAACATTAAATTAAGAATGTCAAGATGATGGTGATTCACCTTTTGCCACCACATTCATAACAAGAAAAATGAAAACGTGGTTTTCGCAAAACAATTTCATTAATGACCATCCCAAACCCAGATCCGAAATTTCATCGGTCGGACCCCCAGTCATCTCTAATTTCAACCATGAATGAAACGTTGAATGAGGCGACTCTACATGATAACTAAATATGTGTAATTTAAAACAAGTCTCACAAGAGGATATTATATTTTTCGTTTTACAAAATTGAAACTCGCCTTTTGGCATAGTTGTCTGTGAGAGGAGGATCAAAAATTAGTCGTACATGGCTTCTCTACAAAAAAGCCTAATGCTTCTTTGTAGGATGAGCCTTCTTCTTGTGGTAGTGATGTTTCTTCTTCTTCTTCTTTCCAAAACCTCGGACAGGAACAGTATCGTTGTTGTCTTCCTGAACCTTATGACAAATGGTCTTAAATTCAGCACATTTGGTGATGGAGGCTTTGGCGCGACACACTTGCTTACCACCCTCTAGAGCATACTTGCAACAGACTCTTTGACCTTTGGATTTGTTGATACATTTCTTGCTGTGTCTCTTCTTTACACAACGTTTTGGAAGATGTTCGTATTGAGTACAGAATGGAGTGAATTTGTAAGAAGCGCAATAGTACAAGGTCTTTCTCTTGAGACAAACACGGACCTTTCTGTATTCATCACATTGTCGTTCCTTCTTCCATCTGATACAGTACTTGATCTTCTTCTTGTTTTTGCATGGTGGTGGATTGTAGTTATCAGGTTTTTGAACATAACCATCTCCAGATGAGGCTGGTTGAGCACAGTATTGAATATAACCAGTCTTCTTACAGAATTTAACGTTTTCATACTTGTCACAGGTACTTCTCTTGGAGAATTCAGAACAAATTCGGTGACATTTCTTGAAACAGACCTTCTTGAAAACCTTTGGTGGAGCATATGGATCTGGCTTACCCTTTGGAACCTTCACAGCATTGTGAGGAACGTACAAATCTTGAGTCTTGACTTCAACATACTTGCATTCCTTTCGGCATTTGTTGTGATGCTTGACACAATATGAGTCAACCTTATAATGAGCACATCTTCTCTTATGGTAGCATTTCAATTTGGGAATGTATGAATACAAGTCACATCGGGCATATGGATCTGGCTTCTTATTGGCTTGAGCATAACTGTCGACACAAATTTCACGGAATGCCCATTCACTACACAAACCGTTGTATCCTTTCTTCTTGCAACTCTTTCTAAAGTCTTCCTGGACACAGGTCGTGAGTTTCTCAGACTTGGCACACTCTGGTCTTGTACCGTGAGCAACACAGATGGTGCTTGGACCTTCCCATTTCAAACATTTCTCACGACGTTTGTACTCAATACAACGTCCTTTACCAACGGTCTTGTATTGAACACAACGTTTGGTCGTTCCTTCCCAATCATAGGTTGAACATTCACCCTTAATGGAGTCATATCGAACACATTTCCTGTAACAATATTTTTGATGATCTCCGTAAGAATCTACATGTTTTGGTTTTGGAGGTGGTGGCTTTGTGACCACATGGTTAGCTTGGGTAAGCACAATGCAAAACAATAATGCAATACACGAGCTTATTGCTGCTGAAACAATTAATTCCTTGCTGCTTCTCATACCAACAGACGAGGATGCAGTGAAGAATTTTTTAAACTGATGATCAACTATTATTAATAATAACCAGAGACTCGAAAAGAAATATTTATTCATTAAGTTTTCAACCAATGGTTAGTGTGGTTCATCAACTGTTTTAACAAACAAGGATGTTGATCATTTTATGAAATGACTTTTGTGGAATGACAGACGAATTTCTTGTCGGTGATGCAGAAAATCTACATATTTAAATACCTAAACATTGCTATTAAAGAACCAAAATTCAGTCTGTTGGATGTTGTCATTACCCTAAACATGTTCAATGCATTCTCTTTGTGATCGTAATATCCAAATCCAACAATAAAGCTGTAGAATCAATTAATTTTTCCTTATTTTCAACTTTTTGAGTCAGATGTTGTAGAAGTACTTCGTCAATGTGGTGTAAACATGACATGTCCGGACCTGAAAACGATTTTCTGTAAATGAAAAGGTTGTCCAACACCTCTCTATTGAACAAGCTTCCGTAAAATAATGCATTCGAGGAGGGTTCAAATTGGTCCCTCATTACAAGTGATTCTAAAACAATTAATGGTTAGTTTGAAACATCCAATATGTCACACTACTCACCATTAACACCTCCAAACTGTTCTTGAGATGTAGAAGGACGGGAGGATCGATTTGGATCAACAACAATGTCGTCCTTCAATTTCTTTGTTGGTGTTGATTTCGTGGACTCTTTTTTTGCCCCTGGTGGTCTTCCTCTCCTTTTTTTTGAATTTGGATCGTCAAAGTTTGACATCCCAGAAGCTTTCAATGTTTCGTCTTTGAAAGTTTTTGTTTTACGGTTTGCACTTCTCGGAGTACTTTCTTTTTGTTGCTCTCCATTGCTCTTCTTTTGTTTTGAATTTCTTTTGATCTTTTGTTTTGAAGAGTTTTCTTCTTCTGACCTTCCTTCATTGTTTTTTTGTGGCGTTTTATAGGGAACTGGGATAATCATGGTTGAAGGAGGGCCAGGTGCACGGTCAGAGGTTGTATCATGAGCTGAATTTGTCGTTCGATTTTCAAAGGCTTGACTTGGAAGATCCATATCTGGGGGTGGTGGAGGAGGCGCTTGATTTCTGAACCCAGATGATGGAGATGTATGGCCCGAGGATGATGCAGAGGTGTTGATGAAAAATATGGATGATGAGCCTCCATTACTGATGAGTGCGTTTGCGCTTTCGCTCACAATATTTGTAAATTCCAAGAACGCTTTGGCATCTTCATCAATTTTTGGTTTTGGAGAAGTAAGAAGCTTGTCTTCAAGATCGTTCTGTTTGATATTTTGATCCACATCGGAACTTGAGGCATCCTCCTCTCCTTGGTGAGAGGGTGTTTGAGTACCTTCATCAAGCCTTAATTCGTCTTCGGTGTCAGAGTCTGTTATTTCATCATCGCGAGGCTTTTTCCCTTCCTTTGACATTTTTTTTTGTTTTTTTGAAGAAACTTTTTGTTATTGCAATTAATCGATGATTAAGGTCCGTTCCTTCACAAGAATTGAATTATTGTCGACTTCTCTTCAAACACTCACTTTCAGATCAAATACTAAAGGTAGTTAGGGAAATTTATTCGAATGTTATTTAAGACGAAAGTTTTGGCAAATGACCAGGAATAGAAATTATGGAGCAATGGTCCTAATTAAGCTTTTGACGGCCACGCAGACTTAAAAAAAACCATCGAAGATCTTGTTATTAATTTTATTGTTTCATTCTTCTTAATAATCCATGATCAGAAAATACAGAATTTGCACGGGTTTGAATGCATCTCTTTTCAAATACAACCCATCTTTAATTTTGGCTCGATCTTTAACGGTTTACACCTCCCATAAATTCTATTCGCTCAATCCTCGAGTGGTGGAGCCTTCCGTGGATGATACCTCCGTTTATGAAAAGATGAAATACAACCCACAAGAAGAGGCCAAACAGGCTCGATCGGACATGACTGGGGACAGTGAACAGGAAAAGATTCCTCCACAAGTAGGAATTGATGATGAAAATTTGAAACAAGCCATGAAATATGAACACGAACATCCTTCTCATAAATCACACAAGCATCGAAGAGATGAAAAGTCAACACATCAACAGCAATCAAAAGATATAAGCATTTCAGAAGAATAGAATGGACTTCATTCAGAATCGGAATTAAGAACATTTTGCTTCACTTGTACTTGATCAGCACCTAATGTTATTAAGGATAAGAACAACCTGTCACAATATAATAATTATACATATTTGATAATTGTAATAATTAAAAGAATTGAATCATCTCAACTCAAACCCAAATATGAACTTCAAAATTTACGATGTTCATTGATGAAAACTATTAATATTTTGCCAAGAAGCAAAAGTTCATCCTGATCCATCTCTCCATTTTCAGCCAGCACGCCCTGCATTTACAGTAAAATTCCTCCAAAAAAATAGTCTTTAGGAGTGTGTCTTGATTTTGTTTGGTTTCGGCCTTTAAACTGCTCGCGAAATCGCTCATCTTTGAAACAAGCAAATGTATCCATATCAACCTCATCATGGCATGTCTCATCCATATGCCTCTCCTCAAGAGATTCCAAACCCCTATCAAGGCTTATCTCACCATGAACAGCAACATCAACAAGTTTTGATGATGCAACAACAACAACAATTGGCTCCGGGTCAGGTCGTTGTTGTTCAAACAACCACCACCACTTATCATCAACAACCTGTTTATCCTATGCCATATGGAGCCATGTATTCTGATCAATTCTCCATGATGATGAATCAAAGCTATGAACCTCCTCAGTCATTGGACCAATTGCCTTTCTTTAGCTCTGTTTCATCATCAGTTCAGGATAAAAAGACAGAGGTTGAACCGGTGTTGTTTAACTTTGACAATCTCGTGGTTGATGCGCTAATTCCTAATTATTTACCAGCGTACTGCTTGCAGCAGAAGCAGAATACTGAGAACAACACAGTTGTAAATAACACAAATGTCAACAACACAAATAATTCAACACTTGTGGACAACCTAACCACTACAAAGGTTCAAAACAACTCTGTCAATTTCAATCCAGTCAACACAATTTCTAAACAATCTATTACTAATGTTATTGAGAATAACAATGTCACAATCAACAACACTAAAAATGTCACTAACCAAGTCACAAATATCACCAACGTCACCAGTAAGGTTGTTCCAAGCACTCCAACAGTTTCTGTAAATACTTTAACAAACACAGACACTCAGAAAAAAGCAGTAACTTGCGAAGTCGTCAAAAAGGTAGTTAATAACTCAACCACCAATACATTGGTTGAAACAAAGGATGTCAAAAAGGACGACAAGGTAGTTAATAACACTTCCACTGTTGTTAAAACAATTAAGGATGTCAAGAATATCTCTACCACCAACACGTTGGTTGAAAATAAGGACATCAATCACCATGTAACGATCAACAATTCAAAGACTGTTGAAACAAATATCATCGCCACCAACAATGCTTCTCCGGTTACAACAACAACCCACACAAGCACATCAGTTCCAAAACCAACTAAGGAGGTAGTTTCTCAAAAAACAACGTCTGAGTTAAACACTACTTCCAGTTCTGTGGTCAACACATCTACCAACATTTCCACTTCTGAAGTTACCATCTCAAACATTAGTACTAATGTTGTAAACAACATTAACAACATAACAAACGTGGTGAACAACGTTGTCAAAAATTCGGTTGTGAACAATGAGATTGATAAGACTACCAGCATAAACAATATCAATTCTCAAACAAAGGATATCCAAAATCAATCGGGCACAACACAAGAGACTGTCATGAACTCTGTTAAGGTTGAAAATACAAAGAATATTTTCGTCACCAACAATATTAGCAACACCACCAATAACACGACCGTGAATAATATTACAAACACGTGCGTGGATACCAAAAATGTAACAGCTCAGCAGAACGATTGTTCTAAACCTCAAAGAAAGTGGGTGATTGAAACAACGATTGAGAATTTCAAAAATAATTTCTCCCATCTATCAGGTGTTTCTCCGTTATATTTATCAACCTTGTCAACCCTTGAGAAATACCAAAGTACTCTAAGAAAAACCTTGGAGATGGCGACTGGTGAAAATGTCGAAAAGTTTACCGCTCTAGCGATTCAATGTGACAATGAATTTGAAAAGAGTATGGGTTGGTTGGAAAGAACAATTGTCATGCTTGAAAGAGAAAAAGTTGCTTTCATGAACTGGACTGAAAACAAAAATTTGCCAAACTTTTTGAATATGACTGTAGAGCAATTGATCGAACAATGCAAAAAATTACCTTCACATCCGAAATTTGATGAGTCCGTGAAAACCTTAATCGATTATTTCCAAAGATATGGCAAGTTAGTACAATATTTGGTCCTTCTCCGTTACTATTACACTTCCATTCACAAGAAATATGATCCTCCAAAAATAGTGTTGGCCAGAACTGAAAAGTGTTCGGTCTCCAAAATGTACAATGATAATGACTTTGACCATACTTGGGACGCCCTAAAATCCAGCGTTTCATATTGGCTGAGACCATGTCAGTTCAGTGACAAGCCTGTGCTATTCGAAAATGACACCCTTGATGTGAATCGAATCCGAAAAGGTCTCATCAACAATGCCTATTTCATTTCTGCAGTAATCGCGGCTGGCCAAAAGAGCCCTGAAGCCATCAAGCGAAGATTTGTGGAAGATGATTTCGTTGGTGGGCGTCACACAGTGAAGCTATTCAATAGCCAAAACCGTGAGAAATTTGTTACTGTCGATGATTGTTTCCCAATTGAATACTTGGGAAAACCCATTGCAACAAGCTCTTCAGTTCCAAACGAGTTTTGGCCACACATCTTGGAGAAAGCTTACGCAAAGATGCTTGGAGGTTATCACTTGTATTGTCATGGAGGAAATCCAGGCTCAGTGCTTCAAGCAGTTTTTGGCTGCAAGGAGTCCATCAAGCTTAGTCTTGGAAAAAGCGCAAACGCTAATGAAATTTGGCCGAAATTGCAGGAAGAGCATAACAAAGGAAGCATTATGATGGTATACACCAATTCCGGTTATAATGAAAATACTGAAAATGATTGTCACGCCTATGTCGTACAACAAGTTATCGAGATTAAGGATAACTCAAACGTGGTTCACCGTTTGATCAAGCTATTCAACCCTTGGGGCTTGGCTTACTCTTCCAATAGTGCAGGAGAATCAGCTCTTGAGAAGGCATACGCATTAATGGAGTGGAAAGGTCGGTACAGTGATGGTGACTCAAATTGGAATGATTTTTGATTAAGAACCTTAACATTGAGAGTAAGAATGACGGAGTTTTTTGGATGTGCTCTGAAGATTTTTGTTCTCATTGGTCACACCTAATTGCTGCTCAATTACCAGTCCAAGAGCAATAACACGTCACAAAGAAGCAACCTACTTTGATGGGAAGATGAGATTCTTTCGTCTGATTGACATTAAGTTTTTGCTAAAAATAGGATGATCTCTCATAAAAAGTCTTTACGTCTCACTTCTTGAGGAGTTGCTATTGACCAAACTACAACAACAGTTTGGACGTTTGGTGGTTCTTGCATGAATTATTGTTGTTGGAATCGGAAAGTATTTCCAACGAGCTTGCTGCATTGCAACGTTCACCATCATTCCCCTTCAATCTGTGATACATTGACTTCGTTTTACACATCTTTTTGTATACAACCTAATTTTTCAAATAACTCTAATCTCTTACAATTATCTTCCGATCCTTTTCCTTGTAAATTTAAAACTCCTAGTTGTGAACACACTTTTGCAAAATCACCACCTCCGCCTCTCGCCTTGTCCAATCATTTGATCAAACACAAAAATTGCTTCAACCACAACAAGAACAACAACCACAAATGCCAGCCGTTCTCTCTAAACCTTCCTCCTCCTCTCCATCCTTTCTTGAAACATCATCATCGAGGACATTCGCCACCACTTCCTTTCCAAAATTAATTCTCGATTGGTATGATTTTGCATTCAAGAAACATTACAAAACAACAAAATATTCTCTGATTGCATTGGCCTTGTCACTCGCTGCCTTCGTATTCGGGAGTGGATTCAAAATATATCGTACCATCAAACAATCAAGAAAACGATCACTATCCTCCCTTCATTCCACTGCAGTGGCACATGATTCCAAACCATCTGCAGAAAAACCAAAATCAGTCGAATCTGCCTCAACGTTCATTACATCCTTTGTCACCAAAGTTTACAAATTGTGTGTGATTGCATTTACAAAGAAACCCACAACACTTCAGACGGATGAGTTTTCTGGAAAAGTGTTGGCCATGTCTGCCTTATTGGTTGCATTAATTATTGTCCAGTCACTTGTCACAAGAAATACAAACATTGTGAGTGGTGACATGATGGAGTATTTAGTAGCTCAAAAGAAGAGTCACTTCTTTTACAGTGTGGTAAAATTCTCCTTACTCTTAGTGATTCAATCCATGATTGGTCCTTCTGTGAAATATCTTGTCGAATTACTTGCCTTATATATGAGAAGAAATTTAACCATGCATGTTCATGACAAGTACTTTTCAAATATGGCCTATTATAAGGTTAATAATTTGGATAAGCGTGTTGGAGCAGCAGATCAAAGAATTACTCAAGATATTGATGTGTTTTGTAATCGATTAGCAGAATTATTCACAGACATGCTTCATCCAACCTTTGAATTAATCTTGTACTCGATTGAATTGGTGAGATTACTTGGCCCCTATGCTTTAATGAGTGTGGTCTTGTATTTGAGTATTGCAATTTTTATCTTGTCCAAAGTTTCTCCAAATTTCACAAAAATTAGTGCACAAGTTCAGAACATGGAAGGTAATTTTAGAGCCATGCATAATCGAACAAGTGTCTTTTCAGAGTTAATTGCCTTCTATGGAGGAGAAAATACTGAAAGATCTAAAATTGAAAATTATTTTGAAACACTCACTCAATATTCAAGTTATGTCATTGGAAGAAACTTTTCATTTGGTGTTGTGAATGATTTTTTCACCAAATATTTTCCACACAGTTTCACCACACTCATTATTGGATTACCTGTCTTCTTTGGTCGTCTCAGATATTTAAAAGGAGATGCTCTGATGGGTAAATTGAGATATATCATTGCTGTCATAACTTTGGAATTTTATGCATTGGGTAATGTGATTGAACTTTTTAGAAAATTATTGAGATTAGGTGGAATGGCTCAACGCGTGGCCACATTGTACACAGTTCTGAATGAAATCAAGCATGGAAATTCCAAAAACATTAATTTCCAAAAGCATCATGATGGAGAAATTATTGAAGCAGATGAAATTCGTTTTGATAAGGTCACTATTAAGACTCCAGATAATATCAAACTTGCTCGTAATCTATCCTTTCATGTTGGAAAGAATGAACATATTGTCATTTCTGGATCGTAAGTAGTATTATTTATGGGATCTCTTTAATTATAATATGATTGGATCACACTCCATCCTAAACTACTTGTTCATGAACTATCATACTCCACTTTCAATATTACTTGTGTGACAATACCCCACTTTCAATATTGCTTGTGTGTGCCAATTGGCACTCTTTGTTACATTCCATAATAATTATTACAGAAATGGAAGTGGTAAATCTTCTCTCTTCAGAGTCCTTGGTGCATTGTGGCCTCTTCACAATGGAATTATTTACAAACCACAAGCGAAAGGTTCTCATGCCCGTGGTCTCCACAATGACATTTTCTATCTTCCTCAAAAACCTTACAACATTAAGGGATCTTTACGCAGTCAAATTATTTATCCAGATTCCACTTTGAAGGAAGGATGGACAGATGGAAGACTTGAGGAATTACTCAATGATTTTGGCATTGGTTATCTCTGTAAAAGAAGTTCAAAAGGTTTCGATTATGTACATGATTGGGATTCATTATCACGTGGAGAACAACAAAAACTTGCCATGGTTCGATTGTTTTATCACAAACCTCGATATGCAATTTTGGATGAATGCACTTCATGTATCACTGCAGAGGATGAAGATCGTCTCTATCGAAAATGTACCAAAAATGAAATTACTTGTATTACCATTTCACATCGACCAGCTCTTGAGAAGTATCACACACAACGATTGGTTTTTAATGGAAAAGGAGGTTGGGTGTGGCAAAAGATTAAGCATGGAGGTGAGATTGGTGTCGTCGATGAAGAATCTTCTTCATCAGAAATTACAGAACCAATCTATGAGTTGAAAGGAATGGATTTATCGATTCGTGACGATATTAAGGATGAATAATTTAACCTTCATTGTAACATCAAGACATTTGTGTGAGTGAGTGGGTGAGTAACAACAAGAACAGAATGAAACCAGTATCTCAACCTTGTGTCTACTTTCTAGTCACCATAACAATTATTGAACTACTGCCTATAAAAATTAATTATCAACAAATTGAATGCTCCAACACCATTCTCATTCATGGATTTACTATTCATTAAATTTCAAAGCATTATCTTTCAACTCTGGAAACACTGCAAATACTTTTGCTAGAATATAATCCCCATATCGAATTGGAGGAAACTTCTTTTTATCCTCTTCATGAATTGCCAATTCTTCCAAAGGAGTGACAATAGTCTCAAAATTTGGATCCAAAAAGAATGTATCACCTAATCCTAAACTTTCTCCAATAGCTCTTCAATCATTTCAACAAATTGTTGGTGTTCACATGTATCATTAAAAAAAACACTTACGACATGATGACATGTCCTAATTCAGTCAACGCATCCAAATAGTTCAAAACTGTTGATTTAAATTCAGGAAAATCATTTTCATCTGGCCATTGATTTAAACCATGCATTGGTAAACCCTTTCACAGCAGGATGATCATCATTCAACTCTGCACTAAAATAATAGCCTTCTTTCCAATCTTTCTTTCCATAGGTCAATTCTATTTGAATTTCATTGAATTCATTAAATTTAGAATTCACATGAAAAATTCAAAAAGGGGTTATTTTGCAGAAAAGTTTATCAAAAAATTAATGAAAAATAATTTTCATATTATGGAATGCATGTTCACAACGAGTTGTTCATGATCATCCATCACCTACCTCCACCCAATTCAAAAAATCCTCTATACACTCGACTGTTTTTCATGTGAAATCTATTTTTATATTCCAAAGGTCTTGCAAAAAACTCTCTTCCTTGTCTCATCAAAGCATCCACCAATTCCTGACTGACATCACCTATTTAGTGATATAGAAAAAACCATAACGTTCACACGTGAGTCCAATCTCTCGAATCACTTGTTGATAGGATTCATCATCTTTATGAGCTGGATCTTTGTGTAAAAGTGGAGAAATGTCAATGACAGGAAGTGTGATTGGTTGTTGTTGTTGGGAAGAATTAGAATGAGCAATCGTGTTGGTGGAGATCATGATGTGTTGATTTTTTTGATTGTAATTTCTAGAAGAAAAGTACCGATCGATGAATTTGTTTGTGTGAAATCGTTTGTGTGAAAATGTTGAATGATAGACTTTGAATTTCCATGAAAAGGTTGTTGTTGTGAAAAAGATTCTGCGTGTATTGGAGAATTTTATTTTAAAGTTCAAAGAATATATTCTTAATCTTGTTGTTTTCAACTAGTTTGTGCTTAGCTTCCAGTGAATCAAATTCTACATAGATGGTGTCCAATGAATTGCATTGTGAAAGTTTTTTGACATAATGCAATGCAATGGTGTGTGAACGAACAAGTCCAAGATGAATTTCTCTCAATTTTGGAAGTTTGTGAATTTGATCTAACATGTTCATTTCACCAAAGGTTCTAATTCTTAAATTGAGAGTTTGTAAATTGGAGGCTGGAGATGAAAAGTGAGCACACAAATGATTGATACCTTTCACAGTCACGCTTGTTTTTTCCAATGTTAATTCTTCCAAGTTTGGATGAGTTTGTTCTGAAAGTAATTGAATGACACTATCATCAACATTGTGATTACAATCCAATCGTAAAATTCTTAATTGTCTGCATGAGTTGACAATTTGTTTGTAATCTTCTGTAGAAACTGGAACCACAGGATAATAAACAGGTTGGAAGGCAGTGACTGGACCTTCAGATTTCAAAATTTGAGTATAAGGGAATGAAGTTTTGGATAAATCTAAAACTTGTAATTGGGAGGCAATCATTGAGCTACCGATCGATGACAAGTTAATACTGTCAGTGGTTCCTCTAATCATGAGATGATTGATCGAGTGTTGAGTCTTTGCTAAAATTGCTACATTTTGTGTAGTAATAGTTCTGCAGTGATTAATCATCAATGTTGTAATGGACTTGTTCTTGGTGAAAGCTTCCAAGAATCCATCATTGACATTATGTAAATTGATCAATTCCAAATGTGTCAACGCACTGGCATTGGCTTCAACCAATCCATACAATCCATTTTGAATGGCTTGACAGTTTTGAAGAACTAATTTCTGAATGGTTGAATGACCGTAAAGTTGTTTCAAGTTCTGATCGTTGCAAACTTCACAGTTTGAAATGACCAAATGTTTCAAGGAATTATTTGCAGCAATGGCCTTAAATGTTGACTCATCAAAATTTGAACCAGGAACATCTAACAGGTTCAAATGTGGAAGTACACCCTTTGCCAATAGTTGATTGGTAGCCTTTGGATCCCATTTACCCATTCTGAAAGTTATTCTTTGCAAGTTCTTGCAATGTTGTACAACTTCTAAGAGGCCACTCTCGTTAAAAACACGAGATGGAGGAATTTGTGACATATTCACATCCTTTTGTACCTTAGTATCTAAAAATACAGTTCCAGAAACGGTCAAATCCACAAGGTTGTTGCACTTTTTGGCAAGTAAGGAACATGTTTCATTACTAAAGTTTTCAAAATAATCCATCTTCTTCCAAGAAAGCTGTCCGTCAAATGTTCCTTCCCGAACTTGCTGTGGTAAAAGTCTCCAATCAATGCAACTTCTGTGAATATTCTGAACACTCTTGAAAAATAATTCTCTTCGCATGAATTGTTCCATTCCATAGGTTGGAACACGTGAAAGTGAAATTAAATGTGGTACAGTGCTCAACAAATCAATCACAATATGTTGCTCCGAGTTGTGACTCATGGTGGACAAGGAAAGTGTTGGAAATACAAGTCCAACATCTCTCTTTTCTGTGACATTTTCTTTCTTTGAATCTTTGAAAGTACTTTGTGTGGAATGAGTAGTGGAGTTATTGCTTGAACTCTTTTTTGCTCCATACAAATTCTTAATAAGAGATGAAATGAAAAACATTTTTCTCAATTGGTACAAGTACATTTGCACTTCCTCAATGGTATTAATGTCAAAGTCCGATTGGAAATCATTGTCTCTCATGCCCTGAACTGCATGATGATACTCATCGTAGTATTCGGCAGTGTGATCTGATGGTGGAGAAAAGATATTCGTTGTTGCTGTTGTGGGTGTAGAGAAGAGAGATGATTTTGGACTATCTGTGGTTGTGGATTGAAACTTTTGAACAGAAAGTGGAGATTGGAGTAAATTTGAGCTTGATCCAGATCGGGTAACAGGAAGATTACCATTCGAAGGAGATTTAGAAAATGTTCGACCTTGTTGTTGTTGTTCAGTTCTTCTTTGTGAATTAATGGACGTGATCATGGCTTTCAAACTCTTTCCATAAATATCCAATCGATTCACAAGTCCTTGTTCTTTGAACAATCTCATTTGGTAATCGAAAGGTGTGTCGATATTCACCAAGTTCACTAATCTTTGATCCATATGTTTAGTCGACAAAATGTGACATCTTTGATCTGTTGTGACAGGTCTTTCAAATAAATAATCAAATTCAGATTTTTCTCTCAAATGTTCTGCATTGTAAATGGATTCAATACTCAAATCTTTCTTTGCACTTGGAATTAACAAATCCGGTAAATGAGTGGATGGATAAATCATGTAGTGATCCATTAATTGACCAACATTTTGCAATGGTTGAATACCACCACTCAACGCAGAATATTCAGAATGCTTATACACAGGTTGACCACAAATCATATCCATTGGCAACTGACAGGCAATGGGCAAGACCACATTTCTAAAAACTGAAAAATCATAAAACTGTAAAACATGTCTCACACATTTCAAGTCCAATTTTTTCAAATGTTCTGACAAGGCAAGATCCGCTCGTGTCAAATGTAAATGATGAAGTGTGAAATTTTGATCTTGCAATCGAGAGAACAATAAACCAAGTTTGTTTGCTCGTGGAGGTGGAGGAGTTGAATGATTGGTGGTGAGAACATTTGTCATGACAGGTGAAGTGGTCGTTGTTGTCGTTGTTGTCGTAGGAGAGGTATCTGATGATGATGTATCTGATGATGTATTTGATTTTGTTGTTGTAGTCGTAATTGATTGATTGCAATTGTTGTTTAGGAGATTATTGGAGAGTGTTCGGGTACCTCTTGGAGGAGGAGGAGGTTGATCAGAGTTGTTGTTGTTGTTGTTGTTTGCGATGACCATCTTTCGAGTATAAAAGTAGTGCTGGTTTGGAGTGACTTTGCAGATGCGAAGTGCAGAAAATTTTTTAAAGGATGAGCGATGACATTTGACTGGTCTGAAATTTTCACAACAATAAATTTTTGCTGATCTTTTTTATCTAATCACTACAACACGATGATTAACACAATCTACAACAAATAAATCACCTGTTGAAAAATCCAAGGCCAATCCAATGGGATAATTAAATTCAATCGTTGGTAATGTTGGTGAAAATGTCATTGAGGCCAAATCCTCATGATTGTTATTATTGTCGAGTCTAAAAGAAGAGTCCACAATTCTTCTTGAAGGTATTTCTTCATAAATGTATCGATTGGTTCCAATTCCATCCTTAAATTTACATTGTTTTGCAATGGAATAGTGTGGAGTTGTGGCGCTACTGCTGGTGCTGTGTGAAAAAGATAATTTTGGCTTTGAGAAAATTTTCACAGCATGATTTCCACTGTCTGAAACAATTAAATGATTGCCATCAATGAGCACGTGATATGGATTTTTGAGGAAGGATTGAGTGAGAGAGAGTTGAGAAGAGGAAAGAGTTTTCACATTGGAAATGGCATCTCCAATATAATTTCCTTCACCATCAAACATTTTCACAGAATGACTTTTGGAATCAACCACATAAATAAGTGTGTATAATATGGAGGGAGATTCTGAAGGAAGAGTGGTCGAGATGGGTGACTCTATCGATGTCGTTATGGTGTGATGTGGATGAATGAATTGTTGTTGTGCTTGTTCATCGAAATGGATATGATGATAAAAATGTTCAATGGCAATTCCAAATGGTCCATTCAATGATTGAGTGGTCTCAGAGCTAGTCGAGGAAATGACATCCATCACTTGAAGATGTTGTCCAAAACTCGAAATAAATTCTCCATTTTGCAAATTAAAAATTTGAATTCTGTTGTTACCATAATCTGTGACGTAGAGTCTCCTCGTTTTGTAATCGATACACATTCCTGTAGGTCGATCAAAATATCCATTTTCCGAACCAACACCTTTTCCTATTTTTTGTAATAATTTTCCAGACTCGATATCAAATCTCTTCACCACATGTTCCATGCAATCCGAAACCAAAAATGTTTTTCTAAATTCCACAATTTCGGAACCATTTTGTGAATGAAACACCTCTCGATCCACACACAATCCATGTGGGTGCATGACATTTTCAATGTGATTGACGAGCTCTCCACTCGGTAACTTTAAAATTAACACTCGGTTATTGGTGTAGTCGGCAACGAGAAGAAGTTTTTCATTCTCGTTCGAAGAAATACACAGAGCACAATCAAATGGATTCATCACTTGATTCTGGAGAGGATTGGTTCCTTTTGTGAGATAACTGGTGATGAGTTTGTGTTTGTTTTGAAAGGCATGTCGAAGAATAATGGCTGATGTGGATGTTGGCATTTTTTTTGTTCCTTTTCGGGATGTTGTTGACGGCATTCATTGGCATGAGACTTTTGAAAGATGTCTTTGTAGGTACTTGAATATTTTACGAATTTTCATCTTGAGCACATTTCTCTTAATAATAACTTGTTGTTTAATAATGATCTTGTGATTATTGTTGAACCGTTGACATGTTGTTGGCTTCTCCTTTTTCAAGTTCACATTTCATCATCCAAAAAAATGCTTTCACTGCACAACAAGGCAAAATCAAAGGGTGTGGGTGGTAATAGTGGCCACAACTCGGACCAACAGGCTTTGCCTCAGATCGGATCGATGGCCTCTTTTTCTGAATTATTTCAAAATCCTCATCTATTTCATCAGGCATCCTCTCCAAATCAGATCCATGTTTATGAAGGAGTCCATCCTGAAAAACTATTCGGAGGAAAGAACTCACCCCAGATGAAGTGGATGGCCCGCGAGTTGAATGAATGGATGTTCAGTTATCATCAACAGCAACCACAACCGAATGCCATGTTCTCACCGAATGAATTGGCACTCAAACAAGTTGAATTTGGAGTGCGATCATTTGTTTTTACGCAAGTGATTTCAACAGATTCATCTTTGTCAGCTCAGAAAGAGTCCTGGAAGAAAGATGTCGAAAAATATACTGGCGAGTCTTCACACTTTGTTCACAATATTCCATTGCAAGGTTCCTATGTGAGATCTTCTGATGGCGGTTTGACCCAAACATTGTATATAGCTACTCTTCCTTTTATTGATAGGACTAATGCTCCATTATTGAATAACCGTGTCAATTTGCTCAGAGATTGGTATTTAGGAAAGAACCAAAAACAAAGCACCTTTACAGTCAAGTCACTCGAAGAAATTATTGAGAATGATGACTTTTTATCTGATTTAGGATCCCAAACAAATCTGAACTTTATTTCTAACTTATTTTATGAAATATCATATTGTATCAAAGAGTTACATGACCAGTGTTCCATTACACACAATAGTATTCTACCAAAGAATATTATATGCTTTCAACAAGGAGAATCATTCCATTTCTTAATTCACCCACCATCGTTTGGTCTGGCTTCCATGATTGACAACCTCAATGACGACCATGTGACATATTTCTCACCACAAGTATTCTCTAGATTTGAGAATGGTGAAGCAGTTTTTACATTTGATAACGATTTGCACATGTTGGGAACCTTGATTCTCAGAATTTTATTAGGGGAAGAATTTGATGCCAAACAACTTGATGCTGATGATTGGGATAATGAATCCAACAATTTGATTAATTCCATTTCATCTCGTGTGGCAAATTGTGATGAAAAAGAAATCATTATTTTCAAGAATTTAGCTACCTTAGCTGTGCAATGTGTCAATCCAGACAATACGAAACGACCAACGATTATTCAATTTTGTAGGGTTATTAACGAAAATCTTGGATATTTTTATCAAATCCCTCCACAACCTGTTTATGACGAAATTCTAGTTCAGTTCGGTCACGACAAAGACTCTGATCTTTCTCTGAGTGCTTCCTTTGATGATGAAGAAGAAGCTAGTTTTGTGGAGAGTAGAGTAATGGAAGAAGAGCAAAAACGATCGGTTTTGAAGAAAAAAACTAAACAAAATGAGGAACTTCTACCTTTGGCAAGAAGTTCCTCACTCTCGAAAGGACTAGGTAGAAAAGACAGCCGTGGCGGAAGTACTGGAGGCATGAGGAAAGAAAAGAGTCAATTCGATGCAAAACCAAAAGCTTCTCCAAGTAGAAACTTGGCGAGTTCCATTTCTTCATCAAGAGCTCCACCGGCCATGAAACAAGATCTCTCAGGTTTTGAAGATTTTTCATCGAAGGAATCTGCACCTTCTGTTCAACAAGAACTGATAGAGGGGATGGCTGATGATGCATTCGTTCCAGCAAGTGACAAGATGCATGATTCCATCATACAGTTATCACCTCAAATTTCTCAGCAACAACAAGTCATACCTTCTCCTCCACCACAATCACACCTATTTGCTACAAGTCAAGTCATTTCATCATACCCACCTCCTCCTCCATTGTCAGTAGCCTCCAGTAGCTCCAGTAGTGTCGTGCCAACTGGTACTACCTTTCCTGCGCAAGCCACTTCTGATACCTCATTAAATTTCAGCACCAATACGAGGAGCCGAAGACTTGCACGTGACGATTCTTATGGCGCTACAGAAAACGAAAAGAAAGAACTGCATGACAGTACAAAAGAAAGAATAGATGAAATTGTGATGAAGCAAAAAGAAATATTGGAAAAAAGTTCTTGGCGTTTAGAAGAACAACTTGATGAAAGATGTGATGACATACATTACGAAGCTAAGAGTTTTTCCAAAAAGTCCAAATCGTTTCATTTTGATTTTTCGTCAGCTCTTTCCTCCTTTTTCAGAAATATCGGAGAATTTTTCCGAAGCTTCTCTTATCGAAGAAAGGATAGTGGAACAACACAACCTCTGTCTGCAGATAAAATTCCTTTGCCACAGCCAGAGAAACCAATAACTATTTCAGTGGATACAACCAAGAAGGATCAATATTCAATAGTGAAACGATTGAACGATGGAGCATCTGCCATTATTTTGCAAGTGAAGCAAAAAGATACAGACCAGTTATATGTGATGAAACGTTTTAGAGAAGGTGTTGATACAGATTATCATAGAGAAGTGGAGTGCTTAAAAGCATTCTCTCACAACAATATTGTACAATATGTGGACGATTTCTCATATTCTGAAATTGTAGATGATAAGCAAGTAGTGACCTATGTTGTCATTATGGAGTTCTGTACCTTTGGAGATTTATTTAAGCAGACCATGAGTTTTGCACAGGGTGGCAAACAACGATTAATGAGACCAATGGTAAGTCAACATTTTTTTGAAATTTTCAAAGTTCGTATTCTCACCATATGCTGTTGTAATGACACAGAGAATGTTAAAGTTCACACTTCAACTATTTTCTGCTCTTGAACATGTGCATATGAAAGGTTATGTGCATTGTGATGTGGTAAGTAGCATTCCAAGATCTGTTTTTTTGGTTAACACCACTACTGAATATTACGTAATATGTGTGGAATTTCTAGAAACCACAAAACATATTCTTGGCCAAGGACGGAACACTCAAGCTTGGAGATTATGGTTTTGCTGTTAAGGAAGGATCTGTTGTTTGTGGCGGTACTTTGCATTATTTACCTCCTGAACAACAGGAAGGACAACCCTCTTCGTGCAAGATGGACATTTATTCTGCGGCATGTTCTCTCTTTGAAGTTCTCTCCAAGAAGAAAGTGAGCTTGAAATCAAAACAAGGAGCCCCTCTAAACTTTGAGAACATTTGGGATCAACATTTGAAGAGTAATCCTCATTTTCACAGAAAGAGAAGCAATCCTCATGCGATTGGCCTTTTTAATGTTTTACAGAGTTGTCTTGAGCCAGAAGCTTCAAAACGTCCAACTGCTGCAGAAGTGGTGAAACAGGTCACCGAAATTTACAAAAATTACTCAGCAACCCTATTGCAAAAAAGGCACAGAGGAAACATGGTTCGAAAATCTTTGAAAAGACGACTGAATGTTGTCAACTAACTGAATCTCAGCACATATCTGATCAGGATCATCACGTTCATCGGAATTGCGCATATCTGTTATGATCTCAAAGGATCGTTGCGCACTAGTTTACAAAAAAATAGAACACATGTCTCACCAACAACAACACACTCAACAACTTGCAGAGACTTTTGACCTTGCCCGAAAGTGGTACGAAGAATCGAGATCTTCCACTGCACCTCATCATGGATGGACCAAGTACAAAACCACTGACGAAGGAGCACATTATTGGGTGAACAAGGACAAACATGATTATTGGGTATTTCAAGGAGAAATGTCGAATGTCACTGTTTCAAAAAGCGTTGCTTCCTCTCCTCGAGACATTATCCACTATTTGGAGTTGGAAGAGAAGAGGTTGTTGTGGGATGAAGAGCTTGTGAAGAGTGAACGCATTCCTTTCGGATCTTCATCATCGAGCGTGTCATCAATTCATGATGAAGAAGACTTTGGAGCTTTCTATCGAGTATTCAGCTCAGGATCAAGATTAATATCCAATCGAGAGTTCGTCATTTTGAGAAATATTTACAAAGATCCAACACATCAGGATAATGTTTTATGGCTCGTGACAAAATCGGGATATGAAGTACCTGGCTACGAGCATGACAAGGCTCCCAAGAATTCATTCAATGTTCGTGGAGTGGTTCATTTGACAGCTTGGAGAATTGAACTTGTAAAAACAGAAGGAGAGAATGCATATTTCAATCTCTTCATCATGACTCACTCAGAGCCAGGTGGATGGGTAAAACCTTCCATGTATAATAACGGAGTTGGTGATCGGCCATGTGCTACTGTGTTGAGATTGGTCAAGCATTTGAAAGGTTTATCCAAATAAAAAAGGAAACGGAACAACAACGTTTATAATAACTGAATAGTATACATGCATACATCTCGTGAAAGGTTTGTTCATTTAGTATTCGTATATTACCTTTCATTTAATCAACACACATTTTCTCCAACATTCTCTTCTTCCAATTTGGATATTGCGAAATTTGAAAAATTGTCATCATTTCTTGAATCGAATCATGATCATCACTCTGTGTTGCATCTAAATTCTCTCTCGATTCGTCTTTGCCAAGGTCGATGATGTATTAATACCTTTGTCCATCATTGCCGGTCAAGAAATTAGAGATACAATGTCGATGGGTTGAAACAATCGTTTCTCTCGAGAACGCGAATGCGTTCGTCCGACGATGTTGTCGTATATATCATGATTTGCATCAATAAGAGTATCAAACAACAACATCAGTCCTTGTTTTTCGAGACAATTTCGTTCTTCTTTTAAAAACAAACAGCCACTTTCAAAAAGAACTACATGTCGATGAGTAGCCATCATCATCAACAATATGATCACCAACCAACCGTCATCACAAACATCTCTCCCTCCTCTCCCAGAAGTGGTTCCTCTCAGCCGAGCTCTCCAACCAATAAAGGAACTTGGCATCAATACTCACCCAAGTCCTCTTCCATCTCACGACCTCCTACTGTTCCAACCCAAACAACCACCACCACATCAACCACTCACCGAGGTTTACAAATTTCCATTCCGTCCAGTGTTCATTATTATTCGAATCGAAACATTCAACACGCCCTATGCTCTCCAACATCCGATCATGTCATTGGAGAAGAAAATTTACAACTCTTTTCATTGTACAGCCCTCACGCTTTGAATAACTTCACTTTTTCAAATAACCAAAGCCAATATACGGAATGTCTAAAAAGTTGCTTATCGAGCTTGCGAGTCAAAACTATGAGCCTTTTGTTTTTGACGTTTGCTTCCATCTTGATTATTTGCTTGATTGGGTTAGGAATCTCGTTTCAACTCTCATTTACAGAGGTTGAGAACAAGGTGGCGATTGATACCTCTCGAAAAACAGCTCGAGCACTCGAAGATGATTTTAGAATGTTGTTGGAAAAGGTAGGTCAAACAACTTAATATTCAGGGAATATGTTAATATTAATAATCATTCATTCATTCCATATCCCAAGGTCTATGATTATGCTGCGTGGGATGAAAGTTTTTACATTGTGAAAGATCACAACTTGAAAGGAGCTCAAGAATTAATGGAAGCCTATTTCTTAGCTCCCTTCATGGAGAGGGCAGCAATTAATTATGCTGGAATGTACTATACGAATGGATCATTACTGGCAGGAGTTGGTGCATGGAAATCTCGATATCTCAAAAACTTACCTCAGGAATTGAAACAATTAGATGCTCAACTTGTACAAGGTGCAGATGACCCTGAAACGCGTAATATTGCATTTGTTGTGCCTGAGATGAGTTTATTCGAATTATTGCAAGATGAAGATCGTGTCGCATACTTGAATGAGAAGAATCCAACAAATACTTCGGACATACTTTTAATAGCATTGGTACCAATCCAACCTAACAATAATTCGTTTACTTGTGGCTTTTTCCTGTATGCAAAATATTTAACATTAAGTTATGTTCATGACATGTCTCTTCGAACGCAAATGTGTACAGGCTTTTTTGATGCGCTTCATGACAATGATGCATTAAGGTCTCTCATGCGCGATTTTTCTGTAACCTCTGAGGATGACTTGAAACAGTTTTTTAGGAATGTGCAAGCTACAAAACTGCTAAATTTCAAAAATGATTCGTGGACAAAGGATAAACCTTTTCAAACCACAAAGAAAGGTCCATACGATGACAATAGATATAGAGCATGCCCAGAAAATTCCCTTGACGGTTTACCAGCTCGAATGGCCACTTATCAAATGTTTACTGACATTAGTGGCGAACATAGAATTATAGCTCGTACTGATTTATCACGAGATATGGCTCAAGTAGGATGGAGTTCCTTTTTATATTCCTGTTTGGTATTAGTCGGAATTGTATTGGGATTAACAGTCACAGTGTTGATGTTTGTAGAATGTTGTATCCTTCGAAGAGTCTTAAAAATTGGAAAAACTGTACGATTTATCACTTCATCCAATGACATTAAGCAACGTGTCCCTAGTGCTGGAAGGGACGAGTTAGGTACCCTTTGTCAAGATATAAACAAGATGTTGAACGCATTGGAAGAGTCACAATCCAAATTAGCAAAAGACAATAATATCATGCAAGCTTTATTGGAGAAGACAGCACTCGAGGAGCAAAAATCGAGATGCGTCATGAACTCTATTCATGATTATATTGTGACAGTTGAGTGTGCAACGGGCATAATAATTAATATGAACACTGCTTTTGAACAAAAATTGATGAAGAAAAATTCATCGGACAACAATCGAAGAAGCTTTGCCGATAATCAAATCATTACTGACTACATTACAGAGTTTGGGACTATGGATATGATACTGGAACATCTAGAAACTCTTTCTCAGAGCAATGACAACAGCCAATATGAAACTGTTGTGGTGAATCCATTTGGAGTCAAGCATCCTGTGAGCGTCAATGTAACCAAAGCTAAAATGACACTACGAGAAGGAATAATTGGAGAGGCTTTTATCATTGTACTTCGAAACTTGAGCGAACAGAGAGAACTGAAATCACAGCTTCACAAACAACAGGAAAAGCTTGAAGAAATGAGAAAAGTTTCTGAATTCAATAATGTCATGAAAGATGGCATTCTTAGATCCTTGTTAAAAGAATTTGCAAGTGCTGAAATGAGTTTGGAAAACATTCAATTTTTAGAAGATGTGGAACTCTACAAATCTTTATCAAAAATTAGAGACAGATCTGCATTGCAACAAGAAATTATCACCAAATATTTAGAAAATGAGTCAAACACACCACTCAATGTTTCAAAACACGTCATTGAGAGCGAATTCAAAAAAATCATCTCTGGTTTTGGTCAATTAGATTTATTCGATAGATTAGAAAATATTATTAAGCAAATGGTCATCAATGATACATTTTCACGTTTTCTTGCTTCTCAAGAATATCGAGATTACATGAGCAATCAAATACTCATGCATGAAGAATCTAGTTCAGAAGGGACAGAGACCATCGATATGACACATCCAGAGTGTTCTGACAACAACCTGAGATGAGACTCATCACGTGTGTGTCATGAAACCACTCTGAATTTGTAAAGGTCATTATTAAAGATGATCAACTAAGATTTCCTTACCTAAATTGATGTCGCCAATAATGTTAAAGAAGATCTTTCAATAGGACGTTCGGGAAATACGATTCCTTTCAATGTCCTGAATGTTGAAAAAGAGAAATGTCAACATTCCTCAACACCGAACAAAAAATGTCTTTAACACCTTCCTCCGATCATCCTCCGACATTGAATGAATCCAACAGGACCGATCCTCAAATACAAACCAACATCACCATCATCAGCAACAAGCAACAACATGTTTCATCCTCCTCTCCTTCCCCTTTTTTGAACATAATTTCGGAACCAAACAAACGAAAAACTTCGGGTTCCTCTCTTCCAAAAACACCCATTCATATTTCATCCTCCGATGCCGATGAATCAGAATGTGCTGAGGAATCATCATCAAGTGGAGGAGAATTTCATGATGCCAATGATGAAACAAAACCCATGCTCTCGCATTCTCTTCATGCCGAAGAATCATCACCCAGTAAAAGGCTCTCTAAAAAGACACAATCAAAACGATCAACAACAACAAACGTTGGCTCTTCTTCCTCTGATCTTTTACAGCCTTCTGCATTATTGAGTGGGTGGTTTGGAGCAAAGTCATCAACAACCAAAGAAGAAGAAGAAGAGAACCAACCGATACCTGCAAAAACACATTCCGAAGGATCCTTGCTGGCAAAGAAAGGAGGACCAAAATGGTGGTGGCTTGAAATATTCAATAATGATCATCATGCATCACCAGTTACTGCTAATAATGATGAGGACTCCACAACAAGCGGAATGTTGCCATCTGATAGTTTCAAGAGAAATTCCTTGACACAACTCGAGCATCAGAAGGAGCTTTTGGAAGAACGTGTGAGGATGATTAATTCCATGATGCAACGAATGAAGGAAACTAAAAAGTCACTCAAACAAAAGAGATCAACAACTCCACTCACCATTCCTTTATCTAACAATGAAGATACACCATTGCAAGGTGTTGATCCCATTAGAGACGATGAGGAGGCAAACACATCTGCAATTATTTCAACAGACAAAGTGTCTGCACTTGTGCCATCTCAACAAAACAAAAAATTGAGAAAAAAGAAATTAAGCAATTCTATCAATTCATCACTAGAAAAGATGTCAAACCTCAACAAGAAAAAGAACACAAATATTGGACAATATGAGAATAGCACACCTGAAACCCAAGATAACACTATCATGGAAAATCCTTTACTTTCATCGACCATTTGTCAAAGTCAATTCGATACTACTAATCAACCAACCGCAGAAGCTCAAAAAAAAGGCCTCTTTTCCAATGTGTTTGACAATTATTTCACTAAATCTTTCAAGTCTATTCCAGCAGAGGAGGGACAAGAAAAACTTCCTTCCGATCGTATTTTTTCAAAAGACAACCCTGTAACAGATTTGGAAGAAGGAAAAATTATTGTAGATGAAACTCAACAAGAACAAGTAATGGGGAGCTCATTCTCAACATTATATGATTATGAAAGACAAGTACAACTCATTTTAATTGATTTGGGATATGCATTGGCTACGTATGGTGTACCAGCCCACCGATTAGAGTACCACTTAACATACATTTCAAAACAATTTGGTGTAAAACCTTGTCAAATCGAGTACACTAGTACTGGGCTATTATTTTCTTTTTCTGATCCAATAGATTGGGCTCATTATAATGTAGATAACGGAAAAAGTACATCAACAACTCTTTACATAACCATTGACAATGCCAATTTATCATCGACTGGCGGTTCTATCAATTTGGACAAATTATACCAACTGGATAAAATTGCAGAAGAGCTAGCAGCGCGTACAATTACTATTCCTGATGCGAGAAAAAGAATTAGAAAAGTCATTCGTAGCAAACCTATTTTCAACCATTTTGGTTATCAAATTGCTACCCATTTATTGAACACCTTTGCTTGGGTGGTATTTCTAGATGGTAGTGCACTTGAAATGATCACAGCGTGTGTTATTGGTGCCTTGGTTGGTGCTTTTTGTACATTGGCAGATAGATATCCATACTTTCATCGTGTAAATAGCGTTATTAACTCAGTTGCTGCAGGAATAGTGGCAACAGTTTTGAAAATAATTTTTGCACAATTTACAGATCCAGTAGCAAGACCGCTTTCGGTGTTTTTGGTTACCCTTTGTGGAGTTTTTTCCATCCTTCCTGCCATACAATTTACAACTGGTATTGCTGAGCTAAGCACAAGACATTTATTGAGCGGGTCTGTAAGGTTGTTTAGTGGATTTATAGCCACTCTACAGCTAGGATTTGGTGTTTTAATGGCGACAGGTATTGATAATTTTCTCTCCAATTCTACAACTATTTTTGCCCACAACAAACCGGACAAATATAGAAATTTTAACAGAGTACCTGAATGGATATTAGCGCTCGTGCTGCCACTAATCATAGTTTCTAACATTTTCACATTTAGGGTGCCTAAGAAAATATTGACCTACCTCTTTGTCGCAATTATTTCATACATTTCATTTTTTGTTACGACAATCAGTTCTCATTATTTGGGGACTGAAGTTGGAGCACTTCTTGGAGCTTTAGTTTGTGGAATTATTGGAAATTTATATGCTCTTATAACCAGAAATCCAGGTTTATTGGTCACCGTTTGTGGAACTGTGTTACTCATACCTGCAGCATTTGGAGTAAGGGGTGTAAAAGACTTTCTTACATCCAACTCTGGTGACGAGACTAGTTTGATTAGTGGAATAGAATTTGTTTTTAACCTACTCTCCATTACTGTTTCAGTGTCTGTAGGGCTTTTATTGGGAGACTTTATTGTTCCTGTGCCACGAAAGCTGAGTTTCTAGTCAATTCAAGATTAATATTGCTGGCCTAAAATAAGATCCATAACCAACCAATAAAACGAAACTCCAACCATGTCTTCAATCCGTTGTTTTTGTTGATTTTTGTTTCGAGTAACTATATAAAAAATTGAAGCAACTTCTTGTTCACTAGTTTCAACATGTTGATAATGTTTGAGATAAGAAACCATTTGTTGAATGAATTGAAAACTTTTTTCTCTCATTCCATTCATAAAAACCACCACTGTCTCTGGGATTTCTTTTGAGAGTTTGAACCTTGATTTGCCACACTCCACTTGTTTTTCCTTAAAGTTGATCAGGTTGAATAGCAGCTCATATTCAGAATTGATATATAATCTATTCATTAAGTGTTTCAAGCCATGTTCATATTGTCCATACAGCTTGTCAATTTGTTCATACATGTAAACATAATTAGACTGTTGTTGGTTAATAGTACAAAATTGCTCAATATTGAAAGGAGTGGAATTGAATTGTCCATATGAACTAATGGCGTTGTCGCTTCTAAAGTTTGTCACCATGTCAAACATTTTCCCCAAAACAGATTTTGAAGCGTATGTCTCCGTGTAAAAACCATTTTTCACCATGTAGTGCGGCGTTTCACATTCCGGTAGGTTACAGATGACTTTTTGTCCTGACTTGGCATAATCCACTTGATGGCTATGAATTTCAGCAAGCTTCAAACATTGGGTGTCATGAACTCCGTTCCCACCTGTTCGTTTTGAGTTATCATACAATTTCAAATGAATGTCTGCGATGAGTCCAATCATTTCATTGTGAATATAATCACAGAAAAAATCTCTAGGTGCCAAATACGTATGATAATTTTCGTCACACATTTGTGCCTTTTCTAATTGCACATTTTGGCGATGATTATCAAGTAATGGTTCATATTCTTTGAAATTCATCAATAATGGCTCCCAAGATACGAAGAATTCATCACCATCAAGATCTCCACCTGAAAAATTGTTAAGAAAACATGTTCTTTGTTGCACTTACCTCCCATTTTGCTTGGCTGTGAAATTAATGCTTTCGAACTAAAAACAATCACATCCTTCAAATGAGATAGTTTTCCAGTGCTGTCATTGACTGCTCTCAGTTTACGAATATCTCCAGGGTGAAGTGTTGGATTTCTTGTGACAATCACTTGACCTTCCACTACTCCTCCTTTCTCGTAACAATTCTCGCAATGCTCATACAGTAATTGCTCACATTCATGGAGTGGAGAGAGCTGAATAAATACCTCGTTTTCCTCGAGTACTCCATCAAAATCAAGAACTCCTATTAATAGAGCAGCTCTTTTCAAAGGAATGTGACTTTTCACATGTGAAAGTGTTTTTTCAAATCCTAATTGTTGAGCCTTATTGATTAATGGATCATTCTGCAATATTTCATGTGCGTATTCATGCTGCATTGCTCGTTTGATGTTTTCTGCAACAATGTGCTGTTGCTTGGCCAATGTCTTTCTCAACCATCGATAAGAAGGCGAATCATTTCGTAACTCATTTAAATTTTCTTTAACCAATGCTAAAATATTCTCTTCTGGAAGTCCATTCGAGTCCAGCACTGCAATGATTTGTCTGTTGAGTTCGGTTGGTCTTCGTCTCGAATATGCCACTAATCCAAAGGTCTTGTTATCAGAATTGCTGAATTTACATTGACTGTGACTCAATAAAAGGTGTCTATTGTCTTTTGAGGTTTTTTCGTGCAACTTTCGATCTACGACTACCACACCTTTGTAACCCTCAAGTCGAAATTGAAATGCAGATGGGATATAACGTTGACCATGCAAACGGATGTCATTCTTTTCAGCGAGTTCTCTTGCATAACTTTCAGAAATCCTTCCAATTCCGTCACTTAAAATACTCTGTGTTGGTGACACAATATCTGGAACTTTTTCAAAAAGGACTTGTTCACCTTCATAGGTTTGTGTGAGACAGAGACCTATTCTTGCGGCTCTTTTTGCAACTTTGACTTCATCAGAGAAGTTTCCTAACTTGTCAATAATAATTTTTGGAAGATTTTTCTTGTTATCTGTAACATAGACACTCCAATAGCTGAATGCTCGTAATTGACTTGATGAGTAAGCCAACATTTCATACCTTCCATCAAAGAGTGGAATTCCAATGCGAACAAAAAAATTAACTCGATGTGCAAGATTTGCAAACCTGCCAGGGAAAAGTGCACTTCGATCTTCATCACAAAAAGAAACTCGACAGAAAGCATCAACTAGCTCTGAGTTACGTCTCAGTAAATAATTTCCTCCTTCTTGAGATTTTCCCAAATATATTATTCTTGTTGGTGTGACAACAAGCTTCCTAATGAGATACGAGTCCTTAGAATTATCACAACATTCTAACATGTGTGGTGATTGGCAATAGTACTTGAGCCATTCATGGAATAGATTCATAAATTCAATTGGGTACATGTTGGGTTTACTCTTGACTTCGTCAAGCAACTCCCTCAATATATTTTCCACAAGATTTTTGTTATCAGTACAACAATATTGAACCCATTGAAGAAGAGAATCCACTCTTTGTTGACAGTTCAATAATCCACAAATTTGGCTGTTGAAGCACAGTAGTAGATATCTTATTTCAAAAGAGAGCGAATGAAAGCAAGGGGATTTGGGAATTCCTTTTACGTCCACACCATCCACTTGATACAGAGTATCGATCATGTTAGATTTCACAGGATATTCAAACGGTTGAAATGGTCTTGAATTACATCTTTGAAGCAAGATGGAATTACACACTTTAAAATTACACATCCAAAGACTAGTAATTTGTTCAATGTCCTCTCGGTCTGCATGACTTGTTGGTGCCACAAGTCTTTGCTGCTTTTGGTCATAACTTGTTTTTCTAAAAACTTGTGGAGGATGTTTCAGTTCAAGAACAATGTCATAAAATGTACAATTTCCGTCTTGGAACTCTTGAATGATCACCTGATGAATTCCACGCTTGTTGATTTTCACTTGAAAGAAATGTTCTGTATAGACATTGAACTTGATGTGAATACTGCCATCACGAAACCAAATTAATTGTTCATTGGAATGACTTGGAATTTTGAAGTGTTTGGAAAAGAGAGGATCAGTCATTCGAAAACAATGGACGGTACGATCATCAAAGTTGCCAAACCGCATTTCTTGCCAGCGGAGTATCTCCGAGCAATTGCTGTTTCTTGCGTGATGCATTTTTTTGTATTTAATTTGACAGCTGAATTCTCAAAGTGTCAAATTGAATACAAAAAAAATGAATGCACAAGGTTGGGACTGGGTGTTTTGCTTTGATTGTGATTCTCTTCAACGACAGCCGTTGGTATACGAGGATGGTGACATGAACCAGAAACACCACTCAATCTTTGAAAAGTTGAATGAATATGTACGGGAATTCATTGTAACACATATCCATCCTCATGATTTCTCGGTAACGATTGGTTTAACAAATCCTGGTTCAATAATGAGTGAAATGAAAACATGTTATTTTGAACCTATAGTTGCGAGTGATGACTTTGAAAAGAAAAAGAAATTTTGGATCGATCTAGTATTTGCAAATATTCCAATGAAGAAAGAAGAAGATGTTACACGATCACCATTGGTCTCATTACATATTCTTCAACATGCATTGCAACATTTGTTGATGAGAAGAGAAATGACTGGATGTCATGATCAACCAATCATTTTGACCTATGTGTGTTCAGAAGTGAACTACAAATCTTCTACTTTTGTGAATAATGAATTGAACCGTTTGCTTACCTCCACTCTGCTTGCAAATATTCCCCATAGAATCTCTGTCATTGGAATATCAACGACTTCCTCTATGATTGGAATATCGACTTCGTCACCATTCACCACCCATCGTACGACTTCTCTCAAAAAAGATTGTGAACATTTAGGCCTTACTTATTTTGCTTGCTCAACAAGGAAAAGTGAAATTTCAAAAAGTTTTAGCATGGCCATTCGAACTCAAGATATCCAACAACGAAAGTCAAGGAATATTTACCTTTTCGATACGACAGCCTTACTTGAGATGACAGAACATCAATTGGAAAAATTGTTCGGCATGTTACGATCCGAATGTGTTGCCATTCCAGCCAATGTCATGAAAGAATTACATCCATTGAAATTGGTGTTTAAAAAGTGTTCCAAGTTTGAGAATATCATTCAACGGCAAAATAATGTACGGTATTGCAATAATGAGGGAGTGAGTCATGAAATTTCAAATCATTACGATCAAAGAGAAGAAAATCTTCTTTCTATTGCAAGATCTTTGAGAAATCAAGGTTTTGTTGTTCTAATTTTCTGTAATTATGAAGTGATGAATAATTCCGAGGGATTTGAATGGTACACCCATTTGAAAGATTTTAAAAACTTCCAAAGCCTTTTTGCTCATCCCCATCATTCAATTTAATAATTCCAAAACTCACTAGTACCTAAATCATCTTGCTAGAATTGTACTAATCGGCCCATTCAATATCTTTAATAATTATTAACAATTACAACCTTTGCTTATTTGAAATTTATTTTGAATTGAAAAAAATGCACAAATTGGGTGGTTACGAGTTTTGGGCGAGTATTGGCTCTCCGAAATTTGTTTGTGCTCCGATGGTGGACCAAAGTGAATTAGGTAGGTTTTCTATGTTTCTATAGAAAAATAATATTTGTTGGACGGTGATGATGCAAATTCAATTTTTTGAACTCGGAATGATGATATCATTTATGAAAATAGCATTTCGATTATTGATAAAAGAATATGGAGTGAATCTGGCATATACTCCCATGCTTCATGGTAGATATTTTCAAAATGATAAGAAATACCGAAAAAGGTATTTTCAATTTGAACCTGAACTTGAAGTGCCAGTATTTGCTCAATTTTGCACAAATGATCCAAACATTTTTGTAAATTGTGGAAAGTTGGCATGGGAAATGAGTGGAGGAAAAATTGCAGCTATTGATTTGAATTTAGGGTTAGTTTCCAAGATTAATAATAATTAATAATTAATTTTTCTTTAAAGGTGTCCACAAAGAATTGCAAAAAGAGGAAGATATGGGTCGTTTTTGATGGAAGACTTTGAATTGGTTTATTCAATTATCAATAAGGGTAAGTACCAAGTTATAAACGCAATAATTAATTTGATTTTGCATTTTTTACTTATTCAACAGCTCATCGAGAGCTTCCAATACCTGTCACAGCCAAGATTCGAATTTTTGAAGATTTACAATTGACACTCAAATATGTGGATACCGTTGTTTCTGCTGGAGCTCAAGTTCTTTGTGTACACGGGCGAACACGAGCACAAAAGGGGCCTTTTCAAAATTACGCAGATTGGAGTGTCATTAAAGCAATTCGAGAACATGTTCCTCAAATTCCAATTATTGCAAACGGAAATATTAGGACATACCAAGATGTCCTTGATTGTTTGGAATACACTGGAGCGGACGCAGTGATGAGTGCTGACACGCTTTTAGAAAACCCAACACTTTTCAACAACGGAGATCATGTTCACCCGCTTGATATTTGCGACCGATATGTGAATATTTGTAAACATCATTTTCCGCCTGACCACAATAATATCAAGAGACACTTATTTCGAATTTTGGATCGATCTTTAGGAGGAGCTGAAAATAATGATTTGAGAATTATGCTTGGTAAAGCCAAGTTGTGGGAGCATTATCGAGAATTTGTGGATTATATTAAGGAACACCAAGGACGATTGGATTTTTCGAATTACACTGTAGATCATGAACCATCCATCCGCATTGTTCAAGACCCCGAAAACCATCCAATCATTAAGAATCCTAATACAGAAGATGTTGCAACCGAGAAGTGTGACAGTTGTGGGGAAGAGGCAGAAGACACGGATTAATCATTTTTATGAACATTTTTAACTTATTTCTGCATTGAATTGAAGAATGAATTAAACTTTCCTCCAATCACTAAACTAGATCCTAAACCTAACTCGTAATCAATCTCAAAATCACTGACCACTCTTTTGTCCAGAACCGTATGTATGAACTGTGCACTTTCCTTTTCGTTTGTGGCGTCTATAACAAAAGTATTAGCAATAATCATGCTTCTCAAAGTTTCTTCCAAAGCACACTCAACATATTTTGAAATGATAAATGTTGCAAAAGTTTGCTCCTTAATTCCGCTCATTTGAGATCTTAACCGTGATTGAATGGATTCTACTTCAGTTTTTGATAACTTGATTTGAGAGATTAAATCACGAGACTTCTCATTATTTGCTCGATTCGTGGCTGAGCTTCCTCCAAGGCCTAGATCAAAACTTCCTTTCTCTGACAAGTACTCTTCTTTGAGGGGAATGCCTTTTTCAACTTTTTCAACAAATAAATCCTTGTGTGTGAAAACTAAGTATGGCACACAGCCAGTATATGATTGAATGTTATTGTGAGGAGCTCCCTTGGCATTGTTTGCAACAAAGTGGTTTAGCAATTGTTTAAAGAAAATTATTGACTCTGACAAACTAATAATTTCATCATTTTCTTCATCGTTGCCTTCATTTTCTTCATTCATTCGTCCTCTTGTATTTTCATGGTCGCTATAATTATAATTTGCAATATTTACGACATAGAAAATTACATCAAAAACACAATTGTTTGTCATAGACCACTGCTGAATATGTTTTCTTCTGGAACCTCTTGTTACTGTGACAGAGCATTTCTGACCTCTTAAATTAAAAACATCCGTCACTAAACCGTTCACAGTTGTGTAAGTTTTTAAAAAGGTTGATAAACTGATTTTCGGTATATGGGAATTTTTTCGCGGAGATTGAAGATATAGAGTGGCAAGATTGTTGCGTTGGACTTCGGACATATGTGACATTAAGGAAGGTAAATTTTGAATTTTAGAAGCTGAAGTTTGCAAATAATTTGCTTCCCAAGTCTCCTTCAACACCCTGTCGTTTTTCCATTTTCTATTGAGTAAATCTGAAATTTCAACGGTAAATAGCTTAATGGTCATATTAACATCTGCTGCTAATGTTTGTAAACACCATACATAAAGCGACCGTAGATCTCCATCAATAAATTTCAGCTTGTCCGCTTCTGCTGTCCATTGTTTTGCTCTTTCATTCTTTTGATTTAAGATACTTTGTGTCGTTTCTCTGTTTGACAAAATTGGATCAGTGTGTGTTGGAGAAGAATCGTTGGATTTGGTACCTGTTTCGTTAGCATTTTTCGTATTTAAAGGTTCGTCATTCAAGCGCTTCAAGTTAAGAGTAAATTCTGATTTTCTCTTCTCAATTATACTTGTACTAAGAGCTGAAGAGTGTTGTTTCGATTTGTGATGAGCATTAACTAACTCCAATAACTTTTTCCATCCCATGGCGATTGTTTTGACATAATAGAAAAACATAATTGAGGGCGTAAGAATGCTACCAGTATTTGTGTTGACATCCTTCTCTATATCATTCACTATTTTCACTAAATGGTTGTAAATGGTTGACTTTCCAGAGCAGCCACTTCCAAACACACCAAAGCGTGTAGTTTTAACTGTGGTTATATACTTTGAAAGAATTTTTCCAGATCTTTCAATCATATCTTCATCAAACCTGCACGAACCAACAAAGTAATCTTCAACGAGTTGAGTTTTGCGCCCTTGAGAAACTGTTTCTTCTTCAAGGAATTGATGTATCACAAATTGAGAAAGCTTTTTTCGTGTTTTTGGAACGATAAGCACAGGTTCTTTCGGAGTGGATTGCGATCGTGCTCTCGGAGACCTACATTCAGTGGAAAGTCGAGGTGAAGCAGTTAGACTTGGGTTTGAGTTGGATTTTACAAGAGTGGTCTCGCTGTTGTCCATAGATAACGTTAGAGGGCTTGCGTCGGAACTTGTTGTGGACTGACCTGAAAAACTAATGTTTTTAGCGTCAACTAAATTATCAGATGATAAGACATGTATTTCCCTAAAGGCATCCATGTCCTCTTCGGCTTGACATGAATCCAATTTGGAAGTAAGATTGGCTACATGAGAAACTGGAGAGTTTGGGTTGACAAGATCAGTCTTGTTTCCTATTAAGACTATTGGGCATGATTTAAATCGTTCATCTTGCATCAACTTTCTCCATTCTTGAATGCAGTTTCTAAAGTACTTTTGTCTTGTTTTATCTGTTGCAAAATCCTGTAATGAAACCATGTAAAAAATTATATCTGCTTTGTTTTGACTTGATTGGTCATAGAGAGATAGATAATTCATTTGTTGCGACATTTCTTCTACTGTCTCACATTCTATGATCTGAGCTGTATTATTTCCAAACTTAATCCAGCTGTATTCTGTTAAAGATCGAGGTACAAAATTGGACCCTCTGAATAGCATTCCAGGAAACAATATCATAAATGATAGAGGGTTGTCTTTCGATTTAGTGACATTAAAGTCATTACAGTATCTCTTGTAACATAGTTTTTGGAAAAATGAATCCAAGCTTGGAAATTCATTGGTGTCAAGTCGTAAAAAGTCTTGGATGCAGAGTGTTTTTGGAGGATTAGTTCTAAAGTTAAATGAAAGTTTTGCCGAATATTTTTTTTGAGAAATTCCCAGATAGGTCAGTAACTTTTTGATTTGCACAATCGTGGGAATTTCTTCAAAATTAATGTCTATTGCATTGCGTTGATCCCAAATTGTTAGTTTAAAGACAGTTTCTCTTTTGTATAGTTCATATAATCCTTCAAATTGTAAATCTTCAAATTCTTCTAAACCAATTTTTATGACAAGTTCATAATAATCTGAGTCTGAAATGAGGTATTAATAATAATATTTGTGAAAATAATTGAAATGTTAAATACCTACCATCTTCTGGATCAATACCCAACAATTTCTTTAGAGAAGGAGGGAATAGATACTTTCCATAATTTTCAGGGTGGTACAAATACAATAATGTCTCTAACTCTAATTGTCGTAAATATTGTTGGAATAATAAAATTACAAAATTGATTTGGTTTTCACTCTCTTTCTTCATGAGAGCTTCAGGATCGTTGGTGAAGTTGACAACATCTAAGGATGCTGATTTTTTGTGCAATAGTGAGCCTGCAGTTCCACCATTTGAAGGAACTTGGTTTGATTTTGAAGACCTCAAATTATTGATCCATTGAGAGAGTTTACCACCTGTTGCAGTTGAGGGAGAGGTCTGTATATCACCTCCGGACGCCCTAGGAGAGGTTGAGAGTAAAATGTTTTCCTGTTGTGGTGACAACGCACTGTTGATCATTGTATCATAAAATGCAGAGTTGTCTAAAGTCGGAGAAGACGATAGTGTTAATCCATCCATGAAACCACCAGTGCTCATACTTCTCTTACTCAACCCTGAAGTTGATGATGCTGTTGTTCTAAAATCAGATATAAACTCCTCTATATTTTGTGATGTAGATGCCAGTTCTCGAATCCAAGTGGTTTTTCCGACGGACTGGTCTCCCAACACGAAAATATGCTTATCTGCTTTAAGAGGACATGATGGAAGGACTCTATCTTGGTCGGTCATATGTTCAATCACGATGCTCGTAGGTGAGAGTGATGTTGCTGCAGATACACTCGATGTATTTATCATGGGTGGAGTGGAGTGTGAACGTTCTCGTTCTATATTAATTAATGGAGATTGATGGATGTTAGGACTTTTGGAATGATGTTTTTGACGATTCTCTATGAGATGATGGCTAAAACTGGATGAATGATGTTGATGGTGAGGATGAGTATGCTGTGTGGATGATGAATTAGTGCTTGATTTCAATTTCATAGAAGCGATAATATTGAGAAGAGGGATTTTGGTCTTGCCATTATTACTGGCACTGTTGTTTGTGTTATTGGCAGCAACAATGAAGGTGTTGGAAGGAATATCATCATCTAGGGTCACTTGTGATGATTCGTTATGTGATGTGGTTGTAATTGTTGTTGTTGTTGAATCATGTTGCATAGCCACAGTGGGAGAGCATTGATTGGGCGAAGAGCTCTCTTCCGAAGAGCAGTTGTTGGGAGGATTCATCATCAATTAATATTTGGAGAGTTTAGTTGAGAGAACGTTCGACGGAAGGGATTGGAATCATTGGTTTCGAATTTTTGCTGTGTTTTGTCTATCACTGTCAAACTGAACGTTCTTTTCCTAAAACACTTTCCTAAACTCTCTCACTCTATAAATGCTTTCAACTTCATCATAGACAGCAATCTTCACTTTTCCATTAATTTCAAACATGTTTTTGATGAGAATTAAATCTCGGTGTTGTATACAAGAATTGGTGATAGTGATTAGATAATGAACCAGTTTGGAGGTCCGTAAGTTTGTGACACCTTCAAATGCTGTGTCCTCCTCGGAAATATTTGAATATTTCAACATTTCCTCTTTCACAAACACATAGTATTCCTTAATTTTCGTTAAATCGACATGTTTAACATTTACCGAGGTTTTTTCATGAGACAATAGCGCACTGATGATTCGATCGTTGTTGTTTTCAAATGCAAGCTCCAGTGGGGTTTGTTTTCGACCGAGCAGGATTCCAAACAGGCCTCCAACAATGATCATTGAAATTAACGAAGTCCTTCTACTTGCCAACCAATTCCAGGTCGGCTTCAAGAAAGACAAAACTCCGAACATCATCTCACCTAAAATCATTCCCACAATTCCAAATAGTGGTTTCTCACTAAGACCAATATTTGGGTCTGTCCTGTGATGGGATAACAGCAGCCTTGTAATTGCATAGTCATTATTAAGGCACGATCTGTATATAGGGCTCTCTAAGAAGGTACCCTCATTCGGATTGATCTTGTTATGGTTAATAAATTCTCGAGCCATCTCTAAATGGCGATTCCTACAAGCATTAAAGAGTCCTGTTTCCAGTCGGAACGGGGATATAAAATTTGGATTGATATTTGGTGATGAACGAAATATAGTCCGCACTTGTTCCAAACGATTACTCTCGGTTTCTTGCACTAGTTGCAGTTGTAGCATGAAATTACTTTTCATTGAATCCAAACGATCAAGAGCAAGATTCATCATGGAGAAATTTCGATCAGAAGGAATCATTTTTTTGAAGAACAAGAAACCAATTTTGGGTAACTAGGTTGGATTGAAATGAAAGAGTGTGTTCAGGTCTTGTTATTATTGTTTTGGAGTTCCCTCTTTTTTGCTATAAGCTTGATACATGTTGTTAATGAGAATACCAATCAAAGCAAGAAGTAACAATCTCAAAATTAAGCCAGCTCTCTTTCTCTTGTCTCCAATTTCTTTAAGGAAATCTTGAATGGTGTTGTAGGAGTTATGATGTGCTCCAATGTTTGGATCGTATTCTTTTGCCTTTTTCAGATCTTGCTTCATTCGTTGGTCAGCTTCAGCCTGGTATTTAGCTGCAGTAATCATGGAAATTTGGTTTTGAGAGCCTCCAACAGCGTCATTCTTTGATTCCTCAGCTCCTAACAGTTCAGCCAACTGTGTAAGTTTGCTATTGATTTCTTGGAATACGATTTCGGCTCGTTGCTTTTGTGTGAGATCCTTACTCAAAGATTGTTCAACTTGTGGTCCTTGATACAATGAATGAATGAATGTAAAATAGAGTTCAGCTCGATCGACCAATAAACGAGCAATCCATTGCTTTTTCTTTGCAATTTTTTCAGCAATACCGTTTTCGGCTTCTAACTTCTTGATATCTTCTTCCAGTAATTCAATTGCATTGCACAAATCGGTATGTGCTTCCTTAGCGTTTCCAAATTCCTTGTAGATGGAATATCTTCGATCAAGTAATTCTATTACGTTTGTTCTGATTTCTTCAATTCTCTCTTCTGTCTCTGATTCTTGATTTTTGGTGGTCTCTTTCAAAATTTGGTTTTCCAAAGGATTTTCTGAATTATTCTCATTGGAAGGAGGTGTAAATTCGAAACTTTGTCTCTGCAACTCAAGAAGTTTGTTTGTAATGACATAAACTTCGTTTTCCTTCTCCAATAAAACAACCATTCCTTTCAGTCTGTCGACCATTTGCTTTTCACTCTCTTCTTCATTTTCTGGTCTTTCACCGCTTGAATTGACAATGACAAGCAACTCCAATTGATCCGAAATGGTTTTTAATTTCTCCAAGTCTTGAGCTGCCTGGTCAAAGTTTGAAAAAGAATGGATGTTTAAAAACGCTCTTCTTAGCAAAGCATTCACAACATCCCACAACTCTTTTGGAACGACATGACCCGCAATTTTTGTTAATTTGATTGAATCCTATCATTATCAAATAATGCACCACCAATGTTCCCAGTCCAATAAATTGAAATATTAATATATAACAACAATATCATGTAATACGAGAAGGTAAAAGAATGATGACAATAACGTAATGGAATGACTACAAATCGTATCATCATCATCAGGATACATACATCTTCCATCTTGAACATTTTGTTCATAGTAGTGGCCGACAACTTTTGAGTCAGAGCATCAAGTTTATGAATAACTCCATTCAATTCTTCGAGGTAGCTCTGCTCGATAGGAGTGTTTCTCAAATCATCAACATCAATTAACAAGATTTGATGATGATTTTGGGTGGGTGTTGTTTCGGAAACATTTCTTCCTGCCAAATTCATTGAAAAGCCTCTCATCATCACCTTCACGGAACAGCACGAAGCACACGAACATGATGATTTCCATTGATGATTACCACTCATTGTTCTTTCCATCATCTTGGAAGAAGATATCATCATTGAATGAGACCATCCCGAAGATAAACAGCTCTTACAGGCAACCATTTGGCGACAAAGGAGTGACTGGCGTGCGAGTTGTTTCATCATTTTTCTTTTAATATTTGAAATTTTTTACTGCGACGATCATTTCTTTGGAGAAGTATTGGGATTTCACATCAATTGTTGTCAAAATAATCTAATACGTGTGAAATGCCACACGATACATTTCAGGACTCATCAATCATGATTCAAGCTAAATGTAGCTGTATCCATATTCACAAAAGTATCGAATTTTAATGTACTAAAGAGAGAGTTCTTCCATGATGTTGGTAGAATCAAGAGCAGACGGAGCAAATGAAACTCTCTTCTTTGTGAGGCGTTTGAGTCGACTCTTTCGTGACTCGTCATCGCTGCTCTCACTACTCGAAAGTAACAACTTTTCTTCTTCTTCCACATAGGGTTCTTCTTGTGGCACCTCGGCAGATTGCTCCTCTTCTTGAGGTTCTGCTTCTTGTTTAGCCTTCTTCTTCTTTTTCTTCTTCTTTTTGGTCTTTTCTTCGTTCTGTTCAGATTCTTCTTCTTCTTCACGTTTCTTTCGTTTGGAATGCTTTTTCTTTTTTGGTTTCTTTTCTTCTTCTTCTTCGTTTGGAATTTGTTGAGAAGATTCATCCTCATTGTTGATTGACGTGAGTTGATATTCTTCTTCACTGCTGTCGTCTTCTCGAGAGATGAATCCGCCAAGTGTTTGGTCGGCATGAGAAGTCCTTCGCGACTGTCGACTTAAAGACGATATCGATGAATATGTATCTGCATTGTTGAGCAGAGACACTTCTCCCATGGTGCTCCAATGTAAACTTTCACAAATAGTGAAAGGATCTTCATCAACTCTCTTGAAAAAGTTTTTCACAACGGACAAAACAAAATCAACAACCTCCTCATTGACCTTCTTTTCAAAGTTAGAGGATGTTTCAGTTAAAAATGTCTTGTTTGAAAGAATGTTAAAGCAAAGTTTAAGGAAGGAAGCTCTGAACATCAACAATTCCATATTCAATTCTTCTATCAAATATTTAAAGGTCTTAATAATGCATTGATTGACCTCAGGAGAATTAACATCATAAAACCTAAATAAATACATGTACTGTTTCAAAACAGAAGGATGGGCAAACTTTCTTCTCAAACTCTCAAGTTCAAATCTCTTTTGATTCGTCGTGTCATCCTCTTGCTGATTATCATCATTGTCATCAGTGGAATTGTATGCTCCTTTCTTTCTCATAAAGAACGACTCGATAGTTAAATTTTCTTCAATAACGGTTACAAAAAGGTCTACAAAGAGAACCAGTTGTGACAAGTATTTCGTTGAATTTTGATAAGGTTTGTACTCTCTGATGAGTCGAACAATTCCTTCCATATTTGTTGGATCATACAAGATGTGATGCAAGTGAATAGAGACTATTCTTCCCCAAGTGATAGAATTGTTGCCACTGTGATCTCTGTCTCCCATCCATCGAAATGTCATAAATAATTCTCTTAGAAAGGTGATCACAAATGTTAAATTGAAATGATGCTGTATAAAAAAGTATTCGCTTAAAAGTTTTTGGAAGACCATTGAAATCATGTTCTGTTTCAATAAGTTGGAAACCAGCGAAATGTCAAAATGAACGGTATCAGGATATTGTTTTTCTTCTTCTCTCTTTTTCTTTTGGAGATATTTATGTCTATTGAATGAAAGCATGAACTGGCTGAGATAGAGAAGATTTCTTTCACTCTCATGATCGAGAGCTTCTTTGGATGATTTCTGATCTAGTTCATTACGGATAGCAATGGACTCATCTTGCTGTTTCCAAATGGCCTTCAACGCTAATTCAATAAATTCTGTTTACAAGGTGTTGTGTGAACAACAGCTATGCATTGATCATGCGACAAGATACTTACGATTAAAGCAGCTTCTAAACAGATTATCAGCAAATGTTTTGATAATCTTCTTCGTGTCCAATGTTGATATGGAGAAGCGTAATTCCATCTTGTCTGATGTGACGTTAATTCTTCTTGCTCCAAATCTTGCCCCCATTGTTGAGGCAGCTTTTTGTTGGCCTCCACCTACAAGGAAAGGGTTGTCGCTCGCTGAATACATGGTAGCGGTATTTAGTTGGCTGACGTTAGGAACAACAAATGTCTTTTGAATCTTAACGTCGTTCTTCTTGTTTTCTTTCTCTGCCTCGTCATCGGTGTCACCAAATGTTAATATGCTCTTATTCTTGTCAATAATCTTGCTGACATTAGAGCTTCTTTCTAAGAGAGTTCCTTGGAACCTAGTGTGTCGAGATGTAAGAATCAATGACTTGACCTGATCCTTATAAATTTTCTCTCTTCTAAGCAATCTCTTTAGTTCGTTATTATCCTTTTCCATATTTTCTTCATTTTGTGACATAACCATTTCCTCAGTTGTGCTTGTTGTGCTCGAAGGAATAGCCATGGAAGCAGAAAATAAATCTTGTGCTGTCTCATTCCAACATATCATAGTTGCAAACTTGAGCAGTACGAGTTGGAATTCTGACAGCTTTTTCATCACGGATTGTGAAGGTACGTCATCAAATTTTTCAACGTATTTTGCAAATGTTGCTACTGCATAATCTAAAAATTGACAGTCGTTTTGGAGTTGCTTAATAAAGACATCCTGCATTCTGGTCTGTAACTCTTCAGTTTTCAGTACACGTTCATGCTTAGCGTCGGGTATTGAAAGCAAATTATTGAACAATTTAAATATTGTCATGGCATATAACTCCTCATCACCTAGTCCTCTTCTTTTTTTGTCATTATTTGATGCATGTTTGGAGTTCATTTCATTTTCCTTATCCATGAGTGACCACACAATCAAGTGAATGAATTTTTGTTCCAGAATTCCTTGTTTTAACCTCTGTAATAGTTTCATTTGTTTTCCAAAGTAGAAAGTCGCTCTGTGTCTTTCAGCTGCACCTCCTCGAGCTTGAAATTTTCTAAATCTAGGATTGTTTTGGTCAGGTGACTCACTCAACAACAACAACACGTCAACAACTTCTCTAACAATTTCAAAATCTTTTCTATGATGTGCCAATAATGAAAAAAGTTCGTTCTTGTACACATTTGACTCGATCATAAATGTCCATACTCTTCTTTCTCGTTTCGTAATATCCTCCTTCAATATTTCTTGCAAATCTTGCATTGTTTCTATACAAAGTTTTCTTTTCGAGGCATATATTTCAGTATTTTCTTCAAACGATAATTCTTCATCATCTTTGAAAACGATAAAGTTTGTAAATTGTTGAATGATATCAACGAGATGAGGCTTGACATCGGATTCAAAATGGGCTTCTTCCTCTTCAAATCGTTCCTTGGATATGTCCACTCTATCATCATCGTCATCATTAGCGACAGAATCAAAAACTCTACCATCATCATGGACCGAGTGTTGTTCTTGCCGAGGGTTTGTTGATCCACTCTCGAATTGATATTCTAATTCGTCTTCGAAATCCATTCCGATTTCTTTTCAGGAGATTATTGCAATAGAGAGAATTAGGTGATGGAGAAATAAAGGATTCGAACGAGCGTAAAATGATGTGAATGAGGTGAACGTCTTCACACCGTTCGTGGAAATTATTTTTTTTTTTGAATTTGCTTTTAAACAAATTTAACGATTTTTGGCGGGGTTTCAAAGTGTTCCAAATTTTGTGGCTAGAATTGTGGATAGACAATCGCGAACATGTGCTTTAATTAATGACAGAAACATCACTAGTAGCTCTGTGAACAATAGTGTCCAATATTAACTTTCCGTTCTTTGGATCAAGACCAGTAGGTTTCAACACACATCCATTCTTATCAATACAAATTCCAATGGCAGTTTCCACAATCGTTCTTCCAGATCTTACATTGTAACATGGGGCTTTTTGTTGGCATCCATAATAATAAAATCGTTTTTCACATGAAGCAAACACGGATCCTGCTGTTAAACAGTCCAACTGACAAGCCACACACTCGGTGGAACGGTGTCCAGTGAAGAATTGTCGATCCACTAAAGCACGATCGGTTGGTCCAGTCACATGGAAATGATTTGGATTAGAATGTACATTTCTATTGGCCTCTCTAGATAGGCTGGATCGAGCACTCCTTGTTTCACCTTTGGCGTCTTTGGTAGCAGTCATGGGTGGTACAGGTTTCACGACGACTGGTGCTGGTTTCTTCACAACCACGGGTTTCACCACTGGTGCTGGTTTCTTTTCTACTTTTGCTTTGGTCTTACTTTTCCTCTTTGCCTTACTCTTGGACTTGCTCTTTGATTTGCTTTTCCCTTTGGATCTGCTTCTTGATTTACCTCTCGATGTGCTATTCGATTTACCTTTGGCTTGTCCTTTCGCTTTACCTTTAGAAGAGGCTTTAGAGGATGCTTTTGACTTGCTGGAGGTCTTTGCAGAAGCTCGACTGCTTCGAGAGGAGGCACTACGTCCTGTTCTTCCTGATGCTGCTCTTCCAGCGGAACTTCCTCCTTTTCCTGCTCTTCCGGATGAACGTCCAGCACCACTTTTACCAGTGTCACCACGACCACTTCTTCCTGAAGCTCCTCCTCGGCCTCCATTTCCTCCACGTCCACCACCACGTCCACCAGATTTGAGGGTATCTGCAAATTCTTGAACAATAGACTCATCCAAAGATTCTTCCTGTGAGAGAGTGACATCGTAATTTAAAAGAGTAGGTCTTTTGGAAATGCTAATTTTTTGTTCGTCAGGATGTCTGCATTCACTCGTTGTTGCACTCACAGAGTGATGATGTTGTTCCATCCACACGGTCAGACACAACACCAATATGGAAATACACAAAATGAAAGTACGAGCTAGTCTCGGACGAGATGATCTGTGGTTGTGACTGTGACTGTGATCAACATTTTTGAACATTTTTTGTCTGATAACTTTTGTCATTACAATCGAGATATCGTTTCAGGAAAATATTCCGTCACTTGTCACCATATTCAACGGAAGGCAAAGCCAATTGTTATTAATAATCGTTGCTACCTTATACCAAATCTCATGGGAACACGACAGGAATGATGAAGATGCGCTCAATCACAGACAGATAAAAATTGAAAGAGTTTCATGAATTGACGAGTCTTAATTGTTGAAGTTTGTTGTTTCACCTCGATCACTCCTCTTTATTACGCATCTCGATATATCTTTCAACACCAAGTTCATATCTTGCAGTCTTAATTACTTGATTCAACAATTGCTTTCCTTTGTGAAGACTGATTCCAGTGGATTTCAATACACATCCATTCTTATCAATACAAATTCCAATACCTGCCTCAATAATAGTTCTTGAAGCTGTTAAAGGTTCATAACATGGACCCTTTCGTTGACATCCATAATAATAATATCTCTGTTTACATTTTGAAAATATTGAACCTTCTCCCAAACAATCCAATCGGCATGCTACACATTTGGTAGAGTCCTTTCCACGGAACGCTTGACGATCTTTTAATTCCAAATCAGTGGGTCCAGTCAAATGAAAATGATAAGGATTCGAAAAGATGTATCTATTGGCTTGGTGTGACAAAAGGCTTCTCACAACCACAGTTTCTAATCGAGCCTGACCATCCTGTAGATATTCAATGGGGGTTCGTGTGTTTTCATTCTTCATGGTTGTTGTTGTTGTGGATTCTTCGTGTGTGGTTTCAGAAATGAGAGAATCTTCTTCTTTTGAGGAATCGCGTGGATGACCATACACTTGATGGTCATGACCCTTGGGGAGGAGAATCCTTCCATCTTCTGGATGTCTACATTCGCTCGAAGTTGCATGTACGAATATGAGAGAGTTGAAATCTGGAATCAAAGCTATATGTACCATCAAGAGGACCACGCAGAGCGTCAAACAGCAACAGAGTGGTTTTGAGAACATTTTTTATGTCGATGTTATTGCTATTTCATTTAGGAGCTCAGGACATGTTAATGCCTGTTGTTACTCGTCAAATGTCATTAACTGTTGACCCAACTACGAGGCATTGGTTGATTTGGAGGTGTTTTCCAAAACTTGGTATTGATTCGATTTTGACCATTTACAATTCACTTTTCAAATTCTTGTTGTGATTTTTCGATCACTTTCAAGGCTTACCATTGATTAAGGCGTCACACACGAAATTAGAGCTAACTTGAAATGATCGCTCAATGACGAGGTCATATGATGTGCATTTGGATTTACATTCTGAACATCATTCTGGAATTCAATAGAACTAGCCACGTCGATGAGTAATTTCGGGCAAAGCTCAACATGTTCATTGTTCAATCTTTCATAATCATAAAGAGTGGTTACATGCTCTAGAATAATCAAAGAAGCAGAGTCTATCTTGTTAGATTTCAATGATAAGATCGAAACATGAATGTCCTTTTGGCTTGACATTTTCTTAAAACACCAACAATCGAGAGTTGCTCTTCGAAATTTTCGACACAGTTCAATGTTCAGCGGTAAGACTTTTCTTTCAGCCAAAGAGGTGAATAGAGAGGAAATATTTTCAGAATACAACAGCACGGATGAAGATTCATCCCCCATGTCCACCATGAGACTTGCAAGGTCTTGCTGTCTCCTTCTCTCCACAAATCTGGATGAAAATTCAAATCGACATCCTGAAAACATATGAATCTTAAAAACATCAATTTCACCTTCTAACTCAAGGGCTTGATCATTGTCAAACATGAAGGTACTTTTCGAAATTAAGCCATTGGCAGAATAATCTTTTACCATTCCTCCATAACTGATTGGCAGAGAAAATGCAATTCCAGTCTCTTCAGCCACATGTTGTCGAGTTATATGTTCTCTTGATAGGGAATGTTCGTTGAGATCTTTGAGTAAGAATCTTGAAGGACTTGAGAATTTGAAGATCCTTAATCTTACTTGAAGAAACAACGTTCCAATCGATGGAACAGAGCTCATAGATGAAGATGGATTTTTTGAAAAAGACAGTCTTGTCAAAACATCTGGAAATGAAGGAGTATGGTCATCATTCACATCGGTCCCTGTTATTGGAATTGAGAGAATGAGAGGAGTCTCAGAAATGAAAGAAGGAATATCCATTGAACATTTTCCAACTATTGTCTATGGTTGAAGCAACAAACAATTAAACTCCCTCCTACAAATGCAGCTTGAGTACTTACTTCCTTTGAAAGAAGGAAACCATTCTTTGTTTTGAAAAACGCTCTAAGCATTAAATTTGAGTGTGCTCGAGGTTTTTCGACAAGATTGAACGTAATTGTTGAATCAAGTATGCACGAACTAAGGTCTCTATTTCTTGGAATTTTGATTCTTGAAGATGAATTTTCATTGTGAATTTTAATGCGTTCACCTTCAAATTGTTGTAACAATTCCAAATCACACAACAACCGTTTACGTGTGTGAAATCCAAGTTTTGTGATATTTTGATTGAAAAAATTGACGTGAAGTAACTCTACGACCAATTGATGATGATTCATGTTCTTATTCATAAAAGTATTATAATTGTTTTCTTTTGAATTTTGTATTATTAGCACAAACTAACATAATTTAAGGCTTTAGAATTTCAAAAAGGGAAATTTCCAAACAAGTAAAAAGGGAAAAGGAATTGTGATCTTTCCAAGTAGAAAGGGTAATTGATAAAAAAAGGAAGTAACGAATATAAATTCTAATTGATTGTTATTTTAATCAAAGCTGAATGTACAAACCATTAGTGGCTGTTTTGTTGAATTTTTGCTTGCAGGAATGGAAATACAGCTTCTCTGCAGAATTCTGATGTATGCTCATGTTTTATATGCCCAGCACTTCTGCATTCACACGCTGCTCCTTGTCTTTTTCTACTCACAACTGTATCACATGGTTTGTCACTTGTAACCCAATTAACAGCATGATCGACAATGAAATCACGAACTGGTTTAGGATCAGAAGAATAAACAGAATGGACAGAGTCTGTGAAAGCAATACCTCTGACCTTAGAAAGTGTGGATTGAGTGCGTTGCTTGAGCAATTCCATGGTGCACCAACCACCAGCTGAGTGGGCAACAATAACAATGTCTTTAGCGGCAGCTTTTTGAATAAAGTTGTCCCAAACGTATACAGTGTGTTCGGGTGGTGATTGATTGTGGAGGATTGGTTGCTTTGCATTCTTGGCTAATGGTTCAGGTTTGTTTCTGTTAAGGTATCCTTCCTTCTTGTACTTGATAGGATCATCCATGTGAGGAAGAATATAATTATTTTGATTCGCTGATCAATTTGTTTCATATTGCATATTCCATATTATTTCATTTCAAATCTGATGCTACTTACGATTCAGAACAATGACTCCATATCCTTCCTTCATTGCTTGAACAATATAATTATATTGTGTTCCAGTTTTCAAAGAATCGTTCATGCCTGTAATGTCACCAATTGACAATTAGCATGTTGTCCAATTAAAAATTATGATAAATATATAAACTTACACAATGCACGTGCCCATTGTCCAGGACGAACAGCTCCAGATCCTTGAATCAATACCATCAATTTGTTTGGATTAGTAAGAGCGTCCTTACTCATGAAAATGTTCACCATTTGATCATGCGGAAAATTGGAATCTAAAGGTAACCAATACTCATCCAATTTGCATCTCTTCAATTTTTCGAAAAAACATATCATCTTGGTTTGAAATAAATTCTTATTCATAAACCTACATTTTTCAACAACTCATCCTGGACATATTTCATGACAAAATCACCGAGTGCATCATAGTGACGTTGCGAAACAAAATGAAACTTTCCACCATCAATATCATTCACGAATAATCCAGGTTTGTCATCGCTCAGTAATTCGAGAGCATTGATGTATGCAGATGGATCTTGTTCAAACAATTGATCATCAGGTTTTTCAGGCATGTTTACAAAAGTGTAATGAAAATCTCTCAAGCTTTCATTATGATCGGGAATTGTTTGAAATACAATATCGAGTTGTCTTTGCATATCTTCGGATTCAGCAGCGATCTGCTTTACCACATCCACCGGAACAAAATCATTGGCATTTGGTGCGGGAATAAGCAAAAAACTCTTCTTTTCTTGCAAGAATTGTTTCTGGACGTATTGATGAAAAGTTTCTTTTGGGAAAGAATAAGATCCTTTGTCAGTAGAAAAAGTAACAGTTGAGAGCATGATGTGAATTGTATTTTTTTTCTTTTTTAAATTGGAATTTGAAAATGTCCACCACAGCTGTTAGTTTCTGGTGGTTGGTAGGTCAAAAGTCTGATCTCTCACCACTCAACCATTTTGGTGGTTGGCTCATTTGGAAACACAAAATCTTTTGACAATTTCACAGACTCTGCCAGAGAAGAGGAGGAAGAGGAGACCCTACTGGGAACATGGTTCAGAGCTGAAGGACCAGCATTAGCATCATTGATTTCTGTTTTTTGTGTCCCATTTTCAACAGTAGATTCCCTTCTTTGGAGTTGAGGTGAGATGGACCCTGGTGCTGTCTCTTGTATGGAAGGAGATTGAATGTTTTGCTCATTTTGAATGTTGTTGGATGCAGATGCAATTGCATTTGTTGCAACATGGGCTGTGGTAGTGGCAGCACTAGCAGTGTTAGCTGATGCAGCTGCTGTTGATGCAGTGGAGGAAGAGGGTACAAGCTCATAGGTTCGAGTGACAATCTCTTCTGTTCCATTCACAACTCTCTTCTTTTCTGTTTCCTTGAACTCAAACTTCTGGAACAAGACATATCTTCCACATTCAATGATCAATCTAAAGATGATTAGAAAGAGAATTGCTTGAGAAATACGTAATGCAAATGCTTCCAAAAATGTCATTACCCCGATTCCATGATCAAACATTGAGACATAGATCATTTGTGATATCCACATAGACAGCATAAGTATTAACAGTAAAGATGCTCGAAACATTATTGAGAACTTTTCGTCACTCACGATCGTGGACTCCACTCTATGCATTAAAGAGTCAGAATGATCCAATAGTCCCTCCATCTTATTCATGAGTTGGTCAGAGTGTGACACGGTATCTTTGATTTGATCAATTAATTCCTCCGCGTCATCAAGTACTTTTGCTACATGATCCAATTCTTGGTCTGTTCTATCAATTGTTGAGTCAATTGACTTGACATTTTTTTTCATATCTTTGAATACGTCTTTTAATCCCATTTGTTAAATTATTTAAACACGAATTAGTTTTTCTATTCAAATATATATTATGTTTAAATTGTTTGGTAAATAATAATAATAATAATTAGCAAAAGTATTATTGTTGTTGTCTCCTTATTGTTTTGTCTAATTGTATCGTAAAGAATAAACGAGCAATTGATGATGTCTTGCAGCTATCAAGTGTAGATGTTTGTTTTAAATAAAGAGTAACAACAAAAAAGAGTTTCTACCTTACATTGCAAAATTCTATGAGTGGTAATCGTTATCATCAAGCAAGGCAAAGATACCTCCCGAAACCATTCAAATTGAATTTCCAAATGTTGATAAATCCAAAAATATTCATTCATCATAAACAGAACTTCTCCAACAATTCATGAATCCATTATCAGTAATAATGTTTTATTCAGATGATTTTGTTTCAAAGAGAGACGTCAATACCTCAACAAATCATTTTTCTTGAAGCGATTTTCAAAAGTTTGGTGGACAAAAACAACTTGAAAAAAATTCCACTGATTGGAACCTCTGAGAAAGGCTCAACCTGGTTGAATAAACTTTGAGCAAAAACACGCAAGTGAACACTCAAAGACCGCTCTCATCTCTCTTGATTTGTTGGCTCTTCGTATCTTCGAAATCATCATCAGCCAAAAAATATTCACATCATTAACCAACAACAAGAGTCCTTCATCCCCAACAACATCCTCCACCACTCACAGCAATAGTAGTCCTGATAACCAGTTTTCTCTTGCGAGTGTGTAGTTTTTGATAGGCAAAACAACAAACAACAACTTCTTACGGTATTAAACAGCAACAACTCGTTTTCTCTGTTGTTGTTGTTACTTCTCGTATTCCGAATCATAAGTGTTGTAAGACTTAAACAAATTGCGGTTTGAAGGTCTGAGGAGAGATTGAGAATAACACGTGCACGATATCTCCCACGAAGATAATTTTGGAATCATCAGTTGATGATTATTATTTTCAGTGTAGTACACTGTTTGGACGTTATTTGAATAATTTACCATCCTGAGTTGATCACCAAATTAACCCTCTTACAACAAAACAGGTACATTTGGACGTTACATTGTACATTTACTTTTGGAAGCAAAGATAACCCTTGCCTTCACCAAGCCGATTGATCATCAACGATTAGTATCAGCTGATCATCCTTGCTTGTAAATACATCATCTTGTATTCGTCTTCATCAATGACATTTGATCAAGCAAACACCACTATGCTGCTCAACGAAGCTAGCAACGGTAATATTGGCAAAACTAACAACAACAACTTGTCAATGTCCAACAACCACCCATCCACAACAGCGCCAACAAATCCACTTTTCGGCAACAGGCCATCTCTCATGGAACAAACCGTACCAACATCCCCTTTGTTGACGTATTCCTTTTTGAACAGCCCAACACATGCGGGATCTCCTCTTCTTGGTGACACAAAAGATATTCCTCAGTTATCCTTGTCCATGATGAATATGTCTCTCAACAGCTCTGATAGTTTAATCTCAACTAGTACCTCTCCAAGTAAACTACCATTTGGTAATGGTACTCATCAACAATCACTTTCTTTGGATTCGGATCATATCCGTCAGAGAGATTTTACTTTTGATGGATCTTTCTCAAGACAACGAGGAAATTCTAATGGCTTTCCACCTATCGGAGGTCATTTACCCAGTAAGTATTTATCCAATGATTCCATCCAGCTAATCTTATTCAAATATCACTTAGAGTTGTCTCCAAGACTTGATGTCAACACCACTAATACTGTATATAATCAAAGCATTTCCAACAATGCCAGCAGATATAATCCTCAATCTCCTGCTCTTGCGTCATCAAATCCATTCATCGACTCTAACCATGGATTTGTTGGAAGCCCTCTTCTTGGACCTAACACTACTTCCAATAACAATTCCGCAAGACAACAAAATATCAAGCCTGCATTTGCTGGTTATCCTAACCAAAATATCATTATGAATAGTCAGAAAACACTCTTCGGATCAGCAGGTGACCATGTAAGCAGTATGGATCAACCAACATCTTTTGGTGGAGTTGGTGCTGGTGGAATGATTCCAATATCTCCAGGTATTTCTCCAAACAATTCTCCACGCCATTTTGAATTTTCTTCTGGAAAAGTTCCTCATCAAACTCGTGCCTTGCTTCAGGGTGGAAGAAGCAACAGTATGCCTCCAATTCCTGCGTTTTCTAGCGCTTACTCCAAAACTGATGGTGATTTGGATCGAAATTTTATGAAATTGTTGGAGGATGACGAATCAGACGCCTTCGACGTTGGACATAGCGGTTGGTATCCTCAAAACAATGGATCTTACAATGGATTTGCAGAAGAGCAATACGTAGTTGGTCAGTTAGAAATGTCTCCATCACAAGGCAGCCCTCTCATTAGCCATTCATATCACGGATATTTGGACGGAAATGCAGATTACTCTGGATACAAGATTATGCCACCAACTAATTATGGACACAAATATTCAAATTCATTTGGATCATTTTCAGGTCCAAACACTTCTAACGTCCAAATTTCCACTAATTTTAATCAAGCTAATTATGCCAACCAAACAGATATTGTCTCTCCAACTGGAGACTCAACTGACAGCAGCGAAGGAGAAGGCAAAGGACACAAACATCCAGGAGAATATCCTTCAAGAACTCTCTTCGTTAGAAACATTTCTAGTAACGTTGACGACCAAGAGCTTAGGCAGCTTTTCGAAAGTTTTGGCCCAATTAGACAAATGTATACTTCGTGTAAGCATCGTGGATTCGTTATGATCACATATTTCGATATTAGACATGCGAAACAAGCCAAGAAGAACTTGCAGTCAAAGCTTATCAAGAAGAGAAAAATCGACATTCATTACTCGATTCCAAAAGAGAATCCTCCAGAAAAGGAACAACTCAACCAAGAAACCTTGGTGGTTTTTAATTTGGATCCATCTATTACAAATGAAGAACTAAAGACAATTTTCACTCAATTTGGAGGTGATGTTAAGGAAATTAGAGAAACTCCAAACAAGAAGTTCCACAAGTTCATTGAATTCTATGACACTAGAGATGCTGAGAGAGCAATGAAACAACTAAACAAAACCGAGCTCAAAGGAAAGAAGATCAAGATTGAATACTCTAGGCCTGGTGGCTTAAGAAACAGATCCTCTGACTCTGGATCAAACGAAAGTCCTACCACCGTAGGTACTCCTGATGCTATTGAGATTACTACTTCCACATCACTCCCAACTACTCCAAACATGGACGTGCATTTATCATCACCACCCAAGAATGATGCTCTTCTCCATCCTGGAATCAAGTCCAGACGTCCCAGAGCCATTAGTGCTGAAGAAAAGGAGCAATTTAAACTTGATTTGGAAAAGGTTAGATGTGGTATTGATAAAAGAACCACTCTCATGGTCAAGAACATACCAAACAAGTACACTCAAAAGATGCTTTTAGAGACAGTTGATGCCGAGTTCAAGACAGCCTATGACTTCTTCTACCTCCCAATTGACTTTAAGAATAAGTGTAACGTTGGTTATGCTTTTATTAATTTTATTGATCCAAAACAGATCATCCCGTTTGTTGAGAGGTTCAACAATAAGAAATGGGAAAAGTTTAATAGTGAAAAAGTCTGTGACATCACATATGCCAGAATTCAAGGAAAGACAGCTCTTATTAATCACTTCCAAAATTCCAGCCTTATGTGTGAAGAAGAAGATTGCAGACCTATCTTCTATTAACCAAGTATCACCAGCCAACACTGTATACCTGTATTAATTATTACTGCCATTTTGTGCGAATTTTTGCCCATTGTCGTGTTTTGCTCACACTTTGTGATTGACGACATAATTTTTGTTAGGATTCTTACTTTTCCACTAGTAGAGACAATAAAACATACAAATCGATGTTTCATGCATTGTTGTTCTTTTTTCTCAAGGTTATCCAATATTAATTATTACTGCCATTTAGTGCGAATGTTTGTGTTAATTCTCGCGCCACAAAAAAATGCAACAACATTTTCGATTGAATGTTCGTGTGATTGCCGATGGGTTTTCTCTTTCAGTTCCATCGCCATCCTCGAGCAATAACACGGACTTGAATTCATCACTGGGCATTTCTCTTCTTGAGAAGGTTAATCCATTCTATAGAAGGCTGCTTTTTGATAATAGCAATAATAATCACAGACCATCATCAACTATTCAATTATCAAATCCTAGGAATTTTAGATGTATTGTACCGGAACAATCCTCGTTGAATGATGTAAAACAAACAATATGCAAACAGTATCAAATGATTTTTTATGAACGATCCGATGAAAGTACATCCTTCGAAGATACAACGTTCTTCACTGTATCTCGTATTTATAATGAACGAGGAATTGAAATGGGATTATGGAATTCGCATCTAAAATGTTCCGATATCTTTAATGATGAACAACTAATTTATGTAAAGCTTGATAGTATGAGAAGGAATGGATTGAAATTAAAAGACCAGTACACAGAGGTGACCTTGTGGTCATCTCCCAATTTAGAAAAAGAGAATAGTTTTAATTCTGTAAATGAAAGCGAGAAAATTACATCCCCTTCAAAAATTGATTATGAAACTCCCAAGAAGAGGAAAACAGTTGAGTCCACACCCAATAGTAAGAAACAAAAATTAACAAATCCCATTTCTGCATACTCAAAAAAGCCTGCAACTAGTCTGGTATCATCAAAACTCGAGACATCACAGCTGTCGAGTGACAATGACCATGATTCTGTTGCTAGCAATTCAGAAGACGAAAGTGATATCATTTCTCCCGAAGTGACACCAAAAAGAAAGATTACTTCAACAAGTTTGAAAAAGACCGCAACATCAGCACCTACTGCAAATACAACAAAACGAGAAGAAAAAGTTGTTAAAACTGAAGCTGTCAAGACTAGATCCAAGATAAGGCAGGAAGAGCAGAAAAAGCAAGATAAAAAACAAACCGAGTCTATCTACATTTCTGATGCATCTGAGGAATCAGATGAGACGGAGGAAGAAGTCGAAGAGGAACAAGAGCAAGAACCATCAGATAACCAAGAAGAAGAAGAAAATGAAAAACAAGAGGAAAAGATTGAAAAAGAAGATGAAAGCGAAGTCGAGGAAAAAGAAGAAAATGAGGACATGACTCCCGAGCAGTATGCAAAGTATTATGCCAATCTTAAACCATGGCTGAAGGCGAATATGGTGAATGGCAAATTCAAAGATGATGAACAATACCAAAAGTTTAGAGAATCCTTCAAACTTTTAAGCTCAAAGCATCAAGCAGAAATTTTGGAGTACATCAAAGATCTTAAACGAATTTAATCTATTTTTGCTTGTGATACAAGCTTTTAATTAAGGTTTTGTTTTTGAGATGAATGAAGATAATACCTAAATTTTCAATCTCCTCTGTGGAAAGAGTAAAGGCTACAAGCATTTCGAAGCACTTATCAATTTGGCTTTTTTGTTAAAGAGGCAGTACACTGAGCTAAAAATCTGTCACACCCGGCAACGTATCGGCTTATAGCTGAGTTCCTTTTTAAAATGCCTAACTGAACGAACAAGCAAAATTCACATGCTTTTCGCAACCTTTCCGTCTGACCCATGGTAGTCCTTAATGTTGTTTTTTGGGTGGCGTTCAAATGCTGAATTTTTTTCCATTTCGAAATGAGAGAAGTTCTTAAAAAGTTAAGGCATTCAGAAATTTCTTGACTCATTCTTCGTGCTAGCAACAAAAGTTTAAACTGGTAAAACAGTGTCAAGATGAGATGGTGACACTTCACATCACTTACCTCTTTCTCAGATATTTCTTCAACATCAAAATGTAAAAAATTATCCAGTTCACAAATAATTATTGAGGAGACAGAGGTGTTAGGAAAATCATGTGTTTCTCTGCCCTTCATCATGTAGCTCTCTTTCGCATGATTAATTAAGGCGTTCAGATTTTCATCAATTTTGGTGGTAATGATGGTTTCATTTTCAGATAACTCCAAAATAAGTGGATCTCTTCTAATACTATAAGTTGTTTCGTCCTCTCCAAAATATTGCAGCATTTCGCAAAATTCTGAACACTCTCTAAGATGCTCGACTTGCTGTAAATGACCACATGCTTGATAAATGTCATCTTTTAGCATTTTCTGGGGATGAAAGCATGGGGAATAACATTCAATAAATGTGTTACAAGTTTTCACAACAGTTGATAGTTGCTCCTGTTGTCTCGAAAACTTGTGAACGAGTTGAATGAATAAAATCATTAATCTATCCAGATAGCGTTTAGAAATCCAATCCCAATGAATACATCCATGTGCCATAAATGTTCTAATTTTAATTCCATGAGGCCATTTGAATAAATCGTATAGGCAATGAATTTCATGTTCATTCAACACGTCAAAGAGTCTGTTTCCCTCAAGTTTGTAATAATCATTTGGTTTGTTGTTCAATATGGTGTCAAATATGACAAGAGATCTTGTTCTCTCCACTTGTAGCATTCTAAATCTAAAATGGTATATATCTTTGTTATCTACGTTGCAAAATACAAATAGTCTTCGTAGAAATGCTTCAAAAATTGGAAATATTCTTGAAAGTGTTATATAAGTTTGAAATTGCGATGTTTCTTGCAGAAACTTGACATAACTTTCGAGTACAAGATTCCACTCATTCTTGGATATTAGTGGAAGATCAGGATTCATTCTTTGTAAGAAATTAAGCTCTGATTTTAAATCTACGGATAGAATATTTGACACTTCGTGCGGAATTTCGAGCTTTAAGATGGACTGTTCCAAAAGACCTATTGCTAGTCTATCATGTTCTTGAATTTTTCGGTTCATTTTCCTCTCTTTCAGTCGATATAAAAATTTTTCTTTTTGTTTTTCATTCAAGTTTGAAAAAGCCTTTTCAAAATATTGTGCTCGAACAAAGCCTAAGTTGCACATCAAAAACAATAGAAACGTTGTATGATGTGGATTAAAATTATGAGAATTAATAAACCCATGCATTGATACATTTCTCAAATTTAAAGTATTTTGACTTCCATAACATAACTTCAAAATAAATGCACCATTTTCTCCATAAATCGACAAAAGATCATCACTTCCCAACATGTCGCTGAATGTGGCGAGTCTATTCAACAAACTTTCTTTCACCTTGTCGATAGAAGTTGAGCAATCATACAGAAATAAGGCATCTCTCATTCCAGTCTCTAACCATGGAATACACACCAAAAACGCTAATAACTTGTCGTCTCTATTTGTAGAATAGTGCAAATCAATAACATTCTCAAATAGTACCTGTGAATCGCAAGTATCTAGAGACAGCTCTAGAAATTGAGACAACCCAGTAAGGAGATAATTCTTCAGCTGTTCTTTAGAGAAATTATCTTCTACATAATGATGAAGTTTGTAGAATAATGGATTCAAATATTGAATAATTACTGTTTCATAAATCATGTCTTGCACGGCCTTTTCCGGATTTTCTCTTTCGGAATGATCAAAAAGTCGTAAATTTAATGGATAATGTTGTAAATCACACTTTTCTAAAATATACTTCTTTGAAAAGAGTTCGGAATCCAACCAGCCTTCTCGAGAGATCAATAATTGTTGCTCTACTGAATATTCATCACATTGTTCCGATATAGAAGTGTTTTCTGCAGAAATTAAACGATGATATGTTGGATCTAATTCTTTGAAAGGTAAATCGTTATCATCATCATTGCTACACTCACGAGAAGCAAGTTGCAAACGAACAAACTTCTTCCAGTCAAAACCTTCAGACATTTTTTTTACTTTTCTTCAACATGCATTTTCAAATTCAAGGAGCTCCTTCCCGAGCACTCGAAATTTCGTATTTTTAATGAAATTAGTGAGCAAACTTGCATTCGAATTCAGTCAGAAAAAAAGCCAGTCGCAAAATCAGTAAATTCCACATTTTCATACTGATTCCGAAAAATCAAGACGAATTTTAAGGGAGAAAATGTTTTTGTTTATTTTATTACAAAGCAATCAAGTTCGGAGCCATTATTTGTGAGTATTGAAAAAGTTGTTCCACTGGCGAGTGGTTTCCTTGATTTCCGTGTGCTGGTATATGAAAGAAGCAACCGCATGCTGGAGTTTGGCGTTTGTTTTCAATTTGTCAATGCTCCAATTGAACACTTGACAAAGGTAATCTACACACACTTGCCAAATTGGTTCCTCTTACAAAAATTAACAAATTCGTCTGAGGCCACTTCCTTCTTCTCGTCCCCAATTATAATGGTTGTTGTGTTAGACATGGAGGTTATAATATTTCCAAGATCAACATACATCTTACACAAGTTATCACGAACGGTATTCATTCTCTCGGGATGCTGATCAACCTTGGATTGCAACTTGATTCGTTCTTCCTTCTCTTGTTCCAATTCTCGTTGAATCCTTTTCATATTGAATTGGAGACCATGATTAATGTCGACAATTCTTTCATACTTCTTTTTCAATTCTTCAAATTCATGGATCGTTGGAATGGTGGAATGTGAGCCCACTGAAGAGGAGAAGACTGGAGTCAAAACATCAGTTTGAGAAGAGAGTATTGTGGTGTTGGTCGGGTCTTTCTGAAATGATGAAGAAGCCAAGGGTTGAGATTGCACTGACAGTTGTACTGACGGTTGAAATTGCATTGGTGGTTGAGATTGCATGGATTGAGGCAATACCACTTCAGACAGATCTTTTTGAGTGGAGAATGCAGGCACGACCATATCTTTTTGAGAGGTAAAGATCATGGACAAGGGATCCTTTTGAATCACAGTAGAAGAATTCAACACATCCATATAGCAGGCTGCAGAATTATTCTGCTTGAACAAATCATTTTCAACAGAAGGTAATACTAATTGGTTGGTGTTTGCATTGAAAAAGTTTTGAGATGTGATTAATGGTTCACTCTTATCCCACACCATACAGTCCATACTCCATTCATGCAACGAGTTTACATGAAACTCGTCGGGAAGAGATGTGACCAGTTTCATGGCTTCTGGTAAGACTTTTGTAATGGTAACAATTAAGCAGTCTGACTTTTGTGCATTCAACGCCGGATTGGTGGTGGCATTGGCAACATGAATGAGCTGGGACTCTTTTCTACTTCCTAAACAAATCGAACGAACGTGAGAAGGATTACATGTCACTTTTTCAGTGGTAGAAAGAACATGATTCTCAATAAACACTTTCAGCTGGAGGTTATTTAGGATCTGTTGCAACACCGTCATGATGGTCTCATATTGTGGGTAATTAGTGAGACAGTCAATCAATTGTTGCTTTGTTTTTAAAGCCTTTTTGATTTCCAATGGAGGTGGTAATTGACCGGACTCATCTTGCAATGTTTCGTCCTTCAACCGAGCACTGACATTCTCCAGAATGAGTCTGATGTGCGGAACAGTGACATCAGGCAAATCAGTCTTCTTCTTTGATGACCTTTTCTTTTGATTCTTGGTTACTGAAGTGGAAGCCTCAGTTTGACTGCTCTTGGATTTCAATAGCTGAAGAACTTGCTTTACAGAATTATAGTGTTCAGCTTTAAGGACTTCCACTTCCTTTGGGGTATGTTTCTTCTTCTTACTTTTAATAAGGTCAACTGAAGATGATGGCAACCGTTTCTTCTCGTGAGAAGAAGAGCCTTGTTCATTTGATTGTTGAGACATGTGTTGTAAAGTGGTAAGAGAAAAGAACTTGAGTTTTTTTTTTCTGAAAATGTTGGTAAAAAATACCGCTCGAACGTCAAACCAAAATGCCACGGTCAGTCTATTCTCACAAGAATATGGTTTCTGCTCGTGCTCTTGAGCGAGCTATTTTGAACTCCAACATGGAATACTCGAGTATTAGAGTTGGCAGAATGACCATTCCACAACAACGTGCCAATGTATCATCATCGGAAGCTGTTGCTCCTTCTTCTTCACATCATCATCACCACCCTCTCGCGACCAATAATATATTACACAATACTCAGCCTCCACCACCTCCAACCTTGAACGACGGAGAAGGGGGAGAAGGAAACAACTCGGATGGATTTCTTCACACCATGGTGAATGATTTAGAAAGCAATGAGAGCTTTGTAGAGTTTTTTGAAGTGTTTCAAAAACAAGCACTGGTCATGATTATGAATCAAATTCCCAACTCACGTACTCCAATATCCACTCATTCCAGTAAGACTTTGGGAGAATTAATATTTGATATGCTACAATTATATGTCAAATTTAAGGCTAGCAAAGTAATGATGAATGAAATTTTCAGAATCTTGAATGCACTTCTTCCAGATACTTGTAAGTTGCCTTCCAATGTCAATACCTTACTCAAAAAGATTATTAATGTATCCAAGCAATATCAAAAAGTATATCATTGCTGTGATCAAGTATGTGAAGCTTCTAATCATTGCTGTTCCAAATGTGGAATGGATTGTTCTAATAGTTTTTTCTGGAGTAAATCTATTGAAACTTGCACTTCAGAAATGGTGGACTTGATTGGATTGAGAAATTTTAAAGCTCATTGCACTGTTCAACCAAGTATCGATGAAATTAATGACTGTATAGACTCGATTGAATATGAACGAGTTGTGAGAGGCTGGAAAGAACCGGATGCCGTGTGTATTACCCTCATTGGTGGAGGTGATTCAGGTTCTGTTAGCAAAAGCAGCAGAAAGAGTGTGCTTCCTCTTGTAGCGTGGATTACTGAACTGCCATTGCAATATAGATATTCATTTCCACTCACCATGCTGCTTGCATATAGCAACAAACCCATTCCATTCAATACTCTGCTTGATCGATTTATTTCCGAATTATTGATATTGAATCAGGGAAAGGAATGTAAAACAGAACAAGGTGTGATATATCGTCTCAAGGCAAGATTGTTCACCTTTCTAGTAGATCTTGATGCATGTTACGATTTATTGTGCATGGCCAATCATGCTGGAACTTCAAGTTGTCGATGGTGTAAAAAGAATGGTAGAAAGATTCAAGACCGAACCATTTACAGCTCGGGTGGAAATGAACAGGAACGGGTTTGGTCTGAAATTGTTGCAAATTACAAATTAATGCTAAAGGGAGAGATTCAACAATTTGATGGTGTTAAAGGCTTGTCCATACTGGTGAGACTACCATACTTTACATGGACCACACAGATTGCTTGTGATTTGTTACATAATTTACTTGAAGGCCTTTGTGCAAAATTGTTGAACTTTATCAAAAACAAGTACAATATTGATACTATTAACAGTAAGTTAAGAACTTTTACTTGATAAACTACTAAAAGAACGATAGACAAGCTATATGAAATCAAAACACCTTCGTTCTATCATCGAAGAGTCCGTGGATTGGATGAATTGAGTTATTTCAAAGCAATTGAATATTATATAATATTTTCATATTGTATTGAGGTTTTTCAGGATGAAATATCAGACAAACATTATCACATTCTCAATAGACTTTCTACTTTTATACGCACCATCATGCATCCAGTAGTGAGAAGCCTTGAAGTTCTATACAGTATGAAAAAGGAAATTTTTGAAATATTACAAGCCATCGAGACAGATTTTAACATTATTATTTTAACACTGGCTTCACATACAGTCGTTCATTTTCCTCTGTAAGTCGGCTAAATGATATAGCTCCTTTTCACATATTATCCATCATGTAATTATTTTTATATATTATTCATCATGTAAACAGTTCTATTTTCTATCTTGGACCACTATGGTGTACGAGTACTTTTATGCTCGAAGATCTAGTTGGATCCATCACTAGCTCTGTTCAAGGAGGAAAGAATAACATGGACCACAAAGCACTGGAGAACTTTTCATTACATCAAGTCATTTCCATGAAACGAGTAAGAACTTTTCATTTTCAATTTGAAAAGGGTGATTATTTTCATGCTCAAGAATTTGGTCATGGTCTCGTGACCAGTAAAAAGGATGGCTTGTATCACGTTAAAAGTTTAGACTCGAATCAAGTCAAAATATTGGACGAAATGCCAAAAAACGCCATACCATGTTTCCAAGTTTGTGGTAAATTTAAACAAGTTCATAGGAATGACTTGTTCTTGATTTAAACAATACCAAGTTTATTCACGTGATTGTGATGAGTATGAAAATTTTTTCAAAGACTCAACCAAACTCATTAATTGTTACAATCGAACATTCCTACCCTTCACTACATTCAGAACAATTCATGAATCAAGGTAAGTTGGTATTACTTGACCCAATTGAACACAAGGTGTCATGGTCATCGTCAAGGTAAGCATTGAATCATTGATGATCAGCTTATTTGAAAAGATGATACGATGATTGATAGCGAGAAATTATAATTACACTGAATTAGAAGTGGATTACTCAAGCCTTCCATGGATTACTATGAAATACGATATTGGTGATTTTCATTCCAATGAGTGTCTTATCCGTAGACTAATTTCAATACCATAGTATGATTTGGAGACTGATTTTAATTCAACCCAGAGTCTTATTTTTCAACTGATTTTTATTCAACCCAGAGTCAGATTTGGATACTGATTTCAATTCAACTTAGAGTCTAATTTAGGTACTGACTTTACTTCAAATCAGTCCCTTATTTTTCAACTGATTCATCAATAAATTTTTCTTACTGAATTCGATGAAATATTTCAATGCTTATTTAAATAAAATCAGACAAACTTTAAAATTATCAGTTTTCAAACACCAACTCATTTACTTGGAAAGTCAGTGAAAAATACTGCAGAATTTCGAGTGCTCGGGTTGCTCAATCATGTTCTGTAGGCATTGATTGAATAGCCCAAGTACGTTTCTCATCAATTTTTGGAAATGGTTTATTTTCTTCTTTTAAAATCATTGAGGTTTCCAAACTTTCGTTTTTCAAAAGCCACATATTCATCCCAATAAAATAGAGAATCATCAGAGAACTTTGTCACTTGTTCATGAAATGTTTTTGAATATTCGTTACGGGGAGTCCAGAAATCAAGAACTTCCAATAATTTACGACAAATTTTGGATTTGGGCTGAATAATCAGTCTTTTGGAGTCATTCCTTGAATTACTATTATTATTGACTCTCCTTCTTTCATCAAGAATTGATTTAGGAAGTGCCTTTCCATCTAAGGTGCAAATAATCAAATTAAATACATCACTGTAGTACCAATAATAATCGTAATAGTCATACACCCATCGATTCACTGAAGCCATGGCATAATGAAAAATATTTAACTTTTTTCTTGAAGGTGGAGGATCCATTGATAACAACTCTTTGGTAATGATGTTCCTTTGAAAGAGTTCACGAATGATGGCCATGTTCACACAAAATTTCATGCCACATGTCAAAAGACGAAACAACATATAGTCGGGTGCCTTTCGTATGGTGTGGGTATATGAACGCAAAATCTGTAAAACAGTTGGCACAAATTTCACATCTGGAATTTTCATGAGCAAGATTAGTGCACAGTTATTTGGAATTAATTGTTCCATGAGAATGGCTCCATTTCCAGACTCCTGCAAAAAGTACAAAATAAACTCTGAACATGCTTCCACAAATTCATGAATTTGATAATCTTCTCTATGATGCTGAAGCATCATAAACGTATGATAAACAAAGGAGTGAAAAAGGCCAGATTTGAGATTTCGGTTTTGTGGTTGGTGTGGATACTTGTATTTTGGAGTGAATGTGTATGTTTTGAACATGAGTTTGTGCCGTTGTTGTGGAGTTAACCATTTCAAGGCATCAAGTATTTTTCTAATGATATCAATTCTAAGTCTCCTATAATTGATGTTTCGTCGACCACTAGTTCGAAGCAGATTGGCCAATATTTGCAAATACTGAGATGCTTTTCTATAATATTGATTTTCAAAAAGATGAGTCCAAATAGTTTTCCATTTCGGACTTTTTCGTTTGCGTTTCAAAGTAAAATTCTTGACATCTATCTTTTGTTGGGCAATGGAAATTAGACCGTCATGATACACTTCATCGTTTTCAATTTCAATTTCTATTTGCCCACAATAAGTTCTTTTAAGGGCATTCATGGTTTTCTCTTCCATGTCACAGTAGAGCTCAGGAAATAAGTTCTTGATTTTTTCCACCTTTTTTTTGAGGATTGAACGTAGTTGAGACATTGATTTTGGATAAGACTCGAATGATGGTTTGAATTTAACCTGTTCAGGTTGCAATAAACCTCTTCTATGTTTTCGGTAATAGGCTACATTCGTAGTCTTCCTATTGAGAATTGTCTCCAAACACTCCTCCAAATCTTGTTTCAATTCAAAATAGCAGAGGAGACGATAGAACAATTCATTTTCATCATTTAGAAAGTAATGAGCAAGTTTAGAACTAATTTTGAGAGAAATTCGTTTGACCTGGTCAAATTCAAGAAAGCCGAAAATATGTGTCCAAACCTCGATAGGAAATTGAATCAAACAAGATTCCGAACTTTGAGAACAATTATTGGAGTTTTGTTCAGGATCACCACCATGGTGATGTGTGGTCTGTTCAGCAGAATCACGACAGGAAGAGATGTTGTTGTTCATCAGTTCACGATCGTGATGGCCTCGAGTGAATGCTCTTGAATAATTTTTTTGGAATTTTTAATCCGCTATGAATATAATTCGAAAATGAACTTTCATTTTTGGACTTCCGAGTTGGACACGTGTAGATTCCGTAATGTTCACGCCAAACATTGCATATTCATGGATATGATGGGTGCATGCAGCCATTAAATTGGTGATCGTTCTTTAGTTATTGAAAGTTGTTTTTTGAAGAATAGTTCAGCAAAGCGTTTGCAACGTGATTAGCGATAGCCAAGCTCGATGTTAAGCCAGGTGATTCAATACCACACAATGAGATGAAACGAGAAGCTAGTGGGTCTTTCTTTTCAATAATAGCTTCGAGTGGCTCAATAATAAAATCCTTAAATGGGTCACCAGGTTTTTGGAGCTTGGGTCTACACCAATTGGTAATCAACATTGTGATGAATAAAAGAAGAAACGAGGCAGATGTATAATTTTAACTTACCGAATGCCAACATAATCTGGCTGTAAATTCTCCTTGTCTATTCCTTTTAAATAAGTTGATATGGATTGATAGAATTTTTCACGCTTTGCATTGGCAATGTCATGGTCAATCCTATAGTGAGGATATAATAGACTAGAAAGCGTGTCTCGTTCAATTGCATTTGAAGAAATTGTATATTGCTCTGGGAAAAGATCTCGCGCTTTTCCAATGTAGTCTGAATCGGGTCCAAACTTTAAGTTTCCACTCAAATCAAGAGTTGCATGAATTCCTAAACCGTGTGATAGACCTTTACTGTCTGGTGGTACTGGATAAATCAAGCGATTAACTTTGAAAGCTCCATTGTTCTTAAAGTAATGACCTTTAAAATAATGCATATGATACCGCTCAGGTAAAATATTTGCTCCAACAAATTCAGAGTAACCAAGCTGTGTGATTCTTTCACTATCCAATCCAGCACTGTTTATAACAACTTCAGCAATAATATTCACCCGATCGATGGTTCCATCACTGTTCAAACAATTCACTTCTACTAAAAATTCGTCGAATGAACTTCTTAAAATTCTATTGACTTTCGTACCAGTGACAACTTGTCCACCGTTATTTGTTATAATGTCAGCCAGTCTGGACATAAAAGTGTGAGTATCAATGATTCCAGTACTTTCAGAAGAGAGTGCAACATCACACGATAAGTTTGGCTCCTTTGTTCTAATTTCTTCTGAAGACAGAAATTTCAGCTTTTTAACTTGTGCATTATATTGATCAATAATTTGGTCTGTTTTTTGCTTCATTTTCTCCAAATATTGAACTTGATCTGAATTTTGAGAGTTTGCAACAATCCACTTTCCAATTTTAGCGTGTGGCACTTCCATTCTTTCACAAAATGAATAAATTAAAGAATTTCCCAACACACACAATTTTGTCTTTAAACTTTCACTCGCATAATACAGTCCAGCATGAATAACTTCAGAATTTCTGGAAGAAATTTCTTGACCAATATGTTCATTTCGTTCCACCACTAATGTATGGATACAATCATCATTATTATTATTATTAATTAATTCATTCCTATTCGTATTTTCCATGGATAATCTTGCTCCACAAGCAACACCCACAACACCAGCACCAATGATTAAATTTTTAACTCGTAACGTTTCAATATTCGGAGTTACAACAGTTGATGACGATCGGGATGGTCTTTCATTGTTTTCTATTTCGGACCCTTTGATCATGTGATGAGAGAGCCCATTTCTAAACAATCTCACCGGAGAGAATGTAGACTGGAATGATAGATGAATACCTGAAAGCTGTCTTCTCACCATGATGATGTTGTTTCTGTCTTTCCGACAACAACTCATCAACACACGTTTTTTCATTTTCTTTCAACACTCAAACCTACTTTCACATTTTCTTTTGCGACAGTGAGGAGATTGCCAAGAGGAACCTATCCTATTAATGGATCTCAAAACAACAATATACTGTTTATCCTTCAATCAAACGAATAAGTATTTCGAATTTTCCTTTTGGCTACATTCATGCTCCAATCAGCATGATGTCCTAATCGTATAGTGATGGTGATTGACCACGAATTCGATTAATTATTCAGTAATTTCAATGCTTTACAGATGCTCACAAGAATATCTTTCTTCACAGCGAGAGGCATTTTGAGATCTGACAACTCCCAACACAAAATATACACCTTAAAAGATATATACCCATTTACCCATTCAGGATCTTTTTAATGTTGGACCAAAATCAACAAGAGCAAGAATAATATGAATACTTGTCGCCAGTGTAAATCCATCGCTGTCGTAAAACAAGCCATCGCTCCATTCACACTGGCACCGGTTGCATTTCTTCGCTTCATGCTCTCTTCATTCCTTGAAACCAATGGTATGGATGGTTGAACAGTCAGTTCACATTTTGAGCCCATAAAACCATTCAAACATTGACAAATATTTCCACCCATGCAGTAGCCATGATTAGAACATGACGGCGATAACTCATTTGGAGCATACTCTAAACATGTTTGCATGTTGCATTCTGGTTGTGACACTCCTGCATTGCTGCAATTATTCACACCTACCAAACTTGGTAAAAACATCAATCCACTGACAGTATTGAAATTTAAAAGGCCAATCTCAGAAAGATAAGAAGTCTCTGAAGAAGATGCCTTACTCTTATTTAAGTAATACATTCTTCTCAATAAAGTTTGAATCGTGTCATTGACGCTTCTCCAAGATCCATAACCACCGGTTGGAATCGAAGTGGACAAGGCGAAAGGAGATAATCCTGGATTACAGGTAGTCACTCCATTACTATAATCAACACGATACCAACCAGGTGTTCCGTCCCAATAATTGGTAAATCTTGGAAATTGTGAATCCTGATTCCAAATTCTTCCAACGATAGCGTTCGAAAAGGCATTTCTCCATCTTGAAACTGGAATTAATGAAGTAGGTGTGTTGAAAACACTTTTCACAGCTTCATAATTGAAAAATAGAGCATCAAAAGTTTGCACTAATCTTCGAGCATGACTAATGTCCCATCCAATCGTTTCAACAATAGGAATGTTATTGGGAGGAACATTGACAATTTTTGTACCATTCGACAAACAGGTGATTGGTGGAACTGTTAGATTCCAATAGCCTGCATATCGAGAATCTGCATAAAGACGATCGAATCCTCGATCTAAATCACCAGCCTCGAAATTTCCAAAGGATGAAATTTTCACACTCTGAAACGATATTCTTGCATTCATCAATGTCAAAAGTCCCTTAAAAAATGTTTCAATATTTGACTTTTCTTGAGGAGTGGCAAACGAAGCAAACAAATTTGGATCTCTTTGATAAATTCCAGCCAATTCTGAAACTGTCGTAATGACCCATAATTCCTTATCTGAGAAAAATGCACTCGAAGAACCATCCGTCACATTCAAATAGGTTAAGGGATGTCGTTTCGCAATGGTTGCATTCCAACTCGTGGTAGACCATCGTGCCACATGTTGCCAACTCGTTTTCACTGCTTGTTGCATGAAAGACGTCATATTACTAGTTCGAGCGGAGGGTGGAAGAGCAGAAATTGCATTGGCCGCGAGTGAAATGAGACCCAAATATTGACTCGAACACAAAATCACTTCAATATTCAACAAGTTATTTCCGGTACAGATCGCTCCTCCTCGACAAATCCATCTTGGATAATTATCACGTGGATCAATTTCTAATTTGGTAAATGATGGCAACAAGACACTTGCAACTTGGTGCAGCAAGTCATTGTGAAAATTTCCACATCTTCGAATCATGCCCACAAGATTGGCCAAGTACAATTGAGTGTCGTACAGTGCATACGTGTCATTGGTCAAAATTAATCTTTGTGTGATTTGTTGATTGACAATGTAGCTCATCATGGAAGTTTTCCAAAGATTTGTAATTTCAGAAATGACTGTGCCATTACATCCGAAGTTGGAAGAAGAAGTCAATAGTGATTCATTGGTCGCCAACGAAGAACAAAATGTTGGAGGAATCAACAAATAGAAAAGAAATATAGAACACAGAATAATGATCACAGAAGGCAGTTGGCAGCTTTGAAGTTTCATGATGTTTTTTCTCGTGAGATGGAAGCAGATCAATTGTCAGTAAGGCCTGATTTTTTGCCTGAAGGAATGTTCTAGACGATCCAACCACTCACAACCCCGTTACTACATCGATCGGTTCTGATATATTGTTGAAAAATTATCAGACGCTTAATAGTTTCTGTCTTGTCTAATAAACGGAAACATCACACAGATGAAAGAAGACTAATTTCCAGATTGAACCAAACGAGGGCAGAAAGAACTAAACGAGTCGTGTCGAGGAAAACCACCAGGTGATTATGTCGACGACATGAAAAACTGTAAACATCGAAAGGAAGAGTTTCCAACATTTAGTTCACAGGTGTCGAAACGACAAGTTCAGGCACGTAACAATCACAAAACAAACATCATCCATCATCACTATGGATGATGAAAAGTGTCGTTTTTTATAAGTTACATTTGAAGCCCTATGACTTTAAAAAGAGAGTCTTTTCCTTTCGATCTTCCAACATCATTTTGACAACGGGTCAACTCTTTGTTCTGTCGTATCATCCGATTGGTTGGAACTTGAAAAGTCGCATTTCGGCGCCTTATGCTGGCCTTTCTATTTCATTGTTCAAAAGTGTAGTGCGAAATCTTCATCATCACCCAAACAAAAAACGACACGATTCACTGCTCACTCAACAGCAGCGTTTCATCAACAGCAGCGACAACAAGAGTGAGCCTCAACCCAATTACTTGTTTTTGAAAAGTGAGAGAGAGTGCACGGATCCGCACACGTGTATCCAACACAACCTTGAATCTCGCTCAATATTGTTTCTTTTCAAAAGAAGAAGAATGACTCATTCTCTTCATCCTCATGCCAGGACAACAACCAAGTCCACAAAATTGGCATGTCTAGCGACATGTATCGTGTTGTTTCTATGCTTTTTTGCATCCCATGTCTCTTCTGCCAATGTAACTATTAATTATTCGCAAAGTATTCTCACTCCCTATGTCAATCCGGCCGATTATCCTGCCGCCAATTTCAGACAAATTACCTCTTCTTTCAAATTGTATTGGAAATTATTAAAGAATGAAAAGAGTTCGGATATCAATGATGCCATTCTGGAATTTGGTGTGGTTGGCACAGGAATTTCAGGTTATCTCAGTTTATGTTTTGGCATCACTTCCGATCCAATGAGAGGAGATACCATGTTTGGTTTTGTGACTCCATCTGGACAGGCCACAGTGGTGGATGCATGGATGACCAATGAGCCAAATCCTCCAACAGCAGATGCCAGCGATGATTTTATTCAACGCAATGGAGGTTCTCGTATTGTCAATGGTGTTCAAGAAGTGAGTTTGAAATGGACTCGTTTCGTGAGAACCAATGACACCAAGAATGATTTTACCTTTCCCAACGCCAACATTCGAATGTCATGGGCCTATCACAGAACCTCCACTTCCATGGTTGAACACACCAATCAAGGTTCATCAGTCACTGCCAATTTTCTCTCCACTGGATTTGCCACAGGTGAATATGGACAATTGCCACAACCACCTGTGATTGGAGGAAAGAGTGGAAATTCATCGAATTGTACTCTACCTTCTACGTATGCTCAGAGTATCATGACTCAATTTGTGAAACCTTCGGATTATCCATCAGGAAATTCCAGAGTGATGGGAACGTATGGTGCCAGTGATTCCTTGACCTTGTATTGGAAGAGATTGACCAATTCTGGAGCGGGTGGTGATATTTTGGAATTTGGAATGGTCGCCACAGGAATTTATGGTTATGCCTCGGTTGCATTCAATCATGGTCCTTCAAGCGGTATGCAAACCGCAGATACCATCTTTGGTTACATTGATTCTCAAGGTAATCCTGTCGTTATTGATGCCTACATGCAAGGTAATTTACAAGCTCCAACTCCTGATGCTAAACAAAATATAATCATGAAGAATGGAGGTCTTCGTCAAGTGAATGGAAACTATGAGGTGCATCTCAAATGGACACGTCTCGTTGATACCAAAGACACTGCCGATCACCAGTTTACCAATGCTCAAATTCCTTGTTCATGGGCTGTCAGTAAGAGTGGTACCTCTCTCAACTCTCCACACTCATATCGAGATAAGAATGTCATGATTAATTTCATGTCGAGTCCTGCCTTAACAGAAACTTCACCACCACCTGGAAGTTCATTGGCCACTTGTGGAAGTAATGGAACAAATTCTGATTTGGGTTCATTGGTTGTGGATGATTTGAGTGGAGCCAATGCCTATCGATGGCATTTAATTATTACAGGAATTATTTGTGGTGCATTGGTGATTAATGGTTTCATTTTGTCTGTAGTGGCTCCTCGTGTGAATCCAAATCTCTTTTTCGATTTGATCTTGTACAGAAGATTTACCAAATTGGTCACTGTGAAGTATATTGGTGAATATTTTACAAATGTTGCCTTAGATTTGACTGTGGGAGAATTAATTGTGATCGCATGCTATTGGCTTCTCATTGTCGTTTGGTTCATTTATGGATATCTCGACAGCACTGTGGCTCCTGTTGGAAAAGCTTTTGCTTCTGTTTGTGTCTTTAACTTTGGTTTAATTTTGTTCCCTGTGACAAGATATTCAGTGTTGCAAGTGTTATTTGGTGTCTCTTTTGATCGAGCCATTAAATTCCATCGATGGCTTGGTATTCTTCAATGGTGGTATGTGACTATCCACGGTATTGCCATGGTGTGTTATTACTACAACTCGGACACGTATTTGGTATCGTTGGCTAGTCCTTCGTATCCAATTTTGGGTATTGTTGCTTGGTTCTTTATGACATGCTTGTGGTTGATGACTTTCCCTGCTATCCGTAGAAAGTTGTGGGAAGTTTTCTTGATTTCCCACATTATTCTATCCATTTTGGTGGTGATATTCTCAATCGTCCACGGTTCAGGATATATTAATTTATTACCTTATATGGCATTATCCATTGCGTTCTATTTATTTGATGTATTTTTGAGAGTAGTTTTTGGTTTTGGAGTTCCTACTCAACTTGTAAGCATGGAATACAATGAAAAAGCAGAAGTGACCACCATCACCATGAGAAAACCCTTCTTGACCTTTGGAAGTAATCCTTCTCATGGACACTTTGTCTTCCTTTACATTCCTGGAGTTTCCATCTATCAGCATCACCCAGCTACTGTGAGCAGTTGCAAAACCATTGAAAGTAGTTCCTCCATGTTGAAAAAGAAGGAACTTGAATTCACTGTCCACATTCGAAACTTTAACTCTGGATGGTCTCTCCGTGTGGCAAACGTGGCAAAAGAACAAGCAGAGCTACGAAAAAATCTACAAGCCAATGAGGATAAGATCATCAAATTCTGTCGTGTCGAAGGTGCTTATGGTAATTTGTCGGTGCCTTTATTCCAATACAAGACCATTGTTTTGATTGCAGGAGGTATTGGAGTGACACCTGTCAACGCCATCTATTCAGACCTCTTGGAAAAGTATGGAAACACAGACCAAAAACGAGTCTATTATTCATGGTCGATTCGATCTGAAGAAATGATTGAATTATTCCCAGCATTGACACGTGACGGAGGAAAACATTTCCATCCTCATATTTATGTTTCAAGAAAACCTAAAGATTTGGAACAACATGCACATGATCCAAGAATTCACTACTCAAGAGCCAATCCAAAAGAATTTCTTGAAATGATCAAGAAAGAATTGAAAGAAAAGTATGGATGTCAATCTGGACGAGAATATGTCGGTGTGTTAGTGTGTGGTCCTGAACAATTAATTACAAGCGTTTCAAATGCTGTTTGGGATTGCAATGAAAGCAATGGTATTCGTTTCCATTTGCACAAGGAGACTTTTACTTGGTAAATCAAATTGATGATGGGAAACACATCATGAAGGATTGTCATTGTATAATGACATGCGTAGTGATCTCTCTAATAAAATCAAAACCAATGACATTCGAATTTCTTGCTAGGCTCCAAATTTGACTTGCGTTGACAGTTTCTTGGATGATGACTTAGATCAAAGATGTCAAGCAATCATTATCTTAGATGTCGCATGGCTGAAGAGATATCTCCAACAACACAAGAAAAGAACTTAGGGTAATTAGCATGTTCTTAAGATGGTATTTGAAATTACTTTAATTTTAGGAGATGAATCCTAATGACATCAAACCTACCGCAATTTTGAAGAGGTTTGACAACTCTCTTGGAAGACACTCTCTACTTCATTAATTTTCTAAAAAACAACATCACCTCCATATGAACCCTTTTTTCAGTGATAATTTCAGTGATAATATTTCTCAACACGCATTGATCCATCATTGCTTTAAGCCACCATTCCAAACAGAAATGAGAGATTTCTCTGCGCTTCTTGTTCCATCTCCACTCTCGCTGGCAAGTCCACCCAGTGTTGATGAATCTACTCCTAAAGGAGTTGCATCTTTCCAGATTCCAGGTTGCTTTCTTTCCTTAGATTATGACTCCGTGTTGGAATGTATTGAGAACAACCACATCAATATCTTTAAGGACGATCCTACCAACAAGGATCTACAACGAATCGCAGCACCACTCAAAGAGACGTTAGTGTCGAGCCACCACCACCACCACTTGAACAACCACCACTCACTTCTTTCTTCTTTGAAAACGTTCATTCCTTTCAAGAAGCATTCCTTCAAAAAGTCTTCCAATAACTTTATATCACATACCTCAGAATCGATTCGAGCCGAACTCCTATTGAAGGAAAAACAACCTAAACGAGGGAGAGGAAGACCCAGAAAGCAGTCTTCTGGTTGCGTTTTGAGTGAAAGCTCCCTCGTTAACAAAATCTCAAAGAAACTTCACTCCCGAAGAAATTCTTCAAAACGAAAATAAATTTTTTATTCAAAAAAATAGTGCAACCGCTGTGCTGCTTTAAGTTTCATTAAAATCATCACCATCATCACCATCAGATTAATCATCATATCGGAAAATGGCCATCCAAAAGAACAAGAAAATCAGTGTCGGAGCCAAACTTCGTAAAAAGTTAATTTCAACGAGAACGATTGAAAAGAATAAAACATGGAACAAGGCAACCACTATCAAGAAGGAAGTAAAGAAGGAGATTTTGAAAAAAGAACAAAGTAAAATTAAACCAATGGTGACTCATAAGCCAAAGGAGGCCAGTAGTATGTTTTTTCTCCCACAACGAAGCTCTCGGACCTCCATATAGAATTTTGCTCGATACCAACTTTATCAACTTCTCTATTCAGAACAAGTTAGATATTGTAAAGGCTAGCATGGATTGTCTCTATGCCAAGTGCATTCCTTGTATTACAGATTGTGTAATTGCGGAGTTGGAAAAATTAGGTACAAAATTTAAAGTGGCTTTGAGGGCTGCTAAAGATCCTCGATTTGTTCGATTGAAATGCACTCATAAGGGTTGCTATGCGGACGATTGTATTGTGAATAGAGTGAGTGCTAATCCAGTATATGTTGTGGGCACTTGTGACAAGGATTTAAAACGAAGATTAAGAAAAATTCCTGGAGTGCCCCTGATGTACATTCGCAACAGACAATATACCGTTGAAAGATTACCTGATGTAGATAAATTGAGTGGTGGCTTGTAAATAAGACCATCAACCTTAGAGAGAGGACTTGAGAACCATATAGGCATAGTCATCTTTTGCCCAACTGCCTTTCAACAGTCACATTTTTTGAATTGGTCCATTCGTTTATCATAATCATTTGGATCCACTAACTGCCAACTTTTTGAACTGCTTGTTCTTGATATTCCAGTAGTATTAATAATAATATTTTGCATTTTCTTTTCCAATTTTTGTTAAAATTGAATTGTATTGAAAAAATGTCTTCAACATCCAAGATTGACATTCTGCATCTGCTGCAAAATAACATTTCCATCAATGACCCTGCTTTTACAACCTTCATTGAATCTCTCTCGCCAAACTCATCAAGTCCACCATCCCATGAAGAAAAATCCTTTTCCGATTGCAAATACATTAATTGTTATTCTCTAGGCTTATCCATCATGACCAAACAAGATATGAAAACCATAGATACTGTCTTTTGCTATTCGGAAAAAGACAAAAAGTTTAAACCCTATACAGGCCCGTTGCCTCTTTCTCTGTCCCTAAAAGAAAACAATGTTCAAGTGTTAAAACGATTCAACAGAGAACCAGACGCCAAAGGAGGGGGTAAATTTAAATCGACTCCAATTTGGATTGAGTATGCTGTAAAGTTAGAGTCTTGCTCCAAGCTGTTGGATATTACATTTAATTTTACAAATTCCGATTGGAATGATTTAGAAAATCCAATTCATTTCCTAACCTTCTTTTTGAAATAATTTTTCATTAATTGAATTACGTCGTAATTCAGAATTTGTAATTCAGAATTTGTTGGAAATATTTTGTGATGGATTTGTGACAGAATGATCATGATGGACATGATAGAAAAGTCGACATTTGTTCAACATTCGATTCGTACGCCTCGAGGTAACAGATGTTATTTTGTTCATTTTGAGAGTTAGCTCATAAATTAAATTCATCTTTTCAAAAAGACCTTCATTTATTGAACATCGTGTTCTGTCACTACAATTTCTTCTTCGTCTTCCATGATGTCATCTTCAGGATCAACAATTAAGGATTCTCCAGCCATAATTTCTCTTTGGCATCGTGGGCATTCACACTCAAAGGCAAAGTGTTCCAACAAGTATTTTCTTCTGTTTGCTAGTTTGTCGTCAAAGCCCATATAGTTTAGACACAAATAGTCTCCCTTTTTGATGTTCTTAGTGGTTACAATCTTCTCATCAATCTTTTCGCAATTCTCTTCACATGAATGATTAAACATGCATGCCAAGCCATACACTCCACCGACAAAGCCGTTCAATTTTATGACCATGGTCATTCTCAAAACTTCCTCTAATCTTTGTGGATCACTTTCTAAATGTTCTATTTCTTCAAGGGAAAGATTCTCAAATTCCTCTCTCACTCCAAGATTTTGTTTTACCAATTTCAATTGCTCAAAAAAGAATTTCTTCCAATCCTCAACAAACTTGACAGGAGCCTGTTCAATCTTTCTAGGATGTAACCCTCGAAGCACATTTTGAAATTTCTTATAATTTTGAATTAAATGTTTGATAGTAATTCCCATCGTGACCATAGTTTCTTCGTCACTAGTACATGTTCCAGTAATAAATTGGTCTGTACATAGAAGGGAATCTTTCACGATTGTCACACCCTTAACCTCTTCTCTATGTCCATCTTCATCAAAAACTTGAATCGTTTCCTCCACTGGAATATCATCAACAGCTTGCACGCAATAATTATCTTCAGTCAATTTCACAATTCTGATTCTTGGATCCATATACCAATGTTTAGAGTTTTTCAAATTGTTTAAAATTGGTTGAATAGCTTGTTCTTTCTTTGGAAATCTATTCAGAAAATCATGAACTGTAATAATAGCCTGAACACAGCTATTAATTTTCCATAAAAGATTAAATAGCATTGTACAAGCATTTGCATATCCAGTCGGATCATAATCAATGGCCTTCTCGAAGAATGGAATGGCTTCTTCCCATCGTTCCAAATAGAAATAAGCCAAACCAATCTTGTATTGCACAATAGATGATAAAGTTGTTGCTACAAACGAAGGACTAGCCATAGGAGCAATTCCCTGATGATTATTTACATGTTCCTGATAGAGAAGAAGAGCCTTTTCATATAATTGTAGAGCTGATTCATAGTCCTTTCGGGAAAAGGCTTCGTTTCCATTCACGAGAGCCTTCTCTAATTCTTCATTATCGGAGCAGTACTGAGGTGATGATGTGGTGGTGGGTGTGTTCGATGGTGATGAAGATGACGATGGTGTGTTTAACATTTTTTCAATCAACTGAAAGCAAAAATTCATCCACTCAGAAGAGAGAGCTTGTTTTGGATTTCTTGATTCTTGTTTGGGTTAGCAAACATTCAGTTCTTTGAATCCATATTTGTTTTTAAACAATTCTAATCATCATTTGAAAGTGTGATCACAATGATTTTCAATTGTACTCAATTTGCAATATCACTTAATTTATACCCCACCTATAAATTGATATTAGAAAATCATTAAAATCATTTAGCTCGACAAACATGTTGAAGTTTTTTTCCAATTCGACCACAAAAAATGACTCAAATCCGAAGAGAAGGACCAAAGCCTCGCTATCAGAACGAATATGCCTTCAAACACAACAAGGCTTCTAAATTAACGAGTAAAATTTTGAGCACACCCAATGTCGGACTATGCCGACGATGTCATGATATTATTGAGTGGAAAAAGGCATATCGGAAATATAAACCTCTCACGCAACCAAGAAGATGTAATATTTGTCAGCAAAAAACAGTGACTTTGGCCTATCATGTGATTTGTAATAAGTGTGCTAAAGAGAATAGAAAATGCGCAAAATGTTTGGAACCTTATGATGAAAAATTAGCAGCGGATGAAAAATTAATGGAAGAAATTAAAAATTTGGATGAATTGGAGAAGAAGATGAGTCACATGACTTTGAGACAACAACATGCAATTATTAGAGAAGCTCAGAAAATGGCAGAGCAAGAAAAGTTAAATGATGGTAACTCGGAGCAAAATGGAGAATCATCATCGACCTCAAAATTGTCAAGCGAGAAGAAACAGGTTGAAGAGGAATCAGATGAAGAAGATGGTGATGATGATGAAGACTTTGATGATGATGATTTGTAAACAAACGATTTTTTGATGAAAGTTTTGAACTTGGAGTTCTATTGGCTTATTAAGTTATCATTGCTACTGAGCTAGGTTAAAGAGCTAACTCCGTGGTCAATTCAGAAAATGGTTTCAGACATATCTTAGCAATTCTTCCAGTTATTCGATCCTTTTTCTTTCGTTTGTCTCATTTTGTGTAATGTGAGGAGGCAACACTATTTCTTTACTCCTCGAATAAACAATGTTTGTCACACATTCAGCAATATAGTATTCGTAGCAACCAACACACATTTTCCAATCTGGTGTTCCTCTCCATTAGTACTCCTATTCGTTTGTGAACCGTTCACATCAAGGTAACACAAATACAAATCAAGCATTGACCCCTTCGCGACCAAAATCATAACCATGAGAAATTAACATCGAGAAAAAATTGGTGCCTTGTGAGAGTCAACAGCTGAGTGGTTTTCCATCTTGCTGTCTTCTTTTTGTTGTCACGCTTCACGCTCGCTCTCTTCATACACTTGTTCTGCGCAGAACTCTTCGAAATTTTTCCTGTTGTTGATTTGAATCAAGACTATTATGAATTCTTTTACGATCATCACTCACATTCAAGCTCATATTTAATTTTCACACAACATCATTTACTAGAATGAACAGCCAAACTCGTTCTATCCCTTCGACTGAAATTTTCAATCATCAGCAAGATCTTTCAATACTATTGGTCAATAATGACGATCTTGTCAGATCCATGACATCGAGAGCAACTTTTGCTCGTAATCTCCGAGTAAGACCTTCACCTACGACTATTCATCGAACGAAAAACATCACTCTCCGACAATTATTACCACCCAGCGACGAAACAACAATCAAGTCAAATATCGAAAAAGAACAGTTGAATTCATCATTGGTGGTGACAACTACTACTAGTACTTCTTACAGTCTGAAAAAATCTAAAAGGGAAAGTAAGAAGCAACCGACAACAGAACGAATCTCTCACAATGATCGTCATCGCGACTGCAACACCAGTGGTTGTGATGAAAATGAAATTCAAACGGCCACTTTTTCTTCTTCTAAAACTTCATCAACACCAATTTCAATCCTTCAAAAAATGCAAGAGAATGATCGGGATGAGGCTCGACTGTCGGATCTAAGAGGAGGGAAGGAAAATGTTGGTTCTCGGCAGGATGATCATTTTCCTCGCTATCAGGAGCAAGCATCATTGAAAAACAACTCATTTCAACCACATGTTTCAATTCAGCGGAATGATCCAAATATGAATAATGCTAATAATAATGATAATAATACTAATTTGGAAACAATACAGCAACATTTGGATAGTCATCAAAATAATGAAACTGGAATGGTGAATAAGAACCGAAGTCATCATTTAAAATTTTACGATGATGATGAAGATTTTGTTATATTTGAAAATGCGTTGTATAATACTTCACAAGATTCAGAATCATCATCACCAACCTCATCCCCTACATCATCACCTTCCAGAAATCCATTTTCCAGAAAAAAACTTCAAGGATTAATACCTAATTCTTGGAAGAATATGTTTGTAAGCTCCAAAAAAGAAGATCCCTTAGAAAAGAAGCCCATTGTGGCAAGAAAAAACAATAATGCAAAGAAACGCAAGTCTTTCGTGTCACCTGAAGAAGTACTGTCCAAGTGGATCCAGCAGTTAATTTCAGAATCAAGTGACTCCCTCACAACGAGTAAGGGATTTAAAGATTTGATGGAAATACTGTCGGACAAATTACTGACACCACCTCCAACAACCTCTAAAGCTTCAAAGATGAGGAAGCTTGAACATAATCTTCTGGTGAGCCTCATTGATACCCTCATCAAGTACGAGATTTTAACAGATCCCACAAATGATCAACCTGAACACAGCCACGACAATCCAACACGCACCACACCTAACAATTACACAACTAATCCTGACTCCTCCAACCCAATTATTCCAATGGCACACCTTGGCCAATCCAATCTTACTCTACGAATCCAAACATCTCTGTTGCAAGGAAAAGAAAAAGATGTCATTCACTCTGTTTTGCACGATTACTCCAGGCGTTTTCCCCAACAAACTTCCTCTCAGCTGAACAAAAGCGCTGACTCAGAACATGCGTCATCGCGTTCCATCGGTAACAGCGAACACTGTGAATTGACGTCTCATTTTAAAATTAACGACAATTCTCCTTCATTCAATCCTTCTCACATGCCGCAAAATGAATCGCAACAAAATAATCCCCAACAACAAAACCAAGAATCCACGTCCGCGAACTCGCAACCAACATCATCGATACCAACACAAAATAGATCTTCTATGCTTTTGATGTCCTTCGATGAATTTTTACATGGAGAAGGAGGATACTCTTCATCATTTAGACCGTCACCACGAGTTAATGGAAAGATGGAAACAGAATCACATTCGGAGAGTCTGGAAGAAAGCTCAGTGCTGTCAGCATCTAATGTGGAGAGTTCAATGTCAACACCATCATCTAAAGGAGTACTTTCAACGACTCAACCAAGCTCTTCCAATGAAGTGATTGGTGTTAGTGCAGTGCTAACGGTTTTGACTTTGAATATTGGATCAACAGCAACAACAGGCACACCAGTAGAAGCCACCAACAACATTGAAGTGACAGCTGACAATACAAAAGATGAACAACAACCAGAAGGTACTCCCTATGAGAGAAAGTTAATGTTTGGAGAAAAGAGTCTGTTTGAAATGAAATCACAACTGAAAGGAAGACATCGGTATGGCTTTCTGACACCCATGCAATTTTTGGATTTCGGCTTGAGAGCTGGCTTTGATGAAGATGAATTTGCATCCATTTTCGCTGTAACATATTCTACATTTATGTCCACACATCAACTCATTCCCATGTTGGAATTTGTAATGAAAGTAATTTTGAATGATGAAAAAGTTCCACAACCTATTGACGAAGAGGAAGACGAAAACGTTGACCATGATTTATCGGAAGCTTCGAATGTTGTGGATAATGACTGTAAATTATCATGTGAAGAGAAAAACCTTGTTATTAGACGAGTGGTTTGTCTCTTAAAACACTTTGTATCATTAGCATTCTCAGATTTTCAATTTGACAAGAAATTCCATGAAATGCTTTATTCCTTTGTTGCTCCACTTTCTGGTTTTATCCAATTCGAAGCAGCTAATGGAGAAGCAATCCAGGAACAAGTGTGTGATCTCGTGGAGAGAATTACACTGGTTATTTCTGGAGCTCATGAAGATCAGTACATTCAACCAAATCCACCAAAACCTCTCATCAAGAAAATACCTAACGATCCAAGAAAGATTAACATGGTAGACATTGATCCTGTAGAAATTGCAAGACAACTCACACTGTTTGAGTTCAGTTCCTTCGAAAAGATAACTGCCAAAGAGTTGCTGGGAGCTTCATGGATGAAAGAAACAAAGGAGTGGACTGCTCCCAATATTACTCAAGTGATTTGGCGAAGTAATCAAATGACAGATTGGGTAGGAACATATATTTGTAGTATAAAAAATTTGAAAGAAAGACGGAAGGCATTGAAACATTTAATTCAAGTTGCAGATGCTTGCTTGGAAATGCACAATTATAATACTGTATTTGAAATTGTCATGGGTTTAATATCTCAGCCAGTATACAGATTGAAGAAGACTTGGGAGGTGGTAAAAGAACATGAATTGCAAAGAGCCTGGAGGCGACTTGAAGATATTACGAGTTTTCAACAAAGTAGAAAAGCTTACAGAGACCAAATCAAAAAAGTCATTAAGGAATCTGTTGACAAACTCACGCCTTGCCTACCATACTTGGGAATTCACTTGAGTGATTTAGTCTTCTTTGACGAAGGTAATAAGGACAAGATGGAAAAAGGTGTCACAACATACTATAATTTTACAAAACGAGCACTCATGGGTCAAATTGTTTATCAAATCATTGCCGTGAAAAAGATACCCTACAACTTCCAAAAGGTTGATTTCATTGAAGAATTCATATGGTGGCAGCTTAATAGCAAGGTTTTGCATGATGAATCAGTAAGAGATAAATTATCGAGGCAGTGCGAGTAAACACACCAAAAATTCCAAAATTAATTCCTACCAACTTATTCAAAGTTTGATATTATTTACAACAAGTCTTTCACCTTCTCTCCCACATTTGGATACCCATCAACGTAACCCACCACTATTTGGAGAAGCTTTTCTGCTCCCTTATCGCTGTGGGATGACATGAACATTAGGGTTGCATCTTTTTTGCGATATTGAGTAATGGCTCGTGACCCACCTGGGTGTTCATCTTTAAAAGATGCTGTCTCAACAACATATCCATCCACAATCATCAAAGTCTCACTGCTTTCCACCTCTTCCTTTGAATACTTTTTCAAATTGTTCAAATCAACGTCTTTTCGGGATGCATGTCCGTTGACCTTAGTTGCCATTTCCTCATTCTTTTTACTTTCCTTGATGGCTTCATTCTCCGAATTTGCCTTTCCATGGATCTCTTCTTTATCTTCATTGCCCTTCTTCAAAGATGAAACATTCTCGTTTTTCACCGCCGTAGACGACTTGTCCTTCGTGCAGACAGCTCCCATCTCATAACGTTATTTTTTTTGATTTGGAGAGATGCATTGTATTCAAGTCCCCTGAAATGTCATTCTTTGAAAACATCACCACTCCGTTACCCTCTTGCTAAAAGTTTACAACAACTCTGTGCAGAGTTTACTCTTCTGGGGGTTGCTAATCTTAATTTCGTAAAGATCGTCTGGATCAAGCTGATGAACCTCTTTTTGTAAAAAAAATGTCGAATCACTTTCTTTATGCGTGTACTTTCGATAGCAGTGGTAAGTCGCTCAATATTTGTGTTTTTCATAACCTCTCGTCTCACGTGATGCCATTTTTAAATATTTTGATGTGTTTATGAATGGTTAGATCTACCATTTGATTTGCATCAAACTGGCTGCTTCTTTCATGTCGTGTTGGATTTTAATTATAAATTAATGTTTGGAGGTGATCGACGAATTTATTTTTTGAATGAGAAAGATGAACTTGTAATACTAGTCAGTGCTAACGAGCCAGTCAAAATCGGTACACGAGGAAAACGAACCACCGTTCATTTGATCCCAATGAACACACCTTTTCAAAAGAGAACTCTAACTTTGGACACGAATATTTGGAATTTTAAATCAGAATATCCACATTTTCATCCGACTGGATTTTATAGGAATCTATCGGACCTCTATGTCGTAGACATGGTTAATTGTGACATGATTTTAAGATTGGAACCAGAATTGAAAATATTTAAATTCCAAAGCTCAAAAATCAGCAAAGTGATTTCTGGACCCTTAGGAAACTGTTTTCTTGTTCAAACCACAGATAAAAGATTACATAATCTGAAAGATGGAACAACAACATCTCTTGATTTTAACATTGCATTTGGATGTTCATTTGGTGGTGGATATATTGTAGTGAGTGAGGATAAAAAAGTTTATGTGGTTGACACTTCTTCCTACGTATTGGCTGGAATTAAGAGATTGACATCATCGATACCAAGTTCAGAAACTACGTCCTCCAGTTTGCAATTTGTGGATTTACCAGAATTGAAGAAAGATGTGATTGATGTCAAATGTGGTTATTATCATGCAATCTTTTTAACAGCAAGAGGAAAGGTATTTGTATGTGGATATGATAATATGCAACAGTGCTCGTTGGGCGTCGTTCATCATTCAGGTTTGTACTATTTCTTGAATATTATTTAAAAGAGACCTCATCACTGTGGAATATGAAACATTTTCACCGATAGAATCTTTTTGCCCTCTCACTGAGCTTAAAATTGATTATGGATTTGCAACAAAAATTGGATCTTTTTCTCGTGGAAATTATGTTATTAATGGTATGTAAGCATGAAGATTCATCAAATTACTTTTTAACATTCAACAACATACCACAGAGAAAAACCAAGTCTTTTTTATTGCTGAAATGTTTGCAGATTTCTCTGAAAAAACTCATTCATTGAAGTTTGTACAACAATTTAATTTGGATACATTGAATTCAGAATGTCTAAAACATGATTTGCATGTTTATGGTACCCTTAATGATGTTGTGACAACTGGTACGTAAATTTCTTATTTTTCAACAAAAGCTGAATGGGAAATATTTCTTGTTATTTCAGGTTGGCAATGTTGCATTTCTCACAATCCCAATTTTTCTCATGGCAAGACTCTCAAATACATGCTTTGCAATTTGAAAGTTCTTTCTCAGCAAGACATTGGAACTATTAGTGATATTTCCTTTCAAATGAACTGAGAAGGTTTTTCTCAAGAGTTGAAGAAGACACGCACACAAGGGACATTTTCTTCTCCGTTATGATTGAATTCAAGTACTTTCAATAAAACCCAAAGTCCGCACCAAAATGGACTCAATCAAAAAAAAGTGTGTTTCTTCTCTCCTTTGCAATTCTTTCTCTCGTGATCATCATCATACTTGGATCTCATCATCTCAAATAATTTATTGAGTAGAGAGACTAACTGTTCAGAGCTGGACGTTGGCAATAATTATTCAATCATTCGATTTATTCGATTTGAAAATCACACACAAGTCTTTTCAATTTTCGGAATCGGAATTGGCAAGATGGACTCTCGAGAACCAAAATCATCAGAAACAACAACACTCCCCACACAAAATACATCTTCCTTGTTACGTGTTACTACAACAAGCATGACAACGACAGCAAATCATACCGAACCTCAACTGATCACATCGTCATCTTCACCAACGTTGTTTTCCGACACTTCCTCAGCTCAGCTCTTTCCTTCAAAAATACCATATATGGAAAATCACCAAGATTCAACCACTAAAATTCAAGAATTTATTTCATCAAGCAGACTTACTCAACAAATTATAGCTGCAACCTTTGGATCGTGCATTACAGCCATCTTTACATGTCCTTTGGATGTAATTAAATCCCGAATACAAACTCAACATTTTGTGAGAAGCATTCCTCATCATTATATCAAAGCATGTCAACACCATACCAACCATGCTCACCATCAAAACTTTTTACCTCTCTCGACTCGTCGAGCATTTATGACCATTATAAAGAATGAAGGAGCAAAGACGCTGTGGAGAGGATTAAGGCCGACACTGTTATTAATCATTCCAAATAATGGTATTTATTACTCGTTATATGAAAGGCTGAAGATTGAATTTTCAGGGTTGGGTCATACTGTCACTCCACTAGTTTCAGGAAGTATTGCAAGACTGATGGCCACGACGGTCACAAGCCCAATAGAGTTTTTTAAAACAGCTAATCAAGTTTCTAGAAACAAAGTTTATTTAAGAGATTTACGATGGAAACAATTATTGAGAGGACTGAATGCTACCTTGTTGCGAGACGTTCCATTTTCTTCCATATATTGGATGTGTTATGAGAATATGAAATCTTCATTATTGGGCCGATTTTCGTTACAACAGCACCATCCTCACTACTCGAGAAATTTAATGCTCATTTCTTTTGCTAGTGGAATCACTGGAGGTGTTATAGCTACCACATTCACTCATCCTTTCGATGTCATCAAAACAAATGCTCAAAATATTGAAACCAAACATGTAGGTGTGTGGAATATTTCACAGTACATTTACAAAACGAATGGTTTGAGTGGATTTTCTCGAGGTTTAATACCGAGATGTCTGAAAGTGGCACCTTCGTGTGCCATAATGATTTCCACCTATGAAGTAGCGAAAAACTTTTTCGAGACATGGGAATAAAAGTGTGTGAATTTGAGCTCCATAAAAATACTAGTACGCTAAAGTCGAAGAGAACACCAATCTTAGTGAGGGAATCGTCCTTACATTGATCAGTTTTATAAAATGAAAGTCAAGGAATGGGCCAATTAGGATGGATTGACTATCATGATTGACCTGTCTGTTCACCGCCTCAATTTACACTGTTGTATGGTATCACTCGTGAGGGAAAAGAATCCTGGATCTGTGCTTGGGTACTCACCTTTCATTAACCAAGATTGACAAATCAAACATCTTCGCTGATCCGTGTGTGCCTCTCGGGCTCATCAATTTAAAAAATAACACAAATCTTCTGCAAGTGCCACTTGTCAAACTATAAACCGCTCATCATCATCATGCGTTCATTAATCCTCGTTGCTCTCTTGGTGTTATCTTGTGTTGCTTTTGTTTATGGTCACGGAGAGTTCATTTTGCCAAGACCAAGAACCTTCGGAATCAGTGGTGTAAGTAAATTTCACGAGTGTGCATGTGATATTTAGATCTCACTTTTCTTCACAACAACAACAACGCTTGTCGTCGCTATACCGTCGCATCACTTGCAATGATGCTCAACACCTCCACACCGTCCTACACAACACCTCCAATCATGATCATCACTTTTCACTCATACATATAATGATTAGGCCAATACCCAAAAAACAGGTCCATGTGGATCCATTGCCAAGAAGGCACCAACCATGAGGTATAAGGGCAACCAAAAAGTTGACGTCACTTGGACGATCTATGCCAATCACGGAGGAAGCATTGCTGTGAAAATTATTGACTTCTCGGATAAGTCGACCTCTATTTTGGCTTCAGGTGTCAAGTCTGCCTCAGGTAATACCACTGTTTCTGTGACCATTCCAGACAAGTTCTGTAATAATTGTACCTTGCAATGGGTTTGGAGTCCAAATGGTGAATCTCCTTACTATGGTTGTGTTGATATTAACATTGATGGAGCACCAATTAATGCCACTAATAACAACAATGCCAATAACAACAATCAAAACAATAACAAGGCTAACTTTGGATCCCTTTCAGCTGTTCCATCCTTCTATTCAATGATTGTAGGATGTGTTGTTTCTGTCATGTTAATCTCTCTGTTTGTTCAATTTTAAATAAAGTTGAATCAATCGTCTCATCCCCTACTATACTTGTGATGAAATTCGAAGAGATCAACTGCTTCTTCCCCAAAATGATTTCTTATTCCAGCTCACCAAAATGTGATTTTCAAGCCTTGAACGCTTTTGAGAAAAATAAAATACATGATGTTTCAACATGAAATTGCAAATCTAACAATTTTTGTTCTTTCCAAGTTTTTTGCAGATGAAACTGTTGCAACAACCTAAAAATTTCTTCCACAAAACTTGGGAATTCATTTCACAATAAAAGGCATCTTGGCATTTAACGATTTTTTATTCCGAAAAAAAAAATCCCAAACAACATGGTCGCCAAAACTACTATTCAACACCCAAATTCCTCCTCCCTGCAAGGCTTTAACGGCAGTACAACGATGGCGGTGGAGCACTCAGAGATGATATCGGGATTTGTTGCTGGATGTTCCAAATCTTCATTGAACAAGACTCGTAAATTAAAGTCAAAGGGCCAATATGTGTTACAACTGGCTCCACTAGTGATTGATAGAAGGATCAAGATTGAAAAGATGGCTGTGTTGTTGTCGTCGGACAAGCCTTCAAATCTGAGGCTGAACGAGGCTCAACATCAAGATGAACACTCATCGTTGACTCAACAGGAAACTAACTCTGGCTCGCTCTATTTTGTTGAAGATAGTTTGAAACCGGCTAGCTCTTCTGATTTCGATGATTTTGTGATTGTGTAAATTGAACAAACTTCTTGTGAGGACATTCATGAATTTTCTGGAATTGTTTTTGGTTTGCGTGCACTATCGATGATCAGGAGAATAATTGATGATAGTGCACATTACTTTTGTAACTCCCAGGCAAAGCTTTCATCTCTAGAAATTTTAAAAGACATTTGTAGAACAAGATTTTACTCTAATAAATAGTCTCGACATTCACAACATGGAAAAACACTCAAAGATATTCCTTCATCATCATCACATCGAAAAACTCTTTCAAGTTAACAGCAACGCTAATGAAGGTGTTGGAGTTGATGCTTTCTTGTGATCCCCATTGGTTCTTTTCTTCTGTGATCTCCACTCTCTTGAAAATGCAAATATTTGGCTCGACAGAAACGCATCCGGCAAGGACATCATGGAACTTTTTGCCATCCGTGTTCTTTTCCAAATACTTCTGCATTCCTTTGAACGTTAAGTTTAGCCCAATAAATGAAAGGTGCTGTTGTGAACTGAAGGACGCTCTAGAGAGCTCTAATTGTGACAATCGCTCTTTAAGCTGCATGTGTCGATCTTGTCCATAAACGACCCCATGACACACGTTCTTTGACACTAATAATCTCTTGTCAATGAAGGGGCAATTTAGAACTGTCTTTGCTGCCTTAATATTACCTCCAAAGTTATAGGTTGACAATTTTGTTTTTCCTGCAAATTTTGAAAGTCGAAACTGAGATGGAACTACATTATCTCCAGCAAATCCTCCCTGAATGACACACAATCCAATCCTATTCTGTTCATTCATTTCGTGCGAATACTTCTCAATAAACGTTCCCAAATTTGAAAGAGGTGCACCTGTGACAAACATTAATTCATTTCCATATTCTTTCCAGAATTGATACATTAAATTGTATCCATAGTCATCTTGCCCTTGTGTCAAATACCTCTCATCGGTGGCTGTTGGATACAATTTTGTAAAGAAACCTCCCAAACAATTCTTGTTATGATCTGGTTTGAAAGCTCCAATTTTAATACCTCACAACCGCTCAATTATTGTAGACATGTCTACATTCTGATAATCATTCTGAATCTGTTGACATTCATGAATGATTTCATCAAGAACACGTCGAATAAAGGAAATTTGTTCTTTGGTTCCGGGTGTTATTGTGATACATTTGACGCAAATTCGTGGATGACACAGTAACTCAATGACATTGAAATAATCATCAGGATCACCAGTTTCCATGTCAATAATTGTTGGAATGGGTGACGAAGAGTCGTTGGCATGATGATTGATACTACGAGCTCTTGAGTATAAATAGGAAACGTAGGATTGGTTGAGATGTTCGGATTTGATTCATTCCCACGTTCATGATGATCTTGATGAGGTGGTTTCTGCAAGTTCATGATGCTGTTTCTTTCTTGATCAAATCAATTTAGAGAATGAAGAGAAAGGCTGAAACGGTGCATCATTGGATCAATAAAAATTATTTGGGCATTTGGTTCTATTGTTGTTCTTTTCTTCATACCGTATGATTTAAAAGTTGTTGAGGATTTAAATCAATTGGTTCTTCTTTTGCAATTTTCACCCCATCAGGCTGATGCACAACTCCATCATCATTTTAAAAAATGCAACTTCATAGCATTTTGTTCCACAGCGACAGATGGAAGGAATTCGTGCCAGCAGAGATGCACGAAGAAGTAGAGGCTAAAGTCAAGAGTATGTTGTTATTGTTGATAGTTGGTAGAACCATTTGTGTTGAATGATGGTGATGGTTTTGTTGTTGGACTTGAAAAATCGTTTGCGGATGTAAATTTTTTGATATTTCTCTTGTTGTTGTTGTCTGGTGATGATTGTGGATGAATATTTTGATTGTGGATGTTGATTTTACAAATTTGATGAATCATAATTAATATTGGATGAATATTTGGACATTGGCCAATCTTTTGTTAATTTATTATGATTTACTGGACATGTTTTTACTGGTGATGAATAGAGTTGAGACCACTCGTCTCAGAGGATGAAATGGACAAACATGAAGTACCATTGTATTTGCGGGACGCTTGTGTTCATCGTGTTATTCCTCTCAATCAATGCCGACACGAAAATTTCTACAATCCTTTCAAATGTAACGAAGAACGAGTCAGATACGAAAGATGCCAATACAAGAGATACTTGAGGTGGGTGCAAAAGTCACAAGAATTGTGGCGAAGAGAAGAAAAACTGAGAATTATCAAGGAGAAATTGGAAAAAGCCAAAAAGAATGCTCCTGCTGAGGAATAATTTCGTGTCGAGTCAAATCAAATTCTGAAACAATCCCTTTTAATGTTATTATTCATCACAATAAACCTTTTGGGTTTTCACTTTGTTGGACATCACTCACGACTCAATAATTTACCTTGTCGAAACATTTGAAATTGAGCAATGAACTGCTTCTCGAATTTAAACAAAACACCCACAAGAAATGAGAGGAATCCAATGCCTAGAACAACATGACCAATTCTTATTGGCGAGAAGAGAGGTTTAGAGTCAATATCCAAGTTAATTTCCACATATTTGGTTACCATCAAGCATACAACTAGTGTCAGAATTACAAATTTCGATGGTAAAGCCTCCAATAGAATTTGTTTGACGTTTGAATTCAAGTGTTGTTGGTGCTTGCTATAGAAGCGAATGATGAAATATATGCTGTAGGAAATCCTCATGAACATGTTGAAACAATTAGCAATGATCATGCTGATAGTGCCAAGATTAAAAATCCATAAGCACGTCACACAAACGCTCATGTACAGAACTGAAAATAAAATCATCACATAATTGAGTTTGATAATTTCTGTTCGTTCTGAAAGAGAATGAATAAATGCTTCTGTGATTCCATTCAAAGACATAAATAATATGTATATACAATAAATAGAAAGAATTTTTGGGGCCTCTGTATGGTTTGCCCATTGGGTTCCATATAGTAGATAGATTAAGGTATGAGAATATGCTGGTCCAAAGAACGCGAACAAACAACCAAGTAAGGTTGATGTTTTCAAGAATAGAATAAGCACTTTTGCGCTTGCAGAGATTGCCTCTTGTGCTACCTGGTTGTCTTGTGTAGATCTGGAATTCTCACTATTGATTATTACGCTCAATTTGCTCCAAATTGAAAAGCTTGTTTCTTCAATATATTGAAACAATAGTCTAGCAGCAAGTGATCCTAAATTAAATACCAAGTCGAAAACTCCTTGGTCATACTGGGATTGGAAAAGAATCAAAATATGTTTCTCCCCTTCAGTTAAAATATATTTGATAAGAGATTGATACAGAAAGCTTTGTGACAGCCCAAATAAATTCCAATCCCAAACAATTTTAAATCTTTCTCTTTCGTTATTTTTAGCACCTATTCTGTCAATTAAGTATCCAATTAAAATTGTGACGCTGTAGAAAATTTGACTATATCCATAATATTGCAAAACTGTAGAAATGTCAAAGATATTCACAATTACAAAGCTAGTAACAATTTTTACAAAGAGAGCAGCGGCTTCTATGGATACCCGAACTCCAAAAGCCAATTGTGCCATCGAAACAATATAGAATGGTTGAGCAAAAATTTCAATCAATATTGCTACGCTATACAAGATTAAAGGGGATATTTTAGCATCCACTTTTGGTATGTAATAAACTCCCCATATATAATAACATATTAATAGAGCAATAATCCCATATGGAACAGACAAAAGAGCCATTGTTCTAATTTTTAAGTATTGTGTGTTGCTAGTTTCTTCTGTTCCGCCAACATTACTTCTCAGGCAGGCTCGTCTGAAACATTCAGAAGACAAAAAAATTACTGTCATTGCAAATAGCTCAGATTTGAAAATGAACTAATTTAAATTTGAGTAAACCGGCTTTAACAAAGTACATACTCCCTTAGTGTCAGGATCTAACTGTCTAATAATGTATGTATTGGCCAAAAATGTAACAATTTTCGAAAGAAATGATAAGGCTATGATCATAAAATATGATAATGATGCTTTCTCCTTGATTGCGAAAACTTACATAATAAATATGAAAGCCCTTTTCCAGCAGAAGTCAAAGTGTTTCTTATATGATTTTTTTGCTTTTCGTCATTAATTTTTTGTGTGTGTTCTGTTTCATGATCATCATTATCGGAATTTGGATGTTGTTGGTTTCTCCTTTTTCTAATCCCATATTCAGCTGTGGTATTCTCCTTGGTTTCATTGAAATCAGTCTCCTCGTTCGGTGAGGCATCCTGATGGATCTGATGTGAGGAGGAATGTTCAATCATTTTTTATTTGGATCTTGGCAAGTGCAAATCATCAATTATAATATTCACAACAAGCCTATCTGAACCTGATGAATTAATTCAAATGACTTTGACTACGTGTCCTTCAACCGGTAGGGCCTGACAACATTTGCTTTCCTTGTGAACAAGCACTCCCCACAGTCATGGAAAATCTTTGAATTGCCAACCTGTTCAATGTCGTCTCGTCAGGTTCTATTTCACCCAACCCTATAAATTCCAAATTCCTTGACATTCGACAAAGCATCCAAGTTCGATTCCAGGTTTTTTATCCAAACGGATGGCTCAACGTTTGCTTTTGGGAGCGCTTTCAAAAAAACAAAAAAATTCATCACTGAGCGAGATCAACAATTGCAACAACAACCCTCTCGTTCTCACGTTCTCACTTGTGTCATCCTTATTCTCATCCTTATTCTCATTGTTTCACCGTATACAAACACTTGTTGGTGGATACAATTTTCAATTTTTTGAAGAGAGCCTTTAAAGTTATCATCATCATCGGAGAAGATGCCATCTTGTCCCTCGTGTTTTGGAAGTCATAGTAATGATGACGATGAACCAAAGGAAGGAGAATCATTCAGTAAATTAGACTATAATTCTGATGATGATAGAGAGCCAGAAGATCCAAAATTTAAACCAAATTTCAATGAACAAGTGAAATACAACCCACAAATTACGAGAGTGAAGAAAAAGGGAAGATGGCCTACCGATATTCCATGTTTGATTTTGTTTGTATTATATTGCCTGGGAATGTTTGCGGTTGCTATCATTGCATGGAGGTTCGGAACACCAAGCAAATTGTACTGTAAGTGTTGTGTGATTAATTTCTCCTTGAAACAGATCAATAATAATGTGATGATGGTGAATTCCAACTAATTCAGATGGAACTGATTACATGGGGAGAACTTGTGGGCAAGACAACAGAAATGCATCCGCGAACACGCTGAAGATTCCATTCGATGAAGATTGTATTAATAGTCAAAAGCTCATTAACAACAAGCAAACAAATACCACTGCAGTGCAATTGTGTGAGGAAAAAGTTAAACAGTATAAGGTTGATTTTACAGATCAGTCTCGATTATGGTTCATGGAAGTATTGGATCCATTCTACTATGGAGGCCTTTGTGTGTCCTATTGCCCTGGTTTATTGTCTTCTGGTGATTCTCTGATCAGTCAACTCAATCGAACAGCAGCATGTCCACCAGAATTACAGTCAACAACTGTCGCAGTTTCGGGTTATAGCGTGCCATTCCTTACTTATTGCAGTGGCAAAAGAGTTGATTCTCCGGAGACATTCCCTGTAAATGATGTTTCGAGAGCTTTGTCAACCCAATTGTCGTATTTTGTAAGTGAGTGATACTTTTGAATTTTTATTTATTTACTATTATATTTAGGATGTTGTCAATAGATGCATTCCAACAATTACCACTTCTGGAAATCTTACTCTCAATGAAATTATTGCAAAAATTTCTAAAGTCACATTTGCTGGAAATTATTCCTCCATTGTGGACGATGCCAGCCAAGTTGTATCAACCTTTTGGGATGACGTTACAAGAGGTAGGTATTAATGAGCTTTTTGATGAACATTCATGTTTAAATCTTCAAAAATTGAATTAGGTTGGAAGGTGCTGGTTGCTGCTCTTTTGATTGCTATCATTCTCGGATTTGCTACCTTGTTGTTTATCAGAATTTTTGCAGGAGTCATTACATATTTAACAATATTAATTTGTATATTGTCATTCCTAGGTTTGGGTGCTTTCATGACATGGTACGGATATAGCCAAGTACAAGCCATGCAATTGAAGCAATTATCTACGACCGTTCCTAATGTCATTTTATGGAGTGGTGTTGCTGTTATGGTTATTGGATTATTACTTGCTATTGCTTCTGCTATATTTATAATGAGAATTAGAAGGTTTGTTTTCAATTTACACTGGTACATGCTTATCGATTTGATTCATCATGGATAAATAATATTTAACAGAGCTATTGGTATTATTCAAGAAAGTTCCAAGTCATTGATGTACATGCCACAAGTCCTCTTGTTACCAGTAGTTTTTGCTGTGATTATTGGACTATTTGCCGCTTATTGGTGTGTTGTGAGCATATTTTTATATTCTGCAGGAGATCCTGTCATCAAGGGAGGAGCTGTACAATATGTATTGAGTACATGGATGAGAGGAATCCTTGCCTATCATGTAAGTTACCAATATCCAATTTATCAATGATGAAATACTTACAAAATATTCTTAGATTTTTGGAGGGTTGTGGATTCTGGCCTTCATTCAAGCCATGGAGTTTTTGGTTTTGAGTGGAAGTGTAGCTAGTTGGTATTGGAGAAGAGAAAAAAGATTTGTGTTGGGTATGCCAGTTGTTCGAAGCTTTTTCAGAACTGTTGTTTTTCACACAGGTACAGCTGCGTTTGGATCATTAATTGTGGCTATTGTTCAAGCAATTCGATTACTTTTCGAAAAAATCCAAAGAGAATTGGAAACAGCATCAAACAATAATCGTATTGTTAAGGGATGTGGATGGTACGTGAGAGTTGTGCTGTGGATTATCGAGAAGGTGATCAAATTCTTCAACAGACAGGCCTACGTTCAAACTAGCATGTATGGCACAGGTTTTTTAACATCTGCCAAGAATGCATTCCTTCTCATGCTCAGAAATCCAATTCAAATGGCCATTACTCAAAGTTTGAGTACTGCAATTTTATTGCTATCAAGACTTGCTATCTCGTGTTTGACATGTCTCTTCACTTATGGTATTGCTGCAAAGACTACTTTCCTCAACTCTGACAATAAGGAAATTCAAAATCCAATTTTCTTGGCAGCAATTGCATTCATTATTGGTTTTGCAGTGTCTAGTTTGTTCTGCATCATTATTCAATGCGCCATTGACACAGTCTTGCAATGCTTCCTTATTGAATTAGAAATGAGAAAAGCAGATCCAAGTATCCCAAGATTCTGTACCAAATCTCTCAACAGATACATTGAAGAAAATATTAGATTGGAAAAGCTCAGCAATTTCATTTGCCCTCTATGCTGTTGCCTCACTTGCATGTGTTGTTCTGGTCATTCTGATGCATCAAAAGGTGTAGCTCCTCCTGTTGCTTCAAACAATATTGAGATGCCCAGTGCACCCCCAATGCATGTGTAAAATAAAATTCTAAGTTTATTTCGAGTAGTTAATTTACTAATTAATAGTAACCATGCAAAACTCTTCGGAGTTACCTGGAGCTTTGAATGATTTGATTCACTTCTTCCTCGAATTCTTCTTGATCAATCAATCCTTCCTTCAAAAATTGTCTTAAAGTTTTCACTTGATGTTTCTGTTCTTCGTTCAAAGAGCTCAAATCTCCAAACACAGGATCTATTTCAGCTGCTTCTTCTTGGTTGAGATTGGAAATTTGTTGTGCAGTGCTGGTAGTATTGGCTGTCTTGGTTGGTTCATCCATCATAGGTTGAGCTGATGGTGGTGACACTACTTTCTCTGGGGTAGTAAAACCATTAAAACCATTAGCACCGACATTGGTTGGAGTTGTTGAATTTCCAATCAATTTAGCTTCTTTCATTTTGTACTGTTCCTCTGTGATGAGGCCGCAATTCAAAAGTTTTTTGAGCTTGGCCAATTCTGTTTCAGAGTTGCCGTTTGTTTGTACCTGTCTTGGAGACTCAACAGTAGGTGACGCAGGCCGTTGTTTCTGTGGAGTTGAGGTTTTTGTCACATCTTGTCCCTTGTTGGAATTTGGAATAACAATCTTTGGTTCCACAGGAGAAGTGGCCACACTCTGTGACTCGACATTTCGTGTTGGAGTCATTGGAGTCGATGATTGACCATTTCCACCCAAAATCTTTTTAACCTTCTCATCAAAGACATCCTTACTAATCACTCCAGCATTTAAAAGCTTTTCCAATTGTTTGATTTGATTGTTTGTGTTCACAGTATTGCTATCGAGTCGTGTTGAATCTTCTTTGATTGCTTCTTTTGTTGTCTTCACCATTGAAGTGCTCTCAACGTGAGAAGGCGCCTGCATAGCATTGGTCTCTGCTTCTTGTTGCACATTGTAGTGTCGTGTCTCAATGGTTGTTGTTGTTTTGGTTGTTGGTGATGGAGTTAAAGCTTTCATTCCCTTCAATAATCGTTCTTCCTTCTCAAGATAATCCTTTTCAGAAATAACTCCCATCTCTACTAAGGAACGAAGATTTTCTAATTGCTCTTGAATTTCTGACAAATCTTCTTCATCGTTGAACTGTGCAGTAGATGCATCTTCATCGTGTGGTTTATGTTGTGGTGTGACTTTGTTTGCAGATGCTGCTGATTCTGAAGATGGTGTTTGAACAGAAGAAGGAATTTGTTCTTTCTGAGGAGAAGTAGATGATGATTTGATGAACACTGTTGTTGGCTTGTCTTCAATTGAACTTGTAGTGATTTTTGACACTTGTTTTGGCTCAGGAGAAGAATTGGAAGAAGGAGAGGTAGAAACTTCTTTCACTTGAACTCGCTCTAACTTTTGTGCTTGGAGTGGAGGTTGGAGAATTTGTTTGGTCCTTCTTGTTTGTTTTTGGAATGATAATATCTTTTGGAACATCTCGTGGAGATTCTTTTGTGGATGGAGAGGAGATAGAAGAGGAGTGAGACGCCTTATCCTTTTCTTCCACTCTAAAGGTTGTTGAGAGATTTGAAGAAGGAGATGATAATTTCACACTTCCATTGTTGCTACTAATAGTAAAGGAGGAAGAGGATGCTGTTGTTGTTGGAGATTTCAATTTGAGATGGCCATTGTTATTACTCTGAGTTGGAGAGGAGCTACTGCTTGATGATGTGACCATGTTGCTGATGGTGGTGGTTGGAGAAGAAGGACTTTGAGAATTTAACAATTTTTGGAATTGTGAATCAAATTCTTCTTGTGTTAAAATTCCCATCTTTTTCAAATGTTTCAATTTGGAAATTTTGACTTGTTGATCATGAGAGAGATGAGAAAAATCTTCAGTGTCTTGAACAGGTTTGTTTTCTTCCATGATTTGTTGTTTCTTACTTTCCAACATTTCAGGTGTTAAAGTTCCCTTTTCTGTTAACTTTTCCAGTTTGGCAATTCTTTCCATTTGTTCTCTTTCAATACTGGAATCAGTGCTTGGAGAGAGTGATTTCTTTTCTTCTTGCAAAGACATTTCCATTTCGATAATCTTCTTATGATGTGTCCATTGAGTTGGGAAATACAATGAGGAGAGAACTTTCTTTTTCTTTGTTTCATATTCCTCTTGATTTAAAATTCCATCATTCAAAAATCGATCAAGTGCTTTCATTTGTGTTCTCTGAGTTTCATTCATCATGTTCTTTAAATCTTGTAATTGTTGTGAATATTCTTGGAAGGAAAGTTGTGAAGAAGAATTATTTTGACTGCTACTTGAGGTCAATATTGGTTTTTGAGAGCTCTCTGCAGTTTTGATTTCCAATTTTGTTGCTTCTTGTTGTTTTGATTTGGCTTCTTGATAGATTTGTTGTTTCTTCTTTTCAAATTCTTCACTGGTTAAAATTCCTCTATCGAATAAAATTTGTAATTTTTCAAGCATGGCAGATTGTTCTTTAGAAAGCACTGGAATAGCATTCTTGGTGACCAAAGCGTTGTCTTGTTTAAGTTTGTTCAATTTGGTGTCGAATTCTTCTTGTGTGACAATTCCTCTCTCCACAAGTCTTTCAATTCAACAAGAAAATCAGTTTTTCACCATGTCCACATGGAATAGAACTTACCCTCTCAATCTTGTCATGAGCTCTTTTTGTTCCTCAGTCAATCCTTCATCATCCATTGGAGGAGGATACAATTGTCTCCATTTTGCTTCAAACTCGGATTTTGTCAAAATATTCTTTCTGTATAATTGTTCTAATTTCTTTAGTTTTTCTTCAACATCTTTAGGAGGAAGAGTGGAGTGAATAACATTCTTGGTCTTGGCTGCAATTTGATTCAATAATTTTGAAGTTTCTGTGTTGGCAGGTTTGGCATTTCTAAATTCCGACCCGAAATTGTCATGACGTTGCTGAACCACACGAATAGCGCTTTGATTCTCTAAACTTTCTAATTCTCCTGTGCAGTCAATGAGAAAGAAGAATCCACCAATGCTGAGATTGTATCTTTCGTAATGATGTGTGAGACCATTTCCACAACGAAGTAATGGGCTATTGATAACGAAAGGAGATGATTGGACGAGAGCGTGTTGTATTTGTGAACAATATCCGTAACATCATCATCGTAACATGAGTGTCACAATCATCATTCAACTTACCAATCTACTTTAGTTCTAATAAAGTGATGACCACCAGCTCTTGGTTCTTCAACTTTAACAGCAAAGATCAAACAATGAGTGTTTTGCTCTCTTTTCAAAACACACTGTTGCGGAATGAGAATTCACAAATCATCAAAAATATACAGATGATTCGAATGATTCGCATCGCAAGAAGATTCAATGGAAAATAATGTTCATAAATGAGAGAGGAGTAAATTATGATGGATGGCATCACCATTATTACAATGAGACAGCAGGCGTAATGCGTGGGTAAATTCCGAAACTTTTCATGCGCTACTCACCTCATCATTCACAAGCACACGGAATGGTTTCTCAGAGTTTGCAACCACACCAAAGAGATAAAAGAATACAGTGGATTGCTTCTGTTCGAGTGTGGTGTAAAAGGATTCTGTGGAATATGACGACATTTTTTTGTGGTTCGATTTTTCAGTTTCGTGACATGTCTGAAATGCCAAGCCCAAAAAAGAAGCGAATCGACTGTTGTGTGTTTTGTGTGTGAATTTGGGAGAATGTTATTGTATTGGAAGTAACCATGTTTGAAAGTTTGAAATAATGGTGACTATTATGGACTACATTTCACTTGTTGGGTGAATCATCAAGTTTTCATGACGTAAATCAATCCATTTCATGCAATAGTTGTGACATCCACTGATTCATGTCTGTTGTTGCTGTCTCTCCACACAAATGATAATAGCAGAATTTTAACCATTGTCCAGATCCAACACATTTTGTTTTACACTCTTTTAGTCTCTTTCTCAAACCACGGTCGCTTGTTACAAACAGACAACTATCCGAAGTACCAGCAATATGGTGTCTGTTTGCAATGTCTGCAAGCATATCGTCAGCGATTTGGAAACCATTGTCACTGGCAGATGACACAACAAATGTCTCATTGTCAGCGGTCATTGTGTTATTTGTGGAATCAAAGCAAACATTAAACAAAATAAATTTGTGGTTGAGCATAACTTCCATATGGCTTTTGAACAGTCTTGCTATATAAATTAGCAACCTCTCAGCTCCTGCTTTGTCTTTCTGGAATAGGACCAAAGTTCTCAATACATAAGTGATATAAAGCATATTATTTGCATCAATAAAAATATAGTGAATTTCTGGAGGGAGTTTGTGAGAAAATTCCTGAGTTTGAGGGTTGTAGAGCTCAATATCGTCGGTAGCAATGAATTGATTTTCTTCTTTTAGCTGTTCTTTATGCTCTTGCTTTTCAAGAAGTTTAGCTTCTCTTTCCTTCGTCTTTTCTTGACATCTTTGAATCTTCTCCAATTTTTTGATATATCTTGGAGACAGTTCTGGAGATATGTCATGGTCGACAGATCTATCATGCTCAAAAATAGGAGCAGTGGGTTCAGCCATTATTGGAGAAAACGGTTTTCCCTGTTCTAAGCTTGCTGTAGGAGAAATTATTAACCCAGTTGGAACATCGACATTGCTATTTCCAATGCTTGTTGGGCTTAAATACTTGTTGAGCCTCTTAGCAATTTTCTTCTCTTTTTTAACAAGCTTCTCTTGCAATTTTTGTTGCATCTTCTCAAGCTTGTAACTGGCCTTTCTTGTCAACAATTCATCTCTGCTCAACATTCTAACAGTAAGTTGAATATCAAGAATTCTGTTTGATGAATTGGAGTTATTACCCATCAATGCATTTGGATTCATTATTGCTCCGTAATTGCCATTAACCGCTAACACCCATTCCTCATCAGTAGAAACACTCACCCAATCTCCATCATGATCCATGTACTTTATGGACAATATCACTCGTTTCTCTTTTGCTCCGATCTTGTTTAGTAATGATTTCATGAAACCATCATAGCTATTATGAACGTTCGGGTCATAATCAAATTCCATCATCGGAGGAGAAGATGATGAGAAATTGCTAGTAATCTTATTAATGTATTTTTGAATAGTCGTTGGGGAAGGAATGAGCTTGAGTTCAACCCGAATTTTCTTGGCAGGAGAAATGACAGCCAAGAAAAGGCTGTTGTTGTTGTTGATAGACGATGAAGAGGGAGGCATTGCCTTCATTTTTTTAAAATGAAAAATCGTTGAACTTGTTTGCCAATTTTGCATAATACCCAACAATGACTTGTTGAATTTACTCCTCTCAATTACAACAACATGACCAGACAATCAAACAATTTGGGCGAGGATTTGCATCTTACTCGAGTCCTCTCTGAGGGGATATTTTTGCAAGCGACCCAAAAAAAACGCTACACTTTTCTGCTTTCCATTTTATTGTGGAAACAGGACGGAAAGGAATTTTGCTCTCGTCCGCCCGCTTGCATCCTTGTTGAACTCTTCTCCATTGAATTATATACCCTTTGAGTGTTCATGTCAACCATTCTCATCATTACGACTGGTCATTGTTGAACTCTTTTTCATCATCAAACCATAGAATTATAATTTCAACAAAAGCACCATTTATTTTCAAAATGATGGGACTCGCTTGTTGTTTGCGAACCAATGATCCCTCTGATGATTTCCATACTAGAGGTGTTCATCATCATCATACTGAAACAACAACAACATCCGCAACCAATACCATCCATAGCAACTTTCATTCATCCACTCCTCTCCGACCTCATCATCAAAACAACAACAATTATTCAGCAACATCTCCTTCCGTGGCCTCTAAAAAAAAGAATCCACCTCCATCCGTTCCATCACCTCATCAAGTTCAAGAATTTCAATTGGAATTGAGTCAATGCTGTCGACAAAGATTGACACTCGAAATAGTGAATTATATTTTGGAGTTTTGCGATTTTTTGGGTGAAGCAGAAGTGTTTGAGAAAGCATTGCAACGATACATGTTTGCACATTATGAAAATTCATTGAAATTTCAAGAGACGAATGAGTATTCTGTTTCTTCGAATGTAGACTTTCACAATTCTGCTAAAATTTACTTGTCAAGTTTTGAATCTACCACTGCAAATACCAATCCAACCGCTCATTTACTTGCGAATAATCAGATCATGGCAACGAGTAATAGAAACGATACGAAACAAACACCAAGAAAGATGGGAATGTCAAGTATGACACCCACTCATTCACCACTTCGTTCTACCTCAATTTTTGATCTTAAAGTTGTTCAATTTGAATGTAACATTTTTAGAAAATTTTGGAATGATGTTGTGAACATGCATATACCCAATGATAAACAGAATCAAGGTGAAGAAGATGAAGAGTTATTTACTCCATTTGTGGATACTGAACCATTCAATGAACAATTATGTAACAAACTCATACGTATTGCATTTGGAAAGAAAGGAAACACTATAATAAGCTTAATTCGACATTATGACTTTTCAGAAGTCGATAAGAGAAGTTGGAAGAGCTTTCCAATATTTGGAAAAGGATTATTATCATTCAAGGCGCCATCATTTATTGATTTAACTTATTTTGATGAATATTTTTTAGCATTGGGTCATGTGAAAAACATGTTAGAAAAGAATGCCAAATTGAAACTTAAATTAACCCTACCAGTGCATATGGAAAATAATTTGAGTGAATCAGATCAGAAAATTTTAGCAGCAACTACTGACATTTCATTTGTGGAGGAAGTTCATTCGAAATTTATTGTCTCGCTTTTGAGAAATCTTTCAAACCTACATAACGCTGCTTCAGGTTGGTTCCTTCCAAGTCTAACCTTGAGTCAACAAGAGAAATTTAATGTGGATGAAGACTACTTGGGATTAATATCCAAGTTTCCAATTCACAGACTCAAAATTACGCTCAATTTCTACCACCCCTCTCTACCAACCAAATATCTTGAAGCTCTGCTCAGAAATACTTCCATTGGGTATTTAGAAATTGAGAACATCAAACTCACAGGACAGCTTGTGGAAAATATTAAGGACAAGGTCACTTTTGAAAAGATATGGGTCTGCCCTGAATCTCGTTTTATTGCACTCTTCTCCCGTACAAGTCATTTGCGATGTTTGGTGATTAATGGAGGCATATCGTTTCATGAGCCTTGTCTAGAAAGTGTTCAAAAGGCGTTTCCATCCTACATGTTTGAATGAGCTTTTGATATGTACTCAGTAAAATAGATCAATGCCTCAAAAAAAGTGTCTTTTTAGGAATTGTTCGGTAGCAACACTCTGAATGAACTCTCTTTCTTTTGTGTAGAGGTTAAATGGATTAGCAGCAACCATGTGTGCATCCTCTTCCTCTTTACCAGGGGTCAAAGGTTGTCCAAACCCTGAGGAAGATCTTGAAAGAACGTCTTGTGCGCTTAGTGGCGATTTGTCAGAGCTTGGTACGGGTGAGTAGCTCAGTTTCTGAATCGAAAGTAAATAGGACACTAAAGGAGCAAATGTTGTTTGTGTTGCAGAGACTGATAATGCACTGACATCACTATACTCTGAATTGTTTTCTTCACTATCCATATCCACTTCAGAAGTTCTTTTTGCATCTTCGATGAAAGACCCATATTCTTGTGTTAAAGATCCTCCTCCATTAATATTGCTGAACGAAGCAGAGAATGAAGAGCTATAACTTCCATGTTTTCCGATAATATTCAAAATTTGATCTCTGATGAAACTATGATGCTCTCGTTCTCTATTTTCTTTCTTTTCCTGTTTTTGTTGTTTCTTTTTCAGCACCTTTTTCAATGAGTTTTGGTTCAGATCCACATCCCAATCATCCATGTTCGATGAAATACACTCATGAAAGTGATTGGAAATGGCAAATTGACATTCTTCGATATTTTCCAGATAGGAAATAACAGTAGAAGTGTTCACAGGATCAGTGCTAATTCTCAGTAAATAATTTAAGCATGTAACATCGTCATGATTTTCTTTTGATAATAGTTCAGAGTCACAAAGAGCATTAATAATTTGATTGTTGATTTCAAACACTCCTTTGTCGCAATACTGATAAAACACATCTCGTTCAAGTGCCTTAAATCCTGACAATACAAAGTTCAAACTAAATTCGACAGGAGATGGAAGTCGAAAATCCAGGATGAGTGATGTGAAAAAGCATTCCATTAGTTTGAAGAAGTATTTCTCTTCTTCATTCTTCTGAGACATAATAGTTTCGAATAATAGCTCCATTTCGTCTAACAAAAGTGCATGAAAGTCAGAAGCCCACTTTTTGTGATTCCAATTCTTTCCTGATTTGTTGAAGAAGATAATGGCCAATCTCAAATATTCTTCATATGATGCATTGGTAAATATTAGAGACTGTTGTTGGGGACTTGCAATGGCCGAGTTTGAAGGTGGTGGTGTACGCGGTGAGTCCATTGCGACACTTCCCATGTTGTTAAGTTGTTTCTTTTTGATAATACTGGAAGTGACTCCTAAAACGCTCTCATAAAAGTTGTGTCGGCTAGAGGGAAGTAGACTAATGAAATCTATATCCATTCCTTTTATAGTTGCCTTTTGATAACAGGCACCTATCATATATTCTTTCATTCCCAGCGAGATTAGTTTGGTAAAGTGGATATTTTTCTTGTGAGGTGATTTTTCCATACTGTAAAATAAATAACTCAGGAATTGAAGTGAAATATCTTTGGAATAATGCAATAGTAAAAACTCTAATACAGGAATGAATTGATCGTTAACGAGATCAGGAATTTGGAGCCAATGTGAGCTTGTTAAATATGGTATCATCAAATCAAAACTAAATATGCATCCATTTTTCAAATTCATGAAATGACCCTCAATATGACCAAAAACGGGTACAAGATGCGGCTCATCTAACTTGACAGGGATCTCGTTGTGGAGTGATAGATTAAATTGATTCTTGTTAAATTGGAAAATTGTTGATAAGGTTGATCCCTTGATAAGTTGTAAATACTTGGAAGGTAACAAAAGAATTAAATTATCTCGCTTATATTTTCCGATCAGAAGATAAAACTTGGATTGAAGCTATTGTTAAATGGTAATGTAATTGGTGTTGTCAAGTGCTTGAAGTACGTACGTTAATTTTGAGGCATTTTCTTTCTCGAAAATGGTATATATACACGTTCAGCAAATTTGTTTGGAGACTGGGTCGTAGATCTTTGTATTGCATGCATAGAATGTCGCTGTTATTTTCTAATTTGATTATTTGCATTCTAATAGTGGATGCCTCTAAGAAAAAAGAATTGAAAAAACTGGGAGTAAGGGTGTTGATTTTGAAATGAGCATCAGCAAAAGGATCAATTGTTTTCGATACAGGGAAATATTTGGAGCCAAAATGTATGAGATCTGGAGGTAAATGATTCAAAATTGGGTATTTGTAAATTTGTTGCAATTCTTCCATGTCAATATGCCAGCTGTACAATATTAAATTCGTTTTGCCTAATGAAAAATTGGCATTTAAGGATGATCGAACAATAAAATATAAAAAGTGAGTGTCTCCATCCCACTGATACCAAATCATCTCATGATCTTCATTCGTTTGAGGAGACTTATTCCCTATTCCTGAAAATATCGATGTGAATGATGTTGATGTGTCTCCATCTGGTAAACTTTTTGAAAATAACGTTTTGCTTTCTTTTGGAGGTCCCTTCATTGATCCTGTTTTTGCATCAACTGTGAATGAAAATATTTGAATAGAACTCGATGAAAGAAATAAGAAATAATTCTTTCCATTTTTCATTCGATTACTGTGAATAAATTGTATAGAGTGGGGTAGTTCTGTCTTTTTAAATAACGTTTGGGGTGATCTTGAAGTGTTGTGAGTTGAATGATGTTCATGTAGCGTATGTACATACTTGTTTTGTTTTGAAGCTTTTGTCTTGACTTCAATGAAGTAGGACTCATAGAGGACAATCCGTTCTTCCGATGATGAATGAGAAGTAATACTGGGCATGCGAGGAGAAAGTTTTTCGCCATTGTTGTTGGGATCATGTTCTTTTTCCATCGTCAGGAATGATTTCAAATTAGACACAATCTGAAATCTCTCATTAAACTTGTTGTGATTGTTTTCATAGCTGTTGACGGATGGTACATTTCCGATGGTAGCAACTGGTTGAGCTATCGGAATGTTCTCGTTATTGGTTACTACTAAACTAGCTCCGTTATTGTTTTGTTTGTACAAAATTCGGCTCGTCGTTATGCTCAATATTGAATGGTTAAAATTGAGTGATGCGCCTACACAATCAAGATTGGGCGATAATTTGCAGAGCAAGTTAACTCGTTGTCCGATGAAATCAACATGAACAATACATTGTGGTGATTGAGTATTTTGATTGATATTTTCTTCTTCATCATCACTCATTTTCACCTGATGATGATTGTTGATGCAATAGCAAACGACTAGAAAATGTCCTGTCGGTTCATATCCAATAAACTTTACAAAATGAAACAAATGCCTACTAAGCATGGATTCGATATCATCCTTTAACTCCAGTGTTATCATCGCGTGATGTAGTTTTATATGATGATGAGTTTAAATCTCTCTCTCTTTGATTAATAATTTACACTAATAATTCAAATTGCGAAAATGAAAGCAACAAAAAACTGTCCAACAGTTTAATATGCGTTCTTCGCCACAAGAATCATATCACCACCAATAATGATGATTGGCCACAACAAATAGTGCAAGAACAAACAACGCTTGTTTCGGAGATTTTTTTCAACAGTCTTCCTGACTTGGCAGTGAAGGTTCCGTACGTGAATATCCTCACCAAGTATTTCAATTGAATGAAAAGATAGAATGAATGAATGAATTGATAACACATGGAGGAATTTAATGAAGTCGTTGCTGAGCTGCAATTGTACAAATGGAGAAGAATGGGCACTTGTGATCAGAGCCACTGCCATCCTTACAGTAGGAGGGTACAGAAAACAATGAGTTGTCTTGTCTTGCTTCACTGTAACTGTTGGGGTTGAATACCATCAAATCATTGGGTTGTTGATCGATGGCAATAGGTTTCACAACTCCAATGGTTTCGTAATAGTAGTTGTGTTGAAGTCCTTCTTTATCCCATTGGTTCACATGATATCCATTGTATGTGGTTTGTCCAATATAAGTTGCATTCTTGAGCCAATCTCTCTTCAAAACTCCACAACCATTCTCACTTGTGCAGCACATGCAACAACTCTTCAATTCAGGAAACACTAAATATCTCTTATCCTCAACAACGAGATGGGTACATGGTGTATGTTTATCGAAATGAACGGTTCCACAATATCTGTCATGAGATCCATCGGCTCTATCAATGCGTTGTCTATTGTTGGCAGCATCGTAATAGTAAGTTCCATTAGTAGTGGAAGGAGAAAGCCATTTGAATATTTGCAATCTCTCTGTGAAGGTGGCTCTAAATGTGGGTGGCCAAATGGGTGTTGAAACAGGTTGTTGGCTCCACACTGAAGAAGTTGCCAGAGTGAACAGAAGAAGAACAAGAGCGAAAAGGAAAGCGTCTCTCATGAGTGGTGGCAATGGTGTTGATTTGGTTTCTTTTTTTTGGATCTCGGGGTCAAGTGGAAGAATCGGCCAATTCGGAGGACTTTTGCGAAATGAGAAATTTGAGTCCTTCCACCGCGTTTTGAAGAAGGTTCACTTTGGGTGTTAACACAAAGAGGAGCCCGCCAAGGTCTCTGTGAACATTATGATGACATTCCCATTGTTGAAGCGAGGTATGATGTTCTATTAAAATAGGTACATTACCCTCAATATGCATGGATGATCATTCCCTCACGCGAGAGGATAGCATATAAACGATCGTATGTTCTCTCTCGATGCGATCACACTCTCGAGAGAAGTATGTGCACATGGAGATAAGGCAATAATTTACAGTTGCTTAAAAAAATGAGTGCTGTGACTCTGCGACGAAAAAACATGAATCGGATCGAACTGGTTCCACTAAGAGGTTCGAACATGGCACAGCAGCAGAACGGAGGCGGTGGTGGAACCAGTGAGGGAGAAAAAATACCCTCAACATCCTCATCATCAAGGTCTGCAAAACTTGTTGAAGAAAGGAGTTCTTTGATTAGAAAGCCGCCTATTAACGATCGAATGGCTCATAAAAAGATGGCTCTTTCCGACAGAGCTACTGCTTTCCCTCATGTTAGTGATTTTAGAACTTTCGGAAAGGAAGAAATATTGGAGTCGGTTCTTGACAAAATCAATTCGCTTTCGAATCATTCATACTTTGTTTGCGGGAGTGATCTAAATAGCTCCTCTCACCCTCAAACAGAGGGGAAAACTCCACTAGTTATATCTGGAAAGGCACCTAGTACATTTTCTTCAGATTCAATGCCTTCCACTATCTCCCAGTATCAACGACACTATATTGAATGGAAAAACACCAAACAAATTGCGGAAAGCACAAAACAAATTGCAGAAGCAATCAAGAGGAAAGAACATTCTGTTCCTTTTGCTACCTTTGGTGTTTTCTCAATGGGTGATAGTGTCTATAAAAACGATTTTGTCACTGAAGAAAAACTAAAGATGCGAAAGAGTCAAATAGAAATTGAGGAGAGCAAGAGTTATATTTTGAACAACCCTTGGGAAAAGAATGAAGACGAAGCCAATGTAAAAGAAAAAGAAGGGCAGGAAGAAAGTATTGCACAACCAGAGAATGCTGATAATGGAGGATCAACAAACTCCCAAGTGATCCATTCTAATAACCAAGTCGTCGAATCTCAAACCCAAGACAACTTGCAACAAAAACAAAGCCCAATCACATCTGCTACCTCGACAGCCCCAACAACAGATGTGCCGGTTGCAAAATCTCCAGAAGATATTCCAAATGCATGTTCATCACCACCCAATGACCAAAGTGAGGATTTACCTGAAGAGATTTCTCAGGCTCCACATCATGAAGTCATGATGACTAATATCACGAAACCTACAGAGTTCGATTCTACATCAATTTTTTCCATAGCTAGTAGTCGAAGATCACAAAGACCTCCTGCTTCTGTAATTTCTTCGAGTTATTCAAGCTTTAGTATGTCAAAGAAAGGTATTAAGGGAGGAAAGCCAAAGTATATGCAAAGGCCTTTCACTACATCACTGATAGAGCCAAGATTGAAAAATTTGACATCAAATACATCATTTCTTCCTCCCATAGTATCATCACCTCCTTCAAGACATAGTAGTGAGATTGTAGACATCAGAAATTTCACACCAATTTCCTCTAGACATGGATTTCCAAGAAAAAATACGTTTAATTCTGTCGTGCGATCAACCAAAATGATCGATGAGCTGCTCTCCACTAATTGATGATTGTTAAATATTTGTAAATATACTTATTCCTCTTTTTCTTTGTTACTGTGCTCTTCAACGACCGTTGTTGGACTAGATTGTTTTGTACCTGCTTTTCTGTGAACAAGGGCGTTAGGGATATCCGTGGTGGGTTCGTTTTCTGTTGTGTCTTCTGTCACATGTTCAAGTGTTTGATTATCTGCAGTTGTAGTCTCTTGAGAGGCCTCTTGAGAAGTATGAGAGTTCTCTCCTGTTTGTCCAAATTCATTGACTCTCTTTGGATCAACTGGATAAATCCATCTTTGATACAAATATATAAAGAAAATTACATCATCACGGAAACAAGCAATTCTGTGCAGTGTTGGCATTTTGATAACAAATGCAAAGAGGTCATCAATAAAAGTATTCAATGCCTTATATGTGAAAGCTCTCCAAGGCATTGCAGCAACTGATTTAAGCTTGTAGTTGACGTAAACCTGAGGTATTGAATTCAAGAATCCAAACATGTATATGAATCCAACTATGGTAGAGAGAATAAAACTGTACCATGACTTAAATTCATGGTTAAACAAGGCATAAACAGCATATCCCAAAATCAATGGATAAAACACGTAGGAAAGATATCTGAGAGCCTCATCATCATGTTCTTTCGTTTTGCTGTTTACATAGCTTGATTTATGAGAAAAATCAAGGAAATAGGGGAATGTTGATGATCTCTTGAACTTGATGTCTACTACTTTAGTAACCTTCCAATATTCAATAAGCAATCCAATACCGTTACTTATGAGTACCATCCATGATGTGTCATTGTCAAATAAATAGAGGAAAATTACGGTTTGAAAGAAACAATTCACAAATATTGATCTAATCGATAGCCCTTCCATGCTTTTTTGGTTTTTGTAAAATTGAATGTCGTTTTTGAATGCTAAAAAGTCAAAAATGCTATGTAAAATAGAAACAATTATTGTCACAGCAAGTAAGTATGGATTAGTTTCAAAAAGCATTCTCTTAATCTCATCTTGTTCTTCCTCTTCAGAACCTAGTTGTTTTTGCATCTTCAAAGACTCTTCCATTTGAAGGAAAAATTGCCATTTATAAGCTGATGTAACTGACAATTCAATAGTCAAAGGAATAGAAGCAAGTGAGCCATTCAATGGCACATAATGTTCTCTAATGGTCCAAAACTCATTAAAGTAAAGCACTGGATAATAGAATTTGGTCTTTCCATGAACAGGTAACAATTGCAGAGAATTGACAAAATGAGCAGGCAATGAACCAAGTGGCATTGCATCATGTAAATCAACCAAAGTTAAATATTTGGTTGGTACATAGTGGGAGACAAACCTATCACCTTCTTCTTCAATGGTGTGATTAGACTGTAGTGACATATTTTTCGCCTCCGAGTCAAACAACAAATTTCTCTTTTTGCTCTTTTTCACTTGTAAATACTTATTTAGAGGATGCACAAAATGTAACACACGTTCCTTCTTTTGATTCTTTTCCTCTTGTAAAAATCCATGAACATAAACAGTTTCATTGTGGATCAAACTATCATAGAATGGAGTTAGGGTTGTTGACTGATTATTAAATTCTAAATGTAAAGTTCTCTTGTTACTTTCATCATCATTATAAAAAATTCGTTGTTGCCAAATCTTTTCAACTTTGAATGTAGGTTCTGAAAGTTCATGATCGAATACTTTTCGCATGAGCTTTCGATCTCGTTCAGATGAAACATATAAACTCAAAATCATGGCACATGATTTAGGAAAGGCAGCATATGCCACAACATTACCCATCGGAGGTGATGGGATGCTTTCTTTTAACGAGGTTGTTTCTGTTTGTTGTTTACTTCCAAAGAGTCCCGCTGCTCTCAGAAGAGTGAATATAACAAATACTCGAAGCAATGTGGTTAGAATTGATGAAAAGCTAAAGCCTGATCCATTATTTTCGTTGCTCGTTGGTTGTGGTTGATTGTTGGGTGTCGCTTCAGGCATTTTTTTTCGAATTTTTTTTCTAAATTTTTGAATGTGATCCCTTCCGCCTCGAGGTAGGAACTTTTTATTTATTGAGCATGAGCATACAAGAACAAAAGAGAGCTTACCATACTGTCGAATTCAGCACTTGGTTTTGCGATTGGATGATCGTTCTCTGGGTAGACGAGCATTTTGACATCTTTGGACTTTCCTAAGAATTTTAAGGCGTGATAAAATTCTCGTGGTTGTTCTTTGGGGACTCGACGATCAACCTCTCCAACCAACAACATCACCGCAGCAGTCACCTTATTAACATGACGAATTGGTGATCGTTCATACATTTTTTTTACCATATCTTTGGTAGCAAAAGCTTCATCGTAATACTCATTTCCTAAGCTTTCACAATAACACCAATCTGGAATGTCACTCTCTCCATAAATTGTGCTGAGATTAATGACAGGATTTTTCATGATTGAGCATTTAAATAAATCAGGATATTGTCCAATTAGATGTGCAGCTAAAAATCCACCGTGGCTTCCTCCTAAAGCAGAAATGCTCTCAGAATCGACCTCTAAAACATTATGGTTCATTACGTATTGAATTGCAGTGTGACAATCCTTAACGTCCAAGTCTCCAACAGCACCGGGTAAACATCCTTAATGAGTGGTGGTGTTATTATTGCTAAAATAAAATCTCAAATCACATACCTGCAAATTCTTGTCCAAAGCCGACGCTACCTCTGTAATTAATAAATAACACAGCATATCCACAAAGAGCGTAGAAAATGCTTTGTGAAGAGAATGATGTGATAAAGGCAGAATGAGGGCCACCATGAGGGAATGCAATAAGACTATGTTTTTTCTCGTCTTGTGATTGGGTTGTTCCCAAGAATCCTTTAGGAGTTTTGGGAACATATAAAATTGCATCAATAAATATATTTGAGTTCTCCTTCTGTTCAACAGGAATATGTAAGACCTTCCATGTCACCTCCTTGATTTTGTCTCTCAGACTTGCATTTTCAACAAGAGAGTCTTCCAGAGTTTGAAGACCATCTTCCAATAGTTTCAAGTTTGAAAGATCACCATTTTCATAATTAATATCTGCTACATAGAGTTCAAAAGGAGATGCTGGAGTGGTTTGGTAGAAGAGAACCTTTTGTTTGTTGGCATCCTGATTCAAGAACACAATCGAATCGTAAGAGCCAGCATTTCCTAACACTCTTTTTACGTTATTGGATGTTTTGCTGATGTCAATCACTAGCATTGATGTGACACTTCTCCATATTGAATTAACAACAATATATCTTGAATCAGCACTCCAACAGTTGAGAGACAATTCCGCGGTGTACAGACCTGGAAAAGCTTGCATTAATTCCGCTTCGTTGGAAACTGATACTTTCTGCACGATATCTACAATCACTTGATAATCCGATTTGCTTTCGTTCCAATTCAAAACAACAAGTTTCGAAGTTGAATTGTGATAGTTCACATCATTGTCAAATGCCAAAAACGCAAGTTTAGTGCCACAAGGAGAAAAGACAGGTCTTCTAATTCCTCTAAATTGTTTGGCTATTTGCTCCACCTTTTGTCGGTCACAATAAAACAATTTGGCATCTCTTTGCATGCAGTATTTGAGACCTAACTTTCGAACTGGCTTTTCATATCCAACATAGACAAATTGATTGGAATTTTGTAAATAAATTGGAGATCCAGCACTGACATTGTTTGGAATCACATCCACATGAGTGACTTGTTTGGCTTTGATATCCAATTCATAAATGTGAGGATTCTTTAACAAAATTTGTTCTCCCCAATCTTCCTTCCTCTCATAATCATACTTGAACTCAAAATTTGACTGTGCAGTAGAAGATCCATTGTCTGATTCTGGTGTTGATGGCTTTCGCTTCTCCCAATATGCTTTCACGTTTTCTTGCTTCAACTCTGCAACATAGAGAATTTTGTTTTCATCACTGGACCAAGAAACTCTCGCAAAGGTCTCATCGGTAAAGAGCTTACCATGAATGTCCTTGACCAAAACTCTTGTCTGCAATAATTGATTGGCATAGATTTCAATTTGATAATCGAGTGCTCCGGTCTGAGCATTTGGCTTTCCATCCTGAGAAATACATTTAAAGAGAGCCTTACGTTGACCACTTGGAGAGATGGAAGAAGCATGAACATCAGCCGGCACAATGGATGGAAATACCGATGAAACAACGACCGTCGTTTGATCCTTCTTTGCTTCGGAATTCAAAACAAGGTGATATTGTTTGAGAATATTGATCGTCTTGTCATTTTGATAATCGGAATAGGAGCAAGTTAATTCAATTGAGGAGGAAGAGTTTTGAGATGATGATGATGAAATAAAACTGCCCGAAGAAATAGTAGGAATCGATTTGACGTGCTCATAGAGTTGAGTCACAAGATCTCTCTGTTGAGGATTCAAGTCCATTTTTTTGATCACTAAATATATACAATATTATATATTATATATTTTCAAAAGATTTGATCACTAAATATATAATATTATAAATTCTAAAGATTTGCCAATGTTCTTGTAATGCGCTAGCATGAAAATAGCCAATAATAATGGCTCTCTACGACTCGAGATCTGTCAAGAACTTGGAAAAATGCATTAACATGAACCCACCTGAATCTTCCTCCTCTTGTTCGACTGAAAATCAAATTGACAACATCGGTTTTCAAAATTATTCCTCTCCACAACAACAACCATTGAATGTCAATAACAACAACACGAGTGCACTCGTATTCAAAGCAATGAATAGAACGGAATCGACTCAATGTAGCACCACTCATTCATCACAACCTTCTCTCATGAGTCAAGGTACCACCACCACAACCACCTCCATATTGAAATCTTCTCCTCCTCATTCCACATCACATCCGCCACCTGTCATGTCATCATCACAACAACAACTCTCATCACCACCATTCCTACACAGGAGAACACAATCAGAATTTATCAGTGGTAGTGGTGTTCATCATCATCATCCTAACGACCATGACATTCAAGAAGGAAATTTAATTGCAACAACAACAACAACGAATGAAACAACAATCAAAACAACCACACAAGGCCTCATTTCAGAAAAGAATGATAAAGCTTCAAATTTCAAAAAGAACCATGTTAAAGTCCATGATGATCCAAGTGTCACTATGACCACCACCACAGCAACAACAGAACCAACATTCAACCAAATATTCAACCCAATACTACAGGTTGATCCCATACAGCCACAAACCAATTTGTCGACAACTCAAATTTCCAAATTTCCAACAGAACCACAAGGAGTGGACATTCCGAACAACATGAATTCCACCAACAACACCACCAACAACAACAACAACACTTCTTCAAATTATCATATAAGGACCACACCTCCTCCACCACCGAAAAGTAAATATCGAAAAAAACATTTTTCATTATTCGAAATGAATTCACCTTCCATGATGATACAACAACATGTCCATCTCACTCCATCTTCTTTGATTTTCTACACACCTACCACTCGAAAGAGATTAGGTCATGTTGAAGAATTTAGTAAGAATGATCATGATAATGTCAAAGCTGCTCTTTCACGTGAGGATTCAATGACAACCTTCAAAGAAAACACTTTTAAGGATGATGGAATAACGAGTAGTAGTAATAGTAGTAGAAGTATCACTAGCAGTCATTTCATCATGGATCCAATCAATTCCAATTGGCAACACACATCATCCACCTTAGAAAAGAGTCCTTTCACTCCACCTTTGAATGGAATCAAACATCGAACAACAACTCAACCACAAGTCACTCATTCTTCTCATCATGATGTGTATCATCATTACACTCTTGAAGAATTTCCTCTTCCTGATTTTTCGAATGTGAAAAAACATAATCACATTACCTTTGATCAGTTCAATTCTTCCATTCATTCATCTTCAACAACACAAGTCCTACCAAATGCAACGATGGCCAACCATGAGCTGTCATCCTTGTCACAACAATCAAGTCCACTTCCCTCAGTTTCTGATTTATTGGCCTCTCAAGAATCTTCAAAGGAAAAAGAAAATACAGTGGTCATTGGTCCTTACACTGTATTTATTGATTCTGAATATTCTCTAAGTGCTTCCTCTGTATTGGATGGAATTTTTTCAATTCATGACGATACTGGACTCGATTCGAGAGTTCCAAAAGGAGCTCTCTCTTCAGAAAAATACTTTTATGAAGGTTTTAATACGACAACAAATGAGAAAGTTAATGTTATTAGCAAATTGGTAGATTCTAACTATGTGGAGGCTTATCGAGAAAAATCAAAAAAATTATTATTACTTGACAATCATGTGACAGGAATTATTCAATTATTGGATGTTGCTGAAATTCAGTTGAAAAATTCGATTCATGAAGAAGAGAGTGAAATTAATCAATCTTCTTCTTCTTCGGCAGGATCGATATTTTACATTTTTGTAGAACCTTGTCTGCTCATGCACAAAATTATTCAAAAAACCAAAATTGAAGAAAAGAAATTTTCGTATCCAATTTTACTCGAATGGTTGAGTCAGCTTGCGGATGGATTGGCAAATATTCATGAACATTTATCAACAGTTCACGGAAATATCAATGTCAACTCAATTTTCTACTCCAAAAACGAAGAATGCATGAAAATTGGAAACATGTTACTTCTCACACCTGAAATTTCTAAAAGACGACTCAGTGAACCAAAATCTCCATTTCCTGAATCACTGAATGATTTTAATTTTAGCACTTATCGATCGAATACTTCATTCACACCATTAGATTTAGGAAAAGAAAAACCAAGATATGACATGAAAACAGAGGTGTGGTTGTTTGGAATTCTCACAATTACAATCATTACCATGAAAAATATGAATGTGATCATGAATAGCTTTATCGATAACGATCAATCCTTTGTTTCCTCACTTTTCCAAATCATTAGCAAGCAATACAATGACAGATTTTGTGCATTGATATGGAGAGCATGTCATTCAGATCCCTCCTATCGACCAACAATGCGCGAATTGTGTTACCAACTTGGTTTACTTAAAAAGTATAGAAGTATTTCAGGTTCAACAAGCTCCACACGAAATTCCATTATTGAAAGTGATGTGAATCAATATCAAAAACATCTCGATGATATTCGTGTGAATATGGAACTAGGTTCAATCCTCGGTGATTTATACGGAGTAGAAGAAGGACAAGTTAGTGAGCAAAAACTTCATTCTAGAAATAGTAATAGTTATGACATTTTACCACTTTGTACTTCTGATGGACCAGCTGTATTATCTTCTCTCATTTCGATTGGAAGAACCATTATGAGATTTGTGAACAAACATTACAAAATCAAAGACAAGAAAAAGAAAAAAAACAAACTCATGGTTATGAAAAACAAAATCAAAAAGTTGACAAAACAAGAGAAAATAGATGCTGATTCTCGAAGATTAAGTAAGAAAACTCTTGAAGAAGAATTACAACTTGGAAATCACACACGAGTATTTGAACATCAGGAAGAAGTGGATCTCAAAATCATGCAAACGAAAATTGAAAGTCAATATCGAATCATTTCAATTATTGGAAGTGGCAGTCAAGGAACTGTCATTAAAGCTTTTGATATCAAGAATAATAGACATGTGGCAATCAAACGAATTCGAATGAAAGACAATAATGACACATTATTAGCAGCTAAAGAAATATCTTCCATGTTCTCTCTTTCAGAATGTGAAAATATTTGTAAAATTTATCATTGGTTTATCTATTGTGAAAATAGAGAAGATAAAAAGAATATGGATCAACAAGCGAGTCCAAATCTCTATGAAAGTGAAGAAGAAGATACAGAAGCTGAGGATGATGAAGATGACGATGATGAATATGATTTTAAAGATTATGCCAATGAAACTTGGTACATCTCCATTGTGATTGAATATTGTTCAGAAGGTGATTTAAGAAAAGCATTACGATATTGTCGAGATACAAATACCTATTTCAAAAACTCAGTGGTGAAAAATTGGCTCACTCAACTCGTCACTGCTGTGGATTATATTCATCGAAAAAACCTCATGCATCGAGATATTTCATTGAAGAATATCTTTCTTCATTCGATCGTTGATCAAAACATGTTACAAGAATCTTCCTATTTTGATCATTGTATTGTGAAATTGGGAGATATGGGTCTATCCATCAAATTGGAAGAATTGAATGGAAAAAACGCTCAATGGGGCACAAGAAGAACGATGGCTCCTGAACAGAGACTTGGCAAACGATACGATTGTTCAGTAGATATTTGGAGTATGGGATGTATTGCTTTAGAAATGATTTCACAATATAATTTATCTTCAAAAAAAGGTGGTGATCGATCATTGGATGATTTGAGACATGTGGATTATTATTCTGAAATTAAGAATAATCCAAATTATTTGAATGAAGTGTTAAAACCATTGGAACATTACTATGATGATCATATTATTCAATTTATTAAGAGTTGCATTGTAATTGAACCATGGAAGAGAGCAACCACACAACAATTATTTAATTTACTTCATCAAGATATTCGATCGGTGGAAAATGTGGAAATGCATTTCGATGAAAGTTTGGAAGAATTTAGACCTTCTCCTTTTCCATCCATCAAACATGAAAGTGTGACCATGATGAATCATCCTCATCATTATCAACAACAACATGACGATGATCATCGTCATTCCAACAACAACTCGAACAATTTGAACTCGAATTTGGGTCTTTTAAATCATTCCTCCAAGCTCTCTACCATGGTGAGTCATGCCAGTCTCTCCAATTTTGCACTTCTCAAAACAGAAATGAAAGGTGATCCAATTGAAGAAAACACTTCACAACGAAGATTATCAGGAAATCCTGTATTTATTGAACTTGAAAATTCAAATCGAAAATATGTCAAACCAGAACCAAAGGGACAAAACAGTGGAAGATCATGTGCTTCTTTGAGTGTGTTGGACAGTAAGGACGTTCTCACAAGTTATAGTTTGAGTATGTTTTTCAAAGAGATTGAATTTGAAGAAAAGCATGAAAAAGAAACAAGAACGAATGAATCATTGAGCAATGGTGATCACCATTCGTCACTCATCACGATGAATAACATTTGTGATACATCGTCACTGCCTGAGGAATTTTCAAGTCAAGTGAAGAAGGGACACGAAAACAATCTTCACAAATTATTGCAAAAACCAATTATGGAATGGACGACTTCAGATGTTGGAATTTGGCTAATTTCCATCGATTTTAGCAAGTTTGTGGAGAATTTTCAATCACAAAATATTACAGGTAAAGCACTGTTACTCATTAGAGAAGAAGACTTGAAAGATGTGGGTTGTGTAAAGGTTGGTGATAAATTGTTATTGTGGAATATGATACAAAATTTGAAACAATTGAATGAAAAGAGATCCAAGAAGAAATAGTCACAGAAAGGGAATGGCTGTGAATAAAAAAAGGAGAAGCTATGAATAATTTCCTGAGATGAAGTTCATGTCTCTCTATCTCTTGATAATAAATACAATGCAATCAATGACGAAACGATCCTCTCACACTCAATTCATTCAAACACAAAAGTTGTTAAGCATTAAACTTGATGGCAGTCGTCTCGAAAATATACTCCAAAAATGCAATAGCATTCTCTTTGGTTGGAAATCTTTCATCCTTCACATTTTCTGCCCATTCCTCCAATTTACCAAAACTCATCACGACCTGATTCAATTTCACTGGAGTGTATGACTTTTGAGAAATTAAATCAAGATTGGAAACTGGACTTCTGTTATATTCTTCAACAGTTTTCACAATCTGTTCATATTCAAATGCAATGTTCCAAGAAAAACTAAACTTTTCTTGTCGATCTACCAAATATCTCTCTGTTCTGACATGTTTCACAGTAATTGTTCTCTTTTTTCCATACATGTCATGATCGACAATATCCCAACACACTGTCCAATCCTTATCTTGGAAATTCAATTTGTGAACAGTACCAAGAATTAATTTATAGTAAGTCACAGGTTGTGAAATTGCATTCTGATTGTAACATCTCAACAATTGAAAGACAGGATTCCCAACCATGAACAGAGCTTTCAAAAAAGAAGTCAATGACACGTGATCTTCCATCACAATATTCTCCTTCTTGATTTTTGCATTCAGTTGAGCATATAAATTTTGATAATACGAATGAACATTGACACCATAAATATTCTTTTCATCTTCGATGGGCATTCCTCGATTCAAAATCAAATCAATCAAAGAGACAATAAAGTGAGACACATTTTGCATCCGTTGACCATTGACATTGGTCTTTCCGACAAGTCTTGGAGTGTCCTTTCCAATGACATCATAATTGAAACTAACGTCACTATCATCTTCTTCACTACTACTTGTCGTTGTTGATCGAGTGTCCATTGCCACTTGCATGGAAAGAACATTTCTTTCCAACTCTTTTTTAACTTCATCAATGGTCGTACACATCATGGTTTGTTCAACAGATCCAACAAGATCACTGGCATCAGCATCGGAGCGAGAAGCAAATAATTTCTTCATTTGTTTTGATTGTTTTGGTTGGTGATGAGGTTGTGTGTTTGCAAACGTTGATATTTTGATAGGTGTTTGTTGAGGAGTTGTTTCAATGGCCGATGTTTGATCGATGAATTTTTTTGAGAGAAACTTGTGTGTGAAATGGATGATGTGTCTCGAATGTCAATCACCACAATATTCCTTTGAGGATCATGTTTATGATGGAAACTCCAATTTGGTGAAGAGAGTTGTGTGTGAAAACACTAATAAGACGCATAATTCCATAGACCCTTTATTCATTCTTTTGGTTTTTTCAAAATGAATATTCAACATTTATCGATATTCTGTCACAGTGGAGGATTCTCTTGCAAATGATGATTCGTTTCTTCTTGATTCATGAAAAGATGACATTTTAAATTCTTCTTCATTCAAAGGATATGAATCTTCTTCAAATTGTTTCATGTTGTGAGTCATCTTTACCTTATTTTGTTGTTTTCGTTGTTCCACAAGAATTCGATATTGCTCATGAATATTCTCTTCTTGAACCAATTCTTCAACAAGTCTCACTAAAAAGTTAAATCTTCTTTTCGCTCCATATCTTTGTTCTCTTTTACTTTCTTTTGTGGAATACTCACTTTGATGACTCATCGTATCATCCTCATGAATACTGTCCTCATCATTGAAAGAATGTGAAGAAGGAGTTGTTGTCATTAGGGTAGTTGAATTTGAGAATGAAGAATCAAAATCTCGTTCTCTCTCTTGATGGTCAAAATCTAAGGACAAATTGGATGAACTTTTTTCTGAAGGGGAGGAAGAAGAGGATGGTGTTTGTGAGGTGGTTCTTGTCTCTTGGTGGTGGTGTTGATGATGATGGTTGTAATGTTGTTGTGGAGAAGTGGAATGACCTTCTTTTTTCTTTTTTGTGGAAACGACAAGAGACGATGCATCTTGGTTCATTTCACTTTCTTTCTTGTCACTTTGCTTTCTCTTCTTTCGTTTCGTGGAAGAGGAACTGCTCATAGGAACGTCACCACCATCGTTATTGGAGGAGTTGGTAGGTGAGTCACCACTTGGAATATACTTGTTCTTGAATTTCATGACTTTTTGACAACAATATTTAGAAAAATATGAATCATGCAATCATTCAATGAGGTGAATAATGAGGTCTTCTGAAACACAATCATGAAACTTACTATATCGATAATGAGAATCACACAATCGACCTCCACAAACATTCTTAAATCCAAATAACTTTTCAACCAAAATGGATCGATCAGAGTTCTCAGCAATGACAGCCCCTCTTTCTCTAAAAATCTAAAACATGTTTTGTATCCACATGCAATCAAATGTTGATTCATCGTATTGATGATGATGGTATTAATGGTAGTAGTAGTAGTGATAATGATGTTGTTGTTCAAACACATGGATGTGAAATTCACACAATAATGGTTGTGTTAAAAACATTTAAGATGAAAAAACATACCTTAAAATTAGCTTTTGGTTGAAACACCAATTCACCCTTTTGCAAACAACACACAATGCAAAATATATCTCCTTGTGCGTTCTTGTAGGGAAAAGGTTTTCGAATGGTAAATCCATTCAATCCAACGACAAGATTTGGATCATTGTTCTCTGTGGATGACATATTCGATGAATGGTTGTGGAATGAGGAAGAAGGAGTTGTGTTCAAAGTCTCTTGTTGTTGTGGATTCATTCTCAAAATTGTTGAATCTTCTTGAAGGAGCGGTCATGAGAAAAGGGTGTGAACATTTGACAGTCGTGACAATAACCAGACAAACACAGCATCATCATTGGTCACACAAATGACAGCATGTGTATATATATGTGAATGGTTGACACACAAATGATTAGAGTAGGTGTGTGTGAATTGAATGGAAGAAATATTCACAACATGGCAAATGTTGTTGATGATGATAATGTCACACACAACAAAGTCGAGAACCAAAATATGAAATTGAGACACATTGTTGTTGGTCATGAGTGTGTGTGTGAGTGTTAAAGAATGTTTTGTATTGAGAAGGTGTGAACAAGTCATTGTCGCGCCAGAATGGTTCATCGTCAACAACATGGTCACGCACACACGTTCATGTTGCATACATTTACACACCATGTTGTTGTATAAAATCATTGTCATCATCATGATGGAGTGTGCGAATCATCGTATTATCATCATATCGTCACGTTGTGAGTGTGTGTGTGTGAATAAATTCATCGTCATCACCAAGTTGGAGGATTAGAAATGTTATAATGTCACATGTGACCAATGATTGAATAGTCAATTAATAATGATTGAATCATGGGTTTTATGAATTGAATGTTCGTCACACACATTTGTTATTACTTCAACTTGTACTTACATTCGTCACAGGCTGGAATGCAAAAATGCTGACGGAATTGGCAGCTGACGTGTGCAGAAATTTTTTTAGTCACAGTGTGTTCGGTATTCTTGACCAAGTTGAAGTGGAAACTTTGACCAATAAAAATCCACCAAATTGAAACTCACTAAATTGATGGTTCTCACAGTAAATGGTTGCTTCTAAAGTTTCAAATTGCATTCAACAAATGGACAACAATTGAAGAACGTTCGATCATCATCACTGTTTCGTATGTGAGGCCTAGAAAGTCGAATCTCTAGCTGAGTGGATGCAACGACTCTCTTTGTTCAAAGTCCTACTGCTCTAAATTGACTGAATGGATCCGAATTTGGAAACTTTTTAGCTCTAAAAAATTTGAATCTGTCACCATTCAGATCGTGATACACTCTCTTTGGGGTACAACTATTGTGAAAAAGCCTTCTACTATGAATCATTGAAAGTAACTTGATTCCAACATTACTTTACTGAATAGAAAATGCTTTCGATTGAAATGTAATAACAATATCGCGCAAGTACAGTTGAATAGCATTTTAGGTGTTTGGATTTACTACCCATAGCCAAAAGTTGTTCTTCGAACACATCGTTATATACATTTTGTTGATGCCTTCCCTTAGTGGAGGAGCTTGCCACTCATAATCAACTCAACCGAATTGCGAGAATTGATGAGTATACTCCGCATTCATCGATAATTGTGATTTTCTCAAGAAGAAACTTTTTGAATATTAAATTATCATCCACAGCAGTATTCAATAACAACAAAGTTTTGTTGTTTGTCAATTAAAATTCATAAATATCGAACAGTTATGCATAATTTATATTATGATGCAAATCAATGAATCCAATATCAATGTTTAGTACATTAAGGCTTTTCCCATTGTGTCTTGTTTGTTTGCTCATTGTGATAATAATATTTTCCAGATGATTTGTCAAAATATTGCTTCCATCCAATTGGCAATTCATAAGTTGGTGATCTGTCTTGATTTCTAGATTGAGTCGCCTCTGATTTTGCTTGATAGTAATCATTGTATGCTGGTCTTGAATCATTGTAATTGTTGTCATGTCTTGATGTTGGATTATTGTTACTTGAAGAATATCCGGATGATTCGTAATTTCTGTAATAACCTTCACTTCCGCTGTTATTATATGAAGGACGATCATTGTGATATTGATTCTTTTGATATCCTGAATTATGAGGACGATTATAATTATATCCTTGCTGATTGTTGTTATAAACTTTTTGATAGCCTCTTCCTTGATTATACTGGTGTGAAGGCTTTCTATAATCTCCTCTTGGTTGTGAAGAGCTTTCAGACTTTTGTAAGAACGCAGCTACACCTCTAGCTTCTGAAGGTTTTTCTTGAGAGGCTGGAATCTGATCATGGTCTTCTCTTCTTCTCTTGTTATCGTATGATTGATATGAACTTTGATTGTTATTGTATGAACCATTTGGCCGATCATTGTTGTAATATTCTCTATTGTTGCTACCACCAGAGTAAGATTGATAGGATCGTTTCTTGTAATCTCCGCCATCATTAGAGTGTTGGTAATTATTATGTTGATGATAATTGTTATAACGAGCACCACTATTGTTATAATTGTTATATCTATTGTACCCTCCTCTATTGCTGTAGTTTCCTCTACTGTAGCCTCTAGTGTTGTGATGTCTGTATCCTCTATTATTGTTGTGATGATAAGAGCCTCTTCCTCTGCCTCTATATCCTCCTTGATAGGAGGAGGTTTCAGTATTTGACTTGTTAATTGAGCCTGATCCACTACCAACAGAATTACTAGGTTTTACATTTGAATTATCTTTTTGTTCACCACTAGTTTTATCACCCATTGTATTTCTTTCTTCATCTCCGACACCTCTATCATTATTATCATCATATGGTCCCTCAGGATTCTCTTCCATGTGTTGATGGTCCTCCATTCCATAGCCTCCTTCGTCGAGGTTCTCATTGTATGCACCATCATCATGATATTTTCTATCATCATCTTGATTATCATCTTCGTAAACTGGTGGAGGAGGAGGATTAGGTTTTTCAGAAGCATGGTCATTCTCTAGTACCACCGCCAATGACGATGGCTCTTTTTGATGGTATTCACTTGTACTGCCGCTTGCGTAGGACAATGTTTCAGGGCGTGGTTGTAGTTCTGGCATTTTTTTGGGTTGTTGTTGTTTTTTCAATTCTTTACAATAACAACATCCAATACGGGCCAACCATGGATGATCATGGTGTTGAATGAAGGATCTAAGAATGGGTAACAACTTGGATTGTGAACCTCCAATACCGTTGATTTTCTTTGAATTTTCAAGAGAGGAGACTCAAAAAAATGGCTCTCTTGTCAACCACCACGTGTTGTTGTGGTCAAAAGGAACAACACTCCTTTCGAATCCAATTATCATTTCCATGGAATGGTCGTCGTCATTCTCATAATACTCATTCTCAATCATCATTATTCGTATCGGTCACTTTCATCATGTTGATCCTTCTCATCTTTTTATTCACTCAAACTACTTCACTTTATTCACAACAACTCGAAGGGAATGATCATAATTTTTACATTTCAGAATGTTATGGAGAATGTGTTTCTCTTTCTCGTTTCACTAATCACTCATCATCTACAACAACAACAAATACTTCTTCTTTACAAGAAAAATCTTTAATATTTTTCAATGAAAGCACAACTTTTTGTGCAGAGACATTATTGGAATACATGTCCATGAATGCTTCTATTCGTATTTGCATTTCATCCAACATTACTGCGGTCAGTGGACCACAACAAGTTGAATTCAACAATTTTGGAAATTTAAACACTTTTCAATACAATAATTTCACACTCGAAGAAAAGTTCTTCATTCACGATCAACAAGCACGTCTTTCATTTTACAACACTCAATATCAACAAGGTTTATTTCAACGAGACCAATGTTACAATGCTGCTCGAAGATATATTTGTCAACATTATTTTCCTCTTTGTGATGCCACAAGTGATGAAAGTAACAAAATTTATAATCTTTGCATGTCCTCTTGTGAAAATTATTACAAGAGTTGCAATTCGAAAGAACTCATCGAATTTAGATGTTTGGCCAGTAATAATGAAATTAATCGACCCTATCGTGGCGTGTGGAAGAATTTTGGAGATGATTTGAAATGGTTGTGTACTGGAGGAGGAGGAGGTACCAGACATCTAAATGATTCATTCCTAGTATGGATTGGAATCATGTCTCTCACTGTGTTCTTGTTCCTTATCAGTGGAGTGTAGATGGATTCATGGTCATCTATTGCTGCCATTACAGAAACCGGTAATAAATGGTTTATCCATTTTTGGACAAACCATGGTTTCTACCAACAAGATCTCTGCGTCATCAACAACACACATGTGCATGCAGTGGAAGTCACTTGTATTAAACGTTACATGGAAGTAATAAGGATTCATATTTTTAGAAAAAACCAAATTCTTCAAGAAGAGTGGAATTAAGAATGTTCGGATCATCAGAGTAGGCTTTTGAGTGAGCAACAGGTTTTCTCACTGGCACTTCAGTGAGCTGAGTTTTCAATTCGATAATGGACTAGAATCAAAAGTTCTTTTCACCAGAAACTCCCTTTAGGTTATCCAAAAAATTGCACAAGCACACACCTATTGATCATTTATTGTACGTTTATTTGCTGCCACAACTATCGCTATTATTAGGAGAATTCGTGACATTGTGGTGGTTCGACATTCTCTTTTCAACACTAAAACAATAAATCCCTAAATGTTCAGTGAGAGACATGATGATGTTACAAGCCATGTGAAGGTACGCTAAAGTAATGATCACAGCAAGAGCAATTAACACTACAGATTCATCCACAAGAGTCTCTTTGCCATTAAATCCTGCCAGCAACGAGTTTCCAAAAGCGAACACGAGCATGAAGAGAATATTCATGAATAATGGAATTCCCAAATCACAAACTCGAGCAAGTATGAATCTTGTCACAATGTAAGCATGATACATGCCATAAATATACAAAATTAATAAGAGATGAGAATGAAGTAAACTCTTCTTCGATGAATAAATTGTTGAAAATAACATCCACGCAATAAATAAAATTGAGAAAAATCCATACGAAAATAATGATTTCCAAACTGGGGTCTTGATATCTTTTCTAACTTCATTATCTGCTTTTTCAACATCTTTTGATTCATTCAATGTCTTGATGGTAGAATGTATAATACCAAAAATACTTGGAACTGTGGAAATGACAATTCCCATAATTACTAGATACTTCAATTTGAGCCATTGAGAATGTGACACTGCAAAGAGAGTTGGAGAAGAAGTGACATCGATGGACACTCTAAAAACATCTTTCAAAATAATGCTGAACAAATTCTCATTAAATAGTCTCGGACCAAATATAAAGGCCATCACATTCACAAACATGACCACAAATTGGCCTTCCGTTGGACCACTAAAATTCTGAAAACTCAAAACAGAGGTAAAGAATTGCTGCCAAATCGAAATGAAAAACATCCAAGTGACACATACAAGTGTCACAAACGAAATCCATGGCTCTTCGTTAGCAGTTAATAATTGTAATGGCGCCAAAGCTAATACTGTTTGCATTAATGAATTAATACTGTCACACCCATGATCAAAGAGCTCTCCTAAGGGAGAAGAAGTTCCAGTTTTTCGTGCTTGCTTTCCATCAATGGCGTCCATTGTTTGATACCAAAACAAAGTCAATACATTAATTAAATAAATGTATGAAGGTAGTCCCGTTCCTTCTTGTTCATTCGATATCTCTCCACTTTTTTTGAGATTCCAATTTTGATGGACAGCCGTCACAGTCATGACATAGGACACTACAACGGCTATAAACCCAACCAATGTAATTGTATTAGGGGCCACATAATTTGGTATTAAACTTGAAACATAATTCCAATAGGGATTTAGCAATTTGGAAATTATTGAATAATCTTGTTGAGTGGAAGGTTTGTATTTTTGAAGATTGTTTTTTGCTTGTTCAGAAATGTAGGGCGATACAAGATGCTCCTTTATCATTGAAATGAGTAGAGATGATGATGGCTTCATGATGATGAAAGGTTGGTTCAAGAGTTATAATACAATTATTCGAGTGTCGAAGGGTGTTGTGGATTGGAGATGAGGTCTGTGACTGTGTCAGTTGACGGTCAGACCCGAGGAGAACTCCGGAGTGAATCAATACGAGATGATGCAGAAGTGAGGTGTTTGGCTATTTTTATCGAGTCGAGAGATTTAGACCTGGGACTCAACAGTCATCCACAACAACAACGCTTTCTTGCTTTTCATCTTGTCGTTACTCGATGAAACCCTCCTACCTAAAATAAAATTTTTCTAAATTAGTGTTTCAAGTGTTGGTTTTCATGAAAAGTCATGCAGGAACGAAATGAACACAGGTCCTCAACATTTGTAGAATCAGACCATCAATCTCATTGACCTCTGAATTTACTTTACAATCTTTTGTGTAAAGCATGAATGAGTTCCATTTTAAAAAATTATAATATATTGCAAGAAATTTCCCTTCCTAATCAATCGAAAATAGATGCATTCTTTTGTTAAATAGATAAACATCATGGTCACTCCATCGATGGTTGGGTGTAAATGGTCTGTTGAATTTGAAGAGAAATGCTTTGTTGAGACCACCAATCAAAAAAATGCAATCATCACTCGTCTGCTACCAAAAACCATTTGATGACGAGTCATCTTCAAATTGGAAGACTCCTGCTGCGGAGCTTCCTCAAGATGTTTTGTTTGAAATCTTTTCTTTTCAGTTTCCAAATTTTCTATTTGAGTGTCTGATTTTTGTTTGCAGATATTGGAACCAGTTAATAGCGTCGGAAGATTTTTGTAATTATTATGTTCAAGAAACTAAAAATGTAGTGAAATCTCTGTTGTATCCAACTCTCGATAGATCCAATGATTTGACAAAACAGATGGCTTTGCAATTATGTTTTGATTGGGTCGAATTTATTCCGTTTCCTGATCAAATGTTTTCGAACTACAAAAACATTTTTTTGAAATTGAAACACGAACTTCGCCTTAAAGAAATCAACAAAGAACAAATTCAACAGATTAAGGATGCAATTCAAAGAGCCAACGTTACCTCGAAATATGACATTTTGAATTGTTTGGAAAAATATGGATGTAGAGAATTTTCAATTCCCATCAATACAAAACGGGGTTCATTGTTTGGGATTTTATCACAACCATCATTGGGATATGTTTCATCTGAACACTTATTTTTGATATTTGCGTTTTTGGATGGTTTTGGCCATTTGACGAATGCAATCGAAACTGCTACTTCTTATCAAATCACATCCTGTGTCACGTTAGACATAGGTTTTGAATCTGTTCAAGAAGTGATGAATACTGAATGGTTGGAAACTCACTTTTCTGACTATTGCGAATCAATATCTACGTGTTGTTTCATGTCACTGTTGGAATATATTTCAGAAGTGAACAACCCTTTATCAACATTTATTGAAAAACCTATTGAAAAACGACGATATTTTATTTTTCAAATGTTTGGAACTACATGTGGATCTAGTTTTAGATACGAACGGCTCTTGAATAATGATTTTTTGGATATGTGGAATTTATTGGCTTTTAAGGTATTTGAAGATATGCAAGACTGTGAGAAATTCTTTAAAAAGAACGGTATAATGTTTAAATAGTGAACGTCTAAGTACTTCGATACCCATGTCTGTTTGGTGTTTTGTTGTGGTAGACCACGATTAAGGTTAACACATAATTCTTGACCTTCAACAGAATTTTTATCTGTTTGGTCTTTACCAAAGTCCATCACAACCATGTGTTCTGGATAGGCGAACCCACCGCTGAGGAAACAAGTGGTGCGAGAGGAAGTACTCATGGAAATAAGCTTAGCTCTGTCTTCGATATCCAGACATTTGTCCAAATCCATACACATAAATGCTTGTCTCCTGTCTCTCAATATCGAGTAAAACGCTCGAAATTTCATCCCGGCACCAAATAGGAACAATCAAAATTTTGAAATTTGCTTCAATAAAAGAAGAATAGCTTTACCAGGAGGAATCCCTCTGCTCCACACAAACACTTGATTAACTCCTTCTCTTTCGAAAATCAAGCTTTTCTTTCAGTCGTTGGCTCATCCAACGCTTCTTCAGTAAAAATAGAAGGAAAAAAGGAAAAGGGAACGTTCCCAACGATCTCAAGGTTATAGCGGGCAAAGTTTTCAACCGTGAGTTTGTTGTTGTTGTTAGGCGACTCATAAAAAAGGCTTGACATCCCTCTGCTCACAGTGCACTGACAGAATCTATCGCTCCGAAAAAATTTTTGGTTGAATCTCCAAACAACTCAACATCATCTTCGTTAATATTCCTACGTTGATTTTAATCCGTTCATTCGATTATTATTATCATCATCACCATAGTTTTTAATTAATAGCATCTGTGTGTGATCAAACCGAGCTGTACATTGATTTTTTGTGATTTCATCACTCTGATATCCGTTCTGCACTCTATCATCACCATTGAATCGATGACAACCCGACTACCTTCTACTTCCTCTACATTCACGACAGGAGTACTTAACCCACAAATGTATGGGTACAACAACCATAACACAACAACTCCAAGCCCCCAGTCTGTATCACAGGGATATGTGACCGACACTTCATATTACACAACGTCTGCGTCTCCTCTTTCTAGTACGCCTTCGAACTCATCGTATCACAGCTCGACAGTTCCATCACCAACAGGTACCATTGCTTCCAATGGTATGGGCTCTATTCAAAATGTGATGGACTTTTATATTCAAAACGTCAACTTTTCACTTCACACCAAAGCATCTCCTGAATGCGAAATCCAACTTTATCGATTGACCAATCCTATGGATGCACAAATAACAATACTCAACACCTATCCACAAACACATCCACCTGCCTACCTATCTACTGTTGTTTATGCATTACAAATAACTTTGGAAAAGTACATTTCGCAAACATGTCAGTGGGTGCAATGTTCTTCAAATGATCCAAATTCGACCACTCCATCAGCTTCGAACAATCTCTTCAAGGATTACGACGCCTTTGTAATTTACAATCAAACAAACCAACAATCAATATCTCAATTAATTCAAACTGATGGAAAATCATTATACATACAACTTCCTTTACAATTAGGATTTTATGGAAATCAATTCACTACAATGACTTTTCGTACCAAGCTCAATACAAGTAAGGAAAAGCAGGGCTATAAAAGAGGTGAAAGTGCTATTTTCAGAGTCGTTTTTTCACTTCTAAAACAACAACAGCAAACTCATACATTTTTTCAAAACAAATACGAAAGCATTCCATTTGGTATTATTAATCATGGTAAAAACAGCACTGCAACGGCTTTGTATAAGAATATTAAGCTCAGCTCAATTCCTGGTACTGTTGAGTATAACATGGCACTCATGCAACAGCAACAACAATATTATCAAACTCCACACCAACATTCACAAAGTCCCTATTCAACTCCAAACTGTTCTTCCTCTTCGAATGGCAGCTCTTATGTGACTCCTAATAACAATAATTACGATAGTACCATGGATTTTGGCCAAGAATATGACAATCAACAAGTTCAAGAATTGTTAGAAATTTTAATGCAAGAAGAACAAGCTCTTGCTGCCAATCAATTGAATCAAACTTCAAACGAAGACTATCCTGATCCAAATATATTCATGACTGATGACGATGATTTATTCCGAGAAATCACTGGGATCAGCTCTTACTTTACACCATCATCCAGTGGTGGAGAAGGAGATACGAGCCAAGAATTATTTGATGAAGAATCTGAATCTGAGGGTGCCTATGAAGATGAAGAAGAAATTCAATGGGAGGATCATCATCAACTGGCCTATGAAAATACCTTCGAATTGACCAAGCCTTCACCTACATCAGACCAAAAAGATGACCTTTGTCAATTCCAATCCATGTCTGTTCCATCTCAACAATCACAGTTTGCTTCTGGAGCAAGCAGTAATGTTCTTTTGAAGAACTCTGGATTGTCCAAACCATTACCTCCTCTTCCTTCTAATGCTTCGAAATCTTCGTCAAGCAGCTCTTCTTATGGTGTTCCACCACCCTCATCCATTAGCAGCAGCAGTACCATTCTTCCTCCTCCTCCATCGATGAACTCTGGTGTTTCATTGTCTGTATCCTCATACAATAACTTAACACTTCCTCCTTCAGCTATGACGAACTCTGCTAGCAATTCTGTTCTCAGTGGGGCCACAACCACTACAACCACAACAACCCTCAATCGACGCTCTTCCAACTCTCAACAACAAGCATTTAGTGGGTTTACTATGCGTACGAATGAGAACGTTGTGCCAACCAAATCTCTTGACTCTTCAAGAAATATTGTTCCACTTCAAGATACTTGGAGCTCTCCTGTTGAAAGCCGTGAATCCAAAGCATCTTCCATTTCTGATTTGGATGGCTTTGGAGGCCAACCTAGAATGACATTTGGAGCAGATTATGTGAGAAATGTTCAAGCAGAGCAAACTCAAGAGAAAGAAAAGAAGAGAGGTCTTTCTGGAATGTTCAAAAAAAAGAAAAAGAAGGAAGAAAGTGAAGAACCTGCTGAGAGATCGAAACAGGAAAAATCCAAGAACCCACTTGCAAAACCAGTACATGCCTCCTTTTTCTCCAATTTCAAACCCACGATAACCCTTAAAATCAACAACAACACAGTTGATGCAAACAACAGGCAAGTAACAAAGGCAGCCCAAGTGCAGCAAAAACTTGGTGATGAGAAGAGCACCACAAGTGAAGAAAGCTTGATCAATGCCATGTCCAATCTCAGTATTGACAAATCCAATGTAAATACCAAAACTCTCGCCATTGGCACTCAGACAGACATCTCTAGATTTGATCCAAAGAAGGTTGTTTTCAGTTTGGACAAGAAAGATGTTCCACCAAAGAAGGATACTACATCCTCAAATGTTGGAAAAGGTAAAAAACCTATCCCTGTATTTAAGCCTGGTGATATCATTCAATTTAACGTGCAAAATAACAACGAGAAAGAGTTGGTGGCACGAACAAGCATTCTAGTAGGTACTACTTTGCCAAGAAGGCCCATCGTTTTCTTCTCTGGAAACTCTCTTGGCTTTACTAGAATGAAGGAAAACAACTCCATTTCCAGTCAAGTCCTTCAGATACCTGCTCTCCCGCCTGGCAAGAAGAGCTTGTTGGTTGCATTAATATTGTTTGTAAAAATTTCTGATAGTCAAGGAAAGGAAAGAATCTTTACCAACAAGAAAAAGGTTCTAATTTCTGCGCAGTAAATAATAATTTTGGATCTTATCAATTCAATATTCGGTCTCAAACGAATCATCAAATCTCTTTCAGAAGTTTCTGATGCTTTCCTGGGCTCTGTGTTTTTGCTTCCATTGTAAACTCTGTTGTCAGGTTGACCAATAATTTTTGAAAAATTTGTTGAAAAAAAATACGTCAAAATATCCAATCACAATGGTACGTATTCTATTTTTTGTTAGGTCGAGTTTGTTGGCTCATTCCTCCTTTAAACTCATTCAAACTCATCAACTATTCTTCTTGCGATTATATTATATTTAGCCAAAGGAAGTCAAGCAAAAGAAGGACAATCCTATGAGAAAGGTCCAAATTCAAAAGCTCTGTTTGAACATTTCTCCTGGTGAAGGTGGTGACCGTTTACAAAAGGCTGCAAGAGTCTTGCAAGATTTAACCGGTCAAGTTCCTGTCTATCACAAGGCTCGTTTGACCATCCGTTCATTCGGTATTAGAAGAAATGAAAAGATTGCAGTGAGCGTTACCGTTCGTGGTGAAAAAGCCTACGAATTGTTGGAACGCGCTTTGAGAGTTAAGGACTTTGAATTGAGAAACAAGAACTTTTCTGACGGAGGAAACTTTGGCTTCGGTATTCAAGAACACATCGATCTCGGATTGAAGTATGATCCTAACATTGGTATCTTCGGTATGGATATTTTCGCAGTTTTGGGTCGTCCAGGTTTGAGAGTGTCAAAGAAGAAGAGAGCTCCAGGAAAGGTTGGCGTTCAACACAGATTGACTGCTAAGGATGCCAAGGCTTGGTTTGTCGAAAACTTCAAGGGTACCATCCTTAACTAAATAAAACACAAAAATATAATATATTTCAAAAACAAACTGTTGCTTTTGCGAATTTCTCCCATCTTCTTTCAAGCCAGAAAAAATGTCTGATTTTGATTCGGAACGTTTGAGCAATCTCTTCCACAAATACCTGAAGCCAGGCAAAGAGGAAATTGAAACCACTGCAGTGAGCGATTTATTGAAAGAATATGATCGGAAGAAATTTGCGAGTATTACTCTCAAAGAAGTCCAAAACAACATTGACATTGATAAATATGGATATGTTGGTTTTGCTTCAGTTGAAAATTTCGCAAGAAATTACTTCATGAACGAACCATCGACATCTGTTCCAGAAATTATTTCGTTATTTTACAACAATTATTCGTCAGATAAAGGAAAAAGATTTGACAACAGAACGGATAGGCTCATAGAACAGGAAGACATGAGTAAATTACTGATTCAACTCTATCCAGATTTAACACAAGATGATGCTGAGGAGCTTTCACAGCAATTATTTTCATCAAACACTAGCATGGGTAGCGTAAAGAAATTGGCAGAGAAATTGACCAAATTCTAATATTGTATGATAGTAGTTTAGTATTAGAGATGTAAATTTTCAACACTACACTCGTAATATTTTCTTTGATATCGTTCTGATTGATCGCCAATCCGGATTGCGAACAACATATTTCTGGCAAAATGATGAATGGAGCGAATTAGGTCAAAAAAGAGATTCGTCATTTTGCCAGAAAAGGACAAAATCAAACATTCCCGAACCACCTGTTGTCTGTCTGACGATCAACACGACCACAACAACGTGTTGGAAAGCTCTTCGTTTTGAGCATAGTTCACCTAAACACAAGCGAAACCTATGTCGACAATGGTTTTTAGGCTTTCAGTCCAAAAAACCTGTTTGTTGGTGTGTTCCTTCTTGCATTATTGTTGTTGTTCGACACACACTTGGAGAAGCAACTTGCGGGTACGAGTAAATCGGAGAACGCAATCTTCGGTGCTTTCGTTCGTAAACCAAACATGAAAATTCCTTTTGCAAAAAAAATTTAAAGCTTTTGCTTCACGGCCATCACTGAATTTGCTCTCGCTCACTATCAAGAGTGAATATCGGACGTTGATTTTTGGATCAAAAGCCTATTACTATCGATTGAAAATGAATTCATTGGATATCATGAGAGTCATGGAGATTATTCCCATGCCAACTCCAGAAAATTTGGAGTCCTTTACTTCCGTAATCGAATATATTCGTAATGCCGTTTTGGCCACGAACAGTATGGATATCATCTCGCAATTCTTGGTGTTGTGGATTTCTATCTCTGTGGTCGCAACTGTAGGATACTTTTTACTCACAAGCTTGTCATATCTCATCTTCTTTGGAATCTTTAGAGACTATTTCCATCCACCACACGAACCTCAACCATTCAAAGGTCAAGAATGGTTGGAAGCAAAGATGAGCTTGTTTGCCATTCCTTGGTTGTCTTTCCTGACTGTTCCTTTCTTTATCGGAGAGTTGAAAGGTTACAGCAAGCTTTATTGGGAAGCAGAGAACGATCCATGGTGGTATTATGCTGTTATCATTACTGGATTCATCCTCTTCACTGACACTTGCATTTATTGGATTCACCGTTGGGAGCACACTTTCCCTCTCATCTACAAGTACATCCATAAGTCACACCACAAGTGGTTGGTTGTCACACCATTTGCTGCCTTTGCTTTTAATCCTTTGGATGGATGGGCTCAAGCTTTGCCATATCACATTTTTGCCTATTTGTTCCCAATGCAAACTAAGTTATATATTTTCTTGTTTATTGTGGTTCAATGCTGGTCAATTAACATCCATGACGGTGTTGACTTTGTAGGAAGCAGACTTGGAACGACTTCAAGCAAGTATATCAATGGAGCACTTCATCATTATATTCATCACACTAGATATGACTACAATTACGGACAATATTTCACGTTTTGGGATAGAGTCATGGGATCTCATTATGATCCAAAACCTGATTTTGATACTGGATTGTTCAATTTACCAAAACAAAACTATAATCCAGGTATGCATCCATCGGAAAAGAAGAAAGAACAATAATTCTGTACAAGTAGATGAAGAGTCGTTGAGAACTTTAGCAACAAACTAGTAATAAACTATTTTATAAATCGAATCAGCCCAAAGTTTGAATAAATGAAAAATCCTTTATTGGTTATTGATCACACCTGGCATGTTGGCAGATACCTCACCATGATTGACTAGGACTTCCTTAGATAGGTACAGCTTGTCCATAACAATGTCATGCAATTTGTTGTAAATCTTAGTAAGGGCTTGCACAACAAGCTTTAAAATCAATAGAGCAACAATGGAGGGATAACTAAATACGAAAATATGGTACTGGGTCTGAGGCAACACAAAGAAAGGCAAAATGGTTTTGTTCACAACATAGGGAACTGTAAGGAACAGCACCAAGTGGTACACCACTGGCAAAATGAGATTGTTCACAACTCGTATCAGCTCCACATTACGAAAACCATTTTGCTTAACTCTATTGAGCTCTTGAGCAAAATTCTGCAATCCAGGAAATACATCAGGAAGCTTGAGTATTGTAATTGAGAAAAACAATCCTAAAGACCAAACTTCTGCGAGCAATAATACTGGCTGAGAGCCTGTAAGTGAGTCATCAAAGTTCTCACTAACAAGTATTTCAATTGCTAATCTTGTTGGAACGACAATGCTCATTTCAATAGCACTTCCAATTAAGATAGGAACCAATATAAACCATAGAACAAAGAGTATGGAACACTTGATAATAATAGCTCCCCATTTGATGATCTTCTCGAATGAACGTTCCGTGTAAATATAATTCAAAATGTACATAATTCCATTAAACAAGTACAGGCCTATCATGTAAGTGTAAAAATGATTTCTCATTTCAATTCCGAGAAGAGTTCCTAAAACATTATCGAGTACAAACTTTCCAAGAAGTAAGGGAATAATGATCGAGAGTGATATTATTTCGATCAAGCCACACCAAGTAATCAGAATGAATAGAGATATTCTTAACGGAAAGTGATTTGGATATCGAACAGATCTTTGAAGATTGATGTCTCTAGCAGCAACTGTTGTTGAAGTTGGAGTATCAAAAAAGTAGGACTCGAGCGAAAGATAACTACCGCCAATTTCAAACCACCGTTTTAACACCCATTTCAATTTCTGAAGATTGAACCATCGTTGCTGCATATAGTTGACAATGATGATGGGTAGGGAGGTATCAATAGTTAGCTCAATAAGAGAGTTTCGACCGTATTCTCCCAACGGAGTTCCTATCTTGAAGGGAAAGAAGTTGTAGTCTTGTAACAAAAATCTGACCATCTTCAGTGGTGTTCTTACTAATGCTAAGATAAGAATTGATAAGAAAAAGAAGCTAAATGTAATTCTTCTCATGTGAGTAAATATGCTTATGGTAACAAGTTCTTTCAAGTAATGAAAGTTGGGATCATCAGGATCTCTCAAAAACCATAATACGCGTTTGGACAAAAAGGATCTAAGCATTTGGATAAAGCTGCTTGCAACAACTACAACAATAATTCCAAAAACAAAGTAAACAAATGCCACACTGAAGAATATGACTAGTCTAGAGAGAATAATCTCCAGTGAATATGGCTTCACCGAAGCATAGACTCCAAATACCAATTCTCGTAAAATATTCGTTGAATTAAAATGAAAATGTTCCATGAAGTGATATACTGGTTCAGTTAAGTTAACAATTGAATCCGTAATTGTTTGGTTTAGCTGCAATGTGGAATTACCATTGATTCTGTATCCCATCGTAGCAGTAATGTTAATGGTGGTGTTCTTGAAAAATTCATCTGTAGAATAAAATAATAAATATCCAATAGCAAGAGGTATGACAATAAAGTTTGTGGTCAAAATGGTTGCAATCTTCATGAGTAAAATAATGTACATGGTATAATACACGATTTTTTTGGCTAAGCTGCAAATGGGGAACCACCTCTTGGATATGAAGTTATGAAATAGATAATTTAGCAACACAAATGAATAAATCACGCCAATTAAAAATAAGTATCCAGTTAATATATATACAATCTTTTCTCCAACGATCCATGCAGTTGAGTCTAAATAGGATGATGAATTTACGGACATGGTATTAGCAGGATTGATATTTTGGAATATAGTGTCGTTTGTCAACTTTTTCAAAGTTTGAGTAATATTGCTGAATGTGCTTGTTCCGTTGTTCGTGATATCTTGATTGAGTAAATCATCTATAATATTATAAATTTCGAAACGGTGAATTAATTGATGACAAATAAATCTTCCAAATTGAAGGGGAAGGAACAGCAACAATAGAATGTGTTGGGAGTTTAGGAATAATACGAGGGCAACGGTTTCAAAGAGGTGAGAAATGTCACCTTTAAGACCAATCATAACATCAAGATCCAAGTCTTCTCTTGCGCCATTTTGATTGGCATTCTGAAGAGGAGGAAGAGGATTGGCCACCATTGGAGGATTTTGGATCAAACCTTCTTGAGGAACATTTTCCATTGCTTCTTCTAGCTCCACTCTTGCTTCGTTGGCCTCTTCTTGCGGTGTGTCATTTGTTTCATCATTATTTTCCTCTTGTTGTAACAATTGTTGATTATTCATCAAATCCTTTAGAGTAATTATTTCATTAGAGCTGTTTTGGTCGTTCGCATTCACTTGAGGTGCTTGTCTTTGAGGGTTGATATAACTTTCCAGTAACTCTAAATTCGATTTAATAAATTCTAAAACCCCAGCAGTTATCAAATCAAGAAGTAAAACAAATATACAAATTGTAGCTCCAAAGGTGCAGTCTCTGAAGAAAGTGAGAATACCATAGTCTTTAAATAAGGTTTCCCACTCTAAAATGCTTCCGGCAATTTGACTCAATGATGTAATATTCACAATCCTATAAAACTGATAAGTAATGAAAGGAACGAGCACGATCCAAACAAAAATTACAAGTAAAATTCTACTAATTGACTTCAAATAGTTGAACAACACTGAAAATGCACCGAGCAAAACCTGAAGAGGAGACAATTGTTTGGGAGCGTCATGTGAATAAACCTTTGCAAATTTGAATTCGTGCTTGCAAATTTCGCAGTATTTGCCTTTGTTTGAATGCTTCATCCACTCCATCAAACAACTTCCGTGGATGTACTTGATACTTCCTGAGCACTAAAAATTTCATCATACATTTCCAATAAATAATATTATAGTATGGTTGTTAAATAACAAACTGATCATCATGAACATACTTTGCAAGGATGAAAGAGAGGATCTTCTTCAGTATGCGGTTGCTTGCAAATTCTACAAAGAGCATCTTCGGGAATACCGTTTGTGTTTGATTCATCATTATCCGAGTCGGAATCGGACTTATTTTCCTCAACAATTTCCACATTATCTGTAATGTTTACATCTTCTTGGTTGGGTATATGAAGCCCTTGTCCAACCAAAGCAGGGACGGCAAGCATTTTTTTGTAAATGGATTTTTATTTTGAAAATTTAAATCAAATTTTTATAAATATCACGTTCGAGTCACAGGAATGAAGTATTACTGATTGAAATCAACACATCAGGCTTTACATGATATCGACATGTCAGTTTGTTTGAATGGTCCATCTTCAACCGTTGATCAATCTCATCATCATTCGATCATTCGAAGAAATCAAACCTTTATTATTCGTCACGATGACAACCTCTATTTTCATTCCAAAAACAAAAAATTCAGACACCTCACCGTGTGACTCACAAGTGTCTTTGCCGACAACAATTTATTGTCATCATCATCATCTCAACAATTGAAAATTTATTTATTTATAATCAAAGAGGATGGAATGGAAACTATCAGGTGAAATTAAACCTGAAAGTGATGATGAAGCCTTCTTCGAAGAACGTGTCAATCATTCATGTTTCAAATTAAAACGATATCCATCTTGTTTTTTCATATTCGGAGGTGTTTCATCCTACTCCAAGAAGTACAATGACATTGTTAAATTTAGTCAAATGAATGCAACAACAAATGACTATGGTAGGTACAACTCAATCGCGCACACGCACACACACTTACATGTTCAATCATGTGCGTTTATTGGCATCTTGTTTTGAACATCTTGAAAAATTCACTCTCATGAATCAATATAATGAATTATCATGTCAGAGTGGACCTATTCCATCGTGTCAAAGGGAAATTCATATGAAGCGAAAAAGTCTTCAATGTTTGGAATGTTCGGATTTGGTGGATCTACAATAAACAAATCCACAACATCGACTGGACCTCAATATCCAACAGCTCGAGAAGGACACACGAGCATTGTTTGGGAAACTGAAATGTTAAAGTATAATCCAACAACTAAAACAGAAGAATATGTCATGGAAGAACAAGTAATTTTATTTGGTGGATATGATGGAAGTGCATATTTGAATGATGTTTGGGTTTTGGATACTTCACAATGGAAATGGACAAAATGTGACATTGATTCGAAACAAAGCAGACCGTGTGGAAGAAAGATGCATACTGCCTTGCTCTAGTATGTTTTAATTGTTGTTGGAATGATGATGAATCAAACTCATTTGTTTTTTATAATACTGTACTTATATATACGTACGAATGAATAATATATATATATATACAAATGAAATATATATCAAATGAATAATATATATATACAAATGAAATATATGAATGACGACAATTCATATTTTTTAACAGCAATGATTGCATGTGGGTATTCGGTGGTGATAGTGGTTCAGATCCATTAAATGATTTTTGGTGTCTCGATTTAGAAACAAAAACATGGACACAAGTAGCCTTTGATAAAACTAAGGCTCCAGAACCAAGATATGGTCATTCTGGCGTTGTGATAGATATGAGTCCTATTTATGAAACACAAGCAAAACAATTGTATAATGAAATGTTAAAAAATAAGAATATTGATAAGAGTGAAATCAAAATGCCAACCATCGAGAAGAATCAATATCATATGATTATTATGTTTGGCTTTTCCAATATTCATGCAATGTATATAGGAAAAATAACAGAAAAACTTAACACTAAGCAATTAGGAGGAACTTGCTACAACGACGTGTGGTCATTTAATTTTAACACTAGCAAATGGCATTGTTTAACAGATCCATCGAAAAGTGCACAAGATGACAAAGACAAGGGATTTATAACAAAAATGGTAGACGTCACAAAGGGTGTCACTAATGCTACTTTTTCACAGATCAAAGGACTTGGAAAACAGTTAGAAATTTCTGGAAAAACTGCATGGTCTGAAATTGCTCGATTTACTCCTTTTTATACTTACTCAAGTACTACAAGCTATGGCTCTGTCGCAACAAGCCTGGCCCAACCTCCTGAAGAACGATATTGTTCTGCCGTTGTAAATATTGGAAGAGGATGTTTGTTAATATTTGGAGGTGTTCGAGATTTAACACACCGAAGAGATTGTCATATTTTAGATCTTGTTAATGAATCCTTTGTGCCAGTCCCTAGAATGATCAAACTCAAAGACTCATGGCCAACTGCAAGAAAGGGTCATGTCATGATTTATGATGAACAGGAAGACTTGGTCTATGTGAATGGTGGTAGTAATTTCAAAGAGGGAATTCAAAGTGGAATTGCTGTTGCAAGTGCAAAACAACTCATTGATTTGCTTCATGTCGGAATTGAAAAAGAAAACTCTTTAGAAGAAGATGACATTGTGAAAAAGGCAGAAAATGAGTTGAAAACGACCGAGAAGAATATTTACGAGGATGTCAAGATGGACAAAACTCAAGAAGAAAAGAATCAATTGATTCGACTCATTGAGACGGAAACGATCAAAATTCAAAAGAATCCAAAAGCCATTGATTCATACAGAACAAGAGCAGACTGCTACATGAAATTGAAGGCATGGGATAAGGCCAATTCTGACATTGATGAAGGTCTACGATTAGCTCCCAATGATACAGATTTCAAAATGAAGAAGGGAATTATTTTGTTCAGACGCAATGATATGATGTCCGCACGATTAATACTAACAGATGTTATTTCAGAGGAAGAATCAAAAACGCAGAAAGGACATTTTCCAAGCAACTTGGTGTTACGATGTTATAAAATTAGAGCCAAGTGTCGGATAAAAGAAAGAAACTTTAATGAGGCAATTGCAGATGCCAACAAGTTTTTGAAATATATTGAATCACTCGATATGATAGATGTAAAAGAAAAGAAGAATATTGACTTTGTATCTATTGCTTCTTGGTTAGCTTCCATCTATATCGTCAAGGCAACCGCATTTGAGAGAAAGAAACAATACGATAGTGGTCTCACTACCATTGAGAGTGGAAAAGAACAAGTTCAACAATTTTTGAAAAAGGTCAAAAAGTCAAATTTCAGTTTTACTGATTTTCTAAGTTTTAAGAATGAAAAACCACAGGATGTATATTTAAAAGAAAAGCTCGAGAAATATGAGAGTTTTTTAATGCAAAAGAAAGATAAGAGTTTACTAGTGGATGGTACTTTTAGGACTGCCAAGGTGCTCATTGATTCCTACAAGACGAAACTGAATGAGCTGGATGCTGTAAAATTAAAGGAACAAGAAGAGATCATTGAAGAGGAAACTAAATCGCTGGATACTTTCTTTGAAGAATATTTATTTAAGGAAATGAGTGCAGATGTGGTGGAGACCGATTGTGATCAAGCGATTGAACTGTTAAAACAAGTCATCTCTTGGGAACCTTTTGAAATCAAGTACATTATTGCTCTATCAGAAGCTTATTATTTACAAACAGATTACAAGTCCAGTATCAAATATGCTAAGAAAGTGATTGAAATGGCAGTAGACTATTGGAAGGCATATTATATTGCTGCTCTTTGCTATTTATCGAAGCGGAAAATACCCAAAGCTATTGAGATGTTAGAGAAAGGAATTGAAAATTGTGAAGTGGTCAATGCAGCAGATGAATACAAGGATATGGACGGTATTTCGGATCGTGAGGGATTTGCTCAACTACAACAAGCAAAAAAGGACGCTGAAAAGAAGAAGGAGGCCATAAAAAAGGCTTCAAATTTAGCCAAGTATGCCAAACAATTAGTACAAATTTCAAACTTTGAAGATGCACTCTTGACTATTAACGAAGTGATAGAAATGGATCCCACCAATATACCGTATCTCGCTGACAAGGTTGATATTTTGATTGAAAAGAAGAAATATCTTCATGCATTGAAGGTTGCTGTTTTAGCGACAAGAATCGCACCAAAGAGCTATGAAGGATATTTGGCACAAGGTGTTGCCTTGCAATTCTTGAAGAGATATTTCCATTCGATACAAGTTTTGGAGAAGGCTTTGAAAATGTTTCCCGATAATTCCAATATCAAACAACAATTGATGAAATCCAAAGATTTATACAAAAAGAAGCAAATGGCTCAAATGAAATATGAGAGAGCCCTCTTTATACTTCAAGATGCTGAGAATGAAATTGTTAACGAGAATTCAAAAATTAAGCTCTACAAGATCAATATTACCACTTTGGAACCCTCTAAAAAGATCATTTCGCAAGTGGAACAAATTGTTCAACTCCTTGATGAAGCCATTGAACTTTATCCCTATGTGGCAGACTTTTATTTCTCCAAGGCTAAGTGCAGATATTTACTAAGAAATTACATTCAAAGTGTTGCGCATATCAAAGAAGCCATTGAAGTCATGAAACAAATAACCGATGGTTTATATTTGTCCTATTTGAGCCAGAGAAGTAAAGGCTCTGAACTTGATGAAGAGAAGAAGGAAAATACGGTCGATCGAGTTCATGTTGATTTTATTTTTGAGGCTATTTCTCTCGGAGCTCGAGCCTATGCTTCCATGAGACAATTTGATATTGCCATTAATTATTTAAAGGACATGTCATTTAGGCATACTGCTCCAAAGAAGAAGAAACTTGAAGATTATGAACGTCATTTGTATTTAAATCCTGATCATTTAGAAAAGTTGGAAGAGTTGACCAACAGAATTACAGGATTTAAAAAGGCACGAGAAAAGTTCGACTTTTTAGTGAAATCTGGAATGGAATTTAAATCAAATTCAGACTTTAATGGAGCCATTAGCTTCTTTTCTGATGCCTTGCAATTAAAGAGTAGTGAGACTGAGGAAAGAACTCAAGACGACAGAGATTATGCATCTATTTACTTTGAAAGAGCAGAATGCTTTTATGAACTTGGTGATTATGACAAAGCCATTGAAGATGCCGAACAAGCAGTGAAATTGGAAAGTACTTTTCCACACTTTAATGTTCTATTGTGCAAGGCTCTAATGGAAGCAGGAAAATTGGAAGAAAGTGTTGCAAAATGTAATGTTGCTCTCTCCGAATCTCCATACAACACTCCTCTCAATGATGTGTGGCACAATGTCAAGTTAAAAACTGCAAGTTACGAAGCAGAAAAACATTACGAGGAGGGAATGCAAGCCATCGAAGCCAGTGAATTTGATGTGGCCATTAGCTGTTTGAACAAGGCAGTGAGATTGAGACCCAACAATATTAATTATCTATTAGCACGATCTCAAGCTCTCTATGAAAGACTGAAATACAAGAGAGCGCTCGATGATTGTCAGAATGTGTTGAAGTTTGATTCCAAGAACATTGTAGCGATACGGCTATGTGCTGACATTCAGGTGAGTCTCAAAAACTTTTCAGAAGCAAAGGCAGTCCTTCAGAATGGTATGGATCTCTATCCAAAGGATAAAACTCTACGCCAACGATTAGAGAAATTAATTACATTGGAGAGTCAATGGAATGAGGCTTATCTGCGAGCAAGAGACGCAGAAGATTGTTATAATAATGGAAATTATGAACAATCTTTGGAATTATATTCCATTGCTATTCAACTCCATTCAGATTGTGCTCAATATTTGTGTCGAAGAGCGAGAGTCTTGTTGAAACTTTCTCAACCTGAATTGGCTCTCGTGGATGCTCAAAAGGCAGCAGATATCGATACGAGTGAAGAAGTGTATGCAACTCTTGCAACCATTTATCTTGAATTGTGTGATTATGAAAAAGCAAAAGATGTTATTGAAGAAAGTTTAGCCTTTGATGGCGAAGAAGAAGACGAAAGTATTGAAACTCTACTTTTACTCAAAGAGGAAATTTACGATCGAGAGGCAAAAAGTATCTCGGCAAAAGAAAAAGATGAAGAGGGACAAATATTCTTTGAAAGATACATGCTTCATCTCAAACAAAAGAAGGAAGAGATTAAGAAGGAGAAACAAGAACAAAAGGAAACAGATCAACATCAAGAAGAAAATCTTTATTCTTCCATATTTAGCAAATTGAGTATTTTCAATTTTGGAGCTAAAAAGTCAAATCCTATTGAAATTGATCAAGACGATCATTCGTATGAAGATTTACTCAAAGCTCAAGAATTATTTTCTGAAGCGGTCTTATTGGAACCCAATAATAAGAGATACATGAGACATCATATTGAAGCCTTGATGTTGGATAATAACCCGGAGAAGCACGATGAGGCTTTCAATCAAGCGGCAACCATGATTCAAATGTTTCCTAATTATACGGATGGATTTTGTACAGCAGCTCGGTTACATGCTGAAAAGTTCAGAAATACCTTTGAATCTCTCTATTTGTCGGTTGTTGGATTAGAGCATGACCGAGAAAGAGAAGGACTATCTATACAAATTATGCAAAATATTTTAAATACTATTGACAATTATGAAATACCAATGATGAAAAGCTCAAAGACTTTGAAAAAGCTTGGAAAGGTATCTGATAAGTCTCAAGTATCTTTCGATAGTGCCAACGCATTTGAAGAGTTAGAAGGTCATGAAATTGTGGATAATGTGATTGGTACGATCAAAACTAAACAAACAAAGAAAGAAGATGGAAAAGACCCCAACGTTCCAACATTGAGTCTTGAAGAGCTGTTGGATGGGGATGACTTTGATTTGCAGAATAGCGACGCCAGTAGCGATTTGATGATGGAAGACCTTCCACAAGACTTGACCATTGGCCAAAACAAGATTCAAGTGAAAAAAATTAATAACCGTGAAGAACAAGTTGAATTTACAAAACAATTGTATGACTTGGATAAGCATAGTGTTGCCTTGAGAGATTCATTTGCAAATGTCAGAGCTTTCATTACAGGATTTGCAAAAACAGCTGTTAACATTCTCAAAACTCAAAGAGAAGAAGCGTTTGATTTGGCTGCTAAAGCTGTCTATGTCATGTACTATGATGTTGAAACTGAAAGACCCACCGACAAATTCCATACTCTATTTGATCTCATTGCTGATGCTTGCTATGTTGGAGATGGTGTGAAAAATTACAAATTGAGAGAGTTAAAAAAGATTGGACCTAAATCTCTTTTGTTAGAGACTTGTACCACTCGTTATCATAGATTTATTGAAGCAGATGATGATCATCCATTCTACAGTCAACATCATTTTGAGAATGAAAGAGAATATGAAAACTTTAAAGAGGTTGAGAAGAAAAATATCAGTGAAGCATTGCAGCAATTTAATCTCTCCATTGAAAAGGATATTCAAAACATAAGTGCTGATACGGATGAAGATCTCAAGTACAGACATGTGATCATGCAACAGTTTGTTGATTGCATTTTACAATATTCATTATATACTGTAGATGAAGAGGATGAAAAAAACAAGGAAGAATCTTCAGAGAATATCATGAAAACCAAAATACTCACTCTCAAGGATGAATCACTGGAAGTCATTCAAGCTGTTTCAAATTTTTATGGATACGGAGATGGTGTATTTGCATTTTTAGTTCTTCTCGAAAAATTAGGAAGAACCTTTAAGCATACCTATTCAGAAATCGGAAATATTTATAAGTGTTTGTTGCATTTAATAAGAACACTCATTGCAAGAAATTTAATGTCTGCAGGAAAAATCAAGAAAAAAGATCGTCTTCTTGATGATGACCCAGTCATTCAAAGATACTACCTATCTCTCTCAGAAAGATCCCTTTTTGTTCAGGCAGCCAAGACCATCAATAGAGAACTTAATTTCATTATTGATAATCATTGGAAATCTGCGAATGAATCCATGGATTCTATTGTTATATTTGCTGTTAAAACTACATCACTCATACATGCATTCACATGTTTGGAAGATTGTGATGGTCACAACATGGGTTACAAAACTTTGAGTGTTCGAACGAAAGAAGGTATCGAGAATAGCATGGTTAATCTCTATAACTATTATCGAGATAAGATTATTCAAAAAATTGCTCAAAAGGATGCTACTCTTCAACAAGATGAATCTGGAGGATTGCATCCTGTTCATTTACTATGTCTGATCGATGTACTGTTAGAACACATTCCAAGATATGAAACCCACTTTGATATGGCCTTTCCTTCAAGTGTTGGTCTGATGAAAACTGTTTGCAATCAAGTATACTCTTGTATTGAAATTGAATTGCATAAGCTCAAAACCAGCAAATTTAAGAGCTATACAGAGAAAGGAGAATTACCAATTGGACTCTTTGATTTACCACCAAAAATTGACAAAATCTATCAACTATTATCAGAACATGCCAATGTCCAACCTTATGCTCTTAAAGATATTTTTATTCCATATGTGTACAAGTGGATTGAAACATTTGAAAAAAGTGCAACAGATTGGTGTAAGAGAGCTATTGATATAAGCGATTGGAAACCCATCACTGACGATGTCACCTATACGACAGCAGTTGTGGACACATTTACTTCAATTCGACAGAGTTTGGTTGTATTAGAAACAAGTTTACAATTCTTACAGACACAACTTCAACGCCCTGCTCAATTTTCTAACCAATCCATTCTTGATTCATTTAACTCTCTTGAAGAGTCCACTTCGTCAAAGTTTGGAACAGGAAACTCTTCTCTTGAAACTCTCCCATTAATTTATGTTACTTATACTCATGTGATTGCCTCTGTGATTGAAAATTTTGCCAATATGACCTACAACATCTTTGCAGATTGTACCATGAAAATGAAAAAAATTGAAGAAGAATATGTGAATAGAAGGACGAGTGCAAAGTATAAGGATATGATGTTGAGAAGAAAAACAACACCGCTGCAACAGCAACAAGAAGAAAAATTATATGAAGAAACGAGAAAAGACGTTCATAGACAAATTGTTACTAAAATGGGTCTCTGTATGAATAATATTTTAGAATCCATCAACCAAGTACGAACTTTAGCAGAAGATATTCAAAAACAATTGTTGAGACAACAATCAGAATTAGTAAGCCAAATTGATGAAAATTATGAATTAGGAACTTTGGATGATGATTTGGAGTCTCAATCTATTGATCTTAGCACGACTACTGGTTCTGCACTTTCAAAGAAAAAGAAAGATGATCTTCTTGAAGGAATGGCAATGATGCATGATACCATGAAAGTATTGCACAACTCTCTCAAAGACATGATTCGAACCAAGATGAACAACCATCTTTCACAACTAATTTTCAAAACTATGAAAGAGTCCCTGTTGGATGCAATTTCTAAAATCAGCAAACCCTTAACTCCAACGCCTACAACTTCTTCACCTGGGCTTAAGGCAAGCTCTTCTTCTCAAAAATTAGCTTCACCCTCATCGCAAAATTTATCTGATTTGAATTTGGATGATATCATGACACCATTGTTCGACTACTTGGATGATCAATTAGCAACTCTTTATACAGTGTTGAATGATAAGGTATTTGCTGTGGTGTTAAGAAATATTTTTGCGATGCTTATTGATGAATTAAAAGAATGTGCAATACCTCCTCTAGAACAACCAACTCTTAACAAGTCACAGATTGACAAATTCAAAACTACATTTGACTCGTTTATTGAATATTTTAATGCAAATGGATCTGGATTGGATATGGTTTATCTAAAAGAGCATTTCAAATTTATTTCAAGCTTATTTAATCTAAGTCTAACCCCCACAAAGAAGTTAATTGATGATTATAACGAGCTTAGTGTTCAAATTGAAGACGTTATGAACTTGATAGAATCAATGAACAAGGACCTAGCTCGAAAAGATGATCCAGATGATATCAATGATTTGAAACGCCAGATAGCAGACGCTGAAGAAGCCAAAGACAAGATTAATGTTACTAAGAATTATATTTTCGCCGTTTTGCATAGAAGGGCCATGGACACGAGATCTAAAAAGATTAATGATTCCGAAGCTAACAAATTTGTGACTTCAGAAATGTCTCTCTTCGAAGCAAATCAGGCAATCATTAATGATGACTATGAACTGTTTCAAAAATCTTTAAAAACCTCAAAAGATAATTATCAACAGGCAAAACAAGCTCTTGAAAACACCAAGAAAGAAGTTGAATCGTTGAAGAAGCAGTACAAACATGTTAAATCAATGAGAGTCATCACAAATGAGAGAAAGAACAATAGATTCAAATGTAAATCACTGAACAAAGAAATTGAAGAATTGGAACACCAAAAGACTCTCTTGCAACAAGAGGAAGAAGCAATCAAAAAGTTAGTTGCTACTGAATCTGAAATAATCGAAAAAGCATTCTTTGATATGGAGAAGAGCGACTATATCAAGGATATTTCATTCAGACTTGATGCCTTTGTGAGATCATGTAAGAAAGGTCTTGCAGGTCAGCTCGGGGAAGAATTTATGAATTTTATGAAATTCCCAACCAAACTTGCTGGTGTCACTGAGGAAGAAACCAAACTTGTTATCACCGACTTTTTCAGATGTATGTTCAGAGGAAATGATGGATTCTTGTGTTTATTGAGCTCGCCTGATATTTGTATTAGTTGGATTCCAATTATTTCTCTCATCAAATTATTCAAACTTGATGTCATGGAAACAACATCTTCAAACAAGCAATACTCCATGTTGGATTATCTCAATCCATTGAATGCTCTCAGAGGAACAGCTCAACTCTTTACCTCTTCAGAACCACAATATAATACTCAAATCGATTACATTAAGGTCTCTGTAGGAAAAATTAAGAGCGTTTACAGATCTACATTTGGTGCAGGATCATTAGATAATTCCATTACTGTCAGCAAATCTGATAAGGATTTCCAGTTCTCTTGTTTCAAAGATCGTGAAAAAGCATTTGAAGTGATTCAAGCGTTTATTCTCAAAAATGCAAGTCAATTCAAATCCAAAGATTCATCAATTGTTAACAAATTATTATTTATGGGAACAAGTACCACTAAAGAAGATGAACAAGATGATTCTGACATTGCCAATGCTTATACACAAGCAAAAGTAATCAAGAAGGGTTATCCTGTTTCAGAATCTGTACGAAAGATTTTCAACTTGAAAGCTGAAACAAGGTTGCTTAACAAGTACAGCTGCACCGAGTTTGATTCCAAGCTGATTGGAGAATTTTATGTATTCTCAGATTCTGTTTGCTTTACAACAACAGTGAATAGTGGATCTTGCCAAAAGATGATTTTACCTTTCACTCAACTTGTGAAAATATCAAAAGTTGGAAAGAATTTACATTGCAAGCAATGCATACAGCTCACCAATGCACAACGAGTGAGTTATACATTCGTCAACTTTAAAAACAGTGACGACGTGTTCCAAGAAATTATTGAAGTTTTTAAGAGAAATCGTCCTGGCATTGAAGTAGTCATGAAGGCTGATAATACAATCGCAATTCCTGTTCATCCAACCCAAGAAACTCCTCAAGGATTGATGAATATCAGCAAGTACACCAAATTCTTCAAATTGTAAAAGATCAGCACATTAAATAACTTGGTGAGCTTTTATGTACAGATTTAGTCTGAAGAGACAGATGGCATCGATCGAAATAGGTTTGGAATCTGATCAATGGATGTAATGTTGTGATTGGTATTGTTATCAAATCTGTACAACTTTCTATTCACACCATTATTATTATTTTCAGCCAACAATTGATACATATCCTTGTGGAATCTCTCAATCATATCCAAATAATCTTTGGTGTAGACTGAGCTTTCTCCCACTCTGTTTCTTCGGTTAATCCTTTCAAGAGCAGTATCAATACAAGCATCAATGACAATATGAAAATCAGGATAAAACAAGTTTCTTGGATATTTCTCTAACAAATGTTCGAAATATTCAACATAGCTGGCATGTTGCTCTGATGTCATGAGATTCTTCTCTACTAAATTCCGAACAAACACATGACGATCAGCCAACAGGGATCGATCCATGAGCACAATCATTCGCTTCGAGTTTGTTTGTTTGTACTGTTCGACAAATTGCTCGACCTTGTCTATAATAATCCATTTTTGAAATTCAAGACCATATTCACGTTGGTTGGAGAGATAGAGTTTGAATAAATCAATATTCTTCTCAACACTCTCAATCACATGACACAGTGGAATATCATTGAATTCTCGCTTAATAAATTGTTGGATAAGATGGCAATACAAGCTTTTACCAACACCAATATTGCCATCGACACAAATGACAAATATGTTGTTTGAGGAATAGGAGGACAGAGAAGTGGTTGGCAATGATGGGAAAGATGGCAAACAGGTCGTATGTGTGTCATGATGATGGCATGATGCCTTGGAGCCATGATGATGATGACTGAGAGAAGCCAATACAGGTCTTTGAGTGGTTGCTGTCGTAGGAACACTCGACTGGAAGTGTCCAATAATTTGTTGTCGTATGGTGTTGAACAATGTGCTTAGCATTTATAATGATGCTCCGAAGCTAAAAGAAATAATGATTCAAATGCACAACAATGATGATGTCTTTGTTGTTTTTTTTTGAAGGTCCTTCAATTTTGATGGCATCAGTTCTTGTGTCCGTAAGAATTTTTTGTGTAACGGTTTTTGGAAGGCTTTTAATAGTAAATATCGAATACAACCATCATCACTATTCTACTGATCGCATTCACAACGCAACGTTCAAAGAAGAAGTTTCCATCCAAATTTCAGAATGGCCCGATGACGAAGTATTACAGATCCCAAATCAAGGATAAAAAATGTTTTTCTTGCCTTGGGGGTTGCGGTGCTTTATCGGATCACTGACATTGTAGGTTTCTGAGTATTACAACAGAATTTGTACTCAACGAAATAATCCTATTGTGTTATTGGTGTTGCTATTGATGATGATTTTTAAATCAATTATTATATTATTTTGATTAATTATAATAATTGATGATTGATATCTCTATTGACCTTCTTCATTTCGGTTTCTAAATTATTATTGTTTATTAAATCATAAATAGATTTAATTGTAATGTATTTGCAAGTTATCATAGTTACAAGGCTCTTTCAACTAGGAATGCCCAAGAATCAACAAGATGGCTCATGTACTGGTGCGTGATGGCTGCTTTCCTCTCACTGGAGAACATTTTCTATTCTCTTCTTCACAATTTAGTTCCTTTTTATCCCGAAATCAAAGTAATTTCTCTGTTGCTTCTCGTAGTTTCTTCTCATGCTCCAATCTATGTATTACATCAATGGATTATTCCAAAATTAGAGACCTTGAATGTTCCATACTACATCAACAATGTCTTAGTGAATCATGTTGTCACATACCTCACTTATGGATTTGGCGTTATTTTCAGCAAACTAGCCAAAAAGAGTGCAAAAATTAATAGGAATAATGTGGAACAATTGGATGCAATGATTGGAGCTATTGATGATATTTCATACGAGTTGAAAAAGATCAGAAAAGAGGCACTTAGATCTTTGCATCGAACTTCATCTGGTATTCAACATGGAAGTCCAAAAGCTGGTGCTTCTGGAGAGATTGCACGCAATCGTGTGAGTTTAGGAATAGGAGAAATTCTATCCAACTCAACCCTTATTAGTGGAGTTTCTTCTTCCAATCAATTCTAATTGAATAATTGACTAATTATCTGTTCTGAACGAGTGAGTGAATATGCACATTCACTCATTCCTCAATAAAATTTTTGTTCAACACATTCCGTGTTTCTTCTTCTCTCGTTTGAATTGTGAATGAATCAATCAAAAAAATGATGAAGCCGTTGTTCTCGAGGCAAGCATCAAGAAGGCTGTTGCTGCTCAACCATAACTCTGGCATCAGCCGAATGGGATTATCCAGTTCCGATTCAATAATGTTAATGAAAGAAGGGTCTTCAGTGTCATCCACAGTGGACCAATCACAACGACTTCCTACGAATTGTTCCTACTTGACACAACAACAACGTCCGTACAGAACATCACTCTTCGTGCAAAGCACAAAGAAAACAGAGCAACAGAAGAGCCAAACTCTGGAAGACAACCTCAATGATGACGACAGCTTGTACCTCGAAGAAAACAACGTTAGGGGATGTATTGTTGAGTTTTATGACAAAGCTACAGAATCTGTACGATTGGGATTGTTAGATGAAAAAGAATTTGTTATCCATCAGGAAGATTCTACTACAATTAAATTATCGGACAAGCTGAAACACAAAGATGTTACCATTATTGAAAAGTGGACAAATGTTCTCATCACATTTAATGATTTAAAGGAAGTCAAAGAGAAAGCCAACTCTACAGTGTTGGATCAGAATTATTACGTTGATTTTGAACTTCGGTTAGAAAATTTATTAATTGAGGCTTATACATCAGGAAGAAGATTTACATCATCCTCTCTTGCAGGGGAATTATTTGATTCGGAGGTTCCTTCTTTAGTTACTCGTTATATTGCTTTTTATTTGTTCGAATATTCTGGATGCTTTAAATTTGATACAAGATCCAACAAGTATATGGTGATTGAAACTGATGCTAGCCAAATGAGAATTAAAGATTTTGTAAAAAGAGCTCAAAGAAGAATTCATGAAGTCAATGAATTTAAGTTGAAGAAGCAATTTGTAGATCAGGCTCTCTTTGCTAATTATACTAGTTTAAATCTCCATCTTCCCACTAAATGGGATCCAATCATTGATGTTCCAATTTTGAGAAAGATTGAATTCTTCATGCTGTCTAACAACGAGACGGAAAAGAATAGGGGACTCATCAACACAATTTTAGAAACATTTGGTTATCCAAAAACAAGAAAAGGTGCTGCACTGTTTCTCCATGCTGTAGGACATTTACAACTTGAAACATCTGCCTCATTCCTGGCTGATGAAGGTCCATCCTATGAATCCATAGACATTTGTTCAAGGAGAGTGAAAGAAATATTTCCTTCATTCTTCAAACCCTTCTCAAAGGAATCTGAAAGACTTTCTCAATTTCTTATTGACAACAGCCATTCCATCATTGAGAAGGAGAGAGTTAATCCCACCAGAAGAGATTTACGCCATTTCAAAGCTATTGCCATTGACGACTTTACTACTCAAGCCTATGATGATGCCGTTTCTATTGAACCAACTCCAAATGGATTTAAACTTTTTGTTCATGTTTGCGATATTTCATCATTTATTACAAAGAATAGTCCATTAGAGGTTGAAGCTAGATCCAAGATGAGGACTCTTTATGGAAAGAATAGATTGAGACTAATGCTTCACCCAAATGCCATTAGAGCTGCTACCCTCAACCCAGATAGAGAGAACTTGGCTTTGACTTTGGAAATGCAATTTTCTAAAATTGGTTATGATTTCAAATTAGATAGATATGAATTTTATAGAAGTATTCTTGGTAATATTGAACTCTATACCTATAACATGGTGGACAATATTTATAGCCAATATATCAAAAAAAGACTTCCAAAAAGCAAAAAGTCCATGAACGAGACAACAAGAATATTAACTGATGTGTATGATGTGGCTGTGGATATTGATAAGGTGATCAAAATACCAAGACCTTCAATAGCATCGCCCTCAAAAGAAGTGGTGACAATCATCATGACCATCGCAAACAGTATTTTGGAAGCTCATATCAAACAACATCATTTACAACATTTATTCCCTTCTACTACGTCCTACATTAGATTTACTTCTCCTCTAAGAAGATACTCAGATCTTGCTACTCACTTGCAATTTGTTTCTTTGCTTGAACAACAAACAAAATATATTGATGAATCTAAAATTGCATACACTGAAAAAGAAATCAAACAAATTAATTCAGAAATTCAAGCATTTGAGAAGGATTTAGCAGAGACTGAAATGATTATTGAAAGACAAAAAAGAGAAGCGGCACGAAAAGATCACTTACAAAAAGAATTTCAACGAAACAATTCTCAAAATGCTAGTCGTGTCATTGGACAAGTCGTTAAAAAGCGAAAGGGTATGAGCAATGTTTATATTCAATCTCTTGATAAGACAGTTCCAGTTCATTTAGTGGAATATGATGAAGTGAAAATGATAGAATTGGTATTGAATACATTACCTGAAGCAGAAGCTTCTTCGTTTGAGTTACTAGGATGGCCTTCCACCATTAAAAAGATGAGAGAGAATCGAGTACCAAATGATATTCGAGAAGGATCAAAAGTTGTGCTTAATATTAAGAATATTGATTACAGTGAGACTGATGGTAGTACGAAACATGTGGTTGTAGAACATTGTTTTGAAGAAAAGGTTGATAATTACTCGGTGTAATTGGTGTTGAACAAAATGCCTGTAATTATTATTGTGAGCGAAATATATCTTGTCGAATCATCATTGATCGATTTCATTTATGCTTCATGAAGTATCCGCGTTTGAACAAAATTATTTCACTAAATTGGCGCTTCATGAATGAAGGAGAAGAGACCCAATAAATTCTGAATATTTTCAGTCAGTGAATTCTTTTGGACTCACAGGAATGAAAAAGAACGATTCAAGTCCAAAACAAGAAGAGGTTTGAGTCTCTTTCCGATAGATTCTTGTTTTACCATTTTTAAAAATAGTGACAACTGCCAGCAATTCATTCCTCCGATACAGAGTGTGTATGCACACCACGCAAGAACCGATTCTCTTCAACATTTTCAAATTATATATAACAACGACGTACCTTTATGATTCAACTCTTGTGTTTCAACAAATTCCAAAAAACAAACACTCTCAAAATAACGTTGTGAAATTTCCTACAACGCACCGCCCTATCACTCTCTTCGTCGTCATCATCATTCCTTCTTCATCGTTATCATCATCGAGAATCACCACCAACAAGAACCACACATTTCAGTTTCAAACAAACACATCATTTTGAAAAACATTTCAGTTTTTGTTGTTACCACTACCATACACCATTCCAATAATGGGAACTAAACAAACCAAAGAAGCAAAAAAGACATCACCATTGACCATTGACACCTCATCACAAGTCGATGGTGTACACGTCGGAGAATCTGTGAGGAATATATTTCAACAGTATGTATGTCAATGAATATGTTTTTATCGATATATGATATCATCCAATTGATTGACACTTTTAGAAAACTTTGTGATTTACCTGTTGCTAAAGATTTACTGAGATTATGCAACAAGATTAGTATATTCGAAGTCAATACATTTTCAACAGATCAAATGTTTTCCTATCCTAATATAGACGAATTACAACTCTTGAATTATCGAATTAAAGATCTAAACAAAGAAGACGACGACATTGAGAATGGAGAAGATGACATTAAATTTGAAAATAAGTTTACACGAGTGATACATTCGATATTGACAGTTTTGGTTCAAGAAATTGAATCCATCAATGAGAATCGAAATGAACAATGTCACACATGTTGTACTAACGGAAATCACATTGCATCTCTAAGTTGTCACATGTTTGAAAAAGAAGTGAATTTAAATAATTTTCAAAGTCTAGAGCAATTTATGTTGAATTATTTCGGAGAAGAATCGCCCGTTGTGACTGTTTTAAAATTATGTAATCAATCAATTATTGCTCCTGCTGTCATTGCTTTAAAGAAACAACTAGGTCAATTATTTAGATATAAGGGTATGTGCATTACATTATTGTAGAATAAGTCTAACATCATGTTGCTGCTGAATTGCATTGTAGATTCTGGATATTGGTTTATTGACATTTTAATTAACAAAAATGGAGGTGTCACAGTGTGTCATCGAAGAAAAGAACGTGTTACAAGCCATGCCTTTGATCACACTTCCCACTCACAATCCTATCCTTCTCTTCCATCGGCTTCTCAACCTGTTTCCCTTAAGAAAAGTTCAGTGTCTACAACCGCCCTTCCAAAACCTAAGAATGACATCTCTTCTCTCACACGAAAGCTCTATACCTTTGAATGGAGATTGTATATTAACCTATCTCCGAGTACATTAACACAGTTAGATAGTATTCGATTAGAGTTGGTGGATCATCTCGACTTTTCAGACTCTGAAATTTTATACTCAGAAGAAGAACGAGAGAATATTGAACGAATATTCTTTGAGCATGCAAATGGGTTTTTCTTAAAGTTTGACAGGGATTTCGAACAAAAAGTGCTCGACAGAAAAAGAAAACAAGCCAAGAAGTGAAAGAGAAGTTTTTCAATCAACAGATCCCCAAGCATGCTCAGGAGTGAACTCATTGCAGTTCGTTGTTGTTTGGATCCAAACACTAGGTTCGAAAATATTGTGTAAATATAAATGAGAGTGTTTTTTTTAATCATTCTTATGAGTATACAAGAAAGATCTTCTTTTTCGAAAGATAATAAATAAGGAATCTCTGGAACAATTTTGGAATCACAAAAAAAGAGGTAAATTCTAGTCCTCTCGATCGTCCATGTGGTCGTCATGTGTTGGTGGAGTGAGAGGTCGTTCTTCTCCTGGTTGGACTTGAGCACCTCCCAGTCGTTCTTCTTCTTGTAAAACTCGCAATGCTTCTTCCTTCGTGATCTTCTTAATGGAAGAAATCTTATTCTTGAATGAAATTCCGTAAAAGTTTTCAGCAGATTCCAACATTTCAGATTTAAAAGTTGCAGTAATAAATTGAATCTTTTCCTTCTCAGCAAGTGTTTCAATCATTTTAGCAACACTTGTTCTATATGCAGAGTCAAGAGCAGCATCAATTTCATCAAACAAATAGAATGGAGCAGGATCACAACGTTGAATGGCAAAGATCAGACAAAGTGCTACCAGTGATTTTTGACCACCAGAAAGTTGTTGCATGAGATGGTAAGATTGTTCTTCTTCTGTTTCACCGCTCGACATGAATGAAACCTTAATGGATACTCCTGTGAATTGATCCACTTCGGATGTTTCATCTGTTTCATCTTCTTCCTCTTCCTCACCTTCTCCTTTTTTGGATTTCATGGTGAGAGAAGCATGACCTCCAGGAACAAGAGTTTGGAAAATTTCTTCAAAATTCTGTGAAACTTGTTTGAAGGTTCTGAGAATGGCTTCATCCTTCCTTCGATCCAAAACTTCAATCAATTGATTAATTGCTTCCTCACCCTTTTCTAGTTCTTCCTTCTTTGATAAGAAATCATCTTTTTGATTGCTAAATTGTTCATATTGATCAAGGGCCTTCTTGTTCACATGTCCAAACTTTTTCAATTTTTCATTGGTGGAATGCAACTTTTTCATCAGAGTCTTTTGATCAGATTCTAAATATTTTCTAAAGTCTGATGGAAGAGTACCCAATTCCTTAATTTGTCTAATGCAATCTTCCCTCTTCTGAGTCCAAATCTTCTTCTTGTTCAACAACTTTTCAAGAGAATTTGCCTTTTCTTGTAAAGTTTGGAACTTTTTAGTTTCTTCAGTTCTTTCAGTTTCTAACTGTTCCTGAGTTGTTTTGATTTTTTCATTCAAATCATCAATTTCTTGATCAAGTTCCTTAATGGATTCAGTAACATCATTAATTCTATCTTCAGTTGCTTTCTTATCACCTTGGAGTTGAGATAAACGTTGTTGTGATGAGAAAGTAGAGTCTGTTGGCAAATGATCAATATGTAATTGAAGTTCAGATTTTCTTGGAATATAATTAGTGTTCAATTGAATTCTCAGACTATCTCTCTTTGTTTCTTGTTCTAATCTACTTCTTGAAACAGTTTGTAATTGTTTCGTAAGATCATTCACAGTCTTTGTGAGTTTGTCAAGCTCTTGTTTTTCTCTAGTACTCAATGTGGCACTGAGAGGAGAATCTTTCTCCTTTGTATATGAATCAATTGTTTCCTTATTGGCAGACAATGAAGATTTCAATCGAACTAATAGCTCTTCATTCGATCGAATGTTATCTTCAATGTTATTCTTACGAATTTCAAGATTTTGAAGATCTTGTTGCTCGTGTTGGATTGTATTCTTTGAATTGTGAACTTCTGTTTCAACTTTTTGGAGTCTTGTGATACAAGTATTGAGTCGATCATCGAGATCAGAAATAGATGCCTTCAGCTTCTTTGATTTGTCATGACTCTCCTTGTAATCTTTTCTCAAATTTTCAATTTGTTTCATACAATCCATACGTGATTGACGTTGTTCAATGTAACCACCTGTGAGTGTACCCTTTCTGTTTGCTTGATCACCTGCTAATGTAACACAATTGACATTATGATCCTTAGCAAATTGAGTACCACTTCCTAAATCTTTTGTAACAAAGGTCTTACCAAACAAATGTTTCACAACAATATCAAATTTGGAATCAGTTTTGACCTTCTTCCAAAGAGGAGCAAATTCTGAGTTTGCAATACTGTCATCAACGTCTGTCACTTGTAATCTATTGAGTGGAATGAACGTCACTCTTCCTTGTGCTCCTGATTGGTTCATAGCTTGAATAATATCACCGCTGACTCTTTCATTTTCAACAACCAAGTGGAAGAGACTATTACCAGCGGTCACTTCAACTGCTCGATGATACTTCTCATCACACTTAATCAATTCAATTACTGTTCCATAAACACCAGCAATATTTCTTTCTTTCACAATATTTCTAACAGAGTGGATACCAGAGGTGACAGTTCGAGGGAATGTCATTTCCAGCTTTCTTTCAGCTCTGCTTAATTCTTCAGAAAGTCTTTGAGTTTCTTTTTCTGTTTCTGTTTGTTCTTTCCACAATTCCTTCTTTTGATTAGTGAGAGAATCTCTTTCATTCTTGAGATCATTGTAACTTGTTTGGAAAGATTCAATTTGTGCTCTATTCTCAGTAAAACTTTTCTTTTTTTCTTCAATAATTCTATTCAAGTTTGAAAGTGTATCTTTGAGTTTTTCTGTTTCTGTGGTTCTAACTGTAATTTGTTCAGAATAACTAGCATTAGCTTTTTCTAATTTTTCAATTTCTTGTTGTAACCATCTATTTCTCTCTTCAACAGTGTTGAATCTATTCTTTCTTCCTTGAATACTTAGAAGTTCGTTCATTCTTCTTTCGCTTGCTTGAAGTTTCTCTTCAACTTCGTTTTCTTCTCTTAATAAATTTTCATATTGAGGAATTACTTCATCATTGAGTTGAGAAGTAATGTCTTCAATCTTCTTGTTCACTTCTCTTAATTCTTCCTCAACATCTTTACGAGTAGTTTCATCTTCTTTATGTATTTGTTGGAAATCTTTTAATTCAAGATCAATCTTTGTGCGTTGCCGAATGAGTTCTTGTCTTTCGGTTTCCAACAAATCCTTTTCTTTTTGTTTTGCTTCTTTCTGCAATTTGGCTAATTTGATATCTCTTTCATAATCTTTGAGTTTTTGTTGAAGATACATTTTATCCATGTGTAATTGGTTTGCAATCTTGTGTTGGTTTTCTCTTGCCTTTTCAATTTCTTCCAAATTCTTAGTAGCTTCATTTAACTCTTGTTCAAAAATTGCATATTCAATGCATCTTCTATCCTTATCAAGCTTTTGGAATTCTTTAAGTTCTTCCTTTTCTTGTTCTAATTCATCTAAACGTTCTTGGACATATTCAATGGCTTCATTAATTTTTTGTTTTTTCTGTTCAGCTTCTTTCATAATACTAAGAGATTCTGCACGTTTTTGATCATAAACTTTTGTACCTGCAATTTCTTTTAACAATTCCAATCTCTCAGAGTCCTTCATTGTTGTCAAGGTTGCAACTTTACCTTGTTCAACAATGTAATAGGGATTGCTTGAACTGAGACCTGCTGATTCGAGCAAGTTAAAGACTTCTCGTTGAGTGACAGCTTTACCATCAATTCTATATTCATCTTTCTTTAAACCGACTGTTCTTCTAATTGCAACTTCTTTTGCGTCAATTGGAAGTCTATTATCAGAGTTGTCAAAAACAATTTCAACAAATGCAGAAAGAACTCCTCTACCTGTACCTTCGTGTAGAAAGGCTTGTCTTTCTTCACTTCTCAATTTACTATACTTTTCACTCAAAACAAATGAAATAGCACTAAAGAAATTTGATTTACCACTTCCGTTACGACCAACAATGATATTTTGTGATGGTGAGAACTCTTGTCCAGTGAAAGTTTGGTCTCTATAGGATTTGAAGCCTTGTATCGTTACGGATTTGATATACATGATGATGATGATGAGACCGATGATGATGATCGAATAAATTATTAATGACGATGAGAGAGTTTGATTGAATTGAAAATATCGAGAGAGGATGACAAGCCTAGCTAGGTGTGGAGGTGCGGGTGGTGTGAAGGCTTGCGTGAAAGAGACGAGGCAAGCAGCGTTAAATTTTTTTCTAGAAATCTTGAATCGCAAAATTGGCGGGCAAAGATTTCCGCCAAATAGTTGACTTTTGGCGGGTCCCTCCATTTACTTGGTGTGTTGTCTTTCTTGTGAAGAAAACCATGTATTTCCAATTAACCATGTTCATCTCTCACTGAATTCATGCCAAGTTCATGTGCTTTTTCTCGTTGCGAAAAATAATTGCTTCTCTCTCTAAATGAACTTGACTCGCAACAATCACTATGACACACGTTGGATGCAATTCGTTAAACATCTCTTTCTGTCTCTCTCTCAAAAAAATGTCATCGTCATTAACTCCACCTTCCAACCCATCTGCTGCCTTTTCCTCTTCGAAACACAATCTTCTCACCTCCTCCGTGAAACATCACTATGGTTCCAATAATGGTGAAGATATTTCTGAACTCATTCATCTCTCTGAAACCACTCGGAGTGTTGTCATTGATAAACATTTTAGAGATTCCTCCAAAGTCAAAGGAACATTACAAGAATTGAAAAATGGATTCATGTGTGAGGCTCACGTTTCATCAAAGAATAAGATTGCAAAACCAAAGATTCATACCATTCAATTGGATGACAATGAAACCTTTTTGAGAGTTGAGAAGAAGAAGAAGAACAAGGCGAACAGTAAGTAGTGGTTCATGTTCGTGTGTACATTCGAAAGAGTTCATCAATGATGATGATGATTGAATAATCTATTGTTTCTGATTCGATGTGAATATCTCTCTAATGATTTGATGTGAATATATAAATCTCTGTAATGATATCTTTTTGATTATCCTAACTACTACTACTACTACTACCTTCTTGTGTGGCACTTCCTTTAAATCCTGGACCTTGTCACTTGTGATTAAAATATCTCACCTTTAATGATCCAATGGTCTTTTTCCACAACAACACCCTTGTTTTTGATTGAAATATATCCAATGGTTTTTTTTCCAATGGTCTCTTCACAGTTCTTTTAAAGGACATTAAAAAGGTACTCACAGGCACTTCATTTTCACAACAAGGTGTTTTTCACAAGTATCATGAAAATCTTCTTTCCAAAAAGAAGACATTGATCTACAATCCTGATTGGGCAGTTACCATCTTATTCAGTGGATCTAATCAAGTGGATATTGTGTTTAAGAAAGTGAATGAATTCATTTCATTCCTTGTTGCTCTCAATTACTTGTTAAGAGCGATCAATTTAACTCAAATACCTCCATTCAGTGTATTAATGATGAGATATTGGATGATTGCTGATGAAAATAATGATAACAAACTCTCCATTCAAGAAATTAACAAATTATTTAAGAAATTGAATATTGAAATGAATTTTAATTATTTAAAAAAGAATTTTGAAAGGTTTGATAAGGATAAGAGTGGAACTATTGAATTTAATGAATTTATTGAACTATTTAAAGAGATGCATGTGGTCGATGAAGTTGAAGATGTCTTCATGTCATGTACAAATACCAATTTAATGACTGTTCAAGAATTTAGAAATTTCCTTCGTGATCATCAATTGGAATCTCAAATTTCAGAAAGTCAAGTCATTGAATTGATGAAAAAGAATGGAGCTATTGAAATTGATGGACTATTGAGAATGCCTTCCTTTGAATTCACATCCTTTATATTTAGTAGTGATAATTCATTGGTGAATCCAACTCTGTATACTCTTCATGAGGAGGATATGAATTATCCATTAACAGGTTTGTTGTTGTTGTCATTAATTAATTGTTGTTGTGGTAATTGTAATTAATTAATGTGGTAATTGTTGTAATTGTGTGAATCCATATATTCAACGATCCTTATCAAACACAATGTTGTTGTTGTAATTGTGTGAATCCATATATTCGAATATCAAACATGCCGCCATTGAACTCTTGTCTATCAAATACAACTCTTCATCACACAAATAATACAACTCTTCATATCATCTCTCATTCACTCATTCATTCACTCACTCACTCACAGATTACTATATTCACTCTTCACACAACACTTATTTGAGTGGACATCAATTAAAGGGTGAAAGTGATGTTAAAAATTATAGAAATGGTTTATTGGGAGGATCTCGATGTGTTGAGTAAGTAGTAGTAGTAGTAGTAGTAGTAGTAGTTCACAACAATCTGAATCACAACAAATTCACATATTCACATATTCACAACAATCTGAATCACATAATCACAACAGACTCGATTGTTGGAATGGTGATGGTGGTGATATTGTCATTTATCATGGTCGTACTTTAACCTCAAAAATACTCTTTCAAGAGGTCATTCAATGCATCCATGACTATGCATTTGTGAATTCACCATATCCAGTCATTCTCTCTCTGGATGTTCATGCGGATCAAGAAGGACAAGAGAAAATGGCAAATGTCATGATTAAAATATTTGGAGATCAATTATTCATGCCTGATGAACACATGACTCGATGGCCATCTCCCAATCAATTGAAATTTAAAATTATTTTAAAGAATAAGAAGATACCAATGAACCACAATAAGAACAATACGACTACTACGACTACTACAATGAACTCATCTCGAGTGGTCTCTTCACCACCACTCGTACCTCCAACAACAACAACAACAATACTATTCGATGACTCACTTGTTTTTGGTGAAGATGAAACAGAGGATTCCAATGATGAAGATGAAGATTTCTCTTCTGATAATAGTTCAAATCGTTTAAATCTCGTCGTCATGCATGATCAAGCACGTGTCAAAACAAAACGAGTCAAAGTTGCTCAAAAGTTATCCGATATTACTGCATTGGGTACCACCAAATTAACCAATTTCCAAGATCCTTCCATTTGGAATTTACCCTGTTGGAAAATGTTTTCTTTAAGTGAAAAGAAAGTTGAAAAATTATTGAACCAAGAACCAATGAATCTCATCAAATTCAATCAAAATCACTTTTCGAGATCCTATCCTCATGGTTTGAGATTTGATTCATCCAATTATGATCCAACAAGTTCATTTGTGATGGGTGTACACATGTCTGCATTGAATACTCAAACACATTGTGCTTTTTATCGAATGAATGAATTTAAATTTAAGGAAAATGCCAATTCAGGATATGTGTTAAAACCCAAAATATTACGTGCTGGATCTGAAGAATCATTTCCAGATGAGAAATCTCATGTGAAACAGTATATCAGTAAGTAGTAGAAGTACTAGTTGGTGTGGTTGATGTGGTTGATGTGTGTTTATTTTTTGAATGATCACCATACGATGGTCATATCCTATAAATGGAATGCAATCCTATTATATATATCCTATGATTATATTATTGAATGGATTGACATCTTATGATATCTTATTGAATGGAATGTAATCCAATAAGAAATTACCATTGTGATGGCAAAACAAGTTCCAAATCCAAAAGGTAAAGAAAAAGGTGACATTGTCGATCCCTATGTCAAAGTATCTATTTTAGGACATCCTAGAGATCATGCATCTTATAATACGATCACTGTATGGGACAATGGTTGGAATCCAACATTTAACAATACTTTTGAATTCAAATTGGTGTGTCCAGAATTGGCTTCTCTTCAAATTTCCATCTATGATAAGAATAAGGTTTCTTCAGACAAATTTATTTGTGAAAATATTATTCCTGTCAGTGCATTGAGACCAGGTAAATTGAGAAGTGTTCAAATGTTTGATGAAGATATGAATCTTATTGAAGGATGTCAATTATTGTGTGATTTGGAAATTCTTAAAGTGCATTCGAAATGAATATCACAAGAAAGGTCTTGCTTTGAGGAATTTGTTGGGACATAATTGGATGGGTTTGGAATTTTTGAAACAGCTTACAAAAAAAATATTTAACATGATTCATCATGTTGTCAACAACAACAACTCCAGTAGTGAGTGTTCGATGGATTTCTTTTCCCATCTCTCAAGAAAGGAATCATACACGTTCGATCAATCATCGTCATGTTGAATTAAAAAAAACCATTCCGAGCATTCTCAATCAAACTCGAATTTGTCAATTAATTTCTCATTATATACCAACCATACATTATGTGATCGCACCACCATCATCATCATCATCATTGATTCATGAAATTAATCATTTAAATATCACCATGGATCAAAATCCACCTCTAACCATTGTGCATTATTGTGGAGAATGGAATGAAATGGATTCCATGTTTTTTTCTTCTTTTGAAAAACTAAGGTTAACTAGCGATGTTATTTTACTTTTATTGGATTGCTATCAATCACATCCATCACTGGAAACCATTCAAGTGGAATATTTGAACAACCTGATTGACAACAATACTTTTCTTATGATAGGATGTGTTTCATCGGATGAGAATCAATTTTCAAAATGTGAAGAATCCTATTTAACTTCTTTTATTTGTGATCCCTCCAATGCATTCCTTACTTATTTTACAAAACAATTTGAAAATAACAAATTGAATGGATATCTATTTCTGACACAATCTAATAATAATCAATTATTTGAAATATTAATGCAACATTTTGAAAATTTAATTGAAGAATATATTCAAAACAACCATTTTGAGATTTGGATTCGTCATAACAACTTGAAAAGGTTATTGAAACATTTATTACTCTCTTTAATTCTACTTTCAAAATTACAACAAGGCAGACCATCAAATTCTCTACTCATGAGACCACAAGAAAGAACATGGCTCAATCAATTATGTCAATCCAAACAACATGATTCCATGTGGAATAATCTCTTTGAAAAGATGAATCATTTTCTCGAGCAAGTCGAATGGAATCATCAAGAAAGGATTCAAAAATTTAATTCATTACTCAATTCTTCTCAACCGACAACAACAACAAGAACAACCACCACTAGCTCTAATAGATTCAGAGTATCTAAATTATAATAAGGTTGTGACTACCTCTTATCACATTTTCGTGCAAATTTTTCATGGATGAGTGAGTGGCCAACTGAGTGAATCCTAAGTGAATCCAAAGTGAATGAATCTCAAAGTAACTTTCAAAGAATTATATTAATCTTTAACAACAACAATACTATTGTACATTATGTATTATTCATTCAAACAAACATTGGGTGTAATGAAACCTCCACTTGCTTCGAAACTGTACAAACTTTCCAAAGTAGTCTGTGCGATATTATTGATGGCCTCATTCGTGAAAAATGCTTGATGGGGTGTCACAATGACATTGGGAAAAGTTAATAATCTCATAAATGTATCATCGATAATAATTTGTTCTCTTCGATCTTCAAAAAACAATTCATGTTCAAATTCATAGACATCAAGTCCTAGACTTCCAATTTGACCACTCTTTAAGCCATCAATCACATCTTCAGTGACAATGAGACCACCTCGAGCTGTATTGACAATCATGACACCTTTTTTCATCTTTTTTATGGAATTGGAATTAATCATGTGTTCAGTCACACCCTTAATGAGTGGACAATGAAGTGACAGGGCATCTGCTTGTGCATACAAATCATCTAATACATCCACAAATTCAATTCCCATTTTGACTAAATCTGGATCTTTGAATGAATCATAGACCATGACTCGAGCACCAAATCCCATTTTCAAACATTTACACACAAGTTTTCCAATTTTACCACTACCTCCAATGATTCCAAATACTTTAGTATTCATGTCAAATCCCATCAATCCTTCCAAACTAAATTCTCCATCCTTAATTCTTTGAAATGCTCGATGTATTTTTTCTATTGAGAGCCATAATCATGGCTATTGTAAAGTCAGCAGTAGCACCAGGTGAATATTCTAATGATCGTGATCATGTCAGGTATCATTTCAAGATCGTGATCATGTCAGGTATCAATCATTCAAATGCATGTCATTATCATTCATTCCAAGAAAATAAAGATGATAATGTATATAATTATATAAATTCATGTGTTCAGGTATTAGGTGGATACCATTCGAAATGTATGAACTCACATTGGGTCTATTCCATAAAAGAATGAACACACTTACCTGGAACTCGACACACTTTAATGCCAAATTCTGTAGCTGCTGAAAGATCCACATTGTTATATCCAGCTGATCTCAATGCAATACATTTTACTCCAAATTGAGACTTTAATAATTTCAAAGCATTTCTATTAACATTATCATTGACAAAGACAGTAATGTAATCACAACCTTCAGCCAATCCAAGAGTAGATTCAGTTAATCGAGCATCAATGAATTTTAAATTAAATGGACCAGATCTTTCTAAATTTGAATAATTGGAAAGAAATTGTTTGAATGTAATTGTTGGACATGGTTGATGATCATGATGACTAGTAGTACTTTTCAAATTTTCAATTCCAATGGTTCTCACTGGAAGGTTTTTTGAGAGCAATGGTTGATAATATTCTCTCAAGAAATCAACATCCCGAAGAAATTTTGTATAAATTGAGTGATTGAGAGAACGAAAGGATCGTTCGACAAAGGGTTTCGATGAAAAGAAGCCAATGGTTTTTTGATTCATTTTTTTTAATATTTGTGTCTATATATAGTAATTTGAACCCTTTGATTGCTTAATTATCTATTAATTGCAATGAATAATTAGATGATCAAAACTTATAAATTTGGGGACCTTTCAATGAATAGTTAGATGATCAAAACGTAACCTTTCAACTGTCACATCCAATTAATTTTTGATAAACAATAATGAAGATATTGGTCATGTGTGATGGTTAGCCATGTCGATCATTAACGACTTCGATGAAAAATAATTTTAGTCTCCACCAAAGCACTAAAAATCATGTATGACAAGTACAACATTCCAAGAAAGATTCCAAATATTTTTGGAGAATGCCATCGACACAGTGGAACAATAATGAGTGCACTCGAGAGAGATGCAATTAAAAAGAAAAAGGATGCATACACAGTGGTATTCTTTTCAAATACAAATGGAGTACCATTAATAATATTCGAAGAAGTTGCTGCAATACCAAGTCCAATAAGTAAATTCTATCAGAAAAGGTGTCATGTCCATAAAAGGAAATTATCGAGATATTAAGAAGGATAACCTTAACAACAACAATGTATACTACTAATACCTACCAATAATGGTCCTCCATAAACACCACCCAAAGCCATCTCAACAAATCCTTGTCTTGCAATAAGAACATCAGCAACTAAATCACTCAATGAATTTCCCCAACTCAATACAGTAATGGATAGAATTGCATCACTCACTTGAAGAATGACACCTAATGAAGTTAATAAATCAACCATTTCATTAGCAATAATGTAAATCCATAAAATAGACATGATGAATGCTAAAAATACAAATATCTATATATGGATATTGAATGTAAAGAATGTTCTCTTTGTTCTACTTACGAAATGATATCTTGGTGGTTTTCCTCGTCGAGAAGTGAAAAATATGATCAATGAAAATACACATCCAATGATGAGAGTGAGTGCCCAAACTGGAAATGATGTATTTGGAAGTGTAAGAGTAATATCTGAGAGTAGTATATTAAGAGTATATTAATGAAGTTGAAGTGAATTGAGCGAATTGAGTGAATTGTATGAAGTTAAAGAGGTTGAAGTGAATATAATTGAGTGTGAATATAATTATAAAGTTAAAGTGAAGTGAGATTAAAGTGAGGAATTAATATCATCACTTACATCCTGTTGCAAATGTTGCAAATGGTGGCATGAATATCATTGAAATACATGCAAAGAATTTACTCCAATCTTCTGGATCTGCTTTTGGAATGGTCAAATTTCGAATCAATAACGTCCATCCTTCAAAAAGAATAAAAAATATTTTTGAAAATAAAGATTTCTCTTCCCATTCAATCCAATCTAAAAAATAGTCCAAAACATGTTTGAATTTTGTTTTTAGAGAAACAAGTGCAGGAGATTTCCACATGTTAGTCATGTGCCATGGTTCCAAGTGAGAAGATTGGTTATTCGATAGTAGTGAAATCTGTTCTTCTTCTTTTTCGGAAGTATTTACAGAATTCACAATGGTTCCAAAATGTTCTGAAATAATAAGAGATCCAGTAAATTCCATCATTTGACGATTCTTGTGTGTGTTGGTGGGAGTAGTAGTAGTGGTGGTGATGGTGGTAAGAGAAAGTGGACCTGATAATAGTGTACTATTTGATGGAAGTGATGGATCAGTGTTGTTCTTTTTTGGTAAAACTATAGTTTTGGATAATACAGAGCTATTGGATGGAATTTCATCTTGTTCAAATCTTGGAGAGTTTGTTTCATGATGTAAAAGGTCTGTCGTAGTGTTATTGCTGTTATGATCATCATGTTTGTGATGTAAATGAACCATTCCTACTTTTGGATAAAAAACAGTTCCAAAAAAACCATGTTTTTGCCCTTCAATAATTTCCTTTTTCACAATTTCATTCAAATCAGAAATTTTGTTAATTTGCATTTCAAAATTAGGTGCTTTACCAATTTTCCATCCATCTCCACCATCTTGTACTTCATCTGAATCATATTCATTGTCATTCAATGGTATTTTCTTTTTATATTTTTGGTAACATGTAATAAATGTTCTTGATAAAATCACAAAAGAGACATAACTCGCATAAATTAATAGACAAATAATACTTTGCCATAAATTAATAGATCCATTGAAAATAACCATAAACATGACATAGGAGACACTAATTAAATAGGCAATACAATCTCTCAAAAATGGAAATGGAATTACTTTGGCATTAGAGAATAGACTCACAGCTGACATGACCATAGATGTGACAAAAACTCCAGCACCAATAGGTTCACCAACTCCAAAACCTATTTAACAGATGATTAAAACATTTGGTTGGATAAATATATTTTGTAATTACCATATATGGTCATTTGAAAGGTTGGATCATATGGAAATCATTTGAACATGTGAAATGTTGAATCATTATTAAAGAAGAAGAATATATTGAACAAGGTCATTGAACATATGTAATCAATTATGTAATCAATATTGAAATATATTATCTATATTTAAATTTGTACACATCTACTCACTTACCTGTCGATCCAGAAAACACACCAGCAATAATACTTGAAATATCAGGAGCACCATTTCCCAAACTCAAAAATGTCACACCTAAGATGCGAAATGAATTCCATCAAATATAATCATTTATCATTTAAATTTATCATTTTCACACCGATATGAATATTCACAACACAACATTATATCATTTTCACAACATTATATCATTCATTCAATTTTCACAACACAATATCATGAAATACATCATTTTCACACCGATATTAATATTCACAACACAACATTAACTAGTATCATGTCATCATCATTACTTTCACTTACCTGCAACATCAGGTGATAATCTCAAAATTCTACAAATTTCTGTAAGTGCTGGACAGAAATTCACTTCAGCTGTATTGGATAACATGTAAAATAATATCAATATCCAAACAATACTCAATACAAAGAATAACCAACTTGCATTTTTCAATCCACAATATCTAATATTTAAATAATTAATCATACCACCACCCATTGGATTTGGACAATTTTCTTTCACATATTCACATTGATCAAGTTCATAATTTGAAATTTTATGACAAATTTTAGTATTACCATCATCATCACCATCACCGACAAGAGGTTGTTGAGAGAGTGTTGTTGTTGTTGTTGTTGAGAATAAAGTATTGGTGGTATTGGTGGTCAGAGTGGTCATGTTGGTATTGGTGGTTCGAGTGGTCAGAGTGGTCATGTTGGTATTGGTCAGAGTGGTGGTTCGAGTGGTGGTGCTTGTAGTTTCATATGGATGATGATGGAATAATTTGGGTGGTGATGGTGAAAAAGACTTCCCAGATGTCCATGATGATGATGATGTGAAAAGAAAAGATAATGATGATACTGGTGCAACAACACGTGATGCATCATCGATCGTATTAGACCAATAAGAATCACCACTCTGATCACCACCTCTGAATAGAATCATACACAAAATCACGAATATGGCAATGCTTGAATATTTCACCACATACCACCATGTGGTTCGGGGCACTTGTGGAAATATTCTCATTCTGTGTGAGTGTGTGCGGAGTGTTGTTATTATTATTATTATTATTATTGAATTGAGAGTATTATTGTTATTGGGAGAGAGAGTGTGAGAGATGGTTGTAAATTATAATTCTTGTTATTGATGAGTTCGAATTGTTCGAATTGTTCTTCTTGATGGTCTAATTGTGGTTCTTGTGGTTCAATAGTATTGAAATAGGATGATCTAAAAAAGAAGAGTAAGTACTTCTTAGAATAATAATGGAGGATATTGTGAGAGAGAGAGATGACAATAAGTTTATAATTTTACTTGATAACGTTATTGGTGCACCAGAGAGAGAGAGAGAGGGTTCGAACCCTCGGGTGAATCAAAGTATTGTTGTGATTTTCTCTTCACTGAGACGACAACAACTAAAGAGAGAGAAGAGATTTTTTCGCGAAATGCCACCGTATGGTGATGATGAATTGGCTCTGAAAGAGGATCATCACCTTTCACACACCTTTGCACCGCATCGAAACACACAATCTCCACCACCTCATTTGAATGATTTGGTCTCATGACCACATTTGTTAAAGAGCAATGTCTCTTGCCAAACTACTACTACTAGTAAATAATAAGGTAAACCTTTGAATGCTCTGAGTTGTTGACCTTTTACTCTTCATTCAAGAATTTCAAGAATACTTGTTCCAGTGTGGACTGAGTGACCATGAATGAAGCAATTCCTAACTCTTCCTTTCTCAATGATAATCCTTTCAAGAGTGATGGAAATTGTGAAATTAAATCATTGGAGAGAACACAAAGAGTATTCAATGAGTGTTGTTGTGAATATGGTGATGATTGTGATGATGGTAGTGATGGATGAATCAACTTGAACTTGGATGTATCTGAAATATTCTCTTCAAAATAGGATTGAATCTTTCTTAATGATGTTACAATTTCATGTGAATATTGTTGCTGTTGTGAATGTTGTTGCTGTTGAGCATATTGTTGCTGTGAATATTGTAGTGATGATGGTAATTGCAAGGTCATTTCAATACAATATCCAATTCCATAATGATTTTTTAAATAGAGTGAAGAACCAGACACTTCCAATTGACCATTTTTCATGATATGAATTTGATCTCCCAATACATCTGCTTCTTCCATTTGATGTGTGGTGAGAATGATGATCTTTCTTGGTTGTTTTCTGAATTGTTGTAAGACATTCCAAATGATTTGTCGATTGTGAATATCCACACCTGTACTGACTTCATCCAAAATAAGAATCTCAGGATTACCAATAATGGAAATGGCAAAAGAAAGTTTTCTTTTTTGTCCACCACTCAATGTACTTGCATCTTTGTATTTAAATTCTGAGAATTCTAATAGGTCAAGTAAATGATCAATTTGAGATTCAAGTGATTTGAATATTGAAGAAAATGAATGAAATAAGGACATGCATCCATTTTTAGACTCTCTCACAATATCATCATCATCATAACCATGAAACACATTCTCCATTGTTCTTGTTGTTGTTCTTCTTGTTGTTGTTGTTAATAACAATTCTTTCTTTCTTTTGATCATTCCAAATATTCTCAAATGATCCACAACACTCAATTTTGGAAATATTAAATCTTCTTGAGGACATAAACCTATTCTTGATCGAATCTCATCAATGTGATCTTTCACATTCAAATCATTGACATAAATCTCTCCACTCTCTGGTTTCAATTGTCCACTCAATAGAGATACCAATGTTGATTTACCAACACCATTCTTTCCAATAAATACTGTAATTTCACCTTCCTTAATATCCACAGTTAAATCATTCAATACAACCATGTCTGTGGTCTTTGAAGTAAAGCATGAAAAGAATGAAGTGTTGGATGAAAAGGATGAGGATGTTGGAGATGTTGTTAGACTTGTTCGTGTGGTTGTATTGTTGCTGATGTTGTTGTTGTTTAGATGGTGATTCTTAGGGACTTTAAATGTTTTCGTGACATGTTCGATTCGAATACGAGAAGAAGGTAGGTTGTGTTGTTGTTGTTGTTGATGTGATGGTTGTTGTGATTGTGGTTGTTGTGATTGTGGTTGTTCAGAGAATAGGTCCACATGTGGATTCGCATCAATGACATGCTCTTCTTCTTGAGAATAATGAATTTGTGAAACTGTCATCCTTCTCCACAATTTCTGAATGAATTTTTTCAATACTTTCAAAAGAGATTGTGATTGAGAATCAGTGTCTCCTCTTTTCTTATCCAAAATCACAGCAATTACTAAATATAGAATACTATCAACAATTAATAAAAGTATCATGATGGCAAGAGGTGGTGGTGGTGGTGATAGAGAGAGAGAATTTGTCATCATATTGAGTCCACTCAATGCTTTTGAATCATAATTCCACACAAAAAGACTTGTCCATGAAAAATACTTTTTTTGATTCTCATAAAAGGAAATAATGACTTGCACGACATCACAAAATGCAATTGGACTCATCAAATATAATACATATTGAATACAAGTAGAAATAAAAATCATATTGCTCGATGAATTCATATCATTCACAGTAGTAGTGGTTGTTGTTGTTGTTGTTGTTGTTGTCATGAGTAGTACATTTGGTAAAATAAAACGATACACAATCCAAATCATTTCCAATGCCATAAATAGTAATTGAGAGAGAAAGAGTGCCTTTTTTGAATCTTTAAAAAATGTACTGGTCATGAGCATTAAGGGAATTCCACTCATCAAATAGATCATCAATATACCACAAAATAAAAATAAATTCACAAATTTCAATAAATTTGAAATGAATAATGAAATCCATGTGATGAATACAAGAATTAATATTTCAATAGAACATGAAATGAAATAGGAAAGAATATAACTTGAATGATGACATCCCATGAGAATCATGTAGGATTTAAGTTTTGATTGTTTTTCAGTAACTATTGAAATTAAATTAGGATTAAATAAGTTTAAAATACTAAAACTAAAATAAACAGGATACAAGATGGAGAATATCATTTTGATCATTGTGTCATGATTTTGAGAAGTTTCACTTTTCACAAATTGTTTTGCATAGATTTGAATAGAATTTTCATTCATTTTCACTTTCTTATTCATGGTGTTAGAAATTGCAATATTGACATAATGTTGAAGATTGATTTGTGAAGAATAATCTGTGAATTGATTTCTAAAAGTAGTTCCACTTCGATTGATCAATAAAATATCTTGTGTGGATTTGAAATGTAAATCGACTAGATACTTTTTAGAATTCTTTAAATAATCGATTGGATGATGTTCATTATTGTATTGAATATTTGAAAAATAGATACTGTTTTGTAAAGTTTTGTAAATTTCAGGTGCATAGGATTTTCCCATCAAATCAGAGTTTTGTAAAGACATGTAAATAGAGGTACTTGTGTGATTATTCTTGCTGATGCGTGATCTATTAAAAGATGTGACATTCAATGATGATGTCTCTTGTTGTTGTTGTTCAACAAAAATATAATTCACCATCAACCACAAAACAAATACCAATTGAATCGGAAATGTAAATGTGAGAATGGTTTGGAATGGTTTACTTGTTTTGTATTTTAAATTCTTGTAGATGAGAATGAGTGTTTGATAGAAGAGAGAATGAAAGTATGAATGATGATCATCCGAAGAAGAAGAAGAAGCATCATGTTGTGGTGAGGTGGTGGATGATGACATTTTTTGGTTATTTGGAATATTTAGTGCGACATCAACATATATGGTGGGTTGTTCGTACGGATTCAACTGGTTTTATTAGATGGAGTGAGCTGGGGTGAGCTGGGGTGAGCTGAGTGAGATTCGCTTAGATCATGGACTAGTAGAAAGTCCTTATCTCCAACGATAATATTGGCTTGGTGTCACAGCGTTTCACATGCATAAGCGTATGGGGCAGTTTAAAAGAAGAATTAAAGCTATTGAATAATAGCTCAGAGGATTCCCATAGAGGTCAAGTTGCATATTCACTAGTGCAGTGCTCGTCTAAAATAAGGTGATATCACTCTCGAAATAATTGAACCATCATTGTGATGATGATGATGGTGATGATGTCGTCCCACCAACGTTGACGAACCAGAAATGATTTAATCGACGACGACACGTGAATTCAAAAGCGTCGTTCTCCGTAAAAAATATCAACAACATCCTCATAACGGACCACTCGGATCCTTCTTCTTCTTCGCTGCTGCAGAGCCTCACTCTAAAACTTTCCATTGATTCTCTCCCTTCTTCTCTCCAACCTCATCATCCCAGTATATACTGAATCATCAACAATGCTAAAACGTATTCAATCCGGTAACACGGTATCATCAGCCTCTTCTTCTTCTTCGGGTTATAATTATTCAAGTGGTGGTCAGAGTAGTAGTAGTAGTACTGGTAGTGGTGGTGGTGGCTCCTCTTCTCCCACTCTCCGAGACCAACAACAAGAACATTTCAAGAAAATTCTTGCTCAACTTTTAAAATTACCCTGCAATGCGGAATGTGCAGACTGTACAGAAGCTCGTCCTGTTTGGTGTAGTGCTACATTTGGTACTTTTATTTGTTTGCGATGTGCTGGAATTCATCGTTCATTAGGTTCTCACATTTCTTTTGTAAGAAGTGCTGAAATGGACAAGTGGGATGAAAAACATGTCAAACTCATGCAATTAATGGGAAATGAACGAGCTCGTGAATATTTTGAACATGAATTACCAAGTGATAAAAAGAAACCCTCTCGATTGGACTCTACAAATGTTGTTGAACAATTTATTAAGGATAAATACGTGAATTTGAAATATGTCCCTAAAAAAGAGGATGGAAAAAAGATGACATTTAGAGAATTTTTGGAATTGGTCAAGAATTCAACTGTGAAAAATTCTGATGAATCAACAAGTAATGAAAAGAAAAAGAGTAAATCTTCCACAAGTGGTGAAGTGAAAAAGAAGAAGAAAAAACCAACAAAAACCAACAATGATGATGAACAGAGTGTTGAATCAATTGTCGGAGTGTCACCAAATTCATCATCAGTGAATTTTACATTTGACGATTTACTGTCGAGTCCATTAAGTGAATCATCAACTCCAGTCAGTACTAGTACCAATCCTACTACTACCACACAATCTCAGCTCAACACCAATGCTGATCCAAATACTTTGATGGGATTTTTAAGTGATAAACTTTCATTGGTTGATTTGGGTAGTAGTAAGACAAGTCCAACTCCCACTTCTGCTGCTGTGAATGTTAATCACACTACTATGGTTAATAATACCAATGCTACTACTACCAAAGATTCAAAAAGTACTACAGCCAAAAAGAAGACTAAAAAGTCTGTTAAGGCCATTAAAACTTCTTCATTCGAAGAAGATGACGATGAAGAAGATGAATATGATGCAATTTTCCAAAAACCAACATCTTCAACAACATCAGACATTTCACAAGAACAGAAAAAGAATGCAATTTTAGATTTATGGAAATAATCATTCAAGTGTAATTTTATATATTTGAAATACGTTAAAATCTAGATAAATGATCTTTAAATGTAGTGTGGATGACTGTTGGTGCTGCTGAAAGAATTTATCATTCTAACCTTCTCGATGAAGAAACCACCATCAAAAAAATTATAAACCTCTCGGAAAGGGATTGGTTCCGATTGATGCACCACATCAAATTTGAATCATCATCATCTCAATAGACACGACAATATCATCAAACGCATCACCACCTTTATTTCATATATACATTATCGTAACTCCACCACTCGCGTGTTGAGTATTCTCAAATTTGTTGTGTGAGTTCACAAGAAAATGGTTTTGAAAATTTCCTCACAATATCCTCTCCGTCATGTGAAATCTCTCATGGTCAATGCTCAAGAATCTACAACTCTCTCTTTGATGAATAATACGATTCAACAACTATCATCATTGCCACCATCAATACCACCAATACCATCAATACCACCAATACCAATACCACCACCACCACTACTACTACTACACTCATCATGTCCATCATCATCACCGAACAAATCCACAAACCATACAGTCAATCCTCACAACAACACCAATAACACCACACCTCACACAATGCACAATAACAACAATAACACCACCATCACCACCACCACCACTGCATCCATTCCGAATACTACAAGCAGTAGTGGATACATTTATTCAATGTGTAAATCTCATCAAGGTGACATGTTGTGTTGTGTGAATACTTGTGGTTCGATTCATATTTATTCTCTCTTCAATCTTGAATTAATTTTTGAATTTTCTTATCGATCTATTTTTGATCAAAATCACATGTATAGAAATCAACGAGTGATTGAAGAATATTATGTTTGTAAATTTTCACCAGATGATTATTCCATCTGTGTTGGAGGTAAAAGAAAGAATCGATATGAATGGGATGTTTTAGATGATGATAACAAAATATTGGAATGTCCTCTCACATGTATTAATTTAGTAACAAATCAAATTAATTACTTATATGGACATACAGAAGAAATTCTATGTTTGGAAAGTATTCAAGTGAATGATTTATTTTATTATGTGACTGGATCTTATGATGGAACTATTATTAAATGGTTAATGAATTCCAATGATCATTACATGACATGTTTGGACAAACAAATTATTACTCATCGAAGTACCAATGTTGTACTTGATATCAAATTTATATTTTATGATAAGAAGAGAAATGAATTTATGAGTCATGGTGGTGGCATTATTCATCATCATCCTCCTAATTGTAAGAGTTGTTATGGTGACATGTCCATCTTTATGATTGGTGCTTGTGATCATCGAATTAAAATTTATGATTTTAATTCGAATCAATTATTGAAGAGTTTTGATTTACCTGAATATGATTTATATTGTGCAAGTTTACAAGTATTAATGGAATCCTCTGTGTTCAATCAAAAGAATGATACTTTGACACGATGTTGTGATAGGACATTCTCATCCTTCCCATCCTTCTCAACCACTACTACAACAACAACAACGACTCCTCCTAGTACTACCACCTCTACTACTACTCCTACTACTACAACAACTCCTACCACCTCTGCTACTACTCCTAGTACTACCACCTCTACTACTACTTTAAAACAACCAGTGATACTCGAGACCACCAATCCTTCCCATCCACTCACTCTTCATCTCATTACAAAAGGAGTAAATCAACAACAAAACAACTCTCCTTCACACATTCATTTAAGAAAACTTTCAATTCATGTACAAAATATTTCAAAATCAACGTTAGAAACTATTCATACTTTTACACATTCACAATATCAATGTAATTCATGGATGGTGAAATGTAAATACTATTCAGGTTATTTATTTACTCCTTCCAATCATGGAAAATTATTTATTTGGAATTTACATGATAGGAAATTATGTGGAATTTTAAATGATCATTCTGGAAATGTTAGAAATGTTGAATTTGATCATCACCATGATCATTCCTATCATGATTCACAATTATCAATGACAAGTTTTCGATTATTTACCTGTGGAGATGACAGTATTGTTCATGTCTATGAAGGAGAAGGAAAAAGAAGAACAACATTACCAATAGTTACTACCAACAACAACAACAACAACACTTGCAGCAGCAGCACTACTGCTGTTCATCATGAACGACCTTCTCACTTCACCACCCATCCACAAGATGGTACTACCAATACTACTACCAATACTGCTGGTGGTGATGATGAAAATCATTCAACAACAACAACAACAGCACCACCAATGAATGTGCATCGAAAGAGAATGATTCGAAGAAATCATGCTGTCTCCTCTTCCACCAATTTGAATGTTCCATCCAATTCTTCTTCTCCTCTCAACAACAATACAAACACTTCCAACAACAGGCATTCCTTAAACATTGCCACGACTAGTATTAACACCATCAATACCATCAATACCATCAATACCACCAATACCACCAATACCACCAATACCACCAATACCACCACTAGTAGTAGTAGTTGCAGCAGTACAGATGGATCGATAAATCATCATCATCATCATCATCATAATAACGGAGAGGACAAGAGTAGCAACAACACTTCTTCTCACCACCACCACCGAAGAAAATTCAGAAAGAATATCTCTAATCATTGTACGAGGAGCACTACGACCACCACATTGACCACCACATTGACCACCAACACTACGAATGAATATCACACAACAGCAGCACTAGACATGATGGAAGAGTTTCACAAAGAGCAGCCAAATGTCATGGATCTTGGCAAGAATACTACGAACACTACGACCACCACATTGACCACCACCATTGATGCATCACCATCCTCCAACTTGTTTCCCATTACTCCTCCTAGTACTTTTGCATTAACTCCTACAAGTGCGATCCTATTGTCTCCATCACCATTCTCTTCATCACAACCGAATGATGATTCTTCCTTACCAACCTTCACACAATCACCAACACCACCACCACCACAAACACAACAACCATATAATCAAACGTATAATCAAACATATAATCAAACATATAATCAAACATATCATGGACAGCAACAACAACAACATCTTTATACTATTCCTTCTTATGACTCAATGCAAGTCGATGAGGTTTTCAAAAACGATGACGACGATCAAGATTTATATTTTCCAAGCGTAAGTCATTTACTGGAGGAAGAAGAAGAATCTTGACATTGAATCTCTTAAAGTATACATCATTTAGTGGTGATCTCATGCATAAAGTATACATCATTTAGTGGTGATCTCATGAAGGTACCTACGATGTTAACACATCTCTTTTGGAATAATAAATCCTACGTAGGATATATGATGAATGAATACGAACCTTTCAAAGGTAAAGATCGCTCGTCTCTACTTTCGTACCTTCTGATCTGCATCAATAAAAGAGTTGAATGTTCGAAAGTAAAAAAATAAATCGACGCGAGCGACCCTACTCATTCCCACACACACCCAACCAACAACAACTTTCCATCATCACACTCTTGACCCTCATCAACATGCTATCGGACTCACATTTTGAACAAATCTATCAATCCTCCAACGAAGGAGCCTCATCCAGTAATGTCATTTCATCTCTCTCATGGGTTCCACGTGGTTCTTTTAAATTAGTTCCGACCGTTCTTGCCGATACCATGACTGAACCACCCAAAGATCCTTCTAGTACCACCACCTCTCTTGAAAGTGATGATGAAATGGACCACAATTGTGATGAACATGCCATGAATGATGAAACCAATGAACAATCTTCTTTTGGTGGATTTGAAAAGATATCACTTGAAGAATTACTTTTCAAAGCCACAAGTGGTAAAAATCTTACCATGTATTCCACCAATGATGAAGATCCTTATCTCAAAGGCAAAGGAGTGAGTGATTCAAGTGAAGAAGCTGATTTTGAATTGAAACCTAATGATTTACCACTTGTTGCCATTCACAATGAAGAAGATGGTCTCACTACATTACAAGTTTGGATTTATGAACAAGAAGAAGATAATTTATTTATTCATCATGATTTATTATTAGCTAATTATGGATTGTGTACTCAATGGTTGAATTTAAAGAATATTAATCAACCTGGAAATTGTATTGCAATTGGAACATTTGAACCACAAATTGAAATTTGGGATTTAGATATTGTTGATCCAATTGAACCAATTATGGTATTAGGTGAACAAGAAGTAGATGCTAAAAAGAAAAAGAAATCTTCAAATTCAGTGAATTCACATAGAGGTCCAATTTTGAGCATGTCTTTCCGTTCCTCTGATTCTAAATTAGCAAGTGGAAGTGAAGATCGTTCTGTCATTATTTGGGATCTCTCCACACAAAAACCATTTTATCATTTGAAGAATGTTGGTTCATCACCCATTCAAGGAGTTCAATTCCATCCCACTGAACAACACATTTTATTGACATGTCCTATTGAAGACAAGTGTTGTAAAGTGTATGATGCTCGTCAACAATCTCCAAAACCAAAACGATATCAATTCTCTCAACAATCTAGTGGAGATGCTGAATGTTGTTTGTGGAATCCAAACAATCCATTCGAATTTGTAATTTCTCAAGACAATGGTTTTGTGACGTGTTTTGATATTCGAAAGGAAGGTTCAAGTAACAATCAGGTTTGGAACATCAAAGCTCATCCAGATGCATCATGTTCATGTCTGAGTTTCTCAACTCTTAAGAGTAATTTAATGGCAAGTGTTGGTAGTGATGGATGTGTGAGATTGTGGAGCACAAAATCAAGTGTACCAGAATTGGCATTTACAAAGAATGTTAAGAAAAGTATGGGTGAAATATTTACATGCTCCTTTGCTCCGACCACTTTGAATGATGACATTGTGTTGGCTTATGGTGGATCTGGAGGAAATTTGGGTGTTTTCAATGTATCAGCCCAAGCGAAAAAGGGTCATAGCTCAGCATCTTCATCCAATCAGTAAATAATGAATTTATTCCACCTCAAGAACACGAGTGCTTTTGATCATTTCTATCGAACTTTGAATTCTGTATGAACCAATTAATTGGTATTCATGAATGAACAGCACAAAGCGTTATTTCAAATGCATTGAAAGAAAAGGAATGGAGGATGGATTCACAAATTTTCACATTGCAAATGCTGTTCAAAAAATACTTGAAATACTGTAGTAGGAAACATCGAGTACCACCATCATTAAGATGGAATTCTTGTTGAATCTATTCAAAAAGTCCATCGGATTCCCAAATTTCTAATAATATTTGTATCATTTCTTTGAGTGGTATTGGCTTTTGAAAGGATGGTTTTTTCGGGTTGACCAAATGTTCAACAATGGCATCAACATCGACCGAATCTCTGTGGTCTTCACGAGAGTCATTCAGCGCTGAGATTGTTTTCTTATCTTTACAAAACTCTCCGGTCACCCACGCGTGTCTAATAGCTTTCCATCGTTCCAATCCGACTCCTAATTCTGGGGCCACTGTATCGTAGAGATTCATTGGATCATTTGGATCATTTCCACTACTTTTCGTATAGAGTTGTGGGACATTGTTTGTTGATGACATGATGAAGGATGAGTAGTGGTGGTGGTGGTGGTGGTGCGAATGATGGTGGTGGGTAGTGAGTGAGGCAGTGGTGGTATTGTTGTTGTTGTTGTTGGAAAGAGATGTTTTGGACGCGTCTTGAGAGAGTTGCTGCGAAATATTTTTTGTTCCGTTTCGCTCTGCGTCAGAGTCCAAAACTGTCTTTGAATATTGCTTGTCCTCATCACCTTCATTCGTAGTCGTCGTTCGACGCAGTGGTGGTGTGTTGTTTCGACCTTTGCTCTTGGGCTTTGTGTGATTGAACCATGAGGGTGAGATGTCTGCATGATGATGATTCATCTCTTCTTCTTCGTCTGAACTCGAGTAGGTTTTAAATGTTCTCATTCTTGTTGTTGTTGTTTGAGAAGGAAAAGTAGAGAGTGAATTCTTCTTCATGACAACTCGAGAGAGTAATTCTTGTTCGGAAAGAGGTTCGTCAATTCTCTCTTCAATTTCACGTAACATTGATTGATTTCCCATTGAAAGATTTGAAGAGTTTGATCCAGATGAAGAATAGGTGGAATGCACGACAAGATTGTTATGATAAATATTGTATTGATCATCTTCATCATCATCCTGATTTGTTTGATCAAATTCGTGTTTTAAAGAAGGATCTGTGCCAGTACGTAGTGTTGAGATCTTGTCGAGATTGGGTGGTGATGTTGGTGGATGATTCACAACAACAATTCCATCTGGTGAGGATGGTGATGGTGATGAGGATCCTCCTGATGTTGCTCCTGTTGATGGATGACCTCTTCCTCCAAACCATGCCAAAGTGGTTGCATGTTGTTGTTGTTGTTGTTGTCGAATCAACCACCCACTCTTTCGGAGTTGTCGAAAGGCGTTAATGATGAGGAATGCCACCAGGAATAGGAAAAGAATGATGAGTGGAAAACCAATGAGAATGAGTGGAATTGGATGTTCCTTCCACAATTGAGTGAGTGTTTCAGAAGAAGGATGATGAAAGAGAGAGGATGTAATATGTACAAGGATTGTTTGATAATGAGAGAAGAGAGAGGATGTGTTTTGTTGTTGATGAATAAGGCTTGAAGAAATTCGTGCTGCCGTTTTGAAAGAATTTACAAGATGATGAAGGCTCAATCGATTGTTGGAATGGTAAATGATAATATTACCGAAGGAGTGTTTCAGTAATATTAATAATTTCAAATAATGATGACAATAATCGGAGAGTGTGATGACAATGATGATGCAGTTTTTGAAATTAAAAATTGTTCATAAATATGGTGGGAATTAGTACTATAATTTAATCAGATATATTCTGCTGCTGACTCAAACAGAATGGTGGTCCTGATGGTTTTCAAATTTTGAATAGCGCTGTACAATACTAATAGAAGAGCATGGAGAATTTTTTATTGAAAATTTTAAATCTCCGCTCGTGATCCCGAAGGAGACCTTGTTCATGACTGTTGAATCGATCTCTTGTTCATGACAGCCACCGATAACAAATAAGAACACATCACCATAATATAGTCTGCATAATAGACCAATAATTTCAATTTGACGAAGGAATTAATTTCTAAAACGTGAGTCGCATCTGCGACCTCTAACATTCAGATCGAGTTCAATTACATAAAAATTGAACCAACGTCCACAACTGAAAAACGTTCATTCTTATCGCTCCGATTCTCTGACCTCTAGATTCTTCACTTGAATCGTTATTATTTAATTCGGAGGAAGAAAACAAGTAGTAGAAGTGGTGGTGGCGTTTCATCATCATCAACCACAATCATTGTTCTTATTTTGATTCCTCCAATTCTTCATTGGTCCCTTTTCAAAAAAACATCACAAAACCGAATTGTACTCTCTTTTTTAAAAGATGAATTACTTTTTAGAAGTAGTCAAGCAAATTTACATTCTGCTCAAGAAGAATGGTCTTCTCTATGTAAGTAGAAAAGTAGTTGTTGTGGTTCTGGCGGTACATACACCTCATGATACATGTCGTCACGTCACTACTGCCAATGTCAATGATCTATGTTGGACATGAATGAACCATCATGCGAAATGAATGGACCACTACCATGATGATGATGACATTCTTATTGACACTCATGAACAACAGCTCAGAAGATGGAAATCCACTCTCCTTCAACTTCTTTCTCCCATTCTCATTTTGGCTGTGTTGGTGATTCTTGCTGCCATTAGTGAAATTACTTTTGGTGGTAAAAGTATTACCTATCAACCTGTATTGAATATTCATTCTCCTAACATTGATTTACCATCTGATGCATCAACTTCTCTTCGTTTCTATAATTGTACTTCATGGAATGGAAACAAATGCTATTCACTCAGTGTCACTGCGAATGGTGTTTCAATGGGTGAAAGTGTATTGAATCAACTCCTTGTTCAAGATTATGGATTAATTCAAGACAAAGACTATAAGAATTTTACCACTCAAAAACAATTAGAATCATTTCTTTATGAAAATCAAAACTCAACTGTGATTGGAATTGCATTTCTTCCAGATTCTCCTAATACTGTGTCTTATACGATTTATTACAATAGAACTCAAAATGATTTGTATTCTCCAGTTCTATCCATTCAAAATTTAATTGATAATACTATTGTTTATTTGAGAATGAAACAACTAGGAAGATTGGACAATCTCAATTCAGAGAATCCAAAACAAAGTATTCAAGTCAATTACAAGAATTTTGCTCAACCACCCACTCGTAAAAATGGACAAGTCATTATCTATAATAGTAAGTTCATCATTGATTGAATATATATCATTCATAAATATATATCATTCATAATCATAATATTTACCTTTGAAACTATATTTACATCCTTTGAAATAATTTATGACAACACCCCATAAAAGGTACTGGTCCAACCTTTTTTAGTATTGGCGCCATGATTATTTTAATTGTCAGTTTGAATAGTCTTGTGGTTGAGAAAGAGGCTCGTTTGAGATTTGCCATGATCATGATGGGTATGAAAGACTCTGCTTACTTTGTTTCATGGTTTATTACATTCTTTTTGATTTGTTTGGTATTCTCATTGGTCAATGTGATTGGTGGAATGATTTTTGGAATTAGTATCTTTTTGAAAGGCAATTTTTTAATTTTATTAATTCTATTCTTTTGTTTTAGTTTTTCATTGATTTGCTTTGCCTTTTTATTATCCACTTTTATTAAGGAATCAAAGAGTGCATTGGTTTTGGGATTTACAGTATTGGCAATATCATTTGTAAGTATAAATACAATTGTGGTAGAGTTGTGGTAACTGATATGTGATGTTGGTGGTGATAATATGTTCATATGATGTTGGTGGTGATAATATGTTCATGATAATGATTGATGACTTGATGATTTGTAAAATATACATTTAATTGAATGGTACAACATCAACCAACTATTAGATTCTCAATCTCTTTGTCTCTAATGGATCTGTTGTCTATCAATTATACTCTCCAGATGTCACACCTGCATTCAGAGTCATTCTTTCATTTTATCCTCCATTTAACTTTGCAAAGGGTATGTTGAAATTCGAATGTATTAGAAAGATTGAGAATCAATCACACTATTGTCACCTTTTGATGATTCCATCACTACTGCCATCACTACTGCCAATTCTCAATCACTATTGTTGCCATCATCATCATCATCATCACCATCATCACTAATGCCATCATCATCACCACAGTCTTTACTGATATTGCTACCAAAACACTTCCAGTCTACGATGAAGTTCAAAGAAAATTTGTTCCTGGTCCAGGTTATACATTTGATGATTTCTTTAATGGATCCAATACTTATGATTATGTTCCCAAATCATATGTTGGTATTTTAGTACTCATTTGTGATGGTCTATTATTCCTATTGATTTATTGGTATTGTGATAATGTCATTTCTGATGCCAATGGTGTTCGAAAAAGTCCAATCTTTTTTTTATATCCTTCTTATTGGGGAATTGACAAGTTGGTGATGCACTTATTTGGAAAAAATAAGGATTTGAATATTAAAACCAATGAAAAACAAGATGAAGAAGATTATCAAAGTATGGAAACAGAGGATGTTAGAAATGAATTTAAGAGAGCACGAAATGTTGAATTGAATGCTGTTGTGAGAGTGGTATCATTGAGACAGGTAAGTGTGTGTGTGCATCATTCCATGATGATGTAAATTGGACAATGTCATTCCATATAATGTTTTTTGTGATGTGATGATGATCATCACATGTTCATCATCATCATCATCTCTCTGAAATGTGTGATAGACCTATGCTGGATTTTTAAGCAAATTAGCCGCCAAATTTCTTCCCTCCAAACTGGCGCAAAGTCGATTCTTTCGAGAGAAGAAGGCTTTGAGAGGATTGAATTTAGTGGTTGAAGACAATCAATGTGTGTGCTTGTTAGGGTAAGTAGTAGTAATAGTAGTAGTCGTAGTAGTAGTAGTAACAGTAGAAATAATAATAATAATAACACAATCATCCATGATGGATGAATGAATACTCTCTCCATGGTTGATTCCAACAATAACTATCATCATTAGACACAATGGTGCAGGTAAAACGACCACCATGAATATTCTCACTGGTCTCTATCAACAAACTTCAGGTGAAGCCTACATTGGTGGTCTCAATGTGAAAACATCCATTGAAAAGATTCGAAAACAATTAGGAATGTGTCCTCAACATGATATTTTATGGGATGATTTAACAGCAGAAGAACATTTGGAATTATTTGGTGATATGAAAGGTGTTCCAAGATCACAACGTAATGAAGAAGTTAAATCTCTATTAGAATCAGTCGATTTATTAGATGTTGGACATCATCTTACGAAAACTTATTCAGGTGGTATGAAGAGAAGATTATCCATTTGTATTGCTTGTATTGGAAGTCCTAAATTGATACTATTGGATGAACCTACGACTGGATTGGTAAGTTGTTGTTGTTGTTGTTGTTGTGATTTTACTACTCGTTTGAATTCTATTTTTTGATTTTACAATTTCATTGGAATACTACTTGGAATTCTACTTTTTTTCTTGTTCAAAAACAACAACATCAATAGGATCCATTCTCTCGTAAGAAAGCATGGAATTTAATTCATAAAATGAAGAAGGGTAGAGCCATGATTCTCACTACTCATGCCATGGATGAAGGTAAGTCACTTGAATTATTGAAAAACCATCATCTCTCACCACCAATAATGATGACTACTACGACTACTACTTGACAACACACCATTGTGCATCACATGATGAATCAATCCTATATTATATATTTCACAACAACAACAACAGCTGATTACCTTTCAGATCGTATTGCTATTATGGCTCATGGTCAATTGAAATGTATTGGCGATTCTCTCTCAATTAAGGCTCAATATGGTTCTGGATATAATTTACTTGTGGTATCGAATGCAGGATTTGAAAAACAAGTTCTAAAATTAGTATATACTTACATCCCAGCTGCAAAGATTGTGAGTCAAAGTGCTGGAAATTATATTTTCAATGTTCCTAAAGAACAATTAACTGAATTGGGTGTATTATTAGAATATTTTGAGAAATTAATGGAAGGAAATGACACTCATACTCCTCCATTATTGAAGGATTGGGGTATTTCTCAAACAACATTGGAAGAAGTGTATCTCAAGGTGACAAAGAAATCAGAATTTGGATACAAGAATGCAGATATGGGTGAACTAAGCACTGTTGGAAGTGAAGCGAATTTGGAGCAACGAGAATTGTTAACTCATCACCCAAATAGTGAATCAGTATTGAGCATTCCTCAAATTCAATCTACAAGTGACTTTGAAATGAACACACTTGGTGGCAGCAGCACCACAAGTGGTAATGTTCTACCACCAACAACAACAAGTCTTGAATAAGAAACCAAATGTTTGAAAACGTCCTTTTAGGTGAAATAATTTTATTGCTCTTTCAAAATCCTTTCTCAGTCACTCAAATCCAGATTTTAACGACAGATGTTCTTTGGCAAAACATATAATTTTGTTTTTACTTAAATCATTTCTTTCGACAATTATTTTTATTCCGAATTAACAATATTAATTGATATTAATGCGTTTTTTTCTTTACATTCATTAATTCTCGAGATATTTGTTCAACAAATAAAGCTTGTTGTTTCACATTCCAACGGTGGTAGTTTGGAGAGGTGATAGAATCTAACACATCAGCATTAACTAATTATTGTTGAGTATAACACTATCACTTTGGATATTTCTTCCTATCAAATGGAATCATTGTTTTTGATATATTCCATTTTAATTATTCATTAATAGTCGATCAATTATTCCAGAAGAATAATCAATTCATTATTATAAAATCACAACCAAGAATAAAGGGAAACAGGAATTGTCAACGATAATTAATATAAAGTTATATATTTTCATCATATACTACGCAATCATGAGTTCTTCTTAATGAGGTAACATTGTGCTAAACTATATAATTATCTCTTATTTGTGGGGCAATATAACTCGAAGAAATGGATATTTACCTGTAAATAGCTTTAATAAATCATTTACTTTATTAAATTTAAATATTTAAAAATAAATAATACAGGGTTTCATATTTATTTTGTATTTATTTTTAAATACAAATGGGTAACTTTGCTCTTTAGTGTTATGGAACTCAATAATATTAGTTAATACAGATGGTTTTAATTAGTGCCTCCTCTCCGAACTGCTATCGTCGACCAACAAGCTATTTATGTTGTACAGTTGTCCCGAGAATTGATGGATAGAAGTATGTGATGAAAAACTCAATCAGTTAGTTGAGAAAACCCTAATTCATGAATGGAAAATAATTCGGGAATAATATATAAATATATTAGTTGAAAAAAGATTAGAATTAAATTAATATGTTATTAAAAAACAATGCTTACTTCTGCATTGTCATATAAAATAAGGTTAGTTCAGTAAAATTAAAAGAAAGAAAATATAAATGACCGTGTGACTAATAAACATCGCAAAGCGACGAAAACATCATTGAACAAATCAATGACGAGTAAAGAAATAAAAATTAAAAGGCCAATGATAAAAAATCGAGCTGTTTGTTTGATTCTGATCAGAAAAAAAAATATCTGAACGTTTTTCTATCATTCACCCTTGTTGTTCGGAACAGAGATTCTCTAATAATCCTATTGAATCAATAATATTATCATCGAAATTCAACACCACCTACCTGCACCACTTGTTGATTCTCTTTCACTTGTGTGATCCGAGTTCAACAATAACAACAATACACAATTGTGTTTTACATCCGAGTTCAACGTTCAACAATAACCACCAATATCAAACAATAACTGCCACTACAATACTCCTGATATGCCTCGTCTCTCAAATCCATTCAAATCCAAAGCTCCTCAAAACCAACAACATTTAGTGGTTGAGGAAGAAGATCGTACGTACACTTTGTTTTTTATTTGTTTTTCTTGATGATTCACAACAACAACACATCATGACCACCCATCTCTCCTCTTATCACACATGACCACCCCCTCACACCCCTCACTCACTCACACACCCCTCACTCACACCCCTCACTCACACCCCTCACACACACCTATGATCAGACATTGATGAAGCCATTCATGAAAATGGTCTCAAATTATTAAATGAATCTCTTGGTGATGATGAATTACAAATTAATTATCAATGGTGTTCAATTGTGAATTATGGATTTCCTGAACCTCAACCCAATGATGATGATATGGAAGTCTATCAAGCCTATACTCTTTGGGAAAAGAATCGAAGAGAGAAATTATTAGATGAATCTACCAAAGTATGGAAATCATTGATTGATGAAAATGGAGGAACTTCATCGAAATTATTGAAAAATGATTCCATGAAAAAGACCATTAAAAATACCATTCGAAAATATTCCATACCACCATGGTATAGAAGATATGTATGGACACAGATTACTGGTGTTGATAAGAAAATTAAAGAAAATAGAGGATATTATCGAAAGATTTTAGAGGGTAGGTCAATTTTACTATTTTTAGAAATAGATTCAACAATATGATCAACAATGATTCATTCGAATTATTATCATGTATTGAATCCTATTGAATCTTATTGGAACTATTATTGAATCATCCTATTGAATCATCCTAAATGTCCAGTTCATAGAGGTCAATCCTGTCCAAATGAAGCTCAAATTGATTTGGATTTATGTCGAACATTTCCATCTCATCCATTCTTTGCCAATTCTCATTCAGTTGGAAGAATGCAAATGAAGAATGTATTAACAGCATTTAGTTGGAGAAATCCATATGTATCTTATTGTCAAAGGTATGTGTGTGTGAATAGAATGTATGATTGGAATTTATGATTGGAATGTATGATTGGAATTTTTGATTGGAATTTTTGAATTTATTATGATTTTATTATTCTTTGAATTTATTCTCCAATGATTATGGGTGTGTGAATATTATCATCTTATTTGATCATGATCACACTCAGTCTCAATTATTTGGTTGGTGCTCTTTTATTGCACTGTGGAGAAGAAGAATCCTTTTGGCTTCTTGTGACCATTTTAGAAGATATTTTACCCGCCAATTATTACAATCCTGAATTAACTGGAATGAGAGTCGATTCCTATGTGTTGGATGAATTGATTAAAGAAAGACTTCCAAAATTGCATGCTCATCTTCATAAACTTGGTGTAGAGACTACGGCATTTGCAAGTGGTAAGTGAATTGGTGGAGTGAATTGGTGGTGATGATGACACGTGTCTATAATACATACCATATTGGTGATCATTGGAATCTATTATATTGAACATTGGTTATGACGAATCATTTGTATCAATGTCTCATGTACTACTACTCATGTACTACTACTCATGTACTACTACTTGTGTCATTCATATTGATGAAACATTGATGAAACAAATTGAATAATAGGATGGTTCATGAGAGTATTTATTGAGGTCTTTCCAATTGAAACCTCAATGAGAGTATTGGATTTGGTCTTTTCCGAAGGAACTAAAATTCTCTTCAGAGTTGCTCTTTCTTATCTTAAATTACATGATTCACAAATTGAACAACGCTATCATATGGGAGAAGTACTTCATTATTTAAATCATAGTACAAGACGTTTATATGATAGTACTCAACTCTTAAAACAATGTTTTACTTTTTACAATTTGAAAATTAAACAAATATCTGAATATAGAGAAAAGTATACAGAAATTGTGGATGAAGAATCAAGAGAATTGGAAAAGAGAAGAAGAGAAGTGAGAAAAAGAGAAGAAGCAAAAAGAAAACAAATTGAGGCTCAATGTTTGGAAGAACGAACACAACACCACGATGACCATCATCAGAGTGGTCATCAGAGTGGTCAAAGTGGTAGTGGTCAAAGTGGTGGTGGTCATCAGAGTGGTCATCAGAGTGGTCATCAGAGTGGTCATCAGAGTGGTGAACAAGCAAACAGGACGTCATGTGGTGGTATTGATCATCATCATCAGCCAGAAGAAATATTCACAACGAGTACGACTAGGGTTGAACTTTTGACCTCTCCTCCCAACCACCATCACGAAGGATTGCAACACTTGTAGTAAACTAATGTTCATTTCTAATTTTAACATACATCTTGACATTACACACTGGTTGGTAGATGATATTTATTCGAGACACAATTACTGCTCTCCCAAACTACCTCCACCTGCACTGTTCAATGCCTTTTGAATTTGTAATTGTTTGTCACGATGGTATTTCTGACATTCAGTAATACGATGTCCCAATCCTTGACAATATTTACATTCCACTCGACTCGTCGTTGCACCCATCGATGGTGTGTGACTATTCGCATAGGGATCATAAATGGTATTCAAAATGGGTGGTACTTTCTGTTTCGCTTCAATCAGTAAGTATTTCAAATCCAATAGAATTTGTTCAGATTGATTTCGATTGATAAATGTAGTTGCTAATCCTGTTTTTCCATTTCTACCCGTTCTACCAATTCTGTGAACATAGTTTTCAATTTCACGAGGCATATCAAAATTAATGACATGTCTCACATTTGGAAAGTCAATTCCTTTAGATACAATGTCAGTGGCTACGAGAACATCTTTTTTTCCTTGTTTGAATGAATCAATTGCATATTCTCTTTCAAATTGATCCTTACTGCTATGAATACTCACAGCCTCAACACCTTTCAATAATAAATATTCACAAATGGTATCAACTTCTGATTTGTTTTGAGAAAAGATGAGAACTGGTGGTGGTGTTTTTTGTAATACTTCTAATAAATATGGAATTTTGTCTTCTTCGAGTACAAATTCAACCTCTTGAACGACATCCAAATTGGCAGCACCAGCACGACCAACATTGACAATGATCGGTGTTGAAAGTGTTTGTCTTGCTAAACTTTGAATCTTTTCTGGCATGGTGGCAGAGAAGAATACTTTTTGAATGTGATGAGAGGAGTTGGCAACCTGTGTTCTTGTTCTTGTTGACTGCAACGAAGACGACGGTTGACGGTTATTTCCGTTCGTACCATCACCACCACTACAACGGTTATCACTACCACCACCTCTTCTACTTTTTGGTAAAAATTCAAAAATTTGCTTAATCTCCTCCTCAAAACCCAAATCAATCAAACGATCCGCCTCATCCATACAAATATATCTACAGTGCGAAAGGTGCATCTTCTTGTCATTGAGCATTTGAATGAGACGTCCAGGTGTTGCAACTACCATATGAATACCACTTGAATGACTACTACTACTTGAATGACTATGACTACTACTTGAATTGTAATAACGTTGAGAAGAAGAGGTACTACCATGACTACCAAAGATTCGATCCTCTCGAATACCTCCAATACATAGTGATACATTCAATTGAATTCCACTCTTGTCATACTTTTCAATTCCCTTAAAGAAGTATTCAACTAAATCAAATGTTTGTTTTGCTAATTCTCTATTAGGACACAATATTAATCCAAGTGGACCTTCACCTTCTCTTAATTTCTTTCTTTTTTCTTCTAAATAACAATACATGACTATTGGTAAAGTAAAGACAAGAGTTTTACCACTTCCAGTAAAGGCAATTCCAATGACATCTCTACCACTCAATAGACATGGAATTCCTTGCATTTGAATTGGTGTTGGAGTGGTCATATTCTTATCATCTAGTAATTTTAAAAGACATTTTGGGAATTTCATATGTTCAAAAGTGAGAATTGGTGGAGGTATTTCCCTTCCTTGTACATGAATTCCAAATTTATCCAAAATGTATGCTCGATCCATTTCTGAAAGTGATTCATAAAAGGAAGGTGGTGTCCATCCATAATTTAAATATTCAATAGGTGTATTTACATCGTCGTGTTGTTCTTGTTGCATGGTATGTAAAAAGGATTGATTCATTACTTCTTTGAGAAGTTCATTTTCTTTTTGTTCTAATTTTTCCAAATCAGAAAGTTGAGGTTGAGATTCCTTTAATTCTTTACTTTTCTTTAAAAGACTCTTTGATGAATCATGATTGGAAGTACCTGTAGTATCAGTAGTCGTGATGATACCACTTGCATCATTTCTTGTTGTCTCTTGATTGAGAATTTCCTTGATGAGTTTTGTTTTTTTAAGAGTCGGAGTAATAAAAATAGTTTCATCATCATTCATGTGATCGGAGTGGTGGTGGTGATGGTGGTGGTTGGTGGTGTTGTTGTTGCGATCGGAGGTGGAGTTTTCAATAGATGTTGTTGTCATCTTGTTGGAATCAATCTGTCTTTTTCGTTTTTCACCCATTTTTCGTTTCCACTCAAGATAGGATTCAGAATGATGATGATCGACGTTGTCATTAGGGGGGACGACATTCTCTGTCAATGTTGTAGTAGACTCGGAATGTGCGACCACGTCAGTCAAACTGTTTGAAGACATTTTTTTGGTGACGTTATTATTGTAAAGGAAGGAAGAATAGCAGCTGTTCACCAGAGTGCTAAAACTACTGTTCGTTGAAGGTGCTTCAATTTGTTGCATCCACAACAACAACATTAATACTTTTAAAGCGTAAGAATAATTATTACGAATATATATAATCAACAACAATTATTACTCGTGTTCTCTCATGCCTAAAGCTCAATCAATTCACTCTTTTTTTTTTGTTATTAAAAAAAAATGGTGAATGTTTCTGATGCTCTAGGGTTGACTCGCCGTTTTTTCAGCGTGATAAACAACCCAGTACCAGTCCGTTCAGGATGTGCCGTATTGAAAAAAACAAAACTTGATTTAACCTCATGGTATGTTCAAATTAATTAATGTAAAGAAGCGGATGAATATACTTTGGGATCTCGGGTGGAATTTTCTTTGCAAAAATAATAATATCAAATTATCGGATTTTATGATGATGAATACCATGATGAATATTTAAACATTGGAACATTTGAATGATAATTTTTGAAAACAAATGAATGAACTCGTATGATGACGCCATCAACCCATTCCGAACTTGGCACAAATAGGGGACAACCACAAATTAGACCCTATGACATGACAGGTCTCTACTATAGCAGAGAAGAACAAATTAGACTTGCTATGGCATTCAGATTAAAGTTGAGAGGAAAGGGTCCACCAAAGAAGGGACAAGGAAAGAAGTCTCAAATGAAAAAGAAAAAGTAATAAATTTATTTGAGATGCATTTTGGATTTGTAGCTGATCGATGTTGGGGTCTTGGATCTTTTAGAGTCATCATAGCTTTTTCTAAGGTTGAAATCATTCTTTGGAGTGGGTGTTTTACTTCTGGGAGGTCGAGCAGATTTCGTTGGGACAATGACAGACTTAAATTCATCATCATGTTCATCGAGTGATGCGGTTAGAGTTGTTCGACGAGGATCATCGCCATTCACTTTTGAGTTCTCACTTGCGACGGAATGAGCTGGAGGCTTTACATTCTCTTTCTGCACGTCATCATTCGTGTGTTCTTTTTCAAAATTGGAAGTACCTGTCTTCAAGCTGACATCATTCTCCAATGCTTGCTCATGCATGTCCATATGATGTTGGATCAATTGTTCTAACCTCTTTTGTAACATTTCATCGAGTTTGTAGGTTTTGGCAAAATTTGCAGCTAAATCTTCTGCAGAGTCTCCTTCGTGGATGGCAAGACGACCACTTTTTCCAACACCAAGATTGACATCCATATAGAGGAGAGGTTTTGACTTTTTTCGTTTGTCCAGTTGGAATGAAAATGGTCTAAATTCAGTCTTTTTGTTTTTGAAATCTTCAGTGGTGGTATTCGCCTTCTCACGAACATTATTGAAATAATTGAATAATCGTTCTCTTTCCTCATTACCTCTTCGAATTCTTCCAATTGTTTCTTTAAATCCTTTAATAGAATCAAAATCCACTGATTTTGAAAGATTCACCTTCTTGGTGGAGGATGTGTCCGGATGGAATGTGCATTCTTCAATTTCTTTCTCTGCAGCTGTCTTTTCTGTGAGTGGTTTTTTTGGTTTGTTTGCCATTTGGTAAAGCATGTCAAATCTTGAAACACTTGATGCATTGCTGTTGTGATTTTGACCATAGGACTTTTTTGCAGAGTTGGTCCTTGGTTGGAATGTGCAATCAGACATTTTCTTCTTTTCCCATGCTTCTCGATCTCTCTTCATCTTTTCTTCCATTTCATTGTGATGTTTCATGAGTTTTAAATATCTAGGTTCGTTCTTTGCATCCAATGTTTCATTATTATTCTCTCGTTGTTTCTTTGGAGTGGTTGCATTAATGTTTGGTTTAAAGGTGAGATCCTTATCTGTTTCTTTCTTAATCTTTTCAAAACGTTCTTCATTGATTTTTGTAAAAGCAATTTTGTTAATGGAAAGTTTCTTGATGGACTGACCAAGTTCTTCTAATTGTTCTCTTAAATGTTCTTCCGATTTTGAGATTAGGTTCTTGTCAAAGATGGCCATCATGATGGATAAATATTTTTCAAAATGCACTTTTCCACTTCCAGAGTCCATCAGTTTCCAAATGTCATCAATGATTCTTTGATCTTCCTTCTTTGAAGCAGAAAGAGACAGATTGGACAATACCTTCTCAAATTCTGAAAAAGATAGGAGCAAATCGTCCTCTCTTGGACAATCCTTGAATGCCTTTGCTAAATCCTTTATAAGCTTGGCTCTTAAAAACTCTTCAGATTTCTCATTGACTTTAAATTCTTGAAGTCTTCTTGCTTGTTCAAAGGCTTCTTCCTCTATCTGCTTTCTTTTTTGTTCCCTTTCTTTTGCTTGAAGGTAAAGTTTTTCATCTGCCGATGGAGTCATAGATTCGCCTCGAACCGATTTCGATTTGGAATCTGAAGAAATGGCTGTGCTGTTTAAATCCATTTCGCTTTGCCCATCGGAGGGAACCTTTTTAGGAGTGGTGAACAACCTGTCAAAAACATTACCACCTCTTGCTCCTAGCTGTTTTGATGTTTCTGTAATCTATTAGACAACGGATTTGTTGAACATTTAGATTTCTTTCGAGGTGACACTTACATGAGGAGTAAACGAAGCAACACTCTCCTTTTCTTCTCTCAATTTGCGCTCAAGCTCACATTTTTCAAGAAATTCTCTTCTTTTTTGTATTTGTTCATCAATGGATTCCATAAAATTAGTTCTCTTTAAACAGTTATGGTACTTGACGATGTACTTATCTTCTGAACTTACCTTTCCTCTAAATTCATATTCGGAAATACTAGGTTTAAAAGTCAATTGTTTTTGCTCTTCTAAACGAGATCGAATTTCTTTAATTCTTTTTTCTCGTTGTTCCAAAATTTGTTTAGTTCTCTCTTGAACTGGATCAGAAGTAAGATCATGCAACAAAACTTTTGACTGATCAGAGTTGTCGTCACTCCGACCTTGATAGCTTTGAACACTTACATTCTCCGAAATCTTTGGTTTAAAAGTACATTCTTTTAATTCTTGTTCCGTATATACAGTGTGTGGTTTTTTCTTGCCATATAATTGATAATCGGCTGTAATGGTTGATGGAGATAGTGCTCTTGCAACACCAGGAGATCGACTCATGGTGGTGCTCATGTTTTGACTCATTTTTTTTTGAAGACAACTTTACTGTGTTTTTTTGGCGGCTTTTATTGAAAGAGATCAAGGACTTTCAATATCGGAGGATTGAGGCGAAGATAATAATGATCTCAGAGATGCTCAATAACAACATCACCGTAAAGTGAAGCATGTTGGGAATGTAATATACTAGTCCAATACCTGTAACGCAAGTACCAGCGTCAATGACACTCACAATGGATGCTAATCCCCATACATGCAATACAATCCATGATACAATTCCAATCATGGTTTTCGCAAATGGACTAAGCTTAAATTTAGAAGAAGATGATGAGGTTACGGGCGAATCAGTTGTTCCAGATGGACTACTCTCTTCATCTTTAAGAGGCTCTAATGAAATGGAGGTACTAAATAAATTTCTATACAAACTAAAACTATCTTGATGGACAAACTTGTGCTCTTTCTTAACCACTGGCTTCTTTTTGGACTTGGATTTTTGAGGATGGTTTGATTTCGAACGCTTTGATAATCTCCTCCTCTTTCCCTCTCTACACTGAAAAATAATCAGGAATATAAAGAACAATGCAAAGCTCAAACAATTCAAAGAGTCAGAAAGTAGAAAATATTTCATGTAATCTGTGTCACAGGTTATTTGAATCGAATTGCCGAAAATAAATAAAACAATAAATGCAAAAAACAAAATTGTGAAGCATAGTAAAAGGCTGACATGAGCAACTATGTTTCTTGACCAAAATGAGAATCTGTACATTCTTCGAGAGCGACCTTCATACAAAGTTCTAAATTCACGTATTTGGACTTGCTCATTGAAATAAATTTTCTTTTGATTTTCCGCTGCTTCTTCGCTAGTCAAAGGTCGTGGTGCGTAAAAACAAGCTGAAGAAGATTTAGATTTCTTTAAAATAGGTTTCCCTTTCTTCTGCAGGTTGACATATTGGTTGGAATTGAACGATGTTGTTTTGGATCGTAATTTTTGTGAAGTGGTTGTGGAGTCAGTACCTATCGAAGAAAAACTGCTGACTCTATAAAACTTGGAAGATTGATGAAAGATTCTTGCTGGCTTTGGAGTGTCACTTGAGGAATTAATTGATTCAACTTCCTCATAGTCTGGTACAACTTTCCCTTTCTTTGGAATAACTTTAAAGCTACTCTCGCTCAGAGTATGAATATTGATCTTACTAGCACTCTGAATGCTGTTGCTACTCTTTGAATAAGTCAACAGATTAGAATTGGGATGTTGAATCAAAGAAGAAGCTCGTTTAAGTGACAAACTAGATGAAGAGTGCGAGGCTTGATCCGTGATGATTGTAGGAATCTCTATAACACTGGAAGTTGATGGAGAATTAGAAATTTCTTTCATTTCCAAATTTGGATCGTTACTTGTTGGTTGAGTGGAAGTGTTTAAGGTCATTTCATGTTGGACAGAAGTGAACGAAAGATGTTTAGAAATCATCCAAGTGGATCTTGGAGAGTGTTTCTTGAATTGTTGCGACTGAACAGTCTCATTTTGAATGTTGGTTTCTTTTGATTCAATGATTTTTTCATCCTCCTTCTCTTTTGTTAGTGTGGTCAAAGAAGGTAATTTGGGAAGAGACATGTATTCAATAATTTCATCATTGATACCATCTTCTGACTCAACCGTGGTAGTGGTTGTTGCGATGAATTCATCTTCTCCTTCTTGATCGATGTTGGACCCACAACTGATACTGGAGCCATTGGAACAACAATTTTCATCCACTAGTGAGTCTAGAACGGATCGGTACAGTGAGGAATCACTGGTTTCCATCATGGGATGAGGATATTTAAGGAACAATGATGAGTTCGTCGGTGGTGGTTGAGATTGTTGAGGTTGTTGTTGGTTGGTGGATAAGGACGGCAGCAATATTGCTGTTGAGAAACGAGAGCCGTTGTTGTAAGTATCAAGTTCAGCAGAAGGTGTAGTAGGATCAATCCGGGTTGAATGGGTGGTATGAGTTGTTTGGGTTGAGAGTTCGCTATTACTATTAAGGCTTTTCAACGTCCCTAGTCGTCCTTGAGACAAAGGAGACGAGGAAGAAGCCATTTTGTGTGTCGCAGATAATTTTTTGGCTTTTTCAACGCCACTGAACGTGTAAAAGTGTACCTAGTATTCGGGCGTATCATCACATTCCATTTGAGGAGTGAGCGAGCGAACCACGTGAAACCACCAGTCCATAGGCATCATCATCATGTTGGAATATTGAGGACGAGAGAAAAGTTGGTTAAGCACCAAGTCCTCTCTCTTCAATCCTCATCATCCTCATCATCCTCATCATCACTACTACTACTCGACCAATCAATATCCTTCTTGAGTCTGAAATCAGTCAACCAACTTTTAACCTTCTCTTTCAATACTTTTCCTTGTTCTTCTTTTTCTCTTTGCACTCTTCTTGCAACAAGTGCATGTTGTAAATTTTTGAAATAAGTTCTCAATAAATAGTGTTCATAGAATTGTTCAGCCTTCTTCTTATTTTCATATTTTCTTAAAAGTCTTCTCTCTTTGTGCTTTTTGTATTGTATTCTCCATTGAATGAGATATTTAGAGAGAATTGAAAGTGAATAGTGTTCCGAAGCCTCTTGAATGGCCTCTTGATGATTCTTAACATTCAATTTCAATGCCTTCCATGCACGAGATTTACATTTCCTTTCCATTACTTCAATTTTACGTTCAATGCATTGTTGTTTCCATTTTCTTTTCAATTCCAATGCTTCCATCACGTTGGCACGAAGAGCAATGAATACAAGTCGTTTAAGTTTGATGTGATAGACTTTCTCCATTTCAAGTTCTTTCTCATGAATTTGTTTGAGCCATATTTGGAGTGGTCTCAAAATTCGATTCCTTGCAAGAGTTTTCAAATAGTGAGAATGAGCTAATTCTCTTTTCTGAATGGATTCTTGTCGTTTCAATTCTTTTTCTAAGGCTTTTTGTTTGAGTAATTCTTTCTCTCTTCGTTTCTCTTCAACGAGTGCTTTTTTACGTTCCAACTCTTCTTCTAACTTTTTCTTTTCCTCTTCTTGTTTTAATTTCTAAATAGAAATTAGAGATTAATGGAATGTGAACCACCATTTCGAGAGTGCATATGTGTGTGAGAGTGCATATGGAAATGTAAATGGAACATTAATTCCTTTTTTTTAATACTACAAAGACCAACAATTATCAAATACTACTTACTTCCTTACTCTCTTCTTGTAACTTGTACTTCTCTTGAAGTTGTTTCCATCGCTCTTTTCTTTCATTCATTCGTTCTTCCATTGCTTTGAGAAATGATGGTGTGGATGGATGAGAGGTTTTCTTCTTTACGAAGGTCTGATGAGGAATGGTTGTCTGTTCTTGTGAGACATGTTGAATGGAGGTCCATTCATTTCCATTATCATCATCATCATTGGGATTGGTCAAACCATTGTCCTCACTATGATTGGAAGTGTTTGGTGGCAGTGATGATGGTGGTAATACTAATTGTTGCTCTTCTTTGATTTGTAAAGTGTCTTGTTGTTGTTGTTTTGAACTCATCTCTCGTTCCAAATCAATATTGGGCAATGATTGGTTGGAAAGTGGAAGTACCTGAGGAGGAGATGTCGACGACGATGTGTGAGTATTAGCATGAAGAGAATTCTCTTTTCTTGGCACAGAGATCTTTTCTGAACCACTGCCACCGCCACCACTACTATTATTACTATTATTACTACTATTACTATTACGACTACTTGGAGTACTATTACTACTATTACTTTTTGTCTTGACATGATTTTGGCAGGAATTCTCTTCTTGTTGTACTTCCTTTTGTTGTTGTTGTTTCATCTTTTCAATGAAATGACTCATCATGTCTCTTCTTCTCAAATGTTGTCTTTCAATAATCTTTCGATCTCTTGCAATTTTATATTGACATACCCATTTAAGAAAACAAGAGGAGAGAGATCGACTTCTATAAAATTGATCTGCTGCTTGATTTCTTTTCTTTTCAAGTAATAACATCTTTTCCATTTGTTGTTTTTCATGAATTTCTTTTTTAAGTTTACAATTTTGATGAAGAGCTTTGAATGCCTTTTTTTTAATCTTCCAATCGAATAGAGTCTATGATTGATACCACCAACATTCATAATGAAAAGGGATAATGGTTATTGTTGTTGTTGTTGAAATAAAGACCATACATATGCCAATCCATCATGAGATTATCATGTGTTATTATTGTAGTAACAACAATCTTCTTCTTACCTTTGCTTTTAAAAGTAATTGAAATCGTTTGGCACTTTTTTTCATCCACACATTAAATATTTTGCTCTTCAAAGTTAAATTATTGTTCCTTATAATTTCTTCTGACAATTTTTGCAACATTTCCGTGCGCTCTTTTTCATGTTCTTTTAACACTTTCAACTGTTGTTGCTTGATTTTCTCCATCTCTTCTTTGCTATTTAGAAATTTAGTCAAACGACGACGAGAATTCAAAATCATTGATTCACTTACATTTGTTGATGTTGTTGAATCGTCTTTAGTTCTTGTTTTTTCATTTGTTGAACTTGTTTTAGTTTGTTTTTTTCTTCTTCCAACTGTCGCTTAATTTTCTGAACTTCTTCTTCAGCTTTTCTTTTTTCATTTTCTGCCATAAAAATATCTTTCTGGCATGTGATATAATTGATTGATGATCCATTATTGTCTACAGTACTTTTGGGTGGTGTTTGAGGAGTTGTTTTCTGAATGGATGGTTTTTTTGAGACAAGAGTCTTTTCTTCAATTTTGTAATCCTTTCCTAATAATTTTGATTTGATGGCTTGTAGTTGTTGTTCGACAGAATCACTCACTGCTGTCTCTTTCTCAGCACTATTATGGGCTAATAACAAGCCTGTCGAATCATGTTGTGTCTCTTTTGAAATTGTTTGGTCACTCATCATTTCGCTTAAAGGTTGATACTGAAATAAGGATGTCTGTTCTGAAAAATCATGTGTTTCATTTCTCAAATTTTTGGCGGCATTTCCAATATTCGATGGACTCAATAAATTATTTACAGTCATGGTTGGTATTTGGGATATATTTTCAGCATGAATATTATTTTCAAATTCCTTAATATCATCCACTAGTTGAAGAGTTGGTTTTTTTCTCTCCATTGAAATTCTTAATTTTTCCCATTGTGAAAGTTGAGAGGGTTTTTTTGATTTGACTCTCTCAAGAAATTTTGAAGAATTTTCTGGTGTGGTTTCTTGAAGGGGTGTTTCTGAAACATTTTTATATAAGGACGTTCCTGACACCATGTTTGATATCAAGTGATTCGATTGTAAATTCAGACTGGAATCTATTGGAAGGAATTTCCCTGTGTTGTGTTTTGTCCATTGATTTAAAAGACTTTGAGCCTCTTGTTTGGTTTCATCGGAAGAATTTGAAGATGACTGTACATCGGAATGAATTGAAAGATCTTTCAATAATTTTGGATGATGATGAGAGAGTGGTGGTTGTTGGAGAGTTTTTGTAGAAGAGAGAGAGCTGGAACGAGGTCTACTTGTTGTTGTTGTGGCAGATGATGGCATGAGGCTGTTGGCTCTCGAATTCGGGGCACCACCACCACTACTAGTGGTTGGAGCATTCTTACAGGCACTTGTACCAGAAATGATCAAGAGGTTTGAGGCGCTTTCGGAATGATGACCTAATGACAATGAGGAGGATGATGAGGAATGAGAGGGTTGTTGTTGTTGCTGTAGTTGTTTGAAATTCGTCCCATTTCTGCTTTTCATTTTTTTGAGATCCTACGATCGCCTTTCAAGAATTTGGCGCTCCTAATTGTAAGAATTTCAAACTTGAAAAATGTGAAAAGTTTACTACTTCCATGATGGAATACATGTACAAGGGGGTTGACAATGACTCTCTCACTGACTACTACTTTTGATATTGCAACATTTCATCTGCTTCATCCTGTTCCGTATTCGGTTTGTTCTTTTGTGATTCCCAATAAGCCTTTCCACCTTGAACTGCCAAATTACCTCCTACTTTGGCACCCTTGACTGCTCCCTTTGCTACGGACATGAATCCACTTGCAACCTTTTGTTGGACTTCCTTATTAGTGGCTGCATTGGCAACAGCATTTCCAACCTTTTGTTGTACTTCTTTGTTTCCTGCAGTTTTAGATATGACATTTCCAACCGATTGTTGAACCTTTTCATTCTGTGCAAGTGAGGAGATGAATTGATTATCTGTATTCTTGGAAATTAAATTTCCAACCGATTTTTGATATTCTCGATTGGTAGTGGCATTGGAAACTGCTGAAGAAACACGTTCTTGAACTTGTTCATTTTGAGCGAGATTGGCCACACCTTGTCCAACTCGTTCTTGAACTTGTTCATTGTTCACCACATGACCAATACTATTGTAGACACGTTGTTCATTGGGTGTCAAGTCAGTAGAATGATTATTCGAGTTAAAGTTGTTGTTGTTGCTAATACCATGGTGTGGTATATTAGAATGAATTGTGTTGTGTTGAGAGGAGGAGGGTCGAGGTGGTGGCGGAGGGAGTGTGGTTGTTGTTGTTGTTGAACTTTTCAACACCTTTTGAAAACTTGAGGACGAAGAATGAAAGAAGGTACTACCTTGATCTAAGAAAGAATTGCTTGATGGAATTGGTTGTTGTTGTTGTTGTTGTTGAATGAAAGACTTGGGAGGAGGAGGTGGAGGGAGTGTTGTTGTTGTTGTTGTTGAGGTGCTACTACTGTTGGTGGTGGTTCCCTTGAAAGGTGGTGGTGGAAGTGTGGTTGTTTTTTGAGAGGCGAGTGAGGGTGGCAATGGAGGTGGTACTTTTTTGGAATGACCACCAACACCACTCATACCAGTTTGTGGTTGCAAGGCTGGTGAATTTCTCTCTTCTGGATACTTTTTGAAAATCTCTTCCAAGACTTGTTTCTTTTCTTCACGAATGGCTGGTAATTTTTGTAAATTATATTCCAATTCTTGTTTGAATGGATCTTGAGATATGGATGGATGTTCATTCGGTAATTTGACAGTAATCAATAATTCATAAGCATGTAAATGGACATAACAATTTTCAAAGTCACAAAGTTTTTTGTATTGTCCAGCCATTTTGAGAAATGTAGCTCCATCCTTAAAGTATTCGGAAGGAGATTTCTTTTCATCAATATATGGAATTTTACGTAAAGCGTTGACGTGAAGAGTTTCAATACGTGAGGTGAGTGGCATGATGATGAGATCCGAGTTGATAAAGGTTGATAAAGGGTTGATGAAAGAGTTGATGATGATGATCAGTTGGTTGTTGTTGTTGTTGATAATGAAACCTCTTCAAAACTGAAATGGGATCCGTGAATAATGACAATAAAAATAATAGGTGACACCACGAATGGAGTGGCAGGAGGAGTGTTCACTCGAGATATTTTTTTTAAGTGGAGTGGTTCCAAGATTCCAATACGCACTCGGAGGTAGACATCGGACATTACCTTGCCATCATCATCAACAGGCACATGCATAATATTGGACCTGTTGGGTCCATTTGCATGCGTCATCGCCATCATCATCACCATTGAGCGTACAGGAGAGAGTTCGATTCATTGAAACAAAGGCCTCTCTTTGATGAGGCAATTTTTATTTTCTGAAAGAAAAAATGCAAAAAGCCTCAAGAACCGTTCTTGTCAAGTCTTCCCATCTTCTCGAGAAGACTTCTTCTCTCATTGCCAGCACTCGTTCATCAGCTCATCAATTCAGTAAAAGATTTTATGCAACTTCATGTATCAGCTCTCCCAACAAGCCTTGCTATCCCGGAGCAGTAAATGCTACCTTCACTCATCAATTGGAATTCAGATCAAGTATTAATCCTGATGGTACTCCATTTCCAATTTTCAATATCATGTCGAATGATGGCGAGATTGTGAATGAAGAGGCATTTAAAGAAATTGATGTGAGTAGTTTAGTTGTTTTTTAGAACTTTTATCATCATGATCTATAAAATGTCCATCCACTCACAATATTATTATTACCTTTACGAATAATTTTTGAATATCATATTCCGTGATGATGATATTTGAATCAATTCTTCTTTCTTTATAATGATGCTGATGATTGGATTGTAACTGTCATAACGTTTCATTTCCATCATCAAACACACTACTGGTGGCGATGATGGTGCTTTCTTTTGTCTCCATAATCACAATTATAATAATACCAATACAACACCAATTACAATTTTAATAATACCAATACAACACCAATTACAATTATAATAATAACATGAAATAATAATAATATGAATCCTACTAATAGTACACACCAGAACAAGTGGTAGACCTCTACAAGACCATGATCCGTCTCGAAACTATGGATGATATCCTCTACAATGCTCAACGTCAAGGTCGTGTCAGTTTCTATATGACCAATTATGGTGAAGAAGCTCTTCAGGTTGGCTCAGCCAGTGCTCTTTCTCCTGAAGATATGATTTTTGCTCAATATCGTGAAGCTGGTGTTTTAATGTATCGTGGATTTACTTTAAATGAATTCCTCAATCAATGTTTTTCAACAATTGAAGATTATGGAAAAGGAAGACAAATGCCAGTTCACTATGGATCTAAAAAATTGAATTTCCAAACAATTTCATCTCCTTTGGGAACTCAAATTCCACAAGCTGCAGGTGCTGGTTATGTTTACAGAATTCAAAATAGTCCACACGTTTGTGCCTGCTATTTTGGAGAAGGTGCTGCAAGTGAAGGTGATTTCCATGCTGCTCTCAATTTTGCATCAACTCTTTCATGCCAAACTTTATTTATTTGTAGAAACAATGGTTTTGCAATTTCTACTCCAACACGTGATCAATATCATGGAGATGGTATTGTGGCAAGAGGTATTGGTTATGGTATGCCATCCATTCGTGTCGATGGTAATGATTTATTTGCAGTTTATTATGCTACTAAACGTGCTCGTCAATTGAGCATTGAATCAAAGGGTCCAGTTCTTATTGAATTTATGACTTATCGTGCTGGACATCACTCTACATCGGATGATGCATCTCGTTATAGATCTAATGAGGAATTAATGTATTGGAGAAATGAACAAAATCCAATTATACGTGTTCGTAAATATTTGGAGAAGAGACAATTGTGGAATGATGAATTAGAAAAGACTGAACGTGATTCCAATAGAAAGACTGTCTTGTCATTATTGGCTAAGGTCGAACATGCTGAGAAACCACATTTGGATGAATTGGTTAAGGATGTATTTGATTCTGTTCCACCAATATTACAACAACAACGAGAATGGACTGAAAATGTTGTAAAGAAATATCCAGAAGCATTTGAGGGTCATTAGGATTGATTTTTCACATTTTAATATTCACATAAGATCACAAAGAGTATTTTTAATAGAGTTCGCACGACCATAATTTTTTTAAAATATATTAATATTGATTATTCAAATCCTTTCAATTGTTGTTGTTGTTGTTGCACGCCTCTTACATTTGCCGATATTTCTTGAAATTCTTGTGTCTTCGTTTCAATCACTCGTTTATTACAAACATGAATGTCACACACAGTAGTAGTGAATGATTTTCATCGCATTGAATCATACTCTAATGATTTTTATAGAGATTTGAGAGTCTTCCAATGTCATGACATTGCCTTAAGATCAGAATAGTTACAACAATAATGCTCTTTCTTGACTGTCCTTGATGCATCATTGTTTATTTTCTTCTTTTCTCTGCCATGGTGATTCAGAGTGTGCTTTTTGAAACTTTTGATTGGTCACTGTGGATGGAGGAATTGAAACTCCTCCCTCACGTGGTTTTGATTCTTCTTGATCTGTCACAAACAAATTCTTTTCCTTCATCATTTGATCACTAACATGTTATCGGATCTGGAGGTTGATCCATCGTTTTATCTGAACCAGCCATTTTACCTCTTTTGGTTTGTTCAGATTGTTTTTTTGTCATGCCAGGTTCTTGGAACATTTATTAGTCTTATTGAGAACACAACAAGTGCATCATGGCATACGAGAAAGAGTGCATGTGTGTGTGTGTGTGTGCGTTTTGGGTGTCTTGGAATGAAAAATTTCCTTTTTGACTCGAATTGAAAATATATATTTAAATATTTATAATCATCATCTCGTTAGGTACATCTGTCTGACTCTTATTACAGATGATATATAAGAACAACTTTTTTGATGAAGATGTGATCATAGAGCTGATAGCGTTGTGGTTGACGACACTCAGAGTGAGGATTTCGCTTGCTTCCAAAATCGTAAAGAAATTATTGAAATCGTTCTCATCATCGACATCATTCAGATCATTATAATTACTCGTCCTATTCCGAAATGCTATTAAGCAGAGATGGCAATGAGAAGGCGATGGGATCTATAAAACATACTCGTTCAAAACGATTCAACTACTACTACTACCCAAGAAATATTCCAGATCCATGAAGAAGAAAAAGACGTTGAACCACCACAACATGAACCATCAACAACATGAGGCTGTTCTCCAACCTCGAACCAAAACAACGCATCGTGATGAACAGTTTCATCCATCAACAAGGAATACCTGCACTCACCAAGAAGAGTCATCATCATCAGTAGCATCACCACCCTCCACCACACGATTCAAATGCCTCGACGATGTGTTGGAGGCCTTACTGAACTGTTTGAAAAGAGAACAAACACTTCGCAGGAAGGTCCTTCAACAAGGTGGCAAGTTCAGTCAACTCTTCCATAATGATGATGATGATGACTTGGACCTCATGGCACAACTTGTTTCTGAGACTCTGTTACAACAACACACTCGCAACGAAACAAATTTTCGTTTCCAAATGATGATGAAAACCTGAGTGTATGCATACACTCAAACGACGATTGAACCAAAACCACAACAACAACAACAACAACAACACCTTGAAACTACCAAAATCATGGAATCAGCACCTTTTCATGAAGAGTCTGATGTTCATCAACTCTGCACTTCCTTTGGACCAACACTCCCTTTCGTGATGACGACCTTTCCAATAATGGATCATTCAAGTCTTCTTAGCACTGCTGATCCAACCTGTGGTCCAGGTGATGGTGGTGGTGATGTTATGAATTCCATCCTTAAGAATGGTTGTTGCAAGAAACATGAAGAACACTTGCAGAGAGGAATATCAGGTAGGGTCATCATGATCAACAACCTAAACAACCTAAACAACATGGAGATGCCCTCCTCTTCCTCTCTCATCCATGTTGCGAACAAATCCGTTCAAACTGAATCATGTAGGAATTCAAAGGAAAACAAAAGGAATGGAAAAAGAAAAGAAACACCCACAAGTGGTGGTGATTCAACCTCCTCTTCTTCATCCTCCTTATGGACCGAGTTCAGAAGAATGAACACGCATCAACGCGAGAGGAGGTGTTTTCTCCCGCCTTTCAAACTACAAAACGTTAAATGACAAAAAATGAGCCTCAACAATGGAGATGACTTTGAATCGTGCAATGAAGAGGATCATCATCATTCGGAAAGCCAAGTCGGAAATGAACAGTTAGTAGGGGGAGCAAATCTTGGGTTCTCAGAAGAAGAGAGTAGTAGTAGTAGTCAAAGTGGTAATCAAGACGAGTTCATGAATCTTCAATCAAGTCCGGAACAACCTCGAGAGGAGCAAGGCAATCCTTTTATTTTGGAACAAGAGGAAGATGATGATACTTTTAGAGAAGATTTTCAAAGTGTGCTGTCATTTGCCTCTCCGATTCCAATGTATTCGATGAATCTCAATGACTCTAGCTTTCAACATGTGTTTGTTACTCCTCAAGAGACCGAGTTGTCCACTCAATTTAATCAAGATTCATTGATTGGATATGAGACTCCTCCTTTCAATAGAGAAATCAATAATTTATCGGATTGTTCTGCCATTCTTCAACCATGCTCTGTTAATTCTCAGTGGAGTGACGTTCCTTTAAGTGATCTTCCAGGTTTCAAAACACCTTTCATCACACCTCCCTTCAAAAGAATTGTTCGACATGTTTTACCTGATTCTGCTCCAAGAAATGTCATTTCAACTTTGGTGCTCTCCAGGAATTACTCATCAACAACAAAACGAAAAACTTTGAAAGTTAAAAAGATGAACATTAGCGGAACAGCACTTCGTTTTACTCCCAAAAGTTGTGAAGAAGATCATCCCAACAACTGTCAAAATGATTCAACAAATGTTTTGAATGACTTCGAACAAAAAGATAAAACAAATAGTGATATTTTCAGCCCTCTTAAAGAATTACAATACTTTGGAGAAAACAAGTCATCAGTGGAATCCTCTGTTTGTTGTCACCTTTGTCAATGCAAAGATACTGAAATTCAATCACTAAAAGAGCAACTTCAAGATCAAACATCGAAATACAATCTCCTATTGAAAGAGTATGAATTGTTGAAAGAGTTGTATGAAAAGTCTGAAACTGCCTCTGATACATCCTCCGTTAACTCTTTGACTTCTTCACAATCTTCAGATTCGACGAGAAAGGTTCTGAGAAATGTTATTTCTTTCGAAAATGCAAAATTCATCAAGCTGCTTTGCAGAGTTAGAAACTTTACGAAGGAAGAGTTGGAAGAGATTCAGAACAACAACGAGGGTATGGATTCGAGAATTCTTTCCTCTCTTGTTCGTCACACCAATGATGAAGAAAGCAACTGCGAATTCTCTGCCAATCAGGATCAGCTCTTAACGCTTCCTGTATTGACAACAGATGACTCTAAAGTAATAATTCGGAAGTATTTGAACAGCACCTTGACTGGTGTTGGAAGCAAAATGTCAAAATATGAATTTCTTTTTGACAAGGTGTTTGGTTTCAATTCTGAAAATTCGCAAGTGACAGAGTCGTTAAGCTCTTTTCTGAACAGAGTCATTGACGATGAACCACAACAAAGACTCACAGTTATGGCATATGGAGCAACTGGTTCTGGAAAGACCTTTACCATTCAAGCTCTCATGAATTATGTCAAACCCATGCTCTTTTCAAAACTTGATTCGAAAATTGTTAAATCCATACATTTTAACTGTTTTGAGGTCTACAATGAACAAATTGAGTTACTTTTGAATATTGAAGTTGAGAATTTTAAGATTGTACAGAATGAAAGTGAATTAGACAAATTAATACAAACTTCTCATAATAAGAGAAAATGTGCTGAAACAGAGTTCAATAAGCGTTCATCAAGAAGTCATTGCATTTACCGATTTAAGGTGTGTTTTGATGAACGCGATCTCGATTATTGCAATATTTTAAACATTGTGGATCTTGCTGGTAGTGAACGACTTTCAAGTGACGCCTTTATGCAGTCCCAACTCAATACCTCTCAGAACAATACTCCTCGATCCAGAGAGGTCAACAAGGAGGAAGCATTGAAAAGTCTCAAAAAAATAAGGAATACTGAAACTGTGAATATTAACAAGTCATTGAGTGTGTTGAGTCAGGTGATCAAGTCGTTGGCACAAGGATCCAAATTCATCAATTATAGAGATTCTATTCTTACTAAAATTCTTAAGAATGACCTTTCGCAGGTTGCTTTGATCGTTACCATTAAACCGCCCACAAAAAGTAAGGACAAGACAGAAGTTGAGAGAATTATCAATTCGTTAACATTTGCGAAAAAAGCAAATGCTTTTGAGATTTCAAATTTCAAATAATTTAATGTCTCTAAGGAGCAATCGTGAGTAATAAAAGAGTGATAATACAGGCTGCAATCACAAATGCAAGAATAACCATGTCTCTACGATTCTTTTGTTGAATTCTCGTAAGTACGCCATCAATGGCAGGGAAACGAGCTTATTTAATGGTTGGTGAATAATGTTCTCGTGAAATCTTACCTTTCATTCCGTTAAGCACATGATCGAAACTTTTAAACATTTCCATTTGCTCTTCAAGAGCTGCTTTTGAATATTGACCTTGCGTTATTAAATTTTGCATTCTAGTGTTTGCATCTCTCATGCGTTGAATATCAGATCCAAATCTATTATTCAATCCTAATAACGAATCATTTTCAGTATTTCTAGTTCAACAAATTAATAATATCATTGTTGTGTTCATTGGATACATACTCTACATCTTCATCTGATAAATATAATAAATCATTTCTATTTTTCTTATTAGACACTCTCTGTTTGGTTGTTCTATATTCTTTTTTACAATTGTTATAGATGGTTTCATGTTGATCGTATTGATAAACTGTTGATGATGTTATAAGTGAGTGATTATTTTCGTCATTAATAAATTCTTTCATTTTGTCATTCACTTCTCGGAGCTATCGGAAGCGAGTGTTATGATCCAGTGTATATATTAATATTTTCATCCATCCATACCTCCTTTAGTAAATGATCAATCTCCTCCGATAACTTTTTGAATAATTCCTCCGATGAAGATATGTTGTTCAATGATGATATTGGATTTTGGAATAGCTCTTCTTCAATCTTGGAGGCAAGATTTGAAAACGTTATTAATTTCTGTTCAATTTTATTTTCTAATTGAGAGGCTTGTTTCAGGAATGAATTCATTTTTTTTGTGTGTTCAGAGGAGTCTCTACTTGGTGTCGTCGTCGTCGTCGTCATCATCATGATAACACCTCCATGCAATCGATTGCCCACCTGTGGTACAACATATAATTCCACGACATGATGATCAACAACAATGCATTGTTGGTCGACCTTGTTTTCTGTTGTTATTATTTGACTTTGAGAGATGCGATGGTTCGAATTTCTTTATCTTGTTTGATATCCTCAAGAACACCTCCCAGTTTTTGTACAGCAGTCTCCTCAATCTTTTCATTAGATTTGTGAAATAGAATTGGTTTGTAGAAGGAAAAATTAGTTAAACAAAAGGATTTCCAATTTGGTGAAGTTTGATAATAATAAAACCTCAAATTATTGAATTGCATATCCTTTTTGTAATTTGAATTGAAATCTTTCCCACAATTAATTCTAACATAATTTTGAGAATCATTTTCATAATTTGCATTTTCCATTAGTTGATATTTAGAGAGGAGAGTAATAAATGTTCCATTTTGAGCTTTATATTTGATGGTAATATGAGAACAATAATAATTCCGAAATATGATGAAGGCAATCTATCCAAAATTAATGTCATGATTCCGAAAATTTATATTTTCATATCGCCGTGATGATTTCATAATTTGAATCAATTTCCATCCACACTTGGATGCCATTTCTTGATGAATGAATCAAACTCACCTGTGTTGGTTTTTCAAATTTTATATCTTGATAGATCAGGCAAGGCCTTTTTGATTGTTCCTTAACAATTTCCAAAGGTTTGAAATCGCACAACACGGGTGTATTCATGATGATTGTGAATGTTTGTATTTGTTATTTGGCTAATTCAGCTTTGACTCGATTTGTTGTATTGAATATTTCCGGAAAATACAACTTTCATGTTTTTTTTTAATACACTCTCGTCAGAGTCGCTGTATGGAGGCGCGAGGTCCACACAACAACAACAGCTTTCGAAAACCACTATTATTGGAAGAGAGAGTTCAAACACTGTTGGCAGCGCTGAGGCTTTTCTGGAACCTTTTGTAAAGAGTTCCTCTGTCTATTATTGGAACTTTCATAAATTGCAAAAAATATTCCTCCAGCAACAGCACCACCATTCAAGGACTCCTTGCTGATCCTTCAAATCATCATCATCTCAAGATCTTCGTCAATTATTGAATATTGATCTTTACCTTTCGGGCTCTTCCTAGATCCGCACAACAACAATCCTCAAAAAACAATGGCTGATAAACGTCTTGCTGAAATTATCTCTACTGGTCAATATGCTACTCTTCTTTACGAGTGCGAAACCTATGAAGTTGAGCACTTGTCTGTTCAAAAACAATCACCATCATCCTTTTACTATGCTTGTTTCCTCTTAGGGTACATGATCAACAACGATTTGAATAATTGTAGATTTTTATGGAAGAGAATGCCTTCAGACGTGAAAAAGAATGATGATGTGAAAGGTATTTGGGAAGTTGCCAAACATTTGTGGAATAGAAATTATGAGGGAGTCTATCAAAGTGTTGCTGCTTTAAATCCATCATCAGCACATTTGAAAGAACTCATTCAATACTTTGTTAGACAATTACGTCAAAGAACATTGCAATTGATTTCAAATGCTTATGCGAATATTAATACGAACGATTTGATGAAGTGTTTGGGTGTTCCTGATGTAAATGCACTCAATGATCTTGTGACTCCATTGAATTGGAAATTTGATTCTACAAACAATTTGTACATTCCTGAAGTTGTTGTTGTGAAACCTCCTGAAATGCCAACAAGATTGGAAGCTATCAAGGGTCATACTCAAAGATCCGTCTTTTTGGAATTGGAATAAAGTGAAGTAGCTACGATTGATTGACGTTCATTTCGTCAGTTCCTTTTTGATGGAACAACAAGTGACCTTCGTCTGCGGTAGTGACAAGATTTGTGTCGACCTTCTTCCAATAATAACATTAAAAAATAACCTCCAACTCATTGTCGCCTGGCTGTTGTTGTTGTTTGATTGCTGACTTGGTTCACAACAACTGCCAATTACACTCACCTCCTTTTTGTCCCAGATTTTTTGTTTATCGGACAAGCAAGAAGAATATTTTCTCTCAACAACAGCCTTCTCGCCGTCCATTCTCTACCAATTCTCCTTCCTGAGCACATTATTGCTCTTTTATTTATTACATCATCAGTTGTTTCCATCATCATCAACATTCCCTTCATCTTCTCCTCCCTCCTTCGGATCGTTTGTTGTTTTATTGTTATTATTATTTAAACAAATAATAGTCTACATACAATAATAACCGACGTTGTCAATATTTTCATCATCATCATCACCACCATCTCACTGTCGACAAACACACACTCGTGCACGAGTCTACTCTACAAGAACAACAACCATTTCAATAAGAACAAATGAATAACAATCCTGCTGCTCGTCCTCCCATGCTGAACGTTTCTACGGTCATCAAATCCAAATGGAAAATCCAAGGCAAACTCGGACAAGGTGCTTTTGGTGAAACCTATGCTGCTGTTGATCTCCATAGTGGTGAAGATGTTGCTATCAAAGTTGAAAAATTGGATAATAAGAAGATGATTCTCAAATTAGAGGTCATTGCTTTAAAGAAGGTTCAAGCCTGTCCCTATGTGGTGCGGTACATTCATAGTGGTCGCCAAGATGATTATAACTTTTTGGTGATGGAAAGGCTTGGAGAAAGTTTAGCCGACCTTCGTAAGAGAACGCCTCGTGGTGCTTTTTTCAATGAGTACAACGTTGCGACTCGGAATTCAAATGATTGAAAGTCTAGAAGGTGTACATAAATTGGGTTATATCCATCGTGACGTAAAGGTATGTAGTGACTAAGATGAAAATGAAGAATCATTGAATTGACACTAATTTTTCTACAGCCCTCTAACTTTGTGATGGGAAGATCAAAACCTAAACGTGGTAGAGCTTATCTAATCGATTTTGGTTTGGCACGTAAATATAAACTTCCAAGTGGCGAGATTAGACCTCCTCGTCGCAATGCAGGATTTAGAGGTACAGCTCGTTATGCATCGATAAATTCACATCACTCAAAAGAATTGGGAAGACGAGATGATTTATGGTCAGTCTTCTATGTTCTTGTTGAATTTGCATTAGGATCTTTACCTTGGAGAAAAATCAAAGACAAAGAACATATTGGTGAACTTAAAGAACGCTTCACAAATGCTGAGCTGGTAAAAGATTTACCCAATGAATACCAACTTTTTATGGAACATTTACAAAAATTAGGTTATGCTGATGAACCTGACTACGATTACTTGAAATCTCTACTTTTACAAGTTTATAGCAGGGAGGGATATTCTCATGATGAACCATTTGACTGGCAAAGAAAAGAAAAAACTTCTGTGCCTCCTCAAATTGACATCACAAGTATTGTGGATGACCAACCAGTTGTTTCTGCTGATGACAGATTGCCAAATAGATTTGTGACAGGTGGTCCAAAGAGCTTGGATAATGAGAATCAAAAGCCTGCTCAAGGAAATAAGAAAAATGATAATGAGGAATCGGAAAAGTCAGGAAAAGGTTGTAAATGTATTATTTTGTAAATGTTTATTGTTGAACATTATTATCCACAGATTCTGATTTCTTATCAAGCCCATCATCCTTGTCATCCTTGGTAACCAGCTCCAATTTTAGCCATTCCATTATGTCAATAAGGTTTTCATGGTTGATACATGTATCACTTCTCATCTTTACCTCTTTCCATTTTGAAATAAGATCTGTCAAACGTTTAAAGGTATGTTGTTGACCCATGTTTAACAGCTCGTTAATCAATTGCTCGATTTTTGGCAAAATATTTTGTTTCAGGTCAAGCAGTAGAATCTTTCTACCTCTCGCATTGTGACCTTTTGGAGTTATGATAAACTCTTTAGCTATTACCTTGACATGCTTCTTCAATCTATCAAGAGTTTGAGCCACATGTTTTCTCTCGAGGTTATCAATAGGCATCTCAAATTGAAAAATGTCTGATAATTTTACATCTTCGTCATTCCAAACCTTAGTCAATTTTTTGGGGTGAGTGTTTGAAGTGATATGGGACTTTTTGATAATAGAGATGTGTACCCTTAATTGATCTTGGATCTTTTGGCGAGTTTACAGGACTATACATTGGCGACAGTTTTCCTAGCTTGGAGAGTTGAAAAGCAGTTATGAATCGATCTTGCTCCTCTTCTCTTTGATACCTCATTTCTGTACTTTCATACCATAAGGAAAAAGCTTTACAAAGAGCAATCAGACGATGAAATTCGGCATGCTCACAGCTGGTTCTAAGGTTATTAATTAGGTATTTCTGCTCACACCCAAACATTGTGTCTGGTTTATCTCCTTTTGGGACGTTATCCATTGGCTGACCGTAGAAACCAGGCATAAACTCTTCTCCATCTTGAGGAGAAAGAATTGACACAGGAATGATTGGAGGTAGATCCACTTCGGTTTCTGTAGCTTCTTCTGACTTATTCAATGGCGAGTTGGGCGTTTTTGGAGTTTTTGATTTGGGCGGAGATGCATTTCTTTTTGGTTCGGGAGTCTTTTTGGTGAATGCTTTTCGATTTAGACGAGGGCTACCCTCGTTGTCCGACGAAATTTGGGTTACACTTGTGTTCATGCTGTCATTTGCAACGCTCTTACTAGGTTTTGGTATTGAGAGTGTTTTTGAAATGATTTGCCGTAGAATTAGTAGCTTAATAGACCCGTCCACGTCATTCGTAATGATGCTGCTCATATGATCGGAGGGTGTGTCCGTAATGATGTATTCCACACTAGAATTTGTACCATCATTTGCTTCTTTGAGAACAATTTTTTTAGTGAGATCATCCCCCTTATCATCTCTGAGGATCAAATCCGAGAAATACTCTTCTTCTGCAAGTTCAAGACTCAGAAGCATTCTCTTTTTTAGGAGCGAGGCAGATCCAGGTCTAAGGTCGTCCTTAATCTTTTGTCTTACTTTTGTACTTTTAACCATAACAACTCCCAACAAGAGAGTAGACTCCAAATTTGCAAGTTTTGATGAAAGGCTGTCGAAATCATTCTCCTTTGGATTGCTGCGTGTTGCTCCTCTTTGGAACGTTCTTTTGTCTATCCTCTTCTTCTTGTCGGTTTTGCTTTTCCTGTCCTTCTGAGTTTTTATAATTTTCTCGAAAGTGTTGTCTAGAAGAAGCGACATTAGGAACGCAATAGTGTTATAATTATCCAGAATATTTTGTGTCACAGTTTCATCAGAGGGTGTACTTTGAAAAAAGCATCTTAGCGATTTCAAAGCAATAGATGCTGTTCGAATATCACTACGGTTCACCACGCTTGCAAATGCCGTCCAATAATTGTTTCGGATAAATTCTTCATGAATGGAGGCTTCGTTATCCATTTTGAACAGGGTCTCACACAACTTGCAACATGACTGGATGACTTGTGGACTCTCATAATTTAGTTTGGTGAAAAGTAATTTAGAGAAATCACTCACTGAAAGCTCTTTGAATTTTGAAAAGTCACTTTTAAACAAGGATTCCAATGTCTCCAAACTTAGAGCTCTAACATCATCGTTATTGTCTTTCGACATCATTAACAGGCAGTGATCAATACAATTTTCTTTGATAAGGTCTTCAGCAAATGAAACACTAAACTCCCTTAGAATTGCGCTGTAGTAACTTCTAATAAGAGGGACAGGTTCAAGAGTCATTAATTCCATAATCAGAAGCAATCCCTGTTGAAAAACTACTGCAAGTCTCGCAATTTCATTTCTACAAACAAGAACGAACAAGCACTCCACTACAAGTAGTCTTATTCTATCATCAGTAAGCATGACAGGCTCGTCAGGTACATCTCCTGCTGGAATGACCAAACACTCAAAGAGAATAGTTAGGCCTTCCTGCTGAATCAAAGATTCAGCACAAAGCCTAGACAGCTCCTTAAATTCTTCCTCTCTTGATTCATCGTTTACGGGTTCTAATGAACACACAGATATAAGCTTGGCAAGACATTTCAAAGCATATATCTTTAAATTAATGAAAATCTTTACAATTTCATTGATACTAAATGTTGAGAGAGGGGCGTTTTCAATATTGGAAAGATCGAGAGATATGTAATTTAGAATCATGGTGAGAAACGAAGGACTGCTGTTGCAAAAAGCCACTTCCTTAATCCTCTTTGGATCAAGATCAACACCAAGCAACGAAACTAGCTCCATCCGGATGTAACTATGAAAATACAATATATTGTTTTTTGTACGTACCTGCTAACTGAAAACACTCCAATGATTGATCAATAAGCACCACGTTGAATTCCTCTTCGCCTTCGGTAAATTGCTTAATGAGTGAATAACAATCGTTTAGGCATTGGCATACGTTCTCCATGCAAAGCTTTTCTTCTGCTAAGGGGTCATTTAGGATTGGATTGAATTCTTCTAAATCATCAAGGGCCTTCTCTACATCATCCATAACATTTTGTGCAGGTGTGGTAGATCTCTTTGGCGATGAAGGCTGCTTCATTTTTTTAAGGTATAACTGGGCGAATTTTGAACACTCAAAAAGCACCAGCAAGTGGTAGTACACTTTGGATACCTCGGAAAGTCTAAAATCGCATGATGAGAAAGTTGGTTTCCAAGCGTACGTATGTGTTATTTATTCATCATTGAAAGTAGAGTATCTAAGGCCGTCACAGATCGATGAAATTACCCCGCCTGGTGTTTACAATTTTCAGCAACACAAAAATGAATCGTATCGACGACTCGCAACAATTCACCGAATTGGTTCAGCAAGTGAAGAACCCGGGAAGTGATATATTTTACCTAATCAAAAGTTTGGGAAAAACCAACTTTTTGATCAAACATCAAGGCAAAAAGTACAAAGTATCAATAGGAGAAAAAAACGAGTGTTCTTGTTCATTGAGGCGCACCTGTAATTGTATTCATATTCTTTTTGTGTTGATGAAAATATATGGCATTGATGAGGATGCAGAATTGCTTCGGAAGATGGGATTCAATCAGTATGAGCTGAATAATATTCTTTGCGGCAAGAAGTGTTTTTATGAAAAAAGAAAGCAAAAAGAGGCTCAATTGATCAAGCAGCAAACCAACGATGAGCCTGAAAAAAAAGGCCCGAAAGGAATTGAAGAGGGGGATTGTTGTCCGATTTGTATTGAGGATCTCAAGCCAGAAGAAGTAGATAATTTAGTTTGTTGTCGTTACTCTTGTGGAAATTACATTCATGCCTCTTGTTTGAAGGAATACTTTGCAAATTGTTATCATAAACAGAAGCCTTGCCCTTTCTGTAGAACAGATTGGAAAAATGATTTAGAAAATCAGCTTTTGGAGATCACAAATAGAAAGTTGAAGAAAAAACAGAACGAAAATCGTCCTTCATTTAAATGTAGCGAATGCGATCAAAATTTGGATGCAAAAAAGACTGTTTACGTCTGCCAATTTTGTTACAAGGTCCATAGCAATGTTTGGGTCATGTGCTCGTCGTGTTACTTAAGCAAAGATTCACATGTGCAACATAAGGGAAAGTTTTTTGCAATCTCGCTTGGAAATTACAGGAAAATTGATCACGAGTTGTTAAAGGAAGAAAATTTGTCAGAACGACAAAAAGACATCATGCCATTCGCATACTATTGTAACAGAACCAAATCTACTCCCGATACAAGTTGTGACAAAAAGATATCGTATTCCACCCCTAAAAAACCACGTTCCGCTGCCTCTCTCAGAACCAAACCTTGCGAAATTTCATCTCCACAAACCTTCCCGCACGAAACATCTCTTACACCCTCTCTGGCCGTAATTGGAAATAATATTTCAGAGTCAGGTGTCACTTTATTTTCGGTTTCGAATGTTAAACCTTTAGTCAAGCAAGCAAGCTCGTCTATTGTCAAGAAAGGAACAACAGTTAAGCAGACTGCCTCCACACACTCAGAGCACCACGATCTTACCTCTCTGCTAACTATTGTGCAAACACAAATAACAGTTCCACCCAGCTCTCCAAGAAAACGATAAATGGTTACCTCTTTACCTCTCTCATCGTTTAAAATCAAACTGTTTTTCCTTCGAATAAATGGCGCCATCAAATTACAATTTTTAAAATAAAAAAATGAGCACAAGACCATTAATGAGTAGAGGACAATTATTTACCGGGTCCCAAGGAACAGCAGGTGGTACAGCCTCCAGAAGAATCGGAACTGCTGCAAGAGCTGGAATGCAAACAGGAGGTGTCGGAGTGGGGTTGAACACTGATATCACTGTAGAGGACCGACCTGTCACTAGAGAAGGAATGTTTGGAATGAAGACCGGAAATACAACACAAAAGAGACAAGTTCAATCAGCCTCTTATTACCTCGGAGAGTTGCATGCAAAGATATCAATGCTCACGGAAGAACTAGAAAGGTTACGAAATGAAGGACGAAAACTGCAACAAGATCGAGTCCAATCTGAAGTCTTGATCAAAAAAGAAAATGATTTGAAGGAAGAACTTGCACTTCTCTCAAACAAAGCAAGAGATTTAAATGTTAGTGTTGAAAAACTCCAACAGTTTGATGCAATTAACGCTCAAGACAGAGAGCCTCTGGAAAAGCTAAAAGCTCAATATGAGAAGTTTAAAGCGGAAAATGAGAAATTGAAGGAGTCAAATAATGAAATTTTTAGAAAGAGAAACAACTGCGAAGAAGCCATAAGAGAAATCGAACAGAAAATTCAAGATTTCAACGATGATCTCGAAGACAAACTTAATGTTGATCTTTCTAAAAAGAACCTCTTCTTATCCTTAAAAGAAGAGAGAAACGAGCTTGAAGATACACTAAATTCTATGGAACGTCAACTTCAAGAGTTGAACGACTATTTGATGGGAGATGGAGGGTCAGTACTTTCAAACGACCCCCAAAAGCAAAAATATTACGAAAAGCTTCAAGAAAAGAGAGCCCTAGAAAAACGAAAACAGGATGTACAAAACAAATTAAGTGGAGGAACAGTTTCTGATGAAGAAAAGAACCATCTGATGCTTCAAATGAAGAACGACAAACAGGATACTCTCAGAATAACTGAAGCGATTAAGCAATGCAAAACATTGGTCAACTCTGAAAAAGACAAATTGAAACAATTGCAAGATCAACTCGATTCTCACAAGGGAGAAAAATCCAAAAGTTATGCTGAGTTTAAAAATAAGGATGCAGTTCTCACTAAATATATGGCCAATTTTGACACTGATAAAAATAAGGAATTGAAAGAGATAGCCGACCACCAAGAAATTATTGTAAAACTTTTGGATCATATAAGTAACAATATGGGAGACCAAGAAAACCTCCCAACTCAAACCAAGCTCGAAGAAATGAAGGACGATTTGGCGTTCAAACAAGACCAAAAGAATATTTCCCTATCGACGTTAGAAAGATTGAAACTGGACCTAAAGCAACGAAGAGAAGAACTTGAAAAAGTTAATAACCTTGAACAGAAAATTACACAAGATATGAAGCGGATGGATGAGTCTATGAGGGAAATGAAACAATCTCTTGAAACCTACAACAATATCGAATTACTTAAGCGACAATACGAGAGACAAAAGTCAGAGCTTGTTGAAAATAGAGAGCAGTTAAAACTTTTAAAGGAAAACTTGAAAACAGAAATGCATTTATTGAGTAGACACAATACAACACTCGAAAGAAAAATCAAAACGAATGACATTTATACAATTCTCAATGACCTTGAACAGAAAATCAGAGTTTACGAACAAAACAATTTCCTCCTTAATGATTACATTACACAAAAAGGAGCTGAATCCGATTATACCGATGTTAAATATAACACGATGAAGTTGGTCCATGATGTCATTGAAATGGTCAAAGAAGATTCGAAACAATCCTACTTCTAATTGAGAAGAAACCTATTCTGAAATAAATTGTAGCCCAACATTCTTTCGGAGAGTTCATTCAATTCTGGAATTAAAGCTGTCATCCATTTTACAATTTGACTTTTTAAAAATAAACTCAAAAAATGGCACCTCAACAACAAGATTCCCCTCGCTACCATCGAAATAATCGCGATAATCGTAACCATCATCACGATAATGACAACAATAGTTCAGCATCATCTTCTATGGTGAATACTGCACTGGAGAATACCACTATCCATCAAAAAACTCTTCGAACAAGAATTAAAAAGATCATGCATGCTTCCGCATCATCGGAACCTCATCAACACAACAATAATCATCATCACATCAAGAAACACTCATCACACAAATCTAAAATTCCTAAAGATGTTCTCAAAAAATGTTTTTCTCAATTTCAATATTTAATTCAACAAACTCATATTGAACATTATTTTGCGTCACATCCACAAGAAAAAAACAAACGCCGATGGACTGAAGAAGATCTTGCTTCCATAGAACATTTACATATTTATGATTTTGATGGTACATTATATGAAACATTATTACCTGAAGAAGGTATACCTCTCTATGAAAGCATTACAGGTAGACCATGGCCCTATGGAGTCGGTTGGTGGTCCAAACATGAGTCGATCTCTGCATTTTCTTTTCTGAAAGATGATAATGATGAACATGTTGTTAAAGAAGGTGAAGCTTTGGAGCATTATTTATTGTTGAAAGCTCAAAAACAACGACATGATTTGATTGTGATGATGACTGGAAGAAAAAACTCCTTAAAGAGATCAGTGATCGAATTTTTGAGTCATAGACTTGAGGATGAAACCTTAATGCCTGAGATTATGTGCTTCAAACCTGATGAGTTTGGAAGCAATACTTTGGGATACAAGGTTCAACATATTTATGCTTTTTGTAATTCATTACCCAATTTGAAATTTATCACCATTTGGGAAGACCGAGTAGAACATGCCAACCGATTTAAAAATTTAAATATTAAGAATTTCACGCTTAACACTTCCATTACGATCGACGTCAAGATTGTTGGTAAAGAAAAGGATAATGGCGTTGAGGAATAAATAAGCAATCATCTATTGACTTTCCAAGTACAACGTGAAATAAAAAGCCATCATTGATAAGTGTCGTTTAATTCACGATAGGAACATATTGAGGAACCCACATTCTTTTTCCAACATACTCTTCCATTTCAGCATTTGAATCAATGAATGTTTTAGACTTGTCTGCAAATTTCAAAGCATTTCCTTCAGATGCGGCCTGTCTAATAACGCCCACTGCTACTTTTTTGGTGACTTCTCTAATGTCTTCGACACGTGGATACACTTCCTTTCTTTTGATTGCATCATCACTCACAGAGGCAGCCAAAGCCTTAGATGCTGCATAAAACATGTTATTTGAAATATGTTTAGAACCTTTGTTAAAAGAGGATAAATGAATTGATTTTGTGCTTTAAATCTTCTCACCTACCTGCCAAGATGCTACCAAGGCCCACACCAGGGAAAATAAACATATTATTGGCTGTTCATTTGTGGAAATTGTTTCAAGATTTAAGAAGTCAAATTATATAAATCAAATCACTTTCAAATACAAACCTTGTGGTGGTCTAATGGTCAATCCATTTGGAAGAGTAACATCGTCAAATGGAGATCCACTGGCAAACACACCTCTTCCTTCTGTGCATCTGAAAACAAGCTCAGCACTGGCCTCTGATTTGCTTGTTGGATTCGAAAGAGGGAAGATGATAGGTTCTTTTCCTCTCTCAGCACATTGTCTGTTCATTTCTCTCAAAATTTCTTCTGTGAACAATCCACCAACACCAGACAAACCAAGTAGGATATCAGGTTTTATAGTTTTGATAGTTTGAAGGATAGAAAGACCCTCTGGTAAATCATCTCTAACTTCAGCATAGGACCTTTGTGAGGCAGTGAAGATGATACACTTTTCATCTCCTTCTTCAATTCTTCGTTGTGTTAATAATCCATCCTTGTCAACAACATAAAAGTTCTTACGGGCCTCTTCATCGTCTAGACCTTCCCGAACCATGGCCTCTTTTTAAAATGTAAATCTTGTCAATTACACAAGTCACTCGATATAGCAACTCTTACCTTTCAAAGCATTGGCAACTCCAAGACCAGCACCACCACTACCAACCACAAGGATCTAATCATTTGAGTTATTAAATAACTGCAAATCTGCATTACATACCTTCTGATGTTTAATGTCAGAGAATTGTTGTCCAATTGCTCTCAAACTGTTCAGAATACCAGCAACTATTTTTGTTAAATTTAAGCACTTCCATGAGTTCAACTTACCAATGACTGATCCTGTTCCTTGAATGTCATCATTAAATGAAAGACATCTATTTCTATATTTTTTGAGAACAATTTCAGCCTTATCACTTGTAAAATCTTCGAATTGAATTAACACTTTAGGCCATCTTGTTGTGACAGCTTCCATAAACTCGTCCAAAACATCAAAATATTCTTGACCAGTCAAACGCTTTCTCCTAATACCCAAATATAATGGATCATTCAATAATTTTTCATTATCAGTTCCAACATCTAGCATGACAGGAAGCACTCTTCCTGGGTTAATTCCTCCTGCAGCAACATAAAGTGATAGTTTTCCAATTGGAATGCTGATAAAGGTCCATTCGAAATTATTAATTCATCAAAGTAATTCTTGTAAACATACCCGTCTCCATTAGCTCCCAAATCTCCGAGACCCAAAATTCTACCTCCATCTGTAACAACGATCACATCAATTTCATCCACAGGATAATTGTAGACCATGGCTTTCATTTCTCCACGGTCTTCGGCAGAGAAAAACATTCCTCGTGGTTTACGAAAAATATGGCTAAATGATTCACATGCTTTTCCGACAGTAGGAGTATAAATCTTGTGAAAGTAATAACAATTTCAATCACAGACATAAATTTTAGGGAAAACCACATTGATCTGTACGTACAATTGGTGCCAATTCTAATATTTTCACAAAAAGGAAATTTGATTATTAATTTTCGAGAAATAATTCCTTACCCTTGATGTTATTGACTAAAAACTTGTAAAACAAAGTTTCATTTCTGTCCTGCAATTGAGTAAGGAATTGATATCTTTCAATATCACTCGATAACATGTTGTATCTTTCTCTGATACGTAAAAGCTGTGTGTCAATATCGACAATCACAGCTGGTAGCAATCCTCTAATGTGCAATCTGTCTCTTTCTGTTCTTGTGAATGAAGTACCCTTATTCAGTAATGAATTGTTCATGACATCAACACCAGACTGTAAGTTATTGTCATCATAATGTTGTCAAGCAGCAAAAAAGGAGGTGGAATAGAGTTCGACTTGTTGGCAACAACATCCAACAAATTGTTGAAATAACGAACCTGAGTGGTTATAATTAATCCTCTTTTAAAATCTGAGTGATCATGAATATTTCTCAGAGTACATGGCTTGTTTTGATTCATCATGGTCATCATCATCATGTTCACGGAACAAGCTTTCTTTTTCAGAAGGTTGGCATGATGAAAAGCCTTTGCACTGATGGAAATTGTTGTGGTCGAAGATTGCATTTTTATTTTAATTTTCTTCAAAAGACGATTGTTCATCATCATCCGAATAGGAACAACAGGCAATTTATGGCTTGTGCAAAAACTGTACTTGAACAATTTATTGCATTAATATAGGTGTGTTTCATTCTTTGAGAGAGGCACGTGTTAGACCCAGAATATGATACATTTAATTCTCACCGAAATGATCATCATGATGATGGGTTTTATGTGTAATCGTGAGCGAATTACAAGTTTTTGCTTTCCTTCACGTTATCACCATAGCTGTTTTTAAAATCCAACAAGAGAACGCAACAACATTCCAATAATTTGCCAACATGATGAAATATATTCGTGATGGTGTGGTTGCATCAATATCATAATCATCAAAATAATTTCATAAGAAATCATTTCACTTACCAATTCCTCAAATCAGCACCTGTTGTATCAGCATCTTTCCAGTTACATCCTCCCAGATCAGAAAATTGCAAATTTACATTTCTCATATTACATCCATCCAATCGTGCTCCCTTCAAGCTCACGAACTGTAAATCAGCTCCTTCCAAATTGGCGCCACGTAAGTCAGCATTCTTTTTTTGGGTGCGCGTTCAGGAAGTGGAGAAAGAGAGCGAATTCGAAAGGTGGTCATGACGATTGTCATGGTGATGATGATGATCATGCATGTGTGCACGTAAGGGAAAAGGAAAGGACCATCACGTCATGATTTTATCAAAAGGTGTTTGTTCAAAATTAAGATCGTATATAGGGTATGCATCGCAAATGGTCGCAGAATGTGTTGTTGAGAGAGGAGATCATATCGATACATCACACCGTGCACACAGTGATAGGAATATATAAATGTGGTTGGTGTGATGAAGAAGTGGCAGCGAAATTAGTAGTAGTAGCAGCACCACACAACAAAATTTCATCATCACGCGGGCGGATGATAACAACCATTTCATCATCATAAATGACAACATCATATATGATTTCACACAAAAACAATCAAGAACTTGATGATTCACACTCACCTTTAAATTAGCCTTCTTCAAATCTGCCTTCACAAAACGTGCTCCTCTCAAATTTGCCCATTCAAATGTTGCACTTTCCAATCGTCCTTCATCAAATTTTGTTCCTTCCAAATTACTTCCTGTGAAATTGGCACGTTTTAACCACAAATGTCTCAAATCAAGACCAGACAAATTGCAGTGAGGAAGTTGAAGACCGGATTGAACATCAAAATCTTGTTTGGTTTGATTGCCGGAAACCACTTGAATAGAAACTCTAGTTTGACTCAATTGGTTGACCATTTGAAGGATTTCCTTTCTTGTGAATCGATCGGTAGGTTCAATGAAACCTCCTGTCAATCCACCAACTTCTTCTTTATGTTCAAGAGTAAGTTTACTTTGTACAGAGTCGTTCGAACTCATGATGATGATTAGGGAAAGAGAGTATTGTTGTTGTTGTGAAGTGTTGTTAATATCACCAAGAATATGAAAATGTGTAACGAGTGAAAGACTGATGATGATGTCTGTAGACAAGTCTAGATGATGATGATGATGATGACTGGTTTTTCGTGATGACGATGAACGGATGGACACTCAAAGAAGGGCGTTACCTCTTGCCGCAATTTTTTTTCTTTGTGACAGTGACAGCAGCAAAGAATGACAAGTTTCGTGCTAAACTCCTTCAAACTTTTGGCAAGTGATGTCCTTTTGAAAAGGTACCTTCTATCACACAGTAAATAGTTAGATTTTATGTTGTATCTCAAGGTTCTCAAAGTTGATCAATTTTTTCTGCCACCCTTTGACGAATGGTGTTGATAATACATTTATCAGAAAATATTTCATTCAGAACTTCATCCAAACAAGTTTGAACAAGGGAAGGTTGGTATTTAGCAAACAAGTTCTTTTCAACACCGTTGCAGTTTCGTTCGAAGAGAATTGAATTTTTGAGTCGTGTTTCAAGTGTTTCTATGGGAGTTTGTTGTGTCGAAGAATCCTGCTCTTGTTTCATGTTTTTCTGAAGATACATCAATTCATTGAGGGGTATTTCTAAAATATTGGAATTTGATGATGGTTGAGGTAAATGAGCGTCAAAAACATGCAAATTGGCATCCAACTTGAGATGGCTAAGATCACAGTTAGGTCTAAAATCAAAATTCCAAAAGCGGCTTTTAAGGATTCTGGAGAGAGTATAAATTATTTCGTTGATATGGCTTAAACTCAGCCAGTGTTCTAAGGTATACTTGTTTGTAGATAATTGAACAAAAGGAAAGCATGACATGAACGTCTCAAAAATATTGCAGCTTAGTTCTGGTCCTCTATATGAGAAAGATGGAATGTTCACACTACTTTCTTGAGAAATAGTGGAATAGAAATACAAAGAAATAGTGTTTAAAATTGCCACTAATTCGCTCATTAAAATAAAAATTAAATTACTCCTAAGTGTTCCCTTATTTTTCTCTAGAAATTCTAATAAGTACAATTCTAACACCTGCGAAAGGCTTCCTTTGTCTTTGAAGTGTTGAGAAAAAAGTGATGTATGATCAAATGATTGTGGCTTTGAGCTTGTTTTAGAAATAGTTGTGTTTAGAGTGGTAGTTGTGTTGCTGAATGATGCATATTCAGTCTTCTCTGTCACTCTGGGCGTTTGTTTTTTGAAGGAACTTTGAAATCTATTTTTTTCTGTCGCTAGAGAAAAACCGTTCTAAGGATTTGGTAAGAAATCATCATAGTACATCATAAAAACCTACAGTATAAAACAAACCAAGTACTAAATGAAAGATACTTTCGTCTCTAAGATCGATATTCTGTCTTGAGCTCTTTTTTGAAAGGGTTTCTGTCATTGTTGATTCAACACCGTATTTTCTGAAAACAACATTGTTCCACTTTTCGTCTTCTGTTGATTCGAAAGCTGTTTTGACTTTTACAAATGGATCTGATATTTCCTCTATCATCTTAATCATAGGTGCATATGTTTTGGATTTCAACATTTCTATTTCGGTGACCTTTTGATTGTTGTCGTTGTGAGGCATAAAGAGAGATTCTGGTTTGTCCTTGAAGATCTTGCAAGATGGTTCAACCTCCGTTGGTGGGTGTTTGGGAGATGTTTTAGATTGGCGTAACTCTTTTTTCTCTTGGTCACTGTTTTCTACTTTTGAAAGTTCCTGCTTCGGTAACACATTCATCATGCACTGAGTCTTCTCTTTTTCTATTAATCGGTCGTGTTGTTGAGTTTCACAACGCTCCGATGTATCTTTTTGAATATGATTATCTTGTTTTTGAATGTTATATCTTGTTTCCTTTTTTCTCTCCTCTGTTTGAGGCTGCTCCACTACCCCCTTAATAGATTCCGAAGAAGGATGTAAAACGGTAACTTCTTGATCTTCCTCACTGAATTCATCAAAATCCTCAGTATCTTCCAAATATGATTCATCTCTATGTTTTTCTTCCATTATTGCTTTTGTTTCAACCACTTTGTTTTGAGCTGAGCTTTCTAATTGGTGATGTTCAACGTTGGACAACGTCTGTTCGTCGTCACTCAATTCAAAGTCCTCTAGGTCAACAATGTTAGGAGGATCTTTTGAGGTATTATTATTTTGTTCCTCTTCTTCATTGCTTTCATTTTCATCTTCTACACTATTATGATGTGTCTCTATGCCTCCGAACATCATAGGATCTAGATCTTCAATTTCATGAGGATTTTCTTCTTCGTGCTGGTGATGAGATGATGGATTTTCGCTTCGGGCTGATAATTGCTGTTCGCTATTCTTATTACTTCTCCATGATCCCTCTTCGGAGTGATCCACTGATGAGTCCTCAAAATCCTCGTCATCAAAATCATCCAAATCTAAGATGGACATTTTTTTCTACTTTTCAAAAATTGTAAATGAGAAAATGGCGGCATTTGGAATGGGCTTGATCATTATTGTTGATCCATGCTCCATCTTTTCATTTTCTTTCACCATGATAGGATTGAATATTTTGAACAAATCTTGTGTTTTGCTCTGTGGCTGTCCTCTCGAATGGAATTTGTGGGTTTCGGATTTCGGAATTTTCCAATTTTTTTTTCTCTCTAAAAAAAAATGAATGTCGAACAACTGAAAACTTTGTGTGAGGAAGGAAAATTCTATGAAGGACAACAAATGTTTGTGGTTCTTTATAACAAGACATATAAACAAGAGAAATATGATAAATGTGCTCAGATTTTACTTTCGGGAATTAATAAGATGCATCAATATAAACAAGTAGCTCTCATGATTGATCTAGCGAAATATTTAGTTTCAATGTTTACTAAAATGGATGCATCCACCACTCATAAATATGCCATAAAGGACGATCAGATAGCAGCAATAGGTATGTATATTCTGCTCCTGTTGTTAAATATCAACAATTATATTCCGACATTTTTCCATTGATTTCAACACAAATATCAGATATTATCAAACATGTTATTGAGTTATATCACGAATTGGAAGACAATGCACCAAAAGAAGATATTCAAAGAATGATTGGATTTTTGGAGAAGGTAGTTACGTGGAGTGCTCAATCTCAAGTTCCGAAAATTTCCGATAATCACGGAGAACCTTTTATTCACATGGAATTGGGAAAACTATATTTTACATTAGGAAATTATGAAGAAAGTAACAAAAACTTTTTGAAATCCAACTCTCCTGATGAGTTTTCTGCCATGATTTCAGAATGGATGAAAAAAGGAGAAAAATCAGAATTTGATTTATTTATTACTCGGGCAGTATTACAATTATTATGTGCCAAGAAGGAAGAAATGGCAAGAAAAGTCTACAAGCTGCTTATTGAAAAAACTGAAAAGGAGACTGCAACTCCACTTTTGAATTTTGTGAAATTCTTACTTCTTTCCATTGAAAAGAATAACCTAGCTCTGTTCACATACATCACAAACAAATATCAATCCGAGCTTACTAGAAGAGATGCTAGTTTTAAGGAGCTCTATACTGATAAGATTGCGTCTATTTATTTTGGAGTCAAGTCCGCCAAAAGTCAAACGGGTTTGAGTTCCATGATCAATTCTCTTTTTTCTTCCATGATGAAATAAAGCGAATGTGCTTTTAATTTGCTTTTTGCAGATGGAGTTCCATCACTGGTTGTCATCGATCGATCGGCGGGGAGGGGGATCGAGAGCGTAGCTACTAGCAACGCAATCAAAGATTCTCCTTCCATATTGGGCCTAACTTAAAAAGTGCAATTGGCGAAAAAATGCAGTTCCACAACGGACCCAGTGCTGTAAAGCATCGAAATAAGAGGCAACATCAACAATCCTCATTCACAGTTCATCCAACTTCGACTTTTCAAACACCTCAAACTCCATCATCACAGGAATTAAAATTTAATTGCAATGGCTTCCCATCCGATAAATATTCAGAGCTGCTTTTTGGTGATTGTATATTCAATGCAAACTATAAGCCGATTGCAATTAAAACAGGGACCAAATTGAAATCTGTTGAATGCAATCAACTCGGCACAAAAGCAACCGGGATTTGCAATAATTGCCAATCTACAATGAACCACCTTGATCAAATTATTTCAAAGAAAGATGTTATTTTCCAACAAATTGCTGATGGAGTTCGTCCCGCACCTAAAAGTTTACTTGCGTATCCTTTACTCATGTATGAAATAATTAGCAAGTTAGTGGTTCATTCAAAAGAGTTAACTGAGACCGAATCTGAATTAGTGTCATTATTTCGACAAGCCTAAGAACATTATGATTCAACCTGGAATTTTGAGTCAGTGAATGTTGAGTATGTGATGGAATCACCACAAAAGAAAGTTAAATTAGATCTCAGAACAGAACCTACTTGTAAACCTTGTTTGCCAGAAATGAAAAACCCTTTTGAGGATACATTTTTCATGCAATTTATATTCGACCAATTACGAAATTATAGTAGAGATCCGCGTCATCACCAGTATTCTGATATTGCAAAACGTTTTTGGATTCTTGTTAAATATTATGCAGGAAAGCAATTTTTTGTCAGAATGGCCGGAGCACGAAATCAACATCAACCATGTAATTGGTTCAACCATTTACATTACAATCTCATAATTCCTGAATTAGCTACAGTCAAAAATTGGTTTCCAAAAGGTAGTCGTGGTATCCTTCCGTATTTCAAAGAAACTCTTGAAGATATTGTTTCAAAATCCTCCTGTAAGAATGCATGTTTAAATTTAACAAGCTCACCGGTCATTGAACAGTTGAAAGCAATCAATACTCCACAATCATTAGCCGCAGCAAATTATTTGACGTTAATTCGAGAATTATATGACTGCATTAATGATAATAAGTGTCAAGTTGAGCAATTACATAACATTAAGCAACGATTTGAGCAGTTAAATCCGTTCCCCTCAAAAACAAAAATATTTGCATACACACTATCAATGGATTCATCACTTTGATCTCACATTTTCCAAATCTTCGATCAAGCTGTATCACCACAAATTCTAATGAACTATTTTTCTCTATTGTAAGACATAAGTATCCTCGAGCAACAGAAAAACAGTTCTGTCAAATGGGTTTGTTAACATTTTTCATATATTGTATCCTTCATGCCCCTGATGATGTTCGAGGATTTTCTCTTCCTGATATTCCATTAACTGATCATTATAACGGAATGAGTGGAAAAGTGACAAAAATTCCAGATTTTTCGCCATACTGTAGCCCAAACTCTCAACTTAAAGGATTCGAAAAAGAATTAGAAAAAATTAATCAACAAATTGCAAATTATGCCAGAAAATCCACTTTGAGATTAGATACTTGTGCTCCAAAGCGGATCTTTCTTTGTTGCCCTGTACCTAATTGTAAGAAATTGAAGCCTTATCTTGTAAAAGGCTGCTTTAAAAACCATTTGATCAACAAACACAAATATGATCAGAAAGCAGCTGCTGAAGAGGTTAAGAATATGGAATGTCAAGAATTTCTTCGTCAAATGCAAAGAGATGTTGAATTGCGAAAAGTTACAATGTCACATGGTGAAGAAGATCAATACAAAGATTCTCAATCAGAAAATGCTACTACTAATAATTCAATAGAGGAGCTTAAGCATAAGCCTAATGAATTACGGTCCGTATTTAAAGATAAAATTTCGGTGATACATTCTAGACCTCAAGGGATAATATCATCAACACAAAATCTCATGAAAATCGGAAACAAATTATATCATATTGTGTTGATGGATTTGGAGACAATGGGAGTCAATGTCAACACCAATACTATCATTCAAATTGCTTTTCTATTGCTGTCAACACATCAATTACATTCAATGTTTGTCCAACCAGAACCAAATGCAAATTGGCATCAAAAAGCTGCAACAATGCATCAGGACAAACTGGCCATATTAGTCAAAAGTGATTTTCTTCGGAATGTGATTCCTGATGTTGTTAATTATTTGACATACGGAGAAGCAGCCGATGTAATATTCTTAGTTCATTCATGGAGTTTGGATGAGCAATTTTTCACAAAAGCGTTAACAAGTCTCTCTCATCAACCCAAAATTAATTTTCATTATTGTAGGACGATGGAGAAAGTGTTACTCGGAAGGGTGGCCTTGGAGAAACAATATTCGTCTCGGATTAGCAATGATCTTCCGGGAACTCCTCACAATGCTGCTGTTGATGTGGTTATGTTGTATGATTTGCTGTTGAGCAAGTTTACGACTGACAAGAATATAGAGCAAGCTGTTGTGAAGCATCTGCAACTTCGTCAAACCACCCTGCAATAAACATTTTTTTGGTTTGCTACTTTTATAGTTAGGCCCAAAATGGAAGGCAAAAGTCTGATTGCCTACGCTCTCGATCCCCCTCCGTCGATCGGGAGGAATACAACGAGCGCACACTGCAAAAAATGGAACGACTTGTGGTGCAAAATGAGGCCGAACGCCACGTACAAGCCTATCTGGAGTATCGAATGATTGTTGGCGATCGGGACGGAGGTGTTCTCCTTCCAGAGGAAGAATATGAGAAATTAAGGAAAGAATTCTATGCCAAGAGAGAACAACATAATTTACATTTTGTAGACACCTCATACATCCGAGGTCAAAACAAAAGACACCAGCCCAACAGCGAAGAAATGAAATACGAGAAGAGCAAAAAGGATTCTTCCAAAAATAGAATTTTAAAACCGAACGTGTCCTTATTAGATTTGTACAAAACGTAGGTTGGACAGTGAGGGTGTTTGCAAAATTAATATATCACTTTAGGCCGCCTCAGTTTGAATTTCATATCTCCATTTCATCCTCTTCCTTTAGACCAAAAAGTTCGTCCACAAGTTGTGATTCGCTCAAAGTTACCAGAGTAAATTCTGCTAAAAGAATCGTCAGTGGAATCCCTAAGGAGCAAAGCAAACTTTCATCCAAACAACTTCCATCAGTGTCACGGTTTCAGCAGATTGAAGATGATGATCAAACAAAGCTGGATGAAATGACTGCTCAATTACAGAATGATTCTTCATTAAGCGAGGCTAAAAAATATTATCTTAAAAAACAAATACAATTATTGAAGGTGAAAATTGCAAAGGCTGCAAAGAATGAATAATGTGATTCGCGTTTGGTAGGTCATAAATTACATGGAGAGGTCCAGGAGCGACTCTTGCTTTTGTGGAATTTCTTGAGGTATTACAGCTGTACTTGTTGCTGCAACAAACAATTCAGTGTTGATAGGACCAATCAACCCCTCGGTCAACTCTTTGTGGTTGGATATCAAAAATGCTGTGGCTTTAAACTTGGGAGTCATACCCTCTTTGTCACTACAATCATCTTTAACACTGCGTTGATTTGGTATTTTCGTAGATAAAAAAAGATGAGAAAAAACGATGGATAGATCCTTAATGTTCTGCTCTGATGTTTGATAGTTGTCACTCACTAAACAGAGAAAATTGGAGATGGTGTAAAAAATTTCAATATTCTGTTTTGGAAGATCTTTGATAGCATCTCTAAGAATTTGGATCTTTTCTTGAGCACTTTGAGAGCTGTTGTTGCAAGTATCAATTATTTTTCTATACAATAAAGAGGTGAAGAGAGGTTCTGGTAGAGATTCTAAAAAGTAGCAAATGAGTGAAGCAACAGAATATGGAGATGTGTCATGGTCAGACAGTAAATCTTGCTCATCAGAAATGTGTCCATGATCAAAATTGAGCATTAGTCGCAACATGAGCGTGTCTCGTGTGTCATATTCGTTGGAGAACAATCTTGGGAATTCTAAGGCAGCACTCTTTTTCAGATATGATATACAAATATTAACCATTCGTTTGGAACAATCGTCAATGTCTACACCGAATAGTGGCTTTGAAGCAGTATTGTTCATATAGATCATTGATGCATTTGCATAGGTTGTTAATCCCATTCGTCCTCCAAGCACAACAAGTCTATTGTTGAAAATTAAGGTTTTTGCAAGAATCAATGTGCATTCACTGGCTCCAATACCTGCTGTTGTTAACTTGAAGTTTCTAATATTGTAAATAAGAACATCATCTAAAATAGGTTCCTTAGAAAAAGCACCTCGTGGTCTGTCCAATAATTCACCACCAATGATAAATATAAAATCATCAAAAATAGCAGCTGAACCCCATCGAGCTGGTATCAGATCTACAGTTTCAGGTTTTTGAGGAATCATTCCAGCAATTTGCCAAGTATTTGTGGCAATATCGTACTCTAAAAACTCTTTAAATGGAATGTCTTCATTTCTTTCACTAAGTCCACAGCCACCAATGACATAAAATTTCTCTCGTTTTTCACACAAAACCATCGAATGACCATATCTTCCTGGTCTTGGAGGAGATTTCAATTGAGTCCAAGTATTTGTCTTGTAATTGAATGCCCAAAAATCATTAAGTGGTTCTGGAATGGCCTTTTTAAATGTTTGAGCAAATGCATAACCAAATCCTTTTGGTTGTTGTCCAGATATTCCATTGAAACCTTCTCCTCCATAGACATATAAAATTCCTTTATAGGCACATGCACTGTGGTACCTTCTTGGTTTTGGAATGGGTGTATTTTCTGGTGTTCTAATTCTTTGAATTGTATTTTGTGACAAATCAATGTCATAAATATATGGATCATATTGAGAATTATCATCACTCTTTCCTGTAATCCCATTTCCAATTTGTTTAAAGAAATTATTTAAATTAGTTCCAATACTACTCGAACTATAACCCACTTGACCTCCATATAACAACAAATGTTCAGAGTTGATTTGATTGAGAGTATGATGAGCTCGGGGTCTCTCTTGAAAATCTTCAATCACATGTGCTTCATTCTCCTGTATCATTCGTAGAGAAATACTCTTCCAATCTAATTTCTCGACATAGTACAACAAAAGTGGATGATGGAACTGATTGAATCTTGTTTTTCCTCCATGTACATAGAATCGGTTCGGATCTACATGTCCTTTCATATGCACTGCAGCAAAGCCTTCGGAAGGGAATGGAGCAAATTCATCCCGAATCATGTACATGTCATCGTTATGGAGAGGTTGCCAAATATTGGAGTTTCTATTGGAATCATTAGGACTCTTCTTTCCACTTGCCACCCCTGATGATGATGGTTCGGATTCATCCATCATCCATGCAATGGATTTTTCAAAGACTGTATTAATTCCATCCGATACTGTGGTGAAAGGATTCATCATCTCTCTTCAAGAAGGTGAAGTGATGAAGAGGGTACTACTCGAAGTATTGAAATTGTTTTTCGCGGAGAGAGAAGAGGCTTGATGGGTTTTTTTGGTGATGAGTGGTTTGATGGACAATCTCCGTAACCCTCCTTTCCGGGATCAAACGAGCAAGATCTTGCCTCGAGTGTCTTTTTCTTGCATGGATTCTCTTTCGGGATGAATATTATTATAATCATTGGATTGTTATGGAAATTTTAGTAACGATGCCACTCATGCATGCACTACAACTCTTTGAAATTGAGAGAGAATTAAATAGTGAGTATATTAATTTATATCTCCAAAAGTATTACTTCTTTTCTTGATTTCCATTACTATTATTACTATTATTGAATAATCTAAACACATATTTCACATATTCATAAGTCGTCCATGTCACTGCTGCTGAGGGCGTAAAGAATACCACTCTTGGAATCGATCCTCTGAATAGATTTCTTACGAGTCCACCTGACTCTGATCCCAACAATGCAAGTGCTTCTTTCACATTCGATGCTTGTCCAACTTGAAGAAGAGTTTTCACAACATCAAAAGGATTGGAGACCAAACCACCTGCAGCACCAGCAAGGCCACCAGCTGCAAAATGTTTGACATGTTTCCATTTGTCTTCATCGTGATCATGATGGTGGTGATCATGATCATCATGGTCATCATGTTCGAATAATTTCTTCTTAACAAATTCATAGGTCACAAAGTGAACACTCGTATATGGAATGTTCATCAAAACTGTGGTAGGTAAACTCACAAAGAATCCTCTTAGACCTCTTAAGGCATAAATTTCACGCGAGGCATCCATAAAGTTGTAATTTTGAATATGTCCTTTAAGTTGCTATTGAAAATTCATATGATAATCAAAAGGATGGTCATGCAGTGAGCAACATGTATCATTCAAATAATAATCATAAAAACATGTACAAATGAATTTCATGTCAATCATTCCATCATGCCATTTAAATTTTCAATCAACATTTCACATCAATAAATTTCACTTCACACCACCTACCATATGTTGCTTAATCACATCAATTGGTGTTGCAATACCATCGTGACCAATAGTTGCTGCCACACCTGCAATAGCACTCACACTTGCATTACTTGTAAAATGTTGTTCACGACCTCCTTGAAATAATCTTTTCACTGCTTCATAAGTTGCAAAATAAAAGGCATGTGACGGTAAGGCTCCATAAAGAACCACTGTTAGACCACTATAATAATTTTTCAAACTTCCAATGGCTCGGATGGATTGCCAAATACCCTTATTTGTTGATTGGACATAGGTTTTGATGGTGTCAACAGGATACATGACTAAAGAATTTCAAATGTTTCACAAAACATTGTTTCAAATTGTGGAATGGTCCATGAGAGAGTGTGTACGTGTGTGTGTTGTTGTTCATGTTCAACACACATAAATTTTGAGTCAAAATTCATACAAATTTTGAAAGATTTCAAGACATACCAGCATGTTCCATGAGTCCGGCCATTGCTCCGGCTGTCATGTATTGAATTGGATTTCCTTTTAACTCTTCATCGTCCTCCAATTCTTCAACATGAGTGTAATAAGTAGGAGATGATGACCGATTTAAACGAATGGTTGGATTTAATTCCTCTTTATCATAATTCCGATTCATGTTGCAGAATGTATTTGTGATTATGTGTAGATAATAATAATAATTTTAAAATTGGGTAATTCTGCGCATGCGTCGGTGTGATGATGATGGTGGTGAGAAGGTGAAAGAAATGAACAAATTTGAGCTTTTTTTCAAATCCTTTTTCTTTCCGTGGAATGGACGGACTGCTGGAATCTTTTTGCAGGAACAAAACAAAGCGTGGAAAAAGATTCTTTGTGTTCATGCACAAAAGGGAGTTGATTCATCATTCTCACATAGGTGACGCATGCTCACTCTCATCCTCAGGTGGTTATTGTTTCTGTTTGTCTTTAGATTCTTGTTGCTGCTGAATCACTTGTTCAATGAAGGGAATTGCTTTGGATTTAGATTCCTTGTCTTTTTGTTTCATTTCTTCTAGACACTTAGAGAGGACATGTAGAACTGCCGTATCATTCTTTTGATTCATTTCGAGCCACCATTTGCTATATTCTCGTAAAGAAATGTTCATGTGTTCATGAGGAGGAACAATCCACTCAGAATTTTCAACTTTGGTGAAAAGTAAATGAACCAACAGGACAATGTATGACAAATTGTTGGTGACTAAATGTTTCTCTACTGATTGATAATCGCTTTGAAACAGAGTCTTAAGGAGTGCTCTGAAAAGTAAATGTCCATTTGTTTGATAGTTAATGTCATCAGCAAAAAAGTCTCCAATCATTAATTGTAACTGCTTGGCATCATTTAACACGGACAAGAAATGAGCTTCTCTCTCCTCCAATGGGTAGGTCCGCGATAATGTGATCACTTTTAAGGTAAGTTCCACAGTTATGTACAAGTATAGTTGCTCAATTAAGGGCAGGAAAATGTTTTGTTGCGATTGCTGAGTGTCATAAATGGATAAGTAAACTCTCTTGGCACACTTCATACAATAGAAGAACTGCTTTACAAACAGGGAATTTGAGTTGTACTCTCCTCCCATTTCGAGGTGGCTCATTTCCAATTGCTGCTGTTTCTGCGATAACTCTCCTTCTGACAAATGCATATTCCGTAATACAGTCAATAATTGTTTCTTGATGACATCGAATACAGGTTGCAAAATTTGCTTTGCAACTTCATCCAACTTCTTTAACGATGGCTCTAAGTGAATTTCTAGCCGCGTAAATACAGGAATACTCGAAAAGGTCTTGATTACCTTTCTTGTAGATGATAAAAGTAAATAAATGGATGTGAAAAGATTTGCATTAAACGTCTGTGCGGGTGATGGTGTTTTAGCCATATTGCTGAGAGAATTTCCCTCCAGAACCGAAAGGAGATCAATATCTTTTGCTGATGCATCAGTTATCATCATTTCTTCGATTTTGTTTGAAAATAATTGAAGAGCTTTTCCAACATTCTTTCCAACATCAATAAAAAGCTTGGTATCTGTTTTAACATTACTTAATTCTTGTTGAATTAGTGAGGTCAAGTTTCTAATGTCAGAAGAGGAGAGACCTTTGAAACCACCAGAATCGGTTTTTGATTTTGGAAGATTGACTTTGGAAAAAAGCTGCTTTGTCTTGTCGAATAGTCTATTTAAACACAGACCTAAATAACGAATCTCAAGAGGATCCAACACTGTTGTCATCCATCGTTGGGGTCGTAATTCTTGTTGTGTAAGTATTGGCAAGTAATTTGAGATAGAGTTAGAGAATTCCTTCATCATTGATTTAAATTGAGGATACTCATTGATTAATAAATCCTTAATTATTTGATTGTTACTATTGAGTGTCCTTTTGATGGCATCATCAAATGCTTCTGCTATCGACTTCCAAAAACTTTCCAAGAAATTATCATTTCCACGTTCTTTGAGTATCGATGAAAATTCTACCTGAGTCAATGTATCTCGTTTTTTCTTAACAACCATATCCAAGTGGTGGACTTGTGCAAAGTTGGTCTCTACATCAAACAACATTGATTTAAGCTGAACTAAATATTGAGTTCTAAATCCTTCATTGGTTTTTGTGACCTTTTGGTTAATGGTTGATTTTATGCCTGAAACTGCTGTATTTAATTGCTGGTCCACAATCTCAGATACTGTCTCGGATAAAATTCCAAAATTAAAGAACACTTGTAAACCAGTGGCAACCAACGATTGTTGCTTGTTTTTCATTCCTTCCTTGATGGATTTCAACGCTTCATTTTTCATCTCTATAGTGATTTCTTTCACATAGGGAATTTCTTTCTCAACAATATTAATTTTCTCCAACTCTTTTGATTTGATGATTTGTTCTATGAAACAGTATATATATGTTCAGTTCATTTTCACAATACCAATTTTGTACTCACCCAAATCATAAATATATTGAGAAACGTTAAATAAATTTGTCTGCTCAGAGCTGTAACCGCTGTAACTCTTTCTTAGCTTGGAAACCAGAGACAAGAAGGTGTACACTTTTCGAAGAAGTTCAATTGTTTCAAATATGTTGTACAGTTGCTTATATCGAGTGTTTAAATTTGTGTAGCTCGATCCCAAGCTTGATTGGAGTCTAGCAGGAAATTAAAACTAATTAAAATAACTAATGGGCAAAATGCGTGAAACCTACTTGGACACAGAATGTTGTAGTGATTCCACGTTTTTCTTCACTTGTATTAAGTCATCTTCAAGCTTTTGTATTTCAAAGATGCTCTTATAAAAGCCTTTTCCAGAAATTGTATTTTGGTACTGATAAACGAGAGACATATCTGTTTCTTCCGTGTTCTTTAGCTCATCACCCAATGTTTTTGACAAGAAATTCTTAAATTCTAACTCATCATCTTCGAGTTGAGAGCTTTGTTTTTCGAAAATTTTGAAAATTTGATTATCAATCACAGAAATGCCTTCATGAAGTTTTGAAATCTCGGAATCTAGCAAGCCATGTGATTTTACGCTTGTTTGATCATCCTCTTCTTTCAATTTGTTTTTCAAATAATTTGCAACATCAAATGATAGAGGCTCATCTGATGAGTTTTGATTCTCCACAAACAATTTTAAATATGGATCCTCCTTGAAATACTTTTGAATTTGATTCATTTCCTCCGAAGCAGATACATGACCCAGCTGTGTTGATGATGATTGTTTTTTCAACTGAGAATTTGATTCTTGATCCATACGGCCACTCATCATCCTTCCAACAATGGAGGCTGCTCCCGATGATAGATGACCATTCGATGATGAAGACATTTTTTTGTAACCGAGCACTGTTCAAATTCCTCTGAGAAACTCAAGAAAGTTCTCAAGCATAGTAACAGGGAATCCATCTGAGTTTCTCATGCATACATGGAAATCGCACATTCATGTTCAGACAATTAAGGTCATCAATGAACAAGTTATACTATTTTTTTTACTATTTAAATAGTCAAAACTGATATGTTTTGATTTTGAAGACTTGAAAATCATCTTAATGTTTTCTATTCTTAAAGAGCTTGACATGCTTATCCATTGAATTCACCACTGGTTCATTCAATAATTGATCTGCCTCTTGTTCACTAAGAGCTCCATGTTCCTTCATTTTGATAATTCTCTTTTTATCCCATTCCATTTCCTCTCTCCATTGTTCTTCATGATTATAAATAATATCCTTATCACCTCCATAACTCTTATCCAATTGAGAAACATCAATAAAAGGTTCCATAAAAGCTCTCAATTCTGCATGTTTTGTTCCTTTACAAAATTGAATTTTCTGTTTCGTGACTGGAGGAATGAAAGGAGAAATAATTTTGTAAAACCAATGAAAGACTTTAGGAGCATGAACCATCAAACAAAGGCCCAATCGTTCAGGAAAGTGAGAACCCAAAATTTCAACTGCTTGTTTGCACACACTCAATGGAGGAGCAGACTTATTTAGTTAAATCATCATCACCATCATCATTACCATGAATTAAAGACTTCCTCTATCAACAACCTACCTTTGTCGTGTAGTCTCTAAAATCACAAACCCAAGTAATTTGTTGGCAACGATTGTCATCATCATCCTCTCCAACCACTCGATAGGTGGCTGCAATCAAAGTGTACACAAGGAGATACAAACCAACGACAGGATCTTTGGTTAAATCACGTCCAGCATGAAGATAAACAATGGGACGATTGGCCTTATCAAAACCACGAATATAAATTTTAGCAGCACTTGCCTCATACCACAATTGTTTGGCACTCAAATGATAGGGTTTGTAAGGGGATTCAATCCAAGTGAGTGAAGATTTGAGTAATTTGAAGGAATTATTGAGATCCCAATCTCTGGCTATTGATAGTGTAGTGGTTATGAGTGTATTGTTGTTGATAGAGTTGGAGAGTATATATTCATTCAATGATTGTGTGTCAGTGATTGGGAGCAATGTTGTCGAATTGTTCCAGGGGTGGATGAATATGAGGTTAACCAATCCAAGAAAAGAAAGTGTTTACGCGATGGAATCATTGGTTCATGAAAATGGAAAAAAGGAATTGGAAGCGACATCACGCACACAGCGGAAGAAGAAGACGAAGCGTCCAAATGCATTCCGTGTTCCAATTCCATTCGCAATTTTGTTTCGAATGATGAAATCATGGGAGAGAGAGCGAGTGAGTGAGTGAAACACAAACAACACGTGAAGCGAGAAGAGAGAGAGTGTGTGTGCATGTCAGCGAGTGAGTCCACAATGATTATCGTTCATAATATTATGAATGATTCATTCAAGACACACACACAACATGGAATGAACAACATACCTTTCAAGTATCGAATCATGGTTTTAGGTTCATCATGAAAACAATAATAAATTTGTAATTTGGTCATTTTCGAACGTTCTGCATTCACCATTTCTTTGAATTTCTCTAAAATTCCTTGTTGAACATCTGTCAATTGATGGGATTGAGTTTGTAATTGATTGAGAGAATTCACGGAGAGTGAAGTTGCAAATTCTTCTCTCACTGCTTCTTCGACGTCAATGTTTTCATCATCATTAACGACAAGATTTTCTTCTGTTCCTTCTGGATTCATCAACACGGAAGTAGTACTTGTGGAAGGTTGTTCTTCAAAGGTGGTTGCTGTTGCGGTAGACATGAAGAATGTGCGGAAGGAATGTGTGTGTTCAAAAATAATGAAAGGTTGATGGCTGTCAGTAATCAACAAACACTAGGTTAAGACAATGGGCTCTTGGTAAAGAAGGGAGCGTTGCAACGTGTGATTGTTTTTCTTTCGGGTGTGTTTTGAAAATTATTCACGCTCCGAGCTTGGGTTTATTTGGCACGCGCTACACACGGCGTGAGAGTTGGTGGTGTTGTCGCAACTATTCAATTTTTGATTCGTGCGCCAAATCCTCCAAATCGATGCTCCTCTTCTTATGATCACGTTCGAACACCTATAACAGAGTAGTGATTCTCATAAACAAGAGCATTACTTCAGCAGTTCAGGAGAAAAGGTTTTTGAATAAAGGAAGTGTTGACTTGTTTGGATGTTTCTATTGAGGATATTGAGGATTAGTAGAAAGTTGTGTCTACAGTTACGTATATGAGTGGTTTTACGAAAGACAACTCGGACACATCTTCAATTGAAGGTTAAATTGAAGGTGAGACGAACACTTTCATCTTGTATTCTTGGTGGCATGAACTTGAGTGTACCTAGAATATAAATTTCGCGAATCGATCGCGATGGTAATCATTCACATCATTCAGATCCAGACGACATCTCGAAAATTGAGCGAATGGCCATTAAATACGCGAAAAAATGAAACCCCAAAACAACACAACCCTCTTGTTGTTGGTGATGATGGTCTTGCTCGTACTGATGACATTTACTACGACGAGCACCACAAGCCTTGGCCTCTCCACTCAAAACTCTCCCAAAACTCTCTCGAGCAAGATTTGTCTTCGTTTCATCTCTTCCGATTCCATCGCTGCATTGGGAGGAACATTTTTGGGATTTAATGTGCAACCAATGCCGAAGATTTGTCCTGGACCCACTGGAACATGTGATCTGTATATTAATCCAGTGAGCTGTTTGGGTAGGTTTGAATGAACATTTTTGGAATAGGATTCATAGGATGATCATGATGATGACGTTGGGTCCAACTCAATATTGTCCACAACAACATGCATGACGGTTGTTGATCTCTAAAACGACTATTATAATAACAACAACTTAGGTTGGAATGGCCCTTTGGGTGGTTATGGGTAGGTTTTCAAAAGTCTTTGATTTCAAAATGTTAATTTCAACAACCTGTTATGATCATCATCATGGCCATCATCTATGGACACACCACCATCATCATCATTTGGAATGACACAACAACACCACCCTAACACACACACAAACACTCTCACCATACAGACCATTGGCTAGTTTAGGACCATTGAGTCATGAAATTCCATCTCCAAATAATTCTTGGGAAATTCTTCGAAAATTTGTTCAACAAATATTGGGATCTGACAATGTGGATGCCGTTCGTTTCTTTATGGTTAATAATGCCCAAAATCCACTTTCTTCTGCAGGTCCTCTTGGTGATTCCTTTTTCACAGTGATGCCAAATATTAATGATTTTACTAAACATATGCAAGGTATGTAAAAATTGCATGAGATTGACAATGATGGTGTGAAATAACCATTTTGGGATCTTCTTGTATCCATTCAAATAAGGTTTGGGAGTTTGGAGTGTTCTTGGTCCAATTGGACCATTGGGAGCTTTGGGTCCATTAGGTCCATTAGGTCCAATGGGAATCCATAACTTCAATAGAACTGCTGATGGTGATTACATTGATGCAAATGGAAAAATTCAAACCACTTTAACTGTGAAATGGGATGAAAAGACAAGCATTCAGTGGCCATTGTTTGAAGACTATAAAAAAGAAAGAGCCATTCAACTTGGTAAACAAGGAAAATTAGATCCAAGTTTTATGGTTTCTGCTATTGGATCATTGACACCTGACGTCTATACCGTCACGGTTACTGAACCTCAATATGTGACCATTTTGACAGCTCCATCCATCTATGCCAAGAACTTTTTAATTACTGTGAAAGAAAAGAAATCAAAGCAGGTCATTGCTTCAACTGGCAGCTCTGTATCTTTCACACCATGGATTCAATTCTTTGTAGAACCATCGAGTTTGACGAATGGACCATTGCAATTTGAAATTAGTGTTGCTGTTGACCCATTGGATTGTGGATTGGCATCTGTGTTTGAATGCTTTATGGAATATTATTTGTATGTTGTTGGAAGTACAAAACACATATTGAGAAGGCCATCCATTGCATACAGTGGTCCATACATTAAACAGTCATGTTAAATAAATTCACAACATGCAATTCCACTATTCGAATCTTGGATGATAAAGGATTAAGATGTAACTTGGTGAATAGATTGGCCAACAGATTCACCAATGATGGGTTTGACAATTAAGGATCCTTTCATTTGTTGTCTGTATATAATCACCAAAATTTTATGACGGAAGGTGAAAGGAACATCATTCAACATCATGACCATCTTTAATAACCTAATTGGACAGACTCGATAGGATTGAATAAAATCTTTTCCTTTTCATTCCAAAGCAGCAACTTTTTTCACAGTCCAACTCTGCCGTTTGCTTGAAAGAGAAAGGGATCGCTTTCCGACTTGAAAATAAGAACGAAAAAAAAAATCAATCCTTTCTCATACGGGATTCATCATCACCAAGACGAGAAGAAGAAGCCTTTCTGCCGAACGTTCAAAACCTTCTTCAATTCACGAAGACTCGTACGAAACTTCGGCTACAATTTTTGGGCGAGACTTTGAATTTTGTTCTTCGGAAAAAGAATCCTGCACTGAGCTTTATTGACATCATTAATAATCATTGTTCTTGTAAATCATTTAATTTATAGAATGTACTCCCACGAGCAATTACCGAACAAATCGGTCTCATACTATTTATCATTGCCTTCCTATTGGATGGATAGGTTTTTTAGAGCAATTTTTTATTGGATCGGGTACATCACAGCGAGTGCTCCAATTTTGTTCATTGTGGCTGCCGTACTTTTTACAGGAGGAATTGGTGTCGGTATTATGAAAATTCAATTGATTACCGATCCTCAAAGCTTGTGGGTGAGTATTGATTTTTTGAGATTTTTCTCATTGATACAAATTTGGAAACGGCATATTGGTACTCCGATCCTATTATATTTTTTATTGAACGATTTTAAAAGGTCCCTCCCGACAGCGACACCGTTAAGCAAAAAAATTATTTTGATGACCAATTTACCCCATTCTTTAGAATTGAACAATTGATTTTTCTACCAAAAAACAAATCTGTGACAAATGCAATCAACAAGGAAATGTTCGAGGATGTTTATCAAATTCAAAAAGAAATATTAGAAATTCAGATTTGGGACACTTCAAACCATTCGTTACCACCAATCACATTGGATGATTTATGTTACAAGCCTATACCCTCTAAAGGTTGTATGATTCAGAGTCCAATGCAATTTTTCCAAATGAAACGTCAAAATTTAGAAAGATCCATGGACGTTACAAAATCTATTTTCATGTGTGTCCAAAGATTGAGCTTGCAATCTTTTTGCATGTCTGACATTGGCATTCCGGTTTATGATAAACAAGTTTTTGGAAAAGCAGCGTATAACACCACCACTCAAACAGCAAGTGCAGATGCCCTTATTGTTACATACCTTTTGAATAATGACAATGCAACAGCAGCTAAGGCTCTACTTTGGGAGAAGGAATTTTTGAATATTGCTGCTAAGCCTCGTGACCATGTCCTTGTCTATAGATCCGCTGAGAGATCTGTTCAAGATGAAATTTCTGACGAAACTGGAGATATTTATACTGTGCTAATCAGCTATGCTGCTATGTTTGTATATGTGGCCATTTCATTGGGACAAATTCATCCTGTCAAGTCAAGAATTGTGATGGGTTTGTGTGGAGTTATCATTGTGATTATGTCCGTTGTGATTTCTGCAGGTATTTGTGGTTTGTGTGGTGTGCCTGCTACGCTAATTATCATGGAAGTCATGCCGTTCCTCATTCTTGCGATCGGTGTTGATAACATGTTCATTATGGCCAACCATTTAGATCAAGTAACAAAGCTTAAAAAGAATCAAAATCTCACAATTGCTCAAATCATGGGAGAAACACTAGGAACTGTGGGCTCTTCCATGACATTGGCTTCAATTTCTGAGTTTTTAGGTAAGGTCTTTGAAAAATTCCAATTTTGCTAACCGTACTTTAGCGTTTATGTTGGGTAGCTTGACTAAGATGCCTGCTGTGCAAGCATTTTGTATTTATTCAGGAGTAGCTATCATCGTCAACTTTGTGCTACAAGTCACTTGCTTCTCTGCATTACTGTCATTAGATTTGAGAAGAAAATTAGGTAATAGACTAGAACTAGAACCAACTGTTGTTGTGACCTCCCCATTCTTGAGAAAAGATTGGATCAGTATTGCTGGTTTTATTAGACTTTTGATGAAGAAAACTATTGCTCCACTTGTAACGTTTATTCCATTGAGCTTATTGCTGATTGTTATTTTCTTAGGTCTTTCAGGCGCTTCTATTTATGCATCATTTTTCTTAAGCCAAGGTTTGGATCAAATAACAGCACTACCAACTGGATCCTATTTGGGAGAATATTATTTAATGCAAAGAACTTACTTGGATTTAGGTCCTCCTATCTACTACGTCACAGGAAAAATTAATTATACAGACCCTAAGGTGCAAGATCAAATGTCAAAGATGGTCAACATTGTGGCAGAAACTGAATATCTAGACAGAGGCAGCATTTTATTTTATTACGCTGACTTTAAGCAATGGGTATTAACAATTGAGTGTTCAAACAAGAACGTATCAGCAACTTCATATGTACCTCCTGAACATTACATTGAATGGCTCCAAGAATTCCTTGGTCAGCAAGAATGTTGTTCATTCCGTGGTCAAACAACCCCTCTTTGTGGATTCCAATACAAGAACGATGTAAAATTCTCTGCTGATGGAAAATCTATAGAAGCAGCCAGGTTAATGACTCAAACCAAAACTCTGATTACTCAAGAAGATTTTATTAATAGTATGAAATCAGCTTATTACACATCGGACTATCTGGCCAATCCAAAGAAGTATTTACCTCCAAGTCAATGGGACAACAATATTCCACTATCCACTTTCCCATATAGCATCTACTATATTTACTTTGCTCAGTACTTGTATTTACCAGAAGTTTCTGCAACGAATATTATGATTGCCAGTGGTGCAGTATTTTTGACGACTTTAATCTTATTGGGATCTCCTGTTGCCTCTATTTATGTATTAGTTTGTATTTTCATGATTTTGTCAAACTTGTTAGGAATCATGTCTGTGTGGGGTATATATGTGAATGCTCTCTCTGTTGTCAACTTGGTCATGTCTATTGGAATTAGTGTTGAATTTTGTGTACATATTACTCGAGCATTTATGAGAGCTAAAGGTACTCACAAAGAGAGAGTCAAGAAAGCAATGATTGGAATGGGCTCTTCAGTATTATCTGGTATTACATTTACCAAATTTATTGGAGTGGTTGTTCTTGCCTTCTCACATTCTGAAATTTTCCGAATTTACTATTTCAAAATGTATTTGAGCATTGTAGTTTCTGGTGCCCTACATGGACTGCTTTTCTTACCTGCCTTATTAACAATTGCAGGCCCTAGTCAAGATCCTGTTTCTGCACTTAAGGGTGAAGAAGACGAAGAAGAAGATGAGGAAGATGCTGCTGAAATTGACATTGCAGGTTCTGGACGAAGCGGATTTGTTAATCCACAACATTTAGATGAAGAGGAGCAAACATCTCCAATTAATTACTCTAAGTAACTGTTTTGGGACACACTGTTGATTATCAATGATCAACTTCTATCACACACCACTGTTTGATGTATCATCAAATAATCAACTCTTTATTTTCATATATAAATTATTTATTGCCAATTTAAATTTTAAAAAGGATTTGTTTTGAATTAAAAAAATGTCCTCACTTTCGCTTGTTCCTCCTTCGATCGATGGCAGCAGTAATGATGACGAGGATGAGAACAAGCCTAATTTAAACGATGATCATGTACTGACAACAACGAAGGAAGATGATAATAACAAGACAAAAGCAAGGGCGGAAGATAATTCTCATGTTTCAAACCATACGGCATTTTCCATAAATGATGATCATCGCAACTCTGTAAATATCCATCACCCTTTGGAAAATCCTTCCGAGAGCATTGTGGAGATTGAAAGCGAAGCCTTGAATATTATTTCAATTGAAACTACACAAAATTATAATAGCCATAACAATGTTGAAAGTGAGATGTCCTCCTCATCATCTTCTCATTACAATACTATCACATCAATCGATACTCACCAGCAATACAGTGAAAAAATTAATTTATTTGAAATTGGGCTTGATGCTCACTCAAAAACAGAGAATAGTACAACAGTGTCAACAAATCAAGTAACAGAGTCCAAAAACAATACAAAACCCGAAAAAAACGAAGAAGAGGAAGAGGAAGAGGAAGAAGAGGAAGAGATTTCAACAAAACCAATACCACTCAACTCAAAAATTTCTCACACCAAAAGTGAAGGACATTTAGATTCTTTTCTCTTGTCACGAAGATCACCAATTCGTAATGTTACTGAACCTCAAACACCTACACTTCTCAAACAACGCATTATGCAAAAATATAAGCAGCATATCCAACAGCAATCTAGTTTTACCACTGATACGGACACAGATGATGATATGGTTTTAACAAGCATGTCACAAAACAAATATTTTCGATTATTTTCTCTAATGATTGCTAAATTCTTTAGAATCCAATCTCGTGTGATAGCTCCAAGTGGAGGTGTACCACAAAATATTGAGGCTATACGGAAACAAGAAAAAGCTAACCGAATAATTCTCAGAGATATGTTAACCATGTTTATAAGTGGATTTTCAGTGTTTGGAATATTTGTCATTGTCTGGTATAACATTTATTTCAATACTGATTTTTTGAAGACTATTTTGGAAGGAAGAGATTCATTGATAGAACGATTTTATTTTTGTGTCAAGTGCATATTTATTAGTGCTTTGATTTTTCCTTTAATATTTATAGCCATTGTACGAAATCGATTGTTTGAGGAAGCTAGTAACCCCTTGTTGACAAATCTAATCAACAAGGAGCATCAATTGAAGCTTGTCATTCTGCAACGAATATTCCAAAACTCTATTGAACAATTTTTGATGCATTCTGTGAGTTGTGCAATGTTGAGTTATTATTTACCAAGAGAAGACCTCAGAATTTTAGTGTTTGCCACGGTCACTTTTCTATTTTGCAGGTTACTCTTTTGGATTGGATATTCCATTCACCATTCCTTGCGGTAGGTAGTTATTTCGTTATGATGAAACTCTTCACAATTTTCCTCTGTTGTTTTTGGAATAGTGCCCTCGGCATTGTCACAGGTGCCTTTTTCAACCTATTTTTGCTCGTTCTGTCTTGTTACTATATTTCAACGCAAGACATTTTGCCATTTATCATCAATGATATGCTTTTACCTCTTTTCGTTATATTTTCAGCATAGATGTTAAATCGCTAACTTTAATTAAATTTTATATGAATGGAATAGTGAAGATAAATCTCTAGCATAATCATTTCTGTTTTGGAAGTAATAGCAATTGTTGGAGTGTTGAGCGCAAACATCAAGAACATCAATGTCACAATTGCACAGCATTGGAAGTTGAATATTCATATTCTTAATGGTTTCCAAAAATTGCTTATTGAGCTGCTTGAGATATCGTTTTTCCTCTCTATATTCTTTCTTCTTTTGATCCTTTGTAGTGGTTGTTCTAGGATTAGAAAGTACTATTGAATTTGTTGGTGCTGTTTCAGGAATGGAAGAAATTTCATTAGCTTCTTCAGAGTGTGAACTTGCATTTAGAGGAATATAGTTTGGCTTGTTAAGTAAGGAGGATTGAGGTGTTTGGGCTGGCTCGTCTAGATATACAGTGAAAGAGGGAGCTTGAATTATGATCATATTTTCGTCCTTGCTAATTGCTCGTTCGTACTTGCCATACACTTCTTGAGATTTTGATGTGGCCAAATTTGCTAAATTATATCTTGCAAAATTTACAAAATCATTGACAGTTTTCTCATGAGATACTTCATCCACACTGCATTCATCCAATTCCTCAGAGGAGCTCGTTGTGTCACTCTCATGTGGAGATGGAAATGACGAACTACTTGATCTGTTATCAATCGATGCTTGATCTTCCTCAGTGTCATCCATATTTTTCGAAGGATCAGGTCTAGGAGTATTCATTCCACGCGGTGTATTATTTCCTCTAGGTGTGTTCATTCCTCTTGGTGTATTGCTTCTTGGGGTACAAGACCGTGGAGTGGTTGTTTTTGAGGAACTAGACAACGACGTTAGAGTATGACTTCCCTCTGATACTTGAGGTGAATTTTTCATATTTACATCATTCACTTGCTTTCCATACTCGCCCATCTTTTTTCGAAGCTCTATTTTCCGCATCTTCTCTTTCTGTAATTTTTCAACTTCAATTTGCTTGGCAAGAATGGTTTCGTTTTTTCGTTCTTGTATTCTTTGTTTGACCTTAATATTGAAATCTTTCAGTTTCTCTTCCTTTCGAAGTCTTCGTTCTGTCATGCTATCCTGGTAAAATTGAGCAGCATCATTGGCATTGGAAAATAGGTATTTACTTCCTTCTTCTCCGACAACCTCGGTTGAACACTTTTGGGCTCTTGCCACTCGAATGTTTTTGTTATGATGAAGACACACATGAAACTCTGCATTGAAGATGAATCTCTTTTTAGGATCAAGATCAATTTTTCCATTCGCAAGTTTATGCTCTCGGACCAAATAATTATTGATATTATCTTGATTATCGGCCACATGTTTTAAAATTCGTTTCTTGGTGCACGAGGAGAAGGAATCCCTTGTGTTGGAGATGATGGGTTCATTACGGAATTGTCTCACTCGTGTTGAAGGAATTCCAGGCAAGCTGTATGAGTGTCCCGAGGAAGAGGAATTGGCAGAGGAATTGGCAAACGAAGAACCTGATGAGGAATATGAATTCATATATTTTCTTTCTGATGAGGTTACAATTCGCAATGAATTTGAGGGTTTTGAAATGAAGAAGGCGGGAAATGTTTGTGTATTTGGCGGGAAATGTTTGTGTATTCACAAAGTTAGGAAAACGTCACCACCGATCAATCAACCATATTCTCTAGTCCATAATCCATTCAACATGAAAACCGTTCTTAGAAATAGGACATAAAAGGACACCAAATAAAAAATGATAAAACAACAACATCACAATGCCGTGTATTCCCATCATCATCACAGCTATGGAGTTGGAAATCATCCTTTGCATTTCATCATTTATGCTTTGATTGCCGTTCTGGTTATCATTATTTTGTATTTTATTGGAAAATCTTTTGTTCTGTAACGGAAGGGTGTCTTCTTACATTAAATACTTCCAATCACTGTTTCAAAACACAACAAGTGATCTTCTATAATTATAATTATCCAAGCTAAATGATGACAAACATTGTGAAAGCAGCAAAATGAACTATATATTCTTTTTTTTACTTTGAATTGTCATATTGTTTTGACATTTGTTTGAACATTGTGGTTAAGTGAGGTAGAATTTTCTGACGAGTATTTTCATATTCAGATGTTAATGCCATTATCTTTTCATCCAAACATGTCATGCAAAGTTGATTCAATTCATCTTCTCCATTATTTTCCTGAGATGAAGATGCATCTGTAACACAGGTGGATTTTAACTCCTCTCGAAACAAACTTATGAAATTGGACAATTTCTTTTTACACAAATCACCATAAGAAGTAATCTTCTTCTCTTTTGCACAATGCTCACAAATTAAATCAAAATCTGTCTTTGAGAAACACCTGCTGTCTCTTTCCTTCTTTTTTGGTGAGGACGTCTTTACGTAGAAACACTTTGCTTCCCAATAGGCGATTACATTCTCATGATTTGTCTTGAAGGTTTCTTCCATTTGCTGTTGATTTTTCTTATGAACTTCCAGAGTGACTTGTTTATCATTCTCCAGCTGAGAGATGGTGGAGCGCAATAAAGATGCAGTCAATGGATGAAGAATGGATTGGGTCAACCAGTTTTTGAGGAGCACAGCTTGTTGAATCCACTTGATTTTCATGTTCAGATGAATCTAAAGTCACATCTACGTTCGTGGTTGTTCCATTAGAGTTATCATTGTGAGGAGTATTCTCTTCTTGAAGAGCAACTTGGTCTGTGGTCATTCTCTCGTTAACACTCTCTATTGTTGATGAGTTGGTAAAAGAGTGAGAATGGTTTTCTTGCAGTGTTTGATCTTTGATCACATTGTCATTCTCATGATCACTCTCTGGAATAATGATAAAGTCAGTAATAGTTGTTGAATCAATTTCATGAGAAGTGGTCATCATCACATTTTCTTGAACAGGTGAGTCTGTGGTTGTTGTGACAATCTCGTTGTTATCACTGTCCATGACATTATTGTTGCCACTCAGATCTGAGACAATACATGATGGATTCATTGTTGAGTTTGTTGAAGGATTAAATTCTTGAACAGTTTGTTCAGTGATGGTGATATTCTCGTTTATTCTTTCTGTTGAGTCATCAAGAGTTGTCGAGTCCAATTGATTTTCACATGATAACGCAATGTCACTCTCTTGAGATGTCTTTTCGTCATCATTAGTCTTCCTTTCATCACTTTCTTGAATTTGTTCAGTAATAGTCTTCTTTTCATCACTGTCTTGACATGTCTTGTTGTCATTAATTGTCTTGTTGTTGTCATTAGTCTTCTTTTCATCACTTTCTTGAGAGGTCTTGTTGTTTTCATCACTCTCTGACTTGTGATGTTGTTTAAAGACAAGAATGACTAGTGAAATAACTGCAACCACAAGAATTTTAAAGATCACTGATGAGAGGTATGGTTGATTCAAGATGGAGAATTTGTCCATGTGATACCAATGACGAGTGGAAACTCTTTTACGAAACTCTTTGCATTGCGCACGAACCAAATCCAAAAGTTCATGATTCCATTGCTTGTGATCATTCTTTGAGGTTTCCCCATGAGTTGATCACTCGTTGATAGTAATCATTGACAGTTTTTTTACCCATTTCGTAATTGTTCTTGTTGTGTTGTGTGTCAAGAATGTGTTCGAAAATGATGTGACTGGCACAAAGTTTCATTGAATTGGAAATACATTTCGAATTGCCTTCACACCAATCAAAGATGAGAGTTGGAAAGTTTCCCATTCCTTCTTGATTGCGAAGTGTTTCCAATGATGACATTCTCCAAGGTTGAGTCTCTTTGAACAATTCAGAGAAATTGCTTTGAAGGTTTTGTTTTTGTTTCCAGTCATGACTGTCAATGATGCCATGACACACTTTCAAAGTATTTGCAATCTGCCATGGAACAGATGGATAATACAAATGAGTGGCATTGTTTGAAACTTTCTCAAATTCATTCATGACTTGATTGTAGAGATAATTTCTTGCCAAACTCAAACAACAATCAGATTCGGTGCTGTTCTTCGAGAGAAAAGGATAATGTTGTCGTTTGGATTCCACACAGTCCATGAGAAAATCAAGTCTTTGATCGTCATTCATAACAACCATGGTGTTGTTCGAAGAAGAATCACCCTTCACAGTGGTCATCACGTACAAGGCCGCAAGAACGAGAGCCCAGAACAGAGTAAAATTGTTAGACATGGTGGAGTGAATTGTTGGGTAGTGTTGAGCGAGGAGTGTCGTTGATATTTTTTAGCGTGACGGTCTGCCAATCTTGAATTTCTTGTCAACCTTCATAAATTTTCGAATTCCGGAATCTCATTCTTGAGATCTAATTTGGAAATTGTGTTACAGCCATGTTGGCTTTGAGTGGAGATCATATACAGTGGAATCCCAAAAGGAGATTGATCTCCCTCATTGATCTCTTCTCTCAAATAGTGATTATTCTCTCTTTTTGTCGACTCGTTCAATCCGTTTCTTGTTTCTCTTCTTCTAATTATCGAAACGAGAGGATCTTGGATTTAACGAAGGAGCCGTCCAGGTGGTGCTTGTTGTTGGAAGGAGTACTTGTACGGTATTGCCTGATTCAGTGTTGCAACAACAAACCCAGGTTCCTGCCATGTTCCGCTCATCTTCTTTGAATTTCAGAAAATAAAAAAGAAGATACTTGTTTCAGAAAACCTTGAATTCAAGACCTCGGAGGTCTCCATTGAAAGCAGCAACAACAAGAACAACAATAATAACATATCATACGAATGATTCTTTTCTTTTAAATATTGAAACAGCAATAGAATTTGTTTGGATCTAATTCTCGGTAAGAATCGAGGCTCTTAATGGACGTTTGTTTTTGGGTGATTTTGGGTGATGATTTGGATAGCGGTTTTTTGCTTTTGAAAAAATATTCTGAAATTCTTTAGCAACTGAACGAACGAAGTGGTGCTGCATCGTCATCCCAATACAACTTTCATTCCTGATCATCATCATCATTAAAATTGTTTTAATAGATGGGTGCACATAAAAGCAAACATTCAAAGAAAGACGGAGAGGATGATATCAACCAGATAGAGAATAATAATACCTCATACGGAAATTCCAATAACTCGACATCATCAGAAGAGGATGTCTTTTCGATTCCATTACCTCCATTGGATGAAATGAAGAAAATTGTTGAACAGAAATTATTGACAAACGAAATTTATAGTGCTAAATTGAAATCAAACCGAGCACTTCTAGAGAAGTTCAGAGATGCTCTATGTGTCAAGGAGGAATTGATTAAAACATATTTGTCAACCGATTGGGCAGAAACCAAAAAGCTCACAATGGACATGATGGGTCAAGTGAGTGATCAGTCAAGCGGGTCCGCATTAAAAAGTACAGTGAGTAACAATCTAGCCAGTACAGATGTAGGAACAGTGGTCAACAGGGAGGAAGAAGATGACAACGAATTGGATATATTAGATGAAGAAAATAATCCAGATGTTGTCAACATGAAGAATGCCAAGATCAAAATCAAATTTATTGTTTCTGAAGTATCCCACACAAAAGGAAAAAGAGCTATTAGAAGATTACTCTCTCCTGTTGTGTCTGCTTTCGATGATACGTTCCCAGAGTAAGTATTCACCAACTTCATGTAAGCTCGATCAATAGTTATTGCTAATATATTACAGGCTTGGAATGTTTCACAGTGCTCTGTTGATTGGACCTTGGAAATTAGAATATAACAACAGTGCTTTGGTTGTTGTAAGTAATTTTCAACTCAGTTGATATTTTTGGAATCAATTTATTGATTGATTATAATTTGTGAAAATACTAGCCAAGAAAATGTGTCAGTACTGCTTCCTTAATTACTGCTGACTTGGGATCCATAGTGCTTGATGATAGCCTTGATGTTTTGGTTTCTAAATTAGCTGATGTTATTATCCGATGGAATACAATCATGTTTTACAAAGACCATGGAGGAACTGGAAGATATGGTAATTGTCAAGACTTTGTTGACTCTGTTCTGAAGGCCATTGGTGTTAGCAAGGACAAGCTTTATCAAGGTCCAATGGCTGAATTCTTAAAGGACATGAGATCCAAGGGTAAATGTGATCTCGTTTTCAAGATGGATTCTGCTTTTAGAAAGAAATTTAACAGAACTGAGACAGAAATAGTTTTTAAAACCCATTTAGCATTGGACACATTCGTGTCAGAGTTAATGGAAATTGACGAAGACTTCCAGAAAAATCATCCTCTGGAGTATAACTTCTTAAAGAGCTTTGACAGATCTTTCTGGCTAAAGCATTTTAGGTTCCCAGATGACCCTAACCACAAACCACTTCACAAAGAAGAAACAGATGACGAATCAATGACAGTGCAAGTTCCTTGCTGTCCATTCAAGGATCCTCGAGAAACCTACTCACTTATATTAAATTAATTTTCGATGTTTATTTTGTGACACACCGTTGCTTAAAAACTTCCATCTCCTTCAAACAAGCCTCAATTATTAAGCTTTCTCTCGAGTTCAAAGTGTTGACCAAATCATAGAGTTCCTCGCTATCCTTAAACCCTTTTTCAAATTTAGCCAAACAATGTCCAATTCGTTTCGAGTTAACATTTTGGTGAGAAATGTCATCTTTGTCAGTATTTGTGAGATTGGGCTGTGTAATTTTTGTAGACTCAAAATACCGTCTGTATAAATCGTCTGTTGATGCCATCCCGTAAAATGTATGATATTTGGATTCATTTTGTTGGTTATTTTGTAATTTTCTCATCTCAAGCAATATATCAGCATAGTAATACATATATACAGAATGTAGAAATATTTGTCGTTCTTCCTTTGTTCTAAGTTGTGCAATTAATCTCTGAAATTCAATAGAATGTTCTGCAAAATAGGATATGTTATCTTCGAAAAATTGTAAAGTGTTCAATACAAAAGGAGTAAAGTTAGCATTTGGCAAAACTTTCTTTCTTAATTTCTGTAAATATTGTTGTTTTTTAACGAGATATTCCATGTTTGAGAAAGAATTTTCTAATTCCGCTCTGTCCTCTTCTTGTTTCTTCATTCGTTTTTCTTGTTGCTTCAAGAGCATTGTCAGAAAATCCTTGGTGCTTGATGTAGGAGTTGTTGCTTTACTTTTCTTTTCATCTTGTAATTGCTCCAAAAACTCCTCTATGAATGGTGCTTTAAATTTGTACTTGTCCGATTTGATTTCTTTCAGTGTTGCTGATTTATTTCCGATGGTAGAGGTGGTGTCATTGGTTCTCGGAGATTTCCAACGCTGATTGGCGTCTTCTCTCAATGATGATGATGATCCTCTATTCAAAGCTTTTTTCATTTTTTTTGTTTAATTAATTCCTCTTTCTTCTCTATTCTTTACAAATCTTAAAACAAAACCATTATTCTTCATCTTTTGGCATGACTGATATTGAATCAAGATCACATGGCAGAGGTTTGAAAAATGATGATCATTGAATGCACTGTATGGAACTTGAGAATTTATGAATTCCCAAATAACTCTAAAAAAAATGTCCACTTCTTCCTCTTCCACTCCTCCAACCGAAGAAAAAGTGACACTCAATATTCGATTGTTGGACGGAACACCCATGCAAGTGATCTTCAAATCTGAAGCAAAATTATCAGTTGTTCAACGCTATGTTCAAGTACGTAGAATTGAGAATGTCATGCATGAATTCCTATTGATAAAAAGGTAAAAGCAGTTGAATTAGGAAAACATAAATTACCTTGGGGATCTGCATATATTGAAGACAATGGAATTGAATTTGAAACCTTGATGCCAAAGAAAAGATTTCACTATGAAGAGTTTCCGAACATTACTTTGAAAGAGGCAGGTTTATTTCCTAAAGCAGCACTCGTAGTGGTACGACCCGATAAAGATCCGAATGATCTGAAGAGAGGAACGGGAACCATTGCTGATGCCAAGAAGGGTGATGGTGAGTGTTGTGTGTGGGTGGTGATCATGATTTTTAATCTAATTTAAATTAATTTGATATTAATTTTAAAATAATAATTTTGTAATATTTCATGATGATCATCTATTATTGAAATTGGTAATTTCCATATTTTGAAAAGTGATTCATCATGCACATCATGTTCGAGGTGACAGCTATGAAAAGAAACAAGCCTTCGCCGAGAAGCAACGCTTGGAGGAACAAGAGCAGAAGAAAAAGGAAGTGGAGGAAAAGAAAAGGGAATTAGAAAAAATTAGAGCTCAAATTAAAGAGGATAAAGAAACGAGATCAACAGTCAATTGGGTAGCAAATGCCTTAAAAAAGGATAAAAAGGATATTACAAAGAGCTCAAATCTACCTCCAAACACCTATCAGTAATACTACTGTTTTCATCCACTCTCAATTGATTACTTCAATTATTTGTAAATATTTCCACCATATGATAAATTATTGTCCATGAAATTAAATTCAAATTTTACAAAAACTATTCCTTCTTCTGTCAATTACTTCTTTAGTGCTTCTTTTGCTTTCAAATATTCCTCAAACATTTGCTTTCGTTGAAGTTTGGTGTAGGTATGCTCAAAATGAGTTGGCCATCTTTCAACATCGACATACTTTTCATCCATAGGAGGAATATATAGTCCAGTGTTTTCATCATGCTTCAAAATACTTAATAAAAACAGTCCTTCTCTCCGTTTCCTCTGAATAATTCTTTCATCATAATGTCGGGAGATGAATCGATGTCCAAAGAAATCAATCACGCTGGCAATTAAAAAAACATAGGTCCCTCCCACAACCCAATAGAACCAAGGAGTAGTTTTTAGAGTTCTTAATTGTATTTTTCCATCCTTTGATTGTCCTGTGATAAGTAAATAGAGTCGACCGTACAATTTAGAGAGGAAAGGCTTTCCCGACATTTTTTATGTTTAAATAATTAATTAAATATTAAAATGTCTCTTCTTGCGAACATTGCAGACCGTTGTGTTTGTATTAATTGTGGATACATTCAACAGCACACTCCGATCTATTCAAAACAAGGACAAAAGGATATACGATTAAATCATTGCGAGAAATGTAATGGTTTGATTGATAAATTTGTAGAATATGAAATGACAACGATTGTCTTTGATTTATTATTACTCAAAACAAAGGCTTTTATTCATGTATTATTTAATTACTTGGATAGATCCAAAATATTGAATGTATGTGTTGACTGTTGTGAATGAAATTTGGAATTATATTTTCTTTGGAATGGATTAGTATAATTTATTGAGATTAAGTCTATTTTCTATACTAGTCCGAACATGTTAGTATCATTTGCTACAAAAACTAATTAATGATCATTTTGATGCCTGTAAAAAAGATTTAAAATTTTTAATGATTACCAAGAATGAAATTACAGATCTGTGTGATGGGATTTCAATCTCAGAGACCAACAATCAACTGATATTCCTGGAGAATGCCTCGATATTTTACTTATTTTTCTTTTTTATGGCTCTTGAAGTGATCTTGTCTGTGATTTTCCTTGTCTGTGTATCTTTCGTATTGACTCCCAATGGAATGTATGTTGAAAATGAAACGAATTATTTGGATCATCAAAAATCCTGTCAATATGAATAGCAAACAAAAAGTTCATAGTTTGATTATGGGAACACTATTAAGCTCGTTCACAGAACTCTGGAGATTACCTCTAATTATTTGGAAGAATGAAATTGAACCTCTCTCACCTTATATTACCTTTTCCATTACCATTTATAGTTTTATTACCACAATGACTGTGTGTCGGGTTGTTTTATTTGAAGTTGGAGATTTTAACAAAGATAACCCTTCTCCAAGAGTTCATGAAATGGGACTCAAATGGGTCTACTCATTCTTTGTCACATTAATAAGCTTTGTTTTCAAAATTGTACTGTGTGCCTTATTGATGGAGTTGTTGATGCTTGAAAGGCGATGTATTTCTAAATATGATGGATGGTCATTACTTCTTGAACTTGTCAAGCATATTTCGTTTTACAAATAGCGAGTGGATAGAAGCGAAATAAGAACATTCTTTTTGAGGAAAAACAGGTTGTTCGTTGACCCCTTTCGAGAATTGAAGAAAAATCTCTCATGTCAACCAGTTAAGACCAGCCCAACATCTAGAAACTCTAATAATTTGCTTATCAATTCAATAAATGCAACGTTTATGAAACAGCAACAACGTATGCACATTTTCACATACTTTTCTATTGCTATTAAACACCTTAATCGTATCTTCTACTTGAAATATTTGCATTCAGCCTTTTCAACTGTTCCTTCTCCATATCCAGGCAAATTACGAGCAGCAGGAAGTTGAGAAAGCTTCACTGCTTGATCAATTGAATCCTTAATGAATGGTGCCTCCTTATCAAAATCAGTCAAATCCGTAAATTGATTCAACTCTTCAAATTGATTTGTATTTCTTAAATAATTTCCCCACAAAAATTCCACAAACTCCTTGTCACTCTTAGCATAACCACCTGCTCGTCGATCAAAATAACTTAAAGATCGAAATGGATCGTTTTTCAAATACAAAATAGATGATGGAAGAGAATCTGGAAAGTCCTTCAATGGTATTCCTCTTTCATCAAATGTATAGGTCAAATTATTTCGTACCATTGTACTCCAAAACGTATTTCGATCCAATCGTGAAAAATCTCTCTGAATGGTTACATACACATATCGATCGGTCATATCTGCATAGGAATGAGGTAAATCTTTACTCTTCAATAAGGTAATGGCATACAACAAGTGATGATGATCTGTCACATATAATGAAATATTCGAACGTGTGTGTTGATTGTTATTATAATATCCCATCACAACTGGCACGGGATTCTTTTCTAAATGATCAAAAAAGTCAGTGGTGGAATCTTTTTCCAAAATATTCAACAAGTGATCACGTTTACAAGCAGCAGCAACATATCCAATTGGAAGTTGTGTTGGAAAAACATCAATGACTTTCATGAGACATACAGAACCTTCTCGGAGAGAAGCAGGTTCTTCCAAACAATATTTGAGAGATTTGTTATGCCTCGTGTTGAGTTTGATACTACTTGTTGTTGGAGAGGATGCGGAATAGGAAGATGGTGAACGATAAATTTTGACCTCAAGCGCTTCCGTCGTTGCGGCTAATAGGAATAGGAGCGCAACAACAAGTGCCACGAGTTGTGGTGGTTGCGGTGTCATTTTTTTTAAGAGGTGGATCATTCTCGACTCTTGCTTGACCTAAGGCAGAGATGGTCATGTCCTAGGACTCCGACACCAATCCAATGAATCCTTTTGGCGGAGTTCAGCATGACCTTCTTGTTACCAGTTAGTTGGTTACTATTGAAACACCAAAGTAAACAATAATTTTGTGAAATTGCTTCAACCTCTTGTCCAAGAATCGTCATGAAAGTGTGTGTATTGCTTAATGAGACAAAGTGTGAATGAAAATGTCAGTAAATGCTCCTCCTTCTTCTGCACTGTGCAATATCTTACTTGTGTTCGGAAAGAGTTTCGACATGGATGGTCTCAAATTGCAATTGAAAACAACGAGGGAAGAACTTTCCCATTGTCGTGTATGACCTGTCCGCGAGCAAATCGATCCTCCGAAAATATAGACCTTATTTCTTTTCCGATCGTAACTCATTGAGAAATAGTTTCGTCCAACAAAAACTTCATCAAATTCCTGTTCGTTCAGTTCGTATGAGCTGTTACTCTTATTATTACTGAGAGTTGTTGAAATGTTGTTTTGATTAATTGCTGTTCCAAACATGTTGTTCATACCCTCCAAGCATGCTTCTTCGGACAAGCTTTTTGAGTACTTGGTATTTACAAGATATTCAACTTCTGGATCATAGCAGGAAAGTGATTCATCAATTTCCCAACTGAGCTCATCCATATCAAAAACAAAAATTTCATGAGGGAAATCTTCTGGATGATCACGTGTGTGACATGTTCCTCCATAGTATAGCAACTTGGAATCGCTCAACTGAACAGCACAATGAGAACGTATTTTGTCAGTTTTTATCCATGGTGTTCTGTTGAGTATTTTCAGATGATTAGGTGGAATTTTTCGATCTTTCAACAAAGGGCAAGGATCTCTAGAGGGTCGAACATGTGTTTCAAGAATCATCCAAGTTTTTGTTTTGAAATAGTAGAACAGTAAATCATTACTTAAAGGTGCATTTTCACCGCTTCTCATCTTTCCGCCAATCACTACCATAACATCATGTTTTTTGAAATATACAGCTTGGTGATAAGCGACAGGAAATGTGACTTGCTCATATCCAATCATATTTTCCTCTTTCATATTTGTAAAGTGAATGGTGTTATCTCCAAGTCTGTTAATTCTATAAAAGGAGTTTGTGAAAATTAAATTTCCTCCATGCCCACCGTATGAATAATATTCATCTTTGCCTCTCTTAATAATTGTGTGACCTTCAAGGAAAGCAAACACATGTGATCCAGATCTATTGATTGGCTCATATTGTTTCCATTCTAATGTTTTCATGTTCAACGAGAAGAACTCATTGGTCAAATTTCGCCCTTGTTTTAAACCTCCATGCCTATGGTTGATGTATTGAGAGATGCAGTCATTGCAAATACGCTATTTTTTACATTTGATGTATACTTACATGAAAACTTCCAATAATTCTTCATCAAAATAAACGGCAGGAAATATACGTCCACCAATCGGTGAATTTCCTTTTGTCGCAATTTCTTCTACAGCAATAGAATCTATTCGTTGGATAGAATGAAATAAAAATCATCATGTCAAAATCAATGTCATGCTCAACCAAGACCTACCAATTCCTTCATATAAATTATCAATATCGAATAATGAAATTCTAAATAAACAGTCGTCTTTGATTGATCTATAATAATGATGCCATGCATGAGCACCTAAAAATATATACAAATAATTATCATAGCTAAATTGAAATGTATGTGATTTATCCCAAAATCCTTCCGAAGTAGGATCACTGTATTCAACCAATGTTTTGGATTTTGCTCTATTGATGGATGATCCTTCAACCAAAATTTGCTTCACTTGGTCGACATAAAAATCCGCATGTGGTTTCATCATGGATGATGATGCAACATGATCCCGACGCTTTTGATGGTGATGAGTACTGGGGTAGAACACGGGTTGATAAAGTTCATTTGTTTCAGGAATATTGATTCTCGGATGATCATGTTCGTCATTTACAAAATCATTGAGTGATGAATGAACGAATGAGGTTGGTGTTGGTGGATGGTTCATATTGGGGTTGAAATTTCGGCTCGGTTGGACACCCATTTGAAATCTAAAGGGCAAGTTTTCGTCTATTTTTTTGGTTGACTCTTTTTGCGATGATGAACTGAGCGGGCATGTTTGGGCAAATATTTGTCCAAATAAATTTGACTAATGGCACGAAATCATTCACTACTCGAATTGTCGAATCAATGATAGAAAGATGATATATTTACAAATCAAAGAATGAATCAATTTCTTCAAGAGGTCCTAACTGTTGAGGCAAAACTAAGTTCATGGCACTTTCCTCTTGATTCTTTGTGATAAATTCTTCAAAGGACATGGGTTCCACACCACCAATTCCTTCCACCGATTGTCGATATCGTTCATATTCTCTTCGTCTCGATTCTTCCTTTTCTTTTTCTTTGGCTTGTTCTAACTTTTTCCTTCTTTCCTCTTCATGAATTTCTTGATGTTTATGTGCTTTTTGAATAATTTCTTTTGCTTTCTCTACAGCTTTCATTTCCTTAGAAACATTTTCAAGAATTTGTTGAGAAATCATTTTCAATGCATCTTCTTCTTCTTCCTTCTCATTGACCTTACTTAACTTTCTTGTATCAACTTGGGCAAAGTATTTGTTTGCTTTTTTCGAGATAGGCTTTCAATTGTTCATCTTGTTCTTCCTCGGACTCTTCTTGAAGAGCATTCGTTGGTGATTGTCGTTTCTTTTTCTTTTGAGAAGAAGATTTCTTTTTACTGGTTTTCTTCTTCTTCTTTTTCTTTTCTGTATATTCCTCATCTTCGGAGGAGGCTTTTCTTTCATGATCGGATGCATGGCTACTTTCACTTTCCTCCGATGTTGGTTCATATTTTCGTTTGGATGATGTGGTTGATGTTCTTTGTTTTCTCTTGGATACTCGAGGCCTCTTCTCGTAGGATCGCTCATTACTCGAACTATTGTCGTCGGCCATTGTAGAAGTGGTCATTGCTGGTGATGAGGTTGTTTTTGATGTATCTTCCGTCTTTGATTGCTGTTCATCATCTCCCGAAATGCTAATATCATCATCCATGGTGGTTTTGAAATGAGAGTCGTTTGAGTTATCATCAAGAGCTAGTTCAGAAGAGATTCTCCTCCCAATATTGGTTTGTTTCCTCGAGTAGGTTCTCATGATAATGCTGTGAGTGTATTTATGCTGTGTGTGAATGAGTGAATAAGAGTGATTTTGTGAATAAATAGAGAGTGGATAACGTTCTTTTTTTTGAATTTTGAAATGGCGCGGTGAAAATAACCGTTAAAAATTAAAGATTGCTTTCCCTCAGAGAGAGAGGCAACAAAGACTTCTTGTGCTTCTCTCTAATCATCATGTAATTCTAACTTTTTCAACAAACAAAATGATGCAATCGTGATGAGGAAAATTTTGGAAATTCTGTTTCTGAATTACCTGTTGTCCATCTCTGCACACGTACACGTGTTCATGAAAAAATTAAATATTGTTTATTGGCCCTTCGGTGCCTCAATACTTGTCATAAAACAACATTGGACTTCATTTTCGTTTAGATACTACTTCTGAATGTCGAATGTTTTTAACAGGATATATCAAATATTAACAGATTACATGCTTGTGTTGAGCAACTGTTAACATGGGTTGAGTCGATGATTCAAACAGAAGGCAAAAATAAAGCAGTGTTTTGTCTGTTAATGCATATGGTTTCGTTGGTTTGTAAGGTTGAGTCGTCAATTATTGTAAAAAGGTCATGAATAGGTATATATAGTGTTGATGGATATGATATGTTAATAATGATATGTATCGATTACCAGCATTGTCTTCAAAGTTCTAAGTCACAACAATTAATAATGTTGAAGGGCGGAGAGCAGTCTTGGATCCAGTATAAGGTGAGATGCTTCTTTCTTGTTCTTACATTCATTACACGTTTCTTATCGAATTGTTGATAGCACTGATCATCATAATACAAATATAGTATCTTGCCTTTTTGTCCATGATTAGTATGATCGTGAAGTTTGTTCTTTTGCTTTGTTTTTCTTTTTGGCTTGCCTTTGTCGGTGGATGATTGTTTTTTAGCTTGTGTGGTCCTTCTTGTTTTGCGAGGTTTGTTCTTTGGCTTGTATTCTTTTTCTTGTTTTGATGGAGTTGGTTGATTCCATGTTGATAATGTATTCTCATCTTTCTCAACTGGTGGATCGTTAGTTTTCTCAACTGATGGATTTTCTCTAAAGGTGATTGCGTCACATAGATGATGTTGTAAAGATTGTAACAAGTGATGCGAATGATCTAATGGCTTCCGTGCCTTTTCTTCGCAATTTCTGTTCTCTTCATTTCGTATATATTCATTAAGTTTGGCGTTTAATTGTTTGAGGGTAGCTGAAATGTAATTCGCTTGTTGTTCAATTCTTTCCAAACGTCTTTCCAGGCTGTGGAGCATGCAAGAGTCAATTCTGATGTTCATCTTGCGGTATTTTTTAAGGGCTCATGTTCATGAAAAATGTTTTTTCCTTCGGCTGCTCGTTTACCGTTATCAGCCTACTCTTCTTCGTTCTCGAGGAACAATATGCAGAAAAAGATATCCATCATCATCACTCTGATGCTTGTGTTTGGTTGTTATTTTCTTCAGTCCTTCCCATTAAACGGAGAACCAATCCAACGAAAATTATTCAATCCCGATGCCTTCTTTCATTTCGTTCAAATAACAGATATTCATACAGAGGAGTGGAGTTCATATCGTGTTGG